CCACACCCTCGCACAAACACCACCACCACTACGACGACTCTGCCCTTCCACACCCTCGCACAAACACCACCACCACTACGACGACTCTGCCCTTCCACACCCTCGCACAAACACCACCACCACTACAACGACTCTGCCCTTCCACACCCTCGCACTAGAACTATAGCTGCCAATACTACTATGCCGTTCCACACCCTCGCACTAGAACTATAGCTGCCAATACTACTGAGCCGTTCCAGACATTCTCTCGCTGTCCTCTGAAGAACAAAGCCAAGCCGGTCAATGTTGAATATATCAGATGCTACTGAGTGATGCATCCCCTCGTCGCTGTTCATCCTGCCCCTCGCACGCTCGATCGTCAACTGTCGATGCAAATGGCCAGTGCGGTGTGGCTACTTGCAGAGCCCTCGCCAAGCGCTCAGTACAAGAAGATGTTCCATTTTGACTGAGCCGTTGGTTAGACATCATGTGCACGACCGACTACGTCCCTACAGCAATCGTCGAACGGCGCAAAAGCTAAGCAGTAGCATAATGAGCAAGGCGAACAGCTGAAGAGTCATCCCTGTATCGGGTCTTGCTACCTTTTGAGCCAGTCGACGCTATTGATGCCATGTTGCAACAGGACATACGACGCTGGCGTCAAGGGCTAGGACCTGGCTGGAGAGATGAGTGTAGTATTGTGGGCTACCTTTGCTGACGAGCCACGATAAGCGGTCGACCAGACCACTTTGCGTGAGTAGAGTTGCCGACCTGTCTTGACGCTCTCTCCGGATCCTCGGCACTGGCAAGACGTTGCGTTTCGGTCTCAAATCAGCTGCAATAATGGTGTGTGGAGACCATCAAAGTCGAAGCAGAGCTCCCATGGACGTCATAGACTGGGCTAGCAACTGCCTGGCTCTGAAGCGTTTCGAGCGTTGGTTGCAGTGCTTGCAAAGTAGGGCGACACCTGACATCTTGCATCTTTCTACGATGCCTGTGATGAGCGAGGCATGCACTGCCATCGATGATGAGCGTCACTAGGCGAGCGTTGCGCAGGACAATCAGAACTCACTTCAGCTGCAGAGAAGCTCGCTTGGCCCTTGGGCGGAGCTCGGGGTCCGGCACAGAGGCAGGCGTTCCTCCACCCGGTGTGCCGGGAAGTGTCGAGCCCCGCGCTTGCCGGTCTTTTCTGTTGCGCTACCGACTTCATTCCACAGATTCCAATAAGAGCTCTCACCATGGCACCACTGATCGTAGTGAGTAACAGTGACAGCGGCAATGACAACTCTTGCGCTTTCAGAGAGAGCTGACGTGGTGCGCTTGTCTCACAGCACCACCTCAACAATTCGCGATCCCAGCGCATTCTGTGGCTTCTGGAGGAGCTCAATGTCAACTACGAGATCAAACACTACAAGCGCGGACCCGATAGGCGAGCCCCAAAGTCTTTGCGAGATGTTCACCCGCTTGGCAAGAGCCCCTTGATTACTACAGAGGAAGGCAGGGTCATCGCTGAGAGTGGCACCATCTGTGGTGAGTGATGGGAAAGGGAATGTTAAGCGAACCATTCTCTCACGGCCGGCCTATCTCTTTGACCCTACCTCACTTCTAGAATACATCATCAAACGATATGCACCTTCCCCAGAGGCCTATCGTTCTTCGTTGAAGGAGGGATGGATTGACGACTCCTACTGGTCGCAATTCGCTGAGGCTTCGTTCATGCCGGCAGCAGTCATGAAGCTGGTATTCACCATTGTTCCTACACAGTCGCCCTTCTTGGTCCGTCCGCTAGTCTCTGCTATTTGCAATGGTGTGATCACTGGGTTCGTTGATCCAGGTGAGTGCGCAAGAGGACTATGGTAGCTCGCGCGCAGTGCCTGCTGATTGCTGACGCAGGTCATGACACCACTTCTCACAGAGCTTGCTAAACTCTTGAGCTTCGCATCGGGGGAATTGAAGGCAAAGGGCGGTCAATGGTTCGCAGGCGGGGACGCAGAAGGCAATCCAGTGAGCAAGGTGTACATCAATGCACGAAAAGGGCTCAACGATCGCTGACAACGTTCTTTCTCACCCACTTGGTTGTTGTCTAGACTCTGTAAGTGCAGCCACCAATGTGGATTCGCCATGATTGCGGACCGTTCCTGACCACTCTCCACTTCGTGCGCTCCTCTACGTCTTGCAGCGCCGACTTTCAAATGTTGTTCCCCGTCGAAGCAGCCGTGTACGGTGGCCGCATGCCTGCCTCATTCAGTTTCGAAGGGGATGGACGAGTCGTCAAGGAATGGATCGAGAAGGTGCACGCGAGGTGAGTCAAGCTGCTGAGCGAATATCAGCTGGCCACTGCAAGACCTCGATGAGCCTGCGGGACACCCGCTGATCCACAATTCGCTGACTCTCTGCGTTCCATGTAGACCTGCATACAAGCGAGCGCTCGAAAAAGGAGGACCCTACGATTATGCCTGATAGGCGGGGATGGTGATGACCCTTGCGGGTCGAAGGGGTCGAGGAGAAGTCTCAGGCAGTGTAGGACGCTCAGCGCCTTCTTGGCCCGCTCTTCCTCTCCCAGTGTCGGCCAAGGAAGAGATTCCGCCGGAAGCAATTGAAGTGTACTTGGTGTGGAAATGCATTATACATATGAGTCGGACAATGTCGACTCGCTATTCTCCTTTCTGCCCTTCCTTTTCCCTCCTTTCCTTCTCCTTGCCTTTTTCGAATCTCCTTCTCTCCACCCACATGCAGAACGGCAAGAAGACGAGGTTGACTCCTGACCATGCAAAGAGCACACCAAAGTATTGGCCTAGGAAGTGATTGGGCAGAATACCGTAGAGAATGATCTTGGTGGCCTGCACATTCTGGTAGAACGGGAATGCATAGCCCCAGCGGTAGAATGGCTGCATGATGTCTATCGGTAGGAAGGATGCCGTGAGATTGGTGATGATCCTGTTTGCAAAGGAGGGGTGTGAAGATGGCCACCAATACGTTAGCGCGAGTCCGATCGTTGTGTCCCATCCATTGCGCTACACCTCTTGAGAACTCACCAGAAGATCAAAAAGAAGGGGAAGAACTTGATGGTTACCAAGGAGATCATAGACTCCATAGCGAGCCCAAGAGCACTGAAGGAGGGGCATTACGGACGGAGCGATGAAAGCAGTGAGTCGACGTCAGTGTCGAATTTTTCGCCTGTACTGCACTGAGAAAATTACTCACAACAAAGTGACAAAGTTGAGCGCCCAAAAGACGACGAATCCAGCTCGGCCTACGTGGTCGTAGAGAGGCTCCTGGAAGGCTGCGTTGAGGCATGTGTACCACAGCGATAGGAAGAAGTACATAACAGTCACAGCGAGCAGTCTCAGCTTGATGAGAGACAAGAGCTTCAGTCGATTGTTGAGCCCCGAGAACATTCGGCCAAAGAAGGTCACCAGCGCAAAGTGGAACGTGAAAATCGTCTGCGGCGGGGACAAAGAAATGCAAGTGAGCGGTAGGATACTTCACCCTCGCAACGGTCCGTTGTAGCGTACTCACCACGTAGATGAGTCCAGCCTCCATGGGTGCGGCACTAGCCCACGCAGTAATGGGACTGACGTCGTACTGAAAGAAACTAAAAGCCGTACCTAGGGCAGCTGGTGCAGCGGTGGTCACTGCCGCTGCGTTGGTGTTGCCACACAAGAACTGGGCAGTGGCAGCCTGTGAAGCAGCGTAGACGCCGTCGTGGACATTTTCAGAGAGCAGCGAAGACAGGAAGAGCAAGACGATTTGGTAGAAGCGAGCACCGGCAAAGTAGATTCCGACCGAGCCGGTCGGGTCGTAAGTGGTGACGCCGTTTTGTACGGCGTCCGTCCAGGCAGTGGTAGCGTTGCCAAAGATTACGACTGCTCCCCAGGGACCCGAGTGTCTGACAGCCTCCATGACCTGCTCGTATCCGCCGGGGTACTTAGTCGTGGGGTCGACGATTTCATACGTCAGGTGAGGCCCAGACGCCGCGGTAATGGAAGCCAGGATGGCCGAAACTCGTGGGCCGACGAGTGCTGAGGATCCCGAGGCAATCGAATCGAAGTCGACGACGTCAATGTGCAGACGCGGAAAGTAATACTCTTGAAGCAGCGTCGATCCCCAGAAGATTGGCAAGACACACCTAGAGGACAGGGTTAAGCCCAATGGCTCGCATCAGCGACTGAATCGCTCTGCCACCTTCAAGAAAGACGCCTCACTCACCATAGGATGATCGTCGTCAGCGCAAAGAAGAAGAGGAGTGGCTTCAGGAAAGCTTTCCGTTCGGATGCGATCTGCTTGTCGAAGATGGAAAAGTATCGTTGTTCCTCGGGAATAATGGGAAGATCGTTCCGAGCGTCACCCTCTGCATTGCTGGAAGACGACGCCTCTTCTTTGCCATTGTAAGGTGTTGACTTCTGCGGCCCACCTCCTTGGCTCAAGGGAGCGGCTGCACCAACATCCGAATGGTCTCGCTGCACCTCGGCGTGCACGGGCGCAGTGTTGTGATCGCTGTCCGTCGAAGTATGGGAGGGGGAAGACGTGGTGGCCGCGCTAGCCATGGCGAAGGAGTATACGGTTGCGAGTGTGGATACGACTGTCCAAAGCGTGCGTACAAGGTCAACGAGGTGCTGTGGAGACGAGGGGGGATGCGTTTCCTCTCTCGCCCCCCCAGCAGTCGTCGTGAGGCCGGCCGCCGGGGAAATTACGGCCGAAGTCCCATTCCGGCGATTTGGTAAAATTTCCCCAGCCAGGGTCCAAATGCCGCCGCGGATGACGTCGGCGAGCGGCTGGGCCCGTGCCGGTGGAAGGGGAGCGGCGGGCCAACCAACGGACTTAGTCTCTACTCACCCGAATTCTCAAGGGCTAGCGATGATGACCTTTCCATCGGTCACTTCACGCTCCTCTTGTCCTCTACAACAACTTCGAGTCGTGTCACATCAGGCTGGTCATCATGGCTAGCTCACAGTATCTGTCGTATTCAGACCCGGCACTGGCACAGGCCCGCAAAACCCACCTTAAATTCTTCTGCATCGCTTTTGCAGCCATCACGGTCCTGTCCCTTGGTCTCAATGCAGTCTATTGGGGCTCCTACTTTCGACAGGAGGAAAACGCTTACCGCCTAACGGTCCGTCTGATCGATCTCGATAGTCAGGCGTATGGCAACGGCGGTGGTGCTGTTTTGGGACCTGCCGTGATTCAGGCGAGTCAGCAGAATATCGCAGCCAATCCACATTACCACCTCGGATGGCAGATTGAGGAGAACCTCGAACGATTCAGCCTGGCAGCAACCGGCGCGCCTGCCAATGTCAGCACAAGGGGTATCGATCCCGATCAGTACGCCCGAGACCTCGTCAACAATCAAGAGTGAGTATCACTCCCGGCCGTCCTGACCTCCTTCCGCTCTTAGTGGCACGGAGGGTCAGATGTGACTCGAGATGCTCTCGCTGACTGTCCGCCATATCCGATCGTCTCCTACAGTGTGTTTGGTGTTGTTCTGATCCGTGCTAACGCGACTTCCGCGGCAATTGCAGCGTACGAGCAAGGGCTGACAGACTATGAGCCTCAAGGCGCAATGGCCTTCTATTACGAACAGGCGCGTAATTTCTATACCGAGGAGTGAGTGTCATATTGACGTCAAGAAGTTTTTGTATCGAGAAGACGATTGCTGACCATCCATTGTATCATCACAAACACAGCCAATATGTCTCCTTCCATACCACCCGCCTTCTGTCTGCGGCAATAGGTCAAGCTACTCAGCAGCTCACAGCTCGGACTCTCGGCACCGCTGCCGCGGCGGCAGGAGGCTTCGACTTCACCGGTCTCTGTCCCAATGGTGGAGCTACGGTGCCTGCGCTGGGCGCAGCGACGACGACGTCGGCTATCCCCATCAACTCGCCATTTTGGTACTCTACCTACAACCTGCATCCCTTTGACCAATTCGCAGCTACTGCGTGTACTACTGCCGGCGCCATCTATCTGATCATCTTCACCTTCTTCAGTGAGTAGGCGTTGTGCAAGACCCTCTTTCATGGAAGGCTATGCACGTATGGGCAGGGCATCTGACTGACAATTGCCCATTCTGCTTTACTTCTCGCGTCATGTTATTCTTCGCAGTTGGTCTGTTCTTCAAAAACACCTTCGACGGGCTGCATCCCAAGCTCACTGTTGCTTCCGAGGTCCTGATGAGGATCATGGTGCCCATGGCTGGTTACTTCTGGATTTCGTTGATGTATAGCCTGGTGTCCTTGGCATTCAAGGTGACCTTCAATCGCTACTATGGACGCGTCGGCTTCTTCATCTACTGGATGCTGAACTGGGTCACACAGATGGGACTGGGCTACACCATGGAGTTCGTCCTGTTGGCCTTTGGGCCTCTAATCTTCCCCTTCTTCCTTCTGGTATGGGTCATATTCAACGTGAGTCCAGTCTTCCTTGACTTGGCGGATATCGACCACTTCTGGTCGTACGGCTTTGTGCTTCCGGTCTGGAACAACGTGGACGCGTCCAAGTCCCTCATCTTCGGGACAAAGAATCATCTGGGTCAGGACTTTGGAGTATGCCTCGGCTGGATGTTCTTCTCGATGGCAGGAATCATGGTCATCACTATTCGCCGGAAGGGCAAGGCGATGAACGAGGCAAGCCGCGAACGTAGAGAGATCATCAACCGAGTGCGGCATGGTCAGCTGGAGAAAGTGGGACAGGCTGGCGGGAAGGACGGTAGAGGTGCCGTCTAGACTGGCGGCAGCAACGTCCCTGCGTCGATCTGCGCTGGTAGTCGGCGCACGCCTTGTACCCCCGGCGCTCGTCCTTTGGCGCAGATGCGCCTCTTCATGTCCCTTCGTATCTCTGACAAGTGTGTACTTTAGACCATCCCTCTGTCGCTTGAATGTAAGCCAAGCTTCCCTGTCTTTGGGGATGACACCCAGATCGTCTGTACCAATGACGCTGCCTCTTTCCGCCCTGAGTCCATGCACGCGAGCGGAGCTTGGAGCCCACGCCGAGATTAGAACGGCAATGGACCATCGTGCGGTGAGGCATGTGATTCGCACCTCGTATCTTTGCAGATAGACTCTTTGCCGCTTGCAAGGCCCATCACCTTACTACAATCTCTTCATCCGATAAAGGCTACGCTCCATTGCCAAGCCGCCGGTACCTGTGCCTCTTCGTTCATACGCAGCACGGCAAGCCACGTAGGAAGAAAGAGAGCATTCACAGAGGCATCAAGCACTGCCACCAGCTACGCCAGAAGACGAGGTGAGGCACCTTGATCTAGTGCTCGCCCAGTCCATCCAACAGCCATGGTAAGTGCTCATCACCGGAGACGTGCCAGGATAGTCATGTGCAATCAGATCGTCTGAACTTCTGCCGCTCTCTCCGCCTCTTTCGTGGTCTCAGACGACGACAAAGCACGCTCACATGGATGAGTCGGCCATCCTCGACAAGCCCAACGACCTCTCTACCTCTCCCCCACCTCGGGGCTCACCGATGCCCCCAGCGGCCTCGCTCGGCTCCGTCTCTGCGGGACCCTCTTCCGATGCTCCATCTGTTCACTCTAATGCTACTACAGCAGCCTCAATGGCCTCCCCTTCCTCCTCTTCCGCCCCCAACCAGGTGACGGCTCCTCCCCCAGAGGTGGAAGCTACTCTGTCCAAGCTCACAGCCCACAAGAATGTGACGGGGTGCTTGGTCCTGACGCGGCCAGATGCATTGATCATCCGTGCTGGAGGAAGAGACTTTGAGCCCAGTGGACCTGGTGCTCACGATCGAAGCGAGAGACTGAGGCGGGTGGTGCGAATGGTCAAAAGCGCCGTAGAGGGCTTGGGTGCGAGCGTGGGAGAAGTAGACGAGGGTGTGAGTACCGGAGAAGGTCCCACGCTCACTGAACCGCAAGCAGCTGACGGCGTGTTGCTCTGGTCGGCGATGCCTTTGCCTCTCTTCTCGCCGCGCAGGATGAGTTGAGCTTCCTCAGGATCAGGACGAAGCAGTACGAGATGATGATCTCGCCAAGTGAGTCCTATATGGGCTCGCCAGCCGTCAGGACAGGGGTGGAACGCGTGTTCTGACCATCTGCTCCACCCGATTCTTGCTCTGTACGACAGGCGAAAAGTATCTTCTAGTGGTATTGCAGGATCCGTCCATCACACCATGATTGCAAGAAGAGCGCTCATTACAGTCTATATAGTTCGTTGACGCCGACTGTACAAAGGAGACCGACGATACCCGGCGATCAGGATCAGGATCTTAACAGGCCCTTGTACTTCTCATACCATGACATTTGCTGTCAGACCAGTACCACTGAGCAGCCCAATCAATTGTCTGTGCTTTGTGTTCCTTTGTATTGACTTGCTGCTCGCTGTCCGTCTCCAATGAGCCCCCCCTATGAGGCGATCTTGCGGAGCAAGGTCAGCTGCCGCATAGCCATGTACAGAGGCGCAGGCAGCAGCGCACGCGTCGCGCCCCGCGAGAACAAATTGGCCGAAGTGCGGCGTGTCAGCCTGGGCGGCGGCGGCTCCTCTGCGTCAGGCAAGGACCAACACCTTGACCATCACCACCACCACCATCATCATCTTCTGCATCTGCTCCTGCTCAGCATACTCTCCCACCACGCAGTCACACGTCTCCTCTGCAATCGATTGCTCCCAAGATGGCGCCGTCCATTGACGTCGCGTCATCGTCTAGCTCGTCGGACCTCAACCCTCTGCCGAAGACGATGGCTACGCCCATGAGGAAACGCAAAGTGCCAGGGCATGACGAGGCACCACCGTCCTCCTTCGCCGACACACTCAAGAAGCTCAAGGAAGAGGCTGATGCCGTGGCAGGAGCAGTCGTCGACGAGGAAAGCAAGTGGCCGCGACCAGTCCTGGAGCCCATCATCCCGGAGGAAGATGAGATCACCTTCCAGCAAATCGATTGCGAGGAGCACCAATTCCCTGGCTCAGCGCCCACTGTTCGCATCTACGGTGTCACCAAAGAAGGTCACTCTGTACTGGTCCATGTCAACTCCTTCCTGCCATACTTCTTCATTGCTGCCCCTCGCGGCTTTCGCCCAGCTGACTGCACCGATTTTACCAACCATCTCAATTCCCTCTTCGGATCGTCCTCTGCCAACGCCGCGAGGGCAGTAGAAGCCACCGAGATGGTAGCTCGCAAGTCACTCATGGAGTACAGGGGCGATGAAGACGTTGCCTTTGTCAAGATCACATGTGGGGAGATTAGGGCACTGCAGAGGATCAGGGGGTCCATGGAGCGAGGCGAGGTCTCCTTCCGGGACATGATGAGCGCAGGAGACAGCGTCTTGACGTACGAGAACATCGCCTACACTCTGCGATTCATGATCGATCACAAGATTGTTGGGATGAACTGGCTGACGCTCAAGGCAAATCAATATCATCTTCGAGAGGACTCACGCAAGCTTTCCCTTTGTCAAATCGAGGCAGATTGCCCCGCAGAGGCGATCATCTCCCACGCGCCTGAAGGCGAATGGTCAGATGTAGCTCCTCTTCGAATCCTGTCATTCGACATTGAATGTGCTGGCAGGAAAGGTATCTTTCCCGATGCCACAATTGATCCAGTCATTCAGATTGGGTGCATGGTGACCAGACAAGGAGAATCAACGCCCTTTGTCAGGACCATCTTCACACTCAACACCTGTGCCACCATCGTCGGCTCCCATGTGCAGTCCTTCGATTCGGAAACCAAGATGCTAGAGTCTTGGGCAGACTTCGTGAGGACCATCGATCCAGACGTAGTCGTGGGCTACAATATCGCCAACTTCGATTTCCCTTACCTCCTCGACAGAGCCAAGACGCTGAAGAGTGCCAAATTCCCCTATCTGGGCAGAGAAAGAGGCACTCGAACAGAGGCAAAAGATACCCACTTCTCTTCGAAGGCGTACGGTACCCGTGACTCCAAGAACACCGAATTGCAAGGCCGACTGCAGCTCGATATGCTGCAAGTGATGCAACGAGATCACAAATTGCGAAGCTACTCACTCAATAGCGTCTCTTTCGAGTTCCTTGGGGAACAGAAGGAGGATGTGCATCACTCGCTGATCACTGAGCTCCAGAACGGTGGACCCGAGTCGCGAAGGAGACTGGCTGTGTATTGTCTCAAAGATGCCTACCTTCCCCAACGCTTGATGGACAAGCTTATGTGCTTCATCAACTACGTAGAGATGGCTAGGGTCACGGGCGTCCCGTTCAACTACCTGCTCTCACGCGGGCAGCAGATCAAGGTCATCTCCCAGCTCTTCCGCAAGGCGATGGAGGACGGCTATCTGGTACCGTCCATGAAGAGTGAAGGTTCAGACGAGGCTTACGAAGGAGCCACGGTGCTGGAGCCTCAGGCTGGCTACTATGACAAGCCCGTGGCGACGCTGGATTTCGCCTCTCTGTATCCTTCGATCATGATGGCTCACAATCTCTGCTACACCACGTTGCTGCAAAAGACCACAATCGATAGACTCGGGCTCAAGAAGGACGTAGACTACGTCCTCACGCCCAACAACAACTACTTTGTCAAGGCTGAGAAGCGCAAAGGTCTGCTGCCGACCGTTCTCGAGGACTTGCTCAGCGCCCGTAAAAGAGCTAAAGCTGATTTGAAGAAGGAGACGGATCCCTTCAAGAGAGCCGTGCTTGATGGTCGTCAGTTGGCTCTGAAAATCTCAGCCAACTCCGTATATGGTTTCACGGGAGCCACCATCGGAAAGCTGCCCTGTCTAGAGATCTCAATGTCAGTCACAGCCTATGGTCGACAGATGATCGAATCTACAAAGGCTCACGTGGAAGCGCGCTACACCATCGCCAATGGATACGAGCACGACGCGGAGGTCATTTACGGAGATACGGACTCTGTGATGGTCAAGTTCGGTGTCAGCGACCTGAAGAGGTGTATGGATCTGGGAGCCGAGGCCGCTGGAGAGGTCAGCAAGACCTTCATCAAACCCATCAAGCTCGAGTTCGAGAAGGTCTACTACCCGTATCTGCTCATCAGCAAGAAACGATATGCTGGTCTGTACTGGACCAGGCCTGACCGCTACGACAAGATGGACACCAAGGGTATTGAGACTGTCCGACGAGACAATTGCCGTCTGGTGCAGAGTGTCATTGACACGAGTCTCCGTAAGATGCTCATTGACCGGGACGTGGTGGGTGCAGAAGAGTACGTCAAGCGGGTGATCCAAGATCTTCTGCAGAACAAAGTGGACATGTCGCAGCTTGTCATTACAAAAGCTCTTTCGAAAGCTGATTATGCGGGCAAACAAGCTCACGTAGAATTGGCAGAGAGGATGCGCAAGAGAGATGCTGGTAGTGCACCGGCCCTAGGTGATCGAGTGGCCTATGTCATCATCAAGGGCGCTAAAGGAGCTGCCGCCTACGAGAAGTCCGAAGACCCCCTGTTCGTACTGGAGAACAACATTCCGATCGACACAAGGTACTATCTGGAGAATCAGCTGAGCAAGCCGCTGATGAGGATCTTTGAGCCGATCATGGGTTCTCGCTCCAGCTCTTTGCTCAATGGAGATCATACTCGCTCCGTTGTTCAGGCCTCGTCATCCGTAGGCTCGCTGATGAAGTTTGCTGTCAAGACGGCGCAATGTCTGGGCTGCCGAACGCCGCTGAAGGATCCGATGTCGGCGGTGTGTCCGAATTGCAAGCCTCGGCTGAGCGAGATCTACTATGGCAAGCTGAGCCAAGCCTCAGCGTTTGAAGTCGAATTCGCACGCCTTTGGGTTTGCTGCCAACGATGTCAGAGCTCGCTGGCTAGCGATGTCATTTGCACGAACAAGGACTGCCCGATCTTCTTTAAGAGGAAGAGGGCGCAGAAGGATGTGGAAGACGCGGTCAAGCAGTTGAGCCGTTTTGACACGACATGGTAGGGAAGGAGGTCGCCAAGTTGTAGCGGTAGGCGCAGAGGTTTGCAGAGCAGAAATGATTGCGGTATCCTTCCTCGCCTTCTCGTTCGAGATCAGTCTGTATCCTCTCAAACGCCAAGAACTCTCAAGCTACCGTCTACCAGTTCTGCGTGGGTGTGTGCTTGAGTGCCCTGCTTTACTTTTCTTGTGCTTCCGATCCGATGATTTTCGGAAAGGGTCGAGGCCAAATTCTGGGGTGCATTGCAATGGCGAAGCGAGGCTTCTTGTACTGTACTAATCACACCTACCGCAATCGCAGCATCATCTATCCAGCATCTTCTCGCCTCATAGGGAGACCTAAACCGTCATCTTGCGCTGCTCTACCATTAGAGCCACCACCGCCATCCTCTGGCGCCACGATCCGAAACGCGCCTCCTAGACCACTTTCTATCCTCTCCGGGCCGGGCTCTCGTCATTCTTCCACCCCCGCTTTGACCTCCTTCCCTCCTTGTACACTTGACTTTTAACATTTGCCTCTTCCCAATGATGGACGAGTAGATCTGTTATCTAACAGCCAAGCCCGGGCATCAAGCTCCTCATATCGGATCAGCCATCGCCGCCGCTGCCGAGGGCCGCCGAAGAAGAGCCTGTGTTCCGAAGATGGGCGAGGAGGGCCCCGACTCTCTCCCCTCTGCCTTGGCCCAGACTCTGCGCCTCGATTCCTATGGAGATGCAATCCAGAGAGCCTATGAGACGGAGAAAGAACACGAGAGTCAGATCGGGAGACCGCTAAAGGTATGTTGGTGGCTCAAGAAGATGAGCGCCACCTTACCTCGCCATGCTGACCCAAGTTCGTTTTCGCAGCCGCTTCCTTCAACTCACCATGCCACCTTTGGCAACAATTCCGCCCGGACGGTGTCATCCCATAGTAGTGATAGTGGTGGAGGTGCCGCTTCCCTTGCAGACGAAGGCGAAGGAGGTCGTGAAGCCGAATGGGAAACCAAGACGACGGCCCCCACCTCGCCGGCCCCGTCTTCGCCCCCAAGTGTTTCCATGCCGAGGTGTCAACCTCTCCACCAAGGAATGCCCAGGCCACTCTCAGAGACCTCTGAAACTTCTAGAGAGAAGGAGCTGTTTCGTTTCGCCCGAGGCCATGGCGACTACCTCAGTGCAAGGAGGACTTCTCCTGCAGCCGTCTCGCAGAGAGACTTGAGAATGCTTCTACCGTACTGGCCAAGGCAAGGAGTCTCTCAGGAAGTGGCTCTCCTCAACGCTAGTGGAGAAGCCGGAACCTCTCACTTGAGTGACATGGAGGCACAGGCTCGCCTTTTTGCGCAAGAGAGGAGCTCAACGCGAAGCCCTCGTCCATCCTTCTCTTCCGCGGCAAAGAGCCATCAACACTCTTCCAGGCACGGCGACAGGTCGGGAAAATCTGCCGTTGATGAGGTCGACGAGATAGTCGAGTTCCATAGCGCTGTTAGTCCTCCCGCCAACCATAAGAAGTGGAAGAGCTCACGAAGCGCCTTGGAAGATCCTCATTACTTCGGAGGGTCCGGAATGCCCGACGTCACAGCTTCCTCTGGGCACGCACCAGACTCTCTCTACGATGATGGTCATCCAACGAGACTTGCTGCAGAGCCAGGGGCATGGCCAGCTGATGGGTCTGCAGACAAGCACGATGACGATGGCATTGAGCGCCCTGATGTCAGCTCCGCCTCCTTCAGAGCCTCGAGGCTCGTGGACGAGATCTACCCCACCAGTGCATCACAAGACGATGATCACGAACAAGACTGGCCGACACATGAGGGACGATGCGACCACCATCGTCGTGGTTCGTCTTGGTCACATCGCGGACGGCGGCGGCTGCGCTCGGAGGTCAAGCTGCGACTCAGCATACGTAGAGCTCAGAACGAATTCTGGTCCGATTTAGCTCTACTCGAGGCAGAGCAAGAGGAAGAGGAGCGACTGACAAAAGAGAAGCTGGCAATTGAGGCAGCCTCGGCGAAAGCTGCCGCTACCGAGGCAGATAAGAAGCGCCGAGAACGGACGTCCAGAGCGGAGAAGAGGGTACAGGCTCTTAAAGGAGGCAAGAACTCAGGCGCTGGGGGAGCTGGAAAGAAGCTGACTCTGGCAGATCTTCGCGCCAGGACAGCGGCAGCCTTCCAAGGTGGCGGCACTGCAAATGACAGTTCCAGTACCGCACCTGTTCCGCCACCTGTTCAAGTGCCATCTGGGTCCCCTCCTGGTCTCGGACTGTCACAGCAAGACACTTCGCCCCCAAGGTCAATGTCGACAGCAGCAAAGTCAGTTTGCTATGAAAGGTCCCTACAGACTTGCGAAGCTCCCTCTGGTCCCTTTCTCTTCCGATGCGATTCATCGACGACACGTGAGCTAGCGGCTGCTCGGCTCAAGCTTCAAGCTGTGCTGTCCAAGCCTTTCGACGACGTTGCCGAAGACCTTGACCTACCGTGCCTCACACAAGAGACGCGGGCCACTTGGGACAAAGGAGTGGCTGACAGGCAGTGCGTGATGATCAAAGCAAAAGCACCGATGGTATGGCCCGAAGAAGACAGGCCACGTGCCAAATTCACTGCAGGCACTGTCAGCAGTGCCATTCTGCAAAGAATGGGACAAAAGGTACCTGAGAATTGCAACCGTGCCAAGGACTTCATATTCAGCCCTTGGGACGATCTATCGAGTCCTACTGCGAGGGGCGACAAGGCACGAGATGCGTCTCCCCATGGCGACATCCGCGCAGGGAGCATTGACCCGGAGCGCGAGGGCAAACGAATCGTCTCAAAGGCAAAGGCAGGGCCGCCCGCGATGACGAGCGACACGACGTTTGCTGGTACGCGCCAGCGTAGCGCGCAACGCGGCGATATGTCAGGTTGTTCTCAATCAAAGGCCACTCAACCTTGTCCCCCCACATCTCCCTCCTTGCCCTCTGAGGTCTTCCTCCCCTTTCACGATCAACACTCTGCTTCATCTGCTCCATCGCCATCAACGACAACATCCCCTCAGCCGCCCAAGACGTCGCCGAGGATGTCGCGTCGCAAGAAGGCCAACATGAACAATATCCACCATCAGCTCAATTCTGCTCGCTGGACCACATCGCCTCCCACTGCCACCGCTTCTGCTCAGCAAAGTGGTGCATACATGGACTCACATCAAGAGGGCACCTCTACTCAAGGCAGATCCCTTACTTCGTCGGCGCTCTTCCCGGACGAGTACATCTGCCTCTTCTGCGAGTATGCCCTGTTCTATGGCACCAAACCCCTGTTGCTCAAAGCCTGTCGTCATCGCAAGAAAACAGTCAAGTGCAAAGCACAAGCAGAGGACAAGAAGAAGAGGCGAGAGGGCAAGGTGGCTGGCACTGTTTCCGGCCATAATACAGGAAACCACCATCATGATCATACTTGCACTCAGTGTGGGTGTGATATACCGCATCAAGCAACCAGGAGCAGTGGCAAGGAAGCTGCTTCTCATTCTTCACATCATCAGCTCGGGTCTCCTCCGGACAAAACGGCGAGGACCTCTGGATCTGCTACGTCTCCTCACCCAGCCGAGCTTGCGGAATCGTCTGCAAGCTCCGTTAGAAGCTGAGAGTTGCGCGGTGACATCGCGGCGACATCGAAGATGTAGTCAGAAAGCCGCCCAAGCACCTCGAGAGGTGTCCTATGAGACATCTATACCATTGCATCGCAGCAAGGGGGAGTCGCGGTTCCCACCTTGCGCTCGTCTCCTCTCCTTCATCATCGTTCCAGCATGTTCATATCCTCACACTCTCATTGCTCTCCATGTGCTCATATCATTAACGCCCAACATCATCCATCAATCAATGCTCGTGACAGTGTCATATACGCTCTGAGTGTTCATGTCTCCCTCTTCCGCCTCTCCTTGATGTTCATCCCGTCCCGCTGCAGTCCTCTTGAATCTTGCTCGCCGCCCTTTTTCATCTGCCCACTCTGCTCTTTCGCGCCCTTTCCTTCTTCCTGCTGTTTCCTCTTCTTCTCAATCTCCTCGCGCCGCCACTCCCTCCAAGCGCTATGAATTCTCTCTTCTTCCTGCTTCTCGAACTCTTCCTCTGTCATGCGAGGGGCAGCACCCCCTCGAGCTCCTGTGCCTGCAGCATTACCAGAGTCCTTGAAGGAGTCGACGTATCGCTCCTGCACGTCTTCTGCTGATCCCCAGCCTAGGGGCGCGCCCGAGTCGAGGGTGGTGAAGAGGGAGAGGGCAGAGGCGGCTGATCCGGAGGGCTGAGTGTGCATAAGAGATGAAGAGGATAAGAGTGTGAGTCGAAGCTTCGCCAGAGGGGGAGATGGTAACCTTTGTGCTCACCTTGTTGCCATCAAGATACCGTTCCTCAAGGGCAGCCCGCATCTGACTGGGCATCTGCTCTTCTTCACCATCATCGTCGTCGTCCTCCTCACCCCGGGCTCCACCGGCCAAGTCCATCTCTCCGGCGTGTACAAAGACCCATCCTCCGACCTTGTCTACCAGCCTGACCAATCTCCACATGCTCTCCTTGTCCTCGACTGCGAGCGTCTCGAAGCTGACGAGGGAAAAGTCGTCTATGATTTCGAGAATCTTCTCATTGAGCGAGGAGTAGCGGGCGCGATGTAGAAAGGTAGAGTGAGACTCCAAATACGGGGCCAGTTGGGCGGGGGAGGGGTCGGTGTAGAAGTCGAGTGGGAAGGCTGTTCACCGAGCGTGGGGGAAGGGTGGTAAGGCCATCAGCGTAAGTGAAGGATGTGGAGTCTGGGCTGCGTCTGCCTACTCACGCAGCTCTCCGCCTGATGCCTGTCCCAGCAAGTCAACCTTTGTGAGGACGTTGATGTGGGGCAGTTCCAGGCTGAGCATCGCCCTGAGGGAGAGGAGCAAGAGAGACACGTATCTAGAGGGGTCCAAGATATGTGACGAGTCGAGGAGGTGTAGAGCCACGAGCTGAGTAGAGTACAGACAAGTACAGGAGCCAAAGGGATCAGCACGCCCGTCACCCAAGAGACAGATTACTCGCCGCAATCTTGACGATGCTATCTCACCCGAAAGTCTGCCTGTTTCTCCAGTGTCCTGATGATCCTACCCAGACTGGGATGATTTGTGCTGATCTCCACTTGACCAGGCAAATCGAAGACGACGTATGCGTCCTCTCCCAGCTCTTTAAGCCGTGTAAGGAGCCAGTCGATGTTCTCCTCTAGGTATTCGATGCAGTACATCATGGCTCCATTGGGTCCCAGGTCGAGCTCCACCATGACATCTGGTACAGAAATGAGGCTGTTCACATCGATGGCGCAGGGATACGGCAGGTGAGAATTGGCAAAGTCGAGATTGACGATGTGTACATTGGGCCGCTTGAGGGCACCCAGGAATTGCTGCACGCCATTGCTGGGGTCGGTGAGGGAATGAGATACCCGGAGGTGTGAGCTGTCACTCTCACAGTCGTATGCTGTCGTCTAGCTGCCTGCCTCACCAGTACGTCGTCTTGCCAGACCCAGGAGAGCCGACCTAGGAGACACACAAGGGAAAGAGAGACGAGGTGAGTGGAGGCGATATTTCGATGGGATGTCATGGTGCTGCTCCAGCACGCCTCTGCAATGCTCACTACAATCTGACCAAAGGGCATGCTGCGGTGTCTGACTGCGGCAGCGCTGCACCCTCTACTCTACCACCTCTGTCTCGACGAGATCTTGTGCAAGGATTCGTCTGGCAGCATCGACCAGCGAAGCAGTGGTATATATGCGTAGCGGTAGCCGGGGGCCTTCCGAGGTGCAACAGCCATCTGCTCCTCTTTCCGCTTTCCGACTTTTTTCGGCTCCGCGCTCGTCTCCACGGACCAACTTTTAGGGGAAAGGCAGGCGCAGGCAGGCAGTCCTTCCTCTGCAGCAGCGCAAGTGTCACTTGCAACACGATCATCCTACCATCACCCTCACCATCACCATCACCATCACACGACCCCCTCGCCGACTATGCCTACCGTCGCAGTAGACAAGGAGAGGTTCCTCGCCTCTCTCGGCAGGACCTATACCGTAGAAGAGTTCGACGAGCTCTGCTTCCAGTTCGGCATCGAGCTCGACGACGACACCACCGAGGAATGTCAAAAGGCGGGCAACGGGGAACGACCACAGCTCAAGATCGACATTCCGGCCAACAGATACGACCTCCTTTGTCACGAGGGTATTTCGAGAGCATTACGGGTATTCCTTGGGCAGATAGAGCAGCCTCAGATCAAGCTCACACAGCCCAAGGAAATCATTCAGATCAAGGTAGACGCAAAGGTAGACTCCATTAGGCCAGTCATTTTGGGCGCCGTCCTCAGGAACATCACCTTCACACCAGAGAGCTATGCATCCTTCATCGACTTGCAAGACAAGCTGCATCAGAACTTGGGGAGGAGGAGGACACTCGTCTCCATGGGTACCCACGATCTCGACACCATTTCCACCCCCATCTACTATGAAGGACTCGCCCCAGCTGAGGTCAAATTCGCCCCGCTAAATCGCCCTGGTCAGGTCATGGACGGCCCTACACTGATGACCACCCTTGAGGCCGACCGTCATCTGTCTCGCTACCTCTCCATCATCAGGGACTCGCCAGTCTACCCAGTCGTGTTAGATGCCAACAAGACTGTATGCTCCCTTCCCCCCATTATCAACTCAGAACACAGCAAGATCACACTCAAGACCAAGAATGTCTTCATTGACATGACTGGAACAGACGCAACCAGATGTCAGCACGCTCTTTCCGAGCTGGTAAGCATGTTCAGCCAATACTGTGGGGAGGAATACACCGTGGAGCCAGTCGAGGTCATCTACCCTTCCGGCCGAGTCGAGATCACCCCCAATCTAGAAGCAAGGCGGACAACGGCCAGCGTCGAGTACATCAACCGATGCACCGGTCTGGACCTTTCGCCCCAGCGATGTGTCGAGCTGCTGCAGCGCATGGGTCATCAGGCCAATGTTTCTTCGGCCTCGCAAGACACTCTCGAGGTGTCTATCCCCTCTACCCGACCCGATGTCCTGCATCAGTGCGATTTGATGGAAGACGTAGCAGTCGCATACGGTTTTGACAATCTCCCAAGGAGATTCCCCTCGACCAACACAGTGGCCGCACCTCTGCCTATCAACAAGCTGAGCGATCTTGTCAGGAGAGATATCGCATATGCAGGCTGGATTGAAGCATTGAGCTTGATCCTGGTGAGTACAATCGACTCATATTTGCTCGCTATTTCCTGCTAATACTGACCCTTCCTCCAATAACTGCTCCCTAGTGCTCGCATGACGAAGCCTACGCCTACCTCAACCACAAGGATCCCGGAACAGAAGCCATCCTGCTGGCTAACCCCAAATCTGCCGAGTACCAGCTCGTGCGGACATCACTGCTTCCTGGTCTGTTGAAGACGATTCGGGAGAATCGAAAGCACGCTCTGCCTCTGCGGCTCTTCGAAGTTTCTGACGTGGGATTCAAGGACGCAGACGACCTGGAAAGGTGCTCGAGGAACGAGAGGAGGGTCTGTGCTACCTATACCGACAGGGTGGCGCGATTCGAAGTCGTCCATGGACTTCTCGGGCGGATCATGCAGGTCTTGGATGCCAAGTACCTGAGCGGGGGCGAGAGGACAAAGGATGTCAAGGGCTGGTGGATTGAAGAGAGTGATGATCCCACTTTCCTCCCTGGCCGTGCAGCGGTTATCAAGTTCCGCCCAGGGTCTTCAGCAACAGCTGGCCGATCATCACTAGCATCAACAGGTCCCTCAGCCGAGCCCACTCTGCAGGCAGCTGCTGTTTCGGAGGGCGAGAGCGCCGCGACATTGCCCACTCAGGGCGTGTCAGCAGAAGCACAAGGGAGCGGTGTGGCTCAAAAGGAGGACGTGAAACATCTAGGAAAGGACTCGTCTGCATCTGCTTCCTCCTCGATAGGCAAGACTGTCGACCACATCAGTCGCAAGCTAGCTCAAGCACTGTCCCTGAGCGGCGACAGTGACAAGAACAGTGGCGTGCTGACAATTGGCAAATTGGGTGTACTCCACCCGGAGGTACTGAAGAAGTTCGAGCTGGATTGGCCGACTGTCAGTCTGGAGTTTGATCTGGAGGTCTTCCTGTGAAGGGGCTGCTGGTGCAGCAAGGTGGTAAAAAAGTCCTTCATCATGCGACCTACCCTGACAACTCAACTGTGTATGCTATAGTGAGGTGTACCAACCTTTTTAGATGTGCAGCAATGCATCCTTCACCTCGTCGTCGATGCTGTCTCGTCTCTTCGTCTGCGTCTGCGTCTGCCGTTCCGAGGTTGATTGATGAGAGGAAGCCGCCACGCGAGCGTAAGGGGCCGCCTGATTGCGAGGGGCAAAGGCGGAAGGGGCGAGCGGCCACAGGCGGGGAAATCAGTCAGGAGAGCAACACCACCACCACCATCACCATCATTGATCCCTCTTTTGCCGCATATAGTCACCCCTTCATCGCTCTCCTATCGCGCTTTTCCTCGATTGTCCTCTCCCACTGCTGCCTCTTCCATGCTCTGTCTCAGCCATTGACCTGTCTGTCCACCCCCGCTTGTGGCCTCTGTGAGCCTGGTGGCCTCGGTCGCTCACACCACCTCTCGAATCTGGTAGCGTCTGTGGGCCGAGCCTGTCCTCCACCACCATGGCCAACCATTCATCATCATCATCGACTGCTGGTCCGAGCTGGCAGCAGAATCCCAGTTCAGCCGCCTTCGCATCGACGAGCTACACACACAACAACGACCATCGCAACTTCGTTCGCTCCTCGCCGCCTCGCAAAGACGATCCTGCCTATGCTACCCACACACCCCTACGCTCACACAACGACCCACACGCTTCGCAGCCCTTCCAGAGAATCTACCTTGGACCTTCACCCGTGCCCAGTAGCCAGGCGGCAGAGGTCGCCCGGGCTATCAAGGAGGACGCAGAGGTCAAGGAGCCAATCGGATTCGCCATTGCTGGTAGGAAGGGCTTCGTCTGGGTCAAGCCTCCGCCAGAAGACAGTGAGAGCGAGGTTGAAGTACCCAGGGGCAAAGCTCGACCACCGCCTCTTGATGCTGCTGCGCTTGGGGGTGTAAAAGTCCCTCGCAAGGCCAGATCCTTCTCGTCAGCATTCGGGGCGGGGGCGTCTCTCAGCCCACTGCCCAAGATCAAGGGTCTCAGGCGACATGCATCACAGGCGAGCACCACGTCCTTTGCTTCGGCTCAGTCTTCCTTTCCTGCATTTGCTCCGACTCCCACAGCGATGGATCCAATTCTCATGAATGGGATACGCAGGACGGGTTCAGAGGGTGGGAAGACTGTTCCACTTCGGAGGGACTTGTCCGCCATGGGCCGGCTGGAAGGTAGGAGAGAGGCTCTAGGTGATCAAACCTCACCGCGTTCTAAACCACGCCAGCTCTCTTTCAACGTTCGAGATTATGCTGAGGACATGAGGAGGGGTGGATCAGAAGGGGGCTCGACGGGAGTTAGAGGAGGGTACCCGCCTGCCCTCAGTATCAACACCTACGACACCTCAAAGACTCTGTCGGGGTCCTATGACACGGCTCAACAGCGATCTGCTACTTCTGGCGAACTCACTAGCGCGGGGACAGCTGTATCAGGTCACGACGCTATTGATTGGTCAACCGACGAGGATGAAGAAGGCGGGGCAGCGCCTTCCAGAACGGGTGCTGACTCTACGCCTGCCAGGAATAGGGGTCGGCAGCAGACCCAGAGATCACCAGGTACGAACCAGCCCACCAAGGGGTCAGTCTTCGGGTCTCCCGAAACGAAGCAGTCGCGCACGCCTCGCCCGGCACCCAGTACCCACTTTGACACTGCCGAGCTGGAGCGTACTCGGCAGGCTTCAAACCTCGCTTCGGGTCCCAGCACTCGGGTTCACTCGCGAGCTCAGACTCGTAGTAGACAAAGACATGGTCGAGACGTCTCTCGTCAATCTCGTCTTAGCATGTTCTCTTCCAATACCCTCGACTCCGTCGGTACCCGGCTCACCGAGGGTGCCTTCGGCGCCTCGGGCGGATTTCGAGCTAGAATCATGAGGGCCTTCAAGCCTGCTCTTCACAAGCATGAGACCCCTTCCTCGCGACATCGCCATCACCACGCGAGCGCAGATGGCGAAAGTCACACTCGTCACTGGAAAGCGGGCGTTGCGCCTGGCAAGGTGGGGACCAGCGCGGGGGGCACCAAGTGGGTTGGGCAAAGCTACCACATTGGAGCTAGATTCTGGGAAGTTCTAGAATCCGCCAGGGGCGAGAATGAGAGGCGCGCCAGCGTCGCTGCCGATGCGAGTCGAGACGAGGTGATCCCTGAGGAGCCGGAGCCGCCGCCGGAACGGTCAAGCAGGCGAGATAAGCAGAAGAGCTCCTCGGGCAGTACTTCTGGCAAGCAAATGTCTCTCAGTCCTGCTGCCGTGCTCACGGCATTTGCTCGGGACGCCGAGGGGGCACAAGAAGAGAGACGAGAGACGGACAGAGTGGGTAGGTCCTCGCGTCCCGTCCTCCCAGTTCAGACATCTCTCCTACCGAATGGCGAAGGACAAATTGTCGCGTCGCCTGTAGAGGCTCGCTCGCCGATTAATGGCAATGCCAAGTTGCCTACAAACAGGCCTCGTCTAGGCAGCAAGCCCTCAATAGCCTCCATGGCTCCCGAGGCACTCGAGGGTACCGATGCGCAGATCGAAGCCAGGACCGGGTGGGCGGACATTGTCTCGCTTATGTCGACGGCGCAACGTCGCTCGGGACCACCTTCGCAGCCACATTCAAAAGCTGCTACTGTAGCTGCTGCTTCCGGTCAGCAGAATGGTACAACCCACCCCGGCCAAGAAGGAGATAATGCAGGCAAGCTAAAAGATCCCGATACCTCAAAAGGATCGCCTGTCTCGAGCTGGCGGGCCCCACCGATGTTCAGATCAGACACGTCAAAGTCATCGCAGAGCGGCAGATCCATCTTCTACACACCCCTGGCCACTCCGGGTGCGGCCTCGGCGAGGAATCCGAGTCCAGAAAGAAGAAGGGAAGCGAAAGGGAGGGATTATTTTGCGAGTCAGAAAGCATTGCTGGACAAGCAGGCCGCAGAGGCGCGTCAGACGGAGGAGAGGGAAGCGGAGAAGCGACGAACAGGGGAGGAGGAGCAAGTTGAGCAGACTACGGGAGACGATGGAGCGGAAGAACCACCGCTTCGACGCCTCACTCTCAGCGAGGTGCTCACACACCCTGAGCCTCCTCTAGCTGCCGATGAGAAGTTTCCAGAGGCTGTACACGAGCTCCTGCGCAGGGCCTCTAATGGGGGACTGTCTCCGCACAATGTCACCTCAGATGCTGCCAGTGACCACATGGTCGCTGCAAGACCGACGACTCCTCTGGCCAAAGTCACTGAGCTGCCTCACATCGCCAGCCCAGGCAAGCTCTCTAATTTGAGCTCTCCACCTTCTGCCTCGCCTCGCTACCTCGGAGAAGGCGGAACGGTCGATCGGATGAACTCTCTGACCACTAGTGAGACGCCACTCCTCAAAAACAAGGCGTCGAACAACAGCGTCGTCATCCATGACATACCTGAGCAGCGGAACGGTGTCGCTCGTAACGGGTCTGAGAAGAAGAAGACGCCCGCTCGCAAGAAGACGGTCAAGTTTGACAAGGGAGACGGCATCAATAGACCTTTGATGATTGGACGCAGTCTCTCGGCGTCTTTGCTGCCCTCTGCTTCGGCTGGGAAGAAAAACGGTGGCCTGACACCACCGGCCGGAACACTGAGTCCGTCTGGTGACGGATTGCCCGTGCCGGCTGAGGTCGTCTTGTCTCGTTCTCACTCCACTTCTCGCACCTCTCCTGCGTCGGAGATGGGCGAAGACGCTTCTGTTGCGTCAGAGGAGGAGTTCATCACTCGTCGCTCTATCCTGCGGCGAGATCGAATGCTCGTCAGGAACGATTGGACGCCCTCCGAGACGGTTCCACAAGACGTAGACGAAATGTCAATTCGCGGCCTCGTTGTCCACCCTGGCATCTGGCGACAGTATGTAGTCGTCCTTCGTCCCAGGCGTCTCGAGCTATGGTCCGACCCCACCACGGCCAGTAAGCTGCTGGGTCATAAGACTCGACTGCACCTCGCCTTTGTCGTTCCTCTCATCAAGGGGTCAACGCACCTCTCGGTGTTTTCGCAATCAGACCGCCTCTTCTGCCTTACCTATGCGCAGAGCATCGCCGCCACGCACGTTTCGGGTGGCGGGCAGTACAAGGTATTAAATCTGCGGAAGTCTGGTACGAACATCCTCCTCTTTGATGCTCGATCTTTGTCGGTCAGTGCTGACTGGATCTGGGACATCTGGAGAGAGGTGGGAGGTACGATCCCGGAGGCCCTCGAGGTCCATTTGCCCATGCTTGACTTCAAGATCAAGTTCCCCATTCCTGACGAGATGCCTTGCGTCGATCCTGACCAAGATGATGAAGTTCTCCTCAATGGCAGTAAAGCTCTCGCTTTGCGTCCGCCCATCGAGGGAGATCAGGCACGAGCGCGCCGACTCAACGGCGGCGGTGAAGGCTTCATGATGATGAGTCGACATCGCATCATCTCTCAAATCCTCAATATCATGCACCAACAGCATGAATGGGAGCAGCCACTTCGCACGGCGCTCGAGCGGGGTCTGAAGTTCGAATTGGCCTGGCGAAGAGGATCCAGTCTGGACTGGATAATCAATGACGAGACGCTAGATGGCAATGCTCGCTTCTGGTCGGTGATCTGTGGTTCGATCCTCAAAGAAGCCAGGAAGCCTGCCATCCTCGAGTTCAGGGCTGCAGATCACTATCCGTCTGCCGTTCTTCTGCCGAATGGCGAGAAGCTCGTTGAGCCCCCGAGTATCGAGGGCTATGTCTGGCGAGTCAAGCCAGTCTCGGGCACGCTGACGAGGATGTACCTCACGACGCATTCATCGCACTGCTTTGTCAGTCGACCGAGTCGAGCGTACGGCCCCGAGCGACATCTTGCCTTCGGCAACGACGCTGCGAATTTAGGAGAGGACGATACGCTGCCCGTGCCTCCATCCCGAGTCAGCACGGCTATGGACAGTCTATCCAGGAGCGCGAGTCAGCAGGGACGACGGGCCAACACGAGAAGCGAGTCGATGACTGTCCCGAAGCACAAGATCCTCGAAGACATCGACACGATTGCTGACACTCCAGAGGCGCTGCAAGACCAAGTCGATGCCTTCAGAGCCTTTGAGAAGCGACGCCAGCTGAACCAAATTTCGCAGTCTGATGGCTACATTGACCTCAAGGACATCATGCTTATCCGATATCTGGGACGCAACGAAGACGAAGTCGAAGTCAAGAAGCCAGACATTGAGAAGCCGATCAAGATGCCCATGCCGACGGCGATACCCGAGGAGCACGTACCGAATGAAGAAGGTGAAGATCTGGAGGAGATAGACATCGGAGGTGAGGAGGGTCTGAATCGAGCCGCTGACCGCAACGCTCAGCGCCGAGGACGCCAATTCGAAGTGGTCATGTCCAACGGTCGGATGACCCGCTTCGAAGCCTACTCCAAGTCAGTCGCCAAGGAATGGGTGGCTCGCGTCCACGATCTGTCCGTCTACTGGAAGCGAAGAGAGAAGGTAGACGCCCTCGAGCTGATGGAGGCGAGCGGGTACGATCGCAACTTGATTCGGAAGAGGATGAACGAAGGTCACTCCCTCGACCGCATCATGCACTCCATCACCGACGGCAACATCAACACTGGCCTTCTCGGCACCATTTGGAATTGGTGTGCGGTCCTTGGCTGTCGGGGCATCATCCGTTGTGGTCAGCTCTTCACCAAGCCCCGCGCATTCGCCCCCTACCAATCGCGGTATTACATCCTCATCGCCGGAAGACTGCTGCGCTACAAGCTCCTGGTCTCAACGCGCACGGCGCGATCGAGACAGAATGCGGGCATCTTTCACAAGCGCACCGATACGGTCATCCATCTGCGGGATGCCTACCTCTGGAGTGGTCGACTGGCCGATGATATGCTTGCTCACACGCGCAGTGAAGGCGCTGGCTCGATGGGCAACTTTGCCTCTGGCGGCGCTGCGAACACTGGAGGTGAGCAGGGCAGGCACAAGTTGCCGAGGATCTACGCAGACGGTCTGCTGAGCACGGACGAGGACGAGGACTGCACATTTGTCATCCGCTACAGGCCGCAGCGGGTGAATGCCCCTCCTGCCCACGAGGGACAAAATGTCGACAAGAGCACATCGGCTGGCATGAGGGGTAAGGCGCCCGCCGGCACGAGTGCAGGCCCTGCAGCTGCTCATGGCGTCTTGCACTCGGCGGCCACGCGGGATGCAAGACGGGTGAGCACAATGTCCGAGCAATCCACCGTGGACAGTACCTCTGGAGTCGGTGGTAGTGGACCCTTCTCGCGGCAAAATGCAGTGCCGAGGCTCGATGATGGGACGCACAACGACATTGTACTGCGTGCACGGAGCAAGCTGGAGAGGGACTTGTGGGTACGATGCATCGGGTACGAGATCGAGCGGTTGGCCAGAGAGGATGTGCCGAGGGAGACGAGGATCAAGGAGGCTGGTGAGACGCCTTACAGGGGTACTTGAAGGCAAGTAGGCGGAGGTGAGAAGCGTGAGACAGTCACGCAGACGATGGCTGGGTGGTGGCACAATGTTCATAGCTTATTCCTATGCAATGCTTCAGTCTTTCGATGCCGCTGTCTTTTGCCAGCTGTTCTGCGATAATGATCTATTGTGTAGTGCGACGACAATGACCCTTTTGTGTACGAATGCTTTGTCCTCTGCGCGAGTATGATCTAGCGAGTCGCGGGCTGCAAGACGTCATTCTATTCCCTCCCCTCCTGGTGCTGCTCTATTCACGCTACCATAGGACTCCTTCCCACATCAAACTGCTCTCCCTCCTTGACCTCTCCCCCAGCATACTTTGAGGTGATGGTACCGTCCTGGTTACCAAAGTAGGCGGCCTTTGCCATGTTGCAGAAGAGTCCCACCTCTACTACGCCAGTCATGAGCTTGATCCTGTCTGAGAGCTCGGCAGGCTTCTTCATTAGGGACTCGGGAAAGGGAGAGTCGATGACGAAGTTCCTGAGAACAGAGGAGTGAAACAGTGTGAGCAGAATCTTTGTTCTACTCGTTAGAGCAAAAGTGCACACTCACGAGTTGTCGGTCACACAAGGTCCGGCCTTTGCTCCCCCTCCCATCCTCAATGCCGGCTTTCCTCCCATCTGCTCCAATCTCCTCATGACGCTAGCATAGGCGAATTGAGCCACCTCGATGGGTACACCCTGGCTCCACTTTTCTCCCAGGATAGTCGAATTCTTGCGGTAGTCGGCAATGACGATGAAAGTCGAGGCGGACTCTGCCAGGACCTTTTCGCGCAGCTGGCAGGCACCACCGCCTTTGATGCAGTTGAGCGAAGAGTCGACCCTAGCAGTGGGAAAGGTAGAAAATATGGGCGAGGTCAGAGGGAAGTAAAGGATGATGTCAGAGCCCCACTTGCCGACTCACTCGTCGGCGCCATCAATGGTAACGTCAATGACGGGGAAAGAGTCGACGTCGCCCAATGGCAATCCTGCCTTTACGATGAGCTCTTTGCTTTGGAATCCCGTGGGGATGAACCACCTGTGGAGGTTGACCTTGGGACCCTGCTGCACGATGCGCTCTACAACGTAAGGTACAGTGGATCCTGTGAGATAATAGAAGGAGGTGAGGTAGAGAGAGGGGTTGGGAAGAGGGTATCTCATCAGTAAGCCGATCTGCTGCAATGTTGGCGCCGACACCCGCAGCCCAGCACTACTCACCACTGCCAATGCCAATGATCTTGTGCTCTGGCTTGATGTGATTGTCCACAGAGGCGTATGCGGCGGCCCTCTTAGCGGCCTCTACTCCCTCTAGTGGCTTGAGCTGCAGTCTTCCATCCTGGTGGGTAGCATTGCTTGCGGGTGTGGTGTGAGGAGGTGGGGCAACGGTAGCCATACTGTAAGAGCGAGGGGTGGGAATGGGAGAGCTGAAAGTAATAGGCGCTTTGACTGCGGTGGAAGCAAGGTGGCGATACGACGGGGTGATGCAGCGTAGGCGTGGCAGCATGTAACTCTGGGCGATGGTAATGAGCAAGAAGTTGCGGATGTGCGTGTCCTTTGCCTTTGGTATCGCTCGTGGTGGAGGAAAGGATTCGGGCGGAAAGAGGGTCCCTTTGCCACGTGCGCGTGAATCTCGACCTTCCTTCCGGTCCGGTCTCCTCTTAGTGGTCCAGGTACAGTAGAGCTGCAGGGTCAGAGTACGCCATCTGGGCCCTGAGCGGCCGGCTAAATGGTTCAGGCACTGCGGATCGTAATGCACCAATCTCAGAGGTTTATCCACGGCCCGACATCACCGAGGCGTCAAGCTGGCACTGAGTTGAGGAGTGTTCAGAGTATGACCATGATCGTGTTATCCTCCCCCTCCGTACACTGTCACTACCATACACTCCTTTGTCCACATCCCCACGTCTGCCCAAGCGTCCCGAGCTGGGAAGTTGCTGTAGCAAGAGCCACGATGCTGTCTCTTCGCCTATTCTGCCTCTTCTTTCTCTCCCTGTGCATCGTTCAAGCAGCTCCTGCGGTAAAGACGCCCGCAGAAGTCAGCGCTTCTCGTGTTGGTAAGAGAGTCTCCTTCGCCGACCCTCGAGCAGCATTGTATGCCGTAGGACCTCATATCCCAGGCATCAATGTCAATGCGCCGCCCTCCTATGCGGGTCTGATGCCTGTAGCACCCGACTTTGACCTTTCGGAGCAGAATCTCAAGCAGCTGCGATATGGCAACTATGAGAATGGCACACGTGCCCTCTTCTTTTGGCTCTGGCTGGCTGATGAAAAGGCACTCGACTTCAGGAACTTGGTCATCTGGCTCAGTGGTGGGCCAGGATGCTCTTCCCTTGCATACGGCATGTTTGAGGAGACTGGCCCCATCGAGCTACGGGACAAGAGCAAAGGACCACGACTGCGCAGGCTTACCAGCTGGACCTCGCGTGCCAATGTCCTCTATGTTGAGCAGCCCATCCCTACAGGCTTCTCCACGGGCAAGGCCGCCTCGGCTGATGACTTTGCGGCTTCCTCGGAGTTCTACCACTTCTTGAACAACCTCTTCCAGGTGTTCCCCGAAGTCATCGTCGATGATGATCAGTTCCTCTACCTCGTCGGAGAATCTTACGGTGGCATATATGTCCCTTACCGCGCCAGTCAGATTCTGTCATCTGTCGAGACCTGGGGTCTCAAGGGTATTCTGCTCATCAACGGTCTTCTGGGCGACTATACCGCCACCACTCCCGTGGTCACTTGGGATTTTGTCAAGGCCAACAACGACAAGTGGCTCCACATCCCCGCAGCAAATCTTACCGTCATCAAGAACGCCTCTGACACCTGTCACCTCACTGACTACTACGCCAAGAATGTGCGCTTCCCACAGACTTCTCACATGCTGCCATACGGAAGAGACGACAGGTGCGACGTCTGGAACACATACACCTCAGCGGCCCAGGCGGTGAACCCCGAGTTCAACATCTATGACATTCGCTGGCAAGACCACGAGCATGGCTTTGCCGACAATACCTACTTTGGTGATCCGAACAGGGGAGGCGACAGCAACCCGCTCAACCGCACCGATGTACGCCAGTACATTCACGCGCCCGTTGGCAAGCCCTTTTACCCTTGCACTCCCGACTATCTCTACCCGGCAGGCAACTCCAATTTGAATCCAGCCAGGTCAATTCTGCCTTATGTAGTGGAGAAGCTGGACCGCACCATTGTTGCCACGGCGCAATACGACTCGATCATCATCTCCAATGGGACTTTCTTGGCCCTGCAGAACATGACTTGGGCTGGACAGCTGGGCTTCCATGATGATGGACACAATCGAGCTTTCTTGAATGCAGAGGGCAAAAAGGCAGGAAGCTACACCGAGAGGGACAACTTGGCCTTTGTCAGGGTTGCCGAGAGCGGACACATGGTAAGTTGGCTGAAAAGGGTGGGTCTCTGTGGGCAGACACTGAACAGACCCTCCCTCTCTTCTTGGCCGTGCAGATCCCATCCGATGATCCCCAGTCTGGTCTTGCGCTGCTGGATGCTCTACTCGGCCGTCGAGATCTGAGCGGCAACAAGATTGGCAAAGCCTAAAAGCAATTGGGCTGGAGACTACCTTCTGCCTCGCCTTGTTCAAACACCACTCTGACCCTTCTGATCAACCCTGGTGGTGCGACATTACTCCCCCTACCATCATCCAGCGTCACCTTGTCTTCCCTTGTACCTACCGCCGTCACATCCGCAAAACGAATGCCTCGACATCCTCAGCGCCGTCCATCGATCGTTCTTCTGTGATGGCCCGCGTGCGTTGTTGTGGAGGCCGAAGAGCGGGGCGGGGCGAGGCGTGTGGATTTCCACTTCTTCTGATCGAGCGACGACGACTTGTCTAAGCGAGGCGGAACGCAGGCGAGGCGCAGGTCGAGATTAGCAGCGTCGCATGCGAGGCGCTGCAGTGTCAGCAAACTCAGCTCAGGCGGGGCAGAGAGATAGGCGCTGGTAAGAGTAGAGATAGCAGATTCGAGGATGGCGTGCAACAAGGACGGGAGTAGATCCGAGGCAGACGACGGCGAGAGGAAGGAGGCATCACAAGGACAAGGGAAGCAATCAGGGTCGATGTTCTGACCTCAGACTCGTACGACCTTTTCACAATCGCACTCTCCTCCTCTCTGCGCTTGAGCTCGCTAGACGCACACCATGACCTCGCAGCAGCGGCAGCAGCAGCAGTCCACAGAACGCACGCCGCTCATCTACTCCAATGGCCACTACCGGGGAGACGGCCATGCCAACGCCGACGATGCTGCAGACAATGACCTTTCCACCCCTCCCGTCTCCACTTGGTCCCTCATCCTGACAGAAGCCGGTGCACTGGTGTTCAACTCCATCCCCACCTCGCTGGGCTACATGCTGCAGAATTCCATCCAGACAGTGAGCGTGACAGTTTTGAGTCTAAAGAGAGACGATACGGCCCTGAGTGGTGCCGCACACGGCTTTATGCTGGCCATGGTCACCGCTTGGACCCTCGCCCTGGGAGGAACAACAGCACTGGACTCTCTCGCCTCGGTGTCCTACGCCCAGTCCCTCTCGCCCAAGCTCTCCGCCTCTCAGGCCCGGCACAATCGAGAGCAGGTGGGAATACTCCTGCAAAGGTGCCTCATCGTCCTCTTTACCATCTTTGTACCCGTGGCGGTGCTCTGGTATAACATCTACCCGGTACTGCTGCTGCTGGATCAGCCCCCTGCAGTGGCAGTTGAAGTGCAGAGGTTCCTGAGGGTGCTCATCTTGGGTGCGCCTGGATATATTCTCTTCGAGAGTTTGAAGAAGTAAGTGAAGGAGACGTCGAGCCTCAGAGCAGCACGATACTGATCTGCTACCCTTGCATCGCTGTCAGGTTCGTGCAAGTGCAGGGAGATGCCAGACCGCCTACGCAGGCGCTCCTCATCGCCTTTCCTCTCAATCTCGGCCTGAATTGGCTCTTCATTCACACCCTCGACATGGGTCTACTAGGCTCCCCCTTGGCCGTATCCATCACGTACTATACCTCCGCCCTACTCCTAGTCATCCACATCCTCTTCCTCGGACGCAAGACTTCGCGTCCTGGATGGGGCGGATGGAACCCCTCTGCTGCACTGCACCTGCGCAGCGTACTCCTCTTCACCAAGATGGCCGTCAGCGGGTGGATCATGGTTGCGTCAGAGTGGGTCTCATTTGAGATCGTGGCCCTCGTGGCAGGCTCGCTGGGTGAGGTGGAGCTAGCGGCACAGAGTGTCATCATGACCATGGATCAGTGCATCAACACGCTTCCATTCGGTCTCGGTGTCGCTACTTCAGGCCGTATCGGACACCTACTCGGCCTAGCAGGCGATCTCAACCCACTCTCGGTAGCCAAGCTGCCCATTTCAGCACACACTGCCTTCCTCGTCTCCACCGTACAAGGTCTGGCAATCGGCGTACCCCTCTTCATTGCTCGCAAGTCCTTCGGTAAGCTCTTTACAGACTCTACAGCGGTAGTCAAGATGATCGCCCGTGTCATGCCCCTCGTCGCCGCTTTCCAAGTGTCGGATGGCTGGGCTCAATCGCAGGGTGGAGTATTGAGGGGGATCGGACGCCATGAAGTAGGAGCAGCGGCGAATATCGTTGCATTCTACATCATTTCCCTCCCACTGGGAGTCTACCTCGCAAAGGGAAAGCCCCAGGTGGGGTTGCCTGGCCTTTGGGCTGCTCAGTGGCTGGGACTTACATTGGTGGGATTGGCAGAGTGGGTAGTGGTCTGGAGGACAAACTGGAAGAAGCAGGTGCAGCATGCTGATGAGAGGAGTCAGACCGGAAGAGGACAGGGCCAGGAGGATTCGAACGGGGACGAGGCTGCAGAGGTCGCGAGGAGAGCTGCTTAGACTGTGCCGAGAAAGACGCAATCACAGACTACATTCACGATCACCATTCAGACAATGACCCTGACAAATCACATGGACCTTCAAAAATTGATTGAGATACTGTTCAGATTGCTTTGCAATTTTCGCCCTTCTGTCCACCGCACCGACCTCTTGCGAGGAGTTCGACGACAGATCAGCCTTTTTGCCATTTTCCTGGCTTTTTCCACGGCATATTTCCACCAGCTTTTGTTCGTCCTTTCATTGTATCATTGCTGCAGTTCCTGCGCCTTCTTTCTCTTTACTCCAGCAGAGGACCAGCCTTGACCATCAAGCTGAGCACCTCGAAGACAATGTCCGCCGCGGCAATCTGGGTGATTTCTGCCTGGGTGTCGTATGCGGGGGCAACCTCGACCAAGTCGGCACCGACAATGTTCAGTCCCTCCAGTCCACGAAGAATAGCTCGGAGCTCGCGCGAGGACCATCCGCCCGACTCGGGCGTACCAGTAGCAGGAGCGACGGAAATGTCGAGGGTGTCAATGTCGATGGAGAGGTACACAGGTCCCTTTCCAACGCGTGCCTTGATCGAGTCGATGATTCCCTGTACACCAATCTCATCGATGATTCTCGCCTCGTGCAGCTTGAAACCACACTCCTTGTCGTGCTCGTAGTCGGCTAGAGAGCTGAGGGTGGTACGGATACCAGCGTGGGCAGAAGTGTTGGTGATAAGACCCTCCTGGAAGGCGTGGTGGAAGTAGGTTCCGTGGTTGATCAGACCGGGAGAGCCTCCGAAGACGGTGGGCTTCCAGGTGTCCAAGTGGGCGTCAAAGTGCAGCACAGAGACGGGACCGTAGGACTCGTGAATGCTCCTGATGAGCGGCAGGGTGATGGTGTGGTCACCACCCAGAGTCATGACTCGAGGCCTGGGCTTGCCGTCCTTGCTGAAGCGTCCACGGGCAGCAGGGGCAGTGCTGTCCTTCTTGTGCTCTTTGCCCTTGTATGTCACATCGCGGGACATGAGGAACTTGTGTCCACTGCTCATCTGAGAAATGGCCTTTTCGTTATTGTAGGAAGTGACAGGGACATCACCGCAGTCGACAATCTTGGCCCAGTTCTTGAAAGGGTCAATGGCCATGGGCACATTGTAGCTACCGTAGAGGTTCAGTCGCTTAGAGCCAGTACGGATTCCTCCAGGGCCAAAACGGGCTCCAGGTCGATAGCTTGTTCCGGTGTCGAAGCCCATGCCGACAATGGCAATGTCAAAGTGGGAGCCATTGACCACTTCTCCTTCCTCGGGGAAGAGGTGAGTCTGAGGCGAGAAGCACGCAGCATAAGGGAGATGGGCGAAAGTGGTCAAACCCGAGAAGACCGAATCGGCAGTGACCTCATCGGGGGGAGAAGTAGGCTTCTTCTCTGCAGCGGCGAGGATGCGCGCGTAGTCCAGCGGCTCTGGCTCTGTGAGTGGGTAAGGGTTCCAGTCATCATCGGGACGGTAGCGATGGTGGTTGCAGCCGGTGTGGTCGTGCAGGTGTCCATGCTCATCCTCGGTGTAATAGGGAGACTGGACGCTGGCAGCAGCGGCCGAGGCAGGGCCGAAGAGGACGGCTACCACGAGGGGCAGAGAGAGGAGGGCGGTAAGGCCGGCGAGGCCGCGGAAAGGAGCGGAGAGCATGGTGGGCGTGTTGGCAGCAAGTTCAACTTAACCAAAGGAATCAGCAAGTGAAAGAAGAGGTACAGAGCCAAGGTAAGCTTGATGCTGAGAAGAGGAGGTGGAAGAAGGTAAGGAAGATGGGAAAGGGAGCGAAGGAAACGAGTAGAGGCGACGCGACGTCAAGGGCCTAGCTTCCCCCAGGGTCCTCCATTTCTTCTTGTACATGTGGGCGAGGTGAGGAGAGCGCTGGGCCTACCTTCGGGTGGAGTGCTTGGCCTCAGGCATCGGCTTCTCTCGGCTGTCCGCGATCGATGGAAGGCTGATGACCTCCTTGCTGCATGTACCTGGTCACCCCCCTCCCTCGTCGTCAGCCGGCGGAAAACGACGCAGGCAGTGGCTCTCTCTGCTCCTGGTAGACCGAAGAGTGCCGCGGCTCAACGTGGGCGGGACGAGTGACGATCGAGGGAGATGTGAGAGATGATGCTGCTGACTTTGATGCTGACAGAGTCACCCTTGACCTCGTCGTCTACTGCTCCTGCTGCTCCTCCCCAAGGGCCACGTTGTGAAACGCACCGCCAAGGTCACCCACACACGACATCCTACCTTCCCAGCCTAACGCAGCGCCGCTAAACCCCATTCTGCTGCTTCTTCCCCGCATCGCTTCACCTCGGACTCCGCGATGGGTCTCGCTTCATGTCCTCCACCTTTCTTATCGCTAACTTTTAGCAGTCCGCCAACTCACCTGGGAGCTACCAGGTAGGGAGCACCTGGCTGACTCGCCTCATTGTGACGCCGACCATCGTCTTACGGTGAGCATGCAGACTCTTCCTTGCTCAGGGTGGTACGACACTTGTCAGCAGAAGCGGGGTCACCTCTCCGCCTATCTTCACCAGGACGATGCTGTGTCTATTTTCACGTCGCCCTGAGGGACCCTTTCACTGCAAGCAGCCACTCCCGGGATTGCCGCCCTGAGAGCGCACGGGCCCACGGGGCAGATTAGAGATAAGGCTATGGACCGAGATTCTGCAGGGCGGGCGAGCGGGGTTTCAAACGAACGGTGAGGCTCAAGACGGGGCGGCAATTCTCAAGGCAGCTCAGGACCAAGGCAGGAGAGGCAGCAGCAGACGGATCAAGAAGAAGAGGAAGAAGAAGAAGAAGCAGGCGACACTAGGAAGGAGGGCACTCAAGCCGTAGATGGACCGTCAAAGGCTTGGTGAGGCGAGGTGATCGACGACCTCGGCTTCCCAATTTGACATACGGCCTCCAAGCCGCGGCTGCAGCACAGACGATAAGCAGCGCCATGAATAGAAGGACTGGTAAGGAAGGAGAGAGCGGAGAAATTTTGCTCCCACTGTCAGTACACTCTCTTCCTGGTAGCCTCGAGCTTAGAGGTGCTAGCACCTGGCGACCTTCTGTCTTGCCGCTACTGCTTCTGCTGCCTTCTTGTCTTCACCTCACACCCTCGCTTGGGACCTAGTATCCCTTTGCCTTCTGTTGAGCAAAATCTGGTCACGCAACTTTGTACCTTCTCTTCCTTCCTGTCCACATCTTCGACGTACTTGCCTTTACACCTTTACTTTTGTCCGCGTCGCCACGATGACCTCTCACACCCCGCACAATGCCCACAAGTACGGCCAGACTTCAGCTCAAAAGGTCTCCCTGGATGAGTACCTCGGTCCAGCTCGATTGCAACCCAAGCTGGGCTTCTGGTCGGTCACCGCTCTAGGTGTGGTGACGACTTCGACTTGGCTCGCCTACGTCCAGTCCCTCGCTCCTGCCCTCGTGGGTGGAGGGATCGTCGCCATGCTCTGGGGCTATGTCCTGGTCGTCGTCATGGGCGCATTCACTGTCCTCTCCCTCGCCGAGTGCGCTGGAATCTGGGCTACAGCGGGAGCGCAAGTGGACTGGGTCTACATGCTCTCCCCGCCGGCATGGGCGCCTTGCCTCTCGTATACAAATGGTTGGTTGGCTGTCTTTGGAATGGGTTTGTTGGGCTTGGGAGGTGAAGCCATCGCAGCTAGGGCGATTTTGTCCATGGCGCAGTTGAGCCATCCAGACTACACCATCTTGCCTTGGCACATTTCCATCATGGGGTGAGTAATAGCGCAACAGACGAGCATGAAAGCGGGAATGGGAGCCGCCAAACTGATTGCATCCCATTTGCCTCTGTTATAGTGTCCTCGTCGCCATCATTACCGCCATCTATGGTATCCTGGGAGCCCGTATGCTGGACAAGACCAATCTGGCCTGTTTCTGCGTCTTTGTCCCACTTGCTCTAGCCCTCATGATCACTCTCTTGGTAGAGGGCAGTGGCAACTACAATTCTGCCGACTTTGCACTTACCTCCTTCAACAATGCCACGGGTTGGACCAACGACGTCATCCCCTTTCTTTCTGGCCTGGCGACGGCGGCCTTCGCAGTCATTGCTTTTGACAGTGTTGCGCACATGTCCGAAGAGCTGGAGACACCTGCAAGAGACACGCCGAGGGCAATGGTTCTGGCTTTCCTAGCCAACAATATCCTTGCGCTGGCTATCATCTTCGCCATCGTCTTCACGATCACCACTGATCTCAGTGATCTTGCGCTCTCACCCTCGGGCTTCCCTATCCTGGACATCGTCTACAACTCCACAGGCAGCATCGTAGGCACCTGTTTTCTCATCTCACCACTCACCATTCTCTGGCTGCAGTGCACGGCAGACATCAACATTTCCACTTCCCGATCCATCTACGCATTCGCACGATCAGACGCCTTCCCCGGCGCCCGCTTCTTTTCGGTAATCAACACCAAGCTGGACGTGCCCGTACGTGCGGTCCTGGCTGTCATTGCAGTGCAGATCCCGCTGCTGTGGGTGAATGTGGGCAGCTCAAATGCCTTCACCGCCTTCATCACGATGCCTGCAGAAGCATTGTACCTCTCGTATGGCCTGCCCTCCTTCTTGATGCTTGTCAGAGGCAGAAAGCTCGGTTTGGACAAAGACTCGGCGTTTCGATTGGGGCCCATCTTGGGACCCATTTGCAACCTCATTGCCAGCGTTTGGTCCGTCTGCTTGACAGTCTTTCTCATCTTGCCCCCTACATATCCAGTCACCGCTCAAAACATGAAGTGAGTCATGGCAGCATGGTGGCGGATGCTGATCACCTCACTCACTCGTTACTTCCTGCCTTCTCCTCACCCTCTCCAGCTATTCGGTGCTCATCGTCGGCGCCCTCCTCCTCATCGCCATGCTCTTCTGGTACGTCCACGGCAAGAAGCACTTCCGCGGTCCAGAGTCCCTCATCGAGGCCCTGAGGGATCAGGAGGGCCTTGGAAACTCTGTAGGGGTGGCGACGGGTACGACCTCGTATGCGCACGACATGTCGGCTGAGGAGAAGGGAAGCTATCAGACGGCAGAGCAGGGTGCTGTGAGGCAATGAGGTTGGTGCGTGCAACATCTTCGCGGTTGTAAAGTCCGTAGCTCCATACCGACCGAGACGTTACCTAGAGAACCTGACCATGCATCGAACCATACCATTGTTGATGTCGCCTGACTGTGTCTGTGCTAGCCTATTATGTGTTGTGGTACGGCCCCGTCTGACCATCACCGCCAGTGCGCCCAGTTGTACTCCACTTCGTACCTCGCAGGGACGCCACGCGAGGGAGTCAATGTCAGTGTCCCTGGGGCGGAGTCTGAACTGGCGAGTGTGCGTGTGTCCCACTTCCGCTCCTGAGCCGCCGTCGTCCCTGGAGACTCTGGTACCCAAGGCAACCATCGCATCCTCTGCATCAACCTCACACTTCGCCCATCAGCACCTACCTTCCACCGCTACTGACACTCTCCGTCGCTAACGCTCAGACATGGTGAGTAGCGCAGTGGGGATAGAAGACCCCCGTGACAGTAGAGAGGCGGCGACTCACCCTTCGACGTTTACTCACGCCGCCTCTGGAATGTCGCTCCTCCTCGTCCTGCTCTTCCTTCACTCGGCCCTCCCCTTCTCCTCATAGTCCACACCCGCCAAGCGCCGTCTGATTCGAGACTTCAAGCGTCTGTCTACGGACCCGCCCGGAGGAATCAGTGGAGCACCATGCCCCGACAATCTCATGGTGTGGAATGCAGTCATCTTTGGCCCTGGTGAGTGGGAATGCTCAGCAGACAGGGATCGAGGAAAGGAAGATGCCCTTGGCCTTTGCTCGAGCCTTTGCACTCGCTGACGCAGACATGTCTTCTCTCTCTCTCCCTCCCCCCCCCCTTTTACAGCCGACACTCCCTTTGAAGATGGGACATTCAAACTCTTAATGACATTTGACGAATCTTATCCGAATAAACCGCCCACGGTCAAGTTCCTCTCGAGGATGTTCCACCCAAACGTCTATGCCTCGGGGGAGTTATGTCTGGACATTCTACAAAACAGGTGGTCCCCCACCTACGACGTCTCTGCCATTCTCACATCAGTGCAGTCTCTGCTCAATGACCCCAACTCGGCCAGTCCAGCCAATGTGGAGGCAGCATCCCTCTGGAAGGAGAATCGTAGAGAATACGTAAAGAGGGTCAAGAAGACGGTAGAGGAGAGTTGGATGGACGATGGAGAGGAGATGAAGCTAGAAGAGATGGACGAGGACGATGAGGGAGATGGAGAGGAGGGAGGTGGTGGTGGCGCAGCACCTGCGACAACATCATAGGCGCATACGCCGACATCCGTACGTCCCAGATCGAAGGACTGCCAAGTCTTTGAGCTATATGCCCTCTTGGCCTACTGCACCTCGCACCACCAGCTGTGGTGGTGAATGTTCTCATACGCTGTCCTCACTCTTCAACCGATCCCTTTGGTCTACGACCTTCATCATCTGTGCCTCCTGTCTCTTCACTTCTTTGTAATAACACCATCTTCGATTCATGGCTCTTTCTCCAATCTAGACGTTGCTCCAGGAGGGACTGTGCTACAGATACTCAAGGCCGCAAGTGAGCCATGCTCGTGACCGTATGGCCTCTTGCGCATCTCCCGCTGCCCCACCTCGCCCCGCCGCCGCTCCGCCCTGGACTGACGCCCTTTCCGTCGGCGGCGCGAGGAGGCCAAGGTCGACTGGAGGAGCGGACGGAGGCAAGGCTACCTTGACCTTCCACGGTATCGTTGCGACTTGCACTCCTACACACCATCCTCTTCCGAGTCTGCCAGTGAGCAGCGGCGACGAAGAACATAGGGACCTGGAGTGGACCTGTATCCTTGCTTTTCTCTCCTTCGCCGTCCCCTCCTAGAGCTCCTCATCGTCCTCTGACACCCCCGGTCCTACTGACGGAAGCCAGAACATCATTACCCCTTCACTCTCAGCGCAAGGACAGTCGCTCCAACATTGCTACCGGTCAGGCTCCAATTTTGTCGCATCGCTCACAAGCACTAGCGCTCGTGAGATCTTATCACTTCCTCCACTCTCACCAAAGCCGGGGCCGGGTAGACTCGTGGAGTTCCCTTTAGCTCGCCTAGGATGTCTGCCTCTGGCTCGGGGGCAGGCGGTGGGCTCAGGAGACCAGGACCGCTCAGGGGGAAGCTGAAAGCGCCAAAGAGGGTGAGTAGAGGAGCAGTCCAACAGATCAGGCGTCCAGCGTGACGTATGGAGTAGACATGCCCGGTCCAATGACTAGTGGAGCTTGGATACATAGATCTGCGTACCTGCTACCTGGCCGGCTCACACTTGTGTACTTATGACTCACTCGCTTCTTCTACTCTGTTCATGGTCCCTTCGTCCGCAGATTGGCCATGACCTCGGTCCAGAGGAAATGTGGAATCGCCTGGCTCATGCCATTGGAGAGGTTCAGAATCACAAGGCGTCGACTCTGAGCTATGAAGAGCATTACCGGTATGCCTACAATCTGGTCTTGGTGAGTATGGCAGCTATCCTTCGCGAAAGAGAGACATCTGCCTCGGCATACAAACTCATGTCACCTCGTCATGCCTCGCACCTCATAGTCGCATCAAGGTAATATGCTGTATGAAGGAGTCAAACGCAAAATCGAAGAGCACCTCGTCAGACAATGCAGTGACCATCTCGTACCCGCCTTTCCGCCGGGAGGGCTCTCGAATCTGCCACCGGAGATTGTCCTTCCACAGTCGGATCACAAGCCCCAGCAAAACGGCATCTCAGCAGCAGCGTCCTCGAGCAAAGACAAAGGCAAGGCGCCAGCCAGCAGCGGGTCAGCATCCATTGATGAGAGTAGCATGACCGGCCTTGAAGGCGGCTCGAACGGTGTGGCCGGAGTAGGAGACACAACAGATGCTGCCGTGCGGAACCAATACACAGAGAGGCTGCTCAAAGCCATGAAGCAGGTCTGGGACGCCCACTGTGCTTCGATGTCTTCTCTAAGAGCAGTGCTGACATACGTAGATCGAGTCTACGTTGCTCAACAGGCTGTCTTGTCTATCTGGGACCTCGGACTTGAGCTCTTCCGAGATACAGTTATTCAGTCGCAAAAGTTTCCGATCTCAAACCATCTCTATGCCGCTCTACTCACGCAGATTCAGCTTGAGAGAAAGGGGCAGGTCATCAACAGATCAGTGGTCAAGGCAAACATTGATATGCTCGTCTCCCTCACTCATGCTCAGCCAGGCAGGGCGAGCACATCTCTAGCTTCAAGACCAACTGTGTACAAGCACACGTTCGAGCCCGCATTTCTGCGCACCTCGTCCCTGTTCTATAAGCTAGAGGCACAGCGAATGCTCGAGACGACTGATGCCAAGGCCTACCTTCGGCACGTCGAGCGACGCTTTATCGAGGAGGAAGGACGAGTTGCAGTCTTCCTGGCTCCGACCACTGATGCGCCTCTTCGATCTCGCATGGAGAGCTTCCTTCTCGAAGCTCATCTGCAGACGATTGTGAATATGCCTGGTAGCGGTATGCACTCGATGCTGGAAGAAGGACTGACAGAAGACCTCAGGAGGCTTTACAAGCTCTTCTGGAGGGTACAACCAAACGGTCCTCTGGAGCTCAAGGCTGGACTGAAATCTTTCATCGCCAAGAGTGGAAAAGCGATCAACGAGGGAGTCGGAGCAGGTACTAATGGTGCCGGCGCTGCCGAGAACGGCGATGGTGAGGAAGGCAATGAGCAAGGGAAGCCAGGCGCGCAGTCTGTAACTGCTGCAACGCCCGCTGCTGCCTCCGCTCTTAAGTGGGTTGAAGACGTATTGGCTTTCAAGGGCAAATTCGACGAGATCCTCGCCGTCTCCTTCGATGATGACAAGAGCATAGAGACTGTCCTCAACGAAGCCTTCGAGTCGTTCATCAACGTCAACCAACGCGCAGCCGAGTTCATCTCGCTCTTCATCGACGAGAATCTCAAGAAGGGTCTGAAGGGCAAGACGGAAGAAGAGGTGGAAGAGGTACTGAACCGAACCATTGTCGTGTTCCGCTTCCTCCACGAGAAGGACCTCTTTGAGCGTCACTACAAGGGCCATCTGGCGAAGCGCTTGCTGCATGGCCGGAGCGTCTCGGATGACGCAGAAAGGGGCATGATGGCAAAGTTGAAGATCGAGTGTGGACATGGCTATGTGCAGAAGCTGCAAGGAATGCTCAACGATGTCAAGGTGTCGGAAGAGACTGGAGCTGCTTTTACCGAGTACATCAAGAAGGCGTCGAGGGTGAGTTAGAGTTGCACGCGGCAAGTACGCTGGCTCCTACATTTTGGGTCGCTTTTCTAACCTCTTTCATCCTCCTTGAATCCAAATCTCACAGCCTATGCCGTTCGATCTGTCAGTGTCGGTACTGACGTCTACCTACTGGCCCATTGCGGCTGTACAGCAAGCGTGCATCATGCCCCCCTCGATGGTCTCTGCACGTCAAGCCTTTGAGAAATTCTACCAGTCTCGCCACTCTGGCCGTTTGCTGAGCTGGCATCCCAACCTAGGCTCGGCAGATGTGCGAGTAGCCTTCAAGAAGCGCAAGCACGAGCTGAACGTGTCTACATATGCTTTGGTGATTCTGCTGCTCTTCGACGAAGAGGGTCCCAACGCGAGCTCCGGCCTGTCGTATGCAGCTATCAAGCAGAACACGAACATTCCCGATGGAGATCTGAAGCGCAACTTGCAATCACTGGCGTGTGCAAAGTACAAGATCTTGCTCAAGGAGCCCAAGGGCCGAGACGTGGGTGATTCAGACACCTTTACCTTCAATGAGGGCTTTAGCTGTCCCCTCGCCCGCATCAAGATTGCTACTGTTGCGGCGCGAGTGGAGAGCACCACGGAACGCAAGGAGACGAATGAGAAGATCGAAGAGGAGCGCAAGAATCAAATCGAGGCTTGCATCGTGAGGGTAATGAAGGACCGCAAGCGTCTGAACCACAATGAATTGGTCAACGAGGTGATCAAGCAGCTGCTGGGCAGATTTGGTCCCAATCCGCTCGTGGTCAAGAAGAGGATCGAGAGCCTCATCGACCGCGAGTACCTGGAGCGCGATGGGGAGCAGAGGAACGTGTACAACTACCTGGCTTGAGGATGGGAGGAGCGGCGAGGCAAGGTGAGGTGGGGAGGCTCTCCAGGCCACCGGTTGAGCCACCTCTGCCCGTGGCATGATCATCATAATCATCATCTATTGAACAGCAGTCTATGACTGAGCGACTGAGTAACCAATAGCATACATCACAATCTGATGCATCATCGTGGGCGTATTCCGTCCATCTATCCAATGAGGCAGGCGAGTGTGTGTGTGTGTGCCTGTCCGCAATGGGATGTGCGGTGTGGGAGCTTCTTGCCCAATTGGTGAGCGCCTGGCTCGCTTAGCCGGCGGGCGTGGATTGATCACCGCGCACTGATCTGGGGGGGCGCCATTTCCTGGGAGTGCAGCCACGTGGTTTCCCCTCGTGCGTCGCCGCGAGGTTGCGTGTGGCGACGGGCGGAGACTCCAACACTTGGCTCAGCCTCACACGCGCGGACCCGATCACCGCCTCTCTCTCTCCACCCGCCGCCGCCTCTGACCATCACCATCACCATCACCCTCGTCCTGGTACCCATACCAACCCTCCTTCCTCATACTGGCACATACCTCTTGTTGCACTGTACCCTCGGTCACTACACGTCAGCTCTCATCTCGCGCTGTCCAAACGCGTAGAGCCATACCCCGAGCTCTCCCGCTCCCATTCACCAAGGCCACCCGCGGGCCGCCGCTGAATCATTCGCGAAGTCGCCTCGGCAGCAGCTACCCACTTCGCGACGGCGCAAGTCTGCTTCACTCCTTTTCTCAGTCGAGGCTGAAGAGCTAGCATCAGAAAGTGTATTGGGACCGGTGGTAAGCCCCTCTTTGCTGCTCTCCATACGGCGCTTGGTGAGTTGTCTTCGCGGCAGGAAGTTCGCATTTGCGGGAAAGAAGGGAGCAGGGAACGCGTCGATGAGGAACTTCTGAGGTGATCAGACGGCGACGATCACCCTCGTCATGGCAGAGCATTCTCCTCTCTGGGACATCGGGACGTCGCAGCTGCTGCTTCTACCATGCCTCCTTGCCTCTCCTTTCCCGCACCCGCATCTGATCCGCAAAATTCGCTGACGCGCCCACTTTCCCCTGCCCATCATTTCCCGATCCCGATTGCAGACGCTGGCCGATCTTCTTCCCTCTTGACCTGCACCAGACCATAGCACTTCATCATCATAACCACCGACACCATCAGTATGGCCGGCCCATCTCAACCTTCCTCACCATCCGGTCCCGCCGGCTCGCCGTCTCGTCCCGGCGCTAACACGCGTCGTACTCGGCGGAGGACGGACCATCCCAATAGCTCACCACCTCCGGAGAGCAGCAGCATCGCCTCCGCGTCAAAGAAGGGCCTTCCAGCAGCCTCATCACCTTCCCGCGCTCCCTTGGCCACCATCAAGGCTCCTCAGCCTGCCGCCTCACCCCCTCGGTCATTCTCGTCATCACCCTCTTCTCAGCCTCAGAAGCCGCTACCCACCTCAACCACTCCCAGCAGCGCAGTCTCTGGCGAATCATCGCGTCTAGCACCGCCATCTCTACAGCGACAATCAACAGCCCTATCGCGGAGTGCAAGCCCAGTCGCTGCTGCTTCGGCTACCTCGCCTACACTGCCACACGGCTCACCATCAGGAGCTGACGCACCCGCAGGAGCAGACGTTTTTGCACGCGCTCAGGCAATGGGATTGCGTCTTACTCGCGAAGAGTATGACAGGACTAGAGCAGGCCTGACCGCTTTTCTCAAGGCAGAGCGCCTGCCGGGAGCAGCTGGAGGGGCTCGGACATCTCCCTTGCCTGGAGGAAGCGGTTCAGAACGCTTGCCTTCTCTCTCACCTACGCCCGCACCAGTCAGTGGCAAGGATGCTGTCCTGGACGCTGCTAGTCCCAATACCAATACCCTTCGTCCAAGTACGGCTCCTCGTAGCACATCGACGTCGCGACTGCCCCTTTCCTTCTTCACTGCCGTCGTGCCTACCCCTCCTGTAGAGGTCAAGGTCAGGCCCAAGCTCGATGACGTGGGCAATGCAGAGGAGAAGCGCAAGAGGAAGGAGCGAAGGAGGCGACAGAGGGAGAAGATGATGGCTCGCACGTCCATGAGTGAGCCAGAGACGTCTCGTACCCCCAGGATGAGCGGTGGTGGCAGCGGGCCTTCATCGTCCATCTATGGCGGATCACCTATGAGCGGCAGCAGCAGCGGAGGTGTCATTGGTCTCGGCCTTGGATCATCTGGCTCTCGACACGGCCAGAGCTTCAGCACTACCACTCCGGACACGTCTCCTCTTGCAGGCGTGTGCTTCTACCGCGCAAGGACTCTATCTGCCTCTGCATTCCCATCTTCTTCCACTCTACAAGCAGCGGTCGCCGAGGCGACGGATTCTACCACTTCTCCTGGTCTTCTAAGGTTGAGCTCACGAGCATGGACGTCGCCCGGCGGTAGACTGAGCTTGGCAGAACGCTCGCCCGCTGTGCTGCGCTCATCAGTATCCCACAGCCGCTCGGCCAGCGCAAATGTCCTAGTCGATTCGGACGACGAGGAAGAAGAGGTTGGCAAGATGCTCGATGCTGATGCGCACGAGGGATCCACACAAGGCGGATGGGGAGCTGGCGACCTCTCGAGTGATAACGAGCATGCGATGGCCAAGATGGGACTTTTGGACCGAGTCATGAGGGACAAAGGTAGCCCAACGCGAAGGAGGAGCAGAAGGAGCACACGAAGGAGGAGCGATGCTGTCCGGGCCAGCATGTCCGACATTGTCCCTGCAGAGAGGGTCGTCTTTGCAGTCCCCTCAACCACCTCAGAAGGCACCATGGGCCCTCCTGCCATCGTACCCGCATCACAGCTCGCGCCGGCGTTCTCGATGACCTCTAGCCATCCACTACCCAGCAGCGGATACACAGGTAGCGATTCCCTACGCAGGCGGAGTCATTCCCGCCAGATGTCTCAGGCAGGGAAGAGCGTGCGATGGGCTCCCACTCTGGCACCAGTCTCCACATCTACCTTTACTCCGGGCCACCAGCGTATGACCACACGGGATCACTACGAGTACTTTGTCAATGGTGTGAATCCGGAGACAGCCGTCGATTTGAGCGAGCTCGAAGTTGATCAGCAGCCGCAATTCATCATCGCAGACGCCGCACAGGCCTCGATGCCTTGGCTCTACGGCGCCACTTCTTTCATCGACGATGGTGGCGTAGGCTCGTCCACATTCCGCATCGACACTTCTCCACTGGGCAGGTCGCCATCTCGCATGTCACTTACTGCAGAGGATTTCCAGCAGATGACCTCGATGGACTTCGATTACGAGCAATCTCACCATGATCGACGTACCTCGGTCAATGCCCGCAGGGGATTGTTGTTTGGGCCCTCGGGAACAAGCCCCACTCACTCCACGGTCAACCGCTTCAATCCTGGCTTCTCTGATCCGGCATTGAGCCAGTCGCCCCAGCGTGGGTCGATCCTCTCCAGTCGCCATACCCGAGGCAAGAGCAGCCTCGGTAGCATCAGAGACCTCTTTGCAAGCGGACAGATTGCCGTAGCCATGACGCCCGAGCGGCCACAATCCTCTACCGTCCCACGCTCTCGTGCCAGCATCGTTCAGCAAGTCAACCACCCTACTGTAAGTCCTGCCGCCATCTTTGGTGGAGCATTTGTGCCAGTAGAAGGGCAGCCTGTCCCTCTAGCTCCCGCCGTCGCTCGAGGATCGATGCATATGCCAGCCAGGATCCCAAGCTCCGAGACTTTGCCAGAACCTACAAAACACTGGGGCAAGGCAGCTGAGCGAGATGATGAGAGTGAAGTGCGTCTTGTCCGTGACTCGGCCTCTGAGGAAGCTAGCAACGAGACGCGGGCGGTTGGTCTGGCTCGAGTGCGCAGCGAAGGGACAATGGACTGGGGCGTGTCGGCGTCTCAAGAGCATATTCTCAACACTCCAGAAGTGGCGCCTCGTGCTATCACGACGAAGCCATCCTCCAAGCCTACCCCGGCAGCGACTAAAGCAAAAGCAGCTGCGACTCCAGCTGCTCCTGCCCCTGCGGCTGCAGTTGCTACTCCGGCCCCTCGTCGTTTGAAGCCGGCAAACTTTGGCCCCTTGCCGCCCGATCCGAGCATCTTGGAATTCGAGCGCCCGGATGGCTCCAAGGTCATCAAGCTCGTTTCTGAAGAATTGCAAGCTGCTCTCGATTCTGGTGAATTTGAGGAGCCTCCACCCCGCTACTACGTCTTGCCGGCCGGAGCTGGTGCCACCAAAGGAAAGCCTCCTCACGTCTCGTACGCTGGCCTCATTGGTCAGGCCATTCTCACATCGTCCGACCAGCGTTTGAGTTTGGCAGAGATCTACAACTGGATCTCCACCGTTCATCCCTTCTTCGAGAGGGGCGATCGAGGCTGGCAGAATTCCATCAGACACAACTTGTCTCTGAACAAGAGCTTCATCAAGGTGGAGCGAGAGGCCAACATCCCTGGCAAGGGTGGGTGGTGGGCCATCAAAGAAGGCCACGAGGAGCGCTTCAAGGACGGTCTCTACTCTGCTGGGCCTGGTGCTGCAGTGGAGAAGAGCGGAGGTGGCAGTAGCACGAAGAAGAGCAAGAAGAAGGCGAACGACACGCAAGAGGCGGTGGAAGGCCCTACGCATACGCCTACTCCTTCACAGCAATCTGCTACAAACGAAGCAGTAGGAGAGAAGAATCAGCGCAAGCGTCAAACCACGGATGGTAGTTCTGGCGATGGCAATGCCCCCTCCCCTGGCAGTCCTTCTCGCTCAGGCGCACGTAGCAACAAAGCTTCCAAGAAGGCAAAGGGCAACGTGGGGCCTGCCGCGAGGCTTCCATTGGCAGACGTCACTAATCGTCATCTCGGTGGTGGCGCTGCTCCGCCTGCTAATCTGGTCCAGTACGGCGACTTCTTCACTGCCACCCCTGCTCGCCAAGGCAACTATCATGAGCAGTATATGGCTTCGAGCGGTGGTATGCCGACGCTGACTGACAGCGCCAGCTCGCCGCCGTCCAGCCCTGCCATGCTCGAGTCGGATGTGCTGATGCCGCCACCCCCGTCGACAAAGAGGAAAGGTTCCAGGCGAGGAGGCCATCAGGGACGTATGTCTTCCTTCAGTGGTCCCGATCAGCAGGGTTACCCTGAGCATGTCACTGGTATCTTCCAGCAGCAATATCTCCACCAACAGCAACAGCAGCAGCAGCAACCCTACGCCAATGTCTACTTCGCTGGCAACGGTCCGAATGCCGCAGGCTTCTACCCTCAACCCTCTCCCCTGGCTAGCCGCTGGAGAAACACTGCAGGTTCTCCGACCGACTTGCCTACTGTGAATGGCTCTCCCTTGCGCCGCTCCACCACCTCACCTGCCAAGCTGGCTACCGTCTCGCCCGTCTCCTCTTTGAGAGGTTCAGCTTCGTCTGCTCTCGCTGGCGCAATGAACGTTGGCCCGGGCGGTGGCGCGCCTCGTCATCGACGCACAGGTTCTGGACTAGGTACAAGCGGGCTGACTGCTAATGGGCAGTCCTTGTTTGTGCATCACAACCCCTTTCAGCAAGGTATGAGTACCACGCGAGGCTCGCCTGTGCGAAGGGGCGGCCAGCAGGAAACCTCTGCCACGAGGTCCACCACTGGCGCCACGTTCCAGACGGCGCTCGATCAGAACAGTAGTGCCAGCCATGGACTGGGAGGCATGGGCCCTTCGATTGGCGGACTTGGCATGGGCTTCCAGTCTACCAACATCACCCCCGGCCGCGTGACGCAAGGGGAGAATGGCACGCCCAAGGGCAGAGGAGGAGCGGTGGGAGCGCAGGGCGTCAGTCCTTCGCCCACTACAAAGCGCTTCCATGCTTCGCAGAACCAGAGCCACTGGCTAGAGGACCCTTTTGACTACCAGGGCGCCCTGCAGCACGAGCTTGAGAGTATGGGGGGAGGGGGCGCAGGCGGCGGGGCGGTGCACATGGAGGGTGCTGGTCATCCCTCTACACCGCACTACACTGCTTCAATGAGTGGAGGCGGCGGGGGTGGGAGTGGTGGTCCTATGGTGGGCCTGATGATGACTGCCAATGGATCCCCGGTGAGGCTGGGCGGGGCGGGGATGAGCCATAATGGCTGGCTGAGTACAGGGACCCAGCAGGACAATGTCAGCGCGGTCAGGGGTAGCCCAGAGGGTAGGGACTGAGGGGAGCTCTCTACCGCGAGCTGGAGGGAGATTGGTCTGGCTGCGAATCTGCTAAGTGTTTCCGAATGTATTTCTATCGTTCCCATCGTTCTTTGTTTCTCTTCTCTCTCTCTCTCTCTCTCTCTCTCTCTCTCTCTCTCTCTCTCTCTCTCTCTCTCTCTCTCTCTCTCTCTCTCTCTCTCTCTTCTCTCTTGTTGTTCTCTCTTGTCTTGTCTTAGCTGTGCTTCTTCTATCACTCGCGCCGTCCATTGTTGATGCTGCTGCTGCCCCACACCCTATCGTACTTCTACACCAGAGTCTACACAACTGCGTTCTCTCTTGCTTGTTCAAATCCACACATGTACTTTGGAAAAGCTTGGGAGCTGTGTGATCCTGATGTGAATGAGTGTTGCATTCCATGAGAAGCTCGTCGTCGTCTCCGAGCCGTCGGCTACGGAAGTGGGAGTGGAGGCAGCGGATGCGCGCTGATCAATCACGCCGGCGCAGGAAGAAGTCAAGTCAAGTTGGTGCAGTTCATGGTCGATAATCCTGTCTTCTAATACTCATCCTCGATTGCTATCTCACTACTGCTCATCATGTCACGCTCAATAGCTCGTGGATGCCGCAGTGCTGGAGCTGAAGTCGGCAGCTCCTCTTGGCCCTTGGCAGAGACGAGCAAGGCGGGTAGCGCTCGTGCACTCGCAGCAGCGGCAGTGTCAGCAGCGCCAGTAGTCACGCCCTCACCTTCGACATCATCATCATCACCGCCATCTCGTCGCTTCTCTTCATCTCCCCGCAGTCGTTACGCAGCAGCGGCCTCTATCACGTCGGGCTCACCATCATCAGCAGACCCTTCCATCGGCGCACTCCAGACCCTGCACCCTCCTTCGCATCTCGCCTCGTACTTCTACCCCGCCTCGCTCCGCCCACACTACCTCGCCCTGCAGGCCCTACACCTCGAGCTAGCCCTCATCCCCACGACGGTCTCCTCTGAGATTCTTGGGAGGATACGCTATGGCTGGTGGAGGGACGCCGTCAGGGCTTGCTTCCTGGCAAAGGAAGGGGATGGAAGTGCAGGTAGGAGGTGGAAACATCCCATTGTGGTATCCCTCGAGAGAGCTATTTGGGATCCTCAAGTCAGGGCCAGGGGTGGACTGGTACAGGAGCACTTCGAGGCGATTGTTGATGCTTGGGTGAGAACTTTGGCGGAATGGTGGACAAGTTGCGAGTCTAGCGAGTTCCAAGGCTGATGAATATGTCTCGTACTGCCCTCGTCCGCTCCACCTCACAGGAAGCATCCCTCTCTACCTTCTCCACCTCACCTACGCTCGACGCCCTCGAAGCCACCTCAGAACGACTCTACTCGCGCCAATTCTACCTTCACCTCAACCTCCTCGGTCTCTCACATCACCGCATAGACGAGCTCTTCTCCCACCTAGGCAAAGCCCTCGGCCTGCTTGAAGCCATCGTCTCCACCCCCGCCAGCCTAGGCGTGAAGATGACCGCCACCGCCAGCCAGGGCGAGGGAGGCAGCAGTCCAGCCAGGATAGCCAAGTCCCGTAAGCCCTCACTAGCAGAGAGCACCCCGCACTTCCCCCTGCCCATCGAGTATCTCCAGGAGCACAACGTCACCCAGGAAGCCGTCCTGCGCTACGGAGGCCAGGCACCCGGGTTCCGCGACGCCGTCTTCGCCACGGCGACCAGGGCCAACGACTACCTCCTGACCGCCCGCAAGACCCTCCAGGACGGTGCGAGCGAACGCGACCCCTCTCTGGCGCTCAAGGGTGGGCGAGTACCTGATGCTGGCAAGCCCGCCCTGGTCGGGGCGGCTACGATTCCTTTCCTCCTGCAGAGATTGGAAAAGTACGATTTCGACCCCTTTCAGCCGGCGTTTAGGATGGAGGCAAAGGGAAGGGGGTGGAGATTGCCGGCCAAGATGTGGGGGGTGAATTGGAGTGGGAAAATCTAGTTGTAGTTGGAGAGAGTGGGGGGAGTGGGGCCGAGACAAGAGGCGAGAGCGAAGGACGGAGCTTGACAAGCTCCACAGGCTGAGCTAGCACTCGGGAAGGCAGGGAGGCAGTCAGGCCGGATGATGTTGGTTGCATTGCGACCATCAGCCAATTGCATGGATATATATACCTCTCCCCTCCCCCTGTCGTATCGCAATCACACCTTCTTCGCATACCATCCCGCCTTGAAGTTGACAATGGGAGGGAGGACCGTCATACCAGCCGATAAAGTCTCCCCTCCCCCTCCACCTTCAGCAGCGCCAAAGTCGAACACGGGCAGCGAAGGGGACTGTAAAGCCGATGAGCTCCGGCGCATGCCGCCCCCTCCCACAGCCCCCCACTCTTGCGTTGCACCAAAACCCGCACTCGCACTCGCAGGAAGTGCAGCTGCTGTGGGGAAGTACCTCCCGCCAGGCCCACTTGCGCTGAGAGGCGTGACTGGGCTCATGAGCGGGTTGGCCCAAGGGTACCCTCCTCCGGTCATTGCGCCGCCCAACCCCGGAGTGGATACGGCGGGAGAGACGACGAGGCTGCCTGCGCGACGGTGCTGCATTGGGAAATTGAAGGCGCCGGTGTGCGTTGCTGAGGCGGAAGTAGCGCCTGGAGTGGTGAGGCCGAGGGGCGAGGCGGGGAAGCCTGCTTGGGGTTGTGCATGGCCACCGCGAAAGTCGAGGTGGAGCGTGTGCTCGTATTCTGACAGTCCACGTCGACGCTTCGCTGCTGAATCGCCGGTGGCAGAGGGTGAGTCGGGGGCAGCGAAAGCGGAGATGCTGCTGACGGACTGGGGGCGCAGGCGTACCGACAGGGAGCGATTGCCGGGGCGTGGTAGCGGAGCAGTGGCCGTTGTGGGTGAAGAAGACGGAGTGAGGTCCTCTTTGACCTTTGAAGCCTGGGTGACCAGGTCGGCCGTAGTGCTGTCCTGTCCCGCACTGCCCGCCCCGCTGCCGTCTTGCAATGCCGCAGGGGCGAGTCCCGCACCACCAATTCCTTCCAACCTGCCGATGAGAGAGCCTAGACTACTCTGTACCAGGCGCGAGGACACCAAGCGCGTCTCAAGCCGGGAGAGGGTCGTCGATGAAGGGGCATCGCCGGCCGGAGGAGTTTCTTCTGACCTTCTCCAGGTATGTACGGCTGGCAATTCTGGCAGGTGCGAAGGGATTTCATCACGCTGTGTCTTTTCGAGATACCGGGTCTTGCGAGTCAAGAGCTCGTCTTCGTTCCGTTCGTCGTTACCTGGACCCAGGAAGGCGTCTACCTCTGTACTCTTTGCCCATCGAGCGCTGGCATCGAAGTCTGCAACGGCTGCAGGGACGCGCTCGTCGTAGTAGTCTGGAACATTGTGACGCCATGTGATCAGCCGCGTGACGTACCTGGCAAGAGGAGGTAGTTGCTTGAGCTCATCTCCCTCTCTGCTTTCCTTCGTATCCTTTTCGCCGCCTTCCTCATCTTCTCCATCTTCCTCTTTCTCCTCATCTTCTTCCTGTTCTCGCCAGCTGAGACCACCCAGAACATCCCGAACAGAAGGATCTGTCCTCCCGCCAAGCAAGGCGCTCTCTAGACTCTGTAGCAGTACGCTCTCGATGTAGACGTCTATCGATTCTTGAAGGTAATCCAGAGCGGCGGGCTCGATGGCCGCGTACCCTGCCAGGGCGGCATACCGTGTGATGAGGTGCGCTAGGGTCTGGGAGAGGGCAGACGCGTCCAGAGGTGTAGCGGTACCGGTCGATCGGCTGCCTCTGAGCGGCAGAGCGAGCATGTATGCTGATGAGGGAGGCGTAGGAGATCGAGGCCGCCGAGGAGCCGAGGACGATGTAGATGGTACAGCCTCACTGGCGCGCTTGGAGGGCTGACTGCTGGAAGCCACGTCTCGTGCAGTAGACCATTCAGCTCCAGCTCCGGTCCGAAAGGGCGTAGCAGGGGATGGTGAATGCTCATATCGCTGCTGCTGTTGCTGCTGTTGTTGTTGTTGTTGTTGAGAAGAGAAGGAGACTGTCCGCCGTGATGGTGAAGCCAATGCGGGAGAAGGGGAAGACGCTGCAGCCTCGCCCCCAGAAGAGGCCAATGGGGAGCTACCCTCGCCACTGGCTGCCGCAGTGCCAGCAGGACGCTGTGGCCGCGACAACTTGAGTGTGATGGGCATGGCAGCTGGTGAGGATTGATACTAGATGGAGTATGGTACCAAGGAGTAGCCTGCAACGACGAGGGAAGCATCATCACCTGCGCCTTCCGTTCCGCCGCGGCTCATCTCTCAGTCCGTTCCCCTTTCCGCCGGTCAGATTTGATTGGTATTTAGCGTGTTGCTGCTGCTGCTGCTGCCATCTTGCCGCAAGTCTCACCTGGTATCAGATAGCGACTGATGTGGTAGCATGGCAAGGGACGGTGCGGCTGACAGCGACCTCAGGTCCATTAGCGACTGGTCAGAGGTGAGGCGATGAGGCGATCGGCAAGACCTGCGGAAGTATACCTTGGCTGACACCCTTTCTCACCACCTGGGACCATGGCAGCCGCTCCACCTCGCCTTTCTGTCGCAGCCATTTGTACCTCGGCCGCTAGTGGGCGAGAAGAAGACAGAGGGGGTGGAAGTAGGCAGCGTGCTCATCGTCAGTACCCGAAGGGATCCTTTGCCATAATCAGAAAATGAACACTGATGCTCCTCTCCGTGCTCCGCAACAGAAGCTCCTCCCTCACGCTCCCTCGCTCACCCTGGGCGTCCTGGTGCTGCCTCTCTCAACAGTGTCTCCGCTATACGAGGGTCTAAGCTTGCGAACGCTGCAGAGACGCATCAAACGCAGCGCTGGTCTGTCACAGGCAGGCGAAGCGGCATCGCAGGCCAACAAGGGGACAGACAGCGCCCTGTTCGGTGAATTGGTAGAAAGTGTACAGAGGGCACTGCAAGGACAGGATGGGACACAACGATGGCTTGATTGCGAGATAGGGCGCGGAGAGGTAAGACAGTCGACTGAAGGTAGCCATCGGCAGATCCCAGCGGCTCAATCTTCTCTACAACTGTACAACCTCGCACTCCGTTGCAGGCGTCTCTCACCTTACACCACAGCTCACCAACTGCCGACTTTACCGTCTCCTTCGACCTTTCCTCGCTAGACCGCGAGGATGGACCCAGAGTCGTCAGGGACCATCTTCTCCTGCCGCTCGCATCCATGGCTCACCCACAAGAGGCGCCTTCATCTGAGGCCCTCGTACGTCTGCTTGGCAATCGAGAGAGCGCCACGAAGCTGATGAATGCCGGTGAGAGCTTGGCGGGCAGAGCGAGCACGACGCTCCATGAGCAACGCGAACGGCTGTCTTCACCGCAGATCGAGGTGACAAACCCCTCCCCGCCTCCACGCAAGTCCGTTTCTCCTCATCAAAGACGGAGTCCTACTCGCACTCGCTCGCCGACACTCAGCAAATCTCGCAGCCCAGAAGAGACGCGCTCTTTGGCTGCACCATCTTACACCCCCTCCAAGTCATCTGCCTCCTCTTCCTCCAGTGCGATCCCAAGGACACCCTCCTCGAGTGTGAAAAAGGCTGTCCCGCAGACTGTGATTCGTCCCGAAGGGGACGACGACGATGACGAGGAAGACATCGTAATCTTCAACCCCACGCCTACCTCTTCCTCCCACCGCTCTCGGCAGAGCAATGGACGCCCCGAGAGTGAGGAACAGAGGAGATTGGACGCACAGAGCCCCACGCCTGGCTCGCGTCAGACTGCTGCTGCTGCTGCTGCTGCTGTTGCAGGACAGGACTTGACGCCTAGCGGACCTGGGAAGAGGGCGCAAGCGGAGAAAGACAAAGACAAGGAAAACGAGGAGGAGGAGGAAGAGGAGGAAGAGGAGCTCTCCCTCGGCTCAAAAGGACCGAAGGCAACGCCTCAGATGATTATCCAGCAGCGCCAGGCTGGCGATGCCGAGTCCGAGCAGGGAGACACCACCATGCGGCCAGCAAACATTGGAGAATCACCACCCCCGACTCGGCGAACGACGGGCGTGCGCTCCCCTCTTCTTCCTCCCGCCTCGACATTTGAGAGTATGCCTCCGACGCCGGTGCAAGTGGATCCTGCCAACCAGGAACTGCCCAGTACTGCTACTGCTACTGCCGGGCAAGATGGCGCCCCTCCGACGCTGCAGGCGCCGCCGTTGCCGACGTCTTCGCTGACGCACGCCGAGGTGGTGGATGGTCCGTCGAGTGGAGGAGCGGGAGGGAGGGGAACCAGCCGGTACACGAGGGGTTTGGCAAAGAGGAAGCGGATCTGAAGCGACGAGAGGGACACCATCAGGACGCAGTTAACTGAGAGGTGACGAACATCTCTGCGTGACCGGAATTGTGTTGTCTTATGTAATGCTATGCTATGTTATGCTGCTCTCCCCTCGCATCACCTCCCTCTCCTGACAAGCAAGACGAACATGCCCGCCGTGGCTGCGCTGAGAGAGAGCCAAGTAGCGGCATACACTGCGTGCTGGTTCCTGAGTTCAATCGTCGCCGACCGTCCAATGGGTACTCCCCTTGCTAGTCGAGTGGCAGAATCATACCCATCGTAGACTTCTTCCAGCAAAATCGGCAGGACGTGATGCTCCTTTGATGATTCGGATCCACCGACGCCTAGCATGCTCTTTACGCTCTGTGCCACACCCGCAGAGGGCGTGTACTCGTCGTCGTGAGACTCCTCCGGTGACGAAGGACCTAGCACTGCTGCTTCGCCCCTTGAGGAGACGTGCGATGCCATTGCTTGTGGGTCGGCGTGGAACCACCGGTTCCTCACTGGGTCGTTGGAGGGAGTGAAGGCGTTGGGCGGTGATACTGGGGTGAGGAGCGCAGTCAGAGTGACGTGTGATGAGGGCTGGCGGTGGAGGAGATGAAGGCGAGGTCGTAAGCCAAAAGATCCAATAAATTACTAACGCTCCGTCTAACTCACCTCTGCACCGCTCTTGATGGTCCTCCTGCCATTGCTGTCCTCAAAGATGCTAGTGTCTGCAACGAATCCTCGATCCACCAGTACCTCTCCACCACCTTCATCTCGGATGAATGGTGTTACAATGTGAGCTCCGACTGTTCCATCCCTGACCCTTGGGCCGAGGAAGAGGGTACGAGAGTGGTCAAAGTAGCCCGAAAGGGAGACGAGGCGGTAGGAGAAGGAGGGCAGGACGGAGAGACTGGAGGTGGAGGGAAGGAGCCAGGAGGGAATGGCGGGGAAGGTGTGAGATTGTTTTTCCCCTTTGTCTGACTTCCCATCGTGCTCACTTGATATTCTTGGGAAGCTTCATTGGTTCCTTTTTCAGCTTCCACTCGAGCTCTTCTATAAGTCCCACCTTCCACTCCAACCTCCTGATCTGCCACACGCCCAGTCCAAATGTGAAGATGGGCATGAAGCCTAGTAGGAGGAGTGCAGGTGACTTGTACCATGGCGGCGTCTCCTGTTTGGCGCCTTGTCCCTGGTAGCGTGCAGAGTAGAGGGAGTCGAAGGAGGACTGTGAAGAGGAAGAGGAGGTGGGGTCTGGGGGTGGAGTAGCGTACTGGCGAGCGCTGGAGGAGAAGGCACTGCTGCTGCTGCTGCGAGGTGGTGGAAGTGGAGCGAGGAGGACACGACGCGGTGCCTGAGTGTTGAGCTTGATGGCCCGCATGGCAGTGGCCGCAGCTGAAGGGGCAAGTGATCCTCTCATGGCTTGACGTGGACTGAGTATCTGCGTGGGTTGATGGTGCGGATGGTGAGACAGGCCTGACCTCGTTGAGCCTCTTGCCGTTGCTTCCGATCCTTGACAGGTCGCCCTTCTTTTTTTATCTAAGCCACGCGGGAGACGAGGGAGGCGCATTGCAGGCGATGTGGAGCAGCCAAGCGGACTCAGGCACAGACAGAGCAACACTTTCACTCTGCACTCAGTCCACCACGCGTCCTACTCTTACCCCTTCATCCTCCCAGCCATGGACATACAGTTCGAGGCACCGCCGCAGCTGCTACAGACGCCCGCAGCTCCAAAGGCCGACAGGGAGGCTGAGCTGCTCAGGAGGCAGATCTTGCGCGAGGAGCGGAGGCAGAGTAGACTTGCCACTATTGAGAAGTGGCAGCCGACAGTAGACAGGGAGAGGAGAGAATGCTCTAGATGGCTGGATCAAGGGACAAGCAATGGCGTCAAGCAGATGGAAGATACAAGGAGTAGTCAGCAGGAGCTCTTGGGAAGACAGATCAGGATGACCTGGGAGGTGAGTCAACCTGCAATCCCATCTAGCGCCATCATCACCCCGCTCAGCATCCACCGACACTCCCGCTCTCCCACTCTACAGGCCTCACGCCCCACGGAAGAGCAACGGCGCAGTCGCAACAGAGTCATCAGAGATCTTCAGACATTCTTCGACGAACATTGGCCAGGCCGCGGACTCCAAGTGGCCTCCTTTGGCTCATCCGTCACCGGCATGTACAATGCCTTGTCAGACATCGACGTAGTCATCCTCGACCCCTCGCGGCCTTTGGGAGTGGGTCAGCCTCCAGACGCCTTGGATGGAGAGTCCGATGCGGAAGTTGACGTCACCGGCGAGCTGCCAGAATGGTACGATGTGAGGACCATTGCCAAGCTCATGAGGAAGTGGGCAGGCAGGAGATGGCATCAAATCGTAGCAATACACGGCGCCAACGTACCCATTGTCAAGTTCAACGCCGGTCCTCTCAGTGTAGACGTCAACATCAACAACCGCTTCGGTCTCATCAACTCCCACCTCATCAGAGCTTACGCAGACCTCCGCCCGCTCCTCTTCCGGCCCCTGTGCTACGCCGTCAAGCACTGGCTCAAGAGGCGCGGGCTGAACGATCCCAGTGGACAAGGAGGGCTGGCAAGCTTGTCAAGCTACTCGATTGTTCTCCTCGTCATTCAGTCCCTCCAGGCCTCTGGGGATCTGCCAAATCTCCAGTCCTCTAGCCTCCTGCGCCACTTTGAAGCGCAAACCGAGTACCAGTGGCAGGCGCCAAAGAGGGTCAAGAGAAAGGTGGGGCAGCAGCCTCAGCGCTCTGGTGTCAATCAAACAACCCACCCAGACCCTGCAGGCGAGATGACAGCAATCAACGGGACACTCCCCACTGATGGCCCACTGCCTAATGGAAACTCACTGCCCAACGGAAGCACGCTCCCGAATGCTTCAATTGAACGGCAACTACCCCCTCGAGACTACGTCCCCAGCAAATACGACGTCACCTTCTTCGACCCAGCCAAGCGTCCCCCACACGTCAGACCAGTAGAGGGCATCGGCACGCGTAGCTGGGTCAATACCAAAGTCTATCCTCACGTAGCAAGCGCCGCTAAAGGCCCCACTGCAAAGGCAGATCAGAATGTGGATTGGCCTGCGCCGGAAGAGTCGGGCTTGCATCTCATTGATGCTGGTCGCAAGGAAGTGAGCAAAAATGATGCAGCAATGGGAGCCAGATTCCTCGACTTTGTCAAGTTTTTTGCGTCGCTGCCGAAGCGGCGATGCTACGTCAGCGTTGCACAGGGAGCACCTTGCATCATTCATGGACCGTCAAGTGATGCAGACACGCAGGGAGGCCAGGAGGTCACGCTGCCTTCAAATGGCACTGTTCACCCTTCTCCCGCTCCCACAAAGAGTACTCTAGCACCACCATCGCGGCCCTCCTCGAGCTCAACAGAAGCCAGCGTGCGCACTGCCTTCTCCCAGCTCAAAGTCTCAACTGACGGCCCTTCCCACCCGGTCGAATGGTCCTCCTGCCGCCTCGTCATCCAAGACCCCTTTATCACCGACCGCAACACCGCCAAGAACGTCGGCAAGATTGTCGCTGACCGGCTAGAGGTGGAGTTCGGGCGAGTCGCAGCACTCTACCGTCTCCGCCCTGGTCAGCAGGGGGAGGAACCCTCGGAGCCGGTGCTCTTTGCGGATATTGCACTCCCGCTCGAGTACGACGAGGCGGTGCGTATTGAGGCTGGGGAAGAGTCGGGAGAGGGAGAGGACGCGGGGAGGAAGAGGCGGAGGGGTCCAAAGGGGGGAAAAAAGCGGTATAGAGGCAAGAATGGCAAAAGCGGCGGAGGCGGCGATGCAGTCAAATCGGGTCAAGCCCCAAGGCCGTTGACGGCATGAACGAAGAGAAAAGTGATGCATATTACGTTTCCAGAACAACAAGCAATGTATCACAACATCCATCGTACAGTGTCCAATTATTCGAGTCAATTGGCTAGCCTTGGCCGGTCATTCATGTCCTTTTCACGGCTCCTCCGTGCGCTCATCTGACGACGAAGTTGACCTGCCACCTGCAGCATCGACGGCGACTGTAGCAAAGCAGAGCTACTTTCCCGCTCTTCTCAGGTGATCAATTCGTAGGAAGCATTCTGAGGAATCTCGTCGGCCTCCGGTTCGTCGTCTTCATCTACATACCAAGCCTTCTGTTTCACAGAGGGCAGAACTAGAGCCTGTGCGAAGGTCAGGGTACTGACTAGCCAAGTTCCAGCCTGCTCAACAGTGAGCGGCGCCTTGCTGAGGAAATGACCTCCCAGTCTCTCATACCGTGGCAAGACGATGGCTATCGTTTGCTCCACGAAGGCAAGCCAAGCAGCAATCTTGAGTGTGCCGGCAAAGTTTCCTCGACGGCGTTGTAAAGTACTGGTGGCGGACTGTCGCGAAGCGTCGATTGCGAATCTTGGCGAGACGAAATTGAATGCGAGTTGTGTGAGGCTAGCTGATCCAATCAAGATGCCTGGCAACGTGGAGAAGAGGTGCTCGAAGAGCCAGTGTCCAGACTCGGACTGCGATGGCTTCAAGTAGCACCCTGAGCCGGAGAGAATATGACGGTCGCCAATTGGTATGACTGTTGTGAACAGGTATACCACAACAAAAGACTGTGGGGCGAGGAACATGAAAGGGCAGCGTGATCACGTCAGTCAGAAGAAGTGTCGACAATGAGAGATGGGAAGAGCCCTATGAACTCACGACCACAGGCCACCACTGGAGCAGATCCCTCTCTGCCATTCTTGACTTGTATTCCTGCTTGGATTCTGGCCTTTGGACAATGTTGGTGCTGAGCAGTCCGAGCAGGCGTCTGCCACCAGCTGCAGACGTCTTCGTCACTGGCATCAATCGCAAGAGTATCCTGATCTGCCAAACAATATTTAGCAGCACTAGGAGGATTGGGAGGAACGAGATCGCCCAGTAGACATGGTAGAAAATGTCGGGCGAGCTACGAATGCCAGCAATCCAGGGACGCATCTGTGCGGGAATTGAGAGGGCAGTCGCAGTGGCTATCATCCATTGAGCATTGTGTGATAGGCCAAGGGTATTCGAGCGGGTATACCAGTAGATCAGCGCGACTGCAAAGGCAGCGTGAGAGAAGAGTAAGCTCCGTGCTGAGGTCCTCCGTCTTGCCCAAAACGCAACTCACGACCTAATTCTAATGATTCGGCCAGACCAAAGATCAGACCCATAGCAATGGCTCCCCGCGTCTTACTACGCGGATGGGCAGCGCTTCCCAATGCGATAGATGCTGGTGTACATCGAGACGTAAGGTTTTGGCCAATAAAAAATCAGCTGGTGCAAGAGTAGCGCTAATCTGCATTGCATCAGTATCAGCTACTCACTCCAGAGTTCCCAGTAATTCTCCTCTTCCGGGAGAAAAGTATTGATCATTTCTTTGTGCTTGCCTTCCTCTACGTCCCAAGCCGTGGTTGCATTTGGCATCACCGGCTCAACCCAGCTGAGCGTCCACGACCGTAGCATTCTGTGGGCCGCGAAGTGGACACTAAGGTCAATGTGAAAGAACTCTGGACTGGCGGCTTCAGGTGAGAGAATAGATGTGTCACAGGCGCCTTGCTTAGCTGCCAATCGAGCAAGCGCCGCTTCAGAGCCGGGCCTCAGGTGAGGAAGCTGCTGGTGTTGCGCTGGCCCTGTCGAGGCTGGGCCTCCATCGTACAGCACGGGAGACCAGCGGAATGCGACATCTTCCATCTTGAGCTCTTGTCCCTCATTAGACTTGGCTCTAAATTGCAAGAGCTGCTCCAGAGGTCCGTTGCGGCGTATGTCGTAGCAAGCACCTGGCAGTTCCTCGTCCTCAGGCCTTGCCTCCCAGCACGGGGCCGAATTCCTCATCGCAGTCTGCTGCCTAAAGCCCCAGTCCGGAAGTGCAAAGTGTCTCTCGTCACGCAAGAGCACAACATTGACACGGCTTCTGATGTGAGGGTGAAAGATTTGACATAGCTTGCTGTCGCCGATGTAGTATCGATTACCGTCTTGGTCGTGAGTAAGATTCTTGACAAAGTGGCGGCTTGCATAGGAGTTGTCCATGAAGCTAGGTACAAGGGGTGAAAGGTTCTGCAACGGCCTGGGAGAGAAAGATTGGGAAGAATTGCCGCCGGTACAATTGAAGCCTGGAAGATCACCTTGAAGGTAGTACTTGGATGGTAGAAGCTTTAGAAGAGGTACACTGGGAGCGGTGTGGTCAAGTACATCTTGCAGCACGAGGCGTCCAGTCCTACTCTTGACCGCATTTGCACTGCTCAATGAGCGAGGCAGAGTGAGGGAAGTATTCGGATGAATCGTCATTCTGCCTTCCAGCTCGCCCAGATCTGTCACTGTCTGCTCATCTGGCCGCAGAGTAAATGTGATACGAAGCGACGAGGGTCCCAGCACCTGTGTATAGAGTGGCTCGATGGGAACGTCTAGAGGCACGGAACCAAAGACGAAGCTGTCCATCGTGACGCTGCGGAAGAGGACATCTTGATAAAGAATTGCGTCTGTGCGTCGCTCCTGCACGGTGGTATTGGGAAGCAGGTACGTGACAGTTTCAAATCCGGCAGGGAGCGAGTGACCCTGATCCAAGTGTTGTGTGACGTCGAGCCAAACAGTGGCAACGATGTCAAAAGGCGTCGAGGCGTTGATCAGAGGCTCCACCAGTGGTGGCTTTGCTTGTGCGACGGGATGCTTCTTGTGGTTGAAGGTGATATCGGAATGCGGGTGGTTCAACTCTCGCAGCACGCCCCCGCCGAAATACAAGGCGATCACTACCACTGCCAGCGAAGCGAGGACCTGTATGATCAACAGCAGCTTGCAGATGCTGGAGCACCACGATCTGCCTTTGCGCGTGGAGGAGCCATTGCTCGAGGCGGCTGGTGTGGTGGGGGAGGATGGAGTGGAGCTGGAGGGTGGTGGTCTCCTGTTCCTCAATGGCTCACCGGCCTGGTAACCACGACTCATCCGAGGGGATTGGGGGAGCTCAGTCCGAGGGCGGTAGACTGATCGATGTAGAGAGTTGGATAGATCGCACAGCCAGCTCAGGCCCGAGGCTGCCTGTCAGATCACCGGTGCGCAGCGTTGGGATTGCGGGGAATCCTCGGCTGCAGCACCCCGCACGCGCCACTCCCGACGGGCCTTGGCGTTGCACCGGCACGGCGCGTTGCCGCCGGCTGGGCAAGGAAGGCCCCCGTCTATCGGATCGGGGAATAGACGCGCCGGCCGGAAGTGGCCTATCGGATCGGAGAATAGTCTAAGCGGGCTGCTGCAGGCTGGCGCGCGTGGAGCTCAAGTGTGGCTCCTCCGCCTGTCAAGAGGGGCGAAGGTGAAGTGGTAGACAGTCTCACCTCTGTCCTTCTCACTCACATCCACCATACCAGACGGGGCAAGCATCGCCATGGCCACGATGGCAAAATCTCGTATGAGGCAGACACAGGGTTGACAACTCACCCTCCGACACCCGCACCTCATCCTGCCCAAAGGTTCTTTTTCCAGGCTGCAACAGACGTTGCTCCCGAGAAGCCACTGGCTTACCATGGGCTTGTGCCTCAACATCGTGGTCAAGATCAATGCGATGGGTCGAATATATCCTCCCTGGTCTGAGTGGAGCAGACGAGCTCGGCGGATCTCATCAGTGTGGGTCTGTTGCGATGCTTTCGTTACCAGGTGAGTCGGCAAGATCCACCAGCATAGGCAGGGCTGTGCATTGTAGCTAATGTCAGTGCTGTCACTATTGCTCCAGCGCAAGATCTGCAGTTCTCACACCATGAACTCTGATCTTCACTTTCTGACCTGATCCGGGAAACGAGTGCGGTCCTGGTACGTCAACCCAGCCAGTTACGGCTGCTCCCTAGCATACGATACTCGGACACCCGACGATCAAGCCGAAGTTGTGAAGATCATACACTTCCTTTTCCAAGGAGGAATATTCGGTAGAGCTGTGTGGTCACTCGACTATCGCGGCCCAGACGCACATCGAGATCGAGGGTGACGAGGTTGCTGTTCCGCACACGATCAAAGTCATGGATGGAATGCGACCTCTCGCCGTACGCTCCGGACCTTTTGGCTCTTGCACTGCAGTATTTGCATGCAGTTCAGGATGAACCTCCTTTGGTCTTGAACTTCACATGGCGGCCAAAGCACTTGCGTGCGCACGAGTTGAAGATCACACAACACCCAGGGCTCAGGCTTGCCCCAAGCTCCTGAGTCCAGTGGGTTAGCGAAGATCCAACTACTAGCTTTCAGACTAGGACCTCAGAGAGATCTACGACCTCAGCAACACCAGTGACCGTAGTCAGAGCCGGTCAGTAGTTCGTGTACAGAGTCGAGAACGCCCCTCGAGCTTTCGGTGCCCTGGTGACTAGGCAGCCTCTGGCAGAACACATTGGCAAAGAGATCTTTCTGTCTCATCTCGTCCATATTCATCTGCAGCTTGCGCAGCAGCTCCTCAGCCTTGCAAAGGCAGGATACCACTACCGCGATCTGAACGAGGGCAACGTTTGCCGTCTGCATGGCACTTCTGACACCTTCTTGCTCGTCGACTTGGGAAAGATGAGAGAGGGGCTCAGCCCCCGAGGGCGGCCACCAGAGATGACAGACGCAGAGGCGATTATTGGCCGAGGTATAGACGACATGCAGTCGGCCAATGCAGATGCTGAGGTCGGCGATGGGGTCAAAATGTGGAAGTTACACCCCGAGCAATTGCCTAAAGAGCTGAGCAAACTTAGCGGCCGAGATGCCAGACTTCATCTCAGAGATTGAATAGACGACCGCATGGAGAAGGACGGCAACGGGCGATGGAACCCCACGTTATACGCCATGGAGACGACCCAAGACGTTCAGCAATCTGCCGAGCGCATCGGAGCCACTGATGCAGTAGTCAACGCTTCCCAGGAGCTGAATGATTACGTTACGGAGATCAAGAAGAAGGAAAAGACAAGAAGCAGAGGTCCAGGAACCCTGATACAGGTCTGGTAAAGATCATCTGCCGTTTGGGCGCGGCGGTACGTAGCCAAGTGCGGCAATGACAAGCAGAGGATGGTCAAGCTCCACAAACAGGAGACGTCACCTCAGACACAATCAGACTATGGATATTTCCTTCCTATGGAGGATGTACGCATGGATAATGTGAGTGGAGAATCACCTATGGAACGGACCGGATCTCCTCTCTCACTCTCACCATAATGTCTCATGTCTCACGAAAGGACGTTGATGATGCAGAGTTTAACAAAGTCGACGTTTTTGTCCGCGGTTCAAAGCCATCTGCTGGCCAAGCCAACAACCACTGGTCCAACGTCGTCTCGTTTCTAGGAGTCAAGGCGGCAGCGTCTGATGACGTGACGAAAGAGATTGTTTCAATGTTTGCGATATGCCGTGAGTCAGGGCGAGTCCGAAACCTGCAACGAGGCCTGTCTGCTAATCGTGAGAACTGAAGTCTCTTTTGACCGCTACACACCTTTGTCAGAGAAAGATGTGCCAGTACAGTACTGTCAATTCAGATCTCTACTACGTGACGTGGTGTAGAAGTCTGGTGAGGCTCTGGTACCTCGACGCAGCCATATTTGGCTGTTCTCGACCTTTTGACAGTAGCAAGCACGAAGACCAGGTCGAAATCATCAAGATTCTACTTCTCTTGTGTTTGGAAGAACACGCCACGCTCCTGAATGGACACTGGGCCATCGCTGCTCACAGAAGCTTTACGATTGTGGCTGACAAAAGGGTTGGTGTCAAGGCCAAGGAATTCAATGTCGAGAGAGGACTGCGATCACTCGATGTACGCCCTGGACCATTCGGGACGGGTACTGCAGTATTTGCCGAGCGAAATGAAGACGGTACAAGACAATGCATTCGCGACTGCATCGTACTGCTGTGGAAGGCAGACCTGGAGGTGACGGAGATGACGGAAAACCGCCAGAAGACGGAGGCGGACCAGGAGACGACGAAGGTACTCGGGAAGGAGGGGCCAGCGAAGGACGCAGTGATTAAAGTGCTCCAGAAACGAGGGACCTCAGAAGACGAGCCACAGGCCCTTCCTCGAGAAAGAAGACGAGGAGGGAAGGATCCGGTTGACCAAATTATAGGCATGTATCGCTCTTCATATCATCTATCGCCTCGAGTCCGCAATACAATTGATTCTCATCTCCTCGAATCTTTTCGCATTACTGAAGCTACACTTCCGCACGGAGACTAGCGGGACGTCTTGACCGTGCTACAATGGTCTGCGCTCTTTCCAGTAGCCAGGAGATGTGGTCCGGGTCGTCCTTGTCCAGCTTCTTGTCTGTGTGATGCGGTCATGATGCATGGCGCCGATGCGTGACCGGTTCGACGCTTAGTGATAGGAAGGGTTCGAAGGGACCGGCCGGAGAAGAAGGCTCGATTGGCCTGATGAGAGATTTCCTCCGAAGCTGAGCACGGAATCATGTTTGAGACAGCAACGACCTTGCCGACAAACAACGTCACGAATTGCCACGATCTTTTAGCCCTCTTTACACTGGAAGTGAGGTTTGATGTGAATCGTAGAAGAGACAACAGTAGGTCCACATGATGTACCGTAAGGTGTCTACCTTACTGCAGAGAAGTAACGAGACTGCAGTCACACCTGACGAATCAAAATTACGCGTGTACCTCTGACTGTTGCGGCAGATGGGTCAGCCGGTACCATTTGTAACCCACTGTTGAGCTCGCAACGTTGAAACCCCAAAATGTTGCCTCAAATCATAATCTCAGCTGCGCACATTGAGCTTACAAAAGTGGCATGACGGAGCGTCCCGGTGCTTGGCCAAAACAAATCCAATCAAAGCCAAGCCTACATCACAGCACATGCCTAGAGGGAGCTACACGCTGTTGCTCTCCCATCCATGGATGACTCTCTGTACGGCTGGTACTGGGCATCCCACAGAATGCGCCAGGATCCCTCTACTGTACATTCAGTGGCACAATCCCACAGGACCTCAGAAAGCATGGCACACTGTTCATTCTCAGACGTCTGGAGCACAGTATCGTATAATCGAAGAGGATCTTGCATCACTCTTTGGCAAATGTGCCGTCTTTGCAGGGACGCGCGACTTGACGCGCAAGCGGCGAGTAAGCTACTATAGCAGGACAGTACGGGATCTGATCCTTGGCGAAAACCTTCCTGATGTTGCATTACTCTCACAAGAATGTGCTGTACTTCTTTCGTCACTCAATTCTCACTAGTGCAAATTCAAAGGAATGAACTGATCGGAGATCTGGCAGCTTGCCCCGCGCTTTGACAATCTGTGGCTGGAATCAGGCCACATCTTGGCGAAGCTCAGGCATTACAACAGCGTCATACAGCCCAACCTCAAATTTTAGATGACCAAAATATGTTTGTGCTGGCTGGAAACAGAACGCATGGCCAAGAACCGCTGCAGACGGCTACAGTAGAATCGAGTGATGAAAGAAGTAACATGCTCCACTTGCCTCATTCATTCCAGGTATGTTCGCTCTCATCCCATCCTTTGGGAACTTGTTCGGTAGCCCTCGCTCGCTCCTAAAGAGTCTCACTCACCCTGTGTGTCGCTTTGGGCCAAATTGTCTACCAATGTGATACGAGAAGGCTGACGATCTGATAGAACTACGTTATCCGGTGCTCCACATGGCATTTCAATGCATGACCTCTCTATCAGAGGGGGAATCTTTGCATTAGATTGCGTAAGACTATCTTTCATTCGTATTTTAGCACAGCGTTGCGTAATAGTAGCATGACATCGCGTCCACCTGCCTACTTGGCGTAAATTTTGCTGAGATCAGAGCTTTTCTTCAGCAAGAACGTTTTCAAACCTTCCTGGAGCATTTGAAAGAGAGAAGAGTCTGCGTTGGTGAGATACTGTACTGTAGCAAACAACATTGAGTGCTCTTATGGAACGATTCTCCCAAATTTCTGCTATACTTGCGTCAAAGGCTGCACGCCGACTCATTCGATTCACAAGAGTATGTTAGTCTTTGACCGGATCGATGCAATCTTTGTCTTGCTATCAGTGCTATCAGACCGACACAAGCTTGTGCAAGCTTGACGGAAGGACGCGAGTCACGCTGAAGTATTGCTTCAGTACGGCGTAGATTGCAGTACAAAGTGGTACAGTACCTGGTTGCGAAAGCTGTACATGTGCGAGCACGGACAGGTCACCTTGCAGCATCGTGTGTTCACAGCGTCCCGTCACCATGTAAGTACGATACAGTTTCACCGCGAAAGTCGCACTGCTGTCAAAGTTCTCTGACTCTATGGCGGTCACATACAGTACAGTACTCCCTTGTCACTCAACCCTAGCCGGCTGCAGCTGGATGTAGCCCAATTGCTCCAATTCTAACCAGGACGAATTTTCTTTGGCGGCATGCACGTACAATTTTGGCAGCCAGATACTGCTCCAGTGATCTGTCTTTGCGTGAGCGTGGCTCGATTTGGCCAAAATCGAAGACAGTTTGCCGGATTTTGCAAAAGCAACAGGCTCTTATTTGGCTAGAATGGAGGAACAAAAGGAGTATGCAGAGGCACGAAGCTCTGCTGTGATGCCGGACTATTCGATTCAATCGACCGTCTTGTGCACTGCAATGCACCAAAAGTACAGGTGGAGGACATCCCTAGAGTGAAGTAGACAGCTTTTGCAGATACTGCACAGTCATGCTGTATCAGAGGAGATTTCAAGTACTCCTTCCATCACCCTTTGGACCAAAGTCAGACTCTTTCCAGCAGTCTGACTCCGGCAGCTTGCCTGGCGAGGTTCTGAGCCTGCAAGCAACACATACTTAGTGCTAGCCGAGTTCAGCCACTAGAGCAGTGTCCAGCTGCCAAAATTGACACAGCAGATTGCCAGGACTTTCTTACCCTGGCCAGATCTAAGGCTGATGTGCCATTCTGACGCGCATCTGGCAAGGCTTAACTGACAAAAGGAGCAATGAAGGTCAAAAGAACGCATCTGTTGTCTATTTCCGTACAATATTGTACTGGACAGTACCTTCCTGACTTCATCTCTATACAGTGATCAATCTGATACCTTTTTTGACCAATGGTTGATGGTCGAAGTCTTGCGGCAGTGGCAGGTTAGGCCTGTCTAAAACTTCCGAGACATTGACACTCTTCAGTCTGCAAGTGTGCATCCGCGATCACACTTGGATACTGTACCGTACTGTACTGACAGGCAGAGCCAGACAGCAATGAGCTCGACATCCCCATTAGCACTTGTACTGTACAGTACTGTACAATACATAACCACTGATCTGCAGTAAACACTTATGTACAGTAGCGGCTGTCGCCAGTCGATGCGGCTGATAACGATGATTGGATACTCAGAAACCAGTGAATCAATTTGTATCGCTGAACCACAGTACTCCTTCCGTCACTCAATTTCAGCCAAATGCGCGTCAAATTAGCCGCTGCACCAAACTTCTAGCCAGGGCAAAAATATTTTGGCAGCATGCATGTTCAGAAGTAGCCGCTTGACACTGCTCTACAGTAGTGCTTGAACTTGGCTAAAGCGTGGCTTAACCTCAGGCTCAGACTGCCAAATTACAAGGCAGACTGCCAGACCTCAAGGCAGCATGTCAATCTCACCTGCAGCTGGCTACAATTGAGTGACGAAAGGAGTATAGAGCTCCCACTTCCAGCTGTTGTCAGGCAGGGACAAGCAAGTACAAATGTGTTTGATCAGCTGTGCGTCGCCCACCGAGCTGCTGTCTTGATTGTCGATCGGCTCAAGTCGAGTGGCATGAGGTACTGTATCTTGCAGTCAACTCTGCCATTGTCCTGCGATGTTGCTCAGAGGGTACAGTAAGACAACAGAAAGAACGTACGTACTGTACAGTACATATTTCAATCAGGGTCCCCGAACACAGGTTACGAGAATCGGCAAAGCCAGTCAGGGCTTTTCGAGCGGCATCGTCCGGAGTAGACAGTCTGCTTCAGTAGTGCGAAGATTCCTACCGTTCGATATTGCGTATAGCCCTCGTTGTACAGTAACCATCGCGAAGTCATCTCATGCCTAGAACTTGGTTCTCCTGAGCTGCTATACTGCTGTCCGGGCAGCCATTCTCAGGCTGCAATCCAGCAGCAACGTTCCTGAGTCACTGAGAGTAAGTCATTCTCGTGCGCGAATTGCATTGGGCATGATGTCAAGAGATACTTGAATTCATGTATGACACAGGCTAATTGGATTTTCATTCGGATTACATCATGAACATCCTTGGAGCTGTTGATTCTTCTTACCATCGTTTGCTGTCAATGGAGCCCGCAGGTCCTGCCCGAGCATTCCAGTCTCTTTCCCTTCCCTCCTGTTCACCGCTCACGCTCTCGACCTTCTGCCCTTTGCAGTCTCCTTCGCGCCAACATATCCATTAATTCCTCTTCTGTGTATGATCCATTGAGCTCCAAGCGTTCGGTCACTGTCGAAGGTACCGGAGCCGGCGACGCAGCTTGCAGCAATTCCCCCTTGGGAGTTCGACTCATGTCGCTTCGGCGTGTTGCAGGTGGCCGGGATGCCTGTCGGCCCTGTTCCGTCATAGCCTCCCATTGCCTTGCTCTTTCACCGACGCGGGACATCGGTCCATTCGCCAGGGTGGACAGCATCGGGGATGTTGCACACTCGAATTGCGAAATCCGCGATGTCAAAGGTGAGCTAGGTGAAGAGGCTGTTGTATCTGATGTGTCATAGCCGCAAGGACTGGAGTAGTGGGCCTGAGCAGAACGAGGGAGGGCGCTGTTGATGAAGTCATACTTAGGGGCAAAGGGCAGGGCGGGCCGCCCACCTGCGCTCCGCTGAAGCGGGGCTGTAGACTGGTTTGGCATCGCAGCCCCATGTGTCAGAGTCAGTCCGGGCTCTATCGCGTCGCCTAAGTCGAAGACCTTGGGCGTCGACACGGAACCCGACTCTCCTCCATGCAAGCCTGCCTGCAATGGTGTACACTTTGGGCTGGAGCCGGAAGAAAGAACGTCTTCTTGTCCTGCTTGCCGGAGAAGAAATCTTGCGAAGTTTGCGTGTTGTCGTGTCCAAAGAGGACTGCTGTTGCCATGTGTCGTTGAAGTCTGACGATCACCATATCTGAGCTGCTCGGGAGCACATGCAGATGAGTATTGTTCTTGTGTACCCTCGGTGTCTGCCCATGTGATCATCGAGTCGTCCTCCACGTTGACGACAGTATCTTCGTCGCACGGGCCCTGCGGCGACGGGATGCCATCTGCTACCTCCCTGTCCCGGTGGTCGAAAGAAAAGTCGACTAGCTCCAACGGAAGAGAGAAGTCCTGGAGTTCTGGAAGAAGCAATTCCGACTTGATAAAGGCGGACGAGTGCTCGGCAATGCGATCGCCATTAGTGTCACTCTGTGAAGCATTGTTTCTCGTGATCGTCTGAGTGGAGTTTTGACGGTCCACCACAGGCGACGAGCAGGTGTAAGACATGTCATCGTCTTGCAAAGACTGTCGATCGTGCCGTTGGGTGGTACCTCTTGAGCTTTTCTCCTCATAGGTGTTTGTGGAGACATCATGAGGGTGGCGACGCTTTCGCCAGGATACATCCTGCAATTTGATGAAGTTGTCATACTTCATACCGGATGAATCTGCGGAGAGGTACTCGAAGGAAAGATCCTGTTCACAGTCTGATCTCCTCCAGGGAGATTTCCTCTCTCCTACAGTGTGCACGTCTGATCTCAACAGGCTGTCAAGGTGCGCCCGATCACTGCACAAAATGTCTACGATCGATCGATCGCCGTCATTCCCTGCTTCATCAAAAGGTGCAAAGAAGCCCATTGCTGCATGCGATGGTGATGCAATGTCGACAGTTGACGAGTCCATGTTCTCGAGCACGCTCCCAGCAGCATATGATCCCTCCAGGCTTTGGTCGGCAAGATAAGAGTGCATGTCGTAGTCGAATTCTGCTCTGTCGTCATCGCCGGTCCAAATGCTCGCTTCTGGGGGAGACCATGGTAGAATCGAAGAGGGGGCGCTTGCAATAGCGCCGTGCTTTACTTGAGCCTCCGGTGAACTATTGAGCTGCGCCTCCACAGGCTTCACAATGTTTTGCATGAGCTCATCGACCTTGGCAGCTTCGACTTCCTGAGTCTCCTCTGCGGTACCTTGTGCGGGCGACGTATTGGTACAAGTGTCATTGGTGTCTGGAAAGGGTTTTACGGCAGCCTGCTTGAAGCGCGGCGATCTTCTCAAGCCCTTCACAGTGCCATCATCCGGCGCCTGCAGGACTGCTCGTGTCTCAGCAGGGTGGGCATCCACAGAGTTGGACAGGGTTGGGTACGGCCTTGCTGCTTCTCGCATTGGGCTCAGCGATCGTCGGAATTCCTCTTCGCGACCGGGTGAGCCCTGTCCACGAGCGGAACGAAGGCCTCTACGTGGACTGGCTTGCGGTGGGGGGTAACGTTGTCTCTTAGGCGAAGTACTGCGAGGGCTACGAGGGGATGGTCCTTGGACGGCACTCAGTTCGGTCTGGACCTTGCCCGTAGCGATTCTCTTAAGACCCTTGGCTTTCTGTCTGGCCTTGATCGACTTCTCTGTTACTCGCGGTGTGTACTTGTATTCAGGATATGCCTGCTTATGCTCTGCTTCCTTTCGCTTGGCCATGTCTTTGAAGGTCGACTTGACCGACTCCGGCTCTGATTTCCACATCTGTGCTAGGAGAGTCGATATGGGGACAGCTGTAGAAGCCGTCATGCCGCTTGCTGACGAGTGTTCGCGCAAGGAAGTCGAGGTCGAAGGTGGCTGGATGAAGGAAGACGATGGCGCAAAGGTCGAGGACAGAGAAGGAGTGGGACTGCCGACTCTGCTTCTTCGCTCCTCGAAGGCTCCGAAGAAGGGCTTGGTGGGACTAGGATCACCATCTTGCGAGGTGCTGCCGAGGGCGGCTAGAGCGCTGGCTGTCAGAGCACCCCTCTTGAGACCACCTCCTCCACTTGAAGATCGTCTGGCATGACCTTTTGCGGGAGTCGTAGGCCCGGACCCGCCTCCTGTTGCTTGTTCTTGAGCTGCCAGGCGGAGCTCCTCCTTGCGAAGCTGCTCGATCTTGTGAGAGCGGTAGAGAATCCAGGCATTGGGAGGTCGAGGTATAGGGGCAGGGGATTGAGCGGGAACATCATCGCTGGATGGCGCTGCCGCACGATCTCGCGCTTGTGGGTGAGAAGAAGAGGACGTGCTCATTATGGATCGATCGCAGCCTGGCGACCAAAAGATATGTTGTTGAAAGAAGGTGTTCTTACCGAGGTGCTGGTAGAAGTGGGCGTGGTGCGAAGGTGGGCCACTCGGGTGTTGCTCGCCCTTGCAAGATCACCTCGTATCGGCTCAGGCACAGATGGCAATGTGTTGATTGAGATTCTCCTACCGCTTTGCCACCACGATGCTGACGGCCCTCCGATCTCCGGCGCAAGGCCTACGGACCATATCTGCTGCCGCTTCCATTGCCATCACCTAGGAATGCTACAGCGAGTATGGCTGATCGCCAGAGACTTGAGTGGAGTCTACCTTCACCTCCTTGCAGACGTTCTCGGGCTCGCTCAGAGACTGATGAAGGACAAAGGAGAGTGGGACAAGGGGTTGGGATTGCTCGTTCGGCCATGCGCAAGGGCGCGTCGCGGTCGCAACAGGTACGCGGCTGGCGGGCCGTAATTGGTTTGAGTCAACATGGGTAGAATGTCATCTGACGATCACGGAGGGAGAGGCGGACACAGCTAGGATTTGGGTACCGGCAGGCCTTCGTACCAACACCATTGCATACCGTTACGACCTACGACTACACACAGTTTCACTTGTCAACATGCCAGCCTTGATACAGCTGCCCGACGTGGCGAACACAACTCTCAAAGCCATCGATGAAGCTTCCCTAGCCCAGGCTTCGTCTCCATCCTACCTTCCATCCGGCAGCAAGGCGAAGTTGTCAATCCGGCAAATCCCGTTGCAGGACACTCATCACCAGACAACATGGACAGACATCATCCATCCATCAGAGGATGCAGTATCACCTCCAGCCTTCGAAGACTACGACGTCGAAGCTGTGCAAGCCTCTGAAGCGTTGAGGTATGCAAGGCAGGGTCGACCAGGTGGTCAGGTTGTCTTCTACACAGGGTATACACCTTTATCAGCTCCGCCAGTACCACCACCGCCACCCAATGCGAATGACGCAGATCGAGCAAATGCTCCGGCTCGCCCTACACCGCTACCCACTGCTCCTCCAAGAATCAACGGCGGAGCGTTGTTGGCTACTGCTGCTCCTTCACCCCTCGTCGCACAAGTTCCAATTCCGGCCGCGGCAGCTCCTACGCCTCTTCTACCAAGGTCACCTGGGCATCAGCTCCAGAGGCGCAGGCCTTCTCCCCACCACAAGAAGTGCGCTGCGGAGCCAGATCATCCAGACTGCCAATGCGAAGCGCCTCCTTGCGGTACCAAGACAGATGTGGTCTGGGTTCATCAGACCACCCTCATCGATCAGCCTGCACCTCCACCCGCGACGCCCATCTGCTACACCATTCAGCAGACTTCTACCTACTGGCAAACAGATCTGGGCATTTGGCAAACGACCGTCTTCCCCGTACTGAGCACGCAGTGGGTGTGGGAGCAGGTGCCCCACGTCGTGACCAGCGCAAGCACGACCTACAAGCACAAGGTCATCCCGGGAGGTGGACCAGAATGCAAGAAGCCGCCCAGCGATTGGTGCAAAGATGGCTGGCAGAATGGGATATGGCAAGGAGAAGGTAAAGAGCCTTGCTGGCCGGTGCTTCCTCCTACCGATGACGACTGGTGGCGTGTCAGCTGGAGGCCGTTCTTCCCGGTCCTGCACAATCCCCAAGTGGTCACTCTCATCATGATACCAGTCTTCTTGGTGGTCATCACGTTGCTCTGGGCAGTCAAGAGGCTGTCACTGCTGGTACTGCTGCCGCTGCAGATGTATACGAATTTGGTCCACGAGCTTGCGCACTGCTTCGCCGGACTGCTTGGTGGTGCTCGTATTTGCAGCGTAGGCATAGACCCGGGTTGTGGTCCCATCAGGTGAGAGGAAAAGAAGCAGTCTACGCAATGAGATACCGCATTTTCAGTACGTTGACAGCGGATCGCTTGCCCTATTCCCTATAGTACAATGCGCAATGGCTCCCCAATGTTCACCCTCCTCTCAGGCTATATCGGATCCATCATCTTCGGCACCATCATGGTCTTTGTGGCCTTCGACGAGAGATCTTCAAAGGTCATGTACCTCATTCATGCGCCCCTTTGGCTGATAGTGTTCTGGTTTGCCGAGGGCTTTTTGGTGAAGCTACAAGTCTTTGCGACCGTGAGCGGGAGCATCGTACTTTGGTTCGGTGAGTCTGACGTTGCTGAGCTGATCAAGAGCAGCTCGAGAGCTGACCACTCCCGTGCGGCGGAAAGTCTTCCAATGTCGCTTGTTGCGCTTCTACATCCTCTTTCTTGGTCTAATGTCGATCCTCTATGTAGTCTGGGATACTCTCGATGAGTGAGAAATCAGTCAAGCACCTCCATAAGGCATAATCGGCAGGCTGACAACTCCTCGCTATTTACTCCCTAGCATTCTGTATCGTAAACAGAATGAGTCCGACTCGGGCCTCCTGAGCAGACTTGTGCCAGGGTCTAGACCAATCAGTGAGCAAAGGAGATAGCGATGACTCAGAGTGAGCTCGATGACTGACGAAATCTCTTCGACGTGTCCATAGTATGGGGACTCTTCTTCACCCTGCTTGCGCTAGGCCACCTTGCCTTGGCCATCTGCTTCGGTGAGTATCAGTACTCAGAGATGCCATCGTCGCCATATGTACTGATAGCTTGCTTGCTGCTCTGGGACTCAGGCCTTCATTTCTTCAAGGGTGACATCCATGCTCCATCTGTCAACTTCCTTCCAACCTTTGATATCGGCAGGCCGGACTTGCGCAGCCAAGATGCGATCAAGAAATACTAAGACCGGGACACCTCGTCGCAGTAGTACTGAGACAGACACTTGACCGCCATTCAAGACACCGAATTGAGTCAGGGCTCATGTGCAGTCTACGCGGCCCGACACGTCATCGGTTGAAAATGTATTCGTAAAGTAAAGAAATTGAGTTGCGCATGTACTACTATGGTTGACTGTCGCGCGCAACAGTACCAGGCCTCACCACTGCATGGAGCCTCAAGAAGGGCGGCTGCTCTCGGAGGACATCCCATCGAGCAAGGAGGCGTGACATCAGGCTTGCTGCGCTGGTCTTGATGCGCTCCTTCTCAAGCTTAGCCCAACACCCTACGGACACCGCTCTCTCCATCCTCGAGCCTCATGCCACTGACGGGACACCGACCTTCCTTCTCTACATATGCGTTGATGCATGTGTAGCAGAATGCGTAGCCGCTAGGAATGACGGCAGGATTGTTCATAGGCGTCGCTCCGCAAATGGGGCAGGAGTTGTGGATGAGCAATCTGCTTTGAGTATTGACCGACCGAGGTGAGCCATCATCGCTCTCTGGAGGAGTCTGTGGAGGCACTGTCACGGTGACGCTGGGTATCTTGTAGCTTTTGCTCTTCTCATCGTCGTATAGAATGCCTCTTTCCGAAGGGAGTAGAACTCTAGGAGGGCCGAATCGCACGCCATCGCCTCCAGGGCCTTCTCCCTTACCGCCTCTACCATCACGGCGCCGGCCAACTTCTTCGCTTCCATACCACCACTCCAAGAATTTGAATAGGAAAATGCTGGCTGGCAGAGCGTATTTGAGAGACTCGAAGAACATGTAAGGTCCACCTCTCAGCATCCTCGTAAGGAACTCTCGCGGCCGTTGCAGGGGATTCGGCAGGTCAGGAGGTAGAATTGGAAGAGAACCTGAGGTCGACTCGTTGGAGGCATAGTCTGATGGAGAGGCTCTGACGATCTCAACCCTGAACAAAGAGAGCAGGGGAGAGAAGTAGGGCGTGTTGTTGAAGAGATAGCGAACATATTGGGAGAGGAGGAAGAAAGACCAGAACGTCTTGAAGTAGGGGTATGCTGCGACTGCTTTCGGATTGAGTGAAGAGTGCAAGGCTCGCAGGCGATCCCTCAATGAGACGTTTGATGAAGAAGAGATGCCCGTCCAAGTGGAGCCTCCGTGGCTGCTCTGACCTGCCTCAGCTTCATCATCACCGAAGAGATCAGCGTCGCTCGTAGCCCCGCCACCGTTTCTCTCCCACCAATCGTCTGCCTTGCGCTGAAGATAAGGCAAGCCAACCAGGAGGAACAGACTAACGTTGATCTCTGTACGGCTTAGTCCTCCCTGACCCTTCTTTGACTGGCCACTGCGAATGCCGCTGATGCCCATCCGCCTTCTCCTTCGGAGTCCGTAGAAGTTCTCACTGAAGCTACTACCCCACGTGCGGAGGTAGTGCCTCTCAACAAGAAGCATGAAGACGGCCCATAGCTCTTCGAAGCTGTTGAAGGCTCGCAGGAAGATGCGCGGCTGGCGAGTAGCTAGGACGGAGAGGGTATAGCGGATGGCCGGGGATAGGAGAGATGACAGCTGATCGGACGCCAAGAGCTCAAAGATGGTGGGGCGAGTAGGGTCAAAAGGTGTTGCAGCTGATGGCGAACCATCACCCGTAGGCATTGGCGGGTCCATGCCAGCTTACTCCCTTGACTTTGGGTGGTGTGAGGCGAGGCAGATCAGAATAGATGGGGACGGAGCGAACACGACGGCCGAGGATCCGCCCTTCCGGCTTCCGGCTCACCCTGCCACGCGCCCCTTTCCTCCGGCTTGCCGACCACCAAGGCAGTCGTACAAGAGACGGGATGCGATGGGATTTCGTGAAACTATATACATTGCAATGCTGGTTGTTTTGAATGTTACAAGCGTATGGGTACAGTATATCTTTAGACATCGGATCTTTCACCCTTTGCCAATGTACGCGGGCCTTGGCCGCTTTCCTTCTTCCACCCGCTGCAATTCTTTCTTGGCTGCCTTTCTCTCCGCTTCTTCAGCCTGACGTAGATTTTCCTGAGCTACCGTCTGTTTCTGCAGGTGCATAAGTCTTGGTCCTTCCTCATCCTTATCGGTCACGTCATTTTCAAACGGTGATCTTGACGGGAAAGCTACTTTTGCCCACTTCTGAAACTGATACCTCATCCGACCTACGTGATCGTTTCTATAATCGTCGTTGAGACAGAGAAAGCCGACGTTGTCCATGTTGAACGAATCGAAGAATTGCTTCGTAGAGAAGTCTGTGGATAGCTTGTAGAACTCTGTTGGCGAGGCAGCGAGAGTGTATTGATAGCGCATCAGAAGCCGCTGCGCGTATGCTCTTTGTGAGAGCCCTGACCAGGACTGACGAGCAGAAATTGAAGCAAGGGAGAAGTCCGGTACGTCATCGGTAAGTACTCTCTCCTGCGCTTCTTCGCCCGTCCATAAAGAACTTTCGTTGGGGACTGCCTTTCTATCCCAATGAGGAGTCAGAGGCAGATGAGGCTCCTGCGGGTGTGTTGCGTTGCTAGCGACGCCAGGAAACATCTTGTCGGCCGGTGGTAGCGCAGCAGCCATACCAGCTGCGCCACTTGCGCTCAGGAGATGGACAATGATGGCATCGCCACATTTCTCGCCCTGTCCGAAAGTCCATGCCTTGAAAACATCTTCTGTCTTCATGCGGCCTTGTTCGTCGATGGCGACCCCTGACATACAGCCGGCGATGGACACCTTCGTAGCCATCCTTCCTCTGTCAAAACGGCCGTCGCTTTTGCGGTTCTTCCCCTCCCTAGGATGATATCGGGGCCAGGGCTCTCTGGCTTCCTGGCCCAGCTTCGAGCCCATGCCGGCGTACTTGGGACGTGGTGGCGGCCTTTCGTGAACAAACGGGTGTAGGGTCATATAAGGATAGCCCCCTTCACTTGCTGTGAATTCGAATGTGGTCTTTCCCGGAGGTAGCAGACCCAGGCTCTGCAGACTCTGAACGTGCTTATTGTCGTCCAAAGCAGATCGATATGGGAAGGGTATCCAGACCTCGAGAGACAGGGCCTGCGCTTGGATGTCGGCAAGACTGTTGATACTAGTCTGGATACCGAGTCGCCGTAGCAGATGGTTGCTGAGCTCTTCAGCGCTCAGATATCCGTCGGAATTTTCATCCATCTTGAGTATGAAGAAGGACCACAGCATCGCCTCTCGATAGCGCTCTACCACGAAGTGGGCCGCCAAGAAGTGGGTGCTGAGCTCAGGCCGATTCTGCAGGTCCTCGTTGCGGAACCTCGCTTCTCCCGTCAGACGCCAGCTCGGAGCAAAGGTCATACGCAGCTCTCTCAGAAGCGACGTCTTGTATACCCGCGGCACATGAAGCACGTAAGGACGAGCCCTCTTCCCGAAGCGCTGATCGAGGAGCCACGCCGAATGCTCTAGACTTGGCCATTCACCTGTCGATCTTGGGCCAGAGACCTGCGCTCCGTAGACCGGCAGGTTGGGGTCGAGGCGAATTATGGGACCAAATAGAGGGCTGGAGAAGGACGTGCTTGTAAGGCCAGGCCCAAAGAACATATCATCGTTGGCATGGATAAAGGTATCCCCCAGTCCAGCCATGCCTTCAGAGCCAAGCATGCTTTCGACAGCTATCGAATTGAATGTCGGCAGCACCTGCTCCTTCCAATCGGCAAGAGCATTGCGGCTTGTGTCGGCAAGGGTTGCATTGACTAGCCAGTTCGGCTCGAAAAGATTCCAGTCATGGTGTACCCGGAGCTGAACACTGGTCTGATTCCCGTTTCCGGCTCTGGCCGAGCTTTCGAGGCGTGCTTGGCTACCTGTGAGCACGTTAGTGTGATTCGTCAGCAGCCACTGTGGAAGCTGTCCCCACTGTTGGCGCCCGCTCTCGGTAGCGAAGGTACTGCGCTGGATTTGCAGTGCTTCCCATCCGTCAGGCGCTGAGTCCGCCTTGTCCCCTGCTGATCCCGGCTGATCAAAGGGAGCAGGAGGAAAGAAGGAAGGAATGAGGAGATGTATCTTCGAAAGATCCTGTAGGCTGTGATATGCCGATCGGGCCGAATAGCGAAGCTCGTCGATTTCCCGGAAGCGGTTCTCTCCAGCATCCCCATCGGTACGCTTGGAAAGGCGTGTGTATTTCTTTGTAAGCGCCTTGCCTTTTTCAAGCCGCGGCCAGCTTTCGAAGACCTTGCCGATGGGTGCCTTGGTGTTTTTGTAGAGCAACATTTGTCGCCGATGCTCCCAATCTGAGCCATTGACGCTTGAGATGACGACATCGTACCGCCTTGTAGGATGCTCATTTGGATATCGGATGCTGGGACTGACGACACCATTTGATATCCATGCTTCTATCGCGTCCGAATTCGAGACGATGGGCTCGTACTCGAGCACGGGCTCTATTCTCCTTCTGATACTTAAGGGCGGAAAGGTGAAGGGCAACGGATCTGTGGGCGGATCGATTCGGATGTCCGGCATGGGTCCTGTCGCCGCAGCTTCATCTCGTAAAGGAGGCATGTTGGGATCGTTGGCTAATCTATCTCGATTGGGTCTTCTCAACTGGGCAGGGCGAATGGTCTCAGATCTCCATCGATTCTCATGGGCATGATCTGACAGAGCATACCGGAAGGCTGTGTAGAGTACCCAGGCGGATGACAGACAGAGTGCAGCTACTCCCAGTAGGACAATACGGGCAGGTGGTCCACGACGACGTGAGCCTGGCCTGTCCCAGCCCTCGCTGTACCGCTCCCTTGCGCCGCCGAGGAGAGAGGACTTCTCTGGATGGTCGTCGCCACTGTCTCTGCGACTGTAAGGCCTATCGAATCCTGCCGCTTGTGCCTCTTGCCTCCGTTTGCTGCGTTCCAAAAGGAAGCGAGCAACTTCCTGCTCTTCCTCCATTCCTCTGATCACCGGCACTGAGCTTGCCATGGCTGGCCCCTTTGCCGATCTCGGCGATCAAGACGCCTGATCTTGCGGAGGGGCCGTTGCAGGTGTGGCAGTCGTGTAGGGAAGGTACCGAAGAAGTCGAGTCCCGCAGGGAATGAGGATGACGAGGCCGACGATATCAACAGATGGGAGACGTGCTAAGGATGAGGGTGATGGCGATGGCTGACCGCGAGGTGCTGAAAAGGGCGACGCTGCTAATATGTCCCTGCCTCTGCCGAGCCTGTCCGGCGACTTCTTGGTGAATCTCTGCCGATTTTCGGCACAGGCGGCGGCGGCGGCGGCGGCGGAGCGGAGAACGAATCGCCCTAATCCCGTTCCGGTAGACGTCAAGCCCGGCCCTGCCGCTTTTGTGTGTGGAGTGAGGTCCTCGCCAGACTTTGTATCTGCACTTCACCATCACTGGACGCGATGCTCACCCGTCGCATCCTCCTGCCCCTTCTCGCCGTCATCTTGGTCCTTGGCACGATCAGGATCTGGATCTCGGCTTCCGGCAGGCCAAATCTGTATCGAGTGGCCCAATCTCTAGGACTCACGACCAGGCCGATCATGTCTGACTTCCAGAGACCTAGTGCGGAGGGTGACTCGTTGCCGGCTCGGCGGGAGGAGCTTACACTGATGACATTCAACATGTGAGCTTCTTGGGATAGGTGCCGCTTCCGCTCTGCGTTCGTCTAGAGAATCTCAGCATTGACTCTTCTGGCTCCTTCTCCGCATCAGTCGCTACGACAATCCCCTTGCTCGACGCTACCCTGACCCGCCCGGTCCTGATCGGACGCTCCCGCCTCCAATATACGGGGAATGGTCATGGGCTGCGAGGAGATTTGCAGTCTCAGACATCGCTTTATTCCACAGTCCAGACATCGTCGTCTTCCAAGAAGTGTTGCATTCCCAACTGCTCGATCTAGCGTACCTCCTCGGTGAGGACTATGACTGGGTCGGAGTGGGGAGAGATGATGGCAAGCAAGCAGGGGAGGCTGTGCCCGTCTTCTACAAGAGGGACAAGTTCTCCCTGGCTTCAGAGCAGGATGGAGGCGTGGGAACTGGCGGTGTCGAGCATTTCTGGCTAAGCGAGACTCCATCGGTCGTTGCAAGTGTAGGATGGGATGCTGTGAGTACGAGCTCTGGACGCGGCACTCGATGGAATATTGACACCTCTCACACTCCTCTCTACATCAGCAATTGACGAGGATGTGCACACACCTAGCATTAAAGCTGCGTACCGACGCTGCCGTCTCGTCGAATGCTCATCCCTCTTTAAGAGCTCCTATTCATGTCTTCTCCACTCACTATGACCACAAAGGTGTCGTCGCTCGAGCCAAGTCGTCTGACCTCATCGTCGAGAAGGCTAATGTGGCACGGCGGCACTCCCGAAGGACTACGGGCTTAGAACCCCTCGTTCTTTTGGCCGGAGATTTGAACAGTCCCAGAGAGGAGCAGGGTTGGCAGGTGAGTCATGAGCCTTGTATGGACGACGGTAGACAGGATGCGCATAAGTACTGAATCTCGTCGAATCGTTTCGATCAGAACCTGGTCAAGGGTCACCACGGTGTGCCATCCCAAAGCTCCTTCCTAGGCAGTCCCTTCTCCTTCTATGACCTACAGCTGGCCAATCCTACTCGCTACGGGCTGCCCTATCGAACAGACTACTCGGCTGGGGGCGGTAAGAATAACACCAAGCTTAAGCGAGAGCAGTCACCTCAGACACGGCGTGGCATCTTGTCTACGAATTACGGACCGCCATCGTCCTTCACTGACTGGACCGCGTCACGTGATCGATCGGCGGCAGAAGACCGCATCGACTTCCTCATGGTAGGAGACAACCAGCCCATTACCTCTGACGGGTCAAGCAATGAAGCGGGATGGAAGATCAAGACGGTGGGCATTGTCAGTAGCTGGAGCGCCATCGAGGGTGGCATTAGGGCGAGTGACCATCGCCCGGTGATGGCCCGGCTGCGCTGGGAGGCTGGACAGGAATGAGATAGTCACTGTCACCGTTGATCGTGTCTCCTCTACCTTCATTCATTCATATCTGGGGTATCGAAGCTTGTTTCAATTCTTTCCCGGTGTTGGTTTCGCCGTCACGCTTTAATTGCATCTAAGTTCACCGACGCGTCGTCCGTTCCGCGTCAATGCCACACGGAAGTGGGAGCTGGGTCAGCATTGCACGTCAGTTCTCCACCACATACTACATTTTCCTGCTTCCGATCTCCCTTTAATCCAGCCCCTCGCTAGCCCTGTGTAATGCCTTCTCGTGCTACCGACTTACGTCAGCAGTCCCGCTTTGCGGATCCAACTCCATCGCGCCGAGCTTCGCGGGTAGACGTCCGCCGTGATGGGGCAGGCGATGCCATCGAGGAGGACCAGAACGGCGTAGAGGACGACGAGGACGGAGGAGTATCGGACAACGAGGCACCTACCTCGAGCAGGCGAAAGAGGAGCGGTGCTGGCGCCTCGAGTTCCACCGGCGACGACTCAGACCAGCGTGGACAGGGCTCTTCACGCAGGCCACCCAAGGTGTCGGAGGATCCGGCACCTCAGCCTCTCACCATGGACTCGGTGGCCCTGCTCAAACCCTCGGTCCGTGCTTGGGACGATGCGAGCAGTAGACTGGCCACGGTCAAGGGCTACTATCGGGAGACCAGCGCAACATATGCTGAGTGCAACGGCGAGGAGGGAGAGGAGGTGCGTGGAGATCTAATCTACGGTGGCTTGAGTGGGTGTGTGCTAATGCAATATTGATACCTCTCACTCGCAGATGCTCGGGGCGCTAGACACCGATTTCAAAGAGCTCATAGATATGACTGTGGAAGCGAAGATTAGGAAGGCTGTAATGGACGATATCGTCAAGGCCATCAGTCATGGGGAAGAAATCGTGAGTGCCTCCCACCGATCGTATCTTTGGAAAGGATGCTCTCCCACTGAAATTACACTGCTCATCCTGATCCAGACGGACGCAAAGATCCAGTACGAGACAGCAGTGGCCGAAGCAATGCAGCACTATCGAAGCAAGACCCAGCGACAGAGGTATCTGAGTACGTCAGCTTACAAGGACTTCAAGGAGGCCGTATGGGTGAGCAGCTTGGGTATGCAGCGTGAGGTGATCTACATCAGACTGACCATAGGCTGTCAATTGCCGGTGATCAGGACGCTTACAAAGAAGAAGCGATGCCGCCTCTCACTGAGTTCATCCCTGCAGGTAAGTGAAGCTGCTTTTGACTCACGCAGTGCGAAGGCAGCGCCTCCGAGCTGATGCTTCGCCCTCCCTGGTATTCATCACTGCAGAGAGCGGTGATCAAGAGGACGATGACGAGTTTGCGATTGGTGGAGTACGGATGGAGTACAAGTGCCCTCTTACGATGGCCATTCTGGAGGAGCCAGTGACAAAGTAAGTGTCAAATGGTTGAAGTGCTCATCTGCAGTTCGTTCGCACCTGCTGATCTGGTGATTCTCCTCTCTGCTTCCACAGCCCCGCCTGCAGGCACTCATATAGCAAGGCGGCCATTATGGAGTACATAGCCACGCAACGGCGCAACGACGAGGCTGCGCGCTGTCCGCGATCTGGCTGCGACAAGCAGCTGAGTGAGCGGACGCTCAAGGACGACAAGGAGCTGGAAAAGAAGGTCAAGGCCTATACGAGAAGGTTGGAAATGAGGACGGAGAGCAGGAGGACGCAGGCGACGCAGATTCTTGATTGAGTGTGTGTGGTTACATTTCAGACGGAGGCATTCGAGAGTAGCGGTAACCTTGACATTTGTACAATAGAGACCGACATAATCCTGAACGGAATCGACCACATGCCAAGCAGAGCGCTTCACCTCCTCCGAGGATGTGTATGGGACGTCTACTTCCCGCCTGCGCCTTTGCTCCCCGCGAATCCCTGCATCTTCGACTTGACCCAGTCGAGCTCGTTGAGCACCTCTACTCCCGTACTCCTGGCCCAGACTACGCCCCTGCCGAACACGTCCTTCGCGAGCTGCCTGACAATTGGCTGGTCTTGACCTTTCCCGCCCTTGTAGTCAAGGTTGCTCGGGATGGGTGTGCCCGCGTACAGCCAGTGCAAGTGATCCACTGCGCTGAGAACGATCTGATTATGCAGGTACGTCTGCTGCTCATAGGGCTTGAGGCTGTCGTGTGATCCCCAGTCTCCCCCAAGGCTCGCAGCATCGCCCAGGACTTCGGTCAGTATGCGGGCGTCGCGAAGACCGAGGTTCAATCCCTGCCCCGCAAGAGGGTGGATGGAGTGCGCTGCGTCGCCGATGAGGACAGTCCGGCCTTTGGCTTCGTGCACATTCGCTTCGCCTGCAAAGCCCGTGAGGGAAAGAGCAGAGTGTAGAAGGTTGGCGGGCAAAAGGGAGTTGGAGGGTGATGCCGTCGAGAGAAGTGAGGAGCCTAGGTACGCGTCAGCGTGGGCTACCTGCAGAGGAAAGGCCCCTACGCTGCGAGCGGCAACATTCAGCACAGGAGGCGGCACTTCCTCTTCCGGTACGAGTGTACCAGCTTCCGAAGCGGCTTGTAGACGAGCCTTGATCTCTTGCCGAAGTAGAGAGATGTCGAGGTTTGCGGGATCGGCAGTGGGCGACGTGATCAGGGAGAAGATGTAGGACATGGACGCCCACGGTAACCTCCAGGCTGCCGAGACCAAGTCTGCCATGATTGAAGATTGGCCTTCAGGCGTCGAGCGGTGCAGTGCCGCGATTACGCTAGCGAGGTTTGGGGGCAGCGTCCAGACAGTCGAGGCTGCGCTAGTCGAAAGCTGAAGAAGAGAGAACAGGTGTTGGCGTCAGTCTGGGTCTGATGGCTCTCCTTCGTTGCTCTCGCACTCACCGGAAGCCAGGCTATGGTTCCAGTCGGCAGGAACCTCTGGTAGGCAATCTCATGGCCCCTTCTCAAACTCTCGCTCTTGTCAAAAGACAGGGTTCCGACCAGACCATTGCATCCGTAGCCCCATCCGAATTTGTCGATACCGGCGTACTTCCTCACCGGGGAGGAGTCTCCATCGGCGCCAATCAGCAGACGAGGTCGTAGCGACCTCTCGGACGACGCCGAAACTGTCCGTACATTTGGCCAGGTGTCAACGTGTTGAGATGCAGCATCAGTAGAAGCGCCTACAGTGGATGGCTCAATGCTCTCCACTTTCGTTTGGTCCCACACCTCAACATCAACCACACTGCTCTTGTCTTTTATGAAGCGCAGCATCGCTTGTTGTAGATTGGAAAGCTCGATCATTCTGCTCAGTGGCGAGCTTGAACGGGCCGTGGCTTCGTTGCCTTCACCAAGGTCAAGTGCGGCTCCGGAGAGGCCATCGGACACATGCATCGATGTGATGGGCTGTATCCGGCGGTGGACCAGGTATTGGGTGACTCCGATGTCTACATCAGGAGGAACAGTCGCTTGGTAAGCTTCACCAACAGCATGACTGGACCATTATCTGCACTCACCCTGGAGCCACAGCCAATTCTCCATTGTCAAGCTGACGACTCGATTCTCCCAATCTGCAATCTCTTGACTGTGCTCCACATGGCCTGGAGCGTCTGCGCCCTGTTTTTCCTGCGCCCATGTCCTCAAACGGTCTAGGGACGCGGCTTCCAAGAGTACCAGGCGCAAAGGAGACCCTGCAAGCGACGCACTTGATGCCAGCTTCTCGGAGCTGATGAGCGAGCAGGCCAGCGCAAGACCCACTACGCCACCGCCTACGATCACAGCGTCTGCATGCTCTGCGGCAGACACCATGTGTCCCACTGTCTGTGATGTGGTGAGAGCCGCGCTTGTTGCGAAGGTAGCACGGAGGGGGGGTCGGAATGGGGACATTCGCGAGGATAGATGGGGAACTGGGCAGCTGCGCCGCAAGGACGAGCCGGCAAGGGTGTGTAGTCCGCGCGAGCTCTCTGCGCTCAGAGGAGCATATTGCAGTGGCATTGCCGAGCTCGAAAGGATAGCAGACTCTGATGCTGTTGTCGAGGCGCGGTTGGCCTCTTCTCTCTCTTGCCGTGATCTAGCTTTCTTTGCCTGCCGCTCCCGTTCTTGCTGAGCTTGCATGGCAACCTTTTGCTGCCTTGCTTCAAGCTTCCTGGACTTCAGCGCAGCAATAGCAGACGTACGTGGTTCCAGGTGCTTCTCTGACCAGGTCCGCAATACTCGTGACTCTGTAGCGATCCAATCTGCCCGCTTCGAGATTGCTGCGCAGAGGCTTCCAACGGCCCACTGCTCCATGGAATGGCTGGCTGGGCGCTCTCGCCACAATCTGGTTGCAAAGCGCAATGTCAGTTCTTCTTTTGTCATCAGAGCCAGTGCTTCCTTGACCTTGTCTCCTAGCCACATAAGCGTCCGCTGGTCTCGCCTGCGCGAGGCCATGATGTAGATGGGAGAGAAGTGCTGCATCTTCGGGCAGACTGCAGGAGTCTGGAAAGATGGTGGCTTCTCACCAAAATCTGACAGTGGTCGTAACGAGAAGGCATCACCTTCTGACTCCTGTAGACCGAGAGTGGGAACGATCTGCCGCAGACTCAGTCTGTATCGGTCTAATGCATCATTCAGCAGGTACCGTGCGAGAATCCGGTACGTTCCCTTCTGACGCGCGACGACTTCAGCCTCGGGAACTCCAGAACCCTCGACTGCTCCGCAACAGTGACTGATGAGATTCTCGAATGTGGCTTTGTTGGGCACCACGGCGGCGCTTGCGTTGCTTGTTCCAGAGCTTCGAAGGTTGCTCTGCTCCAAATCACCCGACTGCAAGATGCCGCTGTGGGAGAGAGCCTCTGCATCGATGTAGAAGAGGTCTTTGATGAAGCTCTTGAAAGATGAGCGAACAGCGGTGTTCTTGGGCTCAAGAGCGGCTGAACCAGCAGGCTGCGAATTTGGGGCTGCATCCCTTTTGGCATCGTGCGGAAGCGAAGCGCCCTCTGCTGCCGAGAGTGGAGATGAAGTGAGTATCTCGAAAGCCGATAACATCTCGCTTACGGACTTGCGTTCGCCGAGAGCCAGTAAAATGCTATTGAGGGTCTGTGTGGAGATCTGAGGTCGATCAGAGGGCGCAGCCTCTGAGCTTTCCGCATCGAGAAGCGTCAAGTCAAGACTGTATGCCATCTTGAGAAGCAGTTGGAAGCTGTTGAAGTGCCCTCCCAGACGCAGCAGCTTCAATGTGTAGTCGATTATACTGCGATCTGGGGTCAGTCCTCTCGCAAGCATGTCCTGTATTAGTCCGACAGCCTTCGCAGCAGCAGTCCTAGATGCCACTACCATCTTCTGATCTTGGGTTTTGGCGTCAGCCCTGCCGTGTTTTCGCTGCTGTGCAGACCAGGGAGAATCTGCGATGGTTACGATGTTCCGGGAATTGGCTCGGATCATCAAGAGGTAAGTCTGCGTGCTGGGCGGGAGGCTCAACTCGTTGATTTGCTGCCAAACGAGATCGGCGAGGGAAGTATCTCCAGCCTCGGCTGCATGACTGAGGACGTGATCGTAATCTTCGATTGAAGGTCCAGCTGTTGCGCTGCCTACCTCTCGAGCGCCGACTTCCCGCAAGCGTCCGAGGACGAAGGCAACCCTTTCCACATAGGTTTGAGACAGTGAGGTGATCGTCGAGATCTCCGAGCCCATGCCACTTTTCATTTTCGAGCGTAATTCTCGCATAGCGACGGCTTCCCATTCGCTACCATATTCACCTCTCGTCTGTCGCAAGAGCTTCATGTTGTCCTTGTACTGCCTAGCGTGTACTGTAGCCCTGGACCAATTTGGGGAGATGGCTCGGAGTACCATGCGATGCCATGACGTCTTGAGACGTAAAGGAAGACCTTCACGGGTCGCCTCCGGCCGGAAGAGCTTGTAGTATGAGGACCAGACACTTTCTGGGTCGGGCTGCTTGCCCGTTGCATAAAGCTGTGAGAGAAGCTCGCTCACCAAGGGTGGATGAGCTTGCTGATTCGATGGGCGCCGGCGTCTTTTACCTGCGGCCTGAGAGGTAGTGGCTTGCGGTCCGCCTGACAAGACTGTGCTTGGGCTATGCTGTTCATCATGCTGCACTGCTGCTGTTGGTGCTGGAGCTGAGGAGACGGAGCGGGTGGGTGGGCAAGGGCGGGATGAAGGACCAGCTTGGGCTGACGAGGAGAGATTCCAGCCAGCTCGAAGCAGCGAAGGACGAGGATGAAGCATCTCGGCCTATTCCGTGCTTGGCCTCACCAGCTCTTATGAGGGGCGACGCAGGTGATGACTATAGGAGATGGTATCGGCGATGAAGGAAGTCCTCGTCGTGCGCCGCTTTTGCCTTGAGCGGCTTCTGTCTGGCCGCGAAGGTCTGGGCAGATTTTTGGTCCTTGGCGGGGGAAGGGCTGCTTCCGTTCCGCTCTGCGCGGCGCGAAGAGTGGGCCTGAGCGTCGCGAGTGGCAGGGCGGGTGGGGAGGACCTGGTTGGTTGGTTGGTTGGTTGCTCGAGAGCAACAGCAAAGTGTAGAAGATCCCTCGTCGGTCGTCATCGTCGTCCTGCCTCTACCGCTCACCATGGCAGACAAGGAGGCCGCAGAGCGAGCAGCACAAGCCGCAAGGGCTCGCAAACAGGTGCGTAGTGTGGCCAGGCTAGAGGAGTCGCGCACGGGACAGTGGCATCTGCCTTGCTGTAGCTGACCCCCCCTTTCCCGTCTCTGCCGGACCTGGCCATCCAGCTCAAGAAGCATCAGCAGCAAAAGAAGAAGAAAGGTGACGGAGATGCAACAGGAACAAAGGGCGAAGCTCCCACTACGGCTGACGTAGAGCAGGCCGAACAAGATGCGCCAAGTGAGCCGCAGACAGAGCCACCCGTGCCCGAGGCAACAGAGGCAGATGACAAGAAAGACTCTGACAATCTGGACACAGAGGCCGATGCAGCTCAGGGATCAGACAAGAAGGAAGCTGTTGCTACAATAGCTGATAGAGCTGAAACGCCCAAACCCGAAAGCAACGGCTCCTCCTCTTTGCAAGCAACAATAGCCACGCTAGTCTCTGAGAAGTCAGGTCTCGCTGACCAGCTCGCAGAGCTCGAGGCCAAGCTTCAACACGCAGAAGAGTCTTTGCGCGGAACAATGGCCGACCTCGAGGAGTCAGAGAGCTTGAAAAGGCGATTGAAGGATCTGGAAGAGGAAGTCGAAAAGAGCAAAGCCGTCACCGCGAAGGAGGAGGCAGCGAGAGTACAGGCAGAAGACAAGATCAGTCAATTGGTGAGTCTTCGTTGTCGTTGCCGCAAGGGTCAGAACTTGGGGCTGATCTGAGATCACACTTCCTCCCTTTCAGTCGAAGAATCTGGAGGTCGCAAAGCAGGAGCAAAGATCGCTGCAGGACAGCCTCTCCTCGAAGCAGTCTGAGGTGACTGCTCTAGCCGCCAAGGCCTCCGATGACACAGCCACCAAAGCTCTACAAAAGACCGTCTCAGAGGGAGAGCAACGGATCGGTGTCCTCGAAAATGAGCTAGCCCGGAGATCAAAGACGCTGGCTTCTGCCGAGAAGGAGAGGGATCAGCACAAGACCGGCCTTGAGTCTGTCGAGAAAGAGAAGCGTCTGCAGGCCGAGCGATTGACCAAGCTGGAAAAGGAAGCCTCGGAAGCCAAGATCTTGAGAGACAAACTCGAAGCAGATCTCAAGAAGGCTCAGACATCTACTGATGCTCTGACCAAGGAGAGGGATAGCATGAGGGCTTCTTTAGACTCCGCCCGTAAGGAGGTCGAGAGTACCAAGGCTTCCCTTGAAGAGGCGCAGAAGTCCATCACCTCGGTGAAGGAGGAGACTACTGCGGCCAACAAGCGAGCCACAGCGTCATCTTCTCGGGTGGATGAGCTCCAAAAAGAAAACGAGAGGATCGTGAGCACTTTGAACGAGGTCAATGCCCGTGTAGGGAGCCTGACAGAGGAGAAAGCAAGCTTGTCAGAACAGCTAGACGACATTAGAAGTCAGCTCAAGAAGGAACAGTCCAAAAATGAGGAGTCACTCTCGAAGCAGCAGGTATTAACGAGGGAAGCCCTCGGTAGGGTCAAGAAGCTGGAAGAGGAGATCAAGAAAGGGGCATCCGAGCTGTCAAAGGCCAAGGAGGGTGCCGACGCAGAAATGCAGCAGCTAAGGAAGAGCCACCAGGAAGCTTTCGAGAAGGCCACTGCCGAGTCACAGCAGAAAGCCGACGATGCACGAAGGACGGTTGAGGAAGCGAAGAAGAAAGAATCAGAACTTCTTGCTCAGATCGAGGAGCACAAGAGCTCACTTGGTACCACAGAGGCGACACTGAAGAGCAGGGAGGCGGATCTGAAAGCTAAAGAGACAAATCTGAGCTCTGCTCAAAGTGAAGCAAGCAAGCATCGCAACAATTACGAGAAAGCCCAAAAGGAGCTGGAAGAAGCGAAGACCAAGTCACGAAAAGTAGAGGAGGCTCACAAGGAGGCGAAGAGCAAGATCGCCGAGCTGAGTAAGCAGCTGGAAGCCAGCAGCTCCAGCCACCAGGCCGCTCAGCGTTCCCAAGCCCAGACAGCGGAGAAGCTTGCTACAGTGGAGAAAGATCGTGCAAAGGCCGCAGAGGACATGAAAGCAGCTGAGAACAAAGTCACGCAACTGAATGACCAGCTCGCAGCTGCCGATCAGATGCGTGAAGACCTGTCCAAGGTGCAGAGCGATCTCGAGAAAAGCCGTCGCGATCTTGGCGCTGCAAAAGACGAGACAGCGGGACTGCAAGCTGAGATCACAAGATTGGAGGAGGAACTGGCGAAGGGAGAGGAGGACGGTCAGGACAAATTGAAGGAGGCCAGGAAGGAAAGCAGTCAATTGCGCAAGGATGTCGCGAGGCTCAAAGGCGAGGCAACGACCACCAAGGGCGAGGTAGATGATCTCAAGCAGCAACTAGACAAGGCAACGACGAAAGCATCGCAAGTCGAAGCAAAGTTCAAGAAGGAGTCAGAAGAGGCCAAGGCTACTCTGGCCGACCTGAAGAAGAGAGACAGTGCAACCACTGCTGAGCTGAACGATGCTCGAAAGGATCGCGACAGTGCTCGACAAGAGGCGTCCTCTCTACAAGAGGCCATCGCCAAGAATTCGGAGCTGGAGGCAAAGGCGCGTTTGCTGGAAGAGGAGCTTGCCAGCAACGTTGCAGAGCTTGAGACTGTCAAGTCTGATCTAGACGAGGCACTCAGGAAGGCTGAGCTGGCCGAGTCTACGGAAAGGTCCGCCCGCTCTCCTTCGCCGTCGCCGCTGCTCACTCCTGCATCTGCCCAGACACCACTGCCGCAGGGTGCAAAGAAGTCCTTTAGTGCTGCAGAGATGGACTCTATCCAGCTGCAGCACGAACTGGAAGTCTCACAGCTCCGATCTCAGGTTCGCAAGCTCGAAGCCAGTCTCTTTGAAGAAGGAGAACAAGCGCACAAGCTGACTCGCAAGATCGCCGAGGTAGAGGAAGAGCTCTCGCGACTAAAGATCCAGGGCTCAAGCGGGGAGGTGATCACTCCTGCTCCCACCCCCTCGCTCGCAAAGCTACAGCCTGGATCCTCGGGCAACGCTACGCTTGGGCCGCCGGGTAGCCGCGCCCACAGGCGCAGTGCAACCGCCGCTCATGTTCCCTCCCTGTCCACCTTAGCCGAGAGCAAAGTCTCGCAAGACCTGGAAGGAGCGGCGCCAGTTGCCTCAGCCTCTGTATCTCCCGCCCGTACGCGCGAAAATGCTCTCGTACCTCCCTCGCAGAGGCATCGACGCAAGGAGTCTCTGCAGCTCCTTGGCAAGAGGATAGCAGCAGATTTGACACCCCCTCAGCCTGGCGGTGCAGAGAGCAAGGCAAAGACCCTGGCTGCGGGGCAGGCAGCGGCGGACGGAAAGGAAGGAGGTGCTGTCGCCCACTCTGGTCACAGCAATGGCAATACAGCAAGACACAGTCGCAAGCACTCGAATCCATTGGACAGTGCCAATGTACTGGGCGCAGACGGGGAGGATGCCAGTCTGAGGAAAGCGGGCACAAGGAAGACTGCGCAATTGACTGATGGAGGGCTCCTCTTCTGTGCGCATTGCACGGGAGAGGAGTTACTGGTGGTGTAGCTGCTGAACGGGATGCGTTGCAATACCAACATCCAAGACCGCATCTTCGTCTGGCGTGATGTTCGAGGCTCACAGTCGATAGATGTATTACTGCGGATGGGGTTGAATCCTCAGAGGCTAAGATCAGTACCAGGACTTGTGGAGAGCACGAGACAGCATGAGCGGTGACGACAGCGAATGCACGGGTTGCGATTACAGTATCTCGAAGCTAGCCAAGTCTGTCGATACTTGCTGTCGCGAAGCGAGAGTTTGACACAATGTATCAGCGGGAATTGTTGTATGTGTTCTCCAAAGAGTATAGTACGACATTATGTTCACAGATCTTGTGGGCATCGCCAGCGACACTAGCTAAGGGCCCTGAGCTGTGCCTGCTTTGTACGCCTGACACGGTGCAAGGGTTCTTTGAGCTGGACAATGTCTTCGTCAATGTCAGCCATGCTTTCTACTAGCTCGCGGTGGTTCGGCTAATATTGCAAAGAGTAACAGGCACGGTGGGCAGAGGGTTGCTAAGAAAAGTGGCTGGGTCAACAGAAGGAGAGTCAGGGGCGATGATGAGGTTGCAGGATGGACGAGGCAACAGAGCCCTGCAGGCCACAAGGCCCCCGAGTGCTCACCAGGGGTCGGAACGGGACGGGACCGTTATGATCAAGCAAGCAGGCGCTTTTGCATCCGTTCCCCTTCTTGATCGCCCTCTCCCAACGCTCATAGACACAAAAGCATCAGATTCATGACACCCTGCACAGTCACTACACCGCTCATCTTCCTGACCTCTTCGCAACGTTGTAGACATGTCAACCATCTCCTCTACAAAGAGACCGAGAAGCGAGTCAGCGGCGGAACCCAGTAATCCTAGAGAGTCTTGTCCAGAGTACAGATCCTTCTTCGGGCCCGCGACAGAGACAACGTCAACGAAGGACAACACAGAAATAAGACAGAAGTATCTCCTCCCTGACGTTCTTCTTGGTACCTCGGCTGAGCAGCGCAAAAGCGCGTTCCAGGAGGTGTCGTTACCGTCGGGGACGTATGAGTACACGGGTTCCCCGCCGACCTCGTCTTCCTCTACTGCCACAAGAATGCTTTCTGAAGGCGTTAAAGAGATAGAGAAGCACATCGAGGCTGACGCTAACGACCGTCACTATGCTGGTCTATACGAGATGCAGACAAATGCGGCCGTTGACCAGTGTGCAAGTGAACCCGGAACTGTGGCTCCCGGAGGTGTCTCTAGCATCCAACTCACGGGCTTGGAATCGCTCGATGTACGCCCGGGACCTTCCAAATCCCGCACTCCGGTCTTTGTTGATCATGGCGTAGGGAGCAGATCGACCATCCCGATGCTAATGAAAACCTCATGGCAATCTTCACGTCTGTGCTCTGATGAACTCCGGATGGCATTCGAGGTCTGGAGGTTATCAAAAAAGTGCGAACTGCCGTTCCCACCTGAATCACTTGGATTGGCAGAGGTCCCAATTCCTGACTTCCAGACGGACAACTCGGAGCCTCTGACGACATCTGGCCCTGGACCCCACTTTCCTCCTCGGACAGTGTGTGTTCTGATGTTTAGGCAGCCTCTCGGAGATATGATTGGCAGCCAAGTTCTTCCGCATGATCTTGTACACCTCCACATGGAGCTCGCCGACCAGCTTCTCACCCTCGCAACGCATGAATTCCACTATCGAGATCTCAATGAAGGCCTTCTTCGGGATTCCGACAACACGCTCCTTATCATCGACTGGGGGAAGATGCGTGGAAATCTTAGCCCGCGGAGACAATCAGGGTTGACGGACGCAGAAGCGACTATTGACCGAGCCACGGACGATACGAGGTCGGCCAACCCGCTCTTCCTGCCGACCTGCTCTCTCAAGGTCGCATCTGCGATCCATTCTTGGAATGGGGCGGTCACGACGGCGTCGGTCGACTTCCAGGAAGCTCTCGATACAGGTGCCGGCCATCGAGCCGGACTAGATAGCATCTTAGCTAGGTTGGCGGGTCTTCGCAACCCGTTGAAAAAGCTAGCCGTACACGGCCATCGTCACATCGACGACTTGGAGAGTGCGGTTTTTCTGCACTTCTGGCGGGTAAGTGAGCTGGCTCAGAACATCACTGCATGCTCAGAGTTCTGATTCCATCTCATCTGCCTCTACATATCGTCCCTTGTCTCCTGTTCCCGCAGATGGCATACTGTGGTCCGAGCACGCCGGAGCCGAGAGAGTTCTCGGCACTACTTCAGTTTGGGGTGAAGATGCAGAATCTGTGGTCAAGCGATGGGAACTGGACACCCGTGAGTAGCACTGTCAGCCACCCTTTGTGAGACTTCCCTGACGGTGTCTGCATTGATCCATGTCGCTCAGGTGCTGAGGCAGTACTGTTCGAAGGCGGGCAGGGAATGGATCAAGTTGATGCGTGACTTGCGGGACACTATTTACAACGCTCGCGTAGCCCTCGATCAGTCTCTCTCGGACAGCTTTGAGAAGCAGGCCAAACTCAACCTCGACCGCTTGGAAGTAGAGCTGCTGACGCTTCCATGGAACAATCACCAGGACGTGAAACACAACCTCTATAGTCTGTTTGAGAACAGACACTTATTTGACGAATCTCGACTCAACGAGATTGAGAGGAAGTGTTTCAAAAAGTGTAGCGAGCTGCTGAGAAATGCAGAGATTGCGATCAAGGCACGCAGACTATAGAGAGGGAGAAAGGCAAAGACCCCGATTGGTGATGGGCATCGTGGCCTTATTTTCCTTATCACAGCGATTCTCTCGAGCGCAAGCCGAGCGCAATCCGCTCGTTTTCGATTTCATGTCCTTGTAGGCGCATGCGCCGTCACTTGTGTTCACTTGCGTCGCTTAGCACGACGGTGTACATCGATCTTCCACGTCGCTTCAGATGGGCAATTCATCTACTGTCGTGTCTACAGTCACCGCCGTCGGAAAGGGGAGCGGAGGTGTGGTTGGGGTGCGTCGCCCTTCTTCGCGCGCTTGAAATGTTTCTCCCTCGCCCGCTGCTGCCGCTCCGCCCACGCCGCACGCACGCAGGCAGGCACGCACGGCTGCCTGCCTTCTTTTCTTGCTTCCGCCTGGGCGGTCAGAAGATGTCGGGCGTCCCTCACCGCTACCAAGGCTCACCCCGCCCCTTCCCTTCGCTTCCTCCTCCCTCCGCCTCTACATCCTCCCACGCTCCCCCCTCACCCACCCCCGCATACATCCTCCCCACGCTACCTTAGCATTCCTCAGCAAGCCATCATCTGGGTCACCATATCCTTCCATTCCCCTTTGACAGAAGCATAGACGCATAGGACTAAGCACCTCGTGTCCCTACTTGCCCAACCCTTCACATCATACCCATCCAGGAAGCGCCACATTTCTCTTGTCTGGCTCACTAGCTCGCCCAGGCTCCCAGCCATCTCTCTATAGCCTTTGCAGCCAGCCTCTCCCCTTCGGAAGGCTTTTCCGTGGTCCCAAGACCTTCCTCTATCCGTCTTAGCGGCGTAGCAGCCCAAGCATACGACTAGCATTGAGTCGCAAGGCATCTCAATCTAGTCGCAACAAACCACAGTCGCTGATTTCCAGCGGCTCGAAACATCATGGCGAGCATCTTCGAGGCAGCTCAGAAGGGCGACGTAGCCGAGGTCCGCTCCCTGCTCGATGGTGGCTCACAGGTGAGCCCCAATGTCAGGGATGAGAATGGCACCTCTGTCCTAGTCGTTGCAGCTCGGGAAGGTCATGTGGAAGTCGTACAGGAGCTCCTCAGCAGAGGCGCAGACAGGCACGAGGCGCTCGCTCAAGGCCTCGGTCAGGACGGTTCACCCGTCGCCGCTCTCCTGAACGAGCAGCATCACGGCCATGGCGCATCCTCAAATGGCGAGCATGCCTATGGTCCCATCCCTACGGACATTTACGGCGGCTACCAACTCCCGGATGGCTCAATTGCTTATGGCTACCCTGGCTATCCACCTCTCTACCAAGGAGGTATGGGTCAGCCGGCTTTCTACCACGACCCGGTCATGTTCCCCCACCCCCAGATGCAGCAGTACCCATACCCATCGCCGAACATGAATGGAGGCCCGCGACCTCGCCCTTCACCGCATATGCAAAACGGACATGGCCGCAAACCGTCTGCCGTCGGAAAGTTCCCTCCTCCGGACGTTGCCAAGACCATCCCGTGCCGCTTCTACCCTAATTGCCGCAACGGTGCTAGCTGCATCTTTGCCCACATCGACCAGCCTAACCCTGCCGACATTCATTCACCCGGACCCGTCCTCTCGCCTTCGCACCCGAGCTACGTTCCCGCCCCTGCTCCTGCTCCTCCCCATGCTAGCTTCTACAGCGGCGGCCCCTACGCTCCAAACGGAGCACCATTTTACCCAGGCATGGTCTCCCCCTTTGCTGGGCAGCACGGACAGGGACCTCTGCCGCTGCATTACCAACCTCACGAGGCTTCGCAGCCAGGCCAGATGACTTCTGAAATGCCACGAGCTTCTATGCCGGCTGTGCCAGATCAATCGACTTCCCAAGCCGCCTCGCCGTTGCCCGAAGCTGCTCAACCGAACGGCAGTGCCTCCGCCGAGCATGCTGTTGAGTCTGGCGAAGCTTCCGGCTCCACAAGTGAGCCAAAGATGGACGGTGCAGAGTCGTCTGCGAAGGTGGAAGGCCAAGTCACTTCAGAAGCCGCACCCGCTGCATCTGCCGATGGCCAAGATCGAAGGAGACGACAGTCCTTTAATTCCTTCCTCCACTCGCATGCTGTCCCCTTCCAGCCGTCCCAGATGGCCGCTTCCATCCAGAATGCTGCAGTCTCCATTCCGCTGGGTCCTGCAGCGACTATGAACGGCATGAATGGTGTGCAGCATCACCTCGGCATGAACGGCTTCGCAGGAGCTCCTCACTGCTATGGAGGCCGAGGAAAGTTGCGAGGACGAGGCGGCGCTGCTGGTATGGGCGGCCGTGGTCCTCCTCGCGAGAGGACACCCTGCACATTCTTTGCCAAGAATGCCTGCAAGTACGGCCCAGATTGCTTGTACCCTCACTTGTTGCCTGACGGTACCGATGCTCGTCACTTGCCCGGAGCTATGGGCTCGGCTTTCATGTTGTCACAGCAGGGCGAAGGAGCCAATGGCTCCGCTTCGGCATACAAGATGAACGGTGTGCAAGCACGCCGCCCTCAGCCTCTCCCCAAGGGTCTGGAGGGTGACCACTCCAAGGGCAACGGAAGTGACGTGAGATCCGAGAACGGCTCGTACCCAGCCGGACCATTGGACGCCCAGACGAAGAAGGCCGCAGGTCTACCACCGACTCCTTCGGCGGAGGTGACTGGCTCGAGCCACGCATCTAACACTCACAGTGGAACCGCGGACGGGAAGAGTGCAGCTGCAAATAGCGCTGACAAGCCCAATGCCAACGGATTCGTACCGTCCAAGCCTTCGGCTACCGCCTTGGCAGATGCTGCCGCTGCTGAGCCCAATGGGGTCGCTGCTACAGGATCAGAAGCTCCAACGACTGCTGCTGTAGCCCCTCCCGCTGCGACGTCCACTTCGACTCAGGGCCAGCAGAAGCAACAGCAGTCTGCGCAACAACCTCAGCAGAACCAACAGAGGGCAGTCCAGCAGAACAACAATCAATCACGCAAGGGCAACGCTAGCAAGGCCTCTGCAGCTCAGAGCAACGGTGCCAATGCTTCCATGAAGAAGACGCCGGCCCAACGAGTGCCCAGCGGTGCAGACTTCCCCGCTCTGGGAGGTCCTTCCAACGGCGCTTCCACCGCATCCTCTACGTCTACTCCCGACGCTTCCAAGAAGACTGCATCGAGTGCACCGACCGTCAATGGCGGCGACAATAGCTCTGCCGGTGCCATTTCCAGCTCCTCATCTTCGAAGATCAATTTCTCCGCCATCCTCTCGGCCCCTGCGCCTGCCAAGAAGACTCCCACAGCAGCAGCAGAGTCGAGTAGCGCTACTGCTCCTCCTTCCGCTGGGGTCTCCGCAAGCGATACGACTCCTTCGCCCGCTGGTGGTGAGGAAGAGAGCACAGCCTCGGCGAATGCTCCTGTGAATGGTACCGCAGAGGGTGTCCAGAGCCAGAAGCAGGTCAATGGACATGTCAACGGCGCGACGAATGGACACGCCAAAGAGGGCAAGCCCGTCAAAGGCAGGCCCGTCAAGAGTGGTGCGGCCGGCGGAGCAGCCGGCAGTAACACCGGCAAAGGGTGGGGCGCTAAATCTCAAAGCGCTTCTGGGTCCGCAGGTACGCCCAAGGAACTCGAAGTGGATGAAGACGACTTCCAGCTGGTCAAGGGGAGGAACCACGCCAAGCGCTCACAATCTAGCGGACCGGCTAGCAGTCGTGGCAGTGCAAATGGGGCTGGGCAGAACTTTGCTTCGGTTGCCAAGGCCTCTGTGGCTGCTTGAGGTGGGAGGCAGGCAAGGGCTACTACGCTACAAGGTGCGCATTCGTAGGCGCATTCGCACTCGCACTTGCACCCTTCATAGAACACTTCTTGGCACCGCAACACCTACCTTTCTCTTCTTGCTCTTTGCTCTGCCCTCTTCATCGCTTGCACCCCTCTTCCTTTTCTGCTCTGTCCCACACATCCATCTCTCCCGGTCCCTACGCCTTTCTCTCTCTCTGTCCAGCCTGTCCGGTCAATGCCCGGATGCAGCACTTCTCGCTCTCTCGCGCCCTTATTCCACCCATTCTCGGGCCCATCCTCCCTCCCTCTCTCCCTCTCACACACACACTCTCTCTCTCTTTTGCGCTGTCTCTTTCTCTCTCTCTCTCGATGTGTCTTTCTCTCAACTATCAAAAGCTCGCAGCGCAGCACGCGATCATCCCTCATCTCACTTCACGCTCTGCCATTCGCTCCCCACCCCCCCATCCCAACACACGTACAAAAAGTTCCGGACCTCCTCCTCTTTTCGTCTCTTGCTCTTCCCTCTTCTCATCTTTTCTCTCCTCCTCTTCTCTTTTTGCTGGCTTGAGCACTTACTTACTTACTTGCTTGCTTGCTTGCTTACTTCGTGCAGCAATCCTCGGCTATTGTCATCTTGTCCCTCTCATCCTTCTCTGTCTCTGTCTCTCTCTTTCTTGATCTGGGGCCTGTGGCTTGTGGCCCTGCGCCCTGTCAAGTCTTGTCAATCAGTCAGTCAGTCGGTCGGTCAGTCGGTCAGTCATCAAGTTCTTGCTTGTACGGCATGCAATGCATTTGCTGTACTGTGCAGTCGCTGTGGTGAGCTGCGCTGTGCCAATCTCATCAGACGATCTATCAGAGACACACCACTTGTACTGTACTGCACAGTACTGTACTGTCTGCCTGGCTCCTGGTGCGGAACGCGATCCTCTTATCACGTTGGAGGAAGGAAAAGCATTTCTTCGTATTTCTTCCTTTGCTAGTACTGCCTTACAGCTGCCTCCTTTCCACCCCCGCAAGTATACCCGGCACTACGAGTGCTCCTCAACTGCCCACCCGACGTGAGCCAAGCCAGAGGCGCCTTCTCCTTCCCAGAGCTTTCGGAACACAGACACTTAGAGGGAAGCCTTCTGCTTTGCCTCGTTGAAGCGCTTCTCTGCCTCCTTCCAGTTGTAGACCTTCCAGGCCTCCTCAACGTACTTTGGCTTGGCGTTCTTGTAGTCAAGGTAGAAGGCTGTGGGTAGGAGAGAAGGTGAGAGGAGACAGGGGGCAAAGAGCGTAGTGTCAGAGCCAGTCAACACATTTGCACTTGTCCTTCCCACCAATGCAAACTCACCGTGCTCCCAGACGTCCAGACCGAGGATGGGTGCATGGGTGGTCAGTGGGTCCTGGTCCTTGAGCTGGAGAACCTCGAGGCGGCCCAGGTTGTTGAGACCCAGCCAAGCCCATCCAGATCCCTGAATGGTCGAGGCTGCAGTGGAGAAGAGGCTCTTGAACTTGTCAAAGCTTCCAAAGTCCTTTTCAATCTGCTGCTTCAGGGGTCCGTCCTGCAGCTGACCTCCACCCTCGGAGACGGGTGCGAGGTTCTTCCAGAAGAGAGAGTGGTTGATGTGGCCACCACCGTTGAACTTGATGGCGGACTGGGTGGCGATCTGTTGCTTGATGTCCTTGTTAGACACGGCAGATGCGTAGGCCTTCTCAGCGGCGTCTGGCGATAGGGAAGGGCAGGATGGCCACGATAGAAGGTGTCAGCCAACACATGTGCAGAGCGGTCAATGAACGAGCGTGGGCACAGTGTCTCCTTGTTTGCGCTCGCTGATCACTCACTCAGGTTGGTGACGTAGGCCTGGTGGTGCTTGGTGTGGTGGATCTCCATGATCTGAGCGGAGATGACGGGCTCCAGGGCATTGTAGGCGTAAGGGAGCTGGGGGAGAGTGTGCTCGTTTGCGGTGGCTGGGAAAGCAGAAAGGGGAATCGTAGAGAAAGTATGAGTTTCCTGTCAGACTTCTGACTTCTTCGATAGCGGTCTCTGAGGCTAAAGATCCGCACAGCAGGCACGCAGGATCTGTGTCTAGGCTGCGATGGCCGTACAAACAGCACAGAGCTGAGGCCTCTGCTCCTCGGCTGTGACTACTTACCCATTGTGGTAGAGGTATAATCAAGTGTGTTTACTTGTTTGGATGGTAAAAGCTAGGCTGGTTGTGGTACCTTTGGTGCGATGGTCTCAGTGGTGCGATGTCAACGTCGAATGGCGAGCAAGATGTGGGCCCAAGTGACCATTCAACCCTCGGCCGTGCGCGCACCAGTGGAGAAGCTCGGAGCGGAGGTGGAGGGGCCACTAGTCTACTCAGCGCGACGCACAGCGGGAGGCACTGGAGCAGAGGAAGCGCCTACGGCCGAGGGGAACACGGCGGATCCGATTGGCGGCCGCCGTTCGAGAAGAACTGAGGAAAGAGTGGAGCCGCGGCAGACGGATTGAGCGGCTGCAGGTCATGCTTGCTTCCCGCACAGAGGTCATACCGACGGCCATTCCGATGAGGAGTACTTCTACTTACCTCACTCAATCACACGTCTGACCATCGATGTTGGCTCGTGGCACACCTCTCACGGCGATAGCGCTTAGTAGAGAGGCTACAAGGGCGCCATTGCCGCTTCTCAGAGCACCGCCATGTCTCGATCCTCCTGTACGCCGGCTGCCACGCCAGAGTGCGGCTTACGTCCAGAGGAGCTCTTTCCATAGCAGTATACCCACCAGGGCAGCTTCGACTTCGACCTCAGCCTCAGCCTCGGCATCAGCATCGACGTCGACATCGCCCCTCGTCGATGGCAGCACCGCTGCGTCCACGAGCGCCTCGCCGAGCCTCACAGACTCGGCCAGCTCCGCCATTACCTCCCTCTTCGACACTCTAGCAACCGTCTTCGAGCCCTTTTCCCGCTTCGCCTCTCCCTACATTCACGATCTGCCCCACTACTTCCACCTCGAACACCACCCACACGGCTATGCAATCTCACTCGTCATACTCGCTTTTCTCGTAAGGGGGACCATCTCCTTGCCCGTTCATCTATGGATGAGGGCAAGGGTGAGGCGATTGACCGAGCTGGCCGTTCCCGAGTGGGAGAGGATACAGAAGGATGAGGACTTACATAAGAGTATCATCAGGCGCTGCAGACAGAAGGGACTGAGTCACCAGCAATACCAGAATGAAGTGGAGCGAGAGGTGAGTAGCGCTCAGCCGCACCATCGGTGGACAGATGATCTCAAGCCTCTCCGCTCACCCCACACACTGCCCCTCCCATCCCCTTCCCAGCTCCTGGCCATCCGCGAATCCCTCTTCAAGAAGTACCACTGCACTCTCGGTCCAACAAAGTGGGTCCCACCTCTCCTGAACATCCCCCTCTTCCTCGCCCTCTCCTTTGCCATCCGTCAATCCCTCCTCACTCCCGACTCGCCCTTACTTCGAGAAATCCTACCATGGTGGAGCGCACCCGAGCACCTCTCACAGAGCTTCGAGACCTCCGCAGCCATGCTCAGGGATAGAGGTCTAGATCCCGAGGCACTCCAGAAGCTCAGTAGACCCATGGGTCCCACATTGGGGGATAAAGATGGGAGCAATGTCGCGCCTCTCGCAGTGGGGTTGCTCACGTTTCTCAATTTGGAACTGGCGACAAAGGGAAGGGAGACGGTGCAGCGGATCATCCGACTTGGGAAAGTTCAGCAGGACCAGATAGACGAGCAATCTGCCTCGGTAGCACATCGGGCGAATTATGGTGAGAAGAGGACGAGAACTCCTATTCCGCTGGAAAAGATCAAGTCGGATGAGGAGATTGAGAGAGAGGAGCGGAAGAAGGGAGGAGTACAGAGGTGGGCGGCAATTGGGAGAGGACTGTCCATTGCTTCGGTCACACTTGCAACGCAGGCACCAGGAGTGAGTAGGCGTGGGATGTTGCACAAAAGTCCTGTCTGCTCGACCGATCGCAGGACAAGACTGATGTAGTCCTCCCTCCCTCCCCCTCCCCCCACCCCCCCCCCCCCCCCCCCCCCCCCCCCCCCCCTCATCTTAAAAAGGCAATCCTCATCTACTGGCTCTCCAGCATCTCCTACACCCTCACCCAGACCATCGCCTTCAACCTCCTCGACGCCCGCACAGCGCGGAGGAAAGTAGCCCTTGCCCCTCCGGTTGGAGGTCAAAGCGAGGAGGAGGAGGAGGCTCGGCCGCAGGACCTGACAGGGAGGGCGAAGGCGAAGGCGAAGATGACTTTCGCAGACGCACAGGCGCACGCACAGACGCAGGCACAGGCGCAGACGCAGCTGGGTCGCACTGGTCTGTCTGCTCCCAAGGTCACGGTCACGGTCGCGGAAGCGGAGGCGGAGGATGGTCAGCTGGCAGACCAGCCTCAGCCTCCGCCTTCTTCCTCTTCCTCTTCTCCTTCTCCTTCTCCTTCTCCACCTCGATCTCGATCTCGATCTCGATCTCGACCTGAGGGACCTGTGAGGCCAGCGCAGGGTCGAAAGAGATGATGAACAATGTACACCCACTCTCACCCTCGCAGAGCACCGAGAGCACCGAGAGTACTCGGCTCGGCACTGCACGGCACTGCTCGGCACTGCACTGCACTGTCTTCAATATGATACCACTGCTTCACATGACTTGACTTGACATGAGATGACATGACCGATACAAAGAACATTTGGAGTTGAAACGTTGAAAAAGAGGGGAAACTCAGTGGATGTGGTGCAAGGGGTGAGAGGGACTGTTGAAAGTGACCTCGCCTCGCCTCGCTCTACCCTTTACGTTATGTTTTGTAGTGTGCCGCCGCCTGCTTGGCGACACGGTTGATCGTAGCCCCCACCGTCATGGCCAACCCTGATTAAACCTACTTCGGACTGCTTCCCCTTCCCCCCTCTTGATGCTTCCCGTCTACCAACCCCTACCGCTCATCTTCCCACCAGGCATATCATCACTGATGGTCAGCCCCACCATGGCTTCACCAAGGTTGGTGCTCACCTCTGCCAGCTTTGCCGGGTCTTCGTAGTGGGCCACGGCCTGGACAATGGCGCGGGCACGCTCGGCCTGGTTGGAACCCTTGAAGATGCCCGAACCGACAAAGACGCCGTCGGAGCCTAGCTGCATCATCAGAGCTGCATCGGCGGGAGTGGCCACACCGCCGGCGGCAAAGTTGACGACGGGGAGACGCTTCAGACGGGCAGTCTCCTTGAGAAGGTGGAAGGGTGCCTGAGAAGGAGGAGAAAGGGGAGTGGTGATGAAGCATAAGTAATCGGTCTTTGTTTCGTCTGCCGCAAGCTGCGTGCTCTCATTGTGTACTCACTGAAATCTCCTTGGCGTAGGTGTAGAGCTCTTCATCCGACATGCCAGCTGCCCTTCGGATCTCAGCCGCCACGGTCCTCTGGTGCCTGACGGCCTCGACTACGTTTCCAGTACCAGCCTCTCCCTTTGTACGGATCATAGCTGCTCCCTCTGAGATTCGGCGCAGGGCTTCACCTAGGTTACGGCAACCACAGACAAAGGGGGCCTTGAAGGGATGCTTGTTGATGTGGTGCTCGTCATCTGCGGGGGTCAAAACCTCGGACTCGTCGATGTAGTCGACGTTGAGGGACTGCAGGATCTGGGCCTCGACAAAGTGACCAATACGGCACTTGGCCTGTGGGGCGGGGGAGAGGACAGCGGCAAGTGGGCAGTAGCGATGGTCAGCAGAGAATTCGGAAGCACTCGCTCCGTGGAAAATGGTTTTGCGAGCCCTTCTGTGCTCACCATGACGGGAATAGAGACCGCCTCGATGATCTCCTTGATCATGGCCGGGTCGGACATTCTAGCCACACCTCCCTGCACTCGGATATCAGCAGGCACTCGCTCCAGAGCCATGACGGCGCAAGCACCAGCCTCTTCGGCAATACGGGCCTGCTCGACGTTGATGACGTCCTTAAAAAGAGCAAAGGTGGAAAAGAGGGGACATGTCAGCTTTCTGCGCCACTGCCTTCCTTCCTTCCGTAAGGCTTGAACTTGTTGCCGCCGGCCTAGCAAGTCATTTGCGCTCCTTCCTGCAGTGCCCCCCTCTTGCGTACTGACCATGATCACACCACCCTTGAGCATCTGTGCCAGTCCACTCTTGACTCCAAATGTTCCCAGGTTGGAAGAGCCAGAGGCAGAACCATTTGTCTCGGGTCGGTGGGAGCCGGTGAGGGAGCGGGAGATGGGGGCGCGCTGTGCGTCTGTAGGTGCGGGGGCTGGGGAGCCATTGCCGTTGATGATGGTTGGGTGTTCGGCAGACATGTCGAGGCGATGTAAATGGGTAAAGGGGTGGGATGGACAAGGTGTGAAGGATGTGTAGGTACAAGAAGGGAACGAGGCCGAGGAAGGAAGCTATATGCTCCACCCACCCACCCACCCACCTACGCTGCTGCTTGCCTCCGGTGACTCGGAATGGCCCCTTTGCCTGCCTGCCCTGCGTGCTTGCCCTGGCTGCCTCTGTGCCCTGCGCCGGTCCCTGCTTCCGGCTTCCTTGGTCGTAAGCATGCACGCACGCACGCCCAAAAAGAAGAAGAAAAAATCTCCTCCCGCTGCTGCTGCCCCCTTCAAAAAAGAAAAAATCCATCCCCGCCAAGTCAGCCGCCGGTCGGGGCTGGGGAGGCAGGCGGGGAATCAGGACGCGCAACGAGAGAGGGGCCAGCCTCCTTGGCTTGGGTGGGGGGCTTCTTGGCATTCACTGCCCATGGTCCCGAAGTATGTTCCAGGGCCACGATCCGTACGCAGCAGGAGGAAGCAAAGGACGGGCGATCCCGGAAGAATAGAGCTCACTTCTTGCCTCCTTCAGGCTTAGACAAGCCCTCAATGGCCGAGGACTGAGCAAGCAAGCAAGCAAGCCCCTTGGGCGTTGACTGCGTTGCGTGCAGGATTAGGCAACAGACAGGAACCAGATTGGCTCTTGGTCAGGTCAGACCAAGTCAGGGCGAGGTGTTCATTGCGCTGCTTCTCTTTTGGCGTACTCAGCACCAGACATATCTACCCGATGATCAAGCCATGAGACCTGTCGAACCCGGGATCAGCCGAGGATCGACTCGCACACGCCGCGGGCGGTTGCAATGACAGTTGGTGACCACATGTAGTCAGCTCATCGCTAGATGTGTACTGTGGTGCTGCTGCTGATGATGATGATGACGATGATGATGATGGAGACTGTGTAGCAGGATACATGTACAAGCACAAGCGAACAACATCTCTACCAATCTCTCTACCGCGCTCCCATCCGATGTACACCACTCCCTCCGCACCTCTCACCCCCACTCCCGCTCCCTCGCTCAAGCCCTAATCGGGATCGACAGTCCAAAGTCCAGAAGCTCCTCACAGGCCGGGCTCTTCTCCTTTCGAATCTTGAGCTCCGTCTCCCGATCAGCTCCAATGCCAAAGAAGCCCCGCGTACGGTCAATGCGTTGTTCTTGGTAGTCGCGGAAGCTGGAACATTGTTGATATAGGACATTCTTCCAGCTGTTCTCCACCTAAGGGAGGGGAACCCAGGGAGAAATAGAAGGCGGTCAGAGAGGATTCGAGATACTGTCTGAGCGATGCCTGGAGCTGCCTCGCACTCACCTTCGCCTCGAAGGACCGTAGGCCGTTCGACCGCGGGCCCACCCCAGACGTCTTGATGTACTCATTGTTCTCCCACTCCCTCTTATCGACATAGTATGCCACACCTCTCCCACCAGTCATGTGCTGCTCCCTGAATCGACCCGAGGGCGCCCAAGTATATCCTGGCTCCTTGGGACCCATCATTGAGGGCAGGTAGCTCAACAGCGAGAAGAAGGCCAGTAGCAAGATCGGAAGCAATTGCAGTAGCAGATTGGGATTCTCTGCGGGCGCTTGCCCTGCGCGAGCACCCCGCCGAGGTTGCTGCATACCTGCTCGATGGTAGGTGCGCTGCATGCCTGGACCGCCGAAGCTGAACGTCGTACCGCCGCCGAAGCCTCGAAATATAGCAGGAGAGTGGTCATCAGGGCCTGCAGATGCCAAAACGATGGCCTCGCCCTTGACATCCTTGAGGGTCTACTCACCATTCATGCCGCCCATACCTCCGCCGAAGAACATGTTGAACAGATCTTGTGGGTCGATCTCTTCACCCCTGCCGTACATGCCTGCTCCTCCGGGTCTGCCAAACGGTGACATAGACGGACCGGCACCACCTCCGCCGCCGCCTCCTCTTTGATCTGGATCTCCTCCATAGCGATCATACTGCGCTCTCTTGTCGGCATCTGACAAGATCGTGAATGCTTTCGATACCACTGAGAGGGGAGAGAGAGAAAGGGGAAAGGAAACGCGTCAGTCATCGCAGCTGGCAGGCAAGATGCGAAGCCATCGGTACTCACGCTTGAAGGCTTCGTCTGCTCCGGGTGCTCCGTTCTTGTCCGGATGTAATTGGAGAGCGAGCTGACATGGGCGGGACGGAGGGATTGGAGGATGTCAGACTCAGATCCTATGCTAACTACGTCTGCTTGCCTGCCCGACTGTCCCTTCTCTCTCGCTCACCTTTCTATATGCCTTCTTAATGCCATTCTCCTCAACCGTCTTCTCTACACTGAGGACTTTGTAGAAGTCTCCCCCAGCTGCCTTGATCTTGGCAACCACTGCAGCCTGCTCAGGTGTGTAAGCTCTAGCCTCCTCCTTTGCCTTCTCCTTTCCCCCACTGCCCGTCGTTCGAGCTCTGGCAGCTGATCCCCCATTAGCAGCAGCCCCACCTGCGCCGCCATTGGCTGCCGAAGTCGAACCAGGAGTCGAGGCAGAAGTGGAAGAGCTACTTGCGCCATTCACGCCCTTTGTCTCTAGTCTGCTCAGGAGCGCCGAAGCTTCGGGGGTAGAGTGGATGGAGATGGACTTCTTGCACCACTTGATGGCGTTGGCTAGATCGCCTTGGTCGTCATACTTCCGCGCTAGACCTAAGGCCTTGGAGGACTCGACTTGGGAGTCGCTCATCGCAAGTAGAGTGGTATGATGAGTGTGATGTAGACTACTGCAGTGACGGACGACGTTCTGCGGCCCTTGCGATACCGGTAGGGGGCCAAGGGGTGGACGAGAGGCGGACAGGAAGATTGCAGCGGAGCACCAGACGCACACCACTCGCCCTACGTGGAATCACTCGCCCACGCCAGCCTCGGCCTCGGACTCAGGCTCAGGCGCACAGTCGCAACCAAGCCAAGCAGGGCCACTTCCGCTTCCGCTTCCGCTTCCGCTTCCGCTTCCGCTTCCGCTTCCACCACACTGCAGCACCAGACCTTCGAATATTGACCCCACATTGACCTCCTCGTCTGGCCAGCCTCGCACCTTTACCATCTTGTACCATGGCAGCCATCACACTCTTCCTCCACGCTCCAGCTACCAACATCTCCTCTGAGCGACTCCTCTCACCCAGCGAGTCCATCTCCTCACTCCGCAGCCGCCTCGAGCACCTCACCGGCATCCCTCCCACCGCACAGAAAATCTCCCTCTACACCTCGCGCACAGACGATCCCAGCCCTTCTGCACCGCCTAGACTCGTGACGCCTGTCCGCTCTGAACCTGCATCGGATGAGGAGGATGAAATCACACTGATGATGCTTGGGGTGAGAGAGGGGATGGGAATCAAGGTCGAGGATACACGACCCCCCGACGTGGCTAGGATGTACACTGACGAGTCGCTGCTGAAGGAGAGGTTCGAGCTGACAGAAGAAGAGTATGCGAATAGGAGCGGTGAGTCGTCCGAGAGCAGAGCAGGGAAACTTGCTTCAATCACTTCTTGAGCTCACATCGTCACTTTCAATTCCCTACCTGCCCTGTGACATCGCAGATACTGTCCTCTCCTACAAGCAGCGTCACAAAATGGGCCGCTTCGACCCAAATGCCGTCGCCTCTGCCGAGGCAGAAGCTGCCTCCATCGAAGAGCAAGTAGCATGGGCTCACACCGCCTACCCGCTTGGCTCCCGGTGCGAAGTGGAAGGAGGTTACCAGCGCAGGGGAGCTGTGCGATTTGTGGGCACGACGGAATTTGCAAAGGGCGTGTGGGTGGGGGTGGAGTACGATGAGCCGGTAGGGAAGGGAGATGGAAGGTGAGTTGAGAGAGAGCAAGACAGAGATGAGAGCTGTCGAGGGCATGGCCAGCTGACGGATGACTTCGCTCCTCTCTGCACCTAGCGTCAATGGCTCGCGATACTTTACCTGTTCAGCAAAGCACGGAGGCTTCGTCAAGCCAGACAAGGTCAAAGTGGGCCACTATCCACCCATCGAGCCCTTCGACGAGGATGATGAAGAGTTTTGAGCAAAACCCACCTCGAAGTGAAGCTTGGCGAGATGGAAGCAGGTGTCACAGACTGGATATACCTTACCTTTATCGTGCTATGTCTACGTGGGAGCTCGAAGGGCCGCAATGCATGCTTGGTGTTCGCCTTCTGGCCCCTTCTGAGGCATAGCGTGAAATACTGGAGAAGAACAGGAAGATAGCTGCGCCAGCTGCCGGCCCTTTTGCGTAGATCAGTGACGATCGAGGCTCGCGTCGTCGCCGCGCTGAGGTACACCGTCAGGTACTGGTAGCGCGTCTTCTGCCTAGATCGGTCACGAATGAGCATAGGCCAGGCTCGGAAGCGGTAATGTTCAGTGACTGCCAGCTGCGATACTGACTCACGGCTGGCAGAGGTAAGCAAGAGATAGATCCGTAGGTAAGAGTGGGTCAGTCGGCGAGCAGTACTGGATCTGTGTAGGGCCGAGGGTGATCTGCGAGGGACAAGAGGCAGGTGCAGATGCAGAGTACGAGAAGCTCTGATGCGGCTGCTGGGTGGATCTGTGGAGGGTAGAGGCGGGCGGTGGGGCCACTGAACCGGTCTGTTGGCTGTAGGTAGAGAGAAATCTCTGTACGGTAGAGTAGTCACGCGACCTGCTGGGCGAAGGGACAGGGTAAGATGTTGGCAGATAGCCGTCTGTGAAGACAATGAGAAGAGTGATGCTGGCAGGGCATCTGCACGCTGGGAGAAATACTGCGCAGAGTATCGCACGGCCTGCCTGCCGGCTACTTCAAGTGACCTACGGGAGGGAGGCAGCATTGCGGGAGAGGATAGACTTGCCGGCAGGCAGGTAGGTTTTCGCCTGGGTAGACGACAACGGTGCTCTTACTCGAGAGGAGGAGACTCTGGCAGGTGAAGCTAAAGGTTCCTACGCTATGCATGGGAGAGGAGCAGCGTATATGGCTGGGACCTACCGACAATGGTACATTCTGTGTTGTCCTAGGCGGGGCGCGAAGGGAGGAGAAGCATCTGTAAGTGGAACCTGCCGGGGCATGAGATCTGAGGAAGGGGAAAAAATGGGAAAATCTGCTGAGAGGTCTTGCTATGGTGCAGATGGGCTAGAAGTAGTGCAGTGGAGCTGTCGGACGGGAGCGGACGAATCAAACAACTCTATGGAAGGCTGTGGGGAAACGTGAGTAGAGCTGGGAGGCGGAAGAGATCTGTGGACAGCAGCGGGTACAAGTGAATACCGTGGAGGATCACCGGTCGAGGAGTCTTGAAAAGACTCGTGCCTGACAGCGAGATTAGTACAGTGCTCTGTAGGACTGAGAGAAGGCGAGTGCAGCGACCCGTGGGGTCAGTGCAGACGACCTGCCTCTGCGGGAGATGTAGGAACATATGAATGCTGTAGGGAATGGGTGGAGCAAGTAGACTCTTAAGGGAGAAGGAGTTGACCGATGGGACCTACGGGGACCAGTGGGGGCGAGCAAATGAAATCTGTAGACTAGTCGGCGAGTGCGACGTGCGAGCAGAATGTGGATGCACGACAATTGTGGTCGTGAGCGGATGTGTAGGTGCTATGGAGAAGGAAGCTGTGTGCGAACGCGTCCTGTAGAGAAGGTGGACAACGGAGTAGCTGTAGAGCGATGATACCTGTGGACGAGACCTACCTGTGTGCAAGTGAGACCTGTAGATCAGGGGGCAATGTATAAGCTGTGGGGGAGTGGGACCTGTGAACGAGTGACACCTGTTGGGGAGTGGGACCTGTGGACGAGTGACACCTGTGGGGGAATGGGACCTGTGGGCGATTGGTACCTGTCGCCAGGTCTCAATTGGGTGCGAGTGAGCTCTGTAGGGAGCGATGGCAAGATTGGACCTGTGTTCGAGTGGGACCTGTGATCAAATGGGATCTGTGGACACATGGAAACCATTAGGAAGGAGGATCTGCGACGGAGTGGTACCTGTGGGGCCGGCAGGTGGGACCTTGGAGCAGTACTCTCTGTAGGTAGAGAGTGAATGAATGGCATTTGTGAGGATGAGAATCTGTGGGCGAGTGAGAGATCTGTCTGCAGATGGGGCCTGTGGGTGAGGAGGACCTGTGGGCGAGTGTAGAATAGGAGAAGGGGACCTGAGCATAGAGAGCCCCGAGTAGTAGCTTTGTGAAAGAGGAATCTGCTGGTAGGAAGAAGAGCGGTAGTGGAAGGCGTGGATCCGTGGGCCGATGGAAATGGTAGGCGAGTGATATCTGTGGGCGAATGATACCTGTGGGCAACTGATTCCTGTGGGCGACTGATACCTGTGGGCAGATGGGATTCTGTGGGCGATTGGGATTCTGTAGACGAATGGAATCTGTGGGCAAGTGGAACTTGGCAGGCCCCCCGGCGGCCAGTGAGACCTGCGGATAGACCAGGCGGAGTACTAGCTGGCTGTGGGTGAGGGTTATCTGCGGATAGGGAGGAGAGTAGTAAGGCCTGGGCGATCTGAGGAGCAGATGGGACCTGCGAAAGCGGGTAGGATCTGTGGATGCGAATAAGGTCTGTAGGTGTGGATGAGATCTGTGGGCGCGGGTGTGACCTGTAGGGGAGGAAAGCCGGGTAGGCGCTGTGGGGCGAGAGCAATCGGCGAGTGAAGAGCGGAAAGTGGATGTGGATGGTGGCTGTAGTGTGCATTGGTTGAAGAGGATTATATTACTGTGGGGAGGATAGATGTTGGATGGGAGAAATGGATGACCTGGCGGAAGGGACGTAGATGGTGGAAGGGAGATTGAGTGGTGCATGGATAGTGGCCTGTCGAATGGGGGGTTAACCAGTGGCTGGGAGGAGTTAATGACCTGTGGGTGGGAGGGTAGCGGTGGCGGAGAGCGTAAGTGATGGGTGGATGGTGCATGGTGCATGGTCGATGGATGAGCGGATGATGGATAGAAGAGTACGGTGGAAGGATAGATGGTTGGCGGGGAAGGGCAGTCGTGACGCTGGGCGGCTCAGTCGACGGGACTCGGCCCCCCGCTCAAGGGACTGCCCCGCCCGTTGGTGCCTGGAGCCGCCGCGCCTTTTGGTGAAATTCCCCTAAGGAGACTCCCTCGAGTGATTCCATTAAGGGAGAATCATCGAGCCGAATCCACTAAGGGAAGTCGATGTTTTTTGGGGAATCCACTAAGGAAAACTTACCGAGGACGAAAATCCAGTAAGGGAACTTTCAAAAGGCAGGGCGACTCCCAACGGAGGTCAGGGTTGTCAAAGTACTCAACGGAAGTCAAGCTCAGAGGAGAAATGTCAAAGCCACGGCCGAGTCAGGTCATGATTAGCTTCAACTCGACTGTCAGTGGTAAATCTCTAATCTTTGCTGTTCCATTCGCCGCCGTTGTCAGTATCGTGTCAGTAGCTATCCTCACTCTCGGTTCAGTCTTCACTCGCCGATGGCCATCGATGGCTAGCTGTGCACCCCTCCCGTTCTGGCAAAGGGGAGGGAAAACAGTAGCCACCGATGGCGCTCGCAGTGGCAAAGCTGGAAGCTCGCACTGAGCTCCCAGCTTTACCTCTTGCTTGCGTAGCGATGAAAGACTAAGGACGACAGGGGGAGGTGGTACATGATCGGGAGCGGCGACGGTAGAGGGGGAGCGATAAGAGGTTGCTGCCTTTTGTGGTCGCAGCTGACCATCGACACCAATGGGCGTCGCCTTCGTACAAATCCATAAAGGATCCCCGAAGGGAAGGAAAAAATTGGTCCAGCCCACCCAGGCTGGGACTCTATGTACCCGAGTCCATAGAGTCACCCCTCGAAGAGCCTCGCCCAGCGACAAGAGGTAATGAGCCTCGAGTCACCAGACAATGGCAAGTCGAAAGGCAGTAAAAAACCCGTCGCGGTAAAGCTCAAGGAAAAAACTGTAGGTGGTGGGGGAGGAGCCCCCCTGGTTCACCGGTCTTAATCGGTTCCCCTTTGGTTCACCGGTGCTAATCGGTTCCCCTTCCGGAGCGACGAGTGGCCGAATTCTCTTACGAAGGCAAACGACCGTCGGCGAGTTCCGACTGAAGCGTCCTTGCAGTGATCCCGTCGCAGTCGCCTCCCCTCTCGCCCTCATTCTCCACCACTTCGGAGCACCACGTAGGTTCATGACGCCTACGCTGCGCTACCAAACGGTTGAGAAGAGGTAAAAGGAAAGGACGAAAGCTAAAGGTGGATGCTAAGGTAGCGACAGAAGGACAAAGAAGCGCTTACACCTCGCTGTTGGTTCGCTTACCAAACGGAAAAGTCCACATCGTCCTCCGTCTTTTCCACGCTGGGAGGCGGAACCGTGAAAAAGAGCTGTTGCCAGTTCTTTCCGTAGGTAGCCTCCAGCTCAATGGCCAAATTCCGTGGTCGATACTTCACGTCGCCCCGCTCAAGGATCCTCGAGCGAGCACGGCACATTGCGCGCCGACCATGTCGGTAGCAAGTCAGGTGACGGCAGGCGGTCCATGGCTTTCCCTCGGGGTCAAAAAGAGGCTCCTCCTCTTCTTGCCACCGAAGGTGTTCCATCGCCATCGCATTGATGACTTCGACGGGCAGTTCGGTCTTCCCATCCCACAAGGGGGGTGCAACAGTGCGAGGGAAAGCCTGAGGCTCCACTTGCTCCGCTACAGCCACCACAATGTGGTTGTCAGCAGCTACAGCGGTCTCCGTCTGCATCTCCTCTCGGATGGGCGACGCACAGATCTCAACCTTCTCCTCGAGAGGGGAAGGGGAAGACTGCGCATCTACCTCAACCTCGATGGGAGCAGGCTCGGAGATCACCACCACTTCTCCCGATGAAATTTCCTCCAACTCCATATCGCAGGATCCGTCACCATCCTCGATGTCGTCTTCGCCTGCAGAGCAGCACGGAGAGGAGCAAGCAGAGTGGATCGGGGCCTGGATCTCCTCGGAGACTGGCTCCGACTGGGGAATGTCCACAGAAACTGTCACTTCCGTGAAGTTCTGAGCCCGAGGGACATTCCAAGAGCTTTGGTGAAAGCTCGACCAGTCGTTCTTACCAGCCCTGTCAGGGGCTTCAACGGTAATGCCAGCACCCCTTGTGAGGAACCTGGTGGGTGCACGAAGACCGCGGCCAGGGGAGAAGGGAGCCAATAGGTTGGTCGAGGAGGGTGGCATCTTCCTGGCAGAAGGTGACAGCACACCGCGAGAAACATAAGGCGACGCGCCGCTACGGAGCATCGGAGTAGGGGGAGGAATCCTCGAGGCGAAGAGAGGACTCGGCGTGTCGGGGCAGACAGGGGCCTCGCAACGCTTCTGCCCGTTGAAAACCAGCCCTTTCTTCGAGCCAATAGCAGGGCAGGGAGTGTCATCGAGAGCAGCGGCCGGTCCGTACCAGGGTCGGGAGAAGGCAAGACAGTTTTGGACCCACTGACCGCGGTTGACGTCCGGAGACCCCAACAGAAGTCGGTAGGCTTCGACCCTTGCCCTCCCCGTCAGCCAGGCGGGTTCCGAAGCTGTCTGGACAGGAGGTTCGAATGGCGAGCAAAGGCACCAAGACGATGAAGGCGAGCCGGGGGTAGGCGATGGGGCAAACGGACCAGGAGTGCAACATACAGCGGGGGGTCCGACAGCAGGAGCAGGTACGGGAGCGGACATGATAGGAGCAACTACGACTGGGGATGGCACCTTTGGCTTCTCCTCTGAGAGGAGAGGGGCTTTGGGTGCCATACTCACTTTGGCAGGCAATCGCCTGGTGCGGCTTGAGACCCTCTTGGCAGGGGCGACCTTAGTCGTGGTGGTGGCAGTGGCCATGGTGGCAAAGTCCATTCGGAAAGTGCGAGACATGTTGGTGGGTGCGGCAGCGGCGGCAGCAGGCGAAGCGGGGGCGTTGAGCACCAACCTGGAGGTTCGAGGAATCATCTTGGCTAACAAGTTGTTTCTGTGAAGCGTCGGTGGGTGTCTGAGCAAAAGCAAAAAAGCAAAGGGAGGCAAGGGAGGCAAAGGGCTGAGAGTGGTGGTTCAGCGAGCAGTGTGTAAAGCGGGATGAGGAAAAAGAAAAGGGGGGAATTCAGAGCGAGAGGGGGCCTTTATGTACCTGGTGGAAGGGCGAAGCTGACCCTCAAATGCATCCACGGCCACGAGCGGCCCTCAGCGTCCCACTTAGATGTGGGTCATGAATGCGCGCTCTCTCGGCGTCCAAAGCTGATTTTTCGTCGAGATCGAGAGCTTCCATGGCGGAGCGACAGTGTTCCTGCCGGCGAAAAGTGTTGGTTCAGGTGCCCGATGCCGAGGGAAAGTAACACTAGCGTCACTCCAGTGGCCCAGTGTTAAAGTGCCGTGTCGGAGGACGCGACAGACGGCCACGCGTCTCCGAGGCCAGGCATTGCGCCTGTGGGGAGAAGCGCCGGCGTCTAAGTGAGCAGCATGGCGAGTGTTGGACTGGATGCCAAGCAAAGTTGCACGGCGGAGACGGTGACAGTGATCTCAGGCCGCCGGTTTGCCCGAAGGCAGCAGGTCACAAGGACTTCCCACCTGCTCTGTCTCCCTCCTCTAATGCCTTCGATGGGACAATTCCTCTAGTGGTACACTCAACTTCTACCCTCGGGGGAGGCGCTGAGCTGTACCATTGGAAACGACGTTGATGTCAGCTCGCTGCCTCTGGTCGATAGCCCTGCTCTGACCTCGTCGGTAGATTTCCCCACCTGGATCTCACTCTTGCCCCACCTGCCCGACTGTTCCTCGACTTTTGAGCCACTTCCGAGGATACCGATCTCACTCGCCCCACGTGGCTTGCTGTGCCACTTCGTCGGGCGGATGCCAGATTCCGTTCCGCTCTCCGCTCCACACGCCCCCACCCTCACACCCACACTCCTCACGCTCACTAGGCAGACCTTCCTGCCGCCGGTACGCACACCTCTGACGCAACGCCGCTGATGACTCGGATAGCCTTCGCTCCGTAGAGCTCCATCTCTCATAGACTCAGCACGACCACCCGCCTCCTTGCTCTCCACAACTCCTCTTCACCAATTCGGTGATGAGCAGCCGAGGAAACAAGCATGCTCGCCTCGTCAAGGTCCATCTCCTCCCTGCTCGCATTGTCTCTGGTCACTCTCCTGGCCTCTATCGGTCTCAGACACATAACTCAGCAGCGCGCACGATCACCACTCGAGCATGACGTGGAAGAGCTGCTCCTCTCCGGGAAAGCAAAGGAGCGCTGGGCAGACTGGAAGGATTTTGATTGGGCTACAAAGGGAGCAAAGAGGAAGCTCAGGCCGCGCCTACCTAGGCGTGATCAAGAGATGAGGGACCTGATTTGGGGAGATGTGAGTATACCAGCTGATGGGAAAGCATAAACGCCCTCCATTGATCCTTTCGAACCCATCATGTCCCGTCCTAGGTTCAATTCCTGCATACGACAGATATACATGGCTTCTACCTCCCCCATCACTCGCCCGTGCCACCGGCCACGTCTTCCTCTGCTGACTGGGCAGACTGGGTATCTTTCATAGACAGAATGAGGTACAAGGCCCAGTCTGAAGGTAGAGACCTCGTTGTGGTAGATACTGGCGATCTTGGTAAGTGTAATTGTGCATCGGTTGCCCTGCACAGGTGGGTACTGACTCGCTCTGTGCGCTCCCTTCAGTCACCGGACATGGACTGTCGGATGCTAGACATGACGTTCCGCCTGGCTTATTCTCAAATCAGATCTTCGCTCTGGCAGATTGTGCGTACGCAACGATCCGAGGGTAGATCAGAAGCCTACCGGCTAACTTTGACCGATGAACTCTCTCTCTCTCTCTCTGCAGACGATGTCCTGACAGTCGGGAACCACGAGCTGTATACGCTAGAAGGGGTACAAGCCCTACAATCAGACTTTATACCACACTGGAGTGATCGCTATGTAACGTCCAACGTCAATTACACCTCTTCCGAGAATGGGTCTATCTCTCGCACTTCGTCGCTTGGCTCGCAATACACCTCGTTCGTCCTGCCACAGACAGGTCTGCGCCTCACATCGTTGGGCATCCTCTTTGACTTCACCTCGCCAGTTGAAGGCATTTCAATCAGACCACCTGCTAGCATACTCGGCGAGGCCTGGTACAAGGACTTGATGTATAGCAGAATCGGCCACGAGACGGATATCTGGCTCATAGCTGGGCATATGCCACTAGATGGGCCCGAGGATGAATGGGATGAGCTTATAGAGGGGATGAGACGATGGGAAAGCGTAGGACAGAAGCCAATCGTTGGTCTAGGTGAGTGTGAATGCCTCGGAAGAGACGGTCCGGGAGCCGTTCTGATGCTTAGCCTCTTCACTGCCATACAGGTGGCCATACGCATTTGAGAAATTGCAGACAAGACTCAAATACCATCATTCTGCAATCTGGCCGCTACCACGAGACAGCGGGTTTCGTCTCCGTTGCCTTTCCTGAGCGTCACTTGGTATCCCACAATTCCTCTCGCTCATTGGGAGCTCCCATGTTCTCCCGGCGCTACATCGATCTCAACCCTCTCAACTTAGCTCATCATCTGGGCCTCTCGCTGCACAACGGCTCCTTGACGACTCCTTTTGGCCACTACGTGCGCCATATCTTACACTCTCTCGCCGCGAAGTGGAAGCTGGAAGAGGTGCACGGCTTTGCGCCTCAAGATTGGTTTCTGGAGCGCTACGCTGCCAGTGATGAGAGGAGCATCCTGAAGGGCACAAGGGATGTGCTGGTCCGAATCTTCAAGAAGACTTACGAGACAGGAGGCGAAGAGCAGCAGATGCGAATCGCCCTGATCAACTCAGGTAGCCTTCGAAATGATCTCAGAAAGGGGCCGTGTGAGTCGACGTAGAGGTCGCTAATGAGTGAAGAGGAGTAGAAAGCTGACTGTAGCCGCTCTTCTGGGCCCTCTCCATTCTTGACAGTCACCAATAGCGATCAATTCGTTGTCTCGCCCTTTTCAGATTCGGTGTGTACCAGATAAGCTCCATCTCACCATCCGCGTCCCATTCGCTGACCAGGGCTCCCGCTCTTTCCATATGCTTTGCTACATTCCACAGTTTCACTCCATCCACTCTGTGCCCCTCTCTCTTGCCAAGCGTCTGATCGCTCGCCTGAATGGTGACGGAGGAGACGACCCTTTCACGCCTGACGTCGAGGCTGGAGACCGGGGTGTGGGACCGGCCGTCAACTCTTTCGATGAGGATGGCAGGTCAGAAGGCTATGTCACCGTCGATGGGTGTGGTGTGGATGGAAGAGACGGTGATGATACCATTGTAAGTCTGCAGTCAAGACACGAAGAGCTACTCTGGTTCAATAGGTACTGACCCTCTCAACGTACCATTGTCTTCGTCTTCGCCTCTCTCCACAGCACCGACCTGTCCCCCTCGTCCCATTCGAGCCACCGTACATCGTCGCCCTCGCCTCTCCTGCTCCTCCGTCTTCTGCAAAGGCATCTAATGCTACGCAACTGGTGGAAATAGTGACGGTGCAGTACCTCCTGCCCCGTCTGCTCTCCCTACTGGACGAGCTCGCCTCGGAGGCAGAGTATTCCTCTAGCGATCAACCCAAGTCTGCTGCACAACTACATGCACAGTCACAACCTTCGCACGAATGGAAGGTGACACTCCTCGACGAAGGCAAGGTGAAGACGCGCGACCTGTGGCGGATCCAAGCAGAGGAGCTGTGGAGCGAAGAGTGGGAGGGCAAGTGGGAGAGGTATGGCCGTGAAGCGGAGCGGCGAGGACATGAGATTTACGAGGGGTGATGGGAGAGCTCATGGCAAGGGGAGGAGCGAGAGGGGGTAACGCATGATGGGCGATGTGACTTGTTGTTTTGGCATTGCCTGCGAAGCTTAGCTTGCTTGTATAGATGGTGAATCGGGTAGATGCTCTACATATAAATGACCTTTCTTGCCCTCGCCTGCTGACCTCCTTTGGCACATCTCTCGCTTTCCCCTTTATCCTTGCATTCACATTCACATTATCATCTCCTCAGTCCTTCCAACAGCCATCTGCAGCACTTCCTCCTGCCTACCATCCTGTAGCACAATCACCCCTTCTTCCTCGCCCTCCACCGGTCGCTGTAGCGTCTCTAGCTGACTCTTGAGCATGCTCTCCTTCATGAAATGACCCTTCCTCTCATGCATGCGCCGGAGGAGCTCCTCGGGAGTGACTTCGACGTAGATGTGTAGAGTTCGCAATTCGGATGGAGTGGGGTGGTTGGTGCTGCTAGAGGGAGAGGCAGAGGCAGAGGTTGGCAGAGAGTCGATTTCGCCCCGCAGGAGGGAGCGGTAGCTCTTCTTGAGGGCGGAGCAGGCAATGACTACTGCGCGGTGCGACGAGGATAAGGAGGAAGTAGGCGCCGAGCTTGCGCCGGCGGTAGTGCTGATGGTCGGTTTGCTCTGCTTGGAAGTCTCCTCTTGGTCTGCAGTGGGAGCTTGCGCCTTGATCTCTTCCACCTCTCGCCGTGTGTCTACGCCTTGACCTGCACTGGTCTCAAACACCTCTGCCAGCAGACGCTGCTTCGTCGATGTTCCCTCGTCTTCTGCCAATCCCACTCCCGTTGAACTTCCTCCTGGTTGCTGCTGCTGCTGCTGCTGTTCTTGTTGCAGATGCTTCTGCTCCTCCCTCTTCTCATCCCCCTCTGTCACAATCTCCCAAGCCCTCTCCCTAAGCCGCTTCAACCAACCCTCTCGATCTTCATCCCTCAATGGTTCTCCCCTGCTCATCTTTTCCACATTGGCCTTTGGATGCAAGTCATCCCCGTCGACAAAGGGGAGAGAGAGGGCAGAGGCGAGGTGTGAACCCAGGGTGGATTTACCCGAGCCGGAGGTGCCCATGACGATGATCAGGTGTGCGGGGCGGGGCGAGGTGAAAGAAGTGGTGGTGGAAGTGGACATGCTGGGCGTAGAGTGGGGAGAGGAGCTGGTGTAGAGGGAAGTGATGGTGACGAGTAGTAATGGTAAGAAGGAGTAGAAGGAGCAAGAGGAGCGCCTTGGCATAGAATGGCGACGAGCAATGCGGGCCAAGGTGTTCCTTGCTGTGCTTCTCTCTGTGCTTCCTTGTTCCTGTATCGCGGGGCGCATCTGCACCTCGTCTCCGTCTCCGTCTTCCCCGACCTCCACTTCCGGCCCGAAATCGGTCACTTGGCGAGGAATCCCACAGGGTCTGTACGCCGAAATGAACAACGTAGTCTCACCCCACTCCACTCCACTTCACGGCTACCACAGCAAAGCGCAGAGGATCGTATCGCAAGTCCTTCACAATCGAGCAGCGAGCAGCATGTCCACCTCTACTCCCGAGGGTAGCCAGTCCAAGGCCAGATCCACCGCAGGCGCAAAAGGAGCCAATTACCACCGACAATGCACCGGCGCCGCCCTGCGCACAGTCGAGGCTCACTCCACTCCACAACCTCTCACACTGTACGGCGCTGCCTTTTGTCCCTTTGTACATCGAGTGTGGATCGCACTTGAGGTATTGGGCGTGCCGTATAGGTATATTGAGGTGGACCCTTACGAGAAGCCGAAGAGTCTGCTGGAGGTTAATCCCAAGGGACTGGTACCGAGCTTGAGGATTGAGGGCAAGGATGGTGAGAGTAGAGGATTGGGGGAGAGCACAGTCATCCTAGAGTACCTGCACGAGCGCTTCGTCGACTCTTCCCAGAGCAGCAGCAATGGCAAGTCACTCCTCCCCTCGCTATCCTCCGCTTCCTCCTCGTCCTCATCAGAACAAGCAGTCTACCAGCGAGCACAACATCGTCTCGTCTCACATCACCTAAACGCCAAGCTCATACCCGCCTTCTACCGTTTCCTCCAAGCCCAGGAGCCGGAAAAACAAGTCCAGTTCGGTGGAGAGTTTGTAGATGAGATTAGGTGGTTTCAGGAGAGGTTAGAGGAGGCGGATAAAGTTAGCAAGGCGGAAGGAGGAGGAGGAGGAGGGGACTTTTTTGGAGGTGCAAAAGAAATTGGCTGGACGGATGTAATGCTTGCCCCTTGGGCGTTTCGAGCAACGAATGTCCTACGTGAGTAGTCTCACCTCCAGACCTTCTCTCTTCCTCTCCGTTCCTACATACTCACTCACCCTTCCCTCCCTCCCTCCATCCAACCAATCAACCAGATCACTTCCGCTCCCTCTCCCTCTCCTCTCCCACCCTCTTCCCTCCCAATTCCCGATATGATCGCTGGACCCAAGCAGTCTTTTCCCATCCGGCGTTCTTGGCGACTACTTCGACCGAGGATCTTTACTTGGATAGTTATGCGAGATATGCAGAGAATAGACCTAATACGAGTCAGGTTGCAAAGGCCATTAATGAGGGACGTGAGTTCGGGACGGGGGACGGGGATGGGGATGATGAGGAGAGAGGAGAGGGGAAGCGAAGGGTGGGAGTGGAGCAATGCTGACTGACTGGTCTTTTGCTTCTTTTACCTCTCTTGACACAGGAGCCCTGCCATAGGAGATGGACTCCGTTGCACTTGCACGTTCCACACTACTTGTATCGTATCGTAGCATGGTCGAATAGGATTGCACCGGATATCTCCATCTCTATACGTTGCGCAACCCCCAATGCATAGGAAGCCCACAGCTGGCCTGCCGGCATCGAGCAAACACTTACGCCTCTTCTCCATCACTCCCATCCTCATCTTCCTCCAGCTCCTCCATCTCTTCCCCTTCACTTCCACTTCCACTCTCCTCCTCCTCCTCTTCCTCACCCATTCCATTCTTGAGCAAGTCCTCCAAATCAATTCCCTCCCTCTTGGCCTCCCTCAGAATCTCCTCCAGTCGTGCCAACTCGCCTTCCTCGTCCTCCTCGCCACCCTCACCTTCGCCCTCGAGATCTGTATCCATGTCCGAAAGGGGGTTGAAGAATTCACCATCGGCATCTTCTAGCTCCTCCTCCTCGTCGGAAGAGTCTCCACCAGAGGCAGTGGCAGTGGCAGAGCGAGATGGCAGAGCTCCATCCCCACCTACGACGCTGAGACAGGTAAGACGGGAGCCGCGCGTACTGTACTCTGCTGATGGCTTGATGATCGGCAGCTCCTCGCCTTCGAGTGCGGCAGGGGCAGTAGGAGCGACGGTACCTGCAGAGGAGACGAGGGAGGCGAGATTGAAGATGCGGACGAAGCCGTCCGAGGAGATTGTAGTTGCTGTTAGCACCCAGGGAGCTGGTGATGAGGAAGTGGAAGGTAGGGAAAGGGGTTGCAGAGAGATGCCTTTTACGCGGCTGGAGTGCCCTTCGAGCCAGCCGATCTCTTTGAGGGTCCTCTCCTCCTCCTCTTCATCATCATCATCATCATCATCATCATCGTCCTCCTCTTCCTCTTCCGTCTCGTCGTGCTCCTCCTTCTCCTTGGCCTTGGCGTCTAGAGCGTCAAAGATCTTGCGGTCGAAGAGGTAGATTCCCACTCTCTTGTCCTCTCGAGCTACAAAGATCAGCGTCTTTCCCTTGAGCTCTGCGTTCATCTCCTCTGCACCTCTAAGACTGCCCAAATCCCAGACTGCTACTGCATTCAGTCTGGTACCCGTGAGATTTCCCTGGCCGATTCGGGCGACTTCACTCATGTCCTTTCTGAAGATACGGACAACCGTCCTTCCCAGGAGGGCGAAGAAGTGTCCTTTGCCCTCTCCACCGAACCAGCGGAGCGCCTCCATTTCTCCTCCGTGGCCCATGCCCATCTTTGTCCCACCTAGACTCTTGCCTCTAGTAAGGTCCCAAGCACGCAGCACGCCATCTTGCCCTCCACTGAGTGCGAGCTTTGCAGATGGATGGGTAGAGATGAAGTTGACCCGGCCGGTGTGGCCCTTGAAGGTGTGTAGGAGCGCCCAGTCCCTAGTTCGGTAGAGGAGGATGGCTCCTCCCTCTGCCGTCATGAGCATGTGGCTTGGCAGAGGGAAATCGATGCTCAGAGGACTGCCGAAGAGCTCTGCACCGCTCAGAGAGCCTACCTCGCGCTTGCGACGTAGGTCCCAGATCTTGATTAGCTCGTCTTGACCTGCTGTTACGAGGAACTTGGAAGAGGAGCCGGCAGTGGCCAGGGCTTTGATTGCCGAAGGGTGGGCGGGGAATTGAAAGATGGGCGAGAGAGAGAGAGCCAGATTGCTGTCCGTGGACGTGGAAGTGGGAGGGGTAGAATCGTTTGTGTGGGAGACTTGTAGTCCGTAGAGGAGACGCTCGTAGGAGCCGACGATGATGCGGAACGAGGGCAGAGCGGCGGGAGGCTGGATCCAGGTAGTTGGAGTGGTAATGCCTGCTGAGGACGAAGAGGCACCGCTAGATGCTAGAGCTCTGACTGTCTTTGGTGTACTTGATGTTGGCTTTGAGCTGGACGCTGATGGTCCCACGCCGGCACCCCTGTCTGGCCGCTTGCTTGACACCTTGGAAGCAGCAGCAGCACCACCACCCCTACCTGCTCCTTGATGTGACACCTGCTTTCTAAGAGGCTCCTCTCCTCCTCGCTTCTTCATAGCGCTCTTCGGAGGTGCTCCAGTACTTCCCTGAGGCTTCTGACCAGACACCTGTCGAGCTTTACCTTTGGCAGCGAGCCCGCCATTGGTAGCTTGCCTGGGTGGGGGTGCTGCTTCCGGTACATCCAGCTTGGCCTTTTTCGCGCTCTTCCTGAACACCAGCGGTGGCCTGGTCCCGCTCCCGGGCGGCTCTGCCCTGCGCTTGTTTGAAGTGGATGCTGTCTTTGGAGGCATCACTGGTGATGATGGTGAAGATGGATGTAGGTATAGGGCCAAGGTGAAATGATGTGTCTACGTCAAGAGTGAAATCTCTACTCTACTCTACACGCCTCCAGTCGGGAAGAAGAAGTGCAGCAGCCAAAATTCTGTGCCGTGGGCGGACTGGACGGGCGTGGCTGCTCCGCGCAGCAAGGACGCCAGGCTCATCTCACACCTTTGCACATCTCATACTCACACCTCACCTCACCTCACCTCACCTCACCATCATCAAGAATTCGCAGAGATGCTACGCCTTCAGCCTCTGCTCCGTACCCAGCTCTCGCCGGTGTCCAGCACTCCACTGGCCAGCACATCCCGCCTGATCAGCACAACTCGCTCGGCCACGCCTCTCCTACCTTCTCGGGCAAAGCCATCCTGCAATTGCTCTTCCTCCCACTCCCACTCTTCTCTGCACCCACCTCTCCCCTCCTCCCATCCTACCTCCTCACCACCAACAACAACAGCAACAGTAGCATCAGCGGGATTCCTCACAAATCCTGCTTCTCGCTCTCTTCTATCTCAAGAGCAGACACGAGGAATGAAGGTGCGCAGCTCAGTCAAGAAGTTCTGTGAAGGATGCTCAGTCGTAAGACGTAAAGGACGATTGTATGTCATTTGCTCAAAGGATCCAAAGCACAAGCAGGTGAGTAGAGAGAGAAGGGGGGGAGAGATGAGGAGAGAGGGTCTTGAGAATGGCGAGACGGACTGGAGGAATGCAGAGAGAGGGGGAGGAATTGGAGATGCTGGAGGACGAGACAGAGGCGAACACATCAGAGCTGACATGTGCTGCTCGGCTCTTCCTTATCAAACCACAGCGTCAAGGCTAGAGCAGCTATGCACTTCTTCTGTCCCTTTGTCTCTCCCTCGTCTCATCAGGCATCTCACTCACATCTCTTCAGCGCTGGGATCGCTCACCCCACCGCCCAAACCCTGCCCAGGGACCTCCGAGTCATGCGCAAAATCTCTGTACTTGTAGTCTCGAAATACACATACACCCCACCCTACATCACATACAACGGAGAAGAGCTTGATCATTCTCTGGCCAAGTGTCCAACCAGCCTCGTCTGTCCTGCCATCGCTCGCCTCTCACAGCGCGCTCCCTCTACTCCTCCTCCTCCGTCCCCTTTTTCCACTCCTTCCATTCCTTCCAAAGGAGCTCCCTATACTCTCCCTCGGCCAGCACCCTCGCACCCAGAACTGCAATCCCCTCTGTAGCCTTGAGTGTTGCTTCGTGAGCGGCGGGAGTGCGAGAGGCAGAGGTGAAGCCGACGGTATGGTTGCCTTGGGTCTTGGGGTCGTCGATTGGAATCTTGTACATTGGGTGGACAGAGGGGAGGTGGTAGGAGATGTTGCCGAAGTCTGCAAGGAGCAAAGGGGTAAAGGGCAGGGAAGGGAAGAGGAAGGGGGTATTGAAGTCAGGCTTCGGACTTGGGCTTGCTGATCAGTGTGAATGGGTTTAACTCACCGGTGCTGACCGCTACAGGCTTCCTCGCATACTCAATCTCAAACTCCTCCTTCATGAACTGCACATAATCATCCGTCAATCTCTGTGAATTCCTCACATCATCATACGCTCTCCCTTCTTCAATGTCAATCTTACACCCCGTAGCAAGCGCTGCCGCCTGGAAACACTTGAGGACTTTGGCCTTTACGACGTCTAGTTCGGAGCGGGTAGTGGAGCGGACATTCCAAACCATCTTGGACTTGCCGGGAATGACGTTGGGAGCCCAGTCTGGATCGGCAATCAGGATGCCGTGGACTCGGGCGGTTGTGGGGAGTTGTTGACGGAGGAGGGAGATGTTGTTGTAGGAGAGGATGGCGGCGTCTTGAGCATTGATGCCTTGCTCTGCGCAGCCAGAGGCAGTGAGAAGAGATCTCATCAAAGTCAGCTCATGTCCATCTCTTCTAAATCTCATTCAGTCTTATCAACTACGGTTGCGTAGTCTGCCTACTCACCAGGGAATCCTCCAGCATGAGCCGTCGCGCCCGTGAACGACACCGTAATCGGCACGACTGCAAGCAGCGGTCCAATCATCTCCTCAGGGCAAGGGTGAATCATCAAACAAGCGTCCATGCCATCATAAGCTCCATCCTCAAGCATGATGACTTTCCCTCCTCCACCTTCTTCTGCGGGCGTACCAAGCAGAACCACCCGACCTGTCACGTCGTACTTGACTAGGGCAGAGGCGACTGATAGAGCTGCGCCTACGCCTCCGATTGCGATGAGGTTATGGCCGCAGGCGTGCCCGATGCCAGGGAGCGAGTCAAGCTCACTCTGGAATCCAACAGTTGGGATCTTGCCATCTTTGGCCTTCATGGATCCCTTGGAGTGGTGTACGAATTCCGCTCTCCAAGCCGTCTCCAATCCATTCGCATGAGGGGTAATCTTCCACCCTTCCTTGTCCAACCCACGGAAAAAGTCTACGAAGAGATCGTGTGTCTTGTGCTCCGTAAAGGCCGGCTCATGCAAGTCCCACATCTTGAGAGAAAGATCGCGCAGAGTTGGCGAGAGGTTTTGGAGCTCATTGTGAATATGGTGGGCGAGGGAGTGGGAGAGGGAGCTCATAGGCAAGGGAGTGGAAGGGGAGCTAGCGGAGCTCTTGAGGTCTTGAGCGGTGTATGAAGGGAGAAGATCACTACTCCATGCTGTGCATTGTCCGCAGGAAGAATGGGCGCTGCGTGCTAGCGATGAGGGAAGCTTCTCCTCACGAGAAGGAGAGGCGGGCTTCTCTTCTTGACGCCGGGTGCTCTTAGCACGTGGCAAGAGGGCAGAGAAGCAGGATGGCATCTCGAGGGTGATGAGGAGGAAGGAGAAGGGTGTACCAAGGCCAAGCTGGATGGATCGCTACCACCTCGACGTGGTCAAGATAGCAGGCGAGAGCAGATGGGTGAGGCAATCAGCGCAGCGAGGGGACATCTGCAGGTGGCTCCGCTTGCGGGGCTCTCTGCTCTGGCCTGGCAGCAAAGTGGACCCTGCACTCTGCATCCTCTCCGCCCTCGGCCCTCGGCCTGCTTCGTCCGACGCGCCGCTGGGCAAAAGAGGCAAAATGGGCCAGAGATCACACTCACTGGGCCATACCATGAGCGTAGACTAGCAGACTGGTAGGTCCCAAAAAATGCAGTCGGGCTCGCACACTCAGAGTTAAATGTAGCAACGGTATTACTGATCTATGCAAATGGACAGCAACAGCGAGTCATCGAAGGTTGGACACAAATGGAACCGTACGACGGCACTCTGATCTGGGCTTTCTTCACCCCCTTCACCGCTACTGAGGAGGCCAGTGAGGATCATCCATCGTCTGTCTAGAGGGGTGGAGATTGGCCTCTTCAAGACCTTCTTGCCGCTACGGGTATCGTCCTCTCCCTCCTGCCAAGGCTGCCTGACTTTCTTGAGACTGCCGTTGAATTTAGACAACGCCCGCTATCAGCAGACCGTCTCATACGACGCCCTGATAAATTCCAGCCATTTCAGCCGCAACCCCATCCACAATCCCATCTCCCGCCAATCCACTGCTCGACGATGACAATCCAGCATTGCCCGCCCCACCTGTCACGGCGCCGTAGTTGCCATAGATGTAGTAAGTGGCTCGCTTGTGTAGTGCTCTGACCGTTGCCGGGAATTGGAAGAAGAGGGCGTAGAGCAGGACGATTACTAGTAGGAGGGTGACAAATGCTAGAGGATTTCGGATATGAAGATATGATGAATCGTGTCAATGAAAGGCTTCACATTTCGCTATACGACCTGCCTGGACTCACCAACACTCAAGCTCTCCCAATCAGTCAACATTCCCCCGGCAAAGCTCGCTTGCAACCAAATGTTGATCCTCCAATTGAGCCATCTCACCCACTTGATCGGCTGGAAAATCGGCGAGGGCATATGGTTGTTTGGGCTGTATAGGGCATTGTTCCTCTTGCTAGGTAGCTTGCTCGGCTTGTACTGAGATAGGGGCTGGGAAGTGGCTTGTTGCTGGTGAGGGCTTGGCTTGAGAGGAGAGGGAGGGATGGTGCGCGAGCGAAGATTCTTCGAAGAGGAGGCCTGGGGCGACGAGGAAGAAGTCGAAGCCATTGTGGAACTTGAGCTGGATCTGATCCAGGTGAAGTACGATGAGAATGAGAAGGGCGTGGACCTGCTACTGGCGCTCTCTGCGTATGGTGGGGTCCTAGGTCGACTTCGACCAAAGTGCTTTGGGGGATAGGCGGCCGAAGAAGGGGCCGAGATGGGTAGGCCGTTGAGAGTGATCGTCGGTGTAGAGTAGAGTCCAGCCTTGGTATCTATGTGAGGCAGTGTATGAGATCGAGAAGGCGAAGAGAGCGAAGAAGACGAAGAGGGAGAGGCGGGTCGTCTTCGGGAGAACGAGGTCATAGAATGACCACCGAAGTAATAGTTGGTGCGACTTCAAGCCCAGTCAACGCTTGTATGACTTTCAGGCGGAGTCGAGGCAGCTCTTTCCTCGAGCCTTGTCTTGGCTCGAGTCTGTGAGTAGGAGTGAGCAGCGGTAGGCACAGTCGTGTGAGCGAGGTGGGTGAGGCGAGGTGGACAAGTGTAGTCTCAGTGCGGCCCGAGCGGAAAGAGGAAGAGGCAGCGCGTCGGCCACCTTCGACATCAACAGCCACCTCGCCTAGGTAGATTGGGCTTCACGAGGGCTGAGTGGTATGGTGGAGTACCGAATGTGGTCAAAGTGGGTACGATGGACACTCTGCCAGTCTCTCATAGAGCTGCTCATGTCCCACTCTTAAGTCGCCAAGCAGCAAGCAATCTCCCCACCCAGGCGCAAATCAAGGTCGAGGTGCTTTGCTCTTGCACCTGCCTCCGCTTCCGTTCCGGTCGGGGTGAGTAGCCACATGCGGGAAGGCAGTGGAGCTGCATGAATTTGGCGTGACTCCTCCTGTCCTGCCCGGCTACCCACCACGGATCTTACTCACCACCTCCTCCGGCCCCGGTAAACAGCTCGCCCATCCACTGCCATCCTCGCCATCTGACCGCTTTGCTGCCACTGTTCCCAGATCGCAAGCCTCGGTCTGCTGCCATCTGCTTGCTCGCGGGATTTTATCATCCGCTATCCCGGTGCCCTTTCCACCTACCATCCCTGCCCCAAGCTGGACATCACAACCCGGTACCCCAGAGTGCCTGAAGAGCGGGCACGATGAGTCCTTGAAAGACGACTCTCTCACGCAAGAGGCTGGATCTGTATATATAGAAGGTCAAGGAGCCTGACAGCATCCTCCGTACACCGTTGACCGGGTGACAGCGGGTGTCACACGAGGATGCCCAGCATGGCATTGAATGGTGAGTGAGAGGCAGATACCATCCACTGATACGACTTCTGCCTAGCTCACATCTCACCTCTCCCGCTTTGATCCATTTCTCTAGCTGCTTTCCCTACCTCTCCCTTGTCTCGCTCGGCGCTGATGGGGGACACATTCTTGTCCGCAGGCTCCGGTGACGAGAGCATGGGTGATCTCAGGTCTCGACCCCTGGCTCGGCGGCGCCCTCCCTCTGCTTCGAATTCCACCTCACCCTACCGCAGCCCTTTGGCGTCTTCCTCGCGCTCATCCTCTCCATCCTCTTCCAATTGGCTGCCCAAACGCATGCCCTCCTCGGCCTCTTCGCCTGTGCTTCTGCAACACGGCCACATGCTATCATCCACTGTCCCTGCTACACCCCGTCCCGGCAGGAGGCGCTCTTCAAATCACTACTCTACATCTCCCACACCCAATCGTCCTCTCATTGGATCCTACTCGGAGTCTCTGCTCAGTGGTCGGATGAGTACAAATCCCAGTATCCCTTTTCCGTTCCAGGCAGAGCTTGGAGTACTCGGAGCAGCCGAGGGGGAGACCCCCCGCCATCTCAAGGTAGACTTTGACGCCAGATTCTACGCCATGCCGGAGGACAGCGGCTCTAGTCGTCTGGCCTCTCATTGGAGTCAGCCTTCGTACTCGTCATCTCCATCTCCTCGTAGCTTCAGCGCCAGCTACCTTGCGGCCTGTACCCCTTCGACGCCGGGCCCATCTTCCTTTGCCTCCCCATCGACACAGAATGTCAGCTCGGCTCCGTACGTGGGCACAATCGATCTCGACGCCCACTATCACAGCATCCTCTCTTCCTCACTGGCCGCCTCGCGTCACACTATGCCTCTAGTCCCTCCCGTCTTTCCAGGATACGAAGTACCACCACGCGGGCAAGTGCAGCTGCTAGTCAAGAACACCAACTTGCAATCAGCCGTCAAGCTCTTCCTGGTGCCGTATGATCTGAAGGATATGCCTACAAGTACCAAGACGTTCATCCGGAAGAAGATCTGTGTAGAGACTTTACCATTGCGAGATGCAGGACAGCCTGGACCAGCGAGGCGCAAAAGGCATTCCTTCGATGCTGCCGGCGTGCTAGGCGAGCGTCTGAAGCCGATGGAGTCGCTCAAGTATGCTGTGCATCTGCAATTCGTGTGTGTCCCTGGCAACACCTTCCGCCCAAAGAAAGCGAAGAAGACGGCAACTGCTCCTAATTGGATGCAGCCAGATGCTGGTGTCGCTCAGCACTCTCACAGCGACTTCATTTGTTCGGAGAGGTCGGGCGTTGAGAACAGTGCTTCTCCAAATCCAGAACCTGCTCCGCGCTACTTTCTCTACCGGTCCATCAGAGTGGTCTTTTCGCCGCGACCACCAGAGAAGGAGGACATAGTCAAGACATACATCGAGACACCAGCTGGGCTGATGCCTGAGGATGTTTACGTGGCTTCTCAACATCGAGCTCCAGAAGGTGACCACACTGTCCCTCAGAAAGTGCAGGAGCAGAGCTATTCGACATTCTCTGGGAACAGCGAGGAATGGGAAGTCCTCCGCAAGAAGGTCGTCAGATCTAGGAAAGAGTGGAAGATGAGCGGTTCAAGGGGCAGAAAGAACAGAGCCGAATCCCAAGATCCCGATGTCTCGAGCATCTCCCTTGCTTCTACCGCTGAGGCGGAGTCGGCAGACACATCGGCGATCTCCATACCGGGCGAACCTTTCGTCATGGACGATGAGGAGATGCGCGCGGGTCCAGATGGAGATTGGTCGATGGGAGAGCATGAGCACCATCCAACTTCACCTCCAGCAGACGTCTATGCGCCTAATCCTGATCCCAACGGAGAGTTGTGGCAAGCGCCCGCCGAGTCGGAAGAGGAGAATCAGATTCAAGATGGTGCGCAGCAGAGATGGGACAGTCTGACGAGCGCCCACCACGGACATGTCGTCAACGCCACCCCGCCTCCAGAAGACCTCCATGTCCGCAGTACAGAGTACGTTGGTCAGCCATCCAGGACTCTTCGACGTCAACGCTCTCGGACGATCACTCCCAACCCAGACCAGAACGCGCGCGACGCAGCAGCTGCACGCCGAAGTATGCTCCCGCCATCAGCCCGCTCCTTGCCTGTCTCGCCGGGGATGAGCAGTCGACGTCCCGCCTCGCCCGCAACAGCTGCACCGTCAGCCACGAGCACAGTCAACGGCCGTCCAGCCTCTCCTTCACCCTTTGCGCCCGCCTTCAGCCTGCAACGGATCTCTATTCGCCCGTCCTCCCCCGCACTCGCGGCTACAACGCCCACGAATGTGAGCGGCGTCACAAGCCCGGGCCCAAACTCGTCGCTCACCATATCTGCCACGCCTCATTCCCCTGGGGAAAGAGGCAGCTCGCTGGGGCTGGGAAGTACGCCAACGAGTGGAGGTGGTGGTGGTGGAAGCAACAGTCACTCTGCGAGTGTGGGAAGAGGAGGCTTGCCGTATCCCTACCTGCGGGCGGGCTGGGGTAGCTCGACGGATCGACTGGACTTGCAATCGCAGACGCAGACGCAGGTGCAGCTTCAGGTAGGTGGGAGCGAAGCAGATACAGTGCGAGCCTCTTCCCCTGCCCCTCGTGGAAGCGGATCTCGCATGGCCCTTTCGAGAAACCCGGGAAGCTCAGGCACGCTCACTTCCTCCTCTGCGTCAGCTGCGGCTTCAGCTCGCACTCTACGTCGGCGCAAGAGCAGGACGGGGCGCAGCTCCTCTTCTTCCTCAGATTCGGGGTCGGAAGACGAGACGAAGCAAGGTCGCTCCTCTCAGCGGAAAGCAGAGAGCGAGGTGGAAGCGAGTCGAGCAACAGGCGCGGAGGAAATTGACGATGACCAGGCTTTGTTGGAGATGTGGCACTCCTCTCTCTCCCTTACGAGACGTGGCGGGAATGGAAGTGCGGGTGGAGGTGGGAGTGCGGCTGGACAGGAAGTAAGTGGCGTCTAGATACCTAGCTAGCCAGCAAGACAGGCAGGCTAGCGCTCCTGTCGTCCTCACCATCGTGCGCTTTTGCCAGGAGTAAGGAACTGCAGCGCTTCTGCCTCCTGTCTTCTCCCTCTCCTCGTTCCTCATTCTGCTCCTCATCTTCGGCCACTACGGCCTTTTCTTATATGCTATACGTCACATTTGTACCATACTCTCGCCCCTCGCTGAGCCCCATGATTCGTTGTCAATCTCATCTTATCTTATACGCCATCTCGCGAGCACCGACACGCCTGAAGCTGTTGCAGACACGCGTATGCACTCAATTCTCAAAGTCAAAGCGACAGCAGAGGTTCGATCGATCGATTGGACGGGGGCGTAGATGCTGGTGTATGGAATGTATGTATGTCTGTTGTCTGAACGAGTGTGAAAATACAGGCGTGCAACGTCTGCTCCTCCCTCCTCTCTCTTCCCTTTTCCCTCTCATCCCCTCTCTCCACTTCTCTACTTCAAGCAGGCACCCCATCCATCCCATCCTTGACCGCCTCCCACCCTTTCCTCCTCTCCGCCCTCTCCACCCTCTTTCCCTCTCTACCCTCTGTACTCATGAACATTTCCGCAAGCGGGAAGCGCTCCAACGCTTTACTCCTGAAGGTCTGCAACTCCTCGCTACTGGCCGCAGGGGATAGACGGGGGAGGAGTGGCGTGCTGGAGACAGAAGGAGAGGAAGAGGAGAGGAGGAACCGGTAGGTTTCTCGCAGCGCGGGAAGTGTACTCGTAGGTGCCGAGGCAAATCCGATGCAAGAGGCCACGACGCGCTCCCTTGTGCTCGCGTCGGGGGAGAGGACTAGGCTAGCCCGGGCATGGGAGAGGACGTCCCCTGTGCGCTGGAGGAACTCATCGTTCACCCTCTCTAGGCTGACCTCGCTTGCGGGCTTGATCCCCTCTAGAGCAGCCTCGAGGCCTCCTCTCACCTCGGCGGGGGCAGCGGCTAGATCGGGCATGCCTTTGAGGAGCTGCAGGAGCTGGACGTGCACTCGACCCGCAAGTGTTGGATCTCTTGAGCTGGAATTGCTAGACTTGTTGAGGAGACCAGTGGACTTGCGCAGCGCTCGAGCGCAGAGCAGCCAGTTCTTATCGCGCAGAGCATGCTCAAAGGTGGCGATCCACACACGGGCATCGCCTGCTGCGTGGAATTGCAAGGAGCGCAGTAGCCGCTCTGCTTGCTCCAAGGGCTGATTCGACTGCAGCAGGGCCATACCTTCCGGATCAGGATCGGGGATGACCTGAGGGGTATCGTCTTCTTCTGCGGCTTTACCACCTTTGGCCTTGGCCTTTGCTGCCGCCTCCTTCTTCTTCTTTGCCTCTTCTTCTTCCTTCTTCTTAGCCTCGAGCTTCCTCAACCGCTTCTGCTCCTTCTTCGTCTCTTCCTCACTCGTACCGTTGCTGTGCCCTGCCGCGCCATTGGTCGTGGACCGTCCAGGCGTTGCGAGAGAGGGCTCGTCGTGGAGAGAGAGGTAGATGCCGACGGCGCGCAAAGCAGCGCTGACGTATGTGCGATGACCACGAATTCCATCTTCCCAGCGGCACATGTCGATGTAGTCTCTCAATGTGAATTTGCGGATACAGTAAGAGTGGAAGTCTAGTTGGTCATCCCAGTGGTCCTCAAAGATCTTCTCCGTCTGGGCGTACCGCTTGAGAGCAAGGTGGAGGTCGCCTTGCTCCTCGTGGGAAAGACCGTTCTCGTAGATGAACCAGATAGCCTGCATTTCGATCAGATCAGCAAGAGGCGAGGAAGCGTCTGGCTTTGTGAAGAGACCCATGACTGCTTCTCCTTCCTCTGCCTGACCATTTCGCAGCTTGTACTTGGCGTCCTTGCTGTTGAGGAACCTGTCTTGACCATCAAGCAGACGAGCATCTTCCATGGCGTGACTGGCGGCTTCAATTGCTCCTGCTCGTTTCAGGATACGAGCCTTGGTCATGTAGAGCTCGGGAAGGGTCGGGGTGTGAGCAATTGCTGATTCGATGTAGGCAAGGGCAGTCTCGGCTTGACTAGTGTGAGAGTAGAATTGAGCAAGGAAGTATAGTGTCCAGAGGTAAGAGGAAGGTGGCTCGTCCGAAGATGTCGAAGGGGCGAACTTATCCAGGAGCGACAGAGCCACAGTCTCGAGAGCTTTTCGCTTGGCAGAGTCGGCGAGAAGCGCCTTGAGGTCGGAGAAGATGCTAGGAACTCCCTTGGTGAGAGCTCGATATAGATAGGCTTCCAGGGCCTCGGCGAAAGCATCGCCCTTCAGGTAGACCAACTCAGTACGCTGCGCTGAGTGACTCTTAGGGAAGGAGCTCCGAAGTTCACGAAGCGCTTCTACTGCCGTGGCGTACCCTTCCTCGCTGGAGGCGTCAAGCTTTACGCCTTTACTCCTCAGCCAACCCTGTATGTGGCCCCGATCCTCCTCATTCTCCTGGACAAGCTTAGTCCACATCTTCTGCGCCTCGTCCAGCTGACCAAGCTCGAGGTAGGACTTTGCCTGCAACAACCGCATAGCTCTCTGGTCAACGATGCGGCTTGATGTCGAGATGTGAGAGAAGTAGGTGATGACGTCCTCGTAGCGCTTGTCCTCGAAGAGGATGGAAGCTTTGTAGAGAAGCATCTCGGAGTGTTCGTAATTCGAGCTGGGTACATCCTGTGAAGGCGGGGCAGTAAGCTTGTTAGTCAGCAGTAGCTCCTCATCTTCAGCGACCAGCTCTTCGGACTCACTCGGCATGTATGTTCCCACTGCGCCAGAACATTCTCGGCTTCCTTGAGCTGTCCGTCAAGATGATAGGCGGTAGCCAGGGCTGCCCAGTTGGATCTGATGTGGGGCTGCATGCGCAACAGAGTGATCCTCTGATCGATGAGCGGGGTGAAGTTGCGCGACTGGACATGCATGTAGCTCGACTCTCTGATGAGGTTGAGATTTGTGCCTCCTTCGATCCTCAGGGCCTGAGCGTAGCATTTGATCGACTCTTCGTAGTTCTTGTCCATACGGTTGAGGATCCCAAGGGCATGCCAGCTGATGAAGCTCGTCAGATCTTTCCGCACGCCCTGCCTGGCCAGATCCAAGCCTGCAGCTCGATCACCAAGCGAGGCCAAGATGAGACCCTTCATACAGAGCGTCTCTCCATGGTCGGGGTGCTTCTTGAGGATGGTGTCTGCCGTCTTGAGTCCGAGCCTGTACTTCTTGGTCTCATACTCCTGGAGGAGACGGGTGAAGAGGGCTCGCTCCTTTGTCGGGAGGCTACCGCCAGCGACGGCTACCTTGCCCTTTGGCGGCATGGAGGGGTGGGAGGGGGAGGAGCAGGAGGAGCTCGGAGGAATGGGCTGGGCTGCGTATATGCACAGGGTCGAAGGAGTAAGATGAGGTACCACTGCCGCTCGCCCAGGAAGCTTTGGCGCGTGGGCCGAGGCGGGGCTTGCCTGGGTGAGGCAAGGGTCTGTGCTCCACCGCGCAGTGCCTGCCGCGCGCGGTGCCGCCCATTTTTCTCCCTGGCTGGCTGAGCGGGCGGCGTGTGGCCCGCTGGGTGTGCGTCGCCCAGATTTGCCGCCGTGCCTCCTTCTTCGCCTTCTCCCCTTCCTCATCCTCCCCGCCCCGCCTCTTTCCTACGACTCCTACTCGACTCTGAAAAGGTCGGCACGTCGTCTGTGAAGGAACGTAGACATCTCCCTACCCTCACCTGAAAAAAGGAAGCTTCGAAAGCTCCCTTATCTCCGCTAAGCCGGACCCTTTTTACCCCTACTACTAAACCCGCACCACCCCCATAATCTAGTCAAGATGTGAGTATCTGCGCACCCTCGATGCTGCCCTCGAAGAGTACAGCAGGAGTAGGAGGCACTTACGAGCTGGTGGGCTGGTCAAGATAGGCTGCTGTCTGAGGAAATACCGCCTGGGCAGGGTGGAAGCGAAGGAGCAGCAATGGCTGGGAAGATAATCTTACGATCATGGACAGAGGTCACCTTCGATGCTTCCATACACACAAAAAACAACTTTAATATACCCTGAGCCGACAAGATCCGTGGTCGAATCACTTCCACGAGTCTGCAAGGCTGCGTTGGGCAAAGGGGTCCAAGACTGCACTCGGGTATCAGCGCCAAACGCATGCACCGGTACTGACACATCTGGCTCCTCCTCCACCCCGCCTTGCTTTACTATAGGGTTCTTTTCACCGTTGACCAGATCCGTGAGCTCATGGACAAGTGTGAGTATTCCGCCGCATCCTTTCGTGCACCACTACCTGGACACATTGCTCACCTCTGCATCTTCTCCTCTCACAGCGAGCAACATTCGAAACATCTCGGTCATTGCCCACGTCGACCACGGAAAGTCCACCCTCACCGACTCCTTGGTCTCCAAGGCCGGTATCATCGCCTCTGCCAAGGCCGGTGACACACGTTTCATGGACACCCGTGATGACGAGAAGGAGCGTGGTATCACCATCAAGTCCACTGCCATCTCCATGTACTTCCCCATGGCCAAGGATGAGCTGGAGGCCATCAAGGAGCCTGCTGACGGAAACGAGTTCTTGATCAACCTCATCGACTCGCCCGGTCACGTTGACTTCTCCTCCGAGGTCACTGCCGCCCTCCGTGTCACCGACGGTGCTCTCGTCGTCGTCGACTGTATCGAGGGTGTCTGTGTCCAGACCGAGACCGTGCTGCGACAGGCCCTGACTGAGCGAATCAAGCCAGTCGTCTGTGTCAACAAGGTCGACCGAGCCCTCCTCGAGCTGCAAGTCGGCAAGGAGGACCTCTTCCAGACCTTCTCCCGAACCATCGAGTCCGTCAACGTCGTCATTGCCACCTACGCTGACAAGGTCCTCGGTGATGTTCAGGTCTACCCCGACCAGGGAACCGTTGCTTTCGCTTCCGGTCTCCACGGCTGGGCTTTCACCCTGCGACAATTCGCCACCAGGTACGCCAAGAAGTTCGGTGTTGACAAGGCCAAGATGATGCAGAAGCTGTGGGGTGACAACTTCTTCAACCCCAAGACCAAGAAGTGGTCCACCAAGGCCACTGACGCTGACGGCAAGCCCCTTGAGCGTGCCTTCAACATCTTCGTTCTTGACCCCATCTACCGAATCTTCGACTCGATCATGAACTTCAAGAAGGAGGAGACCACTCAGCTCCTTGAGAAGCTCGAGGTCGTTCTGACCTCCGACGAGAAGGACCTCGAGGGCAAGGCTCTCCTGAAGGTTGTCATGAGGAAGTTCCTGCCCGCTGGTGACGCTCTCCTGGAGATGATTGTCATCAACCTGCCCTCGCCCAAGACCGCTCAGCGATACCGTGTCGAGACTCTCTACGAGGGTCCCCTCGATGACGAGTCTGCCATCGGTATCCGTGACTGTGACCCCAACGGACCCCTCATGCTGTACGTCTCCAAGATGGTGCCCACTTCCGACAAGGGTCGCTTCTACGCCTTCGGTCGTATCTTCTCCGGTACCGTCAGGTCTGGACCCAAGATCCGTATCCAGGGCCCCAGCTACACCCCCGGCAAGAAGGAGGACCTGTTCGTCAAGTCCATTCAGCGTACTGTGCTGATGATGGGTCGTTACATCGAGCCCATCGAGGACTGCCCTGCCGGAAACATCATTGGTCTGGTCGGTGTCGACCAGTTCCTGCTCAAGTCTGGTACTCTCACTTCTTCGGAGACTGCCCACAACATGAAGGTCATGAAGTTCTCCGTCTCCCCCGTCGTGCAGGTTGCCGTTGAGGTCAAGAACGCCAACGACCTGCCCAAGCTGGTCGAGGGTCTCAAGCGTCTGTCGAAGTCTGACCCCTGTGTCCAGGCTTGGATCTCTGAGACTGGTGAGCACATTGTCGCCGGTGCCGGTGAGCTCCACTTGGAGATCATCTTGAAGGATCTGGAGCAGGACCACGCTGGTATTCCTCTCAAGATCTCCGACCCCGTCGTCGGTTACCGTGAGACCGTTCAGGCTGAGTCTTCCATGACCGCTCTGTCGAAGTCGCAGAACAAGCACAACCGTCTCTACGTCACCGCCGCCCCTCTTGACGAGGAGCTGTCGAAGGCCATCGAGGGCGGCAAGGTCAACCCCCGTGACGATGTCAAGCTGCGAGCTCGTCTTCTGGCTGACGAGTACGGATGGGACGTTACCGATGCCCGAAAGATCTGGTGCTTCGGTCCCGAGACCACCGGACCCAACCTCCTGGTCGACACCACCAAGGGAGTTCAGTACCTCAACGAAATCAAGGACTCGTGTGTTGCCGCCTTCCAGTGGGCCACCAAGGAGGGACCCTGTGCCGAGGAGAACATGCGTGGTGTGCGATTCAACATCCTCGATGTTACCCTGCACACCGACGCTATCCACCGAGGTGGTGGACAGCTCATCCCCACTTGCCGACGTGTGTGCTACGCCGCTGCCCTGCTCGCCACCCCCGGTCTGCAGGAGCCCGTGTATTCCGTCGAGATCCAGTGCCCCGAGGACGGACTGGGAGGTATCTACTCGACTCTCAACAAGAGGCGTGGACACGTCTACTCTGAGGAGCAGCGCCCTGGTACTCCTATGTACACTGTCAAGGCTTACCTGCCCGTCAACGAGTCGTTCGGTTTCAATGCCGACCTGCGTCAACAGACTGGTGGACGTGCCTTCCCCCAGAGTGTGTTTGACCACTGGGCCCTGATGAACGGAGACGCCAGCGAGAAGGGCAGCAAGCTCAACGACCTGGTTGTCAGCATCCGAACCAGGAAGGGACTGAAGCCCGACTCGCCACCTTACACAGAGTACTACGACAAGTTGTAGATGGTTTGAAGGAATCGGATTCCGGTCTTTTCTTTTCTCCCTGTCTTCCTCTTGCCCGTACCCCCCACTCTGTCTTTTCTGACGCGTCTTTTGTTTCGCTTAGCTCCCCAGCACGACTTTGCTTCGTAACAATGACAAATTGACTCCCATTACTGCTTCCAACCAACGCTGAGATCGTGTGTGTCGATCGACGGGTTGAGAGAGTTGACGGCCTCTGGTGAGAGAGGGAGCCGGGGCTGAGTCGGAACGGAAGCAGAAGGTGATTCATCGCCCTCCACTGCAACTTTTTCCCCTCTTTCCGCCCAACGGTTCGTGCGTCATACAGTTGGGATCTTCCTGCTCGCCCGCACCAATCAGCCAGCCAGCAAGCACTCGCCATGGCCAAGAAGAAGAAGAAGCCCAGCAGGCGCAATCAAGGGGATGACGATGTCAACTCTAGAGATGCCGTCGCAACTGCGTCAGCCCCTGAGACTTCCGGCACAGCCAGCGCTACAACCTCACGGGTGCCGAATGGGGCTACAGCCAACAAGGCCCGCGCTCTTGAGTCGCGCTTTGCAAAGTTGATCCCAACAGCCCTGGAGAACTTGTCGCTCATTGCCGCTTACACACCGCTGGAACGACCTGTGAGACCTGAGCTGGCGATTCTGACACCGGAGCGAATCGATGCCAGCACCTCTGCTTATGCCTCTGCTTCCAGCGCCGAAGGTGGATCGAAAGGAGGACGAGGAGCATTCCGTCTTCCTAAGAAGCCCCGCTGGCATCGCGATCTAAGCGCCAAGGCTGTCCAGTCCAACGAGTCCTCCGTCTTCTCCTCTTGGCTCGAAGAGACCGATGCCGCCATGGACTCTCGCTTCTCCCTCGTCAGAGGTCTCCTCTCTTCCCAATTGGCAGAAGTGAAACACCTACCCCAGCCAAAGGCAGAAGAGTGTCTCTTACCGAGCATGTTTGAGAGGAATGTAGAAGTGTATCGCCAATTGTGGAGAGTAATGGAACGCTCTCACCTCTTGCTTGTTCTACTCGATGCAAGATGTCCCCTCTTGCATCTACCACCTAGCTTGGTGGAACACCTCAGAAAGTATGCAGCGGTAAAGACGATTTTGGTGCTGACGAAGAAGGATATTGTGGGAGAAGATGTGACGATGCTTTGGAAGAGATGGTTGGAGGAGAAATTTGGATGGAGTGTCGTTGTGACGGAGGCATATAAAAGGCAGGAGAAGAGGGAGGGACAGGGTGAGTGAGCGGGGTGAAAGTCGAGTAGCAGCACTCAACAGACTCGAGGTCTCCAAGGCTGATCTTGCTCCTCTCTGCCGCTCTCCGGCTCAGGCAAACGTACTCGTCTCACACCATTCCTCAGCGACGACTCTCGCTCTGCCATATTTGCCGCCATCAAAAAAGCGCACAAGTCCCTCATTACTCCTCCTGCCAAAGTAGCAGAGGACCCTGAGCGGTTAGCGCAATGGCAGCCCAGCTGCGCAGTCAACATTGACTGGGATGAGGTGCAGAGCGGCCGGCATGTCTTGCGCAACGGTGGTGACAACGTCGCCGGCAGTAGCGGCCGCAGCGAACGGGATCCCAGTGAGACCTCCTTGTGCATTGGACTCATCGGGCAGCCCAACGTTGGGAAGAGTTCACTGCTCAATGCACTAATGGGATCAAAAGTAGTACATGCCTCGCGAACACCAGGCAAGACGAAGATCTTCCAGACCCATTACCTCGGAGGTGCTGGTGCTGCTCCTTCTGTGGAGTCTTCGCCCCAGGAAGGCCACACTGGCACCACTAACAGCCACAACAACAGCGATGGGAAAAGTCGTGTCCTCCTCTGCGACTGCCCCGGTCTCGTCTTCCCAAGCAGTGCCGGCCAAGAGCTTCAAGTGCTCGGAGCCATCCTCCCCATCTCCCAAGTTCAATCCACCGCTTCCATTCTCCGGTTTGCCGCTTCGCATATCCCACTTGAGAGGGTATTGGCGCTGCAGATGCCAGAGGATGAATATGGTGATGCCAGTGTTGGAGGGCTGGTAGGAGAGAGGCAGTGGACGGCAACGCTCCTTCTTGAGGCGCTTTGTAGACGGCATGGGTACAAGACGGCCAAGGCGGGGAGGTGGGATGTGAATCGGTAAGTCAGAGTGAGATGTTGAACGCTCAAGCTCGACCTCGTCTTCTTTCATTGTACATCTCAAGGACTGACACCTCGGCACTGTCCCTCCTCACAGCGCCGGCAACGCCCTCATCCGGGCCCTCGCCGAAGGACGTATCCGTTGGGCATTTCATCCACCCCCTCTTACTTCTTCTCCAAGCGATAACGACACCAGCCAGGGTGACGGAGTAGCAGAAGCAATCGCCGACGACTACCACTATGACGGCAGGGGGATCTGGCTGCCTGGCTCGCTCACCGACCCTTCCAGCTCCAGCTCCAGCTCTGCCACGGGCGCTACGCACGATCCCTCTTCATCTTCTGTGCCCTCCTACCTCGATGAGGATGGCACGGACGAAGATGACAATGACGATGACGCTTCAGACGCTGGAAGCAACATCGACGGGCAGGGGCGAGATCTGGAGGGTGCTTCCCACCCTCTCCTCAGGAAGAAGCGGGCGCGGGGGAAGAGCTCGAAGAGGGTCACATTCGAAGAAGAAGAAGAAGAGGCAGAAGAAGAGAGTAGCGAAATTGATGCCGAAGGGCAGTCAGAGGAAGAGGAAGAGGTGGTGGAACAGGCCAAGCCGATCGGGCGAGCTGCTAGCTTGTTCGAGGCGCTGGCTGTCGAGGGGCAGGATGAAGAGGAAGAGGAAGAGAAACAGGAAGAGTCAGACGACACTGGACGCTCAGGCTCAGGCTCAGACTCAGACGAGCGCGAGGGAGATACCGCAGCAAAGTAAGATAGAACATGTGACGTGGGTAATCAATTTACTTCGATAGATGTACAGATTTGTAGACATTTTGCTCGCTCATTCCCTCGGTGAGGTGTGATTCGGGAAGGATGCATGCCGTGCGACATGTGATAAAGCCTACAGCAGGAGGAACAGGGATCAAGCTCCTCCAGGCCAGCCGGCATTATGGCTGTGCCCCAAGTTGGACTGGTAAGCGGGTCTCCTAGCGAAGACGTTGTGGTCCTGCTGCTGCTGCTGTTGCTGCTGTTGTTGTTGCTGCTGCTGATGATGCTGGTAGCTCTGATCCGCATAGCGATGTGTTTCTCCATAGCTCATTCCCCCAATCCCAGCAGCGGCTCCGCCACCGGCACTGCTATTGCCACTGTATCCACTCCCACCAACAGCCCCATCCCCACTCTGTCGGAAGAAGTGGGGTACAGGCTGTCCCAGCCTCCTTCGACTGGTGAGGATCTCTGCCAAGCGCGCATTGATCTCTTGTCCCATGACGTCCCTCTCAGGTCCAATAGGTTGGAGAAGCCACATTCGCGATGCCTTGCTCATGCCGGGCAAGCTGAGCGCGTCGATGGCCTGCAGCCAGAAGAAGGCCAGACGCTCGCTCTCCGTCGAGCCTTCAGGCGGCAGAGCAGTCGGGGAGATTGTAGCGATGGAGGCCGTAGATTGATTATTGCGCTGCTGCTGCTGCTGCTGCTGCTGCTGCAGGGCAGAGGCGTGGCCTTGACTGTCGATGGACAGCGTCGCAGAAGTCGGGGAGGAACGATGTTGAGCCTGATTCGCGATGCTGGCGAGGGGCGGCGGCATGTTGGATCTGTCGCGCTGCTGCGACGCTTGTTGCAAGGCTGGAGCAGGGCCTTGTTGTACTCGCTGTCTCGCTCGTTGGCTACCACTAGCGGCTTCTGTTCTCTCCATCGAAGCTTGCTCATTCAGCACGTGATCGACCGACATCGTTGAAGGCTTGGAGGCATGTTGCCCAGATTGACGGCCTGAAGGGCTAGCCTGGCTCTTCGAGGTGCCAGAAGAAGGACGCCCGGCGGTGCTCTTCTTGCCCTGACTGAGCAGTTGGTTGTAAAAGTAGTGGGCAGTCTCGCTCAGACGTTCGGTGACGACGCTAATGGACAACATCTCGGCTCCCTCGAATGGCTGAGCTCGAATACGAGGGGGGACATGTTCTGACTGCACGAGCGAAAAGGCATCGTGGAAGAGCGGGTGTATGCCACCGAGGAAATTGAGCAGTCGCAGAGAAAAGTAAGCCATGTGCGTCTTGGTCAGTTGTGAGCGCTGCTCTGGGACGAGAAGAGACTTGGGTGCTCCTTGAGCTTGTCGCATCTTGACATCTGTCATGAAGTGCTCCGGAACATCCTTGAACATCTTCTTCAACTCTGCCGGGGTTCGAGTAACTTCCATAAAGCCAGAGGCCGGCTGCTGCTCCAAGATTGACGGCTGTTGAGCCAGGGGAGGCTGACCCGGCTGCTGAAACCCTGCAATACCAGGAGGCCTTTGAGGTGCTGCCCCGGATTGGCGGGCAGGAATGGGTGCGGCAGAAGACACTGGAGCTGGTGTGACAGGTGCGACTTCGGGCCGGACCTTCTTCGGGCGACCTTTCTTTCGCGCGGGCGGAGCAGTACCTTCTTGCACCGCTGTCTGGGGTTGCCCAGGAAGCGGCGGTCCAGGAGCTCTTCCTGGTAGCTGACTGCCTGCCATCGCCTGAGACGAGCTCCCAGTAGCAGCTCGACCGCCAGAGCCAACAACCGCCGCCGTTTTCTTGCGCTGGATCACTGACGATGAAGCAGCGGCTCCACTAGCTGTGGCTTGCATGGGCCTAGTAGCGGTCCCTGAGTTGGAGGCAGGTGGGCGGCTGGGTCCTGCTGCCGAAGTGGATCCACCTTGCGACGCCACATGCTGCCTGACGGAAGCTCCGAGCATGACACCGACCCAGGCATTGTACACTTGATTGATTGTGTCAGGCTGACCGGGATAAGCAGCAACGCAGAGCGCCATAGCCTCGGCAGGATCTTTGACGACTGCAAGTCGAGTATAGAGCGTCACCGGACCAGTAGAGCCGTGCGTTTGATTCGAACTACTCTGACTCGTTGAAGGACCTGCACCTCCAGTCGATGGCGCGCCATTTGCCGTCTGCTTCTCCTTGGCTTTCCGTGGCTGCTTTTGCGGTCGAGGTGGCCTCGGGAGCGATCTACTCGTTGTGTCAAAGATGCTGAGAGCAGGTGCAGCAGGTGGGGCAATGGGCGGCGGTAGCGCAACTGCTGTGCTGGAGCCTGCGACGGGCGAAGGCATGGGTCTTGGGTACTTCCTCGGTCGACCTCGGGGACGCTTCGCTGGTTGTTGTTGCTGTTGCTGCTCTTGCTGTTGCTCTTGAGCTTGGGCCCTTTCTACTTCATCGATAGAGGTGGAGCCATACTCGCTAGTCGAGCTCACCTCAGGGACACCAAGATCCATGGTCCAATCGTTGTCGTCAGCATCGTCAGCAAAGGCCATGGGAGCATCAGCCTGGCCAGCTGCTCCGGTTGAGGCATCGGGGTCGTTGCGAGCTGCATCTTCGTCCAGCTCAGCATCAATTTCCTCCGTTGTGGCTCCTCCAGCTAGTGCGATGAGCTTTGCTCTCCTCGCTCCGCCTCTTCCGTACACGACCTCCTCTGCAGGCCCGGCGCCGGTCGCAGACTCATTGGCAGGATGTGCAGCCCTCGTCTTGGCCAACAACGCGGTCCAGAAGCCATCGTCAGCCATGTCTGCGGTCGGATCGGCTTGCTCGTCTCGCTCCCATACGCGGGCGAAAGACAGAAGATTGCCAGCACCGGCCTCGCCGTTTTGAGAGGCACTGACAGATGCATCATCGGCCTGCTCGGCTTCCTCTATAAGCTTAGAGATATCTTGCTCGCTCAGGTCCACATCCTTCTCAGACAGGTCGACCCCTCCTTCCTGGAAGAGAGCTCGAGCTCCAAATTGCAGAGCGTCGTGCAAATTGCCTTCTCGACTCTCCTCGTCGTCCATTGTATGGATGACATGGTCTAGGATCAGCTTCTTACGGGCATTGTTGACGATCTGCTCTTCTGCAGTCGACTTGGCGACCAAAGTAAAGACAATCACCTTGCGCGTTTGTCCGATACGGTGAGCTCGGGCTATGGCTTGCATGTCCAAATGAGGATTAAAGTCACTGTCCAGAATAATGACAGTGTCGGCCGAAGCCAAGTTGATCCCCACACCTCCGGCTCGAGTGCTGAGGAGGTAGCAGAAATACTCTGACCCTGGAGCATTGAAGGCCGAGATGCCTCGCTGGCGCTGACGATGTCCGAAGCTACCGTCGAGGCGGAGGTATTTGTACTTCCCTTCGTTCAACAGCAGTGACTCCACAATGTCCAAGAGGATGACAAACTGTGAGAAGATGAGCACTCTTCGCCCCTTTGCCTTGAGCTGAGGAAGAAGCTTCTGCAAGACCTTCAGCTTGCAGCTCGCCTCGACAAGTCTCTCCGCTTCGAGTCTCCAGTCATGGCCTTCATCACCCTCAAAGGTCTCGAGAGAAGGAGCGATGAGGTACGGATGCTGACAAGCCTTACGCAGCTGCATGAGAATGTTCATCATGTTACCAATCTTGTACTTGTGGTCCCGCTTAGACAGACTTCGAACGTCGGTGAGAGCTTGTATGTCCTCGATATTCTTCTCGAGCACATCCTTGTACACTCTCTTCTGCAGAGGCGTCAACGAAATGGGCACAAGTACTTCTGAGCGAGGCGGCAGGTCGACAACATCCTTCTTGAGTCGACGGAGGAAGTATGGCTTCAGGAGTGGCTGAAGCTCAGCGATGAGCTCGGGCGTCAGCACTGCATACTTCTTGTGCAAGGCCTTGACGTCTTTCCATTCCGCATTGGGCTTGAGCCAGTTGAGCAGATTGAAGAGCTCTCCGATGTTGTTGTTGAGGGGCGTACCGGTCATGATCAGACGATGCGCAGTCTCGAGGGCAGACAATCGACGGTAGAGAAGCGTCCCACTTCCCGCCTTCAGATTGGTTCCTTCGTCCACTATCACAGCTTGCCAACGCTGCACACGCTTCAACGGCGCGGGATCGCTGCGAGCCACCGAGTCAGAGCAGATGACGACTTCGGCTCGGAGATCTTGTCGTCCGGGCATGCTCTCCAGGTGGAAAAGCTCGAACCTCTCGATGATACCACGGGATTCTCTTCCTCCGTAGTACGGAACCACCCTCAGATGGGGGCACCACTTCTCAAATTCGCGGACCCAATTGGTCACGACGCTGTTGGGTACAACGACGAGGTAAGGTCCCAGTCCGTCGAATTGTTGGTGCAGTGAGGCAATGAAAGCTACGACCTGTACCGTCTTGCCGAGACCCATTTCGTCGGCCAAAATTCCAGGCTGGTGGTCATGCCAGCCGTACCGTAGCCAGTTGAGTCCATCGATCTGGAAGTCGAGCATTCGGCCGCCGACGACATAGTCCGGCTGCTCTGCGATCGACTGGAATTTGGCTTTCTTCCTCTGCGCCTCCAGAGCAATCATCTGACGGCTTGACATGTGCTTGACGTAGACTTTTCTCGAGGACATGTATCGCTGAAAGGCGAGCACGAGGGAGAGCCATTCATCAAGATACTCAGTGGGGCTTGCACCATTCTCCCATGTCGATTGCTCATACTCCAGATCGTCCCACTTGACGAGAATCTTGGCTGTAGGCATCAGCACCTCCATCTCGGTCTCTGTGATGCTCTCAAGGAAATACTCGTCGACTTGGCTGATGTGAACATATTCTGGGCTCAGCTCCAGTCGGCTCTTTTCCTCAGCAATATCTGCACCATGACCCTCCCTCGTGATCTGGCGGGGGCGTCGGCGGAGCCTTCGAAGTTCCGCCTTAGTCAGCGGCTTGAGCTCAGACTCGGGGATAGAATTGACGTGGAAGTAGACGTCAAGGATACGATCTGGCGTGATCCAAGTCTTTGGAATTCGACCTTGTGCACCTGCTTCTGGCGCGGGAGGACCTCGAAGTACTTCGCCTGTCTCTCTGTGTGCAGTCAAGAGTAGTCGTTGGCGCTTGGATCTCCTTGGCGTGTTGGCTGTACGTTCGAAAGCCTGCGACGGAGACAGACTGACAGGTGGCAAAGGTGGAGTGACGAGGCCGGGGCCCTGCTCCGAAATTGGCTCCAGCTCGAGACGAGTACCGTGAGCAAGGAAATATCTAAGCTGACCCTCACTAACTAGGCTCAACCAATGATGAGGGACCCATTGAGTCTCTCGGAAGGACAAATTCTTGAACTTGACCAGATACTCCCGCTTGAGGTCGTCGGGAGGCTTGCGAAGGAGGTGATACTGCGATCTTGGCTCAGACTGAGTGTCTGCCTGGGGCCTCCAGGCCAAGATCACCTCAACGTCACCCCATGCATCACAGTCGATACACTTCCAGCCGGCTTTCTGCCTGGCAAGAGCAGCTTCATCAAGCTCGTCCTCACCAGACAGTTGCTGAAGACATTCGTAGTGTGCGGTTCGAAAGCAGCGTCTGCATCGGAAACAGGGGCTTTCGCCCTTCCTATCGTCATCTTCTGGCACTGCGGGAGTGCAGTCTTGTTCGCAGACGTGACAGCACGAAAGCGTTGTAGAGCATCTTTCGCATTCGACAGAGGTCAGATATTCAGCAGGCGAGAACTGCACCCTGAACTTGGCTTTGCCTGGTCGCCCAAATGCCTTGTGACGAGCTGCCTTCTCGACATTGATAGTGTGTAGCAACTCCTCATTCCGGTCGTCACCTTGACAGCCAGTGTGCACGCTCTGAGTGCAGGAGGAACAGACGAGCCAAGCTCCCCTCTCTCCGAGCAATCTGCGCTTCTCGTCCAATTGAGCTTGCGCTGTACCCAGGGCATGCAGCTCTTCGAATCGGCCGAAGTCGTAGTGTCCGGTTGAGCGACGTCCCTTCAGCTCCTTGCGGGTGGGGCGATGCAGATCCATCTGTCTGGCTCGCTCGCGGTCCAGACGGGCCTGCGTACGCTTCAAGCTGACAATCTGCATCCACGCTGGCCGCTCGTCACATCGACCACAGGTTTCCCAATGACGTTGGCGGACTTGTTGTTGCGCAGAGTCTACGAATGGGTCCGTCGACGACTCGTCGCTGTCAGATTCAGCACTGCTTGTTGCAGACAAAGGAGCCTGAGGTTGTGTGGCCCTTCGAATTCCGTGAAGTACAGGGGCATCTTTGTCGTCGTCTGAGCTTTCAAATCCGAGTCTCTTCCTTTTGGTCACTCGACGACCAAAAGAGGAAGTGATAGCCTGAGAGACAGGCTGACTTTGCCATCCGAAGATCTGCAAAGAGGCCGCCAACTCGCGCTCTTCGTTGGTCAAATCGGACAGCTCAATGGTGTGCACTCTATCGTTGAGGCCGGGCTCGATATCCAAAGCTTGGGCGATCGGGATTTCCTCGTCGGTCCAGGAGCTGTAGCCGCTGAGGTTTTCTTGTTCCTCGTCCACCTCGATGTCGCTCGTCTCGCTCGAGTCTGAGCTCATCTCTAGCACTTCGAGGAGTCTTCTACCGTTCGCTCGAGTTTCTCGTGCGCTTGGCCGCCTTGAGGGCTCAGGAGCCGTAGGATCTTCATCCTCATCGGCGTCTTCCTCATCCTTATCCTCGTCTTCGTCTTCGTCCTCGTCCTCGTCCTCGCCCTCTTCCTCATTGTCGTCGACCTCATCTTCCTCCTCGTCAGGCGCAGTGTCGATAATGTTAAGCCTAATCCTCTTCTTCGTCGCCCTGCCTGACCTTGCGCGCTGGGGAGGACGAGCGCCAGAGCGAGTCCGAGTGGAAGACTGTCGGCCCGAGCGCCTGCGAGGTCTGGAAGATTGGCCGTTGCGATTGGTTGACGCTGAAGCTGAGGAGCGTAGCGATCGCGTCGAACGGCCGAGTGCAGGCAAGCTATCCTCCACGTCATCTTCGTCTGAAGAGATGGCGATCGCGTCGCTCTCTTGCGCATCTTCTGCCTGATCGCTCGAGTCCTTTTCAGACTCGCTTGCTACAGCGAGCCTCGTGCTAGTACGCCTTTGCGGACGAGACGCGATACCTGCTCTGGGACGGAGTCGAGCAGGAGGTGCGGGCAATTCTTCTACCGAGGCAAATCTGGCGCTCCTCCTGCTGCCTGGCGGCCCCAGACGACGAGAGCTTGATCCGCTGGTTTGCCGAGTCGAAGCTGTCGCCTGTGCGATACTGGCGCGTGACCTGAGGGCTCTTCCGTTCCTCGAGGGCTGTACCTCTTCCTCGCTTTCGTCGACTGAAGACTCCGAGATGTGTTGAGCCTTCTTCGGTGTTCCTGAGAGCCTAGTCCTACGTAGCTCTTTGGGCGGAGATAGCCGCCTTCCGACCTCACCAGGTTGGGGCAGTTGCATGCGCCTTACCTGGACTGATCGAGGTCGCACTGCTACAGGAGAGGGCGTCTCTGCAGGCGAAGGGTCTTCTTCTTGATAGCGCGCACGCGGATTCCTTGTTTGTCTTACATTCTTGGAAGAGCCCTCTCCCTTGTCCTCGTCTTCTTGACGCTGACCCTGCCGTCTAGTGGAACGCGTAGGATTTGTCGAAGAGCGACGTGAACGTCGAGCCGGTGTCTGCTCCTCCTCTTCCTCATCATCTTCATCGTCGTCTTGATCGCTCTCGCTCTCTCCTTCGGAACTCTCTCTCTTCTCCTTGCGAGATTGACGAGTATTGGAAGCTCTGCCTTGACGAGAGGTTGCAGAAGCAACGCGTGGAGAAGACCTAGCCTTCCTCGTGGGGGTGGGTCTGGTAGGCGGTGACGAAGCGCTCCTACCTCTATTGGAACTTCGGAGGCGCCTATCGCCGGATCGCAGGGCCGGCATAGCGGCCTCGCTTTCCGAGCGCGGTCACTGCGGATGGGAAAGAGGATTGAGGCGGGGGAAAGAGCGTACGGTTAGGCAGTTACGACGGACGATGGACGGACGGACGATTGACGGCTGCATGGGCCAGACGGAAAGGGACTGACTGACCGATGGAGGCGTTGCCCTCGCGTGGCCGCGCTGGGGTCAAGGCGGAAAGGGAGAAATAGATTTCCCGGATTTCAGGCACAGGGGAAAGTTGCAGATGGCTCAACCGTATACTCCTTCCTGCTACTCTACTCATAGCGTACACTGATAAGCTCACATAGAAGCACAGTAGACGCCGTCAGTATGTCCCTCGAGTCACCCTTGCCGGCACTGGCTGCCTTCTCCGAGTCTCTGGCCACACTTGGTCAGACGCTCGACCCCCTCTTGAAGCAGCCGCTAGATCAAATTGTCTCCAAGCTCGAGGAGGGAAGCAGCCACACTGCCGAGTCTTCTTCCAATGGACTTGAAGGCAGGCTGGACGCCGCCAAATTGCAGGTCTCGATCGCCTATGTTCTGCTGGATCTAGTGTGGTGTGAGTGTCGAAGTTGGACATGAAGGCGTCACCTCGAAAGATCTGCTAATCCTCCTTCCCTCGGCCTTCTCCTGATCCTCAGTCCAGCTCAAAGTCCAAGGACAAGACCCTTCAGCCCATCCTGTGCACGCAGAGCTAGAGCGTGTCCGCACCTACTTTGGCAAGATCAAATTCGTCCAGTCTGGAGCCAGCAGTGCCTCTTCTTCGACCTCGTCTGGAGCTCCTACTCTGCCTGGACAGGAAGGAAGGCTGAGGGTGGATCAGGCGGCTGCTGGGAGGTTCATTAGGAGTGGACTTGGGGCGGCGGGGGAGAAGGGGAAACATACCAAGTTTGATGAGGCTGAGAAAAAGGAGGAGGCGGCGGCGGAGGCGGTGGCCAGTGGTAGTGCGAGCAGTAGCAGTAGCAGTAGTAGCGACAGCAGCGATAGCGAAGGTGACTCTGGAGCCGAGGCCCCAGCTGAACTTTCAACAAAGAAGGACAAGAAGGGGAGAATAATTCGTGATCCCTTCGAAGGTGAGTTCATGGTGGACACGGCTCTGAGTTGCAAGTCGGGTTGTGACGGATCAATCTTGCCTTTCACTGTCCCTCCTCACCAGGCTACGACTCGCCTAAGCGTACGAAGAGCAAACAAGACGCTCCTACTTCCTCTGCAAAGAAGCGCAAGGCCTCTACAGAAGCTGCAGCAATTCCCGAAGCCGCTGCAGCCTCCCCGTCGTCGCATCCGGCTAGTAAGAAGGCGCGAAAGAGGTCAGGCAAGGGCAGCAAGCAGAAGAAGCATTGAAGTGGTGCACAGTCGTGGACCAATTGAAGGCGCTGATGATCTTATGAGGTCACTTCTTCCTCCTTTCTCATATCCCACTATCGTCTGCTGCCGTCATGCCATCCCGCTACCGCTTCCAAGGCCGCTGCTGCCGCCTGAGTGTGAAGCCCGATCTGTCACCCGCTTCCATTTCGGCGACTTTGCCACGCGCTCGTCTCTCACCCGCGTCTGAATGAGGATGCACGGACGACTTGGTGAATCTTGTCCTCCGCCCTTGTCCCACGGTGCAGACCCGTCGTCAGTAGTCTACTTGGCCTTGCCTTCCTTGCCATCATCGCCTACCGTATCACACCTCAATCATTCTCGTCGTCGTCGTTAGTGCTGCCTTTGTCATCGTCACCATCATCATGGCTTCCTCCACCACTTCCCTCTCCTCCTCCCTCTCCCTCCCACTCCGCGCCTCCTTCCAAGGCGGGTCCACCCTCTCCTGGCCCTGTCCAACCCGACCCTCCGTCGTTCTCCTCTTCATACCCGGCAACCCAGGTGTAGTAGATTACTACACCCCCTACCTGGACGCCATCTACCACTCGCGAGAATGTGCTGGTTCAGTAGAGATTCTCGCCGTGGGTCATAGGGGACATACGGCCCTTGAGGAGACGAGTGAAGAGGAGAGGGGAGCATCAGTCAGGTGGCAGAAGGAAGGGACGGGCTTGCAGGCTCAGGTCAGACATAAGATTGAGGTGGTCAAGGCTATTCGCAAGGCATACCCTCGCTCCGATAGCGAGGATGATGATGATGTCAAGATCATCATTGTGGGCCACTCGGTTGGGGCATGGATCGGACTGAGGGTGCTGGAGGAGATGGGAGACGATATAGACGGTCTGCAACTCCTATTCCCCACGGTCATGAACATTGCCCAGACGCCCAAAGCAAGGACGCTGCCCCTACTGGTGAGTATGAGTGGCTACTGGATTCACACCAGAATGATCCTGACCACCTCCTCCCAATCTGCGGTCCATTGTAGCTCCTCACTTCACCACTCCTGCCCGGTCTCTTTCTTCCACCGCTCCTGCTCTTCGTCTCTCTGATACCCTCGGTGCTTCTGCTGGCCGTTGCCAGCTTCGTCTCTTCGATACCCTCTCCTGCTCTCAAGGCTACATTCGGCTTCATCACTACCCCCTCGGCTCCACTCAATGCCTCTCTGATGGCCCGTGACGAATTCCTCACCATCAAAGGTCTCACGCCCAGCATGGCTTCTGCTGTCAAGAAGCTGCGAGAGAGAGGCGGCACCCTTAGAAGCTATTGGTCTAGAGGTGACGAGGATAGCTGGGCTCCTAGCCGCTCCCGAGACGAGCTCGAGCAGGCAATCGGTCTTGTACGTATCAAGCTCCCAGCTAACGTCTACTCAAGTCCTAGCGACATCTCTGCCACTCTCGGCAAAGGCGGCTCCTCCACTTCAAAGCCGAGCATGCTCCACTCTCGAACCCTCCAAGTAGGATCTCTCACTCGTGCTGCCGGTCGAAGAATTGCGCGAGGCTACCAAGGTGGATCGCCCATGGGGAAGAACAAGTCCAATCCGGCCTCGCCAGCAACACAACCTCCGCCCTTTGTCTTCCCGCAGTCTCACTCTCAATCCCCTCGAATGAGTCGTGCCTCACACTCGCACTCTAGCGTCCCTCTCACGCAGCAGCAACAAGCCGACGCGCGAGAAGCAGGCACCACGAGTCCAATTGCCTCGACTTCTTCCCCACTCAGGAAACGTACCATCCCGATGACTTCGAGTGGGCGACGTCGTCCTTCTATCAATCTCGCAAAAGCCCGAAGGAGCTTTGATGGGAGTATCACGCTCGAGTTACCCGAGGGACAAGACTGGGATTATCTCCAGCAAGGCAATGGAGATTCCACCGACTTTGATCTCCCACAACCACTGATGGAGGAAGACGAGGGGTACAGCAATGGTGATTCTCAAACTGAGCGTGGGCAAGGAGGTAAAGTCTTCAAAGGAGAAGACGAGCTCTTCTTTTCTCAACCAGCCAGCAGTAGCAGCAAAAGTGGACTGACACTTGGCACCGGTGGCAACGGTGGTGGTGGGGGAGGTGTTCTTTACTCCTCCCCCGGCATCTCACCCATGGATGTCCATTCTGCCAATTCTCCCTCGAAACAACTCGGCGGGACTGCTGCTTCCGCTCACGCTCCCTCTACACCCGTCTCCGCTTCCTCTGCCGCTGCTGCTGCTGCCGGTAAAAAGCACAAGAAGCACCCTCGTGAGCCCCGAGCAGAGGAGGCCATGACCTCTACTGTGTGCGAGCTGGGTATGCCGCATGCCTTTTGCTTGAGGTATGGACCGCAGATGGGGGCTGTTAGTGCGAGATGGTTGGGAGAGGATTGGCTTTGATCTAGCGGATGGAAGAGAGGGGCGCAGCAGAGGAGAGGAGAGGAGAGGAGAGGAGGGGAGAGAAGGAGGAAGTTGCTTCGTCTTTCTCACGCGCTTGTATTGGATATCACCACTACCCACTCATTCAGAGAATACGTAAGCCCAGCTCGACCTAATCTGTCAGCAAGGAAAGTATCACTTGCTCCATCTACATCTACAAGGCATCCCCTGCTCTGCTCTGCACCTACTCTTCCCCTTTGCTCCTACTCTTACTCTTCTTCTCCTTCCTCTCCCTCTTCCCCTCATCCACATTCTCCGCCTTTAAATCTCCCTTGGGCACCTCGTACATCTCTCCCCTCTTCTTTTCCCTCTCAACCTGCTTCTCCTTCTGTCTCTCCTCTCGTCTCCTCCTCTCACCAGCAGCCTTTTCATGAGGTTGTAAGAAGTACTCGCCACTGTCCATTTGTAAATCGAGTTTGGAGGGTTGTTGCGCGGGTGGGAAGGGGGTGTACGTCTTCTTCTTTTGGGGGGCGGGAGTGGGAGCAGCGGCACCGGTGGAAGAGGAGAGGGGGAGGGAGTTGGAGCCAGAGGGACCGGAGCCGTTGGCGCTGGAGGTAGAAGCAGAGGGCTTCTTGGACTTTACGTTGCGTTTCTTGAATTTAGGGAGGAAGCGATCCCAGGACTCTTCGGCTAGCTTGGGGTCTTTGGCTAGCTCTCGCTTGATCATGAGTTCCTGTAAAAGGAGAGCGAAGGAAAAGGAAAGGTCAGCTTCTCTCTCAGCTCCTGGCTGGTTTCGCTCATTGAGCACGGCTACTCACCTTGATGTGATAGATGGGATGGACATTCTTCATACAGTCCTCCACGACCCTCCTTACATCCTTGAGCCCCTTGTAGCTGCCCATCGCGGCCACTGTGTTTCCTTGCACCAGGACATAGCATCCCGTCAGGAGCTCAATGGCCTTGAGAGTAGAGCCATTGGGTCCAATGAGCCTCTGTCTCCTCTTGACGAACCTCTCCTTGTTGCGCACAAAGTTTCCAATCTTGATAATATCGCACACCACATCGTCCTGCAGGATTCGCAGCGCTTCTGTCGCCGGCACACTCCTAGCGAGGAGCTTGATGAGATCACGAGCCTTGAGGAGCACATAAGGATCCCAGGCTTTACGTGTCGTCTTGACCATCATCGATCCCTCGACGAGGTCGAGAGTACAGGCTATGCCGTACTTCTCCAGCGCTCGGGTCACCTCGCCCCAGTGTTGCTTGAGGTACCCCTCGCGATATTTTGGGAACAGCGTAGCAAAAGACGACTCTTCTACAAACGGATGTGGATTGTCAGCCTGTGTAAATTGTGGGATGGCCCACTTGTCGATGTCATCGGTATCCCAGGGCTTGTCCTTTCTAAATCGCTTATTCTTGTTGACTGCCTGAGCCCCACCATCGTCTTCTGCTTCGGTGGCTGGAGTCACCTCTGAGGATGGACCAGCGCGAGGAGCAGGGGAAGAGGTAGAAGCACCATCCTGGGTGTTTGCCTTGCGCTTTGCCATTTGGTATCACAAACAGAGTGGGTGGTGAGGTATAAGTGAGGCTATAGGGCAAGGAAGTGAATGCTTCGTGGGTAGAGGGAGAAGGAAGCAGGGGCGGAACGAAGGGCACCACTCGCAGTCGCACTGCCAAAAAATTCCACTCTGCACCCACACGGAAGCAGCAGCCAGGAGCACAGACACACGCCCGCGGAACGGAAGCAGGCCATTCGAGCAAAGTCATTCAGACGACACTGGAGACTACCCCACAGTCTCAAGCAGCCAGTCTACCATTGCCCTGGCTTTGGTAGCCTTTACGTGGCCATTCACTCGCCCACCATGCGACCCTACTCTTCCTACGCAGGGCCGTCCACTTCTACCGCCTCTCAAGCTCGACAGCGGCAAGGCGACCCTTATGGCTACCCCTCTGGCAGCAGTCGCTCCACCTTCCCTCGACGACGCTCTCCCGAGCGGGGCGGGCCCTCCGAGTACGCACGTCCGTGGGACATTTCCTCGCGTTCAGCCAATGGACCCTCAGGGAGACCCTACCCTCCTTCCACTGGTGGTCGTACATCAAGATGGGGACCTGAATTGCCCTACTCATCCTCCTCATCCTCATCCTCATCCTTTGGCGGCATGTCAAGCTCGCCCACAAAGGGAGGACAGGGATGGAGAGTAATGCAGGAGTCCGGAGGGAGGCGGGGTCAGGAGGATCGGGGAGGAAGTCGAAGAGAAGCTGATGAGGTAGACTGGGCCGAAGTGGAAGCGAAAGCGCGAGAGAAGGGATTTGCAGTTCCGGGGGATGTTGTGGACGAGTGAGTAGAGAGGGTGTGAGGGAAGCGAAAACGTCGCCTTCAGGCTCTCACTGAATTGGGCCTCCTCTGCACTCGTTCTTCTAGATTCAAGCGACAAGGCCACTTCGACCAGCTGCGTCGCCAGCTCCTCACCTCCCTCCTAGCGTCCCCTCAAAAAGACGAGTTCCTCGCCTCGATCTCCTCGCTCCTTCTCGCTCACCTTCAGGCCGACCCAAATGAGGCCGTTCGGATAAGCGCAGTAGACCCAAGACTGCAGTCGGACGAACTCTTCAAAATCATCGAGTCGCAGGATCCACCGCGACGGGGGAGAGGGGAGCTTGAGAAATCTTCGTCAAAGACTGGCCCGGAGATCATCGCGGAGCTGATGAAGAAGCTGGTCTCCCAGGCTGGGGACGAAGGGGATGAGAAGAAGACACAACGACCCGAACATGATGTTTCGGGAATTCTCACGTCTGAAGGAGTGATTGGAAAAGGGGTGAAGGAGAGGGTGGAGACGCTGCTGCGAGAGGAGGTCAGGGAGAAGGGAAAGGTCGTAGCTCGCGAGTCGCCTGCGCCGTCTGCCGTGGCTGAAGAGGCGATCAAAGGAGATGTAGGGCTCAAAAGAGAGGGTGACGAGGCCGACCAAAGCCCTGATGTAAAGGCGGGCGATGATCAGCACGGGCAAGGCTCTCCTCGAGAAGAGACAAAGTCGGAAGCGGTGCCGGACCAGGAACCCGGGGAGGAGGAAGGTGTACCGATGGAGACAGACTGAGAAGATCAAAGTACCAACGTACCTCTCCAGTAGCTGAAAATGTAATTGTATCGTCTTGTCACCTGTGAATAGATGCTGTGGCTTGAAGATGAGCTCCTGTAAGATGCGTAGGGTGAGACTCGAATGGATTCTGGGTGGCCTGCGCGTCGGTGCGCCTGGCAAAAAGTCGCCTCGGCTGACGGACGACTTCTTCCTGCAGTCATCCATCTCCTGTACCAACCACCGAGCTACCACCCACTTCTGGGCATAGCATCTATGCCTCAGCACTGCGTCTCATAGACATCACATCCCCAGTGTTACTTCCTCCCTCATCTCGTCCTTCATGCGGCGGTAGTCAAGCAACTTGTCTTCATCTTCCCATTCGTAAGCAGTCCAGCGACCCAGCAGCAGTAGCACTTGTCGCTGCTGGCTGGCCGCAAGGATGTCGGCTGCTACCGCAAGAGGGGTGCTGTCGACGTCGAGGACGGTCTGCACCCCGCAGTGGCGTGGCAAAAGGCTAGTGAAGCCGCCGATACACCTGCCTCGAGCAGCAGACCGAGGAGGTCTGACTGTTGAGGAGATCCCTCACGCAGAGACATCTGCTGCAGGAGCCGCACGGTATCAGCGTCTTCACAGCTTTGGCTCTATCACTCCATCACCAAAGCAGAGTAACGCACTACTCGCTGCCAGTTCACAGCGCTACTTTTCAACTACAGCGTCCGGATCGCGCCGCCTTCCATCCTTCAATACCCACGCCAATACCACTGCCGAGGCCAAAAGTAGAGCTACCTCTAGATGGAACGCCCGCAACCTTCGCTATGCCGATGATGTCGGGTGGAAGACTCCGGCAGATCTCGCCAGCGGTACCTCTGCCAGCGACTGGAAGGGCAAGCAGTCTATCCTTCCCAAGTGGTTGGGGACAGATATGGATCGAGAGCTCGTACGCCGTTCCATTTTCCGCCATACCCTCACAGTAGCGTATGACTCCCTGGAGGACGTTCTTGCTCAGTTGCCCACATGTGGCGATGATGAGCGGGGACGAATCCGCCTTCAGCTGGCTAATACCATCGAAGCCGTTCTCAAATCGACGGAGCCCGCTCAAGGGCCTCATGCTGTACAGCCACCACCTGTGCTACCCGCTGATGCGACAGCCTTTCGGATCATCGCCAGGTCAATCGTGCTCGCACAGATCGAGCTACAGTCCACTGATGATGAGATTTTGAATGTCTTTCGCTCAATGAGAGAACGCTTTGGACGTCTATCGCTGCCTCAATACCATCGTATTGTGTCCAGTGCTGGCTTGAATGAGCGGAACGAGCTCATCTTGGCCTTCTTTACAGAAGCGCAACGAGACTGGGATGGCGCGACAGATGAATGGATGCTCTACGCTCGAGCCAGAGCTCTCGCCACGCTAGGAAAAGCGACTCGGGTCCTCGACTCCTACTGGAAGGAGTATGAGACATGTCGAGCAGCCCCTCCAGAGGCGTACGGCCGTCACGCTGGCGTCAGCACCGAGAGGAAGCTCCACCCTCCACGATATCTCTTCACGTCTCTCCTCCAATATCAACTAGTCTCTGCTGCCCGCTCGACAAGTGGGCAGAGTTTTGGTCGCACCAAGGAGGTGCTGAGAGCCATGAATGCATACGGCTTCGAACCCGATCAGAACGTCTACCTTTTACTGCTTGGCACTAGTCCTAGTCTGAGACTGCACTTGCCTGATCTGCTAGACTGGCTCGACAGAGAGGCTCAGCTGTACGAACCAGACCCCAAGGCGCGACCAGGCGACGTATTCCTGCAGCTCCTTGTCCGCAGAGTGGGCGACCTGGCTGTCAGAGACGTCTTGCGACTGCTGGACCTCATGGGTATCGCAAGGGCAGGATCCAAACGTCGTCATACCCCGAAGTCGACCCCTCTCTTCCCTACGCGGATGTCTTCACACGACGAGCAGCTCGGTGCCCATGCCGCGGTGGCCTACATGTATGGTCGCCTGGCTCAGCCGCAGAGAGCCTTGTTTCACTTTCAGGCCTGCTGGAAGCTTCGAGAGCATGACTACAATCACGAATGGTGTGGACGGGCGGCAGCGAGTGTCATTGTGGCTTACAATCTCGCTCAGGAGCCCCAAGCAGGAATCGATTTCGGTCTAGCTCTCATCAACCCGACCCTGGACTCAGACAGCAATGCTTCCCCTTTGCTCCCGCATACTGCGACTTATGGCGCTCTCATCCGCGCAGCGGCCACGCTGCCATCGGAAAAGGATGCTATAGAAGTGGTGCGAGTGCTCCTTTCTCTGCTCGTACAGCAAGGAGTCTCCTTCGACCGGCGCATTCGTCAAAGTCTAGCTGCACTCTTTTACACTGCCCTGGGACCAGGTGATGATGGCTTGGAAGGCATCAGACAGCTGCTTGAGAAGCTTAGTGATGTCGCGCAGTCTCTGCCCATCAGCCCCAATCTGCCATTGACTAAACCTACAGAGAGCGAGGAGATTTTGCTGAACCCTTCAGAACGGAAGCGCATCGGCATGCTCCTTATGGAGCTGAGCAAGCAGGGCTTCGAGCACCGCCTAGAATTGAGGAACTTCAAGAAGAGGACAGGAAGAGTGCTTCGCAGCCGTCGACTGATCAGACGTGCGGCAGCGGTGGCACTAGAACGAGAGAGCGCAGAATGGATTCGGAGCTATTCGGATCAGGTCTTTCCGTACGGCACAGATCCTCTCGTGGGATATCACAGAGAGACCGATCAGAATAACAGCCCAGCAGATGCGCACATCACCGCGCCATCAGGCACTCCTGATAATAGATCCTCACGCAATGGCATCGCAAGACACCACAGGCAGGAGGATGCATTCTCTTCCTCCCTTGGCGGAGAAGTGGCGGGCCCCGAAGCTGTTCAAGCAGCTGAGGACGCGGCCATGGACGTTGAAGAAGACTTCGAGGAGTCACTCTCAGCAGCCGGCTATGCTATGCGTCTGAGGGTCTTCTCGGTAGTTCGTCGCGATCATGTCGCAGCTGCACACCTATTCCGCTCCATGCATGACAACGGCGTTAAACCCAGTATGCTACATGTTGCGCCCATCGTCGAGGGTCTTTGTCTCGATGGTAGGGTGGAAGAAGCGAGATCTGTAGCTCAGAATGCTAGCAAGAAGCTCGGTGTCCTCACCACCGCCCGCATTCAATCGGCGATACTGCGTGCGCTAATCCAAGAAGGCCGCTTGAGCGAAGCGCGAGCAGAGCTCGGATCCTGGATCAAGGCGGGTGGCAGCCCCAATGATTACCTCCAGCACATCTTCGACGACGTTGAGTTCCCTCGTTTGGCCAGAGAGCAGACCTTCCGTGTTGCGCTGGCCGAGGCTCAGGCTGCTGACAAACCGCTCCACCTCGGAGAAGTCGACGATGCCTTTCGCTTCTTGATGAGGACCCAACGCTTTGTCTCTGCGCAGCGACTCGTTCTTCAAGCCGTGCAACAGACCGGTACACTGGCCGACTACAGCTTGCGTGTGGCGGTGCGCAATGCCAGCAAGTACCTACGCAAGGTGCTCCATCGCAGGGGCGTGGAGCCTGAAGCCGAGCCTGTTGAGCCTCAAAAAGACGACAATGACAGAATCTACTTGTTCACCCCACCGTCGGCGTCGGTGCTAACTCTTCCCTCTAGGCGAGACTCTTGGTCGGACGACATTGCATCTTCGACGTCCCCACTGGACCTTCCAGCCGAGAACGACGACGACTCTCTTCGCTCCGCCTTTTCCCTGAGCACGCAGCTCCGCCACCTTTTGCACATCCCATCAAACAAGGAGCTCCAACGCCAAAAGGCGGCGCGAGCCCAGTTCCGCCACGATCTTGAGACGCTGGTGATGGACATTGCCAAGGGCGTGTACTCGATTGCCGCTCTGCAGGGCAAGCAGACGCGGCTGCAGAGGCAAATGGCCAAGGAGATTCGAGAAGAGGAGGAGCAACACGTCGAAGGGCTGGAGTTTCTGCAACGGCCACCAGCAGGAGGAGCACAGCTCAGGGAACGGGCAAGGGAGAGGGCAAAGGAGAGGGAGAGGGAGAGGGAAAAGGAGGCGGCGGCGCTGCGAAGTGAGTCCGTCTCGTTTTCGCGTGCATCTCGTCGTGCCTTTTGGAAGGAGCGACGTCAGCAACAGCGGCAGGAACGGCAGGAGCGACAGCAGAGGGATGAACAGCAGAGGGCTCACCAGGAGGCAGGCATCGTCGCCGCTGGGTTGGTCTGATGGGCAATAGAGCGGTGACGTCCAAGGCAGGTCGGTCATGGCGGCCATGTAGCGGAAGAAATCTACCTGTCATAGTCAACACAGTCACGCTTCACAGCCTTTTCTAGAATACACCTCGAGCGGGCTCACATGCACAATGAGTAGGCTAGAGCAACTCGTGTGGTCTGGTGATTACGACAGTCAGACAAGAAGGAATGGTCAAAGGTAATGTTCATATTGTGCATGTGACTGTGAATGTGGTGACAAGATTGACAAAGAAGGACAGGAAGCATGTGTAGGTGCATGTGAACGTGAACGTGAATATGCGTAAGCTACAGGTATCGAGACAGGGGTATAGTGTGCCGGCCGATGGCTGGCAGAAAGGTAGTGAAAGATAACTCTGCGCACAGAGGGAGAAGGGGTCATTGAATGTATTCTAGACGCTAGTAGACGCGATTGAAGAAGGGCGAGAAGAGGTAGACTCCTCCCGAATGATAGGCAGCTGTTGGCCGTGTCCTTGAAGTCCTGGAGAGGCAATCTTCAACCCCATGCTGGTATTCGCGGCGTCATCCTCGTCAGATGAGGTATTCACCACTCTAAGCCCCGAATTCTCGACGGGCAAGACGAGGGAGTTGGGACGACTTCTCGGCCCACTGCTACTGTTCAGCCTACCAGCTCTACGGAGCGAAGTAGGCACAGGGGCAGGTGCCGGTGTGTCGCTTGCGGACATGGGTGTAGGGTCGGGGAAGGAAGCCCAGATGCGTGCCTCATCTGAGTCGTCGCTACTCTCTTGAGACGGGACCTTAGCATGTCGATCGGCGCGAGGAGGTCGAGCAGGAGCCAGTGCTGACGCCTGAGCTAGTGCCTGCGTACGGGGAGACTCCGGACCTGGCGAAGGTCGAGGCTGTACAGTCGGTGCAGGCCAGAGACGTTGAGGTTCTTCTGACGCAGTCGTGTCTGAAGGTGCTCGTCGCTCACTCCCTTCCGTGGAGAGCTGGGAGGTGAGGTTCTGGTAGGCGAGCAGCAGGTCTGCGATTGAGTCTGGTCGCGCCTTTTGCGAGCCTTCTCTCTGCAGTCGTGGCGTGGAGGCGTCCTCTGCCGAGGCGACGGGAGCTGGAGGCGGTGGTAGCATGCTGGCGTCGCCAGCTGCAGTCTGCTCTGGCGACGACCCTGATTGCTCATCAGCTGTCATACCGTGCGGGCCACTATGAGCGCCCTCTTCTACTTCTCCCTTTTCCTCCTTGCCCACTCGGCTACCAAACCAGTTCTCCCAGAAAGTCTCTTTTCCCGAGATGGGCCGAGGGCCTTTGACACGGCTTGACCTGCGCTCCTCCCCTGTCATGCGTTGAAAGAAGGAGGAGGTCGTAGAGGTCGAAGTAGTGCTGTCAGGTGTCGACTCGCCCTCTTCAATGACTCCTTCTTCCTCGGGATTTGGCGGGATATCCGCTCCCTCCTGCGGTGTGGGCGACGCCTTTGACTGGGGCTCGGTAGTGGGCTCGTCTTCAAGACCCTCTTCACGCATCGACTCTGGCTGCTCCATTGACTTGCCGCGCATCGATGGGTCAGGCGTAGCAGCGTTGGTCACCCTCAACTCAGTACCAATGCTGCAAGGGATTTCAAATGGCGAAACAGCGTGACTCCTTTCGGGGAAGACGATGGGCATGAGGGGAGGGGTGGTTTGAAGCCAGCTCACCCTAGTCTTGCGCATCGAAGAACCACGATGATGGTTCTGAGAGGAGAGAGCCATGTCTTCCTCAGTATCATAGTCTTCACCTTTCTCCCGCGGGACCTCTTGTTCTTGCAACTGCTCCTGACGGGGAGAGGTCACCGTGACCATGACAGATTGCAGGGGGTCCAACTGAGAGAAGCGAGCCATCGAGGCGTGCTTGTCCCTGTTCTGCAGAAGAACAAACCTGACTCGGTCTTGTGTATCGAGTGCCCAAAGGGGTCGCGAAGCAGAAGAGGGAGAAATGCCACCAAAGGTCCCCAGTCTCTTCTCGTCGTCATCGTCGTCCTCGAGATCCGTCGAGGCGCGTCGATGAGAGTATCTCACGGAGAGTGAAGCCCAGAGCACGGTCAGAATTCCGACCGATAGGACGACGATGTACGCCAAGGAGATGCCGAAGCCATATGCACTGAGCAATCCAGTCATTGACGTAAAGAAGAAAGGGTCTCTCGAAGTCTGTATGGGTGTGGTAGCCGTGTTGCTGGTGTTGGACGGGGCAAAGAGAATAACGACAATGATCGCAATGACCAACCTCGGAACATCTAGCAGAGCAAGTTTCCAGAGCTGACTCCATCTCCAGGCCGTCTCTGTAATCCTTTGCTGTCGAGTGGCCATCTCGTCCACCCGCTTGACCATGGTGTGAAGGGAGGGACTTCGGCAGATGAGGACCAGGCGGTGGAAATAAGAGAGGTAGGCTTCATCCGCTGACGGTCGCGCCTTCCCTCTCGCTGTCTGGGCTGTATAAGCACCGTAGAGCTTGGTTGCGTAGAGAAATAGGTGCGCCACAGAGCACACACAGTGGACTGCCGTCGCAATGGCCCATGCCGCTCGAGGAGAGTGCTGAGATCCGGAGGTATCTTCTGGGTAAAGGGCGAGCTCCACGAGGATGAAGAGGAGGTTGAAGTCGAATAGGGTGTTGATCAGGACCGGGGCGACGATTCTGTAGGGCGCAATGGCCCTTTGTGCTGCCATGAGCACTCGTGGACCGCGGCCTTGTAGAGCACTCGAGTTGTACGCCTCTTCGTCATCGGGAGAAGGGAGGGCAAGATCTCGCTCCCGATTTCTACGGCTTTGCCGAGATGTCTCTAGACGCTGAGCGGCTGTACGAAAGCTGTCCCGCTGCCTCTTAGACCTCCCGCCGAGGCTGAAGGAGGTGAAGTGAGATTGGTCCGACCATCGATTGCTGCCACGCTGTGACTTCGACCTCGAAGGAAATTCGGTCAGGCTAGGCCGTGAAGCTCGTTCGACTAGGGTTGCAGAGTGATGCGAGGGAAGATTGCGGAAGCTTCTTGCGGACGGCAACGGACCTGAAGGATAGAAGTAAGAGTCTCGATGGGCTGGTGCTGGGCTGCGTGGCGTCTCTGGTGGGAAGGGCGACAGGAGAGCTTGCGGAGAAGTGGGCTCGTGGGCGTCGACAAAGTGGAGCCCGGGGTGCGCAGGTCCATCAGCCGGTACGTGTGCGATAGTCAACCCTTCTGGGGGTATTGATAGCCGGGTCACCTCCGCCTGCCTTGGTGTCTGTGGCGACTCCTCGAGAACTTCTCCTCCCTCTTCTTCTTGCCTTGGGTAGACAATGCTAAAGCCAGGTTCTTCCCCTGCCAGAGAGCCCTCCTGAACGAGTGACCGCTCAACCTCATCCTGGTCGCTCTGTGATACAGACTGTGCCTCGATTGACCATTCAGACTGCTTGTCGGCTGCGTCTAGGTCTTCCTCTTTCTGCTCGTTCACAAGGTCATGGCTATGCCTCGGAGGCGGCAGCACATAAGCATCGGAAGACGATGTGGGCCCACGCGCCTGTTGCGAGCCGCTTGAGGGATGACTACCATTGCTGTGTGGTGTGCTACCCTCACCGCTTGCTCCAAGCGAGCGAGAAGAGGAAGAAGAGGAGGATTGTCCGTTTGCACTAAAGCTCGGTGCATGAGGCCAAGGCGATGCCTCGATTCCCGCCAGACCTGAATTGGCTCGGCGGCTGTCGCTGTTCCTCGTTGAATATGGAGGCGTAGACGTCGTAGTGAGAGGCGAGACTTGAGTATCTCGACTTCTCGGGAGTTTGCCAATCATAGTGTTCTCGTGCGTCTAGAGATGAGTGTGACGATGAGCGGTGCCTGATATGAGGTGAAGTGGTCGTCACCAAGTCTCAAGCTGATGCGTGATCCTGTCTAGTCAATGCGGAACTGAGTGGGGGTCAAGCCAGATGAAGAGGTGTCTGTCAGGGGTATGCTGTCTAGTACGACGTTCAGGAGGTATGAAGTCGTGACAGGGGTAAAGAACAAAGACAGGATGTCATCGGCGCTCAGAAGTAGAGCATTGAAAGGTCATGTTCATCGCCACTATCTTCACCGCATCTCAACTCCTAGCACCGGCGGTACACCTTGACAATTCGGCGACTGAACGCGACCCAGGCTGGTTTAGCGCGTTGACCAAAGGGGGGTTCGCCGGCATTGCTTCCTTCCCAGGGCTGGTTCTCTCACAATGCCGAAGGAGCGAATGTGGGCCCAGGTTGTGGGAACACAGCAATTGGTTGGTCAAAAGACGGGTAAGGCCACCTCGGCTACATCTTTGCACAGATTGGAAGCGGGGGTGGGCGATGACTCAGGGAGTGTGGGAGAGATGAGACAAGCGTATCTCTGTCTTGGAAGGAGCACCGCACCGCCCTGGGTCTGTCCGCTCCTCGACCTGTGCGCCTTACCCGATCTGGCAGCTGAAGAAGGGTGCAGGCGGTGCTCGCTTCTGTGGCTGCTGCACTCCACTCGTCGGACCACCGCGCCTGGCTCACGGGACGCCTCTCTCTTCTGGGCGAGCACGTTGGCGCCACCCTTGAACACAGCATCTGTTAGACTCAAGGGACAGGCTTGACGCACGCACGAATTGAAACAAGGGACCTCAAGAAGTCTTGCAAAAAGTGTGAACTCAATAATTTTGAGACATGCTATTCATAAGTTTGTGAAACAAGAAAACAAGCAATGCGAAGAAAGGTACAACGCCTACATACAAGGAGAGGAGCTAGCCATCTTTGATGCCTGCTCGGACTCAACTTCAGTTAGACAGAAGCAGTGGCGGAAGCGACGGAAGCGCCATCAGTGAGGAGGCTGTCAGCGGCCGTCGTGGCTTCTCCTGCACTGGAAGTAGCTGCTCCAGCGGCGGAAGTCATCGTAGAGGAGCCCATGTCGCTGGAGGTGCTGCTCGACATGTCGCTCGAGCTGCTGCTAGAGGCGCTGCTCGAACTAGCAGTAGCCGTGGCCGAGGGAGCAGAAGACAGAGGAACGTTGACATATCCGATAGCTGGGCCAGCCACGACCCTAGAGTCGGTGATAGGCGTGCTGTTGGAGTGAGTCAGGAGGGCATAGAACTGTCCGCCGGAGATGTCGGAAGGTACATTGACTGTCATGTTTGAGGGAAGCTCAACAAATCTAGTGCCAACGACACCGGACAAGAAGGCTACGTAGTAGGTCGTGTTGGAGCTAGAAGAGTTGGAGCTAGAGTTGCCCATCGAGACTGTGATTTCATCTCCGGCGGTGAAAGCGTTGGGCAGAGCCGCAGGGGAAGTGTCTTGCGTAACACGGTTTGTGGGTGTCAAGGTCAAGCTGGGGAAAGCAGTGAGACCCAGGTCCATAGGGCAGCTCTCGATGTAAGGCGCAGCGAGCGAGTACACCTCCGTGAAGTTGAGGGGGGTGTCGTAGGGAGCCGGGACAAAGTTGGGTGCCATAGCAATGGCATTGAGCGCAGTCTGGTGGCGAGACTCGACGGTTGTAATTGCTGCAGCGATTAGCTGGTAGGTCGCGTTGGAGATTGAAGTCAGAGCGCCAAGGTATGCCGAGATTCCAACACCTTCAAGCAGGCGTGCGGTGGCGAGGAAGCTGGGCACGTCGGTGACAGATGAGAAGTTGTATGTGCAAGGCTGCAGCGTCTCGTTGCCCAGTGCAAAGGAGAGCAAAGAAACGTCTTCGGAGAGGGAAGAGGTGTCATAGTGTCAGCTAAGTGCTTTTCGTACTAATCATGCGGCAAGGGTGCGAATCACTCACGTGCGGCTTCATCCTGACCAATACTGTAGATTTGGTCTCGGTAGCTACTGTTGACACCAGCATCCTCAAAGTCGACGGCACTCAGATTAGTGAGAGACTGGTTGTAGAAGGCAGCCTCAAGGTTCTCGAGGGTGAGGGCGTAGCGGAGGATGTCGATGTCGGAAGAACGGTTGAAAGAGCTCGAGGAGCTAGTGGAAGAGGCAGCCGACGAGGAAGCGCTGCTGGTGCCAGTGCTGGACGAGGATGATGCGGCGGCCGAGGCAGAAGACGAAGACGACGAAGACGATGCGGAGTCTGTAGTGCTCGTTGCAGAGGACGCGTCAGAAGCTGCCGATGTTGCAGCAGACGACGCTGTCGACTCCTGTCGGGGCAGGACGGGGCTTGCGGCTACGAACGAAGTGCTCACCGCGAGGGCGGCGACGAGGGCAGCTACAGAAGTGTACTTCATGATGTTGATGTGGAAGGGAAAAAAGGTACGGGACAGGTGTCAAAGATGTGCGTGGGAAGTGACAACCCTCTTATACAAGCCTTGCACCTGCCATCGGGCCATGCAACCCAATTCCGCACGTTGCCAGACTGTACGATGACCAGGCTGCCATGGCTAGGCTCGAGCGGGGCAGTGTATTTCTGACGTCGTAGCCTTGCTCAGTCTCGCACCATCCCACACTGTCTGTCGCTGTCTAGCCACTTTCCCCGAGGGCAATCCTTCCTGCTCCACAATGTCGGTGGAGCGACCTCGGGTTGGCGACTAGAGCGGAGATGCGGGATGACGCTGCTCGGGCACCGCGCAGCTGCCAGGGGGCGTCGGCGGAGTCGACACGCTCGCTCCCGCTGCCTGTCCATCCCTCGCGCGCCTTAGATTTCCACGATTGGGCGGGCCCTTGTGAGCACGATCTAGGCATCAAAGACATGACAGAGACACCACTGTGGCTTAGTAGACCTATTTGAGGCTGTGTGGGGTACTCCACTGCCCGCAAGGCTGTGTTCGTGCTGTTCATTAAGCTCAGTGGCTGCAGTAAGACTAGTCGCAGCGACACGTCGGCGTCAGGGAAGGACCGAATTCCCGCGATGGTGACGTGCATCTTTCTTTCTCCTTGACATTGTGGCGGAAAGTCGCCTTTCCGAGGATCTCAAGCAAAGTGGCTGGCAGCTCTTATTGATCTGATCTGAGCTGCTCGCCAGTCTTGCTTGTGAAGACTAGCGAAGCTGTCATCGACGAGGGTGTACGATTCAGTCAGATTTGACAGGGGACCTGCATTGCCACGTGGTTCTGGCTCGCCCCGGATCGGATCGGATTTTTTGAAGGGAAGATTGGCGCCCTTTCCGTATCCTTAAGGGTCGGCTTCGCACCTTGCGCCAGGCCGTCCACCATCGTATGATCCTCCTCCCACGCAGAGCCGCCAACATCTCACTACCCTTTCTGACATCCATAGCTAGACTCGGCCCACTTTGGCTCGTTCCTCGTCGCACTTTCTCCACCTCTTCAGCTCGTCTCGCCGGTCGTGACCTCTTCGAAGAAGCTCGGCTTGAGCTCAACTTTTACAAGAAGAGGGCAGAAATGGGTGAGAAGTACGCAGGCTGGAGCAGCGGTCAGCTCCTTGCGCGGATACAAGAGTTGGAGAGTGCTGTCGGGGAGCGACAAGTGGGAAGCTCTTCTTCCTCTTCTTCCGCTATCCCTAATGGCCATGCTAGTGAGCCTCGTCAGTCTCGCACAGCTGGGGAACCTTCAACTCTGAATGCCAGTGCAGGTCCAGCCGTGGCTGCTAGATACCTCTCTCAAGACCCTCCGCGACGTCTAGGCAAGACAGGGGGCGTCTCGGCCAAGCGCCAGGAGGGCCGGACGTTCGACGTCTCCAACCTGCCTGTGCGGAAGATTGCCCTTCGCTTCGCTTACGATGGAGCCAACTATTCCGGCCTGGCCCAGCAAGGGGACGGCATCCCTGATTCGGCTTCGTCGGCCAAGGCTACCAACACCATGCCCACTGTAGAGGCGCTCTTATGGAATGCCCTCTGTATGGCTCGGCTAGTGGACCCAGCCAAGGGTATGGCAGGTGCTGGCTGGAGCAGGTGTGGGCGGACAGACCGAGGAGTGAGCGCTGCAGGCCAGGTGGTAGCACTCTGGGTCCGGAGCAGGAAAGTGGACGAGAGGGAGATGAGACGGAAAGAGGAGGAGCGGTTAGAGGTCACAGAGGCTGCTGGTGGGATGAAATACACCAGAGTAGGGACAGCGGAGGCCGAGGAGGAAGACGAGGCAGCGCTGGCGGACCTTGCCGAGGAAGAGCGCCTCGAAGATGGTGACACCCAAGCCTCCTCTTCGAATCTCATACCTGGAGTGTCGTCCTCATCGCCCGAGCTTCCGTACATTCAGTCTCTCAACAAACTTCTTCCCGAAACAATTCGAGTCCTCGGCTGGTCTCCTGTACGGCCCTCCTTCAATGCTCGCTTCGACTGCCGCTATCGTCACTACAAGTACTTCTTCACTTCTGGACCCCCAGACCACCTCCTCCCTCCACAAGGCCAGTCAGCAAGAAGGATAGCGCCTCCGAAGATGGACATTGATGCTATGAGGGAGGCAGCTAGCTACTTTCTAGGCGAGCACGACTTTCGGAACTTCTGCAAGGTGGATGCGAGCAAGCAGATCAAGAATTTCAGGAGACGGATAGACGGAGTCTCCATCGATGAGGTCGAGTCTGGATGGCCGAGCGCTGGTTCAATAGGAGTTCTGCAATCCCAGAAAACAGGAGAAGGAGGGGAGGCAATGTACGTCCTCAACCTGCGAGGTACAGCTTTCCTCTATCATCAGGTCAGACACATCATGGTCGTTCTCCTCCTCGTCGGCGCCGGGCTAGAGAAGCCCAGCATCGTCAAGGAGCTGCTCAACATCCATAATGGTGCCTGGCAAGCGGACAAGGCGTGGCTGAGGGCTGCAGGTGTCAGAAGCTCCAGGTCGAGGGCGGTGGAGCTTCCGGGGAGCACGGCTACAGAGCCCGACGGAGCTACCGCCAACACTTCCAGTCCGCGTCTGAAGGCTCTACGACTCGCCACTGAGACCACGTCTCCTGGAGAAGAGTTGTTCTCAGAATCAGACGAGGATGCAGATCTGCTCGTGTACGACCGCAAGCCCGGCTACGAGATGGCTGCCGACCGGCCACTAGTGCTATGGGAGTGCGGTTTCCGCCCGCGTGACATTGCCTGGCGTACAGGTCCTTACGATGGGCCTCTGCCAGGCTCTGGCTCGGGCTCGGGTGGAAGCCTGGGCGGAAGCACGAGCGATCGGGTCTCCATGTCCTCAGAGCAAGTCACAGGCGAGACGGAGTTCGCCATGGGTATCAGCAATGACCTCTACCGCATCTGGAACCAACATGCCATCTCTGCTGAGCTCACTCGACACTTCTTTCTTGCTGCCGCCTCGCCCGCGGCTGCGAGCACTGGGACTAAAAGTGAAGGACGAAAGGGCCCAGTAGGTGTTCCCGCCGGCACCTTCTATCAAGACGCCCGCTGGCCAGTTCCAGGAGGAGCTCCTCGAACTCTCCCTTCTACCTCCCCATCTCCACCTCAATCTACCATCCCACCTCAATCTGCAATCCCACCTCAAGCGCAAGCGCCAGCGCACGCACGCGCCGCGCCCTCTCTCCCCTTTGGCAACGGTGTTCATCGCCCCGTGGTGCAGTGGAAGGGATTGGCCAACAGGCAACGTGAGGATACGCCTGAAGAGAAGAATGAGAGGTGGGTGAATGGAAAGGGAAAGAGGAAAGCAGAGGCAAAGGCTGTGGCAAAGGCTGAGGCAAAGGCAATTCTTGAAGCTGGAAAGGAGATGGGAATGGGGGATGGAGACGAGTGTTGAGGTTGAGGCTGAAGCTGATGGGGGTGGGAGGGGAGGGGAGAAGAGTGAGTGAGTGAATGGAGGAGAGTATGGTAGCACGATGTTCACTGTGTTGCTACTGGGATGATGTGATAAGAAATAAATTTTGGGTAGATAGACCACAGTAGCGTCCGCTCCTCTCCGCCCCGTTCCACATCATATCGCATCGCTCTATTGTGCCTCATGTAAATCTCCAGCTTCCCCTCTCCTCCTCAACCATCCTCCTTGCCAAATCCATGCCCACAATCCTCTGCAGCCGTAGTAGATCGTATCGAGAGTAGAGGGCCGTCATGCTCACGTCTGCTGGGTCTAACTCTAGCTCCTCTTCCTGTTCCTCCTCGTCGCTCTCCGCACCGGCTGCTGCTGCTGCTGCTGCTGCTCCTATTTTGCCCTTGGAGACCTTACGCTTCTTCATTGTGCTTACAGCGCCACGGCTGGCTGTAGCGGAAGCGGAAGTACCTTCATTGAGTGCCTCGACAAGGGATGTACTCTTGGCAAAGGGAAACGCCATTACTTCTCCAAAGAAGTTGGCATGTTCCGGTAGCGCATACCATACAATTGTCTGTGCTCCTCTGAGCACATATCGTCTATAGAAGTGAAACCTCTCGGTTACTAAAAGGAAACTCCTCTTGCCAGCAGCAAATTGTTGACGTGCTCGCGCAATGTCTTTCCCAGTGGAATATTCAGAGACGGCTACAAAGCTGAGTTGTTGCGCTTGCATGTGATCCTGTAATCGTACAAAGTCAAAGTACGATGGGATGAAGATGAGTGTACGACTTGAGGAAACCGCACTCTTCAACAAGTTGGGTAGAGTCTTTTGAGTAAAGTGTTGGAAACGAACTTCGTGTTCTGCAGAAGGATTGGCGCAGTCGAAGCGGAGAAAAGAGGAGCGGATCCCTTGCCTAATCTCGTCTAACACGCCGGAAGTGTCTTGCAAGGTGCGTACTTTGCCTGCGATGTTCACTAGTTGGCGAGAGTAAAGAGAGCGCATTTCTGGCGCGTCGTACGAGGAGAGTAGAATGGATTGGCGCAAGTGAGCTGCCTGCCCGTCTAGATACCACTGTTTCACCCTCGAGAAGTCCGTATCGTGGGACTGTCTGGGAATCTTGTTTAGGTGGCCCATGACGAATTGCAAGTGGTCCCAATTCTGCATGGTCATCACGTCCATCTGATCCACCACCAGCACCTCGATGGAGGAAAGGAAATCAGAATCGCGATCCTTTTCAATGGCCAGACGCAGTGCAAGGGGACTAGCGACGATAAAGTCGCTTTCGTAAAAGGCGCTGAAGAGCTTGAGACTCTTCCGGGTGAGCTTGACGCCCAGTTGGAAATTGTCGTCGATGTTGCCGCGGAAGGTGTCGAGGTGATCGAGAGGGTATCGTTGAGACGCCTCGGGAAGGGTCAATTTATCCACGGCTCCTTCGGGGAGGTTGTACTCCTTTGATAGTCTTGATTTGTTTTCCACTTGCGGGCAGCCAGACAGAGACTCGAGGAGGTGTACCCATTCTAGCGCAGTATTACGCATGGGGGCCAGAATGAGCACCTTGGGCCGAGTGAAACCTTGGTCGCGCGGCGCTTCCACGTCTTCTGCTCCTGCTGTGCCACTACCACGTCCAGCAGCCTGAGCAGCATGGGCCAGCTTCTCGTTGTTTTTCAAGATCCTTCGCCTGGTCTTGGTCACATGACTGACGGCATGGCACACGATTGCTTCACGAGCATCGACCTTCGCCGCTAGCGAGAGGTTGGAATGATAGACGTCCGAGTAGGAGGAGAGGAGGGGGAGGAGCTCCTGCTGAAGGGGTGTAGGTGGGTTGCGAGATCCACCACGATACTGCTGCCAGCTTGCTACAGCATTGGCATGGGGACTGCCTGCAGCTGAGATCTGGTCCGAGCTAATCCCTTTGAGCTTGCTCCTGACGAGCTTGCCCAACTCTGCAGAGGCGCTCTGCACCGCCTGTTCCCATTCTAGCGCATCGGGCTTGACATTGGACAAGAGCGCAGCATGGGATCCTTGGCCTTCGGATGCAAAGTGGGCATTAAAGGCGTCGAGGGCAAGCGGTCTGCCTTCACCGCTACCCGTGGGGACGTTGCCTTCTCCTTCCACCTCGTCATCGGAATCGGCGGCGGTAGCGATGAGAGAGGAAGAGGCAGCTGGACGTGTGCGCAGAGGTGCAGACAAGGACGAAGTTGAGGCAGAGGCAGAGGTAGAGGGAGCGCTGCCATTGAGTTGAGCAGCTTCAGCCTTTGCTACGAGTGCCATGGCAGCTCTGGTCTTGTCATTGACTTGATCGAAGTTGTTGGCAGAGGGAGCACCGGGCGCAGTGCCATCATCCTTCCTCTTTCCTCCCAGAGGTGCGCGGACATAGAGTGGCCCGCTACGCTTCCTCTTGCCAGGCTTTGTGGCGGATACGTTGAGCAGAGTGAGTAGCTTTGTGGTAGCGGCCGAGTCGCCTTGACCATCTTCGGCGAGGGTGGAGCTGGTCATGGCCGGTGGTTGGCGCAAGGAGGAGACGAGGGCTGCTGCTTCCTCTCAGTGGAAATTCTTGTCTCTCCTTGGCTTTCCGGCGAGGCGCAGGGCGCACTGCCGCGGCCCCACTCCCCTCTTGGCCCCGGCACTGGCCTTGTTTGCACAGCACACCACGACGCTCACGGCGGCAACCAACGTCGATGCTTCCTTCTGCCGTTGCATCTAGGGCAGAGAGGACATGTCGAGATGCATGGTGCCGGATAAATGTACACTCTTCCCGTGGCGTGCTGGGCGGCTGACCACCAGTGCTTCTGTGTGATCACATGCGCCGGCCTGTGGCTCCGTGTGCAGCGAACGAAAGCGGACGTGAAGAAGGGTTGGATGTACCATACTCTCAAGGGACGACGAGAAGAACATCGGGACTTCCATGGTGTGTTGTAGCTGCCCCGAAGCTTGTATTCTGCAGCTCTCAATGCACCTCGCCCGGCACCTGCGGGAAAGCCGAGGGGTGAGGCCAGGCGTCAGGCGCACGCACGCATGCACACACACACGCACACACACACACAAGCACACACCCAGCCAGGCGGCTGCACTGCTCTGCAACCCCCGCGGCTGTAGGTTGAGGCACCCTCTCCCGCGGGCGGGAAGGCAGTGCGCCTGACTCTGACCATCACCTCAGGCTCAACCTCACACACACACACACACCCTGCTGACTTTTTGATTCGCACCTTGGTCTCGACTTGTTCATCTTCTTCGTACCGACGATCTTGTCAAGGACTTGGTCAACTTCAGGTCATCCAACATTGCCATTCACTCATCTATCCACCTCCATTCTTGACAACCACAACCCCACACTCGCTACATCCCAAACACACACCAAGACGGACTCACCTCCCACAGCCCCACGGCCCCTTCAGGCAGAACCAGGGCCACATAGGTCGTCGCCCTCGACCACACTCATCTTCCCCTTCTTGTCTCCCTCGCCCCCCCTTTTTGACGACCTGCCATGACTGCACCACCACGCTTGCCTTCGCTGGATCAGCACATGGCTTCCCTGGCCACAGATTCACCCGAACCAGCTAGGCATTACAACAATGGTCACAATGGTCTCTCCGAACCATCCACCTCTACCCCCGAGGCCCCTCCTCGAGAAGAGACCAGGTCAAGCTCTGTCCCAAGACCACAACGTCCCGCTATAGCACCCACTCGCTCCCGCACACGGAGCACCTCGTCCAGCAACTTCCTACACCGTCTCACATCCAGGAACAGCGTCATCAGCGTAGACTCACCCAGTATCGCAGAGTCGGATGGCTCAGGTTTATCCGGAAAGCCCGATCGGGATGCCCTGTCCAAGCCAAGGGGAAAGTACAAGAGTGGGATCAACTGGGACAGCGCCATTCTTCTCCCTAGTCACGATTCTCAGGCCTATCTGGACCAAGCATCGCCCACTCAATCTCCTGCAGAAGAGATGTCTTCACCCCTCGATGATGAAGAGGCTCGGCAGAGGCTCGCTGCTGGATCAACTTCTGCAGCCAGGGACTACTACCGCGGACTCGGCACTTCTGCAATGGTGTTCCCTGCACAGCAACGCGCACTGATAGAGGCTTCGATGAGAGCTGCAGTGTCAAACAGAGGTGCTGCTGCTGCTGGCACCTCTCGACATGTCTCTGGCGGAGGTCACACAAATGGACAGATGGGCGTCAATGGTTACGGAAATCGCCCCTCCCAAACCCCTTCACCGCAAATGTCCTTTAGGACTAGCCCTCCGCCGGGTCCCTCCCACGCCAGTACATCCGCTCCCATGTCAGGGTCGCGGTCGCAGGGCCTGGTCCCTCCCATGTCTCGCGGCGGTACATCGCCGCACTCTCTCGCCTCTTCTTCGGACGAGAGAGTCTCGGGACCTCGGACGGCTTCGGCTACCCCTCCGCCTTCCCAGAGGGGCGGTGAGAGGCTGACGCCCATTTCTACGACGCACGACGAAGAAGAAGCTGGCCCTGTCAGCAAGAGCCCTGCACCTAGTGTCAAGAGCGGAAAGCAGCGACGAGGATTCTTGGGCATTGGGAGCAAGTCGACAGACAAGGTGTACAAGGCTGGCAAGAATGGCCGCGCAGGCTCAGAGTCATCCCCTCAGCTCGCAAGTAGCGAAGACGGACCGCCAAGAAGGCGCTTCCCCAATACGAGGGAGTTGGATGTTGTTGCTTCTGAGCTGGCAAACGAAGCGGCCATCGAGGCATATGGTATGCCGACCTTTGGTCCTCACGGTTCATGGGGTCCTAGTGGCTCGGGCTCTCGCACACCAGTCGACAGGCGCGGTTCTGGTCCGGGAAGCAACAATGCAGGCATTGCACCAGGAGCCTTCAACTATGTTGGGTCCCCTTACTCTTCCCCCAGCTCGAACAGCTCGCACAGCAACGGCAATGGCTTCCAGCCCTTTATGCCGCCTTTTGCCAGACCGGATGGCCATGCATCTCCTACCTCTTCCATTCACACCAGCCCCATCTCCAGCACAGCTCACGAGTTGGCGCCATCTTCCCGACCTGCCTTCTCGCCTAAACCTTCGGCACTGAGCAGCATCTCGGCCACGCAGAATGATGGTCTGCACAATGTGCCGAGGGAGATGTTCATCGGCATCGGCGACAATGCGTTCCCAATTGTGCCTTCCTCTGCCATGACCGACTCCTATGCCGGATCAGACGCTAGTGGCTTCCAGTCGGGGTCTGGCACGCCGCGGCGCCCTACCACGGGGCCCGGCGCGGCTATCAGTGTAGGAAGTGCTCTTGGCCCTCCGTCGGGTGGTTCGCGCAAGGGGAGTGTCCTGAGCATGAGCATGCACGACCCGCAAGCCGAGACGCAGGGATTGACCAAACAGGTCAAGTCGGGAAAGAGTACGCCTTGGGGAAGCAGAGCACCCAGTAGGAGCGTCACGCCCAAGACGTCGGCAAAGAACCTGAGCGAGCTAGCAAAAGCACAAACTGCTCAGCTGCAGGCTCGACTTTCGAATCTGACTGGAGTCAATGGCGGTAGCAGCAGCAGTAGCAGCAGTACTGGGTTGAACGGCGGCGGGTTCCTGGGTCGAAAAATCAGCCCGGAGCAGGTGCGAGCAGCTCTCCCTACGCCCGTGGTAGAGGAGTCAGCCATACCTTTTCGGACGCCCGTGGGGGAAGAGGTTCCGGGGTATCCTCAGCCTGCCGAAGCCCTGCCCAGTGCGGCGACTAATGCTGCTCCCGTCGGACGTTCAACGTCCTCCTCCTCCATGCACTCCAAGACGAGCAAGAAGGACAAGCGCAGGTCCTTTTTCACCCAGTTCGGAAACAGCAAGGGAGCATCCGACTTGCCCATCAGCGGTAGCGTTGCAGGCATAGCCAATGGCAGTAGCAGGAGCAAGAGTAATGGTCTAGCGACACGGAGCAGTAGCAACAGTCTAGCCGCCCCTGGTATGCCCCCCTCGCTCCCCTCGAAGACGACGCTCAGACGTCGTGAACCTGACGCTGCCGGCGGTCCACATGCCAATGGCTCACAATCAGCCTCGGCCTCGGCCTCTCCCGATAGCCCTAACCCCAACGGCACCGGCAAGGGTAGCGGCACTGGCTCTCGCACCACCTCGTGGAATTTCCTGGGACGAGCCTCTTCGCCTAGCGCGGGAGGGCGTGCGCTCAACGGTCCCAATAGGAAAGCGAGTGGAGAGATGAGGAGTGCAAGCGCAGCTGGCGGAAATGGAGCTGGAGGTGGTGCCGCAGGTGCTGGAGGCATGGCAGGAGGGGTAGGAGGAGGAATGAAAAGATTGATGAACATGTTTGGCTCTTCGGCTGGTGGAGCTGGAGGGAGAAAGAGTACAGAGGTTTCCAGGGCAGGGACGCCTGTTAGGGCTGCTATCTGAGCGGCTGGTCTGCCGAGGGCGCAGCGAGGGCGGGGCGCACTTTGGTGGTAGTAGCAGAGACCTCCATGCTCGCACGACCAACCCACACACAAAACCACACAGACATGCAAACACACACATGCACACAAATGCAACACTTGCTACGAAGAAGAAGAAGAAGAAATCAAATCATGACAGAACTTCAGCAATGAAGAACGACTCAATGAACACGACGAACCAATGAACAAATCAACAATGGACAATGGACAAATCAACTTTGCATACCCCCCTCTCTCCTCTTTATCCCCCCCTTCCCATCTTGCCTTTTTTTTTCTTCACCCCCTTGCTCCCTCTTCCTCAGTATTATTACTACCTGCCTACCTGCCTGCCTGCCTTGCTTTGCTTTGCTTTGCTTTTGCTCTTCTTCGTCTTGCGTCTTGTGGTCTTGGGTTCTTCTGATCTTCTCGCATGTGCAGATCCGGATCCCACTTCTGCTCCCATATCCATACTCAGCCAGCCAGCCAGCCAGCTAGGGAATAATCGATCGATCGATCGATCTTGTTCCTTCAGTCAGTCGTCCATCAATCAGTCAATCAGTCAATCAGTCAGTCAGTCACTATATTCCACAAGAGGAGCGATGTATAACTCGTGAACGTCCCCGACCATGCAGTCCAGAGGGCAATTGTAAGGATGGGAAATAGAGGCCGGGATCTGGATCTGGATCTGGATGCTGGATGCTGGGATGCTGCTGATGATGATGATGATGATGATAATGGTAAGCGTACTCAGAATGAGAAATCGTGGGAGACGGCCTTCCCTATGCCTTTCTCCTTTTGTCCTTTTGTCCTTTTCCTTTTCCTTGTGCTCTTGCTCTTGATCTTGATCCTATACTTCTCACGCACACGGCACACGCACACGGCACACGGCACACGGCACACGCACACGGCACACGAAGTCCTTGGTGAATCTCATTGATTTCACCGGCGCTCGCGCTCGCGCTTGCGCTTGCGCTTGTGTCTCTCCTGCTCATCCATGCTCAGCGAAGGAGGAGGAGGAGGTTGGACAGCGTCTGCTTGCTTGCTGCTTGCCGGACGCACGCACGCACACCTCCTACACGCCCGTAAGCCGGTGAGAAGTGCTCTTCCCTCGCCTTTCCCCGTCCTCGCGGGGGAGGGGAAGGAAGGGGAGGGGATGACGTATTAGGTGCGTGCTTCCCATCAGCCACACACGCCATGCACGCAAGCACGCACGCACGCGCCACAAGACGCAAGAGCGGACGCCCCCGCTCGCACGCTTCTGGGGGAGCCTAGCCTTGCACTACTGCTGGCTTGGGTTGCACTGCCCTGCCCTGCCTCGTCTTACCAGAAGCAGGAAGCAGAGGCACAAGGCACGAGGGCAGGACGGCACTCCACCAGTCGATGCAAATTAGACTTGCTAGCTGGCTGGCTGGCTGGAAGGGAGGGAGGGAATTCATGAGAGAGTCTCTCGGCAAGAGGGCGGAGCGTGGAGTGTGGATGTGGACATGTGGGAGTGAGAGTGTGAGCCTTCTTCTATCTCTGGAACTTGCTCGTACTATCCTTGTTTCCTTCTACTACCAACCAATCAATCAATTCCAGCACTCGCAACTTCACCAGACCCACCGTTTATTCTAGATCTACCACCACCAAGATGTCGAACACTGCTGAGAATGTTTCTGCCGCTACAAAGGACAATGTCGCTGCTGCCGGTGACAAGGTGAGTGTTGGAGGCTGGGTGGGGGGGAGTGATAAGTAACAGGTGCAACGCTCAGCGCTGGTGGAGAGAAGAACTCAGGGAAAGGAGTCCCTACTCGCCCTCTCCACGACGATGCAGTAGTAGCTCCTGCTCCACCCTGTGTGTTGTGACCCTCTCTCTGACCTTGCTCTCCCTTGCCCCTCCTGCCTCTCTCCCTCCCCCCGTCTCTCAGGTAGGCGACGCTGCCGCCTCTGCCAACCAGCAAGCCGAATCCCTCCTAAAGCAAGGAATCGACCTCGCCTCTTCCACCTTGCACTACGCTCAAGCTCAAGTATCCCACCTCACCGGTGTTGCTCAACAAAAGGGTGACGAAGCTTCTTCCCAAGCTCGTTCCGCTGCAGATGATGCTGCTGCTCAAGCTCAAGGAATTACAAATGCTGCTGCTAAAGAAGGTGAAAAGAGTAGCGCACAAGCTGAACAGACCTTGGGTGATTTGGTCCATCAGACTAGGGGATTCGTTGCTAATGTCTTGGACAGTGCAAATGAATACGTCAAGCCTGCTCATGGTGGGCAGAGCACTACTGGAAGTGGAGGCATTGTAGAGCAGGCTAGAGTCGTGGCTGGAAACGCCGTAGAGACGATTAGTCACATTGCTCGTGGAGAGTCAGAGGATGCTAACAAGCTCGCCAATGATGCTGCTCAGAAGGCAAATGACCTGGTCAACCAGGCTGCTGGAACCGTCAAGGACTACACCAAGTAGATGGACAAGGGTAGTGCAAAGTGACCTTCTGAAAGGGGTCCATGTTGCTTATGGCTTGGCGGATCTGAAATGGTATGCCATCTCCACTCTCGTCGGCCCTGGTTGCGGGCAGATGTAGAGCGGAAGGCGTTGGCTCGTCTCAATGAAATAGACTCTCATGATTTAATGCTCATTTGTGTGTGAGGCTGAAGGGGCGTCTCATTGCGCAGGCAGGCAGGCAGGCAGGCAGGCAGGCAGGCAGGCAGGCAGGCTCTCACTTCAGTCCAGGCACATTGATCTGGTCAATGCCATTCTGGTATGAGCATGCGCTATCGCTGCGCTTCACCTTGTGCAGGCCCTCCTACGCCCCTGTGCAGTACCCCGCTATGTCCCTCGGCGCCCCGACCCCATATCCTCCCAGTGTGCTCTCCTTTCCCAGCAGCCTCCGTCTCCCCACCAGCACCAAAGATAGCCTGTCCCTTTTCCGCCGCCCACCTCCCTGCCTCTTCCACTCGCTCCCGCGGCCCGCTCGATGCTGCTACTGCCACTCCCTCTCTAAGCTCTCCTTCCTCCGAGTGCACAGGCGGCGGTCGCAGGCTCGAGCTGACTCTGGCTTTGCCCTGCCGGAGCTCATTCGCACCTCTGATCAGAGAGCCCACTTCGCCCGAGGAGCTGGACTTGCTGCTGCTGCTGCTGGAGGAAGGGCCAGCGACCGAGGAGTAAGATGGGTCGGCAGAAGCTAGATGATTGTGTGGTGCGGGAGCGGCGGACTTGTTGCGACGGAGGTGCTCTTGATCAGGTGTTAGCTCTTGGGTGAAGAGGGGGATGGAGCGCGTCCCTACCAGCCGGCGAATCTGAAGGGATGAAGAGACAAAGCAGTGCCTATCGTATCAGTATAGACCCTCCGTGACGCTGTCGACGATCTCCTCTGCTTCCCTGTCTTCTTGCCAACTCACCGGACTGAAGCAATGCTCTCCGTTCCCGTAGTCTTGCCAAAGCACCAGCCAGCCCACAGCCAGTATGCTCAATCCTCCCGCAAGCAACTGGCTACTTCTCTGAAACACCGACGGACGCGGTCCATCGAAGCGGTCCGGCTGGGTGATGCGACGAAGGTATGTCTCGGCACGCCGCGGTGAGGGCTGGCGTGAGGAGGGTGGAGCCGGGGGAGGAATGTGCGATTGGGGAGCGGCCCAGGGACTGTGGGCGGGGAAGGTCGAGGGATCGGCGCCGGCGCGGGGTGGGAGAGGGGCGCGAGGTGGACGTGGAGGAGGCATGGTGAGCAGAAGAGGAGGAGGGAGGATCTGCTCACGATGAGGCTACGATGGGTAGAGACTGTCACCAGGTGAGGCTAGCAAGGACGTAGTCAATCAATGGTCCTGCACTGCAAAGGACGATCTTCCACTTTGGCGGCTCTCGGCCGATTCGAATCTCCGCCTGTCTCCGTTCCGCTGACCTGCACAGGGCTAAGGCGGAGCAGAGCAGTCTACCATCGATGAGCATACCATAAGAGACTCCATTCCCCAGTCACCACGACCCAACGTAGTCATCTCCTATTTCTATCACCTCCTGCATCTCACTCTTCTACTCATTCCGCCACCAGCCGCAGATGTCGTCGTCAGGCGGACGCAAGGCGGGAACAGCGGCCTTGGCCAGTCACTCGAGCAATAAGGCACGTTCAGGGCCAAATAGGTGAGCATCCCCGCCGTCAGCAGCCATTTATCCCGATCGCACATTGGGCACTCCCACCATGACTCCCAAAGGCGGGAATATCTCGAAAGGAGATCATGCCCACCACACCCTCTCCCCCACCGTCTCCTCGTGTACTGACAGGCCGCCGTGTCTTCTACCGTGACCCTCCTCCACCCAGAACGACCAAAGCCTCGGGCAAACTAAAGATTCTCCCCGAGGAACCCGAAAGCAATACTCGTCAACCCACGGACAAGAACGACAGCGAGTCTTCAGATGACGATGATGATGATGACAAGTCGACAGAGGGAGGTGACAAGGAGGATTTGTATAAGAGGTTGGCTCATATCCCCGAGGGGAGTATGAGGAGGGATGCTAGGAGGTTGACGAGGAGGGGAAGGGCTACTTTGCCCAGGGTCACGGCTTATAGCACTGCAACGTGAGTACAGAATCAGACAAGACGGCTGGGCGAGTTCACCATTGACCTTGTCAGTTTGCTCCCCTTCACCATGCGTAGATCATATCGGATGAGGGAGCTTACTCGCTTCCTCCAGGCTCGTAGCGAATCACATCGCACCAACGTCATGACCTTTGACGAATGCGTCTACACTACCTACACCTACGACATCGTCGACGCAGCCCGCAACGGTGTCTCATCTTCCTCACAATCCCACCATCAGTCACAGAGGGATCGAGCCGCCTCTCTTACCAAGACGGGCGATCTGCTGGGCATACCCGAGCTCAACGAAGAGGCAGAAGGAGGAAGTGGAAATAGCCCCGAGGGAGGCAACGGCGCTGGGAACAACGGGACCTCTTCTTCTACCACCCTCGTCGACGGTACAACTGAAGAGGAAGAATCTCGCCGACTCGAAAAGGAACGGATCCGTCGTAGGGAAGAGGCTAGGAGAGAGCGCAAGGAACGCTTCACGGTGAAAGGAGCTCAACCTGAAGTCTTCTTTATGGAATACGGTACCATTGTCATCTGGGGAATGACATTGAGCGAGGAGAAGAGGCTGCTGAGGGAGATTCGGAGATTTGAAGTCGAGAAGCTTGCACAAGAAGATGTCGAGAGTGAAGAGCTGAATTGGTACTTGGCGGATTATAGTCGGTGAGTAGCCCCGTTACCAAGTACGCTTGCCCATGTCTGACGAGTCCCCTGACATTCTGCCGCCCTCCTTCTGCCGGTCATCAGAATCTACAACGATGTCATTACGCTCCGCCGCGGTTCAAGCTACATGACAAAACTCTCCCTCTCGCACGCCCTCGCCCAGTCAACAAAGATCAGCTTCTTCGAGGGGGTCATCGACAATACCATTGATACCACAAAGGACATTCCACAGAGTATTGCCGAAAGTGGAAAAATTGGAATGCCACCCGCTGAGATTATGAAGCAGATTGGACATGTAAGTGTTCACAGGACGGACATTGAGTGGGAATCGCTCGAGGAGATATGTACTCTGGATGAGAACCACTGACCATTTCCTTGACTTGCTCCCGCTCCCACTTCTCCTCTGACAGCTCTTTATCCTTCGAATGAACATCCACCTAGTCGGCTCCATTGTCGATTCTCCCGAAATCTTCTGGGCTCAACCCGACTTGGAACCTCTGTACAGTGCCGCCCGCTCCTACTTGGAGATTCCTCAACGAATCGACTTGCTCAATGCGCGAGTAGAGGTTTTGCAGGATATGCTACAACTACTCAAGGATCAGGTGACCAGTAGCCATTCTGAATGGTTGGAAATCATCGTCATTGTACTCATTGTACTGGAGATTATATTGGGAGTGGCGACGATGATTGTTGATCTCTACTTTGCTTGAGAGTAAGTCGAGGGAGCAAAAAACAAGACGTCAGAGCAAGTAGCCAAACAAGCAAGAATCTCAAGTAAAGGGGTTGACGTAGATTACAAAAGTGGACGTGAGCGAGGGGGGGGGGGGGGGGGGGGGGGGGGGGGGGGCCAGAGTAGTTTGTGCAATGTACATCTTTTTTTGTTTTCTCTCGAGTCGAATCGGATAATGATCGATATGCTTTCTTCAGTCCAGTCCAGCCTTGTCCGCCAGGTCTCACTCCGCTCCGCATCCCATCCCATTGCATCCCATCCCATTGCATCCCATCCCATGCCATGCCATCGTCTACCCTCAGCGTGCAGCCATCAGAGCCGCCACTTGAGCCAGTCGGCTCTGCCATGCAGACCGTCCCTGCGATGCCTTCTCCTCTGCTCCCTCTGCTGCTGCCGCCGCCGCCTTCTCCTCCTCCGACGATGACGAAGACGACGCTGGTGCGGTGGGGGAAGTCCACTCGACCCGACTGGACGTCTTGGCAGACCTCAACATGTGCGAAACAGTCGTCTCGGTGATCAACTTTCCTTGCTCTTCCTCTTCCTCTGCCCCTGCGGTCTCGCTGCTTTTTGTGAGCAGCGAGTACGAAGTAGTCGCGATGCGCTCGACCGTCTCTAGGTGTAGGATTGCCTTGGCCTTAGAGGCCTCAGCAGATGCAGCTTCAGAGTCGGACTTGGGAAGAAGGGAGAAGGAGAGGGGAGGAACCGCCTTGACTCTGCTCTTGTGCAGGAGGGGGGTAGGCACTCGACCATGTCGTGGGTGAAGAGCATGCTTGACGTCGTCGCCACTACCACCTTCTCCCTCCTCACCGTCTTTCTCGTTCTCGACTTCCTCCAGCTCGGTCTCCGCCTCTTCCCCTTCGGAAGCAAGTCCCTCGCTGATTTTCTCCCCTCCTGCGGCGCTGGAGCTAGACGGAGGAGGAGGAGGGGAAGGGTTCAAAGCCCTTCTGACGTACCTCCTCAGAGTGTTCAGGTAGTCATACAGACGTGGCTCCTTTTCGAGGGCCTCTGCGTCAACGGGGATCTTGACAGTCGAGGAGAGACGCAAGTCTTGCGGTACGTCGGGACAGAGGACGTCGACCTCGCGAGAGGTGGACCAGTGTGCCGAGGTGATCGTGTAGATGTGCTGAGGAGCTGCGTGCAGGGTTTGCGGAGCACGCTGGGTGGACTCAGGAGCTGATCCTTCCTCCTCCACGCTCCTGGAGGAGGGAGAAGACTGATCCTCCTGTGGAAGCGCTGCCTTCCCGACCTGCTCTGCGCTCTCTGCCTTTGAGCTCTCTGAAGACTTCGACATGAACTTTTCCTCGATATCGATGTGTAGTCTCCAAATGGCCGACTCGTCTTCAGTGTTCGCTGGCCGCAGCCGGTACACTAACCTCAATACCTCGCGCTCCCCGGCAGCTTTGTTGGTATCCACTAGCTCCGCCAATTGAGCAGACATCGCGCCAGTACCATCAACAGGCAGGTGCGGCAATCGATCGTTGATCCAGTAAGGCCGCCTGGGATTCCGGAACAAGTCGCTTTCCTCTTCGTCAGCCTCTAGAGGGGGCCGACGTCGCAGCCATTCGAAAGCGGTATCGAGTGTCCAATACCCACTTAGGGGAGGATTGAGGAGGTGCTGCAGATGTGCCACCGCTGGGTCTTCACTTGTGACCTCACCTGGGAAGACGAGGTTGCCCACTGACAAGGCGTGCGTAGTGCTGGCCGCTTCAGGCTTGCTGAGGTGCAGACGGTCGGCCTGCTTTGCCATTGACTCCAGCTCGAGCCTTTCGCCTAGCCAACTCCAATTCTCAGCGGGCTCCAGAGAGGTGGAAGTCCGCCCAGACGAAGTCAACATGTCTAGTCCGACAAAGGTCTTGCTCATCTCATCGCTGCCTGCGGTCCGTCCTGCTTCTCTCACTCTGGCCAAGCGGTACACGGGCGTATCTTCCCCTCCCAATGCCACTTCGGTCATCCAAGGCGTGACGGAAGGCGTAGCTTTGGGTAAGAAAGCAAAATGCTGCAAGTCGCCTTGCAGAAGCGCATCGTCGTATGCTGGATCCAGAGGGGATGGCTGAGCGTACGATGCTAGAGGAGTGGGGAGCTGAAAGTATTCAGCTTGGTAAGCCGCCAGCTGTAGCTGAGCTTGAGACAGGTCATATTCCGATAGCGCTGTGAGTCTTAGCCCTGGAGATCCACCGTGAGCCGCGTCGGCCCTCTCGATGACTGTTCGAGTCCGAGCGGAGATGGTGCGGACGATAGCGGGGTCAAGAGCTTCGACCCGTACCTGTAGTGGCAACTCCTTGACCTCGATAGCCTAAGCAGTACGCATGGAAAGGCAACTGTGAGCTATGAGGGAGACAGAGAGGTCACGAGACACCGCCCTGGAGCTTACCTTGCGGAACAATTGCATCCTCTCGTCCAATACCGACCCAAGAGCCTTTTCCTGACCTGAAGCAACTACTGCGTACTCCACCGCCTTGCCATCCTCTGTTTTGGCATCAGGCTTGAGCGTCAATCCCGTCTGCTGAGCCAGAATTCCCAATGAATAACCGCCATTGACAAGCAGCAGAAAGAGCTCCGTCTTGCTAACCGGTATCCTCCTGTCCACCCGTTCTTCCTTTTCCACCCTCTGTCTCTCTTGTGGGCTCAAGAGGTTGAATTGATCCTTTAACAGCACATTGATCAGCTCCGTCTTCTTCGCCTGATGAGAAGTGGTAAGGCCTGCCGTCTTTGCCAATTGTCGCAATTGTTCCACTCCTAGCGCGGCAGAAATCTCATCAAAAGTCCTCTGCCAAGCAGCATCCTGCTTCGCCGCCTGGAAGGCGCGCTTGTCCTTTACCCTCATGGGAGGGATCCTGGGAGCGCGAGGTCTGAGCTTGCGAAAGTCCTCGAGGGTCAGAGTTGCTCGGGGTATCCGCCGTCGTATCAGCTTTCCAGAGGCAGTTGCGCGGTACTCGGCCGCTATGGCTTCATCGAGGAAGCCTGCTCGCTTCAGCTCAGATTTTGTCACCGGCGAAGAGGACCCTGCAAGCTCATCCTTCTGAGCCTCTGTCGATTGACTGGCGGAGGCTCCGGCCTCAATCTTCTCGGCTGGAGCTGCAGCATCGCTGTAGTATCGTAGTCGAGCAGAGGCAGGATGGCGTAAGCGGAGAGGAGTAGGAGCGGCGCGGGGGAGCAAGGCAGAGGAGGCGTGGCCAGAGGAAGAACTAGCTTCGCCCCAAGCTCGACTTAGCCTCGAGCCCGCACGACAGGCCATCGACGTCGCTGAAGGAGCCTTTGTATCCCTCGCAGAAGGTTGAGCGAGGGACGAAAATAGAGGAAGGGGGCAGGAGGCAGTGGAGGGGTGCTGAGGTCGGCGTGTTGGAGTAGGAAGAAGTCGAGGAAAGGAAAGGAGAGAAATTAGCACAGGAACGCCGAGGCGGAAGCTCCAGTTGACCCGCGGCGCTGGCCGGGCGAGTAGAATACCATGGTCCGAGCCATTTGGCACCTCGTGCTATCCTTCCTTCCTTCCTGCCAGTTGCTCCATCTGGCGTCACCTTCTCCCCCAACGGCACGGCGACGCAGATGGCTCCTCCTTCCAATACGTCTGCCGCAGGCAGCCAAACAGCCTTCAATCGTACAGAGGTAGAGGACTTTCTCAGGTTGAGATGGACGGCCATCAATAGTCGTGAGTAGAGCTCTAAGTCTTGTGCTTGTACTCCCGCTACCTTCCTTTGATTGATGCTGGCTGTCTTATGGCGTCCCAGAGTCACCACAAGTCCTACAAGGTCAGACTAACAGCAGCGCAGGAGGGGCCTCGGGAGGAGGCGCCAAGAAATCGGCATGGGCAGACGCTGCCAAGGGTGAGTCTTCAGGCAGCGTTGAAGCCCTACTTGGCTTGGCCAGCCCTTCTGATCATTGCTCCACTCGGCCTGCCCCCAGTCTCCGGCGCATCCTCTCCAGCTCCAGCCCATTCCGCCTTTGCATACAACCTCATCAAGGCTGCCAATGCTAACGTGGCACCTCAGAAGTAAAGGTCGAGGCCTCTCCCTCCTTCAGTGATGTACAAGGCAGAGTGAATGTGTACTTTTAGATTGAACGATGAACAAATACATGAAGGCGAAGATATTACAAAGGACGTCAGAAGCGGAATGAAAGTGGTCGGGACAAAGAGGTACAAGCGCGAGCTTGGATCCTATCGAAAGCACGAGGTGACTTGCGAAGCACGCGGCCAATTCTACGAACCAAAGTTGAGGATACCCTGTCCCCTTTCCGGGTCATCCAGACGTACTACGCGCACCTCTGGCCCGAACTTCACATTCGCCATGGCCTGTGGGGTGATGAGGACATACTGAACATTGTACGAAGTCTTGGCCGTGTCGATGAGCATTTTCATAGAAATCTTGCGATTGACAGCGTCCATAAAGACATCGAACTCGTCGAGACATCGGATGGGACAGCCAATGGCCTCCCAGAGGGAGAGCAGGAGACAGATGGTGGAGAAGGACTTCTCGCCTCCCGAGAGCGACTTGGGGTCCTTGCTGAGCTGAGAAGCTCCTTTGCCTCCACCTGCAGTGTTCGATGGGCGCCCGCCGTTGGCTCCATTGCTGTCCTCCGTCTGTACCTTGATGCTCAGCTTCTGCGCGTCATGGTTGAAGTGCAGGGAGCCAGTATAGCCTCGAACAGAAAGGTGGTAGGTGAAGTTGCTGCGAGCACGGAGGGAGATGTGTTGACGGAATTGTTGCCACATCGCCAATCGTAGCGACATCGCATTCGTCAAGGCCCTGATGGCAGCCTTCATGTCATCGAGCTCTCTCTTGGCTTCGTCGTAGGCCCTTTGACGACTGCGATATTCTGCCACCACTTGTTCGAGGGAGCCACCGCCTTCTCTACGAGCGCGCTCGATGTTCTTCTCGAGAGCTTCAATCTCGCGTTCGTAGTACTCGGTGGCTCGATCAGCCTTGACCCTCTCCCCGTCGGTGTACTCGTAGGCCTGCTCAAGGGCATGATCTAGGTCCATTTGCTTGTCCGCCTCCTGCTCCTCGAAGACCTTCAAGTCGGCCTGGTGCTTCTCCACAGCCGTCTTTCTCTGCTTCTCAGTAGCTTGAGCCTGCAGTCGCTCCTGAACAGCTTTCTCTAGCTCATGCTTGACCGCTCCTGCCTCGTCAGCAAAGGCGTCAATCTGCTTCTTCAGCTCCTCGGAGCGCTCCACTTTCGGTCGAAGCTCTTGTTCCACCTCCTCTTTGCGAGCTTGAATTGCAGAGAAGGCTTCCCTGGACCGGTCGAGTTCTTCGCGCGCTTCTCTCCTAGAGTCCTCTAGTGCAGCAACGTTGGCAGGCTCGTCCTCACGCATGTCTTCCTCGATCTGGTGCATCTCATCCTTGGCCTTTGCTAGCTTCTTGGCAATCATACTCAGACGTTGACGATTGGTTCTCACGCCATCCTCCACCTGCTTCTTTGCGGCGGCAATGTCCTTTAGCGCAGCATCAGCTGCCTGAATTTTCTTTTGCAGTTCGGTGCTGTGAGCCTGTGCTTTCTTCAGCCTGTCCTGTACGTCAGACGATAGGCGAGGAGGGCCTTTGTGAGGATTGAGAGTAATGGTTGTACTTCCGACCTGACCACCACCAATCCTATACATGTCTCCAGAGAAGCAATACCTGACGTTGCGAATGCTCTGACGCATCAATTCGTCACCGTCGACTCGTCGATCGACTAGAGCAGCTGCTTCGATGTGAACAGAGTTGACGAGTTGACGCAGGACATAGTCGTTCTCGATCGAAAGGACCCGAAGGATCGTGAGGACACCCTGCGGAGCTTCACCGCTCGAGAAGTCAAAGGCCTCGTTAGATCCCGTGAGAATGACGACATCGCTTGCGCCATGCCGGCGTTTGAGCTCCTCGAGAATCTTTCGGTCGTGATGATCGACAACACAGAATGCATTGAGCGTATTACCAATGACGCTTTCTAGGACCGGGGCCCACTTGGGATCTTTCAGCTTGACGTATTTGCCGATGGGACCGACTGGCTTTTGATGCCATCGCCCTTCGGTGTTGATGCTTCGTAGCAGAGCAGGAACGCTAGCACCATAGGCCTCCATAGAATTCTTGCTTGTCGCAGCCAGTCGGCGACAATGTGCCTCCATCTGCTCAAATTCATCTCTAGCACTGTTTCTTTTTGCGACTGCCTCCCCTTCTTGAGCCATGATCGCTTTGATCTTCGGATCGGCCTCTCTGAGGTTGTCACGAATTTCAGCCTCTTCCACCTCTAGAGCATATCTGCGCTCTTTGGCATCACGGTGCTTGGCATCGAGGGCGTCCCTTTTGCCCTGGTTGTTGTCCGCAAGTTTCGCAGCTTCCTCGTCGATTCGCCGTTGGAGGTCGTCGGCAGTCTTCATGAGATTGGAATACTGAGCGCTTTGGTCTTTCTCCTCGTTCCGTGCCTTGATGAGCTCCCCCTTGAGTGCTCTGATCTCGCTCTTGATCTGTTCCCTCTCCTGCTGCAAAGGAGCAATACGATCGCCCTCGTTCTTACCGCGATTCTCTATCGTTACGATCTTCGCGTTGAGCTCTTCTCTCATTCCTCGAAGCCGCTCGAGGTCCTTCTCATTCTTGTCGAGCTTTGATCGGGACCTTTCCGTCTGTTCGTGTAGCTTATCTCGCTCCCGCTCTTTCGTAGTCACTTGCGACCATACGAGCATGTTTTTGTGTTCTTGTAACTTCTTGTGCTGATCCTTCTGCTTCTCAACCAGCTGATAACGGCTGGCAGCTTCTCTAGCGGCATTCTCCAAATCGGGCAGAGCCTCTTCCTTCTTTGCTACTGTCCGCTTCATCTTCATGACATTGGTGTTGATCATCTCGTACTCATCGGAGAGTTGCTTAAGCTGAGTACCTCGAAGGAAGAAGTCGTACATCTCTCCTGAGTTTGACGAGCTCAGGAACTGACGCGCCGAGTCTTGCGTCAAGACATTCATCGGGTTGTCCACTTGGATGTTGGTGTGATCGCAAAAGGCATTCAGTTCGTCCCTTTTGCTTGACACCATCTTTCCCTGAGCGTTCTTCATCTTCCAGTGACCACCGCCATCCGCGTTGATTCGTCTCTCTACAATGATTCGATCACCGTAGACATCGTGCTTGAATGCCTCAGGACCCTTGTTCTTGATCCAAAGTACAACTTCAGCAGCACTGCTACCCTCTTTGACGAAGCTCTTCAAGCTGTTTCCTCGGTTAGTCGAGGCAGCCTTGCCTCCCAGAGCAATGGTGATGCCAGTGAGCACGGCACTCTTCCCACTTCCATTGTGACCGATGATAAAGTTGACTTGTGAGCCAAGGGTGACCGTGAGTCTCTTGTGGCACATAAAGTTGACTAATTCTACCCTCTCTATGACACCCGATTCAGCTACGTGCCCGCCCTGGGTGTGAGACTCCTTGACGATCCGATCCATCTCTTCGAGCTCAGCACGATCTTGATCATCATCGTCCACTTCGTCCTCTGATGATGCCTCCACCCCTTGCTCGCCGTCCTGTCCTTCCGCCATGGAGGCATCTGCTTCAGCTTTGACGACGGGTGAGTCGCTGACGTCCCTCTCCGCTTCCTCTTCGTCTAGTGTGGTAATCTCGTCATGCCTGGCCGATGAAGGAGGTTGGCGGTTGCTCTTCTTGCGCCCTCCATTGACAACGGGAGACTCGGCTAGGATGGAGTCTGAGCGATTACGCTTGCGCTGAGATGATTGAGACAGGGAACAAGTTTTCCGAAAGGTCAGCAGAGCTCATGATATCTATCAAGGCCTCTTGTCGGCATATACTCACGCTGAGATTGGGTGATGAGGAAGGGTCGGCATCCTCATCGTCCGAGCCTTCGCTGGGTGGCCTCTTGCTAGGAGCCATGTGGGGGTGATCAGGGGCGTCCTGGCCACGCTGCTCTCAGCTGAGAAGGCACAGCGCGCTGATCAGACCTGCGGATGAGAAGGATGGTGTGGTATAGCGATGAGAGTGATGGTGATGGTTGGTGTCGGAAGAGGGGGCGGAGCGGAGCAGTGGGTGGTGTGCGTTGCCTCGCGTCCGTCGCGCTGCCTGCATGTCTCTGGTGTCGCCCTTTCCGCTCGCGTAGAGAGTCGAGTCTGAGGCGTAGGCTACACCACCTTCTTCTGCTGACGACGAGGACCTCGACCCACTACCGCACACACACGGCTCACACAGCATGGTCGCACCTACAGCATCGTCCTCTACATCTGCCGCGCCGGTGTATGAGCTGCCATGGTGAGATTGGAGACCGATGACGACCAGCGAAGACTGGGTAAGGCGTAGCTGACCTTGCCTCCTCATCCTCGTCCTTTCGCTTGCTCAATGGTAGGGTGGAGAAGTACAGACCGCTCAAGTTGGATGACGTGGTGGGCAACAGGGCGACAATAGAGCGCCTCAAGGTGATAGAGCACGAGGGCAACTGTCCCCACCTGATGATTTCGGTCAGTAGCAGCCTATACAGTGCAGGACCATGCTCAATCCCTCAGCTGCTGACAAGACACCCTCATGCACTCCTGCCTCTCGTAGGGCTTGCCGGGTATTGGAAAGACGACGAGTGTACACTGTCTTGCACATGCGCTACTGGGAGATGCTTACAAGGAAGGAGTGTTAGAGCTCAATGCCTCCGACGAGAGGTGAGTCTCTAACAGAAGGATGAGCATGATCTGCGAAACTCTCTCTAACCTTCATGCCCGTCTGCCAACCTGACCTGTTCAGGGGAATCGACGTCGTCCGCAACAAGATCAAGAACTTTGCTCAAAAGAAGGTCTCTCTCCCTCCAGGCAAGCACAAGATCATCATTCTTGACGAAGCCGACTCGATGACTGTAGGCGCGCAGCAGGCTCTCAGACGAACCATGGAAATCTACTCGAATACCACGCGCTTCTGCTTTGCTTGTAACCAGAGCAACAAGATCATTGATCCCATTCAGAGTCGATGTGCGATTTTGAGATATGGGAAATTGAGCGAGGAGGAGGTGATGAAGAGGTTGCTGGAGGTGGCTGCTTATGAGAAGGTGAGTACGCTCTACCTGACACTACCTGCAAGGGTCAAAGTCGCTGAATGGTCATATCACCCTTTCCCTTGCTCCGCAGGTCGAGTACACAGACGCGGGTCTAGAAGCTCTGGTCTTCACCTCCGAGGGGGACATGCGTCAAGCCATCAACAATCTCCAATCCACCTGGACCGGCATGGGTCTCGTTACCCCAGACAACGTCTTCAAAGTCTGTGACCAACCTCACCCCATTCTCGTACGGCAGATCCTTGCCGCGTGTCAAAAAGGCGACATCGACGTAGCAATGGAGAAGCTGGATGAAATATGGGGAAACGGATATGCAGCAGTGGATATTGTTACGACGCTCTTTAGAGTGACAAAGACGATGGATTCACTGCCCGAAGCGTTGAAGTTGGAATTCATAAAGGAGATTGGATGGACACATATGCGCATCTTGGAGGGAGTGTCGACGGTGATTCAGCTGGGCGCATGTCTGGCAAGGTTGTGCAAGATGGTGAGTGAAGTCAAGCAGACGTAGACCTAGACGGGTGGACCGAGGGACCTGCGCCCTGATGAGTGAAACCTGACGACAATCCCTGCTTGCCGCCTTTCCACTTCCTCCAGCAAATGAATCCGAGCCACTTTGAATCACTAAAAGCCTAAGAGACTCCGTCATGTAATCTCCAAACTGCCTCTCGTCTCCCGTCCTGCCCTGTCCTGTCCTGTCCTCTCGTATGACCCATCATCTACTTCTAGCAATTGCGATTCGCAATCCACAATCCGCAATGATCATCAGCTTCAGCTCCAGCTTCAGCTCCAGCTCTTCCCTTTTCTCACTTTATCAACTGGCGCTGAGCATTGAGGCATTGAGCATCGAGCATTGAGCATTGAGCATCGGGACAGTGAGACATTGAAAAAGGCCTTCAGATTGCTACTACCACCATCACCACCATCAACATCATCGTCATCTCTGAGCATGTGTGAGTGTGTATGTATGGAACAAGAAAGAGAGAAAAAAGGGGGGAGAGGGAGAGGGATGGAAGAAAAGCGTCCCCTCCCCCTCTCCCCCTCCCCCCTTATTGGCCCCCGTGCCTCTTGGCCCGCATCCCGCATCCCTCACCCCATCCCTCACCCCACCTACCTTGCAAGTCGTCTAGTCTAGTGACTAGGCAGATGACCAAGATCGAGGGTGAGGCAGGCAGGGGGAGAGGGACGGAGAGAAGAGGGGAAGAGGGGCAAGGGGGGCAAATTTCTGGGTGTTCTGCTGTTGAGATGAGTTGAGTTGATGGGACTAGACTGGACTAGACTAGACTAGAGACGAGAGGAGACAGACACGAGGAGACGAGACTAGAGAGGAAAATCGACATCGACGATTGAAAAAAAGAAAAGAGAGACAGGGGGAACGTGCCACGACGGGATGCGACGCGATGCGGCCGCGACAAAAGGAAAAGTCCAAGTGAGGATATGAGAGAACAGAACATTGTAAAGTGTTGGATATGTAGTGGGTGTGAGTGTGAAGGTGCATAGCGGGTCTAGGGTCACTGAGCTCGGATGCAAGAGATGGCGCTCTCTTGCCCCCCCTTAGGCCTTCCTCCTTGTCCGCAATTGCCTAGCTGGCCATCCAGCATAGACTGCTCCCGCTTCTGCAATCTCTCCCGAAGCCACAAGGGTGTGTTCCAGAAGCATAGACCGAGGCTCCATCGATGCTCCCGATAGCAGACGACTTCCACTCCTCATTGCGCATCCGTCTCCCAGCTTTAGCTTGTTGAGGGAGAAGCGTCCTCGAGAATTGATGTGTGCTACAATCGAACAATCGTCAAAGGAGACATTGTCGCCAATGGTGATGAGGTCGGGCTCGGTGACTTGTAGAGAAGGCTTGCCACCTGCCCATACGGACACATTCTTGCCGATGGTGGCTCCCAGGGCGCGTAGGTACCAGACGGCATAGACAGTTCCACTGATGACACCAATGAGGTGACCACCGTGTCCCTTGCCCAGGATCTTGGACAGACTGAGGTGCAGCTGCCATCGCTGACAGTAAGAGCTCTTGTCCCAGTCGTATCGTCCTTCTTTCCTCCGGCCGATGATGATCCATTTGGTGACAATGACCCATGCAAATGCCAGGATACCTTGCACGCCCAAGATACCAATGAAGCAGACGGCAATGAAGATGTAGACGAAGCCCGGGCGGAACCAGTGGTCGTTGATCAGCAGCGGTGCGCTGTCCTCGTAGGCTTCCCGCACAGCGTTGAGCGCCAAGACGGTACCGACGGCAGCTGTAGCCCAGTAGCAGGCAGCAATGATGGCCATGAGAATGTTGATGATGACAACGACGATGTAGGGAATGACAAAGTAGTCTGCCTTGCGCTTGTAAAAGGCACGACCAAAAGGTGTGATGGTTTCATCAGCACCGCCAACGAGACTGTCCTTGTCTGCTGCTGCTCGTCCAAAGCTGACGGCAGCACCATTCTTGGCTCCCATCCAGACGGTCTGCTCCTCGTAGAATCCGTTGCGCACAGCGAGAGCACCAGATCCCATGACACACTGCTTGCCGATGGTGACACCGGGCAACAGCACGACTCGGTCAGCAATCATGGCGCCTCGACCGACTCGCACACGAGACCATCCGATGCTGTCCGAGGTGAAGACTTCCGAACGAGATCCAAAGACGACGTCGTCTCCGATCTCCAACAGCTCCGGATCAGGACAGTAGATTCCGGATCCTGGCCAGTAGACACGCCTGCCCACCTTGGCGCCCATGGCACGGTAGACGGCAGAGGTCATTTCGTAGTGGGTACCAAGAATGGCCATGGCACGACGGAGATTGGGCTGCGACAGGAGCTGCGCGTTGAGCCAGCGACGGAAAAGCGCAAATTGGGTGGCGTTTCGCATCGAGCCTTCCCTGTTGAGACCCATGACCCTCTTGATGATGATACCCAACAAAAGGTTGATGAGAGGAGGCATAGTCGTTCGTACAACTCGCGCGACGTAGTGCCAGGCGATACGTCGAGGGTAGGCGAACCAAGCAATGACGCCTTTCACGGTATCGTGGTGGCTGAATGAGAAGGGCTGCGACAGAAGCATGAAGAGGGCGGCGAACCAAGGGACGTAGCAGGCAAGCTTGACCAGAAGCAGGATGGGGGTACCGACGAACCAGATGAGTGCCTTGTTGGGCTGAGGTGCTGCGCTACGGTTGTAAGCGGCGTACGCGTCCGAGGCTGGGTCTTCGTGCGAAGAAGCCTGAGGACCCCAAACGGTTCCATCGGCGAGACGAGCTCCTGGCGAGATCTGAGTAAAGGTGTTGATCACACAGTCTCGGCCGATGATGATTGGCTCTAGCCTGAAGTAGCCGTCTCGCTCAACACAGAATCCGCGTACCAGCGACTTGTCGAGCCGTGCACCATCGTGAATGGTGATCAGATCGTACTCGCCGAGCTTGACGAACTTGTCAATGATGACATCAGATCCAATTGACATACCAAGCAGGCGGTAGTAGGTCTTCTGCAGTCCAGGTGTTAGACCGAAGAGACCCTTACCGGAAACCTTGAGCGACTGGTTGACGATCCACCACCGCAAGTGGTAGTTGCACCACATTGGATACTTGCCAGGTCGGTAACGGCCGATGACAATCCACTTGAAGGCAATGGCGGTAAGAGGGCAGATGATACGCGAAGTGATACGAGCAACGATGACGGCAGCGAGCAGCACAGCGACTCGCTCCCAGAAGACGTCGTCGATGTAGTATGCTGAAAATGCTAGACCGTGCAGAATGACAGTCCATGTCCAGGCAGCTTTGAGGGGGTAGAAGAACAGGAAGGGAAGGAGCTGAATGAACATGACCCATGGGTGGGTCTGACTGCGACCCTTGTATCCGTGGGTGGCGAAAGCAGGCTCGTCGTCATCGTCGTAGCGATGAGCACCGGTGTACGATGCAAGACCTGCAGTCTTCTCGTCCATGTAGCCATCCATGTCATCTTCGTCATCGTCTCCGCCTCCAGTCTCCTCGTCAATGAGGTCAGCAATGCCTGCGACGGTCGAATTGTTGAAGAGACTCGAGACTTCAACATTGGCACCAGTCTCCTTTCGGATCAGGTGAACAAGTCGACCGAGCAGCAGACTGTTGCCTCCCAGCAGGAAGAAGTCAGACTCGGCCGTGATTGTACCGCTCTCCGTGTCCAGCAGGCGAGCGATGATATCACGGACGACCAATGCAGTACGGGACATGGCAGAGGCGTTTTGCGCCCTGACCTCCTCCTCCATAGTCTCAAAGTCGATCTTGCCGTTGATCTTAGCCAGAGGCTGTCGGAAGACGTGGAGTGGGTTGGGGACGACGTAGCCGTGTAAGACCTGAGCGAGGGCTCGGTCGATGTCCGAAGCATCGTAGTCGACGTTCTCTTCCACCTGGATGAAAGCCTCAGGGGCACCATCACGTCGCTGTCGCACAGCAGCTTCCACGATACCAGGAATGCGGTAACAAGCACGCTCAACGGCTCGCACATCGATGGTGACCATGCTGCACGGGATAGGCTCGGAAAGGGGTACACTCTTGTCTGGGGCTCGAGCCTCGTAGTGACGTTGGAGAGGGGGAATGTCATCGGAAAGCGGGCCGATATTCAGACGTGTGCCGAGCTTGATACGCAGGGGCTTTCCTGCCTGATTCTTGGGCAGATCGTCCATGTAAACTGCTGCGAATGGCCATTTTGAGGGATGCAGGAAGGCTCGTAGCAAATTCTGCAGTTCAGCGAGACCTATCCGCGGTTGGTTGGGCACAGGAACAATGACGACACCGATTGTCTCCTGAAGCACATTGTGCTCAATGGAGAAGGCGAGTGTCTGCTTGATACGGTCCTTGGCGGCCTGCATGATCGCCTCTTCGACCTCAAAGGGAGAGATGACTTCACCACCCTTGTTGATAATCTCCTTGGATCGACCGGTGATGTAGAGGTAGCCATCGGCATCCATGTGACCCATGTCACCAGAGTCGAACCAACCTTCACTTGAGAAGGCAGAGGTGTCGAGGGGCTCAAACGGATCTGTCGACGTCTCGTAGCCTGAGAATGTAGGCAGTCCACGAACAGAGACGGCACCAGTCTGTCCCACGGGCAGCTCTCGCTCGCGGTTGAAGGGGTCTCGGATGGAGAGATCGGGACCGCAAGCAACACCTGAGCATCCAGGACGGTCGAGCTGGTAGTTTGTGGGGGGCGAAGCAATGGGCATGCACTCTGTCATACCGTACGATGGCAGAACTGCGCATCCACCAAAGGTCTCCTTGAGCTGAACTGCTAGCGATGGCAGAAGACCACCGGCAGCGTTACAGATCATGCGAACGCGCAAGTCTCGGGCGGGGTCCATGTTGTCAGGCTTGGAAGCCAAGATGGCGTGGTGCATGGTAGGGGCCGCGTAGTACCAGGTAGCGCCGAGCTGCTTTGCTAGAATCCACCACATGTTCGCGTCGAAACCTGCGCACATGATGGCGGAGCCTCCGGAGAACATGGGGGCCCAGAGATTCCTCACGATACCACCGACGTGGAAGAGGGGCATCATGTTCATGTTGACACTCTCTGGCCTGAGATCCCAACTCTTGGCCACACAGATGGTACCAACGATCATATGCCTGAGCGAGTAAGGCACGACCTTCTTCTTTCCTGAAGTTCCTGATGTGTGTAGGACGAGAGACTGGTGCTCGAGACCATGCAGCCTGGATGGCCTCTTGCCGCGTGTGGATGCGAGACCGGATGCACCGAGCAGAGACATGTCAAAGAGACCGGCAGGCCCTGATGCCCTGTTCTCGACAAAGATGATCTCCATACCCTCTTCGCGACTCAGGGCCTCACAGTCCAGTCGGTCTGCTGCATCCCTGGTCGTGACGACGGCCTTTGCTCGTAGACGTACGGCATCGTCACGCAATTCACCTGCTGTGCAAGCGGCGTTGACAGGGGCACAGGTGTGGTATGCTGCTACGGCTAGGAGGGCGATGGCGTTCTCCGGACCTGTGGGCAGAGCCATCATGACTCGATCGTTGGGACCGAGTTGTGGTCCATTTGTGGGGAGGACAAAGTTGGCAATGAAATCTTTGATGGTGCGGTGGTCGATTGGTGGACGGTTGAGATCGGGGGACCAGAGGGCAGGAGCGGTGGTGGAGCAGAGGCAGTCTAGAAGGGTCGTGGCTTTGCCATTGTCGGTGACATGCTCTGCCATGTGATCACCCAGAGAACGTGTCTTGGGTGGCTCCGGGAGGGAGTACATGAACTCGAGGGGGAAGGGATTGGTCGCCATGATGCAGTGTGGCGCGTATGGGGGGGAGGAAGGGGTATGCCTAGGAGTGAAGTAGGAAGGTATTGGTTGGCACTTGCAATGTCGTGATGCTCGCCAAGCACTGTCCACGACTACCACGTAGGATGAAAAGGGCAGGCAGGCAAGGACGATGGATCGTCCAGACGCGCAAAGCCGACCTCGAGGTTAGAAGTCGAGGAGTGGTAGGTTGCTTTGAGTCGCCTTGAAGTGTGGGCCTGTAAAGAGTGTGGGGACTTGCTCGCGGTGTAGGTCACGGAAAGGGCCGAGGAATTGTTCGTTATTGTGCGTCGTCAGTCTACTTTGCCAAAGAGGGACCGCCGAGGAGATGGGCGGTGTTGAGGTGGGGTGGGTTGCGGTGCGGTTGGAAGCGAAGCGAAGCTGAGGAGTACCGGCGCGCTCGATGGCGATGGTGTTGCGACTCTCCTGACTGGCTGGCTGGCTTTCACAAATGTCCGTCAGGTATGAGACTCTGGGCGACGGGAATGCGTAAAGGGAATCGCGACTATGCGAGGACGAGGGACGAGGAGGATGAGTGCGGTGTATGGGTAGGATGGAATCAAGTTGATTGCTTGCACGTCGAGAACCTCAGCGAGGCGGCGGTGGTGATGACACTCGGCGAGTTGGCTTTGGTTTGTCGGCTTCCCTGGAATCGTCGACGGCACAGGGGCCAGAAGGGGCGGGGCTGAGGACGTACACACACCCACACCCACACACGCGCTGCCGGGGGGGAGCGGCAAAGGACGAGGCTTGCAAGGGCGCGCGGCCAGGACAGGGGGCCCACGCCGCCCATCGGGCACCCCGCCCCTGTCTGTCAGGGACGTGGCAGTGCCGTGCGCCTGGCTCAGCATGCGCCCGTGGCAGCCAGACCGGCATCCCTCATTGCCTGCAGGCTTGAGAGGACACTGCTCCAGTGCCTCGCCTCGACTCCCCCTTTCTTCGACGGCAACAAACAGCGCGGCAAAGGCAATCCACCAGGGCCATCCAGCCACACATCTCTCCCGACCCCAGCCAGAGAGGGACAGAGGCGAGGCGAGATTGGCCACGGCTTGCCTCCTTGCCTGCCCATTGTACCACCTGGCCCACTCCCGCTTGTACCGAGACAGAGAGAGAAGGTCCTGTCGCTGGCCTTGTCACCCTGCCATTGCTCTCTCATCCCGATTCCGACACCCTGTAAGGAGGCTCAGTAGGTTGCCTAAGTCGCCGGAGCAATCTTTCATCGTCTCCCCTCAGTCTCCCTCTAAGCTCGCTACAACGACTGCCTCATACAGGACCTGAGGCAGGCAGAAAGGAAGGTCCTGGTGGTCAGCGTCATATGCAACGCACTCCTTCTCTAGCTGCGTGTGCTGAGAATATCTCTCTTTCGAGGGGAAGATGAGGCAAGCGTTGCACCCCCCCTCTCTCCCTCTGCCTCTCCCTCGGCCTTCTTCCCCTGTCCCCGCTCCCCCCCCCCTTGCTTCCCTCCAGCGGCATCTTGGCATCGCCCTACATTTATTTATTTTACCTCTACCTTTACCACCACCGCCCTTGTGCCGCGTCAGACGCGTCAGGAATGTGTCGTGCGCCCATCATGCACCTCGGTCGGTCTAGTTCTCAACTTAGGGAAATTTGCCGAAGCGGAAACCCTTTGCTCAAATTCCCCCGAGGGCTGAAGAAACCGCGTGGGTGATTTTCGCCTGAACACAATCAGAGCAGGAGTGAGCAAGCAAAACGGGGTTCAAGCAGGCACGGAAGGGATGCAGACACATAGGAGAATTGCCAAGAAGATCGCCAAGACTTGACCGGGCTTTTCGAAATATGCAAGTGGCTCGCTATGTGTGTGTGTGTGTGTGCGTGTTTGTACGGGGGTGGCATTCAGACCTTCTCCTTCCCTCGATTCGCAAGGCCATTTGGCTAATAGGTCCGCTTAACGTGTTTGCCCGCCTGTCATGCGCTTCTCTACACCGAGGTTGGGTCAGAAGCGATCATAGGGTTTAGGAGACGGGCGGTGGGATAATTTACGCAAGTACCTCCCGGAAGACCGCAGACCCGCTTGGCCTTGAACCGACGGCTCAAGCGGCTCCTCTACCCGAGGCACCAAGGGTCGCACTCGCAGAGGCGGATGAGCATGTGGCACTTGCAGCCGAGAAGGGTCCTGCTCAGTGACTACCTGCACTCTATCAGCCAGGCGCTCCTCCTGTTCCTCCTCAGAGCCTTCGGAACTCTGACTTTGGCTGCCTTCCTCGTCTCTCCGCTGCTGCTGCTCCATCATCATCGCCCTGTCCTTTTCCCCCTTCTGCTGCCAAAAGTGCATCGTCGCCTCGTCGTCCTTGCGCTCTCTCCTGGTCCGTGTGCGGAGCAAATACCAGTCCATGGACATCTGCACAGCAATCTCTCCGAGCATGACCGAGGCCAAGATGGGCATGCCACCATTGATGATGCCCCAGGAAGGGTAGGTAGAGTAGTGCAGGTAAAGGATTTGAATGCAGAGGAGCATGATGCCTGTACCAAAGCGAATGGTGAGTGTGGGCAGTCGAGCTCTGATGTGAGCCTTCCCAGCTTGAAGCCCCTTGATGAGACAGTCGCAGATGTAGATGACGGCCACGGCGCAATAGACGTACTCGAATTCAAAGAGCTTGTCGAGGATTAGACCATCGACCGTCTGCACCTTTTTGAGCGTATCGACGTATTGCATCAAGCCAGGAATCTGACTCTTTACCGTCGGTCCCACGTCTGTCTCGATCAGAGGTAGGGCAGACTCGACGAGGGCCAGGGCTTGCTCCACCGAAGGGATCCAAGCGCCGCTGAAACCTTGAATCACAGACATGACTGCATAGACGTGGGCTTCTGGCGAATTCAAGGGATCGTTTTGAGGTGGGCGGTAGAGTGTACCATTCACCTCCTGCCCGAGCAGACCGGCAATGGCCGTTGAATTGACTCCTGCGTAGAAAGGGGTGTTGGGCAAATATCTGGTTGGGGCATGTAAGAAGGTCTGGAGAAGTGGTACATAGGCCAGTGGTCAGACGATACTCAGTGATTGTCGCATGTGCTACATGAACTCACAGTGACGGCAGAAAATGTGTTGTGAAAGGCGATGAGCCTCCTGAGCCCGATGATGAGCAGCGCAGCCGCCGCAAAGTAGATGATGTGCACGTAGCTCCACGTCACAATCAACAAGGAGCTCCGATTCTTCATTTCTATTGCAGCATCGCGGTAGTAAGTGATGAATGCGCAGCAGAGTATGAGCACAGCAGAGGTAGTCTGCATGACCACATCTGCGTCCCAGCCATCATTGCGTACCGAGTGCACCGATGAGCCGTCAAGAGGCTTGATCTTGAGTCCTGGCGCCAGTAGATTGAGGATTTGACCGAGTGAGCTAAACCCCTCGCCCAAGATGACAATGGCGAAAAGAGCCAGACGTTCACAGATGTGCGTGTGACGAAGGGAGCTGAATTGACATTGCCATTCTGCTAGGAAGATGAGGATCATCTCGATGATAGTCGCAAAAGCCCAGACTATAAAGCGGTCGGGCTTGTAGTGATCTTCCTCCATCGACATGCGGCTAGAAAGGGCCCAGATCATGCACTGCGTATCGAGGAGGGGATTGTCAGTGTCAGTCGAAGGGTTTCGATCGGTCACCGTTCAATAGATACGTACCGCTACAGCGTTGGAGGCAAAGCCAACAAGTGGTCCCACGCTTCTCCTCACCGTCCTCGTGACGGAGGTTCCTCCGGGACTTTGCCCAGTCCCACCAGTCGCCCACCACTCATGCCGGATTGCGTCGACAGTGATGATACCATAATCCAGCGCCAAGGAAAAGCGATTCAATGCGTAAATCTTGGAGAATGACCGGAAGTCTCCTCGTGCAAATTGCCCAGCTGCTGTCGTAAAGGCGACATATACCCCGATCTGGAAGAGGCGAGTGAGTATTTGCGAGCAGTATACGAACTTGCTCTTCCTCATACCGAGGCGTGTTCGGAAACGGACGTCGAAGAGGCAGTGGGTGTACCAGGTCCTGGGAGGGTCAACAAAAGCGCGGCTGTCAGCCACACGATGAGTGTCCGAGGGAGGTCACTGGTTTGCAACTCACCACCACAACAAGACAAAGTAGCCCAGAAAGCCGCGCACCTCGGCCATTGTTGAAATGTCAACTGCGCCCGTGTACACTGCCAAATTTGCCACAAAGAGCAAGTCGAAGAAGAGGTCTTCGAAGTTGGGCTGTCTTGTGAGATCCTCTGATTCGAAAGTTGCGATGGCGCTGTGTGGATAGGGTCCGACACTCGAAGGCGAGAAGTGAGAGATGCACAGAGGTCTCTGTGGCGGTGGACCACATTGCAGTGGACTGCGGTGCACCGGTGGGGTGCCTCCTAGGAATGATTGTTGTGGTGGCTGGCCAAGAGGGGAGCGCGCCATCCCGGTTCTGTGCGCTTGAATGGGCTGTTGACGGGAGATGCCGTACACCTGCGGGTAGTAGGCTTGAGCAGGCCGGCGATGCATATTGCGACGAGAACCTTGAGGGCTGCGTGCATTCGCAGGACACCCTGGGGAGTGCCCAGGCGAAGCATGCCGAGACAAATCAGCATGTATTTCAGGAGGGGCTGATCTGCCGGGGCGCTGCTCACGCGCCGGAGTCTGCGGCTCAGGGAGCGTCGGGGAGCTAAGAGTGCTGCTGTACGGAGGGACAGCTTCGTTGGTCCCATGCGGCATGTCGACCTCTACGAAAGAAACGGTCAAGCCCTGACGTCCTGCTCCGGCGGCGCGGGAGGAAGGGTTGCGGCCCAGGATTGACCTTTGCTGCGACGATGCGATGCCGGCACGCGCTTGCGGTTGTTGAGCAGCAGGAAGCGAGTTGCTGTTTTCGCCGCTACTCGAGCGTCCTTCCTCTTCTTCTAGGTCCGAGGAGGGTGCAGCAGGAGATAGTTGCTGTTGTCCTGGAACTACAAGATGGTCTCCGGGAAGGTGAGCGGCAGTGACAGGTGTGGCTACCGAGTACACCGAGGAGGTCAGCACGCTCCTGCGGGGCGCGACGTGCCGCATAGATTGATGTGGGAGGCGGCCTCCCGAGGAAGAGCAGGAGTGTGGGCAGAGGAAGAGTAGTGAGAGGGAAAGGGGAAAGGTCGGCAAGGCTCCAATCGAGAGGGGGCGGATGTCTCGTCCTTCAAGCTGTCTTATATCAGATGTAAGCGCGACTTGCTCCGGGGCCTCGCAGCAAAGCAGCCTAAAGCAACCAGGTGCGGTCTTTGCGGCATTGCTCACGCTCCAGACCGGGGAGTCTGCTAAATTGCTGTTTGATTTTACATTGTGGTCTGCGTGTGCTGACCCAGAGAGCGATCGACTAAAGAAAGAAAGTGGGTAATCGAGGAGAAGACGAGGCAACACAACAATTACATGATGAAGCATCTGGAAGATGGATGTATCAGAGAGGGCAGCTTCAGATACCTCTAGGCCCTCTGAGCCAGCTGTGAACCCATTCTACGCGAAATGACATAGGCAAGTGGTTCCGCTAGGAGCTCTCAAGTCTGCACAGGCCGGTAGAAGACCGTCGTTACGTACTTGCGCTTGTATCTGGTGGTGGTGCCGACAGCAAGAACGCCTCCCTTGATTGCCGATGCCGTCAAATGATTGAGGACGACATGATTAGGGGCTGGTAAGATCGAGTTGTCATCGACGAGACCACCAGCAGGTACCAGAGCAGGGTTCGCTGGTGAGGAGTTGAGGATGACCTTCTCCAGCTGACGTGGAAGGGACGGCGGCGGTGGGATGGATGGAGCATCGTCGTCGTCGTCTGGATGCTGCTGCACTCGATGCTGATCGGGATCGAGACCCTGGGCTTCGAGACGCTCGCGATACTCTTCGTCCTCTTCCTGTGCCCTCAGTACCACCTCAGGCACTGCCTGGACCCACGTCTCGGCCGCCCTCAGCGCTTCATCGTCGACTCCGAAGACCTCTTCCAATTGCCCATTGCGGAGCAATTCTGCTCTTCTGGCCTCCTCCCTGAGATCTAAGACTGCTTTCCTCCGCGCCTCTCGTTGCAGCTCGCCCTGAGCAGAGCTGTCATCTTCTTCTGGCGTGGAGACCTTGGCACCACCGTGCGCCAACTGGTCATCCTTTGGGCCTTCATCAGAATCGCCTCGCTTTTCAGGTGCGCGCTCTGCAGAAGGATGTCGCCGCTTACCAGCACGCTCTGCCTCTTTAACACGCTCGATTCCCCGTTCCGTTCGACGCTGGCTCTCCCTCGTGGTGCCGTCCAGAAGATCCTCGCCCGGTGCAGACAGAGGCCCAGGATGGGCAGGTCCAACATTTGGGATCTCGAGGTAATTGACTAGGTTGCCGTCACCGTCCGTCGCAGTAGGAAGCTCTCTTGAGACCCTCCATCTATCGTCAACAATGAACTTCATCCTGTGCGTGCCTGGCGGCAGGTGCAACACGACCGTGTGCTCTTCCTTTGCACCGCTGGCTCTACCTCTAGACCCACTGGACGAAGCTCCGCCTGCAGACGTTCTCTTGAGTAGAATCTTGGAGCGCCATTCGTTAGCAAATGTACCTGTGACGAAGACCTCCTTGCCTCCACCACGCCAGTTCAGAACGATAGGCATGAGCGAAAGCGGGCCTTGTGCATTACGCCAATAGTAGGGAGTCAGATGAGCCGGAGGTCGTACCTGATTCTTGGAAGGTTGGGGAGTAGCTGACTCGCTGGACGCCGGCTGCCCACTCGATGCGGCAGTTGGTGTACCAGCTTTACCAGATTGTGGAGGAGTGGCATACTGCTCGACAGGAGATGTTCCGCCCGCCTGCGGGCGAGGATTTGACAGAGTGGGCGTCATTGCAGAAGGTGGAGCAGACGTGAGACCGGGCGGGATCGGCATGACCGGCGTCGTAGTTCCGCTGGCTATCCCGGTCTCAAGATGGACCTTGCGCATCAACTCATGTTGCTGCTGTTGATCGCTGCTTTCAGATCTGTCTAGGCGAGCCGGCGTGAGAGCCTTTGCGGCGTGGGACTTTTGCGTTGGCGTAGGAGTCCTGGATAACGACGTGGATCCTTGGGTAGAAGCTTCGGCATCACCTGCTAGCGATTCGCTGACGCTCTCAGCCGGGAGGAAAGCGCGTTGAATGGCCTCGTGGGTGATTGGTTGATCCTTTGTTCCTAAATTGGAGGTTAGCGATGGCCTTCTGTTCGCATCGTCTGCGATTGGTGTCTGTGGAGAGCCCCCTCCTGCTGGGGAACTGACCTTGCTGGCATCTCCTGGCGCAATAATGACCTCTTCTGTCGTCAAGACAGCATCAGTAGCCTTGCCAGCTGTGCCCATCACGCTGCTCCAGCCGGAGGTATTGGGTGTGACGCTGCCGCTGCCACTGGCACCAGGCACAGGAGAGCCAACAGGAGAGCTTAGAGCAGTAGATGAAATGGCAGGCTCTTGATTCGAAGGGATGAGCGTCGGAATCTTGAGATAGGACGGCAGAGCAGCCGCTAGTCGGTCACCAGCAGCATCGACAGATCGAGCCTCTGAGCCCCCAGCGCCCGTGCGGTCAGACACTGATCCGGGGTCAAGATTGCCCTCTAGAGCACTGCCAAGTTGCGACGTTGAAACGGCTGTTGCGGCTGAAGACTGACCTGCGTTCGCGAAAATAGCCGCGACACCTCGACCGAACGGCCGCGTTGTTGACGGAGTCAGCTGGGGAGACGCTCCGGCTGGAGTGAGGTGGCTACTAGTCGTTCCAGAAACGGATTGCGCATCGGTTGCAATGCTTGGCGAGAGATGCGGTGAAATGATAGTCTGTGGGCCAAATGAGGAAGTCGCAAGATCCAGAGCCGGCGCAAGGGCTCTACCGCGCTCCGAAGGTTGTTGCTCAGGACTGGGAAACATGCGGGGTCAGCTACAGTCAAGGAAGCACAAGGACCTCCGTTCGTCTAACACTCACCTCCCTGGATGCTCCTTGAGTTCACTTTCCGTATCCTGCAGATCTGAGCTTTGCAGTGTGCCCTGCTTGGTTGGCCTTTTGAGGAGGTGACTGCTCAGCCCAACGCTGATGCTTGCTGATCGACCAGCCGGCCCGCCAGGCTTCGTCAAAGGAGTGTCAAATGAAGCAGTGGCTGCTCTCTCTCTGGATGCATTCGGGGTGAGGCTTTCGGCCCTTGGACCTGTTGCAGTCGAGGCAGAGTCAGCCCGTGGTCGACGCGCCTGAGCAGAGGTACTGCCAGTAGTGGTGGTGGTGGAGAGTTGCCGTTCGAGAGAGGGCCCTGCTGAATCCTCCCGAGAGAAGGGGTTGCGGGTAGGATTCTGGACCGGGGTCTGGGAGACTCCTCTTCTGATGGACCCGTGCCGGCTCCATCCCCTGCCCAACGAGCTTCCACCAGGAGTGGCAGGCTGGGAGGTCGCCCCGGCATGGGATCTCGGGCGACCTAAGGCCGTTGCATCCTTTGGCTGCTGGGCTTCATTGGAAGCGGCGTTGCCCATCTCTGAGCCGCCGAGCCGATGGGTATAGGGTGAGGATGAGAATGCCTCGTGGTCACTGTTGTGGAAAGGGAGCTAGGAAGAAGGGGTAGTGCGGTCTGGATTGTCTTCCAGTAGGGTATAAGGGCCGGGCAAGGTGGACGCCGTCAGTCAGTCGAGGTCGCTATCAGTTGGGAGGTGCGTCACTAGTGGGCGGGACCCCATTCAGGCACCGCGCGACGGACTGAGCCACGCGCGCACGGCTGCACTCTGCACCCTGACTGTCGACCCCGCATTCGCCCCCTTCCCCGCTCGCTCACTCACTCACTCCTTCACCGTGACCTGGTCCTTCCTACGATGTGCCGGGGCGGACATATCAGATCCATTGTCTGGAACAGAATGCGAAGCGTATGAAAGTACTCATCATGACCACTACCATACTCCACTTCACACACACTCTTAAGCAAGGACCGTGATCCACTTGGCCCCGCCTCCGCCGCTTGGGGCCGCATATACCCAGCCTCGCATTTCCGGGATCGAGCCCCTGAAAGCGCTGCAACCTCGTCATCTCATTTGCCACGTCTTTACAATTTCACTTCAATTCACCTAGACTACTTGACACTGCCTGGTACAAAGTCCCGTACCTGATCCCACTGCACTGTACTCACGCCTCGCACTTCATCCTACCGACTTTGTTACGAAAAGCTAACTTCGATCCCATCTCCAGTCGTGCAGGAGTCTTATACCGCACTTGCACATCGAAGGTCCCTTCGATCCTCATAGTTCATCTAGAAAGAAACAAGAAAGGTAGCAATGGCAAGTTTTCCACCAGTAGAGCCCAGCGCAGAAGCTACACCGAGGTCTTCCCTCACTCAACGGCAATTGAAATCTTCTCTGAACCCTTCAGTCGACGACTCAGCCCCTGGTCAACAAGCGAAGGCTAGCGCTTTCTCCCCAGTCTTCACGAAGCGCAAGTCCAGCATCGACTGGTCAAAGGCAGCGCCAGGCAAGGGGTCGTCTGCTGTTGGAGGGACAGGAAAAGCTCACACCGAGGATTCGAAGGCCCCTGTGCGGTCCTCTGCAGTACCCTTGAGACCTCAGGTGACGAAGAAGGAGGCTATCGCTATACGGCATGCAAAGGTGCTCGAGCAGATGCTGAGCGCTCCCTCGCAGAATTGCGCCTGTCTCATCGTCAAGAAGCAGAACAAAGGAGGCACAGGAGACGCAATTACCCGCAAGCAAGCAGTCAGTCTCAAGAAGGCGCTTCTCGACAGGAAGGCTGCTCCTCGGATCATCAGTAAAGTCAGAGCGCTCGATGGTGCGAGCTCTGTGGGATTTCTGCCTGCCACTTCTGAGAGTGCAGCTGAGCGAGCGCTCGTCTCTGTTCAGAAGGTCGACGCGCTACCTGACAACAGTGAGGCCTCCAAAGGTACTTCTGACCTATTGGTCCGGGCTCGTCGTCTGCTCGTCAAGCGCTTGTCCATCAATGCAGCCGAGGAGAAGGAGGCACAGGCCCTCTCCGCCGCAAGTCCACTCGCCTCGCCAACACCTCACGGCAAATGCCCTCTCAAAGCCGTATGCCTCGACCGTACTGATGAAGAAGCCGCTCTGATGCCTAGCCATAGCCTCGAGAAGGCGAGTTCGACCAAGGCTGACTCTACTGATGCCGGTACCAGTGACGCACTGCCAACATTTGGCATATCAGTGATCAGCCTCGCAAGCACAGCCGTCCTGGGAAGACTCGGAGAGGCATCCGGAGCTCTCCTCGAGCAGACGGCAGTTAACGACGACATCCATCCTCCTCTGGACCGCATGGCCATCTTCGTCTTCTGGTGGGGCTTCGAGGTGACGCTTCCCACCCCTACGATGCAGTACCTACAGACTGCACACAACGTCTCTGGTAGCGTGCTGAACGTCCTGTCGATGATGGTGACAGCTGGTGGTCTGTTTGAGCTGCTGCCGTACATTCGCTACATTAGTATGACGGTCGATGTGGAGTTTAGGGCGATACAGGCCGTCGATCAGGGCAATGGAGTCGTTCTTGCTGCCACGGTGAGTTGCATCTGCAGAGACGGACTGGCCAACAAACACGAGGCCTTCGCTGATGTAATTCTCACGTTATGTATGTGGTCTACAGTGGTTGATGCCGTTAGCGCTCGTTCCACGAGCATGGGACCTCTCTCTGGAGGGACAAAAAGATCTCCAGCATAACCCAGCCTCGGCGCACAAGGTCATGGAATCCTTTGCGGCCCTCTCCTCGACAGAGCGGGCGGGCGAGGCTCAGAGTCTCTCTCACTCGGAGCGCGACCCCTCCCAAGAGGCAGCGATCCAGTCTGCTCTGCACGAGAGCTTTCCGGAGGACTTGAGTCCTCAGCATGTGCCATTCCCCACGCCGAAGGAGGGAGTTGTCCTCGAGAGCTTGCTGGAGGAGGAGGACTAGCAGCCACACTGATACCGATACCCCGAGGTGCTGATTGTGATACCCTTTGACTGCATTCCTGCACCGTATGCTCTAATGTTACATATCCCTTATTCCTGTTGAACTCAGAAGATCCCCAACGGCATCATGATGTGACCACACGCTCTCTGTTCGCAAAAGCTGGGCGACTGTCTCGAGCCTTCACTTATGCCCCCGAACCTCTACCCAGCAGTACTCCTGTGCAGGCGAGCAACGCCTCTCTCTCACCCTTCTCTGCAAATCCTCCCCCCGCCCAGCGGATCTTGCCATTCTGATCCACCAGGTACGTATACCCAACGTGCTTATTCGCCATTCCCATATCCTCTCTATGCACCCTGCCATGTCCTGCACTCGGATTGTCCAGGTCCAACTTGGTCAGCAGGTAGCCCTTTTGTAGTGGTTCGGGTATTTGGGAGCGCAACGAGGAGAGGAAGAGGGAGATGAGGTAGTGCTTGAGCAGGTTGGGCTGCAGATTCACTTGCAGGAGTTGGAAGTTGGGATGGGAGGAGTAGAGGTCGAGGGTGGGGGAGAAGAAGGATTTGGTGTGTTCCTGCAAGGCATCGCAGGCGGCAAGAGCAACGGGGTTAGAGACTAGCAGACGCTGCGTACATGCACTCAACTGATGCACTCACCTCTGAGATCCTGCTGTTTAGGAGAGCAATCACGCTGACCTTTCCCGCAGTCATTTCCACAGTATCCTTCGTTGTACGATCAGCAAGGCAAGTCCCGCTGACCTGTGGAAACCACAGCGCCCTATCCTCTCGAATCATCGTAGCTGGAGCCCTCCAAGTCTTTCCGCCATGAGCCTTGAGGGAGTGAAAGTCGTGGAAGTAACCCTTTGTGGCCGACTTGACGATGTTCTCACGCTCCTTCTGTCTGCCGCCCGAGAGATAGTCCTGCGCTCGCTCTTTGCTGCTGCGTTTGGGCAAGGCGGCAGCACTGGCAGCCGAGAGGGGTTTGATGGGGACGCCCAAGGGGCGAGAGAGCCATGGGAGAGGAAGCTTGTCCTGCTCTGAAGCTACTGACGACTGAGACAGAGGCTTCTTCTGCGGCGGAGGAGGGGCGCCAGATGCTTGCGGCGGACGCTGCTGTGCCGGGGGAGGTGTAGGACGAGGAGCTGGGGGCGGAGGTGTAGGCCTGGCAGAGGATTGGCCAGGACCCTTGGAAGAGGACGAGGTCGAGGAGGCGTAGTGCCGAGTTGCGGTCCAGTCCAGCGTTGTCCTGCTGCTGCTTGCCGTAGCTTGCAGACTGCGGCTCTGAGCCAGCGACGTTCTCAGTAGACTTGCCATGGCTGTACTCGAGAGGCGAGGTGATTGGCTGCCGAGGACAATATTGGACTTTCACCTCCCTCTTTGTTCACTTCTTCTCGCTGCCTGGCCTCTTCTTCCGCTCCGTCGCCCGTCGCGCTTCCTTTCCGTCTGAGGGTGGTCCGCTAGACTACTCACACCCTTCCAGCTTCCATACCATCAACCACCTTGCCTTCCTTCTCGTATTGTCGTCATCATGGCTTCTCGTTACGGAGGTCGCTTCCTGGCTGCCAATGCCCCAAATCCAGCAAAGGAGCCCGTGCCGTGAGTATTCGAACGTAAGCCAGGTCACTGAGCGCCGTAAAGGGACTGCACCTCACACCACCCCCACTCTCTTCCCTCTCTCTAGCGTGTACGAACGGCAATGGGTGCTGCCACACCCTACAGCCCGCATTAAGGTGCTCAAGTGGGTCAAGGCTACCAACCGTCAACCACGATCTTTCCCAGAGGAAGAAGATGCTCGGTACATCTACGCTTCCTCATCCTCACAGCAACAGGCTACCTCTTCCTCCTCCACCGGTCAAGTGGACCTAAAAGTCCCAGCCCCTGCTGCCGCGTCTACTTCTGAGCCAACTCTACTTGGCACTACAGGGGAAGATGTGGTGATGGATGACGCGAGCTTGAAAGCAGAAGGCACCGCTGAAAGCGTGCTGAATGCTGCAGAGGGAACCCAAGGGCAGCATCTCTTTGACGAGACACAAGTCGAGCCTCTTGTACCCGCTGCTGCTACCACAGACGACCCAGACGCTACCCTACCCGGTGCGGAAGACATCTCTATGACGCCTGCCATGGCTGTCAAGATTGGCGAGGCGGCAGCAGAGGCTGATCAAGCGGAGGACGAGGAAGCTGGAGAGGCAGAGGACGTGCAGGAGGAAGACGAGGATGAGGAAGAGGTGGCAGATATACCCCAAAAGCACCAGACGATTCGTATCGGTGGACCTCTGCCGGAGGATAAGAAGCTGCCGCCCGCGAAGGCAGTCACACCAGTAGCCCCTGAAGCAGCTGAAGACGCGTCGGGAGAGGCAGCGCCAGTCGTGCCTACACCTCAGGTCGACTCAGAGCTGCATCCACCCCTCGATGGAGTGCCCCCTTCAGACCCGCTAGCCGAGGAGCAAGCACGGCAAGAGACATCAGCTCCTACCGCTGAGCCCACATCAGATGCCATCGAGGCTGATCCGGCCTCGGGGGTGAACACGGGTGACCCGACTGGGGAAGCGGACAACATTGGCGGGGTGGAAGTGGTGTCAAGGGATGACCCGGAGGTGAAGGGGCTAGGGGAGGACGTGGCAGCCATCGTTCATGCGCAGCCCGATGGAGTGGAGCAGGTCAAGGTCGTCGAGGACTGAGGAAGGAGACGCATTTAGAGCGACGTGCATCGTACGGGCGGAGGCTTATCGCGGGTCACTTCGGGGACAGATGTACAATATTGCGGGAGAGGGAAAGGCACGGTCGACCGTCGCCCCCCTCGAGCGCATCAAGACTAATATACAGATTGCAACAACAAGGGTAAGTGGACACTCTCAAGCTCTCCACTAGTGATTATGCGAGCAGGTGGGTGGGAGAGAGGCCGTTGTCAGTGCCCGCATACTGTATGTCTGCGCGCTCTGCCACAGGATTCTACTCACACTGATAAAGGGAGCATCTGTCCTGAAGCGCTGAGTGACGGTACTCTTCTCCAGAGGGATCGTGTGTCCCATGCGGAAGGAAAGAAGACCGGCGTGGGCGATCATGATGCCATTGTCGATGCAGAACCTGCCAAGGGTCACAAGGAAGGTTTCGTCAATGTCAGCGCCGCCGGTCAGTCTCTGCGTACCTGTGTACCGCGTAAGCTCACCTCTCATCTGTAGCGAAGACTTTGCCTCCTCGTTCTTCAGCCATAACACCCATCATCTTCTGCAACCTATTGTTTGCTCCCACACCTCCCACGATGAGCACCTCCTTGGATCCAATGTGAGCCATTGCCCTCTCTGTAATCTCAACGAGCATAGAGAAGACGTGTTCTTGCAGGGAGAAGCACAAGTCCGCAGGTGTGATCTCATCAACTTGTGCCGCCGTGCGGGCAAGTGGATCATTAGGGTTCTCCCCCTCCTCGTCCTCTTCCTCGACTTCAGTCCCGTCTTGTCCTAGAGGTCGACCGACGTGCCTACCATCGCCAGACCAGGTTTCGCCATTGGCCATCTTGCCCCAATCCTCTGTACTACCACTAGCATCTCCCGTTCCGAAAGCCGGAATCTTGCTACCCGGATTGGGCTTGAACCGCTTGTCCCTCGTGTACGCCTCTACAGAAGCCAGAATACCACCCAGGGCTACGTCCATTCCCTTTGTAGCGTACGGCAGTGGGAGGAGGTACTTGCCCTTCTTGGCCTCTCGCTCGATGTTATATCCCGGTGAAGGGTCATTACTCAGCCCGATGACTCGGGCAAAGCGGTCCAGACAATTCCCTACGGCGATGTCCAGCGTCTCGCCAAAGATGCGATAGCGCTGCGCCGAATATGCAATAACCTGAGTATTGCCTCCCGAGACGTACAGCACTACGGGGTTCTGCGCGCCGGTGATGGTGCGACCCATTTCAATGTGGCCGACACAATGATTCACGGGCACGAGTGGAACATTGTACTGCATGCTCAGGGTGCGAGCTACAAGTGCCACGCTCGCAAGTGGAGCGCCCATCCCAGGACCTTTAGTGAAACAGATGCAGTCGCACTCCTCCAGTGTCTTCCCACTCCTCCTCACTGCCTCGCCCACTACCTGCAGGATCCACTGTCGGTGATGTCTTGATGTGTCTCCTGGCTGGAAACCATGCCCGGGAGGAGTGACATAGGTGTGCCGGACATTGGACAGTATGGAGACGGAGCCGTCTGGTGCGTGCGAGGTGATGCCGCAACCGAGCTTGTTGGCCGAGCCTTCCAGACCGAGGGCATATAGGGTGCGTGGTGGAGGAGGTAGAGGAGAGACTACCTGCCTACGGCTTGCAGAAGGCATGGTGAGATCCTGTAGATGAGGGGCGGAAGGTATGGCAGTAATGCGTCGCTGGTAGACTAATGTTCTACCTGAGGAAATGGAGTGAGTGGCCTCGGCGCCTTTCCGGCTGCAGCAGCGTCGATTGAAATTTATGGCGGAGCAGATGTTCCTACTCCTCACCACCATTATTCTACTCGTGAGGCTGGAGCACCTATAAGCCTCACCTGCCCATCATCATCACCATCATGACGGAAAGCGCTGCCTCAGGTTCATCCTCCGCAGTTCTTTCTCCCAACGAGCAGCTCCTCGCAGCCGCCTCCGCCGGCGATCTCCTGACGATCAAATCCCTTCTGACCACCCCTCCCTCCGACTCCGATCCCTCCTCTTCTTCCACTACCCCCTCCGCACTTGCTCAACCATGGTATGAATCACCAATTTGCCTCGGATGGTCAGCCCTCCATTTTGCAGCAGAACGAGGTCACACACACGTCATCAAGTATCTGCTGAGGAATGGCGCAATCTGGAATGCAGTGGATATTCATGGTGTGACGGCTGGGGAGGTGGCTTGGAGTGGGAACTGGGAAGGAGCTTATAGGGCCTTGTTGGATGGTGAGTGTAACGGAATCTGCATTGAGCTGATGTTTTAGTGAGTATGACTGACAGGCTGCATCGATTGCTCCTTCCTCAGAGGGAGTACGGCAGACACTGCTCCTGAATGCCCTAGCAGAACGAGCTGAGGAGCAGGCCAGTCAATCGGGAGAAGGCGAGGAAGGTGAAGAAGCCGAGGCGGCGGGAAGCGATGTCAAGGAAGCATCTGGCGACGCTGGCGGCTCCGTCGCTCACAGCGGCGAAGATTCCGATACGGTCATGACTCTGACCGCTCCTGCAAATGAGCTCGCCAATTCCAACCTCGCCTTTCTCTCCTCGCCCCTCCGCTTCTTCACCGACGAAAAGGGTAAAGAGCGCTGTCTAGACCAGGACGACAACATGGTCATGGCAGGCTGGGAGACCAACATCATGCGACGCTCGGCCGATGCGCTGTGTAAAGACTTCCCACCCCGGTACGAGGTGCACGATGAAGACGGCGAGCGCAGGACCGAGGGGTTCCGCGTCCTCAACATCGGCTACGGTCTGGGAATCGTCGATGACTTTTTCCAGGAGTACAAGCCTGCCCGGCATGTCATCGTCGAGCCTCACCCAGACGCAATCAAGTACTTCAAGTCGAAAGCCATCTCCAAGGCAGAAGGGGTGGAGCTGATACCCAAGCGCTGGGAGGATGCGCTGCTCGACCCGGAGCTGGGCGAGTTTGATGTAGTGTATGCCGACCCCTTTGCGCAGGACTACCGCGATCTAAAGAAGCTCTTCGACCTGTTGCCTAATGTACTCAATGGACGCAAGGCTAGATTCAGCTTCTTCCACGGCTTGGCCGGGACAAATCGCTTCTTGTGAGTAGCAGGCTTGGTCGAGCTGTTCGGTCCCTCAGCTTCTGACTTATATCCACGCCCCTTTTTCCATCTCCAGCTACGACGTCTATACTCGCCTCTCCGAGCTGGACCTGCGGGATGTGGGCATGGAGACCGAATGGGAGACGGTACCCGTCAAGATGGAAGACAAAGAGGAAGTCTGGAGGGGTGTGAGAAGGGAGTATTGGAAGCTGGACCAGTACCGGCTCCCCATTTGTCAGATGTCCATCTTCTAGGCTGCTTATGAGGGGAAGTCTGCTCGTGAAGAATGGCATTGGCGAGTGCGATCATGACCAATATGCGTGCGGATACTGTCTCCGTCTGAAGCTAGAAGATCTCCTGTGAGAAGTGAATGGTGGACAGGTTTGTCAGAGATCGACACTCCCCTTATTCGCCGAGTACTACCGTCACTCACGTCCAGCGTCAATTGCCTGGCAATATCTGTGGCTGCCACTTGATCTGTGAACTCTTGGAACGAGAGCTTGCCGTCACTGGTGTGAGCACGAACAGGGGAAGGTGAAATTCCGTCAGCTCTTCATCGTTCAGCGGCTGCTCTCGACTAGCGTCTACTCTGCTCACCCATCCTTGTCTGCCTCCATAATCGTCTTGTCAACAATCTGCTGCAATTGCTGATCTTTGAGATTGTTCCCCACCATCATCTTCAACACCAAGAAGAGCTCTCCATTACTGATCAATCCGTCCCGATCCATATCATACACCTTAAATGCAAACTTGAGCTTCTCCTCTCTTGACCCTTGAGAAGAAAAGGCAGAGAGACCAGCAACAAATTCTTGGAAATCAACAGTTCCGCCTCCATCGTCGTCAAAGATGGCGATCATGCGGAGGGCGAGGGGGTTGTTGGCGATGGCGGGGATTTGTAGAAATTCGTCTTTGTCAATGGAGCCAGAACCGTCCTTGTCTAGCTTCATGAACCTGCGCTTGAGTCTTGTGATCTCAGCCTTGGAGACTGTGGACGAAAGCATGGGTGGAGCGGTGGGCAGGTGAGTGGAGGGAGACATGGGACCACGACGATGCTGAAGCTTCGCGGAAGCGAGCAGTCTGCTGGCCTGGACACTTACAATTTGAGTTCTCCTCAATGTCTTTCAACAATTGACTTCCTTGTTGTCCCATCTTGAGTAAGTAGCCTGGGGCTGCTGGGGACGAGGGTGCAGAGATAGGATTGGGGTTTGGCCTGGCTTATGGCGAAGAGCTCTCGTCGCGGAGGGTGAAACTTGAGGGCAGGGATGCTTCGAGCGGTGTCGTCTTCGTGCGTTTCGTGTCGCAGTCGTAACGTGTACAGCGACTGCTCTGCTCTATGCTTGAGTATATGCTACAACGTGCTTGCTAGTGACAGGAAGGATGAGTCGATGATGACAGACAAGGAGGTGTAAGCGAGGGGGGTTCGACCCAAAGTGTTGCTTCCCATGGCCATGGCGGGGAATTGTGAGCCACGCCTCTGGGCCCCGCTTCCGCGCGTCGCTGGCCGCCACGCTCAGAGGCAGCAGCCACGCTCTCTCCGCTTCCAGCCTGGAGGCTCTGGTGAGCGGGGGACGAGCGAGCCAGGCTTCCACCAAGCCTTCCAGCAAGCAATACAAGCATAGCAACGTCGCCTGGCCTACCATCACCACCTCTATCTACCTCTGCTGCTGAGCCAACCCATCTACAACCTCGGCGACCATGGCAGACACCATCAAGGAGTTCATCGAGATTCCGCAGAGCTTCGTCAAGGAGGGAACTCAGTTCATGACTAGGTGTACAAAGCCATCACAAAAGGGTGAGTATCGAAGAGGGGAGAGAGAGAGGCATGAGGCAAGACCATTGGTATGGTCGTTGTGGCGACTTGCAGAGAGAGGCAGAGAGATATCAGAGACGAGCCCAGAAGAGCTACGTGCGAGACTGACCACCTTCCCCCTCTGTCGTACTTCTCCTCTCACGCTCTGGTAGAGTTCATTCAGATCTGCAGGATGGTGGGCATGGGCTTCGCAGTGATGGGTTTCATCGGCTACTTTGTCAAGTTGATTCACATTCCGATTAACAACATCGTGAGTCATCTGTCTGTCTCCTTGAGACCTCTGCCCCATACACCGGCGAGCGAGAGCTCGCTATTCATCCAGATCGTAAAGCTCACATCCTCTTCTACCCCTCTTCTATCCAACAGCTCGTCGGTGGAGCATAGAACATTTTGTCACTCATACGTATTCAATGCATATGCGGCGTATATCCCTACTGGTACTCGGAGTGACCAAGTCGAATGTCTGATGTTTGAAAATGTGGGCTGTTGGTATAGTATGGCTGAAGTACAGTGAAATTCTGAACCTGGGAACTACGAAGAGAGGGACCTCTGACTATGCAGAGCGAAGCAAGCAATCAGCTCCATCGTCTGCTCGTCTCTTTCTGCTGCCCTTCTTGACGCAAGAATTGCGAAGGACGCGAGTCTCGTACTGAGAGGGGAGAGAAGCAGGGGATCTGGTGAGACAGCCAGTCGCAGCTCCCTCGCAGGTACCAACCTATCCTCACCATGAGCTTCAATTCGTTGCATGGCTTGGAGATCCAGGCACTCTCGAGAGCATCTGCGATCGTACATCGCTTCTCGGGTTGCGGCTGGAGAAGAGACTCGATGAGCGCTTGACCTGCGACAGGGTCGATAGAGGGAGTAAGACAAGCGGACTTCAGCTAACAACTCCCTTAGATCACAATCGCTCTCCTCCCACATCACTTCTCTCAACAGTAGCTCACATACCTTCCAGAGATGGTCGGAACTCCTCAGGGTAGTCACGCCAGTGGAGCCCTTCGAAGATGCGACGGACCAGGTCCCTTTTCGCAATTTTGGCAAGGTCTTCCTCTTCAGCATTGCCGCCTTCGTCCGGTGGCTTTTCTTCGATCCACCAGTTCTTCGCCTCAAGTTCCTCGCGAGTGGTTACGCCTTCAGTGAGCAGGTGCTCTTGGACATAGAAAGTAAAGTCTGCGCCGGGGCTTGCGCCAGATTGGTCGAATGGGTGAAGACCGAGGAGCACTAGAGCGAGTGTGCAGCCCAATGCCCACGAGTCGTCTAGGTAGGGATTGTATCCGGTCCGCAACACCGCGCTCATGTGAAATTCAGGAGGCTGGTATGCCACTGTGCCGCTCTGAGTGAAAGCGCGAGGCGGCAAAGCGATCGCCCTGCCATCTAAGCCCACCTTTGGCGTGGTGTCTTCTTCCCAAGACAGACCAAAATCAGCCAGCTGAACATGGGGAAAGCGAGTACCGGCAGAGAGGAGGAGCACATTCTCCGGCTTGACATCACGGTGGGCGATGTTCCTTTCATGTAAGAAAGAGAGGGCCAAGAGAAGCTGATAGGCAATGAAGATTGCCTCGCCTTCAGTGGCTCGTCCTTGCTTGAGTGTCCAATTGAAGAGGTCGCTCCCTGTGACGATTTCGATGAAGAGGTAAAGCCACGAGTCCTCCTGTATCCACTCGATGACAGAGTTGATATTGGGATGACGAAGCTTCGAGAGAATGATCAGCTCCCGCTCCATGTTGATAAAGTCCTGCCGCTCGGTCTTACGCATACATTGTCTCTTGCAGGCAATCTGCTTCTTCTGCTTTCCATCGCAGGCAAGGTAAACCTGAGAGAACGATCCAGTGCCGAGGATGCGACTCATGATGGTGTAGCGGTGACCGATTCTGCGAGCATTCGCACCTTCTTCCTTGCCATCCTTGGTCTCTGAAGGGGGAGGGTCACCTTGAAGATGTCTGTATGCGAAGGCCTGACAGCGAGGGATCTCGATGATGTCCCCTTTCCCAAGTAGTAGCTTTGCTTGGCTGAGCTTGCGGCCATTCCAAAGGAGACCATTGGACGATAGGTCCTCACAAGATACGAACATGTGTCCAGAGTCTGTTGTGTGGGCAAGCAGCCTCAAATGACGCCCCGAAGCATACTTTGAGCTGACCACGTAGTCGCAATCCTTTGCTCGCCCCACTATGAAAGGACGATCGAGCTGTAGAGCGAGGATTTGCTTGACGCCATTCCTTGTCGTCTCTAGCCGAGCTACTTCTTTCTCGCCCCAGCTCAGGTTGCTTCTGCTGCAAATGACGATATTCTCCTTAGTCAGAGGGTGTACGAAGCGCTTTGGCAGCCTGGGGTCGGGCTTGTCGTTAGGTGGTGAAGAGTGTCCGTTGCCCTGTGAAGCTGAGATCGCTACCGGTCCGTCTGCTACTTGCGCTGAAGTAGATGAGCGCTTCATCTCCGGAGGACACACCTCTTACACTCGAAGCGGTGAACGATGCAGTGAGCATATAACGCCATTGACATCCTTCCCAAGTAGACTTACGTCCGTTGTGCCTAGTCTCAGGCCACCACCACCAATCTCGCGCCGGCGGAAAGAGACGAGCGCCACGCTTTTGGCGGTTGAGCACAGACGTCCTTTCAGGCTTTCAGATCTTCTCGCACTCCTTCCCCGCCTCCACTACTGTCCCTTCACATTCAACCTGCGTCACTACTCCCTCCTGGAGAGCCCAACATGGTCCCACGGTCTATTCTTGCCCGTAGACTACGGTGGACTGGTGCCATCAAGTCCGCCACACAGTCTGCGCTGCCCCTCTTACCTGCTACCGCACGCTTCGCCGCCAGAGCCTTCATAACCACTTCCGTGCCACGACTTGCCACACCGGTACAGAGGGCAACGACAATACAGGCTCCTCTCCCTTCGCTGTCCTCCTCAGTTGCTAGACTATTGCCTAAGAGCATATCAGATGATCAACTTCCGATCCCTCGTCAGCTCTGCGAGGACATCATCGGAAAAGTTCTGGAGCAAGTCAGATCTGCTGCTGACGCCAAGACGGTAGAGGAGGCAAAGGCGGGTTGGGCAACAGTAGACGAGCGAATCAGGCAAAGTGAGTCAGGAGAAGGCTATAGGAATGCGAATTTGGGCCTTGTGCGTGGCACACTGAGCTCATTCTTGTTCTTTCTCCGCACGCCATTCAGGTCTAGCATCTGAGCAACATCCTGCTACTTCTCTGACGGAGCTCACGACTCTCTTGGTAACATCAAGTGGAGACCCTCGCCGGCACCCGGTCGCCTTCAACATGTACCGCATAGCATTTGGATCAGATCCGGCCCTACTGCCTGCCCTCGAGCTCGACTCCGCCAACCTCTCTTCCCCAGCCCCGTCAGCTTCAGCGTCTGGCGAGAATTCCCCCACTTCGCAGTGGGGAGACTGGCAATCGTCATACCACTGGGCCAATATTGTGCTACAGGGTCGGGCACCTCCCCCTCCTGGCACTTATCTGCTGGTACCGGGAGAGCAAAGGGCAGCTCAAGCCTCTCAGTCTTCTGCTGCCTATCGTGTCTTCGCTCATCTCGCAAGCCGAGGCCACCCCCAAGGCATCTTCGGCATCGGCAGACATCTCCTCAGTACCCTCGAGCGAGGCAACGACCCCACTACGCTGGGAGCAATGCCATCTTCAGCAGTGTCGCAGCCCAGGACGAGACAGGAGACACTACAAGAAGTGGAGAAGATGTACCGACTGGCTGGGGAGGCAGGAGTGGAGGACGCATGGTTCGAGCTTGCTGCACTCTACGCCGAAGGCAAGTGGGTGAGGAAGGACGACGAAAGGGCCCGGTCACTACTGCGTGAGGGCGTGAACAGGGGCTCGTCGCGTGCCTGTAGAGCTTTGGCTCATCTCATGACCAAAGAGGTTCAGGCGCCTCCTGCGCCCTCCTCTCTGACTCTGGGCGGTGGTCAGCCAACCGGTCTGGGTGCAGAGAGGAGAGAGACCCTACTCACTGAGTCTCTACGTCTGCTGGAGAGAGGCGCGGAGCTAGGGTCTCCTGATTGTGCCTTCTCCGCAGGAATGCGCTACCTTCTCCAGCCTCCAGCGCCAGAGGAGCAAGGCACTGAGCCTCTCAACGCAAGCCTGGACATGTCATTGGATCCATCGAGCTCATCGAGGAGTCCGCCAGTGGACGCAGCCGTACGAGCAAGACAGGAGCACATCAAGAAGTGGGCCGTCGAGCCAAGCAATGACATGGCTGCCAAGTGGTTCGGCATCGCCGCAGAGGGTGGCAATGCCCTGGCGATGATGAATCTGGCCCGCATGTACCTGGAGGATCGGGTCGTGCCTGCAGCGGCGGGTACCGAAACGGCCTCGTCGCCGCGTCAGGCGCAACTAGCTCATGCATCGGACCTCTACGCAAAGATACTAGCAAAGGCAATGGGCCCTGAAGGTCAGCGCAGTAAGGCCTTGGCAGAGGTACAAGCTAAGATGGCGGGAGCCAAAGGACCGGGCAGCGGGGTTACTGGACAAGGGTTAGATGACCTCGGCGCGCGGGCGCAGGAAGGTCTCAGACTCGTCACCGAGGAGATGTCGATGCTGAGTCGAGGAGGGTGAGGGGTAAGGAGGGTACAGGTGCTCCTCCACTCTTCCCTGCTTGTCATCGTTGCCAGAGTAGCTGCATGCTGGCCATATATAGATTGGTTGTCCCGCCGTTGCTGGCCTCCATCAGTCCGGCGAATTGGCTGATTGCCGGGGCTGGTGTGCGAACGTGCTTAGATCCACTCGGTTCTAATCACGGGGCCAAGGGCACTGAATAGAAAATCTTACCTCGGTCCCCGAATGTGCGAGAGCGCGGCGGATGTGGACCTCTGCTCTAGTGCCTCGGCCCTGCGCGGAGGTAACCGGGGCAGTCCATCCGTCGCCGCGCCCAGCTTACGCTCGAAAGAAAGGCGTGATTAGAAGGGCTTGGCCAAGTGCGATCACACTATCCTCCCCCACCATCACCTCACTCTTGTCCATTCCATACCTCCACCGCTTGAATCAATCAAACGTCCTGCCATCCGAAGCCTCAACGGCGGAGAACAGGCCGGACCACTTGCTTGGTTTCCGCAAACCAAGCAGCGGCGCATATCCGAATCTGACTTCTGAGTGTTGCTGAGTGCAGGGCGTAGATCTTGCACCCAGGTATCGCAATTCTTCCTCGGTCTCTCGTTCTTTCTACCCCTAAGCCGCGCCCTCTTTCATCATCGCTGCACTCCATCGGAACGTCTTGTAGACGACCTCAGTTCTTCTCGTTCGTCCAACATGCCGCTTAACGACGACTTCCTCTTCAATTTGAGGCAATTCTCGAACAGCGAGAGCGGCAGCAACCGAGAAGCTGGCGGCTCCTTGGGAGAAGGTACCGCTGCTGCTGGTACTGCTCCTCAGGACTCTTCCTCCATCCTTGCCGGCTTGAACGCCTTCACTCCCGAAGACCGTGATGGTGAAGGCGCTACGAGCAAAGACTTTGCTGAACAACTCGAACTGTGGACCAACGCCAACTTCTCCTTCGATGGACCTACCGGTCATGCTCTGCTCCTCGACGACGAAAAGGATGCCGAGGCCAAGAGAGAGGAGAATGAGCGCCAGGAGAAGGAGCGTGAGAGGGAGAGCAACAACACCAACCGCGCGGATGTCAGGGCCGGTAAGACTCGAGAGGGCTTGAGGGCATCCACTGGTCGCAACGACGACGGCAACGCTGCTTCCAGTGCTGCGTCTGCTCATGAAGCAGCAATGCTCCGTGAGCACAAGATTGCCACTGATAAGCTCCAGTACTTTGCGCCTCCTTCTGCTGCCGCTGGAGAAGGTCGACGACCTGGATATCCCGCTGCCACCAATAGTCAGCGAGACACCAGGCTCCGAAGGCACGCCGAGAACGAGATGCCCAACGGCACTTCGGAGCAGCCACTGGAGCATTCCCAGCAGCCTGTCATGACCGGCGAGAATGCTTTCTCCCAGTTCAATCTGCCTCCACAAAATGCCTCTGGCTCTTCTCAACAGCAGGTCAACGGAAGTGCCCCTCTCGCTGCAATCCCTGGCTTGCCCTTCGGCGTCTCCCCAGAGTTGATGCAGGCAATTGCTTTCCAGCAGATTTTGTCTGGAACTAACCCCTACAACAATCCTCTCAACCTGCTCGCCCATGCTCAGAATGGCTACGCTGGGGCAGGCTACCCTGCTGCCAACGGCGCATTTGCATCTGGGTTCGAGAGTCACGGCGGACCCACTGCCCCCCAGACCTTTGGTGCGCCAGCTTGGACTCAGCAGGCAGCTACCACCGAGGACAAAGATCAGGCGCACAGCAACGATGGGTCTGGTTCATCGACCCGAGCCTCGTCTGCCAACCTGCCCTCGTCGAAGAAGCGTCGAATCTCGACCAAGGAGGAGAGGGAGAGAGAAAAGGCCGAAGAGGAGGAGGAGACGGCTCGAGACATTCGAGACGAGATTCCGCCTCTCAAGCTGATCGACACTGGCAACCCTGAAGCCGATGCCGAGGCCAATCGAGCTGCCATCGAAGAGGACAAGCGCCGACGAAACACCGCTGCATCTGCCCGGTTCCGCGTCAAGAAGAAACAAAGAGAGCAAGCCCTTGAGCACAGTGCAAAGATTTTGGAGGACAAGGTCAAGGCCCTGGAGGATGAGAACGCTCGTCTCAGCACCGAGAACGGCTGGCTCAAGAGCCTCATCACCATTAGGCCCGGCACCATGACGCCTACCATTCAGCACCCATTCCCTACTACAATGCCCGGCAGCAACGCTCAGCCCGGGAGGGATACTGGTCTCCACCCTCGAGGCGTGGGAACTCCTCTTCACCAGCAACAGCAAAGCGCTTCAGGTGGAGAGCGATCCCGCGAAGGATGAGGGATGCTCTTTCAACTTTCGAGCACCTGAGCTTCAAAGATAGAGCGCGCTCTCAGCTACAGCCCTGAGCGCCTCGACATCTCTTCCTTCTCCCTCTTCTCATATGGATGTCCCTCTGATCCATCCCTTGTAGTATCTGCCCAAAAACGAATGGTCCATACCCTCTCTTCTATTCGGTTTCCCCCCCTTGTTGTAGTCTCTATGCTCTCCAGTCACAGGTCGCGAAAGGCACAGGCGCGAAGCTTCGTCGACTACTGCCGTCAGAGCAGGCCGTCTGGTTCTCGTCTCTGTGTCTGTTCTGTATCGTCGTCGCCATCGATTGTTGCCTGCAGAAATAATAAGTGTCTCTAGATAGCCTTGATGCTTGAGTGTGCGCCTGTCCACTGCCCGACGCTGATCGGTGCAGCGGAGACGGAAGGGGCGCTTGAGGCGAGAAGATCTCACTGAAAGTCTCCAGCCACTGCCTGCGCTCATAGCATCTTACCCACCGCAAATACCCTTCCTGCCCATCCTCTACATTCCCTGAGGCTCACTCGGCTGAATACATCGCTTGGCTCCGAAGGCTCTCTGCAGCTTCCATCCTCGCGATGCACCTCTACAATGCCACACTCTCCCCGCCCTCTGCCATCACCGCCTCCGTCGTTGGGCAATTCTCCGGTACCCGGCAGCAGGAGATCGTAGTCTGCAGAGGTGGGACACGGCTGGAGCTACTGAGACCGGACACGAGCGTTACAGGAAAGGCCAAATCCATCTTTGAGCAGGATGCATTTGGAATTGTGAGGAGTCTGGCTTCCTTTAGGCTGACGGGAGGCTCAAAGGGTGAGTGAGGCGAGGTGGCCAATCCGGGTAAGGCCAATAGCATTGCTGAACGCTTGCCGCTTTCTCCCCTCAGACTACCTCATCATTGGATCTGATTCGGGTAGGATCACCATCGCCGAGCTGGACAGTCGGGCGAATGCCTTTGTCATTGTCCATCAAGAGACCTTCGGCAGGTCGGGCTCGCGGCGGATCGTTCCTGGCCAGTACCTCGCCTCTGACCCGAAGGGCCGAGCGGTCATGATCGGCGCTATGGAGAAGTCAAAGCTCGTATATATCCTCAACCGAGATGCAGCTGCAAATCTCACCATCTCGAGCCCGCTCGAAGCTCACAAGCCCAATGCGATCATCCACGCCCTGGTCGGCCTGGATGTCGGATTCGAGAATCCCACATTTGCTGCGCTAGAGGTGGACTACGAGGAGGCAGATCGAGACTCTACAGGAGAAGCTTACCATACGACGGAGAAGCTCCTCACATACTACGAGCTGGATCTGGGCCTGAATCATGTTGTGCGGAGATGGTCTTCACCGGTGGATCCCCGCTCGTCGTACTTGATTCAGGTGCCAGGGGGCTACAATCAGAACACTGAGCGATGGGAAGGGCCAGGAGGTGTCCTGGTCTGCTCAGAAGATTACATCACGTACAAGCATAGTGTGGGAGAGGAACATCGGGTAGCCATTCCTCGCCGGCTTAACCCTGTGGAGAAGAAGGAAGAGCGGAGAGGGACGATCGTAACAGCGTCAGTGTGCCACCGTATGAAGAACAACTTCTTCTTCCTGGTGCAAAACGAAGATGGAGACCTCTTCAAGATTACCATCGATCACGAAGACGAAGACATCAAGTCTCTGAACATCAAGTACTTCGATACAGTCCCTCTCGCTACGTCCCTCAATATCCTCAGAGCAGGTTTCCTCTTCGTAGCAGCAGAATATGGCGCTTCTCATCTGTACTCCTTCCAAAAGCTGGGCGACGATGACGACATCCCGACTTACTCGAGTACGAGCTATCCTGCGCTTGGCATGACTGACACGCCGATCGAGCCTCCTACCTTCACACCGAGAGAGCTCGAGAATCTCCTTCTCACGGACAATCTGTCTGCTCTAGACCCTATTTTGGACGCTCAGGTCTTCAATGCTACTGCCAGCGACTCGCCACAGATCTTCACAGCATGCGGTAGAGGACCTCGCAGCACTTTCAGGATGCTACAGCATGGTCTCGAGGTGCAGGAGGCAGTCAGCTCCGATCTCCCTGGTATTCCAAATGCCATATGGACAACACGACTTCGGAGCGCAGACGAGTATGACTCGTACATTGTGCTCAGCTTCGTCAATGGTACCCTCATTCTCTCCATTGGCGAAACCATTGAGGAAGTGAACGATTCTGGCTTCCTCACGTCCGCTCCTACACTGGCTGTTCAGCAGCTAGGGGCAGACGCTTTGCTGCAGGTTCATCCCAAGGGCATCCGTCATATCATGCCAGACCGCAGAGTGGTGGAGTGGGCTGCACCGGCCATGCCCAACGGCGAGCAGACAACCATCGTCGCTGCTGCAACAAATGAGCGTCAAGTCGTTGTAGCATTGGCTCCTACTAACGAGCTGGTCTACTTTGAGCAGGACATGGATGGGCAGCTCAACGAGTATCAGGAACGCAAGAGCATGGGGTCGCGAGTGATCACACTGTCGATGGCTGACCCCCCTGAGGGCCGGCAACGAACGCCGTATCTTGCTGTGGGATGCGAAGATTCCACGGTGAGGATCATCTCCCTGGACCCAGAGTCTACGTTGGCGTCTATTTCGATTCAAGCCCTCACAGCGCCGCCGAACAGCATCTGCGTGGCTGAGATGAGGGACGTGACGATTGATCGCAACCATGCGACTATGTTCGTCAACATCGGGCTGAGGAATGGAGTGTTACTCAGGACTGTCCTGGATCCAATCTCGGGGCAATTGACAGACACACGGACGCGGTTCTTGGGCGCTAAGCCTGTGAGATTGGTGAGAGTAAAGCTTCAAGGCGGAGAGCCGGGTGTCCTTGCCTTGGGCTCGCGGCCGTGGCTCAATTACGCACATCAATCGAGGACACACTTTACACCTCTGATCTTCGATGCACTGGACCATGCTTGGACATTCAACGCCGAGATGTGTCCAGATGGTCTCATCGGCATCGTTGGGGGCAGTCTCCGCATCTTCACCATCCCAACGCTAGGCACCAAGCTCAAATCGGATAGTGTCCCACTCTCGTATACGCCCAGGCGGATGACGCCCCATCCTGCCAACAATGGCATCTTTTATCTAGCAGAAGCCGACCATCGTACCCTTTCATCGTGGGAGCAGGAAAGGCGGATAGCAGCCATGGCTAAAGAGCCCAAGCCGGCTCAGCGTGGAGTGCTCGACTTGGACCCGGCAGACTTTGGACCGATTCGAGCTGAAGCGGGACAATGGAGTAGTTGTATCCGAGTTGTAGACGCTCTGAGTTCGACTACTGCTCACAGAATTGAGCTGGAAAACAACGAGGCCGCCTTCAGCGTCGCAGTCATCCCCTTTGCCAACAGTGCGCAGCAGAGCGCCGAGGATCCTGATCTATACCTAGTTGTGGGCACTGCAGCCGATACAATCGTCACGCCGCGAACGATCCGACAGGCTTTCCTCACCACCTACAAGATCATCGATGGCGGGAAGTCTTTGCAATTTGTTCACAAGACAGAGGTAGAGGACGTTCCTATTGCCCTTCGCCGCTTCCAGGGACGTCTGCTGGCCGGTGTGGGGAGCACTTTACGCATCTATGACTTGGGCAAGAAGAAGCTCTTGCGCAAGTGCGAGAATCGCGGCTTCCCCACCGCCATTACCTGTCTGCACACTCAAGGGTCCCGCATCATCGTGGGCGACATGCAAGAATCTACGATGTACGTCACTTACAAGTCGGCTGAGAACCGACTGATCATCTTTGCCGATGATATCCAGCCTAGGTGGACCACGGCGGTGACGATGCTGGATTACGACACTGTTGCCGCAGGGGACAAGTTTGGCAACATCTTCATCAACCGTCTCGACTCGGGTGTGTCACAGACGGTCGATGAGGACCCTACGGGACTGACTGTGCTGCACGAGAAGCCCTACCTGCAGGGAGCACCGCACAGGCTCGCGCTGCAGGCCCACTACTACCTAGGCGACATTGTCACTGCGATCCATCGTGTGGCACTCGCGCCAGGGGGGAGGGATGTGATCCTCTACACTTGTCTGGGCGGCACGATTGGTGTGTTGATCCCATTCGTGTCAAAGGAGGACATCGAGATGCTCTCCACCCTCGAAATGGCCCTGCGCCAGGAGGCTAGCATCGCCTCTGCCTCTGCCTCGGCAGCAGTAGCTGCCTCTTCCTCCCTAGTGGGCAGAGATCATCTTGCCTACAGGGGATTCTATGCGCCAGTCAAGAGCGTCATCGATGGAGACTTGTGCGAGACGTACGGCCTGCTCAACCACAACAGACAGGCGGCACTGGCGGAGCAATTGGATCGATCTACGGCAGAGGTCAACAAGAAGCTTGAGACGCTCAGGACTGCTAGCGCCTTCTGAGGTGTTGCATGCAGATGAACAAACAGGAGTGACATGGCCGGGGAAGGTGGAGCGGGATCTGACGGGGGGGTTGGGCCGTTAGCAGAGTTGACAGCGTCGGAGGCCAAGTGCTCAGGGGAATAGGATGAGAGTGTACAATACTTCAGACGGGGCAAAGGAGTGCGTGTGAGAAAACGTTAGCGCTCGTTCTGCGCAAAATGCAAATGCAATGCCAGCAATAGTATCAGACGAGCTGAAATTGAAGAGTGGTATGACGGCCAAAGGTCGTCGTGACAAGATAAGATGCCCGAAAGGCCCGCGGCCGCCCTCACCAGCGAGCCTCTATTGCCCTCGTCCACTCCTTCATCCCATCCCGCTCTAGACCCTCCTTTCGATTTTGAGCGATAGGCTTACTGAGCTATAAGTCGAGCCCGGGAGGTAAGCCGAGTCAGTATGGGAAGAGAAGGCGCACTCATTGCAATTCGTCGCCGTTCTGAAAAACTCACCCTCGGGGGTCTTGGAAATGTACTCGATGGCCTGACCAACAGTCTGAATCGAGTCGGCATCGGCATCAGGAATCTCCTGTAAAGAGAGGTTCAAAGCAACGAGAGGGTAATCGAGATCAGTCTGAGCGGCTTCGTCATACAGGGCGGTCTCCCTTTCGGCAATCTTCTGCTCTCCGATCATCCTTTCCTCCGCGCCTCCAAATCCCGAGCTGAGCAGAACGAGGTACGCACAATGTTGAACTCCTCCTCGATTGCCATGACGACCTCTACAGCGTCGAGGCTGTCCAGTCCGAGGGTGCTAGTGAAGGCAGCGTCAGCGTTGACCTGATCGATTGGGAGAGGAGAAGAGGTTTGATGCAGTGTCAGAAGCACTGCTAGCATACATGTGGAGCCTCTCCCTTGCGCCCGGTAAAAAAGCAGCAGAAGAGAGGCCGAGAAGGATGGCTGTCCCGATACAAGGTTGGTAGCCCGCTTTATATCGTCTCGTATCCCCATCCTGACCTCTGCTTCTCCAATTAGGACTGGCGCAGCCACTAGAGGCCCCCATCTTCCTCCTTGCCAATCCTTCCTATTCCGTCCTTCCTTGTGCTCACCTTTGCCGGGTCCACCTTTTCAAAGCTCTTGAGCACCTCGACGATTCGGTTCTGGATCTCCTGGTGGCTCAGTCCCGATCCGGAAGCGTATCCCCTAACGGCGTTTCCCACTGTGACGGGTGCGAGGGCTACCTTGAATGCAGCGGGAGCCACGAGGCGGGAAGAAGGAGCGATGGAAGCGACTCGGGGCAGGGCGACCGAGGAGGAGCGGGCGGCGGAGCGCAGCAGCGAAGAAGAGGCGAGACGGAGTGTTGAAGAGACCATGGTGGAGGGCGCGAAAGTGAAGTGTTTGATGGTATGAAGTGATGTTCAATGGGTAATCGGTGGTATGAGAAGAGGTGAGTGGTGTGGGCGAGAGATGATTAATGACTACTGGGCCCACCCACCCACGCCTTTGGGTTGCGCGGCTGGGCTGCCACTCCCGGCCATGCGCCCAGCCCAGGCGCACAGGCGAGGGCAGAGCCAAGGAGATTATTCTCCACGACGATCTTCTTACGACAGGCAGCATCAGCATACCAGCCGCTCACCACCACGCAGCCACCGCCATCAGTCGCTGATACACACCCACACCTCACCACAACCACCTCTTTTCACCCCTCACAATGAAGGGTCACGCCTTCCGCAAATTGTCCCGAACCTCGGGCCATCGCAATCACCTCTTGCGGAACCTGGTCACCTCGCTCTTCCAGCACGAGAGGATCTCTACGACCGTGGCAAAGGCAAAGGAGGCCCAGAGGGAGGCAGAGAAGATCATCACAAAGGCAAAGAGGTCGCAGCAGATGGATAGGAGAGGAGCTAATCAGCAGGCCGCAAAGGCTTCTGGATATGTATTCGTGAGTGTTCGAAGAGAGGATGGAGCTCGGTGAGCCGCCGCTGGGACAAATGCGCTGACTTGTCTTTCTGCTTTTGCGTACGGCAGGCCCGAGATACCACTGTTCCCATCCTACAACAGCTCGCACAGCGCTATGCCGAGCGTCCAGGCGGGTACACCCGTCTACATCTCCACGGCAACCGTCCAGGCGACAATGCTCCTCGTGCTCTGCTCGAGCTAGTGGACAACAGCAAAGGTGATCTTCGCTTCGAGATGACTGCTCGAGCTATGGCTCGTGAGACGCTACTGCGCTCCAAGCGAAGTGGTCAGTCCACCTCTCAGCTTGGGAGTGCCCTCTTCCTGGATCAGACGCAGGTGACGCGATTCGAGGACAACAAGGAGGCGTTCAATGAGCTCACACGGCTCAACATCAGGAAGCTCGTAAGATATACTGGTCGTTCAGAAGAGGAGATGAGGCGGGAACTTGCGGCCAAGGCTGAGGTACATCTCAGGAGACTTAGAGCCGCAGAGGAGATTGATGGGCCTGGACAGGCGAGACCGGATGAGGAGCTCATGGAGGACAAGACTTGGAAGGATCTGGCACCAAGGGGGAGATTGCTCACGCCTCCTCGTATCGGTAGGAGGTACAAGGCCGGTGGAAATGTAGAGGACATGCCCACTGCTACCTCGAGCGGCAGCAGTAGTACTGCCACCCCTTCGCTACTACCAGGTCAAAAAGCCATTTGGCAACCACAATTGCTCAAGGGTAGGAAGAAGAACAGTGTCATTCGACTTGGCAAGGGTCAATTTGCAAAGAGGGCACAAAATGGCACTAGAAGTAGGGCAACGAGTTTCAAGAGTAGCGCAGCGGCAGCCGTGCCTGCTGCTGGACCTAGTGGTGGTAGCAGGAGAGAGGCGAGGTTGTAGACTGAGCGGGGAGCGATCGGGCGGTTTCGGACCAATTTCATTTTGTACTAGCATTTCTTGTTCAATTCACACTCATACACATACATGACAGACAGGCAGCATCCTCGGTCGAGCAAGATGCTGAGACGAGTCACACTATTGCACACACTCCCCTCCCGGGCGAAACAGTCGTGATGTGCGATGGCAATGTCGATTGGAATCGGACAATGGAATGAGGCTGGCAGGCAAAATTGTACAGATAGAACCCTGGAGAAGTAAAGGGGAGGTGTCTCCTACAACTCTGGGGGAATGAATGATGGGTGAAGAACGGCAGCTGTTGATCATCTCAACTGAGAAGCCACTTCGTGTTTTGAGAGTGAGAGAAGTGTGCGTGACGTGCCATGGACCAGAGAGCTTCGGAAGAAGTTCCAAGGGTTTTAACGCAGTCGTCTGTGAAGAATCAAGTGAGAATTGTCAGGTGTCAGTGATCATGTCCTGTAATGCCAGATGCGACAACCCCTCTATTGCTCTCAACGACGATGCAAGGCCCCATCCGATCTGAAGCTGAATCAGCCCTGCCTTCCATCGCTGTATATGCTTTGTCATGACGAGGCTTGAGCAGCCCTTTCATCGCGTGCGATTCCACCGGATGATCCAGTCCGACCCTGTACAGTAACCTCTCCTTCCTCCGGATGCACCCCTCTCGCATCCTATCACGACTCTGTCTGTACTCACCGAGCCTCACGCTCCGACTCGAGCAGGGCGAGGATGTCACCCTCCTTCACGGGTCCCTTTACGTTTCGGATGATCGATCGGTTTCCATCTTCCTGTCCCATCATCTCAACTCGGACCTGGATGACTCCTCCACGCGATCCAGTTCGGCCCAGAACCTTGGTGACCTGAGAGAGAGAAAGGGGAGAGTGAGGTCATGGATAGGTCAGCAGGGTTGAAGGCGCTGAATGTGGGAGCTGCGTTCCTGCAATGATCATGCCTGGTTCCATCATAGATCTTCGGCAGTGGCAGCACAGTAGCCTGAATACGAGCTGCTGTCTCACAACCTCGCCAGTAGCTACCGCTGCATCTGCGCTACGATGCTGCGCCTCATCCTGGCCCAGCCGCCGAGAAGAATTATGCCCTCTGTGACGACTCATCATTCTCGTAAGGTCTCGATGAGAAGCCCTCTGAGCTAGATGCGTGTCTAGTGTACAGCCTGATATCTCCTACGATGACCTTGGTCGTGGCGGCTTTGCCATGGCATCATGCCTACAAATCTTCCTATGGCTGCTCCTTCGAGTCCAGCCAGTCCTGCTGGGTGTGTCTTTCACCCAGAGATTGATCGACGAGAAAGGCCGCATGATGTGTGTGTATACTCACAGCGGCGAGCTTGACGGGTGTCTTTGAAGATTCCATGATGTGTATGTGGTGATGTGAGGGAAGGTAGGTAGAGGCCGGGAGTAGGTGGACGTCGAAGGATTCTTGTGTGAGTGAGGCTGGGGGGGAAGCCACGGGTGGGCCGCAGATGGCTCGCCTGTCCAACTTCGGAGCCAGACGCGGGCGAGGCAGATTTCGCCGCGCGCAACGTCCCTCGTCCGCCTCTGCAGATTTTGCAGAGTTGCGGCGCGGCCTCGCCTCAGCCTGGAGCCCAGCAGCGGGCCACACAGGCGCAGGGCAGGCAGGCAGGCAGGCAGAGAGGGGCACGCAGCCACAGCCGCCCGCTCCAGAAGTCTCGACTCACACATTCTCGAAATCCTAGTCCTCCCCCTCACCATCACCACCCCATCATCCTCATCATCAACAATGGCAAAAGTCAAGGCACACGAACTCACCTCCAAGTCCAAGGCTGACTTGACCAAGCAGCTCGAGGAGCTCAAGGGAGAGCTCCTCCAGCTCCGTGTGGCCAAGGTCGCTGGTGGTGCTTCTAGCAAGCTGACCAGGATGTGAGTTGGCAAGGGCCGCTGCAATTGATACGTGCACGAGACAGAGGATGAGAGAGTGGGACAAAGATGAGATGAAGAGGGCTAGACAGAATCATCGCAATCGCAAGACCAGCGACAGAGGGGCGATGCTCGAGGAGCAAGAGTCATGCGAGGTGGAAGGGAGGTTTGAGATTCCAGGCGTTGTGGCAGGCAGGCCAGTACGATGCAGGCCCAAAGACACAATTCGCACATTGCACAGGACCTTGTACTGACCTGGGATATCATCCATCGTCTCCTCTCCCTCCATCTACTAGTAACTCCACCCGCAAGTCCATTGCCCGTGTCCTCACCGTCATGAACGCCAAGCAGCGCTCCAACCTGCGTGACTTCTACAAGGGCAAGAAGTACATGCCTCTCGACCTCCGACCAAAGCAGACCAGGGCTATCCGAAGGAGGCTGACCAAGGTGAGCATCGATGGAGGAGAAGACGAAGAGCTAAGGACATGCTATGCAGGGGTGTGATGCGAGGCAAGGCAGTAGAGGATGGGCAAGGTGCCGGTGGAAGATAGATGCGTGGACTGGCCAACGGTGGTACACACTTCTTCATGAGCACTTCTTGGAGTTGGAGAAGGCTAGAAGGCAACGGTGCCGGGGCTCGAGCCTACAGACTTCTCTACAAGAGCTGTGCATGAGGCGGCTTGGATCAGGCCATAAAACGCAGGTGTACATCACTGCCAACAGATGAGGAGGGAAGAGTGGACGTCAATGGTGCATGCTCCCGCAACATCAGAGGAGGATTGATGCTCGGCGATCATCCAACTGCTGTCTATGAGATCAAGCCCAGTACGCTTACACCGCCTCCCACTCTTTTCTCATCCCTGTAGCACGAGCGAACTCAGACCACCGAGCGTCAACACAAGAAGTCGGTTCACTTTGGCAAGCGCCAGTACGTCCTCAAGGCCTAAGCGAAGTCATCTCAGCGGGTTTGTAGTAGCAACCTTGATTGCTCTGCGTCCGCATTGACTTCTGTCTTCGGTCTTTTGTGGTGTCTGTTTTCATCTTTGTACGATCATACGTCTCTGTTCGCTTCCCACCTCATACAACCACTTTGCGCATACACAGTGTGACTCTTGCTATCTGCAGGTGAACCTCTCGTCATTACAATGTGCAAATCTCAGCGATGGTCTAGCCTGACACTCATGAACAGTGAATACTCCCCTGATTCAAGCGCTATTCGCCTTTGAAGAGAAGGACTTGGCTCCGTTCCGATGTGTGACCACGTGACGTAAGGCTGTCCCAGTGCCAAAAGTGTCAGATCCAGTCCTTCCTTCCGAGATCCCTCAGTACGAAGGCTTCATCTCACCCTGTCGCCGCCGCCGCCATGACATCGCTACTGCGCCCAGCCCGACGTAGTCTAGCGACGACAAGTCTGGTGACACTTGCCGACCTCTCATCATACACCTCTACCCTCGCCTGCTCCTCCTCCTCTTCTTCCTCCTCGTCTCCATCACCCGCACGCTCCTTTACCTCCTCTGCCATTGCCCTAGGCAAGTCTCGCCCAGGAGAAGGCAAAGATGCAGTCAAGGCCGCTCGGCGTCGGGAACGTCAGGCGAAGCTAGCAGCCGACCCTCACGTCATCTCTCGCAACCAGACGTACCTTCTGTCAGACGCGTACCGCTTGCTGAAATCCGTCGAGGTGACAAAACCTTTCAATGCCTTTGAGATCTACATCAAGACTGGCATTTCCTCGCACCAAGCCAATGCGCTTCGTGGACGCATCTCTTTTCCTCACTCTCCAGCACTTAAGCCTCCCAGGCTCCTCATTTTTGCAGAAGACGGCTCCCCTGCAGCCGACGCAGCCAAGGCGGCTCAGAAAGCGGGCGTACCCATCATCGTAGGCGGTGCGGAGCTGATCCAAGCCGTAGGCGAGAATCGGGCAGGGGATTTTGACAAGGTCCTTGCTTCTCCCGATATTATGAGTGCAGTCAGCCGAGCTCTGGCTAGGAGTTTGGGACCGAGAGGTCTGATGCCGAATGTCAAGAGGGGGACAGTTGCTGCGAGTGAGGAGGATATGAGAAAGGCAATTGATGAGGCGATTGGTGGGATCGACTGGAGGGGAGATAAGCAGGCAGTGATTCGAGCTGGTGAGTCGGCAGAGCTGAGAGAATCCACACGACTGCCTTGTTGCTCACGCATTCTCACAACACCATGTCTCTCTGTCGTTCCCTCCCCGCCTTACAGCCGTCGGCCGACTGCACTTCACCGAGGCCCAGCTTCGCACAAACATCTTCGCCATGCTGACCTCGGTCCTAGAGCGCGCCACTTCTGGTCTCTCCGGTGGAGGCTCAACCGCCAAGGCTTCTCAGGAGGCTTCGAGTTTCAAGATGCCAAAGAGGCAAGAGGGGACACCGCCCCCACCCGAGTTGATCAAGAGGGCAAAGGCGGTGATCAAGGGGATGCACATTAGCTCTACGCAGGGCCCAGGAGTCAAGATTGACCTGGCAGACGTCTTGTAGAGGATTTTGAGCAGATTGATCAGAGCAGTTGGGAGCAGCGGATTGCGCAGATTGCAGAGTAGTATTAGCAATGACCTTTCAATTACAAGCTACGGTTCGATGGCCAACTAGGAATTATACAAATCCGTGTCCGTGTCCGTATCAGGGTTTGATTATCACAACACACCTCTTAGCATAATTAGTCTCCTCTCGCAAAGGCACACCAACACCTCGTCCAGTTCCCTCCCTTGCTCATGTCCATGTTCACGTTCAGCCTCGGCAAAGGGCAACTTGACAGCCGCTACCCCCATGAGCGCACCACTACCCTCGCTTCTCGCCTGCTCATCCTCCCCCAATTCTGCATCCAATCTGATCACTCGTGAGGAAGCAAATTTCTCCTTTGAACCCTCGAGCTCGTCGCTACCTTCAGTCCGGGAGAGCTCTTGACCATAGTAGACGAAGAGGTTGCCGGCGTGGGTGGCTCCTGCACTACCTGGGGATGAGGAAGACGAGCTCGGAGTAAGGACAGGTGACTCGAATGCCAGGACAAGCGAGTCGTACCTCCGCGGCCTTGCGCTGGCAGCAGGACCTCGTAGGGGAGAGTACCGCACGTAGACCCTACTCAGGTCTCTTTTCGAGGCAAGGACAAAGGACAGAGCGGGAAGCGTATCAAGGTGTTTCCAGGGTCGCCTGCCCTGTGCGTCCTGCTCGTCGGCTGGGAGAAAGACGAGCCCGTCAAGGTCTTTACGCACCACGAGAGGCGCCGAACTGTCCGTCTCTGGTAGAGGAGCAGCAAGACTCCAGAGATTGGACGTCTCAGGGTGCGTATCGACAGCGGGGCTCTCTCTTCCTCCACAGTCCTGCGAGATGGTCGTGAGACGCAGCTTCTTGCCCACTGTTGCGTCCTCTGGCTCGAGCTGGTTGTGCAGTAAGCTCTCCCTGTTCCCAAAACCCACATCAGGCCCATCGATGCGCGGGTGAGGATCACCGTCGAAGTCACTGCCCTCGGGAGCAGTGTACTTTTCCAGAGACTCGACCATCGCAAGGAGCTCACTAGGGTCCATCGTCTCCGGTGGATCGTCCTCGTCCACGGCCCCATCAAAGTCGGCGTGCTCTACCTGAGCCTGGGCGTCGAAATCGTCCTCGGCATCACGCAACCGCTCCGCGTCATCGCGCCTCGTACTAGACTTCGATCCACCGATCATGGGTCTCGACCTCTTGTCATTGCTCGCTCCTGCAGCTTGCCTCTTGGTGGCTGCAGGACGCTCAAATACTCTTGTCCAGCGTGTACCCTCGTCCTTCTTCTCGAGGTAGAGTGTGAGGAGCCCCTTTTTCTCCCGCTCAGTCCTCCCGACGTGCTCCCAAGTCCAGACACTGCTCGACGGGTCGATGGGAGCCCAGAGGGAACGTGAACGATAGCGCCCGGCCAGCAAGGATTTGGCAAGTTGGGCTTCGGAGCTATTGGTCTGCTCCAGCCCAGCGCCCTCGTCCCCTGCACCATTAAGCTCGACAATACGAGGCGTTTGAGGCTTGAGGGCGTCCAATGCCGAATGAGCGAGGGAAAGACTAAGGCCATGCGGAGAGAAGTGAACGCGAAAGTCATTCTTTGTCAAGCGATGGGGTAGCTGGAACACCACTGTCAGCGAATCTGGGGTCTGTAGCCAGAGGAAAGGAGGGGAAGTCGTCCCGTTGGGTGCTTGAGGAGCTGCTGATGGGGCGCTAGGGGTTGCAAGTGTTGCTCGAGAAGTGCCAGAATTAGCATCGGCAGGACGTGGACCCTTGGCTGCCGCTTCGCCAAAGGATGCTTCAGACACGAGCGTGGCCTGGCTGTCAGAGTGGAGCATAGCGTAGTAAGCCGCTTCTTCGCCCGTGACGGTCCACTTGACCTCGGCCAGTGCAGGCGTCTCTTGGCGTTGATTCTTTCGAGGTGGTGGCAGCGCCAAAAGGGACACATTGAAGACTGTCTTGCCAGGCGGCTGCGGAGGCCCCATCTCTACTACCGGAGCGGGAGGAGGCGCTTCCTTTCGCGCCGATTGCAGCAGAACATGAACGATGTCGCCTTGCTGCCTCGCGGCAAGTACACGGGAAGTTTGCTGTTGAGTCTGTTGGATGGTGTAGGCGTCGAGGGTCTCTGGTGTCCACCTGGTACCTTGCCGCTGACTCTCGATAAGGGTCATCCTGTTCATGCCGTCTGCTGCAAGCCATCTGCCATCAGGGAGCGCATGTATGCTGGGGAGACCGCGCAGAGTATAGCTGTCAGGCGGGGAGAGATTGAAGAGGGGATGAAAAGTAGGTCGCTGGGACTCTGGAGCGAATACGATGAGCACCACGAAGGATCCATCGTCTACGTATGCTAGGTGACCACGGATGGATCCAGGTACGAGCTTCTCGTGAGTGAAGCGATCCTTGAGGTCCTTGAATCCCAGTGAGGGCGAATTAGCGGGAGGATTGAGCTGTGCCAGTGTGATGGACAGGGGCAGGCGATGGCTTGTTGCCTTGACGGAATATGCGGGATGAGCATCATGAGAAGATACGAGCCTGTATGCTTCAAAGGCGGTATTGAGGAGCCCGTGATCCGCCTGGAAGGTGTCAGGGGCCCTCGGTAGGGCGGGCATGGCGCATGTGGCAGTGGTTAGCTGGCAGAGGAGCAACCAAGCAACGCAGGGCAAAGGACGAAGACACCATGCATCAAATGACAAATCTTCCTGGGCCAGCCTTTTGCTCCCACGGCTGGACCGTGCGGCTGCAGGCCTCGCTTCCGCGTCTCTGCAACTTGAGAACAATCTGGGCCCAAGCGGACGGGGCGGGGCGGATGGAGGACAGGCAGACGACACCATGCGGACGAATCCAGGCGCAGGCAGGGGCGCATCCCATCCCTCGCAGCCCAGGTCACCATCACTTATCATCGCCAGTGCAGTACAGCCAGCCTATGCTCATCGGCCACGCACGCAGCCCCTACATCAGCCTCTGCCGCAGCCAACTCCACCGCAACCCCCACCGCAGGCTGCTCACTACATCGACTGCCCTGCATCGAATCACCTCTCAGCATCGCCCCTCGTCGATGTCCTCGGGCTACGAGCGTCTATCGGATTCACCCTCCCCGCCTTCTACAAGCCTCTCCTTTCCTCGTCTATCCATCATGACCAATACCTCAGCTTCCTACTCGACTTCCTCGGCACCAGCTCCCCCTGCTTCCGCACTCGACTTTATCAAGTACGTAGATGCATCCCCAGACCCGTTCAATGCAGTTCACACTTCCTCGCTCCTCCTCGAGGCAGCTGGCTTCAAGAAGCTCAAGGAGTCCGAAGCTTGGGATCACCACTTGCAGCGAGGCGGAAAGTACTACTATACCCGCAATCAGTCCGCCCTCGTCGCCTTTGCCGTCGGAGGAGACTTTACACCAGGCCAGGGAGGAGTACATGTAGTCGGAGCTCACACCGACTCGCCGTGTTTCAAGCTAAAGCCCGTCACGAAGAAGGAAAAGGCGGGATTCATTCAGGTCGGCGTAGAGACATATGGTGGAGGTCTATGGAGTACCTGGTGGGACCGGGACCTGGGACTGTCTGGCAGAGTCATCGTCGCGGGAGATGCATCCCAAGACTGTAGCACATTCCACTCCAAGTTGGTCCACATCAACCGGCCCATCTTGAGGATTCCCAACTTGGCAATCCACCTCAACCGCTCCGCCAATGATGGATACAAGGCCAACGTCGAGGACAACATGGTACCCATCCTGGGTCTCGTCTCAGACCAGCTCAACGCGAAGTCGGCCGACTCGGCGGGTGCAGAGGCAGAGGGGGCTGCAGGCGTCGTCGGGACTCCCACCATGCAGTCAAAGCACCACTCTACCCTGCTCAACATCCTTGCAGAAGAGCTGTCAGTATCTCCAGAGCAGATCCAAGACTTTGAGCTTTCCCTCTTTGACACTCAAGGTGCAAGCATCGGAGGTGCACACAACGAGTTTATCAATTCAGCCCGATTGGATAATCTCATGAGCTGCTTCTGCGCTACGACTGCACTCATCTCCAGTCTGACGCCGGAGAGCACGAATCTCTCCACCTCTGGCGCGATCCGAGCCATCTGCCTCTTTGACAATGAAGAAGTGGGCAGTGTCAGCAACCACGGAGCCGAGTCGAACATGCTTCCCTCGCTGATCCGTCGCTTGGCTGGGATCCAGGTGAATGGCGTGCGAGCCTTCCAGGGTGCAGGAGACGGGTATGATGCTGCACTGGCCAAGTCATTCCTCATCTCGTCGGACATGGCCCACTCTATCCATCCCAACTATACGTCTTATTACGAGGCAAACAATTCGGCCAAGCTGAACGAGGGAGTGGTGGTCAAGACGAACTACAAGCAGCGCTACGCCTCGACGGCCGTGACCACCTTCCTGGTGCGCCGCTGGGCTCGTCTTGCGCGCTCTTCCTCTCCATCAGGGGTCCCACTGCAAGAGTTCTCCATGCGCAATGATATGCCGTGCGGCTCGACTATTGGCCCCCTCTTGTCCAAGAATGGAATTCGCACACTGGACCTGGGGATCCCGCAATTGGCGATGCATTCCATTCGAGAGATGTGCGGAACGAGGGACGTGGATCATTTGATCAATTTGTTTGAGAGCTTCTGGGAGAGGGGAGACGAGGTCTTGGGCAGCTTGGATGTGGACTGAGTAGTGAGAGAAGAAGACGGATAGAGATGTACTAAAGGGCAGGCTGGGAGACTACAAAGCCTCAAGTCTGTCCACATTCGTACTCTCAATACAAAGCATTTGCCTCACATCGTACGATCATTTGCTCTCGAAACTTTCCCATGCCGTTCCGTCGGCGATGCTGCATGGGCAGTCAGGCACACGGCCCTCATTTGCTTCCTTGTCGTGCTGCTGCCTGCCTGGCATTGCCCAACCTGGCTCACCCCTTCCCTATGCTCCGTATCCACTCTTGACATCTCGACCTCATCTGATATTCTGCTCAAGATGGCGAGTCATGAGCTGATCATCTCCCTACCCACGTATGAAGGAACGGGCCAGGTAGTGGCAGCTGTACAGAGGCGGGCGCAGGAGCTCCTCTGGTCCAGGTGAGCGAGCGAGCGAGGCGGAGGCACAGGCAGGCAGACAGGCGCGGGGCGGGGGGCGAGAGGCGCGCCTGGGCGGGGAAGGGGCGTGAGCTGGAGCTTCTGGCTGCGAGACACACACACACACACACACACACACGCACAGGCAGCCAGGCTTCCGCTCCTTCCATCGCCCGTCTCTGCCATACCAACACCACAGCCCAGGGCGCTGACCCTTTCCTCCCCCTCTGAACACCCCTTACACACGCGGTCTCCACTTCTCTACCCATACTTCTCGTGCTCCCGGCTCTCCTTTCTGCGCAATGTCGCTCAGCAAGAAGAACGAAGAGGCGGGCGGTGTAGGCTCCTTTTACCAGGACAAGGCCTCGGTGGTACAAGAAGCTAGAGCCTTCAATGAGACGCCCGTCTCCCCTAGAAAGTGCAGAATTGTACTCACAAAGGTCCTGTATCTCTTGTATACTGGGGAGACTTTTGGAAGGCAGGAGGCAACGACGCTCTTCTTTGGGTGTACAAAGCTGTTTCAGAACAAGGACGTGAGTAGTGGAGATGGGAGGTTGATGGTGCATAGCGAGGGATGCGGAGCTCACGAAGATGCCTGGCTATCTTATATTCCCTCTCGTCTAGTCTGCCCTCCGTCAGATGGTGTATCTAGCCATCAAGGAGCTCTGCCCGCTTGCAGACGATGTCATCATGGTCACCGCCTCTATTATGAAGGACATGCAACCCAACGTAGAAGTCATCTACCGGCCCAATGCCATCAGAGCTCTCAGCCGCGTGGTCGACCCATCTATGGTTCAGGGACTAGAGCGCTTCTTCAAGTCCGCCATCGTCGATCGAAACACATCCATCTCGTCTGCTGCCCTCGTCTCCTCTTACCACCTACAGGTTGGCGCTCGAGATGTAGTCAGGCGATGGGGAAATGAAGCGCAGGAAGCCATCAGCCCCAAGTCCTCATCGGGCGGTGGTGGAGGCGGATTTGGTGGCTTTGGCTTTGGACTAGGTGGTGGTGGACAGCAGCAGCAGAGCCAGGGTGGCTTCCAAAGCATTCCTAGCAGCTCCAACATCGTCCAGTACCATGCCCTCGGTCTCCTCTACCTCATCCGATCGAGCGACCGCATGGCAGTCACGAAGCTCGTGCAGCAGCTTTCAGGCGCTGCCTCTGGCCGCGGAACCTCAGCACCGGTCCTGCGCAGCCCGATGGCTCTGTGCATGTTGGTCAGGTACGCTGCCAAGGTGGCAGAGGAGGACCCCAACCTCCGGGGTGTCATGATGGAGCTTCTGGAGAACTGGCTCAGACACAAGTCTGACATGGTCAATTATGAAGCTGCTCGAGCCATTTGCGAGATGAGGGGAGTCACTACTGCCGAGCTCGCTCGCCCAATTGCTGTCCTCCAGCTCTTCCTCTCCTCGTCAAAGGCAACTCTTAAGTTCGCTGCGATCCGAACGCTCGCCAAGCTCGCTCAGTCTCAGCCGGCAGCCGTGTCGAACTGCAACGTGGACATGGAGAATCTCATCACTGATCCCAACCGAAGCGTTGCAACGTACGCCATCACTACCTTGTTGAAGACGGGTACCGAGGCCTCTGTCGATCGCTTGATGAAGCAGATCAGCACATTTATGAGCGAGATCTCGGATGAATTCAAGGTCATCGTAGTGGACGCTATCCGCTCTCTCACGCTCAAGTTCCCGACGAAGCAGGTCACCATGCTTGCATTCCTCTCTGGCGTCCTGCGCGACGAAGGAGGGTACGAGTTCAAAAAGGCAGTCGTGGAGGCAATCTTTGATATGATCCGCTTCATTGGGGACTGCAAAGAGGCTGCTCTAGCGCACCTTTGCGAGTTCATCGAGGACTGCGAGTTCACAAAGCTTTCCGTACGCGTTCTCCACGTTCTGGGAAGTGAAGGACCCAAGATGCTCACTCCGCAAAAGTACATTCGCTACATCTACAACCGAGTCATCCTCGAGAATGCCATTGTGCGAGCTGCCGCCGTCAATGCCCTCGCCAAATTCGGAGTGAATGACAAGGCGCTTGCTGGACGCATCGAGGTTCTGCTCACCCGGTGCTTGGACGACGTGGATGATGAAGTGCGAGACCGTGCTGCTCTCAATCTCAAGCTGCTCTCGAACACAACTCTCGCCGACCGCCTCATCAAGGATGAGTCGTCCTTTAAGCTCAACGATCTCGAGACTCAGCTGCAAAATTACCTCACTGCCGGTCCGTCCTCTGCCGCGTTCGATGTGTCTTCCGTCGCGAGAATCTCGCGAGAGGAAGCTCAGCAGGAGGCACTGCGGGCCAAGACGGCTGCTGCTTCGCAAGTCGCCATGGCTTCCGAGGGCTCCTCCAAGGTGGCCTCTACGTCTGCTGCCGGTGCCCATGCAAATGGTGGTGGTGTGAGCTCCTCCTTCGCTGATGCTCAGAGTGCCTACGCGTCGGATTTGAGCTCAATTTCGCAATTATCCAGCTATGGACCTCTGCTGAAGTCTTCTTCGAAGCCCGTCGAGCTGACAGAGAGGGAGACGGAATACGTCGTCACGGCAGTCAAGCACGTCTATGCAGAGCACATTGTCCTGCAATTCAACGTCACCAACACTCTTTCTGAGGCCGTGCTGGAGGACGTGGCCGTAGTGGTGGGAGGTGCAGAGGATGCCGGTCTAACGGAAGACTTTATTCTACCCGTCGGCCTGCTGAATCAGGACTCTCCCACTGGAAAAGTCTACGTCTCCTTTACCCGCAACGGTGGTGCGAATGAGTTCCCACAGGGCTCACTGACGGCCACGCTGCGCTTCACGACAAAGGAGGTAGACCCATCTTCGGGCGAGGTAGAAGAGGAAGGATTTGAAGACTCATACGAGATCGAGGCGCTGGATCTGGGCGTGTCCGACTATGTGCAGCCTAGATTCTGCGACTTTGAGAGGGAGTGGGGGGAGCTGGGAAGCAGTGGCGCTGCTAGTGCTACGGAGACGTACTCGCTCACGGCTGTTGCGTCTCTCAAGGGTGAGTCTGACCTGCGCGAGGGGAGATTGAACCCGAAACTAGATTACTGACTCGCTTCACTTTATCTCTCCTGCAACCAGACGCATGCGACCTTCTGATCCCACTACTTGGTCTCGAAGCTCTGGGAGGTACCGACAGTCCCACCTCCAGCAGTGTCCACACTCTCACTCTTGCCGGCTCCGTGGTAGGTGTGAATGCAGGCAAGGCAGCGCAGCAAAAGGTCCTCACGCGTGCGAGAATGACCTACTCTTCTGCAGAAGGGGTAGGTTTGGAGTTGGCTGTGAGGGCACAGAGTGAAGAGGCAGTGGGACTGATGATGAGCGCGATTTGATTGGGGAGTGGGAGCGGCTCAGCGCAGGTGGAAGGAGCTTTATCTGAGGCGATGAGAGAGAGAGAGATTGAAACGATAATTCAATACGTCTTGTGTTCACTCTTCTCTTCTATTCAGCGTGAGCGACAGGGCAAGCTGTGAGGCATTTTGCGTAGCGAGCGGACGGAGAGTCTTGTGCTAGTGCGTCAGCGAGCGGGGTGAGGGATTGGCCATTCAGACGGCAGACGAGCTTGTCTTGCGCTTCCCTTCGAGAGCGAAGAGCATGTGAGCTTGACTTGACTTGTGAATGGACGACCTGACTGCATGCACGGCGGACTGCACGGCAGACTGATTGATGTGCAGCCTGCACGGCGGGGTGGACTGCAGACTGCTACCGTCGCAGTCTCATCCTCGTGCAGCACGCACCAGACCTAAGTTGTGCCACCCGAGTGATCGACTAGCTCTAATTGGCGGAGGTTCTGGCCTGTATGACGAGGAACTGGACGATCACATGTTCCGGTGAGCAGACGTTGGCACAAGGAGCACACACGCGAAGCTGCGCTGCGAAGATGAGTGTAAAGCATATAACATATATATAAAGTGGGAAGAAGGAATAAAGAAGCATCAGAGCAGCCGGCATCTAAGCAGCACGCCTTCTACTCTAAATGGAAAGGCAAGGTATGAAAGAAATGGTGATTCTGTATCGTGGCAAGCCAGCGAGCGAGACCTGTCGCCGATAATGAAAGGCGTGAAAGAAAAAGTGTGACATGGGTGGAGAGAAGTCAGCGGGCCTTGTTCAACTTGTTCACAAGGTTTACATGCTGCTGTCTGCCGATCGGGTCTGTACCAGGGCATCCTTGCCGCCAGCATTCGCCTTCTTCTCGTGCATGCCGCCCTCTCCCTGCTCGGAGAGGATGTTGTCCGCGTCGAGAAGCTTTCCATCGGTACCGTACCTCCTTGGCGTCCTCTTCTCGATCCTGACCACATCGTAAGGGTCCAGCATGGAGGCCTGGGCAAAGATGCCGTCCATCTCCTCGAGGGACCTTCCGGCCGTCTCGGGGAAGATCCACCAGGAAGTGACCGCGATAAGTGCGTTGATGACGGCAAAGATGAGGTAGGTGTAGTTTGAGATGTTGGCGAAGGCGATTGGGGTGATCAGGACAACCATGAAGTTGAAGAGCCAGTTGGCGGAGGTGGAAATTCCGTTAGCCGCGGCTCGGATAGAGAGCGGAGTAATCTCGGCGGGGTAGAGCCAGGTCATGCCGAGCCAGCCGATGGCAAAGAAGGTGTTGAAGAGGAAGAGGAAGACAACAGCGACGTAACCAGGGGCAGCATTTTGAGCTTTGTTAGAAGCGACGCCGCCAACAGGATCCAGAGCAGCTTTAGACGTACAGCCGGTCAAGATGGCCATGCAAGCACTCATTCCGATCGCTCCGAAGATCATGAGCTTCCTGCGACCGAAATGCTCGATGGTGTAGACTGCGATCCAGGACGCCAGGAAATACTCGGTACCGTTCGCAGCTGCCACAATTCTCGAAATTAGGGGGCTGAAGCCCAAATTGTTCTGGAATATAGTCGCAGCATAGTAGGTAATGAGGTCTAAGAAGTGGAGAAAAAGTCGATCGAAATGTTTGGTAAGTCCCAACTTCCTTCTGTACCGGCTTCCTTCCGCAGCACACTCCAGAATCCTCTAAGAGAGACTCACTGATTCCCGAAATCTGTTGGTACATCTGGATGACAAAGCCTAGTGCAGTGCGGTGGAAGTTCCTCTCTTTGCCCTGCTTGAAGAGATCGCCGAGTCCTTTGCGGTTTGCTTCCTCGATGGATTCGCGAATCTCATTGGCCTTGAGCGTAATGATAGGATCGTGGATGTTGACCTGGTCCAAAGATGCAAGGACACTCCTAGCTTCCTCCTCACGGCCTTTGAGCATCAGCCAACGAGGGGATTCAGGCATCCAAATGGTGATAAGGGTAGGGATACACAATAGGATTTGGAAGGCGATGGGTACCCTCCACGCGGCTGAGGCGTGGGGAAAGTCAGCAAGGTTGAAGTTCCCCGTGGCGTAGCGAGAGGAAGGATCTAGCCAATAAAAGGCGAAATCTATCCAGTATGACATGCAGATCTGGGACGGTTGAGGATTTATTTGAGGTGTGACGAGGATGGAAGAAGGAAGAGAGGGGAGCAGATCGGGTCAGTGAATTGATTTCCGCAGTTAAGCGCGACGCCCACTAATACTCACCCCTCCGGTAATGAGAGCACCTTCGACCATGATAAGCATCCCGCGCTTGTGAGGTGGCGAGCATTCTGACTGCCAGACAGGGATGGTTGCGGTGTGCATTCCGTTACCAACGCCCGTGACGATACGACCGACGATGAGCTGCGCCAGAGAGAAGGAGCTGCACTGAATTGTAGCTCCGATCATCATGATGATAGTTCCGATCCAGATCACAGGTCTTCGTCCAAGGCCGTCACCGAGCCAAAGACAAGAGATGGCACCGATGAAGCAGCCGATTTCGTAGAGGCCGACCGCCACTCCTTGTAGAGTAGCCTGATGAGACTTGGCGTTGGTGCCGGAGCCGGTAGTCGTATCGATTTCAGGGAAGACCGCAACGAAGGAAGGGAGAGTGAGCAAGCCGCCCATGACTCCTTGGTCGTAACCGAAGAGAAGCTGCGAGCATCAGGGCAGATAAGCCAGGAGAGAAAGGGATGAGTGCGGGTTTGTGGAGCGGACGCGTCGTCAACGCTGCAACACTCACGAAACCGGCACCAGCAGCGAAACCAATCATTCTACTGAGAGCCAAACCCGACAGACCGAAGAAAGTCGGGTAGTCCCGATCACCGGTGGTATGGTTGAATCTACCCATCTTGGCAGACTAGCTAGGTGCGAGCTGTAGAAGGCGACGGCGGGAATGTACAAATGACGAGGAAGAGAGAGGGAGAAAGAGGCGAGGAGGACTCTAAGGCTGGGGGAAAGATAAGCACAACTCTAGATGCCTTGAGGGAGAAGACACTTGAATGGGGCTGAACGGGGGATGACATCTGCCCCATAGTCTACTCTTAAATACCCCACACAGGACTTAGCCGAGAACCGGTTGTCTCCAGGATGCTCCGGTGTGTTACCTGACCAAGGCACTGAAGCGAAGGGGCGGGATGTCGAGGGAGGATGAGCCGCCTTCGCCTTGGCAGCTGCTCGCAGCGGCGGTTTGGACGAACTCTGCCGGCTCCGCCCCCGGATGATGTACTATCCAGAGATTGTCAATCAATTCCTCTCTTCATTTGCCGCGCGCCTGATACCCATGAAACGCAGCGTGCAGCGTGCATGAGGGGCAGCGAGGGCGGAGTGAGCAGCCACTGGACCCCCAGGCGACTACTTTTGTCGGCGCGGCAGCTGGCATTGTTGCCGATGAAACCCGTCGACGGAGTCTGCTGGCGCTGTTCAAGTGGCACCCCTTGCCTGCAGCAGCCAAAGAGAGGCAGCAGCACACGGTGTCAGCATTTCACACCGCGGGAAGGGCAAGGTGCTGCGCCCCTGTCCGCCTCTCGCTTCTGACGCAGGCACAGCGACCAATGCGGGGCTCCGGAACCCCCTCCCCGGTCTCGCTAGCACCTCATGCCGCCTCTCCCTCGCCGACGTAGCCTTGTACTGAGCCCTTGTCACAGGACAGACCAATGCCCGCTTCGGCGTTTCCCACGCGGCCTGCCGAATATCCACGCAGTGCCCACGCTTCAATCTTGATGACGGCGTGATCACCCAAGCCGACGGCGGGACATCAATACTCCTGGGTAAAGCGATGATTACCCATCGGGTTGCCGCTCTAGCACCGGTGGCGTCTGGGGAAGCGGGGCAACCAATTACCCGACGCTACGGAAGGCTCCAGGCTCCAGGCTCCAGGTTCCATGACTAGAACTCCGGCAGGTGCCACCTGCCGTGAAAGATCAGGGCTTATCGTGTGAGTACAGTATTGTGGCGCGTGTGTGTGGCGCCATACCCTCATGGCGCGCACTCTCCGACTTGCTCTGAAAGACTTGGCCGTGTACGCTAGGCTCATATCCGTGCCAGCACGAACAGACGCTGGCTTCTCCTTCTCCCGCCAACGTGCTCTACTCGGAAGGCACAAGCACTTACATACAGCTTGCAAGAGCTGCAAGAAATCCCCTGAGCCAGCCGTTATTCTCCGTGTGTGGCGCTGCATGGTGCTCAGGAGGGCTCACAATTCATACTACGACTCGTTTTGCGAGATCCTCGAGCACCGCTGTGCGATGCTGTTCGGGTAACTCATCAGACCGTATGTGAATGAAGACCTGCACAACAATTTGGATTGGCTCTACTAAGGAGACAGCAAAGGATGATATGTTCGAGAGCTGGTACGAATCAGGGACGATGAGAGTGTCAAACGGGATGTGGAACAGCACTATGACACAAAGCCTACTTGCAGAATGTAGCCATCCTCCTGCTGTACGAGGGTGACCTCGCGCCCCTCGCAGGTGATCCTGCGTCCCAGCACGCGTCTCCCTTCAATTAACCACTCCACGCGGAAGGTCCGCAGGTGATTATCGTAGAACGCCCCGCGTACTCTCTTGCGAGGCAACATGAGGTGAGGCTGGATCAGGGCCAGCCGTGGCCCAGACATGTAACAACGCAGCACGTCGTTTTCTTCGGCCGGATTGGCCGGATTCCTCGAAACATGCCTCGTTGTCCTACCAACCTTGATCCCCAAGCCATCCGCTAGCTGTCGCGTATGATCAAAGAGCAGAAGATGATCCGCACCCTGATCGAACTCGTACCAGGTACTGGCGACTAGGCAGCCGTCCGTGTCGATCAGCCCCGACGAGAGCGGCGCCCCTCGCTTGCACTGAGGTACCGAGCAGGGATCCTGCGCGCCTTTCTGTTCGCAAAGATGCCAAGCGCATGCAGGCCATCGAGAAGGGGATTCCAGTAGAATCCCTCCTGATCTCGGAAGGTGCTCGCGATCGCGAACTCGAAGCACGTGACGTTTGCGGGAATGGCCCCCTCTGCCATGATGTGAGGAGTGATACGAAGGTGTAGAGGGGCCGCCCCACGGGGCCGAGTGGCATTCAGACGGTGCACGTACCCAGCGAGGTATTCTCGTGTCTCGTCGAAATCGGAGGAGGCGATGCGCACTTGGTCATGCGTCCCGTCGCCGAGCCAGAGACCTAGGAACTTCGGCTCGATTGGCAGATTGTCCGTGTGGGGGTCTCCTGTTGGCATACTTTCGAAAGGGAATCTGGCAAGCTTGATCCATGTGCCTCCGGGAGGAGGCTCGCCCCTAGCAGGATTGTTCACGTGTCGGGACTCGAAGTACCGAGACACGGATATAATGTGAGGCTCTCCTGGTAGGAGCGCCTCGGGGTCGACTTTCATGGACAAGTGCAGTGAACAGAGGGCCATGAGAAGGAGCCGAGCGCTGGGCTCGGTCCCGCAGCTCAATGTGAACGTCCTTGTAGCGCCACACTGGCAAGCGTCGTCGCTTTTGAGGCGTCTGATGGCTCGTCGGATGAGGTTAGGCGAGTATGCCTCCTCTTGCCTGAAGTTATCCGAGCTCGGTGCCTGAAGGTGTTGTCAAGGCAGGACCATTCACCGTACATCGAATTCGCCCACCGGCGCTGATCACTCGCGATATAGGAGAGAGCGACCTATGCGGACAGCTGAGGAGGATGGTACAGTACCGATTGAGAGGCTACGAGAGCGTAAAGCAGAGAAAGAGACAGCGGAGGTGCAACTGCAATCCTGCTGCTGCATGAGGATAGTCTCGCGCCCCTCGCAGGTAATGCTGCGCCCCATCACGAATTTCTTTCAGCAGAGGGCTGAATACCGATGCCTAGGGTTTAGTTGTCGTAGAAGGACCCATGGTTGCCTATCGTTAGTTCGTCGTAGAAGTCCCCATGATTATCGTAGACGAGCCCAAGATTAGGCGTCCTTGCGGAAGGAGCTTCCAGTGTAGAAGCTCCAAGCAGTGTGATTAGTTCGAGACCATGCTTGGCAGCTGAGGTGGAGTGAGATATGAAGGCGCAGAGGAGCTGCTCCGTGTGGGCGAGAAGCATTCAGATGCGCCACGTATGCGTCCAATGGAGCACGAGCCTCCTCCAACTCTGTGGAGAATATGGTGGGGCCGTTGTGAAGGCCGTCCCCGAGCCACTTCCCCAGCCAGTTTGGATCGAGGGGCAGCTCCTCGGCCTGAGCGCCTCCTTCCGGGAGGACCTCGAAGGGGTACCTCCCGAGCTTCAAGAACGCACCTCGAGGGGGGTCACCCGTTCGAGGGTTCTTGACGTGCTTTGAGTCCATGAATTGCTCCACCGACAGCGAGTGCAAATACCCCGGGAGCAGCGCCTTGGCATCCACCCGTGCAGCGAGCTCTGGAGAGTGGAGCGCTCGTTGAAGATGCTCCGCCTGGTCAGCGTTGCCACAAGTCACCTGAAAGGTCCTTGAGGCGCCGCATTGGCAGGCTCGCTGGTCCTTGAGGCGTTCGGCAACATACTGGACGAGGAAGGGCGAGTATGCTGCGTCTTGAACGAATGCATCCGAGCTGGGAGCCTCGGGCGCCCCGTCACTCGCCTCAGATCCTTCTTCGTCGCTGCCGTCGCTCTCGTGGGGTTCAGCTTGGTTTCCTCCTTCGAAGGTTTCATCGGTGTCACTCGATGGCACGAAGGGAGGGTCACTGGTCGGGGGAGAGCCAGGTGACGAGCTGAAGAGGTGCGTGGGAGCCGTACTTGTGATTGTGGGGGGCCGAGGTCGAAGATACGACTCAGGAGCCGCAGGGATGGTGGGTCATTCCAGCCGAGCGAGCTCCTGTAGCGCTTGCTGCTCTGGAGTCGTGAAGCCGACACACAATGTGTGCCAGCTGACGATACAGAGATTGCCTGGTTAACCTTTCTGTTGGGAACCACAGCGGCTCCAACAAGTTTGGTGGCAACTAGATGGACTCGGTGCTGCTTACAACCACGAAGGAAGCGTCTTTTCATTGTCATGCGTGTGATTGTGACCGTGAAAGTACTGGTCATAGCAAAGTCGAAGACCGTGACATTGCTCTGAACACCCTGATGGCCTGGAGGAAAGACCTTGGGACGGATTCGCAGATGGAGAGGGGCTGCTCCAGCAGGGCAGGTGGCATTCAGTCTGGTGACGTAGGCGTCAAGGTAATGCCTTGTCGGGGCAGATCGGAGGAAGAGATGATGATATCACTGTGTAGGCCGTCGCCGAGCCACAGGCCAAGTCATTTGGGCTCGATGGAGGGGGCATGTCTGGCCATTGGAGTTGAGCAAGCTCTTGCCTCGCACTCTCTTCGGGAGTGGTGTGCCCGATGCATAGCGTATGCCACATCACCAGAGTACGCAGCTGTGGATTCTTGCACCTCTTGACGTGACGGTGAGGGCACCCACGTGTTTCGATGCTACTAGATGCAGTTGGTGGTCCACATCGATTACGAACGATGCGATGCCCTCGTCTTTGCGTTGGCCATTGTGTGAAGCGTGCCAGAGCTGGATGACCACCTTGCGAGGCTTGTTGAGGGCCTGTGCGGCACTGAAGGAGACCTTGATGACTTATTTGCTTGTATCAAAGGAGTTGTCGGTAGTATCAACGAAGGCCACCGATGTCATGTAGGGGTGCAATCGATGTCGTCATCGGCATGCGTGATGGTAGACTGTGTAGCAGTGCAAATGGTGATGCAGAGTCAATTGTCGAGTATTGCTCGCATGTTGTGTCGTCACACTTCATCTACTGACCTACTAATGAGCCTTAAGTGCGACAGTAAAGTAAAGCAGTCATTGCTTGTCCACACATGCGAGCTTGCATTTGGCCGTAGGGGTAGAGGCGCGCTTGGATGCGACCATAGCTAACGTTGTTCGGCATTACAAGTGTTAGTGAAGTGTGTTAGAGTAGTCTCGATAGAGTAGTCATGTCGTAGTACTGTTGGTCAACGGATGATAGAGCTGAGTCAGTTGTCATGGTAGTGATCGCATGTCGACTCGATGCACTTCTACTACTCACTATTCATTGAGAGTGGACAGTGGTCGAAGAAGGCTGTAGAGTACCTCTAGACTATGTGTGAGACAAGTGTATTGTAGGTGATAGCGTGAGAGAGTGTCTGGAGGGAAGGAAAGGAAAGAAAGAAGAGGAAGGAAAAAGAAGAGACGAGCAGACCTCGCAGCACCAGCAGACGCAGCCTCAGACTCTTCATGCTGGCAATGCGCGCCACCCCCCTTCCGTTGCGCGGTCCTCCTCGACGGAGCCGAAGTGCTACACCTTCAGGAGCGTAAAATTTGGTTAGCAAAGTCCACCAGGTTGCTCGCCTTTTCGTCGTACTAAATGGATATCTCGCGCCGCAGAATCCACTCGTATGTTCGTATCTATGATTGTTCGTCTCCTCTGCCTGACTTCGCATGCACCTCTCGGAGTGCACCAGCACCACTTGGCAGCGCACTAGAGCGGTCTCTACGTCCAAGGCTACATGCGCCTCGGTGACTGGATCAGGGGACGCGAGTGCACTGGAGCGGTACACAATTCCGCCCTTCGCACGCGGAAGGCGGCCAGAGGCGCACGCGCCTCCAAAAAAGCTCAGGCTTCAAGAGACACCGCTCGAGACCGCGATGCCTAGTCCAACGAAGACAGTACTCATAGTCATCAGTCAAACTTGAGCCGGACTGTGCTGCTTGGATCAAATGAGCGTGCTGTAGAACATCTTAACAGTTGTATCGCAACATCAATGGTCCATCCACGTTCAAGGGCGTCAGGAGCGCGAGTGGCTTTCTCCCTCGGGGAAGCCAGGTACGCCGAGCATGATGAAACCATCGGGCAGCTAGGTGGGCCAGACCTTGACATCAAATACTGGGCAGAAGGTCCCACTACCCAAGGTGACCAGGAAGTGTCATGCAGGGAGAAGTTGCCTACAATATAGCTGCTGCGAGAAGATCCACATCAGCGCTTCTCCCTCCTGGCTCCAAAGAAAAGGTAGAAGATGTCTGCTTGTAGATCAAGTGGCATCGTATCGAGAGACATTAGAGCGAATAAGTTGAGATGAAGAGTGGAGGGAGGCATAGTTGTTACATTGCCAAAGCATAAGATGGTACAAAAGCCCCGTTCCGTGTCTCAAGTAGGCGAAGGGGCACAAAAGGGTCCCTAGCCCATTATTGGCTACTCCGGTCCGAAGAACTCTGCTCCAATGGTCCTCCCGCAGATGTCTTCTTCTCGCCTACTCCACCTTCCTCAGAGAACACGTTCTCGAGCTCCAGCAGTCGACCCTTGGTGTCGTATTTCCTGGGAGTCGCCTTCTCTACCCTAACAACATCATGAGGATTGATGTACGAGGATCTAGCAAAGATACCGTCCATCTCCTCAAGCGATCGACCCGCGGTCTCTGGGAAGATCCACCACGAGGTAATGGCAATGCAAGCATTAATGACAGCGAAGACCAGATATGTGTAGTTTCGGATATTTGCAAACGCGATTGGGGTTACCATGACGACCATAAAGTTGAAGAGCCAATTTGCAGATGTAGAGATACCGTTCGCAGCCGCTCTGATCGACAGAGGTGTGATCTCAGCAGGATACAACCACGTCATACCCAGCCATCCGATGGCGAAGAAGGTGTTGAAGAGGAAGAGGAAAACGACGGCGACATATCCAGGTGCTGCGTTTTGAGCCTCTCCGGTTGGGTCACCCCCGACTGGGTCGAGTGCAGCTGGAGATGTGCAACCGGTCAAGATTGCCATGCAAGCGCTCATGCCAATGGCCCCAAAGATCATCAGCTTCCTTCGACCGAACTTCTCGATCGTGAATACAGCGATGAATGAGGCGATGAAGTACTCCGTACCGTTGGCTGCAGCTAGAAGGCGAGATACGAGGGGGTTGATCCCCAAATTGCTCTCGAAGATGGTGGCGGCATAGTAGGTAATCAAATTAATACCGCTGATCTGTTGGAACATCTGAATGACGAAACCAAGAGCCGTTCGGTGGAAGTTCCTCTCCTTGCCTTGCTTGAAGAGATCTTGAAGACCCTTGTGCTGTGCCTCCTCGATTGACTCCTTGATCTCCTTGATTTTGACGGCAATACTGATATCATTGAGAGCAATCCTATCAAGCGAAGCAAGGACTCCTCGAGCCTCGGATTCCCTTCCTCTCAGAAGAAGCCATCGGGGCGATTCTGGCATCCAGATCGTTACCAGAGTGGGAATGCAGAGGACGATCTGGAAGGCAATCGGAATCCGCCAAGACGCGGAAGAGTGTGGGTAGTCGTCAAGACTGTAGGTTCCAGGATCGTTGCTCGAAGAGGGGTCTAGCCAGTAGAAAGCGAAGTCTATCCAGTAGGCCAAGGCGATGCCGCCAGTGATCAATGCTCCTTCGACCATGATGAGCATACCGCGCTTGTGGGGAGGCGAGCACTCTGACTGCCATACTGGAATAGTCGCTGTGTGCATACCATTCCCTACACCTCCAATGACTCGTCCTATGATGAGCTGGGCAATGCCGAAAGAAGCAGCCTGGATGATAGCTCCGATGATCATAATGATTGTCCCGATCCAGATGATCTTGCGTCGTCCTAACATGTCTCCTAGCCAGAGACAGGAAATGGCTCCGATGAAGCAACCGATCTCGTAGAGACCAATGGTGAGACCTTGCAGGACTGTCTGTGATGAGTTGGCTGAAGACCCCTCGGGGGTCGTGGTGTCGATTTCGGGAAAGGTGGATACAAAAGAGGGCAGGGTGAGGAGACCACCCATGACTCCTTGATCGAAGCCGAACAGGAGCTGTGAAGTGGCAGAGGAGGGAGCGACACGGCGTCAGCAAGGACACGCAACTTCCTGGCTAGCTTTCGGCACTCACGAAGCCAGTACCGGCGGCAAAGCCGATCATACGACTCAAGGGAGCACCCGAAAGATTAAAGAAGCTCGGGTAGTCCTCTCCAGGCTTGTGTGCAGTGTCGAGGAGACCCATCTTTGGCGGTGTGTATGAGGGTGCTTCGAATGATAGGGTGGTGGAACAAGGAGCTTTCGCAGTGGATCTGGACGAAGACGCGTTGCTCGTTGGGGCCCCAGAAACCTGCCCTGTCTTATATGCTGCGAGTCGTTCCCTCACCAGGGCTCGGATCGCCCTCGTTCTTGCTCAACCCAGGCATATCGTCAAAGGCGAGGTCTCCGATGAGTTCTTGGCTTTTGACGGTGTACAGTTGTGATGTTGCTTCTCCAGGTCTTGCGCTCTGCAAGAGGGTACGGCGTTTACTGCTGTCCTCTGCCCCGCCCTGCAGAGGTAGCGGGGAAGGTCTTGGCGCTGGCGGAGTAGTGGTCAGTGCCTCCTTCTGTATGCAGGGCCATATTTTAGTCGTCGGATGCTGCGATGGCCTGTGGTCGTTCTGGTGGGTCTGTCACTGCCACATTTCAGGGAGTCGCACTAGATGCGTCTTGCCCTCCGCACTCTCATATCCGAGCTGCCAAGGCGTTCGGGTGATTGAGCGCGTGCTGCAGAAGCCGTCTGCGAGTCATGAGTGCTGCCTCTTGCTCTCTGAAGCTGGGTACCTCTGCTCATTGTCCAACGTCCAGAGTCGATGACGCAGGAGAGGGTTATTTGCGGAGAAGAAGCAAATGTAGATTGGGAGCAGCATCGCTGGGGAGGCTGGCGGCCGTATCCTCCACGCCAAGAAAGGTTCGAGGTGGATTGGTTGAGTGATGCTGCAGGCATGGCGGTCGGACTTCTTGACTTGTGCTCTTCTTGGCAGGCTGGGCGCCGCTCCTGCCTCCCTTCCGCCTCGCGCCCATCACGCAGCGTGCGGGTCCATCTTGGACACTCTTCTGAGGTGGCTTACTTGCTCTTCGTCTGCTCCTCAGACGAGGTTTTCCCAGTAAGCAGCGAAGGGGCCCCAAGTCACACCGTCACACTGCTTCTATGCTGATGTCTGACCTGCGCCAGTCACGATTGCAAGTCGCAGCTGCAGGCGTACCGCGGGAGGAGAGGGTAGATGCTGCGATGGTGATCAAGGGCGAGTGTAAAGACGATTCGTCACTGACTTTGTCGAGAGCTGGCCGTGTATGCTCTGGATCTCCAACACTCGTGAGATGAGCGGGTGTATAGGCAGACACAAGTGCAGCAGCTGGAAGGCTCGCCAGGCACACCCAGGTGTCATGTCCACCCTGCATCGCCGCCGCCCAATTCCGAAACACTCGTGCTGCTGCCAAGCGCCGTTCGTGAGTCTAGCGTGGCATATGCGTGTCACAGTGGCTTTCGGTGCGGCCCTGATCACTGCCAGTGTCTCCACCACAAGTCTTTGATCGCAACTTCCTGCCATCACCATCTCCTCGAGCTCATCTGTTCGTCTTCTGCCACACGTCGGCAGGGATGGCGGGCAGTGCAGTGCAAGCGGCAAGCGAGGCAGCACACAGGAGATGTTCTCTTGTCGGCGTCTTTCCTGCGCGCCGCACTGTGCCGCTCGCTCAAGACGCCTCCTGAGTGCTCAGCTCCCACCCGAAATGACGGTACAGCTCTCTCCACCCCCTGTCCCATCACTTTGACGGCAGAATAGCAAGTGATCATCTCCCACCTCTATCTACGTTGCCGCGTTCGGCATGGTCGCCACTTGTCCCAGCGACAACACCGTCGCCGTTGACCAAGAGACCTTCTGGGACGGAAACTGGGATGCTCACAAGATCGGCTGGATCATTTCCGGAGCTGCAGCTGCCGTCACTCTAGGCATCTCCCTGATCACGATCATAGGCCATGGTCGCAACTACCATCGTCCCAATCAACAGCGTCAGATCATCCGAATTCTCCTGTTTGCTCCCGTCTTTGCCATCATCTCCTTCTTCTCCTACCGCTTCTTCCGAGACTACACCTACTACGAGCTCATCGAAGTCGTCTGGGAAGCAGTTGCCATCGCAGCTTTCCTCATCCTCATCCTCAACTACATAGGTGAAGATGAAGGACAGCAGAGGAACGTCCTTGCAAAGAAGGACAAGAAGAAGCTTCCGCTGCCATTCTGCTGCTTCAGGTACCGGCCTAGCAAGGCCTACTACCTCGTAGTCATCAAGTGGGGGGTAGTGCAGTACTGCTTTGTGCGTCCGGCTCTTTCCATCGCTGGGATAGTGCTCCAGTACTATAATTTGCTCTGTGAGAGCTCGCTCTCATACAAGTACGGCTACGTCTACATCCTCGCAGTCGACTTTACCTCCATCAGCATAGCTCTCTATGCTCTGATCGTCCTCTATGCTCTGATCAGGGAAGACCTCAAGGGCCGCAGACCGCTCGCAAAGTTCCTGTCAGTCAAAGCTGCCATCTTCCTCACCTTCTATCAGTCCTTCATCTTCAGCTTCCTCCAAGACAAGGGCGTCATCAAAGCTACCGAGTACTGGACAGCCACAAATGTCTCGGATGGGTTGAGTGCTCTCTGCACGTCCTTGGAGATGGTCCTAGTCGCAGCATTCCAGGTATGGGCCTTCAACTGGAGGGAGTACAAGGAGATTGGCAGGCAGATGGCTTCAAGCCAGCACGACGGACTGGATCCCAAGAAGGTCAAGATCAAGCATACCAACCCGCTGTACGCCATCTTGCACGCCCTGTGGCCGGGTGACCTCTTTGTGGAACTCTGGCACTCGATGCGCTTCGCCTATGACAGAATGCGAGGGAAAGAGTATACCCGCCACGATGCTCGCTTCAATGCAGGCGACATCGTGGCAGCCTTTGGCGCGGACGGTCGGCACGACAACGACGACAATGGCGCGGGACAATGGGGCGTGCAGCAGGCCTCGAAGGAGACCGAGTACGGGATGACGCCGAGTGCTGCGTCTCGGAGTGAGATGCAGCAGGTGCCAGGCAGTACGCAGCCATACCAGTCTCGAAACCAACTCTACCGCGAGGACACTCTGGTTGATCAATCCAGGTACGACGACGAGGGTGTACACCTCATGCCGGGCGCCAAGGTCAACGACCACGACAGGAGTGGTTTCGGCTCCTCTCGCTCATCAACTTCGCTCACCCATGAGCAGTCCAAGCAAAGGGAGCCTCAGCAGGCGCCTCCCCTTCCCGCAGGAGCAGCAGCAGCTGCAGCTCAGTACTACGGATATCCTCAGAGGCAAGACCATCAGTATACCCCTGCGTCTGCCCAGCCTTCTGCACAAGATTACTATCTGCCTGCCAATGGCGGGCGTGCTGCGCGCTACGATGAAGAGCCTTACATGCAAGGCGTGTCTGGGGAAAATGGTAATGGGCGGTACGCCGCCCAGCCCCAGCAGCAGCAGTATCAGACTCCCCCTGGGCACGCGTACGCCAATTACCAGCCAGCAGCGCAGGAATACCAGCAGCAATACCCTAGCAGGACCAGTAGAGAGTGGGCGAGTGGAGGGCTCACACAAGGTCAAACTCAGAGCCAGAGTCAGGGCTATGATCATCATTCGGGCTACGATCGAGCGAGACCGACAGGACAAACGCCTTCGCAGGGCGGACAGGCCTACCAGTCGATGAGCTATCAGCCGAATGACTATTACCAGCACCAGCAGCAGCAGCAGAGTCAGTACGGACAGCCATTGAGACCAGGACAAGGACAGCAGCAGTGGAATGATGGACAATACCCCCCTGGCACAGGTCGCGGGACGCCGGACAGACCCCTCAGCTGGGAGCCGCAGGCGCTCTAGCTTAGCTCGCCTACTGTAAGGGACACTAGCCGCAAGTGATACGATACCAACCAGGATCCGGACGCGGACGATATTCCCATGAGGACTCGATGGACCTTCCTCTTTCCGCCTGCTCACGATCCTCCTGTAACGATCCGATGCTTGCAGACCAGTCTGTCTGTCTGTCATCGCAGACTTGTCGTCGTGCACCTCTCCTATACCTCCGCCTCCTCTTCCTCCCTCTAGTACCCTACTACTGCTACTCCTGCTGCTGCTGGTGCTGCTGGTGCTGCTGCTGCTGTTGTAGTTTTTGCTCCTTAGACATGTGTAAATAGTGCTACCCATAGCAATTTCAATCCCCATTCCCACTCCATATCATTCCCATTTCGATCCCAATCTCATCTTATACTCATACTCACGACGCACGACGCACGACGCACGATGCACGACGCACGACGCACGACGCACGACGCACGACGCACGAAGAATTGGACCGTACTAGACTCTTCGTTCTCGCCTCTTCTTTTTCAGACTGGACTGGGTGGGACAAATTTCACAAGGCGAGGCGAGGCGAGGCGACGCCAGGTGGGGTAGCTTGAGGTTGAGGTGGAGGTTGAGGTGAATAGCAGTGGCCCTAGCAGGCCTTCGGGACAAGAAACGAGAAACGAGGAATGAGGAACAAGGAGCATTCATTACAGGGCATGACGGTACAATCACATCTTCCAAGGTCATGTACAATGTCTCACTCTCCACTCTCTTCGCCTTCGCCTTTGCCTTTGGTGCAGAGATGGTGGTGGTGGGAGTGGAGGTTGAGTTAGGTATCACATCGGATCCTCCTTCTCTCCACCTCCTATCCGGGGTACTCCTAGTCAAATCCCTCCCCTCCATCCCCCTCCCCCCTCCCCCCTCCCCCGCCTTCCTGTAATTACCATCACCTCGGAGTCTTTTCATTCGGGTATCCTCCACTCGCACTCGCCCCACCAGGAACAGGCAAAGGTCCTCTCCTCCCCATCCCTCCACTCCCACCCCCACCACCTCCAGCTGCGCCAGGGGCCGCTCCGGCTACAGGGCTAGCGGAAGAGATTGCCGTGGCTGCTTCATAGGAGGGGACTTCGGGCTGCTGCTCCTGCTCCTGCTGGTGATACTGCCCCTCCTGATATGAGTAGGCATTTGAGTTCGGAGCGACTTGAGCTGCAGCAGTACTGCTGCTAGTATTGGCAGGATTGTGGTACTGGTAGTCTTCATACGCGTCGTCCTGCTGCTGCTGGTGTTGCTGGGGATGCTGTGGATGCTGCTGCTGATATTGCGAGTCGTAGTACGCATCGCCACGTCCCGTCGAAGACGAAGCCTGCTGAGGAGCATACGTCGACGCCTGCCCTCCCCCTCCCCCTCCCCCGTAGGGATCTACCGCCCCGCCAGTCTCGCTCGCGTCAGTGTACACATCGCTCCTTTGCTGTCCCCTCGACTGATAGCCCGTATCATTGGTCGAGCTCATCGCCAGTCGCTGCGCAGCGCTATGTCTCCCCTGCGCGGGCAGGGGGACAGGCATGGCCATCGTCGAAGGTCCGCCAACGGCATAGCCCGATGTGACACTCTGGGCTAAGGAGCGACTGCGTTCTGGTTGCGCAACAGGGGCAGGATCGGCGTATTGGCCGTAGCCCTGATTGCCACTGTCGTGTGCAGTGGGGTACTGGTAGGCATTACTGTGCTGTGTCTGTGGTGAGGCCTCGTCGGCATAGTAGCCGACCGTCTGTCCTCCAGAGCCAGAGCCTGCGTGGGGGTGGGCATAGCCGCTTGTAGGTTGAGAAGGGTCCGCTTGATGAGGGTTCGGGTACGGGTAGAACTCCTCCTCGCCGCCATAGGCCTGCCCGGCTACCTCCGTGGTGAACTCGTCACCGCGGTGAGACCGGCCGTAGGGGTCGTCGGTGTACTCTGTCCGTCCCGTATCATCTCGAGGGGCAGCACTATGGTAGGCACTTGCCGCCGCCAAGCCCGCAGCAGCTGCGCCTGGAGCAGCAGCGCCCGAGCCTCCGCCGTAGGCTGGTCCAACGCCGTTGACGTACCCCGCCCCACCTGAGCCATGATAACCTCCAGAGCCATACGCCCCTTGTGATTGTCCAAATGTTCTCCCTACTCCCGCTTGTCCATAGTCGCCATAGCCCCGCCCATCATCTGCATAATCGCGATATTCATAATCGTCCTTGAGGGGCACCACGTGCTCGTACTCGGCAAATTGAGGGAGATGTCCCGTGCCTGCACCCTTTCTATTCTGTTCTGCCTCGAGAGCATCCATTCTCATCCGCTGACCATATGCATTTGGGTCTGGGTGGGGAGTATGGTAGTCGTCATTGTCCTTTTTGCCTCGTCCTCTGCTTCGGCCACCGCTCGAGCCTGGGCAGCAACAGGAACAGCAGAGGGCAATTTGGGCGAGGATTAGGCACACAGCTGCAGCTAGAGTGAGCCAGACTGGGCGAGTGAGACGGAGTGGGAGGCATGTCAGCATATCAACACCACCTCAATGGCATGCAACGGGTCGCTCTACTCACTAGCTTGGCCATAGGAGGCAGTACCCCCCGCCGACTCCACCCTCTTCTTCAGGATTGTAAACAGGGCCAAATCAATGGCAAAGGATGCCAGCGACACCGTCGTTGCCAATCCCGCAACAAAGGTGGCCAGACAACCCATTCCAAAAGCACAGTGCTGCAGTACTCCCAGGAGGAAGGCGAGTGCAGCAAGCCCACATGCTATCGGGTGGAGGATGAGGACATAGGTAAGGTCGCGAACGGCATCTGTAGCGAGTGACTTGAGGAAAGAGGCAGATCCCGATACTCCTAGCAGATCAGCAGCATCGGTTACATTGTACCCCACGCTAGCCGAGGAGCACGTGCTGTTAACACAGTACCCCAGTGTGCCGAAGCGCAACGTCTCTGCAGTGGAGCGGGTGCTGGCTGTGACTTCGAGAAAGTAGAGAGAGGTGGTCACCGGCACAGTCACCGTCGCAAGGGCGAGGAGGACGGCGGCGGCGAGTGCCAGGAGTGTTCCTGGGAGTGCGGGATTCATGATCGGTCGCTTTGGTGTGGGCCAGCCCGGAGAAAGAGGAGAAGAAGTAGTGGGAGCCAAGGCCTAGTGAAGCGCGATCGGGAGGGTAGGGATGCGAAGGGTACGATGCAGTAGAGTGATGCGAAGTGGTTTGGCGGAAAGAGGGGCGCTCAACCACCTGCCTGGCTAACAACCTCCTTTGTCTGATGTAGAGGAGGTGGTTACAAACGCAGGGACCTCGCACTGCCGATCGGGATGCCGAGCAGGGGTATATCCACCAGAGCGGCGCAGAAGAGATCGAGGCGCAACAGACGACGGCGACGACCTCGAAGGGCTACAAGTCTCCAGCAACAGCCAAAGGGAAGCAGGAGGAGGAGGCGGAGGCGGAGGTGGAGCAATAATGGACTCCAAAGAGGAAGGACGGCTCGATTTCATCGAGTGAGGCGAGGCGCAGGGCCACATTACTTTACTCGCCGCCCCCCCGTTCGGGATTCGGACGACGGCGGGGGCATCTGACAGGACAAGGGCAGACGCACACAGACGCAGACGCAGAGGTGCCTTGACGCGAGACAGATGCTGTGCTCCGCCTCGCCCTCGCCCCCGCGCGCCTTGGCACCACAGCACACAGCCAACCCAGCAAAGCCACGCCACCCCCACACCCGCACACTCAACGTCTACATCCACACCTCTCTCAGGATACATTCACTCACGCCTTTGCTCGCTCAGCCAATTGCACACGCTTGCAGAGTGAGAATCAGCATGGGATCAACTTCTTATGTATTGTTCTGATGGCCAGACAATGTCAAATGTGTATGAGAGACAAGAAGGTGCAGCTGACAAGAAGCGCAGGGGTAGTACTGAAGGAGGCAAGGTGAGCCGACAAGTAAGGAAAGGGAGGAGGGCGAGGCGGCGGGAAAGCGGTAAAGGCAGCATTGGCTTGATTGATGACAAAAAGAGGCATGGTAAGAAAAAATTGGGTGTGTGAAAGAATGGGAAATGAAAAAATAAAAGGGGGAAAAAGAAATAATAGTGACAGAAGAGGTAGCAGCAGGGTGGGTGGGGAGACAAGATGAGGAGGGCAGCAGTCAGATCTGACCTCGAGAATAGAGGAGAGCATGAGAAGCGTGCCAGAATGACGTCTAGCCAAGGATCGCCCTTGGGTACTGCATCGCACAAAGCACCCCTGCGTACTCAAAGACCCGCCCCATCGCCGCGATCCCTCTTTCTTCTGCTGCAACAATCTCCATCCCGCCCTCTGTCCAGACTGTGAACCTCTACAGATGGCCACCACCGACGAACTTCTGCCTACGCCCTTGGGCTTCGTAATTTTGCTGACATGTATGATGGTGTGATTGAGAGAGAAACGATCGTGACCGTTCTTCGAGTGCCCCTGGTATTGCTCATCACGATCATGATGCCACTGATCGACTTGCGCGCTTCCACCTTCTTCTTTACGACTTCATTGTACCGCTTCTGCAAAAGAGTCATCCTAGACTTCATGTCTGCCGCTTCGCACGATCGATTGTGCAGCGGTCCTCCGCTTCTTCTTGCAAGCTGCGAACGCCCTGCACCTAGGCCCAGACGAGGAGCTTGGCATCCCAAGATCCAGTGCAGAGGGCCATCCCGTCCGCACTAACACCCAGACAGCTCACCCTGTTCTCGTGAGCAGCAAGCACACCCACCCGCTCGCCCTTGAGGGTGTCCCAGACGTTGCAGTGGTAATCGTCGTAGCCAGCAAAGAGCAATCGGCCAGAGTGAGAAAAGGCTACAGAGGTGATACCGCAGAGGATGTTATCGTGGGTGTACTGATTTAGCTCCCGGTCGGCTCGCAGGTCAAAGAGACGGCAGGAAGCATCGTCTGAACCAGTTGCAAAGGCGTCGCCATTGGGGAAGAAGGACACAGCATTGATGTCGCTGTCGTGGCCTGCAAAAGTCTGCACTGCCTTGCCTGTCCTGATGTCCCAGACCTTGGCCATGGTGTCGCAAGCTCCGGAGATGAAAGTGTTGGGGTTGGGGCCCAGCGAGATGCTGTGTAGCGATGACGACAAAGGGAGGGAAGGGTGGAAGGGCGGTCAGTCTCGACGTGATCTCGCTCGTGATTCACTGCCGGCCTTCGTCAACTCACCTCATCACATCTCCAGTGTGATCATTGAACTCCATTGTTCGCACACCTGCATCGATATCCCACAGCATACACGTCATATCACCCGACGAGGTGATAATCTGTCGATCATTGAGGAAGCGACAACACGAGAGGTAGCCCGTGTGCGCGCTAAGTTCCCTAGCCACCTTGGCACCTCCCTCCCTAGAACGCAGGTTGTAGATGCTGCAGATGTTGTCCAGACCACCACATGCCACCCAGTTGCCCGAAGGGGAGTAGGCGCAGGTCATGACCCAAGAGGAACGCAGCGGAATGGCATGCACCTTGTTGGTTGTGTATGCATCCCACACGATGAGCTTTCCATCTTGTGAGGCAGAGACGATATGCCTCTTGTCATTGGACCATTGCATGGCATAGATCTTGGCCAGATGACCCTTTAGTGTCCGTCGCGGCTTAATCACAATGCGTGGTAGAGGGTCGATCTCGGCAGCCATTGTTCTCACTGGAGTGGGGAGCAACGATTCAGGCAGGGTACGACATGAGTATAGTCAGTTACCGTACTCTCATCATAGCGCCGTTCAGAACCTTCACTTGTAGCATCCGTCATCTCCGTGTTGGCTCTATCAACTCACGTGTAGTATCAGCCAACTTCTCTTTCCTCGACCGGATTTGGTCTTTCAGCTGATCAGCTTCTCTCCTCGCAGCAGCGATCCTCTCCTGCAGATCCACATTTCCGTTGCTGGTCATATTGACTGTGTCGCGTGTGACGAAGAGCTTGTTGTGATGGTAGTAGAGGTGGTCTTGTGGGAGTGAGGGCTCAGAGGAGGTAGATCTGTTGAGCCTCTGGAGGTCGGGATATACCAGGCAGGAAGCTAAGGTCCAAGCGTCACTCGGTCTTTCGAGACCAAGGTTGAGATCTTGTACAGGTCGGCCGGCTAGACTCGTCTACTGCTGTCTCTGAGAGGCCAAAGACGAGATGAGAGCGTTATCGTTATCACCTGGTAGACGACTTGTCACTCTCAATGTGATGATGCTGCTGCAATTACTGCTTGCTCCTCCTGGTGCCAGTCGGAGACTTTGCAATGCGTGGTAGTCTACCCCTGACGCAGCCTCTCCAATAGCGCAGACTCAGGCTCGGGGAAGAGGTAGCCAGGTAGCGACGAAGGCGGAGGTGAGGGTTCCCTGTAACAAGAGTGCTGAGCGTCTACGAGGGAGGAACTGAGCCTTGTGACGAGTGCTTGCTTGTGTGCGCTTTGTGCAGCTGGCCTTTGTTGTGGAAGTTGCAGCTAGAGTGCCTGAGGTTGCTTGCAGGCAGTCAAGAGCAAAGGGGGTGAGCTCTCCAATAGTAGGGTGCGACGGCGAGTGAGACCGTCGAGGGGGCGAACAGGGGTGCTATGAGTCCAAGGTAGGACAGGGAAGGGGGAACAAGCGGCGGTGATGGTGACGGTGACGGTGACAGGGTAGGGGGAGAAGGGGGGGTGGGCAGATGAGATGCAGGAGAGCAATCGAAGTTGGGTGCGCGCCTCGCCTCGCGCCCGCTTTGAGCGTGTGCGTGGGTGGGTGGGTGTGCAGGCAGGCAGGCAGGCGTGCAGCCTAGATCCGAATTGGCATGGCTGGCGGGTGCGGGCGAGCGGGCGTGGACTAGGACGAATGTGCCGTGGCTGCTGCTCAGGCCAAGAGACAGACACACACACAGGCGCAGTGCCCTTCGTCTGCCCTAAAGGCGCAGACGGATAGAAGCAGAGCAAGGCAGCCAGGCAGGCGGGCGGGCGGGCCGGGGCCTTTTTCTCTCCCTCCCCTCCTCCCCTCGGTCCCTCTTCTTCCTCACTCACTCCTGCAACTGCAAATGCGATTCCCACAGACAGCTGCTGTCTGGACTATTCTCCGATTCCCCCTTTGTCTTTTCCCTACCCTCTTTTGCTCGGCACCTCGCCCCACTCGGCGATTTTAGAAGTGGTAGAAGGCAGTCGCAGTCACAGTCACAGTCCCAGTCCCAGTCCCAGTCGTCAGATGCATAGAAGGAAGGATAGATTGCACAAGTCTAGAATTGGCAGTGTTCGATGCAGTGCAGAGTGTCACATTGCAGGAATCGTGCCTAAGGAGAATGGGGGAGGGGAGAGCGGGCACAAACCTCCGCGGTGGCAATGGTACAACAGACGTACACAGACGATACGAAAGGATGCAAAGGTACGGGAGAAGGTGCGCAAGGGAAGCACATCTAGACGTCATGAAGGCGCAAAAGTTGAATATATCTAAGGTGAAAGCGCTGGATGTATCTAAAGAGATTGGGTATATGAAAGTACATCATGGGAAGAACAGACAGATTTCTACGGTATCTACTAAGTGCAGCGGATCAAGCGCTAGTGGTAAAGTGTCGCAGCCGACTGGCCCTGCGCGGCTGGTAGCGGTGCGAGGTGGAAGCGCCTGACTGGCACCTCGGCGCCACATCGCGGCCTCTCTCGCCGTCAGACGAGGAAGATGAGCTCGAAGAAGCGGGCGAAGACGTCGGGTTCACCGACATCCTCTGCCTCACCCACCTCACCTTGAGAGGCGCAGTGATCTTCTGTGCCCTCATCATCTCCAGCTCCAGGGAGAGCATGAGCAAGTGAGCTGAATTGCTCAGAAGCGTCGGCCTCGCCGAAGGCTGGTTAAGCACATCGCCAGACGACTGCTGATCCTGTGGTGAGGGCTGGTGGATGTCTACAGCGCTTGGCGACAAGCCTTCCGCCTCGGATGGCGCAGAAGAGCTTCCTGGCAGATTACCCTCCAGACCAAACGTAGTTCGTCGAGACGAGGCATCGCGTCGCGAACCAGGCAAGGACATGCCAGGGCCAGTGGGTGCCGACAGCAAGGGCTTCTGCTTCAGCAAAGATCCGCTCTTGACGATCTCGAGGAGGCCAGAGCTGGAAGCAGAGCGTGGAAGACTGTTGCGAGGGTGCTCATCGGAGCTGAAGCTACAGCTGGTCACCTTTACATCGTCTCCTCGTCCTCGGCCTGATCGAGAGCGCTCGTCAGAGCTGTGACCCTGCTCACTGCGCTGCCTGATCATGGAAGGACGAGCTGATGGGCCCACATCGGCATTGATACAAGTGCCAGCATGTTGCTTGGCCACGGCGTTGCCATTAGCAGCTACCTTGGCATAGGTAAGGTTGGGCGAGCTTCGAATCGACCTCATGGATGCGGGTCCCTCTTCGGTCAGAGAAGCTCGCCGGCCAGTGAAGAGGCCGACGGCGCATTGACGGGAGCGAGTGGGAGCGACGTTCATCTCGCGCGAGGCTTGTCGACTTCTTCCGCGGCCACCCCTGCCTGCACGGCCTCGGCCTGAGGTCTGATCGTCATCACTATCAACTCTAGTTCGCGGGGCCGATGATCCTTGCTCCGCATCGTCAGATTCAGAAAGGATGAACTTCGAGACTCGTGGTCTTTCTTCGTCGGACGAACCAGAGCCTGAGGCGCCTTCGAAGGCCGAGAAGTTTTGGGGTACAGGAGCTTCAGCAGCAGGTCGCGAGGCACGGACAGCGTCTCTGGACCTTGCGGCGCGCCGATGGTGAGAAATGGTGATGAAGCCGTCCTCGTCTGGCACCTTTGTTCGAAGGGATGCAGAACGGCTGGGGGATGTGTCGCGGTGACACGTATCTCTTGAAATTTGAGAGTCCTCTTTGCGGCCCTCCTCTTCCGTCTCGTCGTCGTGCAAATTGAATGATGCCCGACTCTTGACGTTCGTGCGCTGCGACGCTTCCGCTTGGCGAGAAGCAGTTCCGACGAGAGCAGTGTCAGAGCTGAGGACGAGAGCAGGCGGTGCGTCGTCCTTTTGCTTCGCTGCCAGGATTGGGCTACGCTCACTGTCCGAAGCGGTGGCTCTCTCGTCAACAATTGGGAAGCGCTTCCTGTGCCGTCCGCCACTCGTATCTACTGAGCGGCCTCTTGCTCGAAAGGCTTGCAGATGCACAACGGAGGAAAGCTCAATGTCCGGATCGATGCTCTGTCCCAGACCAGATACATACGCCCCGGGATCTTTGTCACCTTCAAGTGGACTTACGACACCTCGCGAGGTGAAGCTCGAGCGGCGGTTGCTGGATCGCTGTGCCTGGGTAGCATCGCTTGAGAGTGTGATGCTGGACGCCTCGGGCGAAGACACCAGGGACGACAGCGAGAGTGATGCGTTTTCGAGGATGTCTTCTTCACTCTGACTACGGACAAGGGCCCCGTCAGTCGTTGCAGATGGGGACTCATCGCTCCGAGGTGCGCTCGCGATGCCCGTCTGATCTCTAGCACCGGGGAAGAAGAGGTTTGGCAGGCGAGCAATCTGTCTCCAGCTGCTTGCCAACAAGCTCGACCTCGACTCGTCCGTCACAGCTGCCGAGGGTGAGGGTGATGGTTGACTGCCCGCCTCCCCGGTCGGGGGTGTCGAGCTTGCTGGAGAGGCAATGTTGGAGAGAACGCGGAGCTGACTCTGAAGATTGCTGAGACGATGCTGGTATGCCATTGCAAACCCTGATCTACGCGCCGCTTCGTGCTCGCTGTCGGACAAGTCCTTATGCTGCTTCTCTGCCACGGAAGAGTCCGGATGTTGCTTGACTGCTGGTGCTGCAGCGGAAGGCTCTTCTTCGTCTAGGAGGGAAGTAGCCTCGAGTGCAGCGACCGTCGCATCGCCACCGTTGCTGAGGGACGATTGGCCGGGGCGAATGCTAACCACAGAGCTACGTCTTGCCGGCTTGTTATTGCTGATGTCGTTGTCATCCCAGTCGACCGGATCAAGCTTGAGATAGTCTTCGACAGAAGCAATGGAAGTTCCGGAAAGCATGTCCCCTGCCGTCTTTTCAGCTTGTCCAAATGACATGGAGAGGGCCCATGGCAGCCTCCGAGGAGGAGACCCAAAGCGGCGGCCAAGTGAGGCAGTGCCGGCAGAGACAGGCGCGAATCCCAAGACTGTACTCTCGCGGGTCGGCACAGACGTAGAAGTTCTTACGGCAGGATGGTCGACATTGGAAGGTATGCTGGGTCGTCTCGAGCTTGGCAGAGAGTTTGCCGACTTCCTCTCTGTGCCCTCGACATGAAGGCCGTGCCCACTGCCGCTACGAGTCCTGGAACGTCTCCGGCGGAGGAGGGCAGCGGAGAAGGCCTGTGCCGAAAGAGCGGCGGCGGTGGGGTCTTCCTCATCATCTGCCAATCCGAAAAAGGCAGCCTCTCCCTGCTCGCTGTGGAGCCTACTGCGACGCATGGGATCAGGCGAAGGCACAGCCAAGAACTCTACCTCGCTCGAAGGACTGCGACTCATCGCGCTTGAGGGATCCGAGAGCTCGTCAGGCGTGGTAGGAGTGGCAGAGGCGGAAGTAGACGCAGAGGTGAACTCGGGAGAGGGACAGACCAAGACCAAGTCCTCTTTGGAGAGGCTCTTCTCGGACATCTCACGACGAGCAGCTGCATGAAGGATGCGCATCCCCCTTTGCCTGTCCCTCTCAAGACTTGCTCGGCGGCTGCGAGCGAGGCGACTGGCATGAGCGCCTTCCTCATCTGAGCTGGTGAGCTCGTCGCTGTCCACCTCTTCTGCAACGGGAAGCGAGGCAGTGAGAGGACGAGCGGAACTGGTCCTACTTCTTGAAGATTTTGGTTTTCGGGGCAAGGAAGGTCTGAGATCGGGTAGCTGGGTGGCCAAAAGCAGACGAGAGGCGGGTTGGTTCTGCGACGCTGATGTGGCTAAAGACTGCCTCGAAGTGGCGTCCGCTCGTGCCCCTGCAACTGTCATTTCCGATTCTGCGCCACTGGCCCCGCTTCCACTTCCACTACCGCTACCGCTGGTGCTGGAGAGGACAGTGGCGCTAGCCCCACGACGATCCCATCTACGTGAAGGGCTGACATTGGCACTCCTACCGCGGCTGATCTTGTAGAGCGAGGGTGTGTCCTTGCTGGAGGTTGCAGTGCCCGTGTATTGATTTGTTGCCGAATGAGGAGCTTTTGCGGTAAGCAGACCATGGGAGGGCAAAACCTTGCCAGTTGTTGCTGCATCTACGTCTACATAGAGTCTGCGTTCCGGCCTCTTACCAGCCGCAATGGATGACAGTGGCTGAGTCTGGAGATGGTGCTTCTCTGGAATGAGACCAGCGATGATCCGTTGTGCTTCTCCAGGTATAGTAGAGGGCGGTGTGTACGAGGCAGACGAAGGCGCCACTGCCGCCGAGGAGTACGGCGAGGCCTTCGTCGTCGAGCCTCCGGGGCTCATAATGCTGGGTGAGATGATGCACCAAGATCAGGTGCAGATGCTCTCTATGTCGGCGTGGGGTTGTAGCAGGAAAGAGGTGCCTCGTATGCGACGGAGTGCTCGATTATGCTGGATAGAGGCTCGAGAGTAGGACGGAAGCAAAGGTAGCGACGTCGGGATGGGGGGATAGGGTGGACGTGCGTGGCCAAGGGAGACGGGAGGCGCAGGTGCCTTGCAGAATCAGCTTTCCCTCTTTGGCAGGTGTCCGAGAGAAAGAGAGAGAGAGAAAGAGAGACACCGAAGTGAGAAGAGGTGCCGCACGATGGTTTGGGTGATTGGTAGGAGGCGTGGGTGGGACAATGGACGAGGGACGATGAACGATGGTGAGAGAGTGAGATTGCCGGTGGGGGGGGGCGATGAATTAGAACTGGCGTTGCCTCACCTTACTCGTCCGACTCGTTAGAAATGGCGGCAGGGCGGGCCAGTCTCAGCGCCTTGGGTGGGGGCGGGAGAGTGGGGCCACCTGGCCCGCGTTGCTGTGCCGGGACTTGCCTTGGCTGAGCTGCGCCTTGTGCCTTGTGCCTACGCCTGCGCCTTTGCCCGCCTCCCCTTTCAGGCCCCTCCGGGAAATTGCCGCACAAGAAATTAGCAGTCCTCTCTTAGGCCGCCCGGCCAATGTACAGTGGTAGGCAGGCACGCCCACCGGCACCCGCTCCCACTAACAAAGACCCGCGGCGCCCCGACACCATCCGGACTTGTCGTCCGTCGCTGGGCTCCAGTCCTTCTGATTGACCTCGTCATGCCCGACGACCCGCCCCCGCAAATAGCCACTCATTTCACGTGTGCCAGACGCTAGTCCTTGCATGACGTCCGGCCGCGGCTGCTAACTGGTACAGCTAGCTCCATCGGAAGGCCATGCAATGCAGCACTTTCAGGAGGGCCTGGCTCAGAGCAATTGCGGCCATTGTCGGCAATGTCGTCAGAAGGGGCCACTCAGGCACACACGAGGTCCGGAACAAGTGACGCTGTCCAGGGTGCGGAGCAAGCACCACAAACCAGAAGTGTGGGACAATTGAGACTCTCCTCACACTTCCCGTTGCTTGAGCAAGTGGTGGTAATGAGCGTCACAGTGCTCGCCTTTGCCTGGCGGGATGATGAGTCCCTCTGTACACAATGCGGGTCAGGAGTATGGAACGCAGGGGCCCACGTCCTCTCACCAGGGATCATGAGAACAACAGAATGTCTGAGGACAAAGTACACGTAACAGAGCACCGGTAATCGTCACAACAGGGTTGCGAAACAACGGGGCTTGCCTTGATGACGCAGCAGTAGGACAAAGTTGAAACACTCGCTATACGATGACCGACGAGATGGCATTGTGGAATCAGCAATGCTACGTCGAGAAAGAAGGGGGAGCAGGCGGGCGCGGAGCGGTGCCGTTGGGTCTTGGGAAGTTCCGTCTGCAATGGGTAAGAGGAGGAAGCATCAGCGGGGAGGACGTTCGGTCAGCATTGCCTCTCGTGCCTACAGCATCGTGAAAGCTCCCATAGGGATATCGGACCGCCGGAGTGAATTGACTCACCTACTGAGCAGCAGTCCTTTCAGACTACGAATCTCCGCTCGAATCTGAGCAGACGTCTCCATGACTGTGTCACCCTCGCCTTCCTTTGATTCACCAGCACCGCTAGCAGTCGACGAAGAAGGGAAGTTTTGCGCAAAGTTGAAGGTACCGTAGGCACCGCCTGTGTGACTTGTTCTGAACGACCTGGTCTGGCTGTGCAGGATACGCGCGCTGATGGAAGAGTTGAGGTCGACAAGAGTGTCATACAGCGCACTCGAAGAAGCAGAGGAGTCGTTGAGGGACGAGCTGGTAGTCGAGGAAGGTTGGGCACTGAGTGCGGACTTGTCGCTCGTCGCTGTGGTCTTCTTCTTCTTGTGCGATCCTCTCCTCTTGCCGCCCTTCTTGACGGGCGCAGCAAAGGGATCGAGCTCCAGCTCTTCCTCCTCGCTGTCCAGGTCGTCTTGCCAGCTACTGTCGCTGCTAGAGGCTTCCTCGTCATCTGCAACGGTCGCCGACTTGCTGCCTCCGGTTGAAGAGGCTGCTGCTGTTGGCGACGAAGTCAGTGACGCCTGATCCACATCTCCAGTCTGACCACGAAGGCGTTGGGTCAATGCAGCTAGCGATGCTCGCAGCGGCTCTGAGACATCGATTGGCTCTACCGCCTCTTCCGCACCTTCCTCTTCAAAACTCTTCTCTTCCTCCCCGCTACTTTTTTTCGTTGTAGTGGACACGACGACGTCAGTCCCTGGAAGCACGACGTCCGTGTCTTTGCCGCCCAGTTGCGTCGTATTCTCGGGAGGTGATGCAGGATCCTCTCCTTCCCTTTGCTCCAGCGACCCGCCCTTGACTTCATCAGCGAATTGGACCTTCTTTAAGCTACTCCGCCTTCTCCGGGTGCCATCTTCAGCCTTCTCCGTCTCTTCCTTGACTGCCGATTGAGTGGGTCGGGGAGGGGCGAGGGAGGCTTGCGAGAGATTCCTGACCGACCGCACGACGTGGTTCCAGAGGCTGTGATGATGTTTGAGTACAAAGCTCCGCGAGTCCAGCATGGTCACCAATTTTGGCATGACATAGAGCTGACGGCCAGTATACAGAGTCGAACAGTCAGCTCGACTGATACTTGAAATCATGAAGGCGCATAGCACTCCTCTTGAGCTCCCTCAAGGCTGTCCCTCGTGCACTCACCCTATATGCTAGCACTCCTAGAGCAGCCAATCCCCCTCCGAAAGTCAGCATCCAACTCAAGCTCCTAAAGAATCCCAGCAAGACCTGATATCGCCTCGTCGTCTCCTGCCTGCGAGCGGCTTCGTCCACCCTCCCCTGCGCCTCTTCATAGTAAAGTGCCAGCGGGCTGCGTGGGTAATTCTTCGCCGGCAGGACCGGACCGGCTACGTGGATGGGATCGTCAAAGGCCCGAGAGGCTTGGTCGAATGCTGCCTCTTCGCTCAGAGCTCCCTCTTCACCTGCGAAGGATCCAGACTGTGAGCCCGAGCTGGAAGTAGAGGTCGAGGCCGAGGACAATCCAAGGGAGGAAGGCCGTGCCGCATCTTGGAATGCTGCATCGATGGCTGTCTCATCTAGCCCTTTGGCCTTGAGAAAGTCTCTCTGTGCCTCTACAGACGCATTGGGGGAGTGGTGGCGCAGGGAGGTAAGGAAGCGGACGGCTTGTGCGTGAAGCGGAGGTGAGGAGGATGACGAGGATGCTAGTGGCGCCACGCCCGGTGCTGGCGTAGCCGACGAGGACGAAGCCGTCGAGCTTGAGGGTATCGGTCCAGGTTGCGCAGCAGGTGCGTCTTGCACTGAGCTACCAGGATTGTCGTCGCTCATCTCGAGGAGCCAATGGTGGAGTAAGAGATGAGCGTAGATACCAAGCCGGAAGGAAGGTATGATGTACGTGCGGATGGCCGGTAAGAGTTGCCGGTCCGACTCAGCTCGCGTGTCCCCCTTTCCGAATGTGGCTGGGCCTCTGGCTGCAGGCGACTCCCCAGCGGTGAGCTGGGTGTCTTGTGCCTTCGTCTACTCTACACTGCTATCCTCAAGGAAGTCCACCCTCCGCTAGCCAGCACTACCGTCAGCAACGTCAATCAGAACGTCATCCACCCAAGCTCTGCCTTGTCTCCACTGTCCCTCCATGCCTCTTCTTCCCACCTTCAACTCAACTCACCTCAAAGGGCACCCTGAACAGACCTTCCACTTCTCGAGCTCACACAAGTGGACTGGGCTAAAGGGTCTTTCTACAAGCACACCTCTCTCGAGTCTCGTCAAGAGATTCGGAGGGGATGATGGCCCGAGATTTGTACCAACCACCGTACCTTGGGGGTCGGGTAGAGGGTCACCGTGGGAAACAGCCACCTACAATCTGGGACCAGATCGTCCTGTCTTCCCTCGGTCGTATGATGGCATGTTTCTCTGTCAATGTAACTTCCTCATCCAGTTCTAGCTGCAACGCATGCCAACTGACATTGCGACGTCTCTTGACCTGCAAAGAGAAGCAGAAATCACTAGCTTCGCCATGTATTGTACACTCTCCCCCTGTCTCCCCGCCTGTACATCGCATCGTCTGCCTTTCCTTTCCCGCTTACATTCCGTCTCCCCAGGCCGCTCGAGGCAACGGAACAGCTGACCATGCAAGCCAGCCAAGAGCAACACAGACCGACAGACCGACGGAGCGACAGACGCAGACTCGACCGATTGATAGCACAGTACGTAGTATTTCGAGCCAACAGGACAGACCGACGAGCCAAGGCAGGGAGCGACACAAACAAAGGGGAAGGGAAGGGTGGACAGGTAATTTCGGGGGAAGGGGAAGACAGTATTGAACGTAAAGACCCATATGGGATCAACGGGTCACATCAACAGGGGAGAGAAGCAGCCGAGGGGATAACAGGAAGAGGGGCGAGGCGTAGGTGACGTGGGGAAACATCGGGATGCGAATCGAGGCCAAAAGACCATCGTCGGAGGACGAAGGCATTCAGTGCCCGCTTGCCCGCCCGTGCGTCGGTCTTTTGCCGCTCAGTACTTGGCTTCCACCTTGGCACGAGGGAATTGAGGCATCTGTAGCGGGAAGGGCTTCGGGCCACTCGTTGGAGCTCCTGGTCCAGAGGTAGGTCCCCCTTGTCCTGGCTGGGGATATGCCATGGAAGAGACGGGCGACTTGATGTAGCTACCAGCCATGTTGGCGCTGCTCATCATGCCACCTGGAATTTGCTCAGTAGCAGACAGAGGCGTGCGAGGCGAAGGGAACTGCCCAGAGCTTGCGCTGCTGATTCCACTGCTGTCAGAGTGCAGACGTTGAAGCTGAGTGGGCTGACCACTAGCACCTCCGTATGAGCTCAGGTAGTTGCCAATAGCACCGTTGCTGCTGGTGCTCGCAGAGAGACTGGGAGGCGAGAAGACTGCACCAGAAGGACGGCTGTTGGCTCCAGTAGGTGAAGGGAGAGGGAATGTACCGTACATGGGAGAAGGCGGCAACATCTTGTTTGCACTGCCGGCCGATTGAGGCGGGCCCTGAATGTAATTTTGAGAAGGGGAAGAAGAAGATAGGTTAGGGACCAGGGGTGCGGAAGCAGACCTGAAGTCCTGTGGTTGCTGTGCAGGAGGGTAGACGGGAGAGCCTTGCCCTTGCGAAAATTGCTGCTGCTGCATCTGCTGTGATTGTGGTTGTACCGATTGCGCGTACGTTGCTCGAGAAGGAGCATCGATTGTTAACGGACCAGCCCAAGCTCCTCTCGAGTCATTAGCGTTGGGTTGTTGGCGGGGCTGGTCTCGCGGAAAAAGCGACGGGGACGGGGATGAAGTGTATGGTCCTCCGTTGCCATTTCCTGCTTGCATAGGCCTGTAGGAGGCAGGAGCAGCCATGTGGTAGCTATCATAGCTGCCACTGCTGCTACCACCGCCATTTGGCGCGTCCGCGTGATGGTAGGGTTGAGGAGCAGGTGGACCTTGGTGCTGCTGTCCCTGAAGCGAGTCCACGGTGGATGAAGAGGCACCACCGGGCTGAGCAGACGAGCCCGTGGTAGCGCGTCGCTTGTAAGGGCCCCTCTTGATTCCTCGCTTCCTCTCCTTCCTCATGCTGTCCTGGCAGGTGTCCACGAGTCCGTACTTGATGCATCTGGTGCAGGGCCTTCCTTCGTCGCACTTCTTGCAAGCCTTCTGACAGTTGATGCACGCGTTCTTGACCTGTCGCCTCTTTGGGCGCATACCATGTGGCAGAGCACTGGCCGATGTGTCTGAGCCTGACCCTCCGGTGGGGCCCTGAGCAGCAGGCGCGTGTCCGTTACCGTTGTCCAAGTGAGACATGGCACCGTGGTGAGATTGTCCCATGGAACCGTGGTGAGGGTGGTACATGTCGTCCTGAGACGTGTGGTAGGCACCGGGCTGCTGCTGGTAGACGTGTCCTGCATATTGGTGGGGCTCGCCATACGACGACGAGGGCTGTTGACCGGGCTGCTGGTGCTGCTGGTGTTGGTATTGAGGGTGAATGGGCAATCCGCTGCTGTAGCTGTGAGCTGGATGCGCGGCATAGCTCATGTGTGCGCTCGATCCCTGGTATCCTCCCTGCTGCACGTCGTGCTGAGATGGAATATGTCCGTAGACCGAGCTGCCTGCAGGCACGTAGCCTCGCGAGGGAGGAGGGAGTGCCTGTTGAGAAGAGTAATAAGGTCCGGCACCCGCAGACGCGTGGTGTTGTGATTGCTGGGACGTGGGTTGCTGGTAGGCCATGTTCGCAATGGGTGGAGTTGGGAGCGTGGAGGACGTGTGAGACTCCGTCGTGACGGCAGGCGGAGATGGCGGAGGCGGAGGTGAGGGTTGCGTATCTTCCCCTTCACCCTTTACGCGTCTGCTCTTGTCAATTCGCGGCATCGTTGGCAAGGGAGGGCCAACGATGGGCAAAGACAAAAGACGAGATCGCGAAGGAGGGTCGAGACGATGATGAGACGCGATGAGTAAGATGGATGAGGGGGGGATGAGAGAAAGAGAGAGGGAGAAGGGCGAGGCAGGCGAGGCAGAAGAGGGGACCGGATGGGGGGTGGGGGAAAAGGGCAGGCGGGCGGGCGGTCAGTCACGGATGCCCGCGATGGGAGAGAGCGCGCGGATGCAGACACACGTCCATTCCTCTGCTCTGATGCCTGTCTCTCAGCCGCGGAATCCTGGCGATGACTAGCTAGCTCATCGCTCCCCTTCCCTTTATGTCCTACTCGCTTCACCTCGAACGATGATCCATGAAATGGGTACTCACGACCAATAATATTGCTAAAGACGAGTGCGTGTGGACGTCGCTGCTCGAGATGAGAGAGACGCGTTGTCTGACTTGCTAGCGGAGTCGGGCAAGCGAGGCACCGATAGAGAGGAGAGAACGAAGTCCGTTTTAGAGAGAGAGAGAGAGAGAAGCGAGAGGCAGAGAGGTATCGAAGAGGATGGTACCGCAAACGTAGATGGATGTGAGAGAGAGATATCTTTACGAAGATGGCTCACAGTACAAGAATGATGGATGGTAGTGCTCACCAAAGAGGTGAGAAGGAAGGGGGTGAGGTTAGGATCGCTGCGAAGGGGAAAAGGGAATTGGGAGGAGACTGAAGCGGAGACTGGTGTCTACTTAAGAGGAGGGGCAAGAGACGCAGCTGAGCTTCGAACAACAAGGGTGCCAGGTCGTGGCTCGAATCAGGTAAAGAGTGTGGCTGACCGACCCAGGGGTGGGAGAGGAGGAAGCTGTAGAGTGATGAGAGGAGGTAGGGGCAGCGGACGAGCGCCCGCTTCGTTCCTTCGAAGTGGGGAAGATCGGGTACTCCGAGCAACTCAGCGGCCTATGGATTGAGCTGACCTGGTCTGATAGACGGGGCTGGGCAAGACACGAGGACCCAGCTGGCGGCCTATGGCCCGACGATTTGGACACCTCAGTGCAGGCAGTACGTTTAGGCTTTCTCCTGGCAGCGCCTCCTCTCATCTCGAGGTTAAGTCTGTGGCGACGCATTGTTTCGAATTCCAAGGACAACGGGCCAGACCTTTGGGCGCCTAAGGCCGTACCTGTCTGTCTGTCTCTGTCTGTCTCTCTCTCTCTCTTGGGCTGCTAGCAAGCCGGGCATTGAGTAAGCCCCACCAGCGCAGTCCTCCTGCGAGGATTGTGCCTCCGTGCTGATGGGTTGAGGGCAGGCAAGACGCGAGAGCCCTTGCACCTAGGGAGCGAGCGCCTTTCCATTGGCCGAAGCTCGGTACGCCTTGCCTTGCACACCCAGTCTGGCACAGCAAGGTCCAGCCCTTTGGAGGCCCGACGAATGGTGTGGCGTGGGGACGCGAGGCGAGTCAGTCAGCCACCCGCCACGGCCGAGCTGGGCTGAAAGGCTAGAATCCTGCCGGTTAGCCTCATGCCCGCACGCCCGCCCGCCTGCCACCTTCCTCCTCCCCCCCCCCCCCCCTCGGCCCCCCTTCAGCGACGCCACGCCAATTACAACCGCTGCTTGCCCTGGACCTTATCACGCGGCGGAATCGCCACGCAACCGCCAATGTAAAGGTCAGGGTGGGTGGCCCGCCAAGGAATCTAAAGGGCAGCACGCCGCCGCCGCCGCCACCACCACCACCCGTTGATCCCCATATAGCCTCCCCCCTCCGCCTCCCTGAAGAGGATGCAGGCACACGGCAAGGATTGGCTCAAGCCACAGATCGGGACCCGTCGATCTCAGCGGTCAGAACGGCAAACTGATCCAGTGAAGCTAAGCAGGCCAGCAGACCAGCAGGCAAAGTAAAGGCGAGGGGACATCGGAGCCAGCGGAGCCATCGATACTTGTAGATTGACGGCGGCAAGTCAAGAAAGGGAGTCACACATTACCAACTGCCTTACGGATCGCCGCCTGGAGCGCGATCCTTGATCCCGACCTTCACACGTCTGACCTTTCCAATCGGACTCGGGACTTACCCCCACCTTTCGTACACCGCTGATCCGCCTGATTTCAAATGTCTTGTCGCCTCCACCCCCTCCTCCCAACCCCCACCCACCCCAACTGGCGCTACCCTGAAATTTTCCGGTTCTGTCCGTGTGGCATCAGTCGTGTGGATGGCCGTCATGCTAGAGCCTCTTGTCGGTCTTTCGCAGCCTCACTGGCACCTGACCTATCCTTTGCAGCAAATGCAGCAGACAGGGACCGGTGGGAGACTTTGGCAAAGGGCGCAGAGTGGAAAGGAACATATGCAAGGTCTAGCTCGGGGACTCGTGTGCAGAAGGACCGCGGCGGCATACAACCAAGACTTGCTCTCTCCCTTTCTCTCTCTCTCTCTCTTCTCTTCATTGCTGCTTTTCTTATCCGGCCACATTCCTCTGCATGCTAACCCCCTCCTCGACTGCTCAATGATGGAGGAGGGGGGGGGTCAAGCGGCACTGCATTTCCGTCCTCGGGGTCCGGACCGATGCCGGGGATGCATTACTGCAGTGTCAGGCGAATATAGGCAGCAAGTGCAAGAATTCGGACCGGTCCTCGGGAGACAGCAGATGAGTTGCAGCAAAGGAATAATTGATACAGTACAATACATTGAGGTGCGATGTAGAGTGGAGCATTGCACGTAGTAAACGAAGGCCACGGAGATGGGGGCAAGGCCGCGGCTGGGTGAGGGGTATCGTACAGATTCTTCCCGTCTGCCATGTCGCTCTGCTTCTTCCAGATTGAGATTCGGAGAAGGTCAGCTCAAGCGGCGGCCACCACCTTGGTCGCCCCGCTAGCAGCGCCAGAAGTGACTCCTTCCTCGATGACAGGTCCAGGTCCCATTCCAGCTTCTTCCTCCAAGAGCCTGCACTCCTCCTCGATGCTCTCATTACGAGACTCTAGCCACTTGACCAAATCCACCGCCTGAAATAGCACTGCACTCTTTGAACCCGCCCCTCCTCCTGCGCTTCCACCCCTACCCCTTCCTTTGCCCCTTCCCCGAGCAGCAGCCGCTGCCGCACCATTGCCTCCAGCGGCAGCAGCAGCTAGCAGAGCATTCCTTTTGGCCCTAGCCTTCTTTCTCCGCGCCTTGGCGAGTGCTGCTGCCTCCTCATCCGACTCCTCGTCTGAGCTGACATCCGTCCGGTCGTCCAAACCCTCGTCCTCGATACCCGTTCCAGCACCGCTACTGAGGCCCAGACCTCTAGCGCCATACGACCTGCCGAGATCGAGGAGAGAGACCAGCTCGGCAAAGCCCTCGCGGATGTGGTTGCGACGACGCTGCTCCGACATGATGTGATTCTGGCGCTTCTCCTTGTCCGTGAGGAGGTCCCTCCTGGAACCCATTTGATCCTTTGAAGGCGTCGATGTATCACCGCCAGAATCAGAAGTGGGAGAGTCTTGCTTCTGGAAGCTGCCCCGTGCTTTGGATGACGACGCTGCAGCTGGCACTCTTTGCAGATGCAACATCGAGGGCTGGGCTTGATGAGACAGAAGTGGCGGAGGCCCGCGGCTGTTGAGGTCACCGGCTTGCATTCCCGCATTGGATGGCCATACGAGGTGTCCGCCAGAGGTTGCCTTGCCGCCTTCCAGATGAGCTAGACTACCCCTTCTCTTTGGCTCTCCGGCCTTGACGCGTGCATATGACGACCGCTTGCTGCCCAAAGATGTCGCTCCACCATCCAGCTCGTCTTCCTCTTCTTCCATCTCATCGAGATGACCCCCGAAAGCTGCAAATGAAGAATCTGCTGTCGAAGCGCTACGTTGCAGCTGGAATGATTGGCCATCCTGTGATGGTGAGAGTGTATTCTTCCGGGTCGAACTCTTCCGCCTGTTGCCATTGCCGCTGCCGTTGGGTCCCTTGGGTGTAGTCAGATTGGCCAGGGTACCATTGTTCGCAGGGGGCGGCGTCTTTACAAGATGTCCACCATAACCATTGCCTCCTGCTTGCTGTGCGGCTGCAGCGGCAAAGGAAGGCATATTGTCAGGCAAAGTAGGATTGAAGTTCCAGCTTGACTCAAAGCCTTCGAGGAAGCTGGAAAGGAAGTCAGATTCCGAAGGCTCGAAGAGAGGCTGCACAGAGCCCGCCGAATTGCCCTTGAGTACCTGGGGATGGGAGTGGTAGCCCGGTCCTGAGACCACGGGAGCAGCCCTCATCCCTGGAAACTGTTGCTGCTGCTGTTGCTGCTGTTGAGAAAATTGTTGACCTGGGTATAGCGATTGGTCAAACGAGGCGCTTCCCTGTCCGCTCTGTCCGCCGAGGAGTGAATTGAAGGAGAAGGCACCTCCATCCGGTGCCGGCGGCGGCTCAAAGTCGGGAGGAGGAGGGGGTCCAGCTCTCAGCGTGGAATTTGACGAAGCTGAAGATGCAGGTGTATCTAGCTGCATGCTCGTCATAACGGCGTCTTCTGACCCTAGCTGTCCTGCCGCTCCTCCCATGGAAGAGGACTCTGCTTCCGCTTGAGGTGGTTGAGGCTCCTGGCTCACTAGAGGCGCAGGTGTGCGTACGAGAGGTGTGGCCGACCCAAAGAGAGCTGAGCCTGACACTATGCTTGGAGTATGCATTGCGCTAGAGGTGCCAAAGAGGCCATGAAAGTCGGTCTGGTTCTGCAGTAGAGACAGGTCCGAAGCATTAATGTTCTCGGGAAGATCGAGAGAGAAGTGAAAGTCTTCATACGGCACTGGCATGGGAGGAAGGTCGAAGCTCGACGTTTCCCCTGCTCCTACGCCTGGGAACGAGGAGGACTGTGACATGGCAGGGGCGGTCATTGCCATGGCAGGGTGAGCGGGTCCAGAGCCGCTCGGGGAGGAGAGTAGAACGGAGGAGGGAGTTGGCTGAGGCTGCGATCCGGAGAACGTATGTGTCGGCGAGGTAGAGTTGTAGGAATAGGATGGAGCGCTTGGATGACGAGATCGAGAGGATTGAGGAGACGTAGGAGTAGGAGTGACTGTCAGATCCGGGGACAAGGCATGCGATGTCATGGAAGGTATTACTCCCCGGATCCTCCGTGGTCAGCGAGGGGGGGGCTCGCAAGGTCAGGGCGTCTTTGATTCAGATGATCGCGCTCGGCCGAGGTTGGGCAGTCGGAAGTCGTTTGTTGTCTCAGCGCTGGAGGGGCAGCACCGCTTGAAGGGGGTAATGCGACGGGATGCGGGGTCCTAGGTGGGTGAGCTGATGGAATGACGACGAGGATCGACGGAGACGGCGGCGGCTGCAGCAGTGGGCAGATTGAGGTGGCAGCCGAAAAGTGGTGCGTCGCAAGCGGATCTGCTGAGGAGGGGGAGTCGGCGCAGAGGAAGAGGCAGAGGAATTTAGCTGCAGAGGGTCTACGGCCAGTCTGAAGAAGAGTGTCCGGGCGTCTGAATTGAAGAGGAGCTTGGAAAGGGGAAGAGGTGTGAGGTGGTGAGGGATGCGGGTGGAGGAGAGGGGCAGCTTGTCAGAGTGGTACGGCAGCCCAGGGCGAAGAGGGCAACGTCGTCGCGGCGAGCGATGGTGGGCGAGAGTGAGCGGGTAGAGGAGCCTGTCGCAGGCGAGGGCGGGGCTCCTCTCGATTGGATCCGTGGAAGGGCAAGGCGGAGTGGGAATGCCTGAGTGTGGGCTGTCTCATGCGAGGCAGACTTGTTCCCATAGAAAAGCGCCGCGGGAGCAGCGTGGAAGCCGACGACAGCAGAGGCACAAGACCAGTCACCACCACCTTCCCTCGTGATCTCCTGTGCAGCAGAGGAGCATCGCACCAGAGCCAGACCAAGTGTGCCTCCGACTCAGACGGGGTCTCAAGCCACTCTGCATCGATCGCCAGCCTTCCACGCTGGCCTCGTGGCAGTCCAGCTCTGTCCACTTCACCACTGCTGATGGCTTTGCCTGCCGACCTCGCATGAGCACTGGTGCGCAGACGGGGCAACTTCAGGCCGGACTGACGGATCGCCTCACCTCGCCCAGCAAGACGGAGTGATCGATACGTGGGGAGAAGAAGAAGAGGCTTGCCTGTGGGATGATCGCCGTAAGACCGCCGAGGTGGGCAAAGATGGTCAATTTGTCGCTTGACCTCGGCCTTGGTCCAGAAATGACGTTGACATTGACGTCGACCCATTTCACTCCGTCAATGCAACGCAAGGCATGGCAAGAGAGGTACAGCTGCACGAACGAGTGGGCAGCTTGAGTAGCAGACTTCTCGGGGATCGTTCCAATATCAGACATGTGCTGACAGCGTGCTTACCAGCTGCCCGAGGTCTGCTGACTGCTAAAACAGTACCAACTCAGACTCTCACCGTGGCGTAGGTCTGAGGATGCTCCGCCTTCTAAGCACCCCATGCTGCCGACAATTCATCATGTCGGCCACGCCTCTGCGTCACCGCCTCTAGCACTTTGTTTCGGTCACGCGATCAGGCACAGTCATGCAAAGTCCGTTGGACTCTCCGAGCTGAGTGAGGCCGGCATCCTCAGACATGGGTGAGCACTAGACTCCGGAACATTCGGCATACTCCACCAGCTGAGAGTAGCATGACGCGGGCCTGATTTATATCCGTCGCTCCGATCGTCTGCGTTTCGACCCTTCTCTTGCTCCGCTCACTGGCTCCGGTAATTTGTTCGTGTGCCGAACATTCGGTCCTCGTTACCGCCAGTGATATCCGCTTGCACTGCCGGTGACATTGATTTTGTGCCGAAAGGTTGGAGCGAGCTCTACAGGAAGATTGACACATTCTTTCGAAAGGCCAGTGAAGAAACACGGTGACACGCAAGTGATTGCGGGGAGAAGGAGGGGGCCACTGAGCTCAATCTACCACCACTACCTTTCATTTCCCACCACTACTTTGCTCCATACAAAGTCACTGCCCTTGAGCGTCTCAGATGCGGTACCCGCTCACGCTTCGAAAATTGTCCATGGACTGCTGCCTACGGTCCCCTACAGCCTCACTGATCTCGCTGGACAAGTCGACATTAGATGACGAGAAGGGGCTCTGCTGGCGGTTTGACTTGTACAGCGTCCCACTGGCAGGTGATGCCGAGAGTGTGGAGGACTTGAGCACATCTAGCTCTTCGACGTCCTCGTTGAGGCGCAGAGAGGGGCCACGAAAGGTCATTGGATAGGTCGATGCCTGGAGGCGAGGAGCGGAGACTTGCAGAGGGACACGGCGAGGGGCCTGTGTGCTGCCATTATGGCCTTCTTCATGGCTTCCGATCGTATCCCATCGCTTCTTACGCCACCCAGGACCGAGTCGGCACACGGCCGCTGCAATGACAGCGCCTGAAAAGGCGCAGCAGGCAAGTACGCAGGCCAGAGTCGAGAAGCCAAGCTTGACAAAAGCTGCAAAGGAGGACCGAGAGAAGATCAGGGCATGAGCACGTTCGAGTTCAAGGCTGTGGTTGGCCGAGACTCAGTGCTTTGACACTCTCACTCACCTAGAGGAGCCATCATCAGTGCTTGAGCACACGCGCCAATGACGGTACCTACACACGAGCCTGTAGCAGCAGCGACATAGTGCCTGCCCCAGTCACCTTGTCCATCACATGTCGGGCGATAGATGTCGAAGACGTAGCGTAGCCCGCTATCGATGGCGAGAAAGGAAGCCGTGCCAATGATGACTAGCAGCAAGGCGGTAGCTACCCAGGAAATGGTCGTCTTTGTCGCCAATGCCAGGAGTAGAAGACTGCAAGCGATGACTAGCAATGCAACTGCAGTGTGAAGTAGCGTCCTCTCAGGAAGGGTACTACGGCATCCTGCAGCTCGAGTTGCTTTCTCGTCGTATGACGGCAGACCTTCAGTAGTCCTTCGTGGCTGCTCTTGGCCAAGAAGAGTAGCAAGGATGAGCGCGAGCAGGGTGCTGACCAGCAAGCAAACAGTCGTAGTCAGATAGGCTCGGTGAAGGCTGAAGCGGAACGTGAGCTTCCACAAGAATTGCACAGTAGCAAGAATGCTGACATAGATGCAAGCAGCAATGGCCATCGATAGCGTCGTGAGACTCAGATGTGGGTGCGTGAGGGGCAGCCATACTACTAGGGCCGTTCCCTTGAGGGGATCGATCGCACTTTTACCGTCCTGCGCCTCTCGCAGTGGCCTCGCGGCTGGACGTCCACGGGGCCTCACCAAGACGACGATCGCACATATGTTGCAAAAGAGGGCCACGGAGCCTCCCCAGTATAGCCAGTGCCAGTGTTGCGAGTGTACAACTAGCGTGGAGAGCCAGCCGCCAGCTATCTGAGCTACTGCAGCGAGAATGAGGAGAAGCAGAGCAGCAATCGATCTGGGTATGCATGAGGCCATCAAACATCGAAGGTCGATCAGGACGAGGCTTAGGAATATGCCTGAGGTGACACCAGTGAGACCTCGGAATACGTCGAGCACGATGTAGCTGCTGCTTGTGCCTGCAAGAGTCGCGAAAACATTGGCCAGAGCAAGGTCGACCAGCAATGCCCATTTGCCCATCGAATGGAGCGAGCACCCGATGAATGAGCCAATCGACTGTCCAACGAGGAAGGCTATTCGGCCTGATAGAGCAGTCTTTGTCAATGGGTCTTGATGGGCAAGAATGACGTGTGCGCCTCCCGCATCCATGACTTGGAAGATGAGCACTGCGAAAGCCAAGCATAGAAGCAATGAGGCTCTTTGAAGTATCGCTGACTGGCTACCATTGACAGTCCACTTGGCCTCCTTGCCGCAATCGCGACAGACGTGAGAGCTTTGAGGGGTCAACTCAAGCAGGTTGATGGGTTGCACACTAACGTGATGACAGTCAGTCAGTCCATGATCCTCGTGCTGCTTAGTCGAGACGGGGGGAACAGGCTTCAAAGCAGAACGGGCATGCGTACAAGGCGCCTCGATGGCCTGGTCGTGGGTACCGGTCTTTCCCTTCGAGTGTGGGCTAGAAGGTCGGCCAGCGGCACTCTCCCCAAAAGCGACTGGGCCCATTCGCGGGAGTGCACAGCCTCCTTCAGTGGCGAAGGCTGAGCTCACGCTGTCGTCTGAGAGTATATGCGGGACTGCTTGATGGGAGTGGCTGCTGTCGAGCGAGTCTTCACCCAGCCAGGGGCGAAGGAGGACAGGGCCCGGAGAGGGCTGCAGGTTGATCATGCCGATTGCGATGCTTTGAGACCTCCTGGTGGGCAGCTGATCCTGCATAGAAGATAGGGGTAAGAGTCTTGTGGGGAGAGGAGAGAGCAGAGCTACGCTAGAGGCTGGATCAACCAGCCTGAAGGAGTGCAGGACGTCGATATGACCCTGATAGGCGACGAATTGGACGCAGTGGTGATGCGGATGGGAGCGCTTTGAAGTCTCGCTGGAAGGCCGCAGGTGGCAAGGTGGCAAGAGTGAACGAGCTGTGGAGACGGGAAATGTAGAGTGCAAGTGGCAGCACAAGGGAAATCGGGCGAATGCACAAGGTAGCGGTGACGAGCGCAGGGCGCAAATATAGGAAAACGGAGGGCAGAGCGAAGGAGTGTACAGGAGACGGGAGCGAAGGAGGGAATGGGTAGAGAGAGGAGTTTGGCGATGAGGAGTGGAGTAAGCCCTTGTGTGCGACGTCCGGACGACGTTTGCTCGCACGCCGATAGAGCAGCGATCGATCACTCGATGCAGAGGACCACCTGTGCCCGCGTCGCGCCGGATCATTGGATGTGACACGCGAGAAGTCACATCCATCAGCCAACGCCTCTTCCGTCCCGCCTTGGTTCCTTCCTTCAGTAGTCTGGCCCTCGTTCCCACCGCTGCGTAGTAGTCGATGATACAGTGTTGGCAGTATCGGGTCTTCCTTTCGCCTTAGCCTTCACGAGAGATGCAGCTTTGCTAGCCATGCTCTTCCAGCCGTCCTCTTCCCCGCGACGCCTGCCAGTATCACGCCTCTCCAGGTACGTCACATCGTCGATGATAATGTCCCGCTCGCAGGGGTGGAGCCATCCATCATCCGGTAGAGCCTGCTCATTGGAACGCGAGGAACGAGTGGTGGATGATCTTTCCAGATTCGGTGCAGCCGAAGTGGGAGCTGTCAGAGCACGATGAGTGCGGGGCGTTGGGGTAGAGGCCGATGGAGCGCGGATGAGAGCAGCCGTACTACTCGATTGGGATTTTGCTCCTTGAAGGTCCTTCTGGCTGCCTTCGATGGGTGACCCAGCCGAGGAGCACTGTGAGCTCGCCGGAGGAGAGGGCAGTGGTCGACTTGGAGGTGGTGACAGAGGTGGTAGGTCTATGGCTCGACGCAGCCTGCCTCGAGCATTGGACAGCTCCGACATTGAGATCGAGGGAGCGAGGGAGTGTGTCGGCGAGCTGCGACGGCTGATAGCTGGCGAACGTGACGCATAGCCCTGCAGGAGTGGCATGCTTCGCTTGCTACTGAGGGTAGAGACGTTGACCTCCTTGCTCGCAGCTGACGTAGTGCGATTGAAGGGGTCCTCCTCATCATCACTCGCACTCCGGTCTTGCTCTTCGCTCAGTCTTCGAGCAGTGGCGTACAACAACTCGCGGAGGGCCTTGGGATAATAGACCTTGAGCACGTCGAACTTGCCCCTATTGTAGTCGTCAATGAAGCGAAGTGGGCTCAGAGCCTCGGCTTCCTGGAGCTGACGAAAGCGTCGGAACTTTTCGATGGCGAATTCGCGAGTGGTGGAGGCTATGGGCGTTTGGTCCACACCGCCAGGCGGTCGGGGAGTGCTTACTTGGTTGCGAGCTGACATAGGAGCAGTGGTCGGAAGCATACCGCCTTCGCGAAAAAGGCGCCTTGATGCTTGATGCTTGCACTCGTCTATGGGTCAATGCTCGCTGGTTGCCGGGCAGACGTTTGTCCAGTTGATGTGAAGATTTAGGATCTGGAAGCGCTGTTCAGACAAGCTCTTAGGAGAAAGAAGATTCACGTAGTGGCAGTGGACATAAGTAGGGACAGTGTCAAGCCGGCTGATGCTGAGCGCGGCGAAGTGAAGAGGTAGTAAAGTGCTTTTGCCCACCTGGGATGTCTACCAGATGAGGCCTTCCCGAGGTCGGCCGAACATGGTGACCATGTAAGCGCGAGCCGTCAATGATCAGCCGAAAAGGCGTATCCGTGCCTTTTGGGAGGACGTCCTGAAGTGTTGGGCAGAGTCCCTGCCCTGCCCTGCCTTGCCCTGCCTTGATCGAGACTGACCGCGACTAGTTGGTGGGCGCCTATACCGCAACAATTACCCCTTGTCTCTTGCCCTGACCATGTCTGCCCGTGCCGACAATTTCTAGCCGTGCGTAGCATTTCGGTGCGCTTTCAATACCCGCACACGGCTGTACGCCTCCGCTACGGATCATTGATCGATCGACCGAAACATCGCAGAAGGTCAAGCTTTCGTGGACAGTCATCGCTATATACCTGTTGCATGCGTGGTGCTGTTGCGACAGCGTATGCCCCATGGGGCAAAGCTCTCTCCTACCCTTGTGCGATGCAGACAGGCCATGGCTGCAGGCGTGCAGCGAAAACCGGGCGTGAGGCTGCAGCCGCTGGGCGTCGGGAGCAAGAGCGGACTTTGCCTGCCCAACGAGGTGTCAAAGAGGCGTTTCCGTCGAGCTCAAAGCGTAGCTGGCGGTGGCGGCGACCGAGGTCGGGCAAATGTGCTAGTGGCTGGCGCCGATGTGCTGTACAGCAAGAAGCGGCCCGACCAGCGCCAGCGCAGCACACGGAGGCGACTCAAGGTGATACCATGTTGGCCGTGGGTGAGGTCAGAAATTTCCATCACATGGCTAGCCTGTCCCATGCGACGCTCTCCTCCACGCTTTTGATTGTGAGAGATAGCCTCGAATTAGTTTTCACCCTCACCAAATTAGCCGTAGGTAGGGGCCAGGGTGCGAGGCGAAGCCAGAGCCGATCCTCTGCTCTGGGGCAGCCTTGGGCACTGAGCCGAGGAAGAGGCGCCGCCGCGTGTCCTGCCGAATTTGGTCGCCGCGCCAAATCCTCCCCGTACGGGACGTGGTGGGGGGTTGGGTGGCTCCTGCCATTTTGCGCTTTCTTCCTCCGTGACCCCCAGCCAACCGACCACCATTCTTCACCACCATTGTATTCCTGCCCGAGCTCTCAACTCCCTCAATACGAGCTGCTCAATCTGTTGTGATCGTCGCCACCTCGTCTTCTCTTCTTGTCACCGGTCCTCTTCCTCGTACCTTTCTCGGGGATCCCAGCAAGAAGTGGGCCTGCACGCAGTCACTGCCCGCCCGGCTGATATTGGCTGGCCCCACGTCACACGTCTCCTCTCACGAGCTCGTATACACCCGTTAGACGGCGTTCGTTTTTGCAGGCCGGCGCCGGACATCCGATCCACTTGAGCCAGTCCAGGCACCACTCACCGCGATAGCAATCTCGCGCCGCCGGGGCCGATACCTCTCTTCCCCTGGCTTCTCTCGGACTTCTACCAACGTCGGCGCCTGTCGCTCTCTACATCACTCCCAAACGACGTTACAGCACGACACCAAACCCAATCAGTAGCCAATACCATCGGCAAGCCCAAAAGATCCTAGGTCTGAAACGCCAAAATTGCTCAGATGGAGCCTTCTAGCAACGCCAGGTTGCTTCCGCCCCCGCCCCTTGATGAACTCTTGAAGGAGAGGAAGCGGCAGACCTTGAGCTCAGAGACGGAGGATGTGGAGTCAAGGAGGACAGGCATCGATGGAGATGCCATCACGAGGCGCTTGATCCTGGAAGACTTCGATAGCAGCTTCCTGAGGTTCAGCGAAGACACGGCAGGTCGTGAGTATGATCTCAAGCGCATGTTAATCTGCTGCCATCTCATGCAAGCTAAAGCATTCGCTGTCCCATATCCACAGCGCACTCATCCCACTCTCAAGACAAGGATTACTCCTCCGATGCTCAATACCTCACCCCAGATGACCCCTGGTCAGCCACGCCGAATTCGACTTCCAGGCGGTCATCCTCTGCGCTGTCTCACTTCGTCTTGCCTTCGCAGAGTCGCGAACCGACAGATCTCAGGAGAGCTTATGCCGAACAGCACACTCTTGAGCGTCAAAGCTCCGCCAAGCATATGCCTACAGCTCTGACATCGTTGCCCGAAGTGGCATGGAGAGGGTCCGTGGGCAGCGATCGTCGTGATACGATGTCTGCCTCCCAGAATCTGTCATCAGATGCTTCCTCCTCGGGGAACTCTCGAGCTTCTGTCTGGAGCAGAAGGACAAGTCAGAACAGCTACGAGACCCATGGCAGCAGCCTAGCCGGGGATCATTGCGATCCTCTTCAGACGTCGCAATCTGCACCTTCAGATCTCAGCACCTTCGCCATGGGCATCACCTCTGATGACGCTCCACCTCCCAGGATGTACAAAGCGCCCATAGTGACGTCCAGTGGCTCTTTGAGCGCGAGATCATACTCACAGCCAGGTGGGCGATACGATCATCATAGGAACCCTTCATGGGTACGTCGGCCGATCCCTCAGCAGGACTCTGGCAGTGATGCGGGGAAGGTCGGTACTCAGAGCGCTAGTCTGCCTTCAACGATCGAATCCTCTTTCGACAGTGCACCTCGGCCTGCGCCAAGACGGACGACGAGCCAACGTAGCTCACAGAGCAGCAAATCTGCTGCTGCACCTCTGCCAGTGCTACCGGCAGGCGCCATTCCCCCTCGCACCAAGTCGAGACCACGTGTTCAGTCTGAATCGGCCTCATCGAGCGGCAGGACGTCCAAAGCCCTGAGCGTTGAGACCAGACCCGCATCTAAGCCGTCCAGCCCATCCAGCCCATCCATGACGCCTTCTGCCTCTTACGACAGCAGCATAGAGCGGCTGTCATCTCCTCTCTCGCATGGTTCACCGACTTCGCCTAGCACGCAATCGACCCGTGTTGCCTCTTTGCGGCCCTCTGGTCTGCCGCGGTCCACCTCTTCAGGAAAAGGTAGTCTTCGTGCCGCCAGTATTCGACTGGCCAGCCAGCGCCTGTCAAGAAATGGTAGCAAAAGCTCCATGGCAAGCACCAGCCGAGGCGGAAGTGGCATGGAAGAGCTCGAAGAAGAGGGCAGCCTACTACCCTACGCCCGCAGTGAAGATGATGAGAGCCGTCGCAACTCGGTGGCAATGTTAGACATGGACGCAGTCGTTCGAGCACTCAACGACTCGAAATTGCCAGCCAATGCTGTCCAGGTGGCAGAAGATGGAAATGGGACCATCGTCGAAGGCCATGGACGTCATCCAGAAGATTTCGAGCATGAGATTGACGCTCATACGACTCACCTTCTCATCTCACACTGTAAGAGCGCAGAGCAGCTTCCATTCTTGGAGCGTGCTCTGAGTCTCTGCTCAAACAGCCTTCTGGTTCTCGACATCTCCAACGCTGGTCTTGAATCGCTGCCCTCTAGTCTCTCAGAGTGTTCGCAGCTCGAGGAGCTCAATGTGTCTGGCAACAAGCTCGGCTCTCTTCCGACTTGGCTGGGCGGCCTCTCGAAGCTCCGTGTTCTCGTTGCGGATGGAGCCGAGCTTGGCTCGATCCCGTATGCCATGCGTCGTCTGACCCTGCTCTCCGTCCTGAGCGTCAGGGGAAACCGCCTTTCCCACATGCCAAGCTGGCTACACCTGCTGACCGGCCTCGAGCGGCTATACGTGCAGGATAACCCTTTCCAGGGTGCATGGCAGGGGGTCATTGCAACCTTGCTTCCTGGCCAACTTCCGATGTCATCAGCCTGTCAGGATTTATCACGCATGCCATGGGCAATCGACGCGCAGGCCCGGGAGGAGTTGCCAGGCTCTCCGTCAGGAAGAGGCCGTCTCACGCCAATGGGTTCGAGTCTGGCATCCCCTCGGCAAGTATCTGAAAGCAACCAGTCTCGCTTCAGCAACGACTCTTCACTTGTCGAAGTCCTCCAGGATGACTCGATCTCAAGCACTGGCGGCAAGAGCAGCGGCAATAGGGCAAGCCCTAGCGGTGAATTTGCATCTCGTCGCAGCGCTCCTCGCCGGCCAAAGACGAGCGAGTCAGATGGGAAGTGGGGGTTCTTTAAGCGGGTCACACGGAAAGGATCCAACCCGAACATGCACGAAGGGCTCAGCATCTCTCAAAGCGAGGCAGGCGCCCAAAGCGAAGATGAACGCACTGGGTCGGTTCTGCGCTTTAGGAAGTTTTCGTCCTCGTCCTCCAGGCCTGCTATCTCACCTCTGATGAAGAATATTCCATTGAGCGATAGCATGTCCGGTCAAGAGAGGCCAGGCCTGAGTCAGAGAGGTCTTGTCGCATCGTTGGAATCGCCAGCGAAGTCACGTAGTGCGCGTTTGAGCTACCTACCCCTGCAGCAGTCCTCTGCGGCGTCAAAGGAGGGCAGTCAAGCTCTCGCGGAGGAAGAGCCGATGGAGGAGCTGCGTCGTGTCAGAGCTCTCCTTTGCTATCTCCGCGATCTTGATGATCTCACTGCCAAGAGTACTACTCAGGCGACGCGTTCCGGATCGAGCAGCAGTATGTCGCATCACAGCGGCAACGGAAGCTTCTCTTCGGGTCCAGGTGGCTCGCTTGCCATGTCAAGTGTCTTGAGCGGCGACTCCTTCTTCAACGGGTGGGATTCGCCTTCAGCCCCCAGTAGCGGAGCTTCTTCGCCTGTTCGGAGACAGCTCTCGAACGTGCAGCTGAATGCTGACGCTCTGCCCAGCGCTGGAGAAATCAAAGACAACTCTACAAGACGGAGACGGATCGTCTCCGAAATCATCTCTACGGAAGAGTCTTACCTACGTGGTCTCCAGGAGCTTTGTGACATCTATGTCAAGCCTGCTCGTGTGCCCGATCCCAGCAATGGGCAGCCTGTCTTGACGCCTCAGGACCATCGCGCTGTCTTTAACAATGTCGAAGGGCTTCTACAGTTCCATCAGGGCGCCTTCTTACCCTCTCTTCGTCATGCTGCCGATGCTCTTTTCACATCCGAAGGTACTGAAATGGACCCCGAGCAAGATGCGCAGCTTACTGCAAGGGCTGCCGAAGCTGTCGCTGGCGTCTTCTGCAAGCACGCCGCTTTCTTCCGCATGTACTCAACCTATGTCAATGGTTGTGATGACGCTCAGGCTCGCATCACTGCCTGGATGGCTGCCAGCAGTGGTAGCAACCACGGTCTGTCCCTTGTCACAAAGGACACTGCTGGCAAAGACGCCGGAGAGGTAGCCATGTCGTCCAGTCAGAGAAAGCGATTCAAAGCCTTCATGAAGCGCTGCAGAGCCGATCCCCGACACACACAACTCAACCTGCAGAGCTACACTCTCCTTCCTGTTCAGCGGTTACCCCGCTACGAAATGCTGCTCAAGGAGCTGGCAAGGAGCACCGATCCCGCTCGCCTCGCGAACCCTGATGCGGTCAACATTGCCCTAGGCCAGATCATTACCATCGCTGCCAGCGTCAACGAGAGCAAGAGGCAGTCGGAACAGGACAAGAAGCTTCTTGCTTGGCAGGGTCGTCTGCGGGGCAAGTGGCCGATGCCTCTCGTTCAGCCTCACCGCCGCCTCGTACGTGATGGGGAACTCACGCTACGTAGGGTCGTGCAGAGAACACCCGCTTTTGATGTCCACAGCCCAGTTGATGCAGAGGCAGCGCGGAATGACGGAGCCTTTGGTGGACGTGGCAAGGAGGTCCAGCAAGTCGACTGTCTGAGACAGCAGACCTTCTCTCAGGTCCTCACGCTACTTCTCTGCAACGACATCTGCGTCACGCTTCGTGATCCCCGATCTTCCTCGACCAGCTCAACATTCACCTCAGTGGATACTCGCCAAGTGGACCTCTTTGCCATCCTGAGTCTTCAGCCGAACGGCCCCGACTCTCAATTGTGTCAGCTGGTGGGCCAGTCGAAGCACCTCCGTGTGGTAGACTCCAAGAGAGTGTACTACTTCTCGGCCGCAACGCCTGCTGAGGCTGCTTCCTGGTGCGAGAGCATCAACAATAGTGTGAACCCCTGCTGAGCTTTGATAGCGGCAAGAGCGCAGAGCACAATTCGACGCGGCAGGGCCGGTTCCCGCCTTCATCATCCAACATACATTGAAGGACCCACGGTCCAACGGGCCTCAATCCTTCGAAATAGACCTCTCCACGTCCAGACGACAACTCAAATTTCCTCACGCGCCTCACCTATGTCTCCTTTGGCCCTTCTCTGGGCCGACCCAAAGGCCTTATGTCACGCTTTCTTCAGTCACTGTCCCGCTCCTCCTGTCACGCCAGCTTCTGAAACCCTTATGCCATCTCACGTCTTGTATATGCTGCTATATCTTTATCCTGTCTCGTCCTGTCACCTTTTCTTGACTCCTGGCTGGTCCAGCCAGCTCTGTCACGGTGCCTGTCCAAGTCCTTCGGCCTTTTTCCTGTTGGGGCTTCTCTTTGTCAATATATTCAAGTCTATAGCTACCTCTGGATGTCTTTGCCTGTGAATGTGGCGTTACCTCAAGCAGACATAGACGAGTGGGAGCTCGAAGGGGATCTGCCAGTCTGTTTCACAATCACAGGTCGCTTACACGATTAGCGGACAACGAGCTTCTCAAATGCTGTTTTGATCTGGTATTGACAGTCGAGCAACGAGACAGGCGCTGGACCTGTGAAACAAAAAAGGTACTGTGTACAAAAGAGAGGTCGTCACTAGATGTGCTGAAGAAACAGGACCGAGTCACTACAACTTGATGGTGTAGGGGTTGCGAACACCAGTCTCTTCCTCCTCGAAGCCGCCAGAGGGCGCGGCCTCGAGCTTGTGAGGCATCTCGGCATGATCGTTCTCAAGGTTACGCTCAGGCTTTTCACGACGGCTGTGACGCTCTTTTCTGCCAGCAGCCAGAGTCTGAGCGAACTTGGACTTCTTCCTCACGATTGGGCCCTTGATGTACAGAACGTACACTGGGATCATCACCAAGACACCGATACAGGCCAGAATCGTCGAGGCGTATTCTAGCGGGTATTTGGGCAGGTTTGTGTAGAGGGGTCCGGCGTACATGGCGCTGATTCCTGCCAGGAAGTCCCTAGCAAGACCATTACCTCCCGTGGCTGAGGCACTGTATGGTCCGTAGGCGGCGATCATGTAGTCAATCGTGGCCATGTAAATGGCGTAATTGGCAATGGCGATCAGGCAGGCGAAGATCATCGGGGCAATCCAGTGCACCTGAGGAGGTCCCAAAGAAGTCCAGGCGAAACCAAAGAGACCAATGGGCTCTAAGGGTGCCAAGAAGAGCAAGAGCCAAAGGCGAGCCTCTGGGAGCAGCGCGTCGTTGCCCTTTGTGCGTCGGATGACCCGCTGCCTATGGCAGACTGGCAGGAAGAGGAGGAATCCAATGAGATAGCCCAAATTGATGGGGATGTAGGCGAGACCGAGTTGACCTGGACTGAAGCCCCACTGCTCAAAGACGGGTGTGAAGGCCTCGAGGAAGGTGAAGATGAGCGCATCGGAGAAACCAGACAGAAGAGACATGGACAAGACGATTGGCTCTCGAACGAACATCTCAAAGGGTCGGATGACGTACGATCCGAATTCTGAGAGGGTAAAGCGATTCTCCTTGAGCTCGTTGGGACCGTAGATGTGAGTTTCTCCGGCTTTCCTCCTCCTCTTGGCCTCCTTGTCGAGCATGCAGGTGGCTCGGGTCTCGGGGACTGTGAAGAAGTGAATGATCTGAACTGCACCTCCGAAGATCAATTGCGTCCAGAAGATCCATCGGTATGGAGCGTACTGTTCGAGGTAGCCGCCAATGACAGGGCCGATGGATGTTCCGCCGACCGAAGATAGTACGATGAAGGCAACGGCGTATTGCTGATTGTCAACGTCATAGAGGTCAGCAACCATTCCCAGTGTAACGGAACCACCAGCGGTGCAGACGCCACCGAGTGCTCGAGCCACGAGAAGAGATCCAAAGTTGGGCGCAAAGGCACCGAGGATCTGCCAGACATTGACGAGGAAGAGAGAGAGCTGCAGAATCGGCCTCCTTCCAAACTCCTCGGAGAAAGGAGCCCAGAGCTCACATCCGAACGCGTAGAAGACGAGGAAGATCATCTGTGTTGTTCGCGCTCCCTGCTGACTGACACCGAAGATTGTCTCAACAGAGTCAAGGGCGTTGGGCCAGACGGAGGTGTTGAAGTTCATGGACACTTGGACGAGGAAGATGACGGAGAGGACCCACCACTTCTTGCCCGTCGACCAAGCGTAAGCAGTGGAATTCCATCCAGCATCTTCGCTGAGCTCTACTCGACCTTCGTGGTCTGGGTGGGGAAGCTTGGTTTCGTGAACGTCGGCGTCGCCCTCTTCGGCCTGAACATTGGTGACGCCTTCCTTTTGGTGCTCCTTCTTGGCCTGCTCATGCCTCGTGGCAGATGAGGCGGAAGATTCCGCATCAGGAGATGTGCCATCTGTGGCAATGGTAGGATGGTCGTTCTGCTCTGCCGTAGCAAAATTCTTCTCGTTGATATTTTCGGCCATCGTAGCAAAGGCGTTTCTGATGTAAGAGAATCCTGTGACGCAAAGCTGAGCAAGAGCACAAGAGTAGTTGGGCGCAGTCTCTCTATGTGTGGGAGATCCTAAAGGTTACGTAGTGATCCTATACCAAAGACTACTAAGTCCGTCCTTGCCTGCTTGAAAAGGCCTCCTCGCAGGTCTATAGTCGCAATGGGGAGAATGGTGTGGACAGAAGCGAAGTGGGAAAAATGCGGGGAAGGCAAAGGCCGTTTTGCAAAGATATATCCTCTCACGCAGTAGGAATGACGACGGTGCTGTTCCTCTCTACTTGCCAAGAATGACTCCGCTCTCTACCTTCTGCACCCTCATATGCCCCGGAGTACTGCGCCCCTGCTCGGTAGCTCTTCACACACTCGTCTGATGTGATAAGAGGGGAGCCACTGTGCGCCCACCTGCCCGGCCCAGCTGCGTGCGATACGCGCAAACCCTGACCCTTGTCTTCTGGCGTTTGGCCGCATCGGCCTTTAGATCGGCAGGAATGGCGAGGAGAGTGCGCCAGTGCCGCCGCGTGGCTGCCGCGCGGCGTCTGCATGGCCTTGAACCCTGAACGTCTTGACGTCATGACGCGCCGGTGCGATGCACGCGAGCGCGACCGATCCGCTTGACGCTGCCAGACGCTCGGCCCGCTACCCGCTCAGCAGCTAACCGACAAACGTCAGAGGCCACGCCTTCCGAGTCGAGAGATGTCGGCGAAAAGATGCTAGTTCTGCCGGTCTGATTCAAGCACTACCCCACATCCACTCTATCGGTCGGTCGGTCGGCAGAACATTGGCGTATGCAAGGCACTGATGAGGTAAGAGAAATCCTCATTGGCGGTGGAATGGGGTGCACGGGCACTGGAATCACGGGCTACGTAGCTACAGGTGGATTTGTTATTTTGCAAAGGCCACAGTCAACACAAACAGTCTACTTGAACTGGTCCTCCGTCACACCCTTGCCCATGGCAGCTGTGCTGGACACGCCGCCCGACACTGCCTTGAGCAGGGCGTCCAGGTACTCTGCTCCGGACCACTTTTGATGCGTGAGAACGTCGCAGCCAATTTCCCTCTCCTTTCGCTGCACAACTTCGACGTAAGCCTTCATGCCTTCGGCCGCAAAGTTCTTGGCGAACAGGTCGGAGATGTAGGCGTTTGTGTGTAGACCGGCAAGGGTGATGAATTGCCAGACGAAGCCCAGCTTGGCCAGATCCCAGACGTACGACTTCATCTGATCGGCAGACAGCTTCGCGGCGTCCCAGTTGAAAGATGGCGACAGGTTGTAGGCGAGCCATTGACCAGGCACAGCAGAGCGGACACCGTCGGAGAACTCCTTGGCCTGGGCGAGGATAGGGGACTTGGTCTCCATCCAGATCAGATCAGTGTGAGGGGCAAAGGCAATGGCTCGGTTGACGGCACATTGTGTTCCGCCCTGGTACTGGTAGTAACCCTCACGGGTTCGTGGGTGGTCCCAGTCCCAGAAGAAGCCAGACTTGGAATCGACACCGTACTTGGCCGCGATTTGACGAGCAACGTGGTTTGCCTTGTGAGCAGCCTCGTTCAAGAAGCCCTGAACATTGCCGCCAGTCTGCCTCAGCTTGTCAGCGACAGCATCTGTGAACAGCATAAGCTTGGCCTGCGAAGTCCAGTCGGCCTCGATGGCAGCCAGAGCGTCACCGTTCTTGCCTTCGCGCTCAGCGCGTGTCATGACAGATACGAGAGGCTCGAGGTTGGGGTTGGTGGATCCGAGAACGAAGGGGTGGTCTCGCTCGTCGACGTTGGAGGTGAGCAGAGTAGCAGCCTCCGAGTCGGTTCGAGCTACGACGAGGTTCTCCACCCCCATCACATCGTACTGGAATCGAATGGCAACGAGTCGGTTGATGTGCTCGGAAATGGGCACCAGCACCTTGCCGGCCATGTGACCGCACTTCTTTGTTCCGGCAGCCTGGTCCTCGATGTGGATTCCAGCGGCTCCCTTTTCTACGAAGAGCTTGGTGAGCTTCATAACAGCAGTCAAACCTCCGTGTCCGGTGTCAGCGTCAGCAACAATAGGTCGCAGGTAGTCGACAGCTGGTTGCTGAGCTCGCTGCTCTGGCGTCATTCGCACTCGCGACTCGCGCTGCTTTCGGTCGTGGAAGAGCTGGGCCATGAAGAGGTGCTCAACCTTGTTGGGAACGGTGTTGTAAGGGTAGTCGGCAAGATCAGGTCCAGGCTCATTTGTGCTCGAGGCGGTAGAAGAAGATTGCCAACCAGAGACGTAGACGGTCTCTAGGTACTTGGCCATCTGCGTCACCTGCACCGGGTCGAGAGCACCGTAGGTGTGGGAGGTTGTGCCGTTGCGGGCGTGGCCCTCGAGAGTAGCCCAAAGCTTCTTGGCCTGCACGTCGGAAGGATAGTGCAGCGGGATTGTGCCTCGCTTCGATACGACGTCTTCGGCAGTGTATGGTCGCTTGGTGCGAGCGAATCGGGGTTCCTGAATATTGAGACGGTATATATCAACTAGGTCAGTAGACTGTGAGAAGAAGAGGCTGCAACTGCGTGACACGAGCTCGTCGTCACCGCCCGTCTCCACAAGACACTCACACTCCACCACTTTTTGACTGCAGCAACCTCCTGCTGGAAGTTCTGCAACTCAGAGTCGGAACCAGTTCCGGTGATAGATGGCATGCTGTGTATAGATGAGGCGTCTAGGATTGTATGGCTGGGGGAGGGGAGGAAAAGACGAATAGAAAAGAGTGGAGCCAGGGGAGTCAAGGCGGTCCGGCTACTTGTTATAAGAGAATGACCGCCCCCGCATACCGGGGCCCGAGCTGCACGCGGGGGCGGCGCCTGCAGCAGCCGCTGCGCCAGCCGGGCTGCCAGCCAGGCTCCGCCCTTTCACACACCGGCAAGGCTTAAGCGGGACTAAGAGCCATACGCCCGCTTCGTGCGCTCGGCGCGAGTAGGTAGTTCAGCATGGCTAGAGGCATCACAAGCTCAGTTGTGACTCGGAAGGCTGGAGACTCTCAGTTGGGGAAGAGCACTTAACCATGGCCAGACGACTTGCTCGGCAGAGGGATATTTGGAGGATCTGTGTGACTGGTATGTAGATGCGAAGCCGGAGGTAAATGACAGTGAACAGCGCAAGTGACTCTGGATTTGGTATCGATACGTCGCAAATGGTCTCACAGTGGCCTCTGGGGTTGCTGAGAGTGAAGAGTGCTACGACTTTCAATGCATGACCGAGCTCTGACTCGCTGCAATCCGTACCATCTCCGAGGGATGTGTCCCCTAGCCTCGTTCCGTCCCGACGCGAGTCTCGACCGGCGGCTGCGCGCTGTCGATGGCACGGGAGCTCAAGGTCGGAACGGGGTCTCTCCGACGGTCCACATCTTCTTAGCCTGTACCACTGAGCTCCCACTTACAATTCACCACCCCGACACTACCTCTGCCTACTCCATACGCCCTCTTGTCTCCACTAGCATCGAGTCTGGCCTGTATTGCATTCATCGGAGCTGTCTCCGCTGCTTTCGGACCTCCCTGTTCGACCTCTGCTTCTCTCTATACTAGGGCAATCACTTTGTAGGGGATCAGTGTGGGCACATAACCGAAAGAATCTCAAGAGAGACGCTTACTCTGTAGTAGTAGAGCTGGACAGTATTGGGATACAGCCAGAAATTGCATCGGTAGTGACAGCTACACAGACGTGATCAAACTGTGATCGTAGCGAGACAGCCGACATGGACGACGACAACTTTGACCTGTATGGAGTGAGTATTCATCAGCTGCATCAGAACAGAGTAGGCAACCACCGGAGTGGACGGCTGGCATGTGTGGGATATCGTGTCAGAGGAGGCAGCTGGGGACCGCTAGAGGCGCAAGGAGCTCTGAACAGCCTAGAACGATGGGCGAGCCAGCACGATGTAGAAATCTTCGCCTATGATTGCAACCTGTAACATATATTCTGACTCTCCCACGTCTTTCTTCGCTCGACGCTCAGGATACTGATCTCTATTCGGCAGTCGATGGAGGGGACAAGAGCCAAGCAAATGACGACCAAGACTTGCTGGGAGAGGATGATGCCGGTGTCGGGGGTAGTAGTAGCAACGACGCATCTACGTCTGCAGCCGGAGCGCAGGCAGGAGCAAAGAGGCCTCGAGACGACAGCCATCAGGAGGAGGACAGGGTGAGTAGTTGCAGCTGATATCAATCCGTCGTCCACAGCTCATCCTGAGTTTCCTCCCGTAGCAGACACAGCATGCGGGATCAACGCCGATGGACAGCCAAGCAGGCGGAACACCCACACCACAGATCACAGCTCGAGACGCTCTGTTAGGGCGCCCGAAGAATACGGATCCTACCGTTCAGAACTCCTTGTATGTGGGCGAATTGAATTGGGTAAGTCTCAAGCCAATCGATGTCGCCTTCAAAAATTCCAATCTAACTTTGCCTGCTCTCGCTCTTCGTACAGTGGACTACAGATGAAGATATCCGTAAAGTAGCACAGCAGGCAGACGTGGTGATCTCGGTCAATGATGTGACCTTCTCGGAACACAAAGTCAATGGAAAATCAAAAGGTGTTGCATACGTCGAGATGGGAACAGAAGACGAGGCACAGCAGTTGAAACGCTGGTTTGAGGAGAAGTGAGTCGCAAAATAGAGACGTTAAGTTGTTACACACGGCGACTGATGTAGCTCTTCGGTCTATCTTCTTTGCCCCCTTCCAGTGACTTTCAATTCAAGCGCTGCAATGTCACACTGACCACTTCTGCCAACGGCAATCCCTTCAAGACACTGCCTAAAGAACCACCGCCGAAGGATCGCAACAACATGAACAATGTCCGCCAGCCCATGGGCGCACGCACCAACGGCGGCCCACCTCCACGTCCCGGCGCACCAGGCATGCCTCCCGCGCCCATTGCAGGTGCTCCCATTCGCATGGGAGGCAACGGCGGTGGCGGCATGATGGGCAGACCGCAGATGCCATTCGGTCCAGGTGGGATGATGAACCCAGCAATGGGCGGAATGGGCGGTATGATGATGGGCGGTATGCCGGGCATGGGCGGATTCATGGGTGGCGGCGTGGGCGGTGGTATGGGAGGCAATATGGGCAGGGGTGGTATGATGAGGGGCGGGTACGGTGGCAGAGGTGGAATGGGCCGGGGAGGCGGCATGATGCCAGGGATGGGCGGCGGCGGTCACTTTGTGAGTACAGACTGGGCACCTGTCAGCTCGAAACCTAGCGTCGCAGATTGGCTGACCCTTCTCACCTATCACACCTCGCGATGTAGAACCCAAACTTCTTTGGTGGAGGTGGCGGCGGAGGCGGTATGGGTCAAGGAATGCCCAACGCCCCCTCGGGTCCCTCAGGCGACGATCGAGCCAACAAGCGTCAAAGAGGCGATTGAAATTGGTCGGCTGTCTCTTCCATTACTTTTCACACTTCACTGTCCCTCTTGTCACTTATTCATGCGATCAGCTCCATCTCTCCCCCTTCAACCAATCAAAGCATATTTCACGGGACACATCAGATGATATAGAAATTGTGATGACAGTGGGTACCGCGGCTAGTGACAGGCAAGTGCAACAAGGATGGATGGATACAAGCAGAGCAAATAGGGCAAGAAACATTGGCAATACGTCCCTTTCCCTTCTCGGACTCCCCGCTTAATGGCTGCTGGCTCCATTGATGACCTGGGAACCAGTACCAGGAGGCAGGGCCTCTGGGTCCAGATCGGCTCCCGCTCCTTGCGCAGGACTCCTAGCACCAACGGGTGTAGAGGCACCATTCACGTCCTCTTCCATGAGGATGTTCAATCCACCCGAAGCAGCAGCAGCAGCGGCTCCACCTCTTCCACTAACGGAGCGAGGTTGCGAAGAAGACTTTGGCTTGAGCTTGGCCATCGCTGCATCTTCTGCCGCATTGGCCTCTCCCTGCACCTGTCCGAGGACCATCATCGAAGTAGGGTGCGGAGGCTTGTACTCTGGACCATTGGCGAGCTGCTCGTCCAGCACGTCCAGACCTGAAGCAGCTGCCACCAGACCGAGGAAAGGCGGCGAAGGGTTGAGCGGCCTAGAGGCAAATTCGGGGTGGGCCTGCATACCGACAAAGTATGGGTGGTCCTGCAGCTCTAGAATCTGCATACGGGCTCCCGAAGTGGACTTGCCGACGAAGCGGAGAGACGTGGCCGGCTCAAGGGAGTCGTCGCTGTTGAGTGACGTGTCGGATGGGGCTAGAGTGGAGAAGGCAGAGGCCGAGGAAGAGGTGCGGCGGAAGCCGCGTACGGGGAGACCTGTGTCTGGTGCTCCGGGGTAGCCAAGACCGGGCGAGGTGACTTCTGCCCTGCCACCGATACTGCTGCTTGCCTGCTCCGAGCCATTCGAGCGGGAGCTACCAGCTTCTAGTCGAGATACCATCTCAGGGTTGATCTCGTATCGGTGGCGATGCCTCTCCCAGCAAGCCTCGCCGGCGCCGTAGAGAGTGCGGATCTTAGACCACGACTTGCTGTTTGATGAGAAGACGGACGGGCGCAGACCCAGACGCATGGTTCCACCCAATTGTGTCTTCGACACTTCCGGCATGTACACCACGACGGGGTTGCGACAGTCGGGGTCCATTTCAGCCGAGTTGGCACCTGAAGAAGCAAAGGCGAGGAACGCAAAGAAAGCGTCAGTATTTGCTCATTCCTTCTGCGCTTGCCAAGGTTGCTATCAAGACAGGGATCATGAATGTTGGTCTCTCTTTTCTGAGCCACACATCCACTATGGAGATGCGTGGCTTTATATGAGAGGATCCCAGCTGCGCCGTTGCAACTGGCTGTATAGGATCTTTCTAGCACTTTCGGATAACGACACGGTCATAATTGATATCATGTGCCATTTGTGAGAGAGTGCAATTTGGGAGTGGCGGAGAGGAAGGCTGTAGGGGCACGGAATCTGCTGGTCATGGTAAGACTCACCTGTAAGGCCACAAACGTTGCGGGCGAACTCGATGACGGCTATTTGGAAACCAAGGCAGATACCGAGATATGGCACCCGCTTCTCCCTGGCCCACTTGGCGGCGCTAATCATACCCTCTGTTCCTCGGACACCGAAGCCTCCAGGTACCAAGATACCCTTTGCGCTGCACAGCGAGTGCCAAGCTTCGTGGTAGCGCACCGGGTTGTCGCTGGCTGTTTGAGGCTCCAAGTCCGAAGCCTCGACCCACTTGAGCTTGAGCTTGCGATGGCATCGCATAGCAGAGTGCTCCAGAGACTTGATCACCGACATGTATGAATCTTGAAGCGAGGTGTACTTGCCCACCAGAACAATCTCAACGGTGTCGATCATTCGATCGTGGCTGTTTCAGGCAGCGAGAGGTGCGGGTCAGCGAAAGAGTTCGACCGATTGACTGCAACTTCCTGAACTCACGTGGCTGTCAGGTCCCTCCATCGCCGCCTTAGATCCCGTCCTACCTCCTTCTTGGCTGCCTCCATGCCCTTGAGCTCAAGGCCAAGCCGCTTCTCCAGGAATTTGACCATACCCTGCTGCTCCAAAAGCAGCGGAACGTGGTAAGTCGATTCCACATCGTGTACACCCAAGACCTGATCAGGAGCAACGTGACAGAACATCGAGAGCTTGTTGATGACGGCTTGATCCAGCTTAGCCGGCGACCGACATGCGATCTGAAGGGCGGTGTGCAAGGTCGTTCTGAGTGAGCCTTTGCGCCTCTGCCTCCCTCACATCGGATCTGACCTCTTCTACTCACCATGTCCGGAACCAAACCAAGACCTCTGAGGTCCTTGATGGCTGCCTGCGTCGGCTTTGTCTTCTGCTCTCCTCCGATGACAGGCACCAAACTGACATGGACGAGGGCGAAATTGTCCTGCCCCACCCTGAATTGGAATTGGCGCAGAGCCTCCACAAAAGGCGCCGACTCGATGTCACCCACGGTACCACCCAGCTCAACGATGCACACCTCTGGAGCCAAACCAGTCGAGTCGACTGGCTGCGCAGCAACTCTCAGCAACCAATCTTGAATGGCATTGGTGAGGTGCGGCACAATCTGCACAGTCTTGCCTAGATAGTCACCGCGCCTCTCCTTCTCGATGACCTCGCGGTAGATCTTTCCGGTTGTTATGTTGTTGTCCTTGCTGAGGGTGACGTCGAGATATCGCTCGTAGTTTCCGAGATCGAGATCTGCCTCTCCTCCATCATCCAGCACGAAGACTTCACCGTGCTCAGTGGGGGCCATTGTCCCGGCATCAATGTTCATGTAGGGGTCGATCTTGATGGCAGTCACCCTCAGACCGAGTGTCTTGAGCAACAGACCAGTCGAAGAAGCTGCGAGCGGTGCCAGGGTGGATGGGAAGATGAGCCAGGCTGACGATGCATAGCATGGCTCTGGCTCGCTGCGAGAGACTACTCACCGATGACACCCTTTCCGATACCGGAGATGACACCACCGCTGACGACGATGAATTTTGTCATCTTGGACGAGGAGTGACGAAAGGAGGTAGTATGTTGGAGGAGGGAGGTGACGATGAAGGAGAGGCAAGGTGGAATGGCCGACTGCCTTGACTCGCCCGGAATCAAAAATCACGGTCGCGTTCAAAATTGGGTCCACTTTCGGATCGGCGCGAGCGGGACAGCGCCAGGCACCACGCCCACCCTCTCCTCGGCCCCGGAAGCATCGGGGCATCAATGACGACTCCACTCAGACGCACACACACACACACACCACACGCTCGAAGGAGTGAGTGACCATCTCACCTCACCTCACCTCTCGCCTCATCCTCCCTCATCAACCCGCGCCGATACGACAATGAGCAACATCGAGAAGAAGCAGGAGGCAGACTTGTGAGTATGCTTTGGTGGTAGGGGAGGTTTCTTCAGAGTGCAATGCGAGACTTGCGAGCAAAGTCGAGCTCACGTCTGGGTCAATCCTTCTCACACCGCCAGCACCAAGGACGTGGATGCGCTCCTTCCAGAGGCAGAGCAGCTGGCTCAGTCGGGAAAGCTCAATGAAGCCCTGGACAAGATTGCAGTGTTGGAGAAGAAGTCTCGCAACGCTGCAGACATGGTCAGCACAACACGCCTGCTCCTAGGGTCCCTAGCCCTCATCCGAACCACTCCCTCGACATCTCAAACAAATTGGCAGCTCTTGAGCGAGACCCTCATCTCCTTTTCGAAGAAGCATGGACAGCTGAAGCAGGCGACTACGAAGATGGTCCAGATGGCCATCTGCTACCTTCACCCTCCGAATACAGCTCCCGTCGCCCCCGCACAGCCGATCAAGGAGGAGGACACCAAGATGGAAGAGGCGGCAAAGACTGTAGAAAGCAATGCAGATGAGGGAGCAGAAAAGAAGAAGACGGAGAGAGAAAAGGACAAGGAGAGGAGAGCAGCTGAGAAGGAGAAGGAAGGCAAGGAGGCAGTAGAGGTGACCAAGCTCCTAGACTCTGCAAAGAGGACTGGTGATGAGGGGCTGGATCCAGCATCGAGACGGAAATTGGTAGAGACCATTCGGCAGGTGACGGAAGGCAAGGTAAGTCAAGCTCCATCATGGAGAGGCGTTTCCAGCTTGACACTCAGCTGACGGGCTCTTTGGCATTGTTCTCCTTCTAGATCTTCGTTGAGGTGGAAAGGGCTCGCGTGACCAAGATGCTCTCTTCCATGCTGTATTCCGAAGGCAACATCGACAAGGCCTTTGAAGTGCTGCAAGAGCTAGCAGTGGAGACTTTCGGCAGTATGGAGCGGAGGGAGAAGTTCGAGTTCATCATTGAACAGATGAGACTCAACTTTGAGAGGAAGGACTATATCCGCCTGGCGATTGTGTCAAGGAAGATCAATCCGAAGTTCTTCAAGGAGGACGAGCAGCACGTGAGTCTCAGGATGACTATCTAGAGCCCGCTGCAGAGATACTGATCCTTAGCACGACATGTCGGCTCTGTACCCCGCAGGATCTCAAGCTTCAATATTACGATCTTATGATTCGCTACGGTCTTCATGAGAAGAAGCATCTAGACGTCTGCAAGTACTGGCGCGAGGTGTTGGATACCCCAAGGGTGAAGGACGACGAGGCCAAGGCTGCCGAGGCGAGGAGAAACGTCATCGTCTTCCTGGTCCTGAGTCCCTTTGACAATGAGCAGAGCGACCTGATGGCCAGGGTGGAGGCCACAGAGGATCTCGAGGCTATTCCTGAGCACAAGTGAGTAGGCGAGACGTTACTCACACGAAAACATGTCCGCTAATACTTCTATTGTTCTGCTCCAGGAATCTGCTGAAATGCTTCACTACGCCTGAGCTGATGCGATGGCCGGGTATCGAGGCGCTATATGGCCCTCTGTTGCGAGGCACCCCGACCTTTGATGACTCAGAGCAAGGCAGATACCGATGGGAAGAGCTTCATAAGCGCGTGGTCGAGCATGTGAGTCACGACGCGTACGGGGTCTTCGACTGCGATCAGCTTGACTCATCTCGACTCTCCTCTGCCCCCTCTCATACTCAGAACATTCGAGTGGTGGGCAAGTACTACACCAAGATTACGCTGCCGCGTCTTGCGGAACTGCTTGACCTGCCTTTGCCCGAGGCCGAGTCGTCACTGTGCTCCCTGGTCACTTCTGGTACGGTGTGGGCGCGCATCGACCGACCTGCAGGCATCGTTTCACTTGCCAAGAAGAAGGATGCTCAGGAGCACCTGAACACGTGGACTAACGACATCAACAAGCTGATGAGTCTTGTGGAGGAGGCCAGCCATCTAATCAACAGGGAGAGGGCCGTGGTCAGGGCCGGACTGGGTGCATAGCCGGGTCGAGTACACGAGAGGTTGCGTCTGGTTGTCATCGACGAGTTTTGTCGTGTCAATGCAAATAAAGCGTGGGCGCATAAGACTGAGCCCATCTTCATACAAGTGCTGCCTCCTGTAGAGACGTGCGTGCTGTTCGGGCGGCTAGGGATCGATTCGTCGGAAGAAGGGGCGGAGGCGGGTTGGGTCCCTTTGCGGCCGAGAACAGAAGGACGATGGGCGGATACGTGGTTGTGCCTGAAGAGCGATCACAGTGAAGAAGCAACAATGTGAGGCCCTAGTACGCTCCCTCCATCGTGAGCCCCTGAGGACAGACAAGAGTACGATGTCATTCCCCCAACGGCGACACCTCTGCGGGGCATTATGAGCTGACGCCGACGCCGATGTGGACCCGGAGCGAGGGGCAGGTGGGCGGGTCGTCGGCGGGTGTGGATTGCCGTCGTTAGTTCCGGGTGGTTGTGGGTTGCCACGTGGTTTGAAATGGATGAGATGAGGTGCTGATGCTGATGCTGGCGGGGGGCGGCGGCGGAGAGCGAGGAGAAGGCCGCGCCTGCGTTTGCTGCCTCGTTTCTTGGCTGGCTGGCTGGCTGGCTGGCTGGCTGGCTGGCTGGGTCTGCCTTTGCCCGCTTGCCCGCCCGCCCGCCCGCTTGGCCCCCCTTGGCCCGCTTGACCCACCAACTCAGCCCCCCGCGTGGCCCAGCAGGCGTGTCGTCACAACTCCCTGCTTGACTCCTGCTCCCTCCTCACCATTACTCTCCCCCTCGCTCCCTCACCCAACCCTACTCTAAGCCTTGCGCTTGACCCTACGACTCGCCCATTCTGCAGTCAAAGAGAAGGTAGCACGCACACCCTTTGTCTCTTGTGCTTGCAACCCCCCCCCTTTGCCCTAACCCTACCGCCCTCCTGAGGTAGAGATTCGAGCGACAAAAACATTTGCCGTGCCTTTTGTCCCTCGTGTCTCCTCCTCCTCCCCTTCACCCCCAAACCAAGTCGGCACTACCCTTCACCGCCTTGATCACAGCATTGCGGACAGAAGTGCTTGCTTGAAACCTTCAGCTAGTCGATCATCATGGATCTCCGAGTCGGTGGAAAGTGAGTATTGGGCAGAAAACTTAGCATATACGGGGTATAAACCAAGGAACGGAGCAATGTAAGACCTCGTGGGAGGCGGCTTTGTGCTCAGACGAGTTCGCGATGATGAGAGAAAGGGTCTCAGCACATGGCAGATGGAACATCGTCGTACTAAGCTGACACTTGACTTTACCTCCCTTTTCCCCTCCTACTATTCTTGCTGCTGCTGCCTCCTATTAGGGTGAGTGTGCGACCTGGCCAAGATTCTCAAGTGCTCCAAGGCACCTTTGCTGACTTGCCTCTTGATGGTTTCACTTTCACAGTACCGTATCGGAAAGAAGATTGGTTCGGGATCCTTCGGTGACATCTACCTCGGCATCAACATCATCTCAGGAGAGGAGGTGGCCATCAAGCTCGAGTCCATCAAGGCTAAGCACCCTCAACTCGAGTATGAGGCAAAGGTCTACAAGACATTGGCAGGAGGAGTAGGAGTGCCCTTTGTGCGATGGTACGGACAGGAGTGCGATTACAATGCCATGGTCATCGACCTGCTGGGACCCTCCCTGGAGGACCTCTTCAACTTCTGCAACCGGAAGTTTTCCCTCAAGACGGTGCTGCTCTTGGCCGACCAGATGATTTCGCGAATCGAGTACATCCACTCGCGCAACTTCATTCACCGAGACATCAAGCCGGACAACTTCTTGATGGGAATCGGAAAGCGTGGTAACCAGGTCAATGTCATCGACTTTGGTCTGGCAAAGAAGTATCGAGACCCCAAGACGCATCTGCACATTCCTTACAGGGAGAACAAGAACCTGACCGGTACTGCTCGTTACACTTCGATCAACACTCATTTGGGCGTTGAACAATCGCGACGTGACGATCTCGAGTCGCTGGGCTACGTCTTGATGTACTTCCTGCGAGGCTCGCTGCCATGGCAAGGTCTCAAGGCTGCCACCAAGAAGCAGAAGTACGACAGAATCATGGAGAAGAAGATGACCACACCGACTGAGCTCCTCTGCCGCGGCTTCCCATCCGAAATGGCCATCTACCTCAACTGCTGCCGTTCTCTGCGCTTCGACGACAAGCCCGACTACTCGTACCTGCGAAAGCTCTTCCGCGACCTCTTTGTTCGCGAGGGCTTCCAGTACGACTACGTCTTCGACTGGAGTGTCCAGCAGCGTGCGACTGAGGAGGCCAAGGCTGAGGCGGCAAAGCAGCAGGTGCCCCAGCAGCTACCTAGGCGAAAGGTCCTTCCTCAAGGCGAAGAAGAGCGAGGAGGGTGAGTAGGTGGGTTTCTCCGATCAGATCAGCGACAGTCGAAGTGCGTGGGACATTGATACTAACACATCGTACCCCACCGTCCTACTTCGTCAATCAGATCGTACGGAGCTCAAGGCTCGCGCCCACGAAGGGACAACTCTGAACAGCAGTGGTACTAAGAGTCTTCTTGAAGTCTCCAGTCCCAAGCCATTCGAGGGTTCTGGAGGGTCGCACTCACTGTGCCAGCGACAGGTCGGGAGGAGCTGAAGAAGACGGGACAGAAGGAGTGCAGGACGACAATAGATAAGCTCACGGAGGCCAACGCCTCGCCGAGCGCATCACGTCTAGTATGCTATCCTGCCGTTGGACAAGCTCACGAACCCCGGATCTGTCACATGGTGGGCCGTGCTGTGTAGGGGAGGATGACGACGGGCAGAAAGACTTCCGCGAGTATCGCGAGGGCGCCGGTGGAATACAAATAGCTCTCTGGAACTCAAGGATAGTCGGTGCCGCTAGGAGGGTGGGCCGGTCGGATCATCAATGTTGAGATTTGGAATCAAGCCAGAGTCTGAGGGGTCAAAGGGCTCGCGCTCTGCTCAACGGTCTGCGCTGGTGCATCTTCATCGACTCAACTCTCTTTTCAACACTTCAACCTTTGGTCGTCGCACTGTCACCCATGCACGCCTGTCGCGCTCGACGACATGTCGAACCCGACGGCAGGGATCCCCTCAAGTGGCTCAAGTCCGATGCTGAGACTGTCAGCCGATGAACGCGGAGGGCGACACAGCTGAAAAGGATCTCGGATCTTCTGATCACAATGGCCTAAGGTCTGTAGCTAGGAAGATCGGAGAGACTGATTCATCATCACGAGGTATAGAGACGATAGATGGCCATAGACCGTCCCCGTTTCGCGGCGCACCTGATGTCAGCTTTCAGGCACGGCGCTGCTTGGATGGCCGAAGATCTCAAGCATTTCGCATGCAGGCACATCGACGTCGTCCGCGCGTAGAGTGTTATTGGTCAGAGCACTTTTGCTGATCGATCCGCACTCAGATCATCCGCAAGCTTCTCCACGCCGTCAGAGTCTTTCACTGCAAGTCTGGCGGACCCTGGTCTCGATCTTAATCTCGACTTCAATCATCCCAGGTGCAAGCAGGTCTACCATCACCCTCAACACAATTCATGCTCACGTTCCCCCCTCGCCCTCTACCAACATCTGTAGTCCATTTCCATAGCCCACTCCCCATCTCACCCTCTCCTCACAATGCTGTACACTGCCCCTCTGTCCCCCTACCCACTCCCAATCTACTGCTTCTGCCCACGCACCACTCATCACAATCCACAACCCACGAGCCCCTACTTCCCCACCCATCCCCATTACTTCGCGCCACTACCTAACCCCCATATCGCCCCCGCCTATTCTGTTTCTTGTTTGCTTTTGCTCCCCCCAATTTGCTCCCTGTCGCGCCCTCCGCCCTTTTGTCTCTTAGTAACCAATCTTATGATGATGATGATGGGGCGCACACACCGAGCGAAGGAGCGATGTCGAGCCAGCTAGCTAGGTAGTCAATTGCTGGCTGCTCGTTGTTCGTTTGTTCGTTTTGGGGGGTCAGAGTCCGTCTTTCTCGTCCTTTTTATCCATTTTACAAAGTCGCTAGTGTGCGTGTGTGTATGTGTGTGCGATGATGTTGGCTGGGTGTCGACTGGGGGTAAAGTAGAGGAGGGCTGAGCATGCGCACAAGATGAGGACATGTTGGGAAGCGATGGACGGAGAGAGGGACGGAGGTGAGTGATCTGGACAGAGTGTTGCAGTGAGTCGCAAGCCTCGATGTTTCCGACAAGATTGCACACAGTAGTCTGAGCAGCAATCTGATCCGATGTGATGTGAAATGATATGGTTGGTATACAAATACAATGAAGACACGCACTCTCCTCTACCTCGCCTTGTCCTTTCCCTTCAACACGCACACGCACCCCGCCTTACCTCTTCCTCTCCTTTCCAAACTTAAATACGACCTTCTGCCTCGTATCTCTCCTCCCATTGACATCCTCTTCTTCATCCTCCTCTTCATTCCCAGGCATGGCCAATCCATGCTTACTGACTTTGCCACTCGCAACTGCCTCTCTCAAAGCGGCCTCTTGAGCACTACTCTTGTGTTTGCTGACAGAAGTACCACCCTTGGTGGCCATGAGGGCTCTCACGAGTCCCAAACGGGTAGAAGCTTGAAGTAGAGCATGCAGGCGAACTTGTCTGGCGCGTAGCAGGGAGATGAGGTAGGACCAGTGCTTCTCTCGGGAGCGACGGCGGTCCTCGGCTAGTTTTTGAAGGTGACGAGCCTGCTTCTTCACCGAGGTCGGGGATGTAGACGAAGAAGTGGGACGCCGCCGAGCTTCGTCTTCGGACTCCTCCTCGTCTTCCTCGTCTGAATCGCTCAGCTCACCATCGTCAATTAGAACGTCCTCGTCAATATCCTCCAAGTCGTAGTCCTCGATGGAGCGGTGCTTTGGCCGTCCCGTCGACTCATCTTCGTCATCCGTAGGGGCGGCGGCGTCGAGTGTGACGCTAGAAGTGCTAGGTGCAGAGTAGCCGCGCACCTGGTCGACTCCGTCTAGCCAGACAGTCCTCTTTCCCTGACTTCCTACTTTTCCCTCACCCATCTCCTCATTGAGTTCCAACTCCCTCGCCACTCTCTTCCTTCTTCCCTTGTCCTGCGCCGCACCAAGCAGTCCTGCCTCCTTGAGGGCAACTGTCCTGCTCTCCTTTTCCTGCAGCCACTCCACTCTCATTTCGGGCACATTGGGTGCAAGTTGCCCAACGAGGGCCTCGATACGCTTTCGCTCCTGGGTCACCTGCCTACGGACGTAACCCACGTCTTGCGTCTTGAGAAGAGAGACGACGCTGGTGGGGAGGGACTCGTTGCCGCGGGATTGAATGTGGACGCCTTTCTACAGAAGCCAGGGGGAGGGATAGAGGATGGAGAGAGTCGGACACTGCGCTTCACTAGTCTGTGTCTGATTCTGCCTACTCACCTCCGTCCTTCCCTTGACCATCCCAAAGTAGTACTCATCCTTGTTCCTATCCAGTGCCTTCTCCCTCAACCGCTTGATGCGATCCCGTTTGGAGTGATGATCGCGTGCACGCTGAACATAGTCCTTGTGCTTTTCAAGTAGACCAAACTTGCGGGCGCGATGTGTAGGTTGGGAACGCTCCTTGTGGTTGCGCCGGTGCACAAAGTTGCGGATCGGCATGCTGGGCGAGGCAGAGCAATGCTACGGTGAGCCTACTTGGGTGTGTTGGTATACTCTCTGATGAGAAGGAGTGAGTGAGAGTAGCCACCGCACGGAAGTGGCTTCGTCCAAAATTCCCAGTGCGTGTGAGGTCTCCGCTTCCGTTCCGGTTGCGTCTCTGGGGCCCAAAAAATTTCAAGCGAGCCTCCTTGCCGGCTGTGGTCCGCTTCCCGTTGGAAGCAAGAGCGGCTGCACGACCCGACTGTAGGATCATTGGCAATCATAGCCTAACCAGCATCGTCTTTCCTTGTCCGTCGTCCACACCACGTCCAGAGCAGCCAACATGTCTGAAGGGTCATCCCCGACAAAGCTCACAAAGAAGCAACAGAAGGCCGCCGACTTCAAAGCTGGCAAGTCAGGCTCTGCTTCAGGCTCAGGGTCTGCTTCCAAGGGAAAGGGAAAGAAGCGCGATCGTCAGGCGACGGGAGGAGATGTCCCCGAAGAGGACTTTCTGGGAGAGGGCGAGGGAACTGAGGTGATGGGAGAGTCGTCTGCTGCTGCTGCTTCCCTGACCAAGGACAAGGTGAAGGAGAAGGAGGCAAAGAAGAGCAAGAAGGATAAGACGGCCGCCGATGCTGATGGAGAAGGCAAGGAGGCCAAGAAGTCAAAGAAGAAGCGCAGTCGAGAAGACGATGAAGATGGACCAGCAGCTACTGAAGCGAAGGCGAGCAGCAGTAAAGCCAAAGACGCCAAGGCTGGCCCTTCCTCGACTAAAGGCAAGAAGATGGCATTTGATGAAGATGGCAATGCCACGGCTGCAGCCACGGAGGAGCAAGTGGTAGAAGGTGCCAAGGGCAAGAAGAAGGCAAAGGAGAGTGGAGAGGAAGGAGGAGCAGCAAGGCGATTGATCGTCTTTGTTGGTGAGTGAATACTCGATAAGGACGCTGTTTTCACAGGAGGTCTCGCTGACGCAGAAGCCTATCTCCCTTTCCTCCTGCCCCAGGCAACATGTCCTTCAAGTCTACCGCAGATGAAATCGCCTCCCACTTCAAGTCCCACTGCTCCGAAACACCCTCCGTGCGTCTCCTCACCACTCGCTCCTCAGCCAGCACAACCCTCTCCGCCTCTAAGCTCAAATCCATCGCCAAAGGAAAAGCCGCCGACACCACAATCCGTTCCAAGGGCTGTGCCTTTCTCGAATTCAAAACTGCTCCAGCTCTACAAAAAGCCCTGGGACTACACCACACTCTCTTTGGTGGACGCACAATCAATGTTGAACTCACTGCCGGCGGAGGGGGAAAGGGTGCTGGGAGACAGAAGAAGATCGAGGAGAAGAATTCCAAATTGGATGAGGAGAGGAAAAAGTTGCATGAAAAGTACGTGGTACCTTCATTGGAGGAAAAGAAGAAAAAGGGAGAAGAAAAGAGGGAGAGGGGTGAAGAAGTGGGTCCGCCCAGGAAAAAGATTAGGAAAGGTGATGAGGGAGAGGCACAGTGGGGTAAGAGGGGAGGAGCGGCTGCCCCCGCGACCGGTGCTGGTGCTGCTGGAGGTGCAAAGAAGCAGCCCAGATGGATGGCAAGTGGGGCAAATGCCGTCAGACTCACTGGCTAGAAGTGCCACTCCAGATCGCAAGCGCCTTTGGGATCTCTTTCGTCATCGCAATGCAATCCATCAGTCTTTCGGAGTACAGCTCAAAGTCATGACAAGAAGAGTATAGGATTGGTTGAGAACGTAAGTTGGAGACGTGGAACAAGACAGAAGACATCTGATATGACGTGGAGGGTGGGGGAAAGAGAAGGGAACCAGGTGTGAGAGGGACAGCGGGTAGGTCGTCAAGAGCGGGGCGGGAAGGACAAGCTTGAAAGGAGTGACAAGGACAAGGGATGTAGTGTGGGAAAAGTAGCTTTTTGAAACAGAGTACGGCCAGCGCGAGATACTCCTTTCAGTCCATGCAGTGCCCCTCCTCATTTCATTTCCCCCCTGCATCGGTCAATGTTCCATCTAGTAGTAGAAGAGGCATAAGCTAGCGTCGTCATGTCGAGTAAGGGTCCGTCTCACCACCACCAACTCCTCCACCACCACCAAGGGAGCGATCCCTCTCCCACTTGTCCAGCTCCGAAGAGAGGCTGTATCGCTCTCCTTCATTTGCATTCATCCCACCGGCGCTGCCGCTGCCTTCCATCCTTGAGAGCCCATCCTTGCTGGCGAGGAGAGAGCCAGGCATGCCAGCAGCGCCCACGAGAGCGGCCGAGCTACCTCTCCCAGCTTCGCCATTGGTGCCGTCATGACGGTCGAGGCTGTTTCTGCCGCCACCAACGTGGTTGCTATTGAGCCCAACAGCACCACTGCCGTCGTCTGCAATGGAGTTTTCAAAGCTGCCGAGCAGGAGAGACAGTTTGCCTTCGGTTTCCTGGAGCCTCCGGGCCAGGCCTTCATTCTCGTACCTCAGCTGATTGTTCTGGCTCGAAATGGCAGCAACGGCACCGCTGTTGCTATTAGCGTTGGCGCTACTGAGCCCACGAGACATTCCCTGCGAGGAAGTCGCTGCTGAGTTCGGTCCAGAGTGCTGTTTGAGCTCAGAAGAAAGGTGCTGATTGAGCTGCAGCATCTCCTCTACCTCCTTTCTCAGACGTGACACTTCACTCTCGAGCTCTGCGGCCCTTCTGGAGTTGGAGTCGGCCTGCGTGTCCTCCCTCAGTCGTGAGCGGTCATGGAAGTCCTTCTGGTCGGTGATCAGGCTGGCGAGCCTCTTCTCCAAATTGCGGTTCTCAGCAGCAGTCTCCTCCGCTTGCTTCGTGATGTCCACCAGTCGCGTACGAAGAGCCTCGATGTCCTTGGCCGCTTCGCTCTCACCAACGGGTCCATCTCCAGAACGTGCAGTGGCCAGCTCTGACTGCAAAGAGGCATTCTCGGTCTTGAGCTTGGTGAGCTCGTCCTTCATACGACGGAGCATCTTCTCGGTGCCCTTGACGAACTGCACAGCAGTCTGATAGTCGCTCTCCAGCTGAGCCATGCGCTCCTTGTGGAGGGCAGTCGTCCGCTCCAGCTCTTGCTCGGCTTCCACAGCTCGGCGCTCCAGCTGTTCAGAGTTGGCGCCGCTCGAAGAAGTGCCTGCCGCGCCAGAGAGACCTCTAGATGATGCTCCGTGATCCGCATCTCTCTGAAGCTCCTCGACTCGGCTGGCAGCTTCGCGCAGACGATGCTCAGCATCACGTGCCTCTTTGGTCCTAGCGTCGACTTCAGCCTCGAGCTCGCGGATCCGCTTGTCTGCAAAGTTGCCTTGTGCGCTGAGCTCCTCGTCACCGGGGACTTCTGCCCCACGGTCAGCAATGTATCGTCGAAGAAGATTGTCCCGCAGTTGGGCAGCCTCGAGCCCTCGTGAAAGGTCTCGCAGGTCCATATCCTTGGCACTGCTCTGGTCTTTGAGCCGCGTGACTTCCTGCAAAGCGATAGCGAGCTGGCCCCTCATAGCAGACAGCTCAGTACGGATGCCAGTATGTTGCTTCTCAAGAGACAAGTTGCGGTCTCGCAGGTCCTGCAGAGCCGCATTGGCAGCGTCCGTTGCAGTGCGCGACTGGAAGTGAAGCTGCCTCAGCGTCTCAGCTTCTGACTCGAGCGACTGAATGCGTTCTGTGGCATGGTCAGGAATCGCCTCTGGCAGCGCTCGAGTGGAGCGCTGCTGCTGCAGATCCAGAAGCTGGGTCAGACCACCAGTAAGAGCACTTCGATGCGAGTCCGCCTCGTTCTTGTGAGTGTTGGCCAATGCCTCGAGATCAGCCGCACGGCTGCTGTGAGCGTTGGCCTCCGCAGTCTTGCTGTCCAAGGCAGAACGCAGCTGGTTGATGGTATCTTGATGCTGAGCAGCAACGTCCCGATGCTGTGTGTATAACCTCTCGTGTTCCGAAGAGCGAGCGACAGCAGCAGCTAGAGCGGCTTGGAGAGCAGGCAGAGCAGTACTGTGCGTCTGAAGGGACTCATTTGCCTCATCCAATTGTGCGCGGACTTGCTGATGACTGGACTGGTGCTCGGCAACCAGTGACGTCAGCTGTGCCACTTGCTCTTGATGATCTCGCAGCTGACTCTCTTGGCCGTAGGTTCGCTTTTGTAGCATGGCAAGCTCATCGTATGCCCTCATCTGAGCACCCTCGGCAGCCATGGCCCGCTTTGCAGTCTCCGAGAGTCTCTCTTCGGCGCTTTGACGAAGGCTCTGCTCCAACTTGACGTCCTCTCTCAGCGATTGAATCTGTCTCTCGAACTCGGCCGATTCACGCAAGACCTCCGATAGCTGCTTCTCGCTCATTGCAGCCCTCTCGCGGTCCAACGCAGCAGCCTCACCGACGTCGCCCTTCTCGAGAGCATGCAGCTTAGCGCGGAAGAAGGCCGCTTCCTGCAGGGCGGCGATCCGACCGCGATCAGCCTCTGCGACCCGCTCCGATTCACTTTGTGACTGTTGTGCGATGGTCGCCTTGGCGTCGGAGAGCTGCGTCTTCAGAGAGACCAGTGTGCGGAGGATACGCTCCTTGTCGCTGCCCTCGACACCGGACTCGAGCTCTCTCGAGTCGAGCGAAGAACCATCCGGTCCTTCTACCTCTTCAGGAGCTACGAAGCCTTTCTTCTGAGCAAGGAGAAGGGCAGCCTTCATCCAGGCGTTGCGCTTCCTGAGGGCTTCCAATTCTCCACGCTGGAACCCATTGCCTATCACGGGAGAGTTGGTCACGCCGCCCCCGCCAAGGCTGTTGTAGTGGAATCCATCCTGGGCAACAGAGCCCGAGGGAGATGTGGCACCATCGAGGATACCGTTGATAGACCTCTGCTTGGTCACTGATCCCTGATTAACAGAGGGTGATGCAGCTCCACCTGAGACTGAACGCATATTCTCAATCGAGCGCTGACCTCGTGGACCAGTATACATCGGACTTTGACCGACTGCTGATTGCGCTGCTGGTTGCGGCGCAGAACCAACAGGCGATGAGACGGATCTCTGATTGGCATTCTGGCCTGCAGGCGGAATCATGGTATTTACGACCGGCTGCTGCTGCTGTCCCGGCGTCCGTTGGTCTCTCACGATCCTTTGTTGCTCAGAAGAAGGTGCTGTCCGGCTAGGAGATGCAAGGACATGTGATGGTTCGAGGGCAGGGGCAGCTCCTTTGGTAGCAGTCGGCCCCGACGATGCGGTGGTCTCTGGCTGTTGCGTCCTCGCGATGATGCCATTCGGTGCAGCAGACGATTGAAGAATACGTTGAGTGGGCGAGATTGATCGATCAGCAGTGTCGATGCTGCCTCTGGGAGCAATGCCCTGAATAGGGCCAGCTCCCTGCGGCGAATTTGGCTGAGCACCAGATTGTCCTTGCAAGGATGTCTTGCGCCCGCCTCGGTTATCGGGCGGGTACTTGATCTTGACAGTGTCGAGGACCGAGACGATGTGAGGATCGTCCGATTGGCCGCCAGCAAACGACTCTCCACCCAGCACGACTAACTTGCTCTGGAATGTCGAGAGGATGTGACCTGACCGCCCACTTGGGGCAGGGCCCATATTGGCAAACATGTACCAGCGCTGGTTGGAGATCTTGAAGCTTGCCAAATCGCCGAGATCGCGTCCATCGACTCCTCGTCCTCCGAAGATGTACATGACATCGTCCACCAGGCACACTGAGTGCCCTTCACGAGGCACAGGGATGTATCCGATGCAAGACAATTCCTTCCAGCTGTTTGCGGCAACATCGTAGCACCACGTGTCGTTGTAGTGGTACTGTCCGTCTGTACCACCGAAGATGTAGATCTTTTCCTTGTACGTCACTGTGGCATGGCCAGTCCTGCGAGGAGGAACATCGCCATTGGTCTTGAGCAGCTCCCAAGTAGGCGTGTTCTTGAGACTGTTGAGGTCAAACGCCCAGAGATCATTCAGGAAAGTTCCGTCGACTTGACCACCAAAGACGAAGAAGCGCGAGCCGACGATTGAGACGACGTGACCGTAGCGTCCTACAGGCCCATTGTTCAAACCTTCCGCCTTGACGCGTGTCCACTCTCTACTGCCGAGGTTCAACAGGTATAGACCCTCATCTTGCTTGTCTTCGGCACGAATTTTGGTGTCTCCTCCCCAAAGGATCAGTACGTTAGAGACGAGGACAGTCGCATGTCCGACTCGGGGAGGGGGGATTTCTCCACTTGTCTGCACCAGAGTAGCACTAACTCCTCCGCCAGGCGTGACACCAGGAGGCGCTCCAGGGGGAGCTCTTGAAGGAGCATGAATGACTTGGTCGATGTGCAGAATGTAGAGATCATTCTTGACGCTCTCTCTGACCAAGCCTCCGAAAAGGAAGACTTCACCAGAAGGGCTGGCACTCTGATTACCGGCGTGACCGTAACGTGGAAAGGGTGAAGGGCTCACAGCACCTGGAGGCGCTTGCCGACTCTCATCCAGGAAACGAGGAGGGTTCAAGGTGAGTGTCCGTTGGCTCCAGGGATAGACGACCGCCTGGCGTGGGCGATCTGACGAAGTGCGAGCAGAGCCTGGGATACTTGAGGGAGGTGTGCCGCTTGCCATCTGTGACTGCTGCGATGACTGTGGCTGCATCTGCATCGGCTGACCCTGAGGAGGACCATTGGTCATCAACGAGCCAGAGCCTCCTGGACCCATTCCTGCTGGCCCGCTTATCGAACTGCCTCCGCCATTGCCGCCCATCGTCGAGCCAGGGGCACCAGCTCCCATTCCAGCCATCCCAGCCGGTCCTCCCGGCCCACCGAGGGGTACGTCCTGGCTGACATTCCTTCCCCGCATACTGCCAGGCTGTGGGATCCCACTTTGCTGTCCACCAGCCCCTGTTCCAAATCTGAAGGCCGAGCCTGCTCCTGCCATCCCTCCCGTGGAGCCAGGCTGCCGTAATTGCGAGCTGCCAGCGGATGCGGGAACGAAGCCAGAGGCGTTGGCATTGCCTACGCTTCCGGGAGCAGGGATGCCTGATTGGCCTGAGAGGGAACCGTTGGTACCGTGATGACTGTTGCTCGAAGGAGCTCCGGGTGTGAGCTCTCTACTGCCTCCTCTTGCGCTGCCCGCTACTGGTCGACCGCCTTCTGGAGGAGGGGAAGTAGCTGTTGCAGAGGAGCTATCCGTGACATTCTTTTCCGCCTTGTCTTTCTTCTTGCCGAAGATCGCCATGGCTGGATGATCGTGATCGTTGCGTCGATGCGGAGGTCGTGAAGGATGAGAGCGAAGGCGTTGACGTTGTTGCCTCGCAGATGTAAGCTAGACGTGAGCAGGTCCCTCGAGCAGTCCTGTTGCTGTCGAGATCAGCTAGTTGCTCTGACACGCGTAACACGTGGTGGTGTCAAGGGATCCTCGAGGTCGTCTTGAGCCGTTCGACCAGCAGCAACTCTGTGAGGGCGTAGGTCTCACGTCTGTGGACTGAGATGGAGCGAAGAAAGGAAGAGTTATTACGAGGTGAGCAAATTGCAGGTCTGACAAGGGCGACGAAGACAGGTGGGAGCGAGGCCAGAGCCAAGGTGATGGTTCACATTCGCTTGGAGTGACCAGAAAGCAAAAGTGCTCTACGGCCACTGCAGCATTCCCTGCGACCGTCTTTGCTCTCTAGCGTGAGAGCAAAGGTGGCCATGCCGACTTGAGCGTCCCTGAACCGCTTTCCACCCGCGGGATTATGACCCGCCCGATCGGGACCTTCGGCCGCCAATTCTTCCGATCTACTCCCACAAGATGTACGACAAGGGCGGAGAGGAGCCCAACAGTCTACTAATTGTGATCTACGAGACTCACCTTGACTTATGCCAGTCCTTTCTGACCCACAGTCGTCCCCAATCGAGAACACCTCGCGTCTCCTTCGCTCCTAGGATGGCCTGGTGTGCGAGCAGCAAGCAAGCGCAGATGCCTATTCCTGCCTTTCTGGTATATGATTCACCCCTCTACTCAAGTAGAGAGAATGTTGAGCGTCAAGCTAGGGCAGATTTGCCCTTGTAGAAGAGACGCTTGTGATGGATGATCGCGAGAATTGACGCGGAAGGAAAGGGGAAGGCGAGAAGACGAGGTAGTCCAGCTAGAGCAACACCGCTCGCTAGGCCTTTCTTGAGCGGGATGATGTTTCGTGTAGTTCGTAGTCGTAATCGTAAATCTCGTCGATGATGAGCGTGAGCTTCACCTTGCCTTTGCCTTGGGAGAAGAGACAGTAGGCAGTGAGTGAAAGGGCGTTGGTTGAAGGGGGGGCAAGGAAGCAGGTGAGATGGAAGCGGGTGTGTGCCCGGCGACCAGAGCGTGAGCGTGAGGCTAGACAGACAGATGAGGCACGCCTGCCCCCGCCCACGCAGAAAAGTTGGCCCATCCCACCCACAACGACGACACACACGCAGACGCACACACGCACGCACGCACACACACACACCTGCCGTTTCCGAATGGGCGGGCGCCTGGGTGCCTGGGTGCTTCCGCCTTGCTCTGCACGCCCACCAGCCCACGCCCACGCGCTCCCACCGTTTCCGCCCAGCGCCAGTCAGTGATCGACCAAAAGGACAACAGACGCGCATTGCGACGATAGGCTCCAGACGGAGGCTATTTCCGTAGACGGTCAGTCCGTCAGACCAGGCACGAGCTTCCATTTCCCACACTCACGCACGGCAACTTCTGTCATCTAGACTAGACTAGACCAGACTAGATTACGCCGCCGCGTGGATACGTCAGGACGCCAGAACGCTGAGCTTCGCATCGTTGAGAATACCACGATGGAGTGAGTAGGTGGTGGGTAACTCGTCGAGCAAAGACCCGCATGTTTGAACTACGGAGAAGACACTCGCGTGCATAGACTCCGGACCAGCAGCGACGTACTTGTTTTCTATTCTTTTTTTCTTTCATAAGGAGAACGCGAAAGAGCGAAAGAGGTAGCGGGGAGAAGGAAGAAGAAAGGGGAACACATTGTCGAAAAGGTGGGCGGAGGCATAACAGGGGGAGAGGGAAAACAGACAAGGGGGTGTTGAAAGAAGCCCGTGACAGTTAGAAGGAGAGGGGACCACTGATTAGGTGCGGGTCTTTTACTCTGCCTCCTCACCACCCTCCTCGTAGGTAGCATCACCCTCGTACAGAGCCTCCTCGTCCTCGACGCTGGTCGACCTGAAGAGGCAAAAAGTAAAGAGAGAGCGTTCGGTCAGCCGTCAAACTCCTTGCTCGTCCATCCTGTGCGCTCCCATAGGCTACTCACTCGTACTGCTGGTACTCCTGGATGAGATCTTGCATGTTGCTCTCTGCCTCAGTGAACTCCATCTCGTCCATTCCCTCGCCAGTGTACCAATGCAGGAAAGCCTTTCTCCTGAACATGAGCGAGAACTGCTCGGCGGTTCGCTTGAACAGGGCCTGGATGCTGGTGCTGTTCGAGATGAACGTGGCCGACATGCGCAGTCCGGGGGGAGCAATGTCACACAGCGAGTGCTGGATGTTGTTGGGAATCCACTCCACGAACAGGTTCGACTGCTTGGTCTGGATATCCCTCATGGCGTCCTCTACGGCCCGTCCTCCGATTTGACCACGGAAGATGGCGGCAACGGTGAGGTACTTGCCCATGCGGGGGTCGACAGCTGCCATGATGTTCTTGGGGTCGAATCCTTGCATGGTGAGCTCCGGGATGCTCAACTGCTGGTACGCCCTCGATCCGGGAGCGGTGAGGGGAGCAAAGGAACATGTGAAGAAGTGCAGACGGGGGAAGGGAACCATGTTCACACCCAGCTTCCTCAGGTCCGAGTTGAGCTGACCTGGGAATCGGAGGGTAGTGGTGCATCCGCTCATAGCCGAGGCGATGATGGCATTCAGGTCCTCGTAATTGGGGTCCTTCTTGCGAAGGGTCCTCTGGCAGATGGCGTAGAGGGCCTCGTTGTCCAGACAGAAGGACAGGTCGGCGTGCTCCATCAGCTGGTGGAAGGCGAGGGTAGCGTTGTAAGGCTCAACGACGGTGTCCGACACCTTGGGCGAGGGGAGCACACTCCAGGTGGTGAGCATTCGGTCGGGGAACTCCTCACGCAGCTTGGACAGCAGGTTGGTACCGAGACCGGATCCTGTACCACCACCCAGGGAGTGGGTGAGGGAGAAACCCTGGAGCATCTCGGCCTTCTCGGCCTCCTTTCGGGCGACCTCGAGGACAGAGTCGATGAGCTCGGCACCTTCGGTGTAGTATCCCTTGGCGAAGTTGTTTCCGGCACCGTTCTCACCAGACACGAAGTTGTCCGGGCGGAAGAGGTGGGCGTGCTTGCCGTTACGGAAAGCGTCCATTGTTCCAGGCTCCAAATCGACCTGAATACTCCTTGGCACCCACTTTCCCTCTACGGCACTCTCCTCGAAGAAGATGTTGGCTCTCTCAATCTGGTTGGGGTTGTTACCAACGTATTGCTGTGAGAGGAGGAGTGAGTGTGCAGCAACCGGGGTCAGCCAGCTTGAATATCCACCGCAACCTACAGAAGATCTGACACGCCCTCAAGGTCATTGCCGACGTGTCCAGACCTCCTGGGCTACCGTTCTCGATACTCACACCACTGTTGTCCATTCCATGCTCGGCCAAGAGTCCCTCCCAGAAGGCACCCGACACCTGGTTACCGGCCTGACCGACGGCGATAGATACCTGTGAGAAGGAAGACAAAGAAGAATACGGACAGGAGACGATGGCAACGAAGCTTCAGCGCTGTGATCGCATGTCACAATGCCAGCTACCTCAAGGGTTCGCATACTGACGAGCTCTCTCATTGTGTTGAAGTGTTGAAGTGTTGGTTGGAGTGGCTGGGATGAGGCTGCTGCTGGCTTGATGCGCGCGGGGTATCACCAGGACAAGTAAGCTCTGTCAAAGGGGGAGTGCAGACGATAGAAGGACTACTTTGGTAGTTGAAGATCGAAGATGATCTGGAAAAGAAAGAAGGGCGGAAGGGGATGAGACCTGTGTGTAAGGTGGCAGTGGTAAAAGGGTAGGGGAGTGGGTGGGGGGCGTTGAGGAGGAGGAGGAGGAGCAGGCGACGAGCAAGTGATGGTCCAGAGCCTCTTCTTCAGAACACGTCTAGCGGAGACTCAAGCCATGCGCGCACCTCGCCCGTGTCCCTCTGCCTCCAGCACACACACGCACCTCCCGCCGCCCCCGCGCCCTGCGCCTCGGCGAGTCAACACACATCAACGCAGCCCACCAGTCACTCTCGCGTCGCATTCTCACACGTTGCTCACAACACAAGGCGAGAGCTGAACTGGCTCAACTACTTGGCCGATCAGCCCGCTGCGTGCGGTAGTGGGGGTAAAATTACATTGTAGAGTAGCAAGAGGAAAGGAAATTCCTTGATCTAGACAGAAGTCGCCACCGCCACTACGATCTGACAGCCAGCCAGCGACCAGTTGCAGAGGGGGGCATGACAGCAAGGAGAGAGAGAGAGAGAGAGAGAGCAGCGAAGCACCGTGGCACAGACTGCCCGCTTAGTACAGCCTCGTCACCACGCCCATCGACATTAGCTCCTGGAACAGCAGCTTAGCGGCATAAGGCAGCATCACCTGACTGATCTGCGTCCTCTGCGAGCAAGTCCTGCAGAAGTATTCTCCCTTCTTTAGGTTCGCAATGGCCGTCAATCCACAATTGTCACAGCGGAAGTCCCTGTAAGCGTCCGACGCGTCGAACATCCTCTCCTTCAGGAAAGCAGCTCCACCGTGCGAGATCAGACAATCACGCTCCATCTCTCCGAATCGCAGACCACCGTCTCTGGATCGACCTTCCACGGGTTGACGCGTGAGAATCTGCACGGGACCTCGAGCACGCGAGTGGATCTTGTCGTCGACCATGTGCTTCAGTCGCTGATAGTAGGTAGGGCCCAGGTACACTTGTGCCTGAAGCTTGCGACCAGTGTGACCGTTGTACATGACCTCTAGGCCTCGCTTTTGGTAGCCTAGCTTGGCCAAGATGGACGAGACTGCCTCGACTGTCAAGTCGGTGAATGGCGTGGCATCACCTTCCTGACCCGACAAGGTTGCGACCTTGGAGAGCAGACACTCGACCAAGTGTCCGATTGTCATACGCGACGGAATGGCGTGCGGGTTGATGATGATATCGGGAGTCACACCCTCGATTGTAAATGGCATGTCCTCTTGTCTATATGTGATACCGATGGTACCCTTTTGACCGTGTCGAGAAGCAAACTTGTCACCAGTCTGAGGCACACGAGTAGAGCGCACGCGGACCTTGACAAACTTGCTGCCTTCCTGGTTGGTTGAGATCAGGACTTGATCAACAATACCGCTTTCGGTGCTCTTGAGTGGGGTACTGACATCTCGCTTCGTGTGTGTCTTGCTTCGCAGACCGAGCTCCTCGCTGTCCGGAGGCAGAGGAGCGGTCTTACCGATGATGATGTCCTCCCCGGAAACCCTGGTACCAGGGGCTACCAGACCATCAGCATCGATCTTGTCGTAAGTTCCGTGCTTCAGTCGGATGGCAGTGTCCCTCATTGGCTTCTCGAACTCTTCCTGAAGAGTGAATCCGACCTTCTTCTCAAAGTCAGTGTAGGTACGGTAGTAGAGGGACCTGAACAGACCACGATCAATGGAGGACTGGTTCAAGATGACCGAATCTTCCTGGTTGTATCCGGAGTAGCACAAGATTGCCACAATGGCATTCTGACCAGCAGGCAGCTCTCGGAAGTTGAGGTGCTCCATCGATCGAGTCGTGGCGAGGGGCTTTTGAGGGTAGTAAAGAATGTTGGCCATCGTATCCATACGCATCTGGTAGTTGGTAAGATAGACTCCCATAGCTTGCTTACCCATGGCAGATTGGTATGTGTTACGCGGCGACTGGTTGTGGTCCGGGAAGGGAATAATGGAAGCGCAGACTCCCAGGATCATGGCAGGATGGATCTCGCAATGTGTCCATGTGCTTGGCTCGTAGTATCGAGACGACACGAGACGCGCCGAAGCATCCGGCATACCGTCGAGACCATTGGCTTCGCCGGTAATGAGGCCTGTCCTCTGCAGCCGCCTCGACTTGGCTAGATCCTGCGGACTCATCGAAATCATAACCGTCTCTTCCTCGTCAGCATCGAGGTACTCAATGACACCTTCGGCGACCAGCTGACTCCATTGGAAGCGCTCTCGTTCATCTTCATCTGCCTCCATATTTGCCTCGTCGAGCATGTTGCCGCCCGGCTTCTCATCAGCATTGAGCCACTGAATATGCTCTCGAGTGATCAAGAGGCGCATGCTCTTCGGATCGACAATGAAGAGCGGTCGCAACACACGACCTGAGTCGGTATAGAGACGCAGCTCCTTTTCTCGCACATCGTGCACGACGCTGACTTCGGTCGTGATGTCGTCCTTTCTCCTCAGATCTCGCAGAGTCTCGACGAGAGAGCTGGGTTCGTTGTGAGTGCCAGCCCAGACACCATTGACGAAGACCTTGGTGGCCTTTGCTGCTGAAACCTGCATATCAACAAGGTTGTCAAGACCGAATTCATCCAAGAATTGATGAAGCGGCGCAGAAGGAGAGCCGACCGAGATGAGAGACATGAGACTGAGATTCTTGACCAGACCACAAGCCTGTCCTTCGGGTGTCTCGGCAGGGCAGACCATTCCCCAATGGGTGTTGTGTAGCTGACGAGGCTTGGCAATCTTTCCGTCTCGACCAATGGGCGTGTTACAACGCCGCAAGTGCGACAGCGTCGACGCAAAGGTGTACCTGTTCAACACCTGCGACACACCAGCCTTCGCCTGCATGAACTTCTTTTGATCTCCCCAATTACCAGTAGCAAGAGAGTATCGTAGACCGTTCGTGATTGTGCTCGACTTGACAGCGGCAGTGAGATGGAACTCTCGCTGCTCCTCAACACACTTCTGCAAGTGACGGTAGATATCTCGAGTCAACTTGCGGAAGAGCATCCGGAAGAGACCCGCCAGCAGGGGTCCACCTAGATCAAGACGCTTCTTTCCGAAGTGATCACGGTCGTCAATCTCTCTACGCTCCAAGGCGGCGAGAAGCAATCGATGAACCATGTAGCCGAAGAAGTATGCCTTGCGAGTGTTGGAACCTTCAGAAGTCGAGATGTGGGGCAGCATCTCCTTCTGCAGGATCTCCTGGGCATAAATCTGTCGCTTGCTTCTGGTGAGACCAGTGGCAGTACCTCGACGTCCGATGAAGTCCAAAGCTGCCTCTCGCTCCTGAATCACGAAGGCTTCTTCGATACAGGGCTTGAGCATCTCCAGCATGGCAGTGTCGTTGAAGTCGTAGCAGATGTGTTGCAGGACCTCACGATCGGGAACGATGCCCAAGGCTCGGAAGACCACAACGATGGGAATGTCGGACCGAATATAAGGAAGTGTCGCTCGAATGGCGTTGTTGGTTGCCTTGTCCTTTTGCCTCGAGAAGAGCTTCACTTGCATGGTACTGATGGTCTTCCCACCCTTTTCCACGGCGCTACGAATCTCGGCAAGGAAGGTGATAGGTGATGGTGGTGCTTTCGAGAAGACATAGACGTGATTTGCGGCCATTCGCTCTTGAGCGATGAGGACCTTCTCTGAACCATTGATGACGAAGTAGCCACCCGAGTCGAGCGGGCACTCCCTCAAAGCTGACAGCTCTTCTTGCGAGCGGTCTTTGAGCCAGCAGAAGTCACTTTGAAGCATGATGGGAACCTTTCCGATGAAGATCTTGTCCACCGCTAGCTCTTCTCTCCCTGGCTCAGGCGCCCATAGCGGATCACCCGTTTCCGGATCAAACTCTCCCTCAACTTGGGTCAAGACCCTCTCTTTGACATCCACATAAAGTGGAGCAGAGTAGGTGAGGTTCCTCAGACGAGCCTCTTGCGGCATCAGACCTGCCGAACTACCGTCTGCTTCGGTCATGTTGGGCCTTGCCAGGTAGATCTGCCCAAACTCGATCTCATACCGGCGTGCCTTGTCGTCTTCCCTGCCAGTATGCTGGCTGCTCTGCTCCAGCGTCAAGCTCTTGACCTCGTCTACCAGCTCCTGCATGGTGTTGTGGACGAATTCGTTGAACGAGTCGAGCTGCTGTCGCACCAGACCTTTCTCGGCAAAGAAGGCACGGATGACATCCCAACAGTCTTCCTGTGATACATCAGGCTCGTCAATCATCTCATCCCCATAGCCTGCATACTCTCCTCCATAGCCATCCATGGGCACCTCCTTCATGGTGGCGTCCATGTACGAGTCGTACGCTGAGCTGACTTCGGCTGTGCGACGGGAGGAAGGCAACGGGAAAGGAAGGTCCATTGGTCACTGGAAACAACTGGAAAAACAGTCGACTGTCCAGCGGCAATATCTCACCCGTCATCTTTGCAATCTCTGGCTATAGAGAAGGTGGGAATCAAGGGGGCAACGCTTCGAGCGGGAAGCCCTGACAATGCTGCCGTGCTTTTTTCCTGTACCTCAAGAGGAAGGCGGCGGCGGCGGCTGCTAGTCACTCCAAGAGCCAAGCGTCTACGTCTTCGGAGGCCAAGGACGACGAGCGACGGATGAGCACCGCTAGCAAAGACGATGACGAAGGGAGACCTGGGATACGACGGGGGTGCGGATGGCGGGTGGGGAGGTGAGGATGGCGGGTGGAAGAAGTGGCTGGTCGTGTGGTGGTGGGACGAGGCGATGGCGACGAGCCCCGCCTTGCGCGCACGGCACACGCGGACTGGCGGAAGGGGCGGGGCCAGCCAGAGAAATGTACAGACCCGGAACTAAGCTCGCCACTACTCCCCCGCTCACCTCTGTGTCGATCCTCTCAACTCACTTCACATCACCCTCATCGCATCCCCCAAGATCTTCATTCATCATGGGAGGCGGCGACTTGAACATGAAGAAGTCGTGGCACCCGCTCCTCCACACCAATCAGGAGCGGGTATGGAAGCAGGAGAAGAAGGCCTACGAGGAGCGCAAGAAGCTCGACGAGCTCAAGCGTGAGCGAGATCAGGAGAGGGAGATGCAGGAGCTACAACGACTACAGGAAGAAGCAGGTGGGAAGAAGAGGGTAGACAAGGTTGACTGGATGTATGCCACGCCTGCTGCCGGTAGCGGACCCAGCGCGAGTGAGCTCGAGGACTACCTCCTGGGCAAGAAGAGGGTGGATCAATTCTTGCAACAGAAGGCAAAGGAGAGCAATCAGGCTACTACCGAGAAGAGCAAGGACGCCTTCATTGCCATTCAGAATGCCAATACCGCCAACGATGTCGCCGCCAAGATCCGTGAAGATCCCATGTTCGCCATCAAGCAACAAGAGCAGGCCGCATACCAAGCTCTCCTTAAGGATCCAACCAGGCTTAGACAGATGAGGGCCGCTGCTGGTCTGGATGTCGAAGACAAGGAAGAGAGACGGAAGCGAAAGGAGGAGAAGCGGAAGCAAAAAGAGGAGAAGCGGCTGAGGGACGAGGAGAGAAGGCATGGCAGCAGTAGCAGAGGAGACAGGCATCGAGACGATGACGAGCGTGGCTCACGGAGAGACGACTATCATCAACGTCGCCCCAGCGAGAGATACTACGATGAGCCAAGCAGAAGGTCCGACAGAGACGACTATTCGAGGAGAGGCTATTCACGCGACCACGACGACCTTCGCTCCTCTGCTCGAGACTACTACCGCGGTCCCCGTGACGATGAGCGGCGCTACCGGGACCGAGACAACGACCAGAGATCGTATTACAGGGAAGATGATCGCTACGACAGACGAAGGAGTCCGCCCCGTGGGCCAGCGCCTGCTTCTCAGCGCTCTCGATCTCGCTCCCGCTCCCGCTCTCCTCCTCCACGGCAACATCGTGAAGACCGTGCAGCGCCTGCTGCTGATGCTGCTGCTCCCCGTAAATCCAACGAGCAAGCCGAGCGCGAGGCCAAGCTGGCCCGGATGCAATCCAATGCGCAAAGCATGAATGCCCAGCGCTCCGCCTACCTCGACAAGGTCAAGGCTGAGGAGGCTGAGGAGTTAGCGGCGGAGCAGAAGGCTCGGGACCGCATGGACAAGCGAAAGGAGGCTGGAAAGGGAAGCTTCTTGCTTGACCAGCAAAAGAAGGCATTTAATGGAGATTTGGCCGAGAGGCTGCAGAGGGCAAAGGGGGGACTGCAGAGGGTGGGAGGAGATTGAGAAGCCGGCAATGGACGGCGGATGTTTGTCTGTCTGTATGTATGTAATATACCATGTATGAGGAAGTGAAAAAGGACTACTATGCTGTGCGAGACCTTGCATGCGTCCCGCCTGGGACTCTCAGTCGATCCCAACAGCCCAGACCTCTACGATCACCGGCTCAAACTTGACCTCACCCCTCGCCTTCTCCCTCTCGGCACTCTTCGCAGCCCTCTCATCCTCATCCTTGCCTACCGGCTCAGGGCGATCTCTATCGTCGCTGAGAATCTCGTTCCCGTACGTCTCAGACCGAGCAGTGACGCCCTTCTCGAAAGACGAGTCGATCCACAGACCATACCTCCCGTCGATTCCTCCACCCAGAGAGAGGTACTCGTGAGTGGAAAGGATGTTGTAGTTGTTCCTCAGAGTCGTCGGGTACGTCTTGATGTAGGGTGTCCCTTCTTTGGGCTGGACAGTCCTCCAGAGGAAACAGTCTCCATTACCGTAGTAACCTTTGTTATTCGTGAAGCTCTCATTGACAAAGGCGCCAAAGACGTGATCGTCGGCGTCACGAATGGCCAAGACGAGGCCTGCATCAGATATGGACGTGATTCCACCACCTATCCTGTGAGGTGCACCGGAGTAGGAGGTGTTCGAGGCCAGATCCGCACCGAGAGCTGCCCTCGCTGCTGAGCTCGAGCCACGTAGCCAGCCATCTTGGCGGTCCGATTCAAAGCGTGGAGCAGCATAGCCTGGAGAGGGAGAGGATTTGCCTGCTCGCTTCGGGTCCATTCCGAACCTGACCTTGTGGTATAGCGTTTCGAGACTGACGCCATCCTGATCCGAGGAGTAAAGCAGTCTCCAGGTCCTACCCAGCTTCAGGCGAGGCGGTAGGTATGGCTGAATGTGTGAAGAGTGCATACCTGTGACCACAGGATTGGTCTCGTCACCCCTGCCGGTCAGATGGACAGGCAGAGGATCCCGAAAGGGCTTACGCGGCTTGTTGGCAGCTGCTACGGCTGCAGCGACTGAGCGCCCGTTGCCGTTCCTTCCGAGGCTGGACGAACTGCTGCTGCCGTCTTCCAGTGACCAGGAGCCAGTGTTCCAGTGCGAATCGAGCCTTCCAAAGTCCACGCCGGGGGCGCCGGAGACGAAGCGAGAGCTCGGGGCGGGTGCCGACTTTGGTGGTGCAAATTGAGCATCTCTGGCCGCCTGAGCGCTCGCCATTCGGGCATTGGCAGAGGGTGGCACAGGTGTCACTCCTCGTATAGGCGTTCCTGACCCGGAGCCCATGGGTGTGCCAGGCTTGCTGCTGATGTCAATGGCGCCCATCTTCCTGGCTATCTTGAGCTCTTCATCCCCAAAGTCTACGCCTGGATCAATCAGATCCACAGCATGCTGAGCGAGGTTCGAGCCCAGCCCTCGTATCGATCCCCACCACGATCCCTGGGGTGTGCCGCCCGCCTGCGCTCCTCTTTGCGAGGGGCGAGACGGAGCCGGCCTGCTCTGTCTGGTCTCACCAGCACTTCCAAAGTAGTCTGATCTGGAAGGCACTCCTTCCTGCGGCGGCGATGTGACCATAGGGCTGTCTCGCGCCTCCTTCATGCTGTCCAACTGCTCCTTGTCCATCAAGGACTGCGAACGCCCCTTTACCGGGCTTTTGCTAAAGGGGTCCTTCTCGAATGCGGCAAACCAGTCGTCTTCCTCCTCTGTTGAAGCATGACCTCCAGCTTTCGCCTGCTGTCGTTGCCGAAGCCTTCGTTCCTCTGGCCGCAGGTCGATGATAGGAGGAGAGGGTGGTTGTGGGGGAGGCTCCACGGCTAGTGGCGGAGTGAAGTCGTGGCGAGGTCCGGGAGAGACAGCGGTAGATGTTGAGGCGAGGCCGCGAGGCACCGAAGGACTGCGTTGGCCACCCGCTCTCTCAAGGGCTGAGAAAAAGTCTTCATCAGCCTGATTGAGGCTGTAGGTGGAGGGTGACAGTGGTCCGGCAGATGTGTTCTTCTCAGAAGAGGAAGATGGTCCTGCTATAATATCTGCCTGCCATGCATCCCAGTCCGGGAGTCGAGCAGAGGCCGCTTCCACTGCCGACGAAGAGGGGCCGTCTATGGAGTCTGAGAAGTCTTCTACGACGGATCCATCTTGCCAGTCGTCGGATGTGGATGAGAAGTTCCGCCGATGGGAAGGCAGGGATGGAGAGACGACCATTGCCGCTCCCCGCCACAGCAGACAGACACTCTAGCTCGCCGCCGAAAGCAACAAGATAGAGCCGACAGTGCTGTGAATGGCTTGTGTGTCTACAAATTGTAGTCAGGAGGGGTGAATGCGTGAGAGGAGTCGAAGGAAGTCGCAAAGCACAGCAGAGAGCCCACGTCGTCGTCGTCGCCTGCACAGTCGAACTCAAGCGCAGGCCAATGCACGGACGTCCGTGGAGGGGTTCGCACACCTCACACGCGGGCCAGGTAGGCTGTAGCAGCTATAACTACTGCCACGCCCGTGGTAAACGCACTGTTGAGACGATCATCAGCTCAAGCTATGGGGACCCCCTTCACCACCGCTGTTCCGAAAGAAACGCTTCAGCAGTGTCACGTTGTACGCGTGCGACGTGTAGAGCAACACCAGTCGAGGCCGCCTTCGAATCGTGCCTGCGCCGGAGCGAAGGTCCCCGCTGTATGAAACAGGCTCAGTTGCCTCTTCGCCATAGCCCATTTGTGATATTCTTGATAGAAGTAGCTCCTCAGCCAAGGAAGAACATCAGAATTCGGGCGGCCACCGTGGATAAGATCTCCAGACTACCTCAGCGTGGGAAGAGATTCTGCGGGACCGGGCCATCTGACCTCAGTGCCGGATGTGCGGCAGCGCCGGCAGGCCCAGCCAAGCAGCCGGGCGGGCAGGCACACACGCGGGCAGGCGGATAAGCCGCACTCATCTCCTCCGCATTTCCATCGCACTTTCCCGTGGCCCCACCTTCTGAACCATACCACCTCGTGCTCTCCATCAGAGCATCGCCGTCTCAGATCCTCCCCACCCTTCGTCGCACATTCGTGCACCTCGAGCGGGGTATTACTCCGGCTCAGCGGGCTCCCCTCGTACCAATAGCAGCAAACCTGGCGGTTTGCGAGTGCAATTTGTGCAACAGCGCCTTGACAAATCTGCGCACAGGCAGTCTTCCGACACCTCGGTCTACTGACACCTTCTTCAAAGCCTCAAGCTGTCTAGGCGCCTCTCATAGGAGAACATCCATCTGTGACCATGGCATACAATTCTGAAACATCGTCCGACGGGGTCGATGGCCTCTCACAGAAGACTCAACAGGTGCAACTGGGAGCTGCAGCGGGCGGCAGCGAGTCTGTCGCCCAGCCACTGGGCCTCGGACAGGATTCGTCCGCACCAGCCTTCTCCCAACCGCGCACGGATACCAGTCTTCCTGGCGGAGGGGCCGTTCTGGCTGACGCTGCTTCTCTAGGAGGCACTAGTGGAGCTGCTCGTGCAGCGCGGCAAAAGTACGTGGGTGAGGACCCCTCTCATGGGCGTGATGGAGAAACCATCGTCGACTTTGCCGGAGCTGGCAAGCAGACTGCTGGTCTCCCCGAGATCGAAGAACACGCTTCTCCTTCTGCTCCTGCCACGCCTCGCTCAGTGCCATTGTCGCCAACTCAGTCTAAGTTGAGTAAGACAAAGAGCAACGTTGGTCTCACATCTCAGAGGAGCCGTCCAGGCGCGACGGGACTAGAAGGTGCCCGGCAGATCAGCGCAGCTCAGGACATGCCTGGAAGCAGCACACCTTCGCAATTCGTCTTTGCCAAGCTGGGAGCCCATCGTAGAGCTAGTGATGGGCACCCTGCATCAGCGATTTCAGCTTTGACCTCCGCTGATGCAAGTGGTCCGACTACACCGTCTGATACTCCTGTGCATCATGAGAAGCCAACGCCTTCAGCATCAAAGAAGAGGGACAAGCACTCGGGACATCATAATCCACTGGTGGATCTCAAGAAGTTTTTGCACAATCACATTGGTCACCACTCTTCCGATGGAGAGCGATCTGGAAGCTCCACTCCTGGCAGGAGACACGGGCACGACTCGCCTCCACTCGGAGATGATCACGCTCATTTGGCCAAGAAGTACGGCAAGTGGGGTAAAGTGCTGGGATCTGGCGCAGGTGGTACAGTTCGTCTGATCAAGCGATCTAAAGACCACACGACCTTTGCCGTCAAGGAGTTCCGTCAAAGGAGGCCCGGGGAGAATGAGAAGGAGTACATCAAGAAGGTCACTGCTGAATTCTGCATTGGAAGCACCCTTCACCACGTCAACATCATTGAGACGCTGGACATCATTTCGGACAACGGTCACTACTACGAGGTGATGGAGTATGCCCCAAATGATCTCTTCAGCATCGTCATGAGCGGTAAGATGTGTCGTCCAGAGATCTACTGTGTCTTCAGGCAGATTGTGGATGGAGTCGACTACCTCCACAGCATGGGTCTTGCCCACCGAGATCTCAAGCTCGACAATTGTGTCATGACCACGAAGAACGTCGTCAAGATCATCGACTTTGGTACCGCCACGGTCTTCCACTCACCTGGCAAGAGCAAGGTCGTTGCCACCGGAGTCGTTGGCTCGGACCCTTACTTGGCTCCTGAAGTTCTCTCGCAGCAGACATACGATCCTCGTCTGACCGACGTGTGGAGCTGTGCCATCATCTTCCTCTGTATGGTGCTGCGCCGGTTCCCCTGGAAGTTGCCGGACCCCAAGACGGATCCCTCCTTCAAGCTGTACATCACTTCGCATCCAGAGCTCTGTGAAGCGCCGGAGAACTTTGACGATCACGCCTACGTGACTGATGGCCACTATCGGGACACGCCGTACTCGCACCATGCACGCCATCACCGCGAAGAGCATTCGAAGAGCCCAGACGCCTCTGGTATGCTTACTCCTCGCATCCTCAGTGCCAAAGAGGCCGGATACACGACGCCCCAGCGGCGCGCATCCGGTGCGGGAACACCCAGCGGAACCGAGCTCGAAGAGGGCGAGTCGGGACATGGCAGCCTGGACAGGAGCGGCTTGGGGGGTACTGCTGGCGAAGGTGACAGTCGAGATGCGGGCTACTTTGAGAAGAATCGAGGTAGTCGCGATTCGCCAGAGATGCTCACACCTGACGGCGGCTCTTCTTCCGGACCTATCTCGCCTGCTCCTAGCAACACGGACGACGAGACTCTAGCAGAAGGCAAGCCCCGCACCAGGTCTGGCAGCGTGTCTTCCGTGGCTACGTACACGTCTGGTGCAGCCGACAGTATCTTTAGGCTTTTGCCGCGCGAGACTCGCTCTGCTCTGAGCAGGATGATGGCCGTGGAGCCAACGTTGCGATGTACCTTGGGAGACTTGCTGCGAGGTAGACGCTTCAGCGACGGTACCTCTCCCCTCACTCAGACCCCTGTCATGTCGCGCACAAGCTCCTTCGACGCTCTGCACAATCTCCACAAGACTGGTGGTACCGGCGGCAGTGGTGCCATGAGTCCTGGTCTTGCCAGTCTCAATCGTCAACTCCCCGCTGAGTTCGAAGACGACGATGATGAAGGGGACGAGTGGCTGCGTGGGATTAGCACGTGTGCTAGACTGGTGCCTGACAAGGATGGACATACTCCGGCTGCGGAACATCCCCATGTCAAGATTCACCCCGAGGAGGCAAAGAAGAAGCACAGCCTCTTCCACAGAAAGGATTGAGGGAAGGGGTGGAGGGTGAAGGAGGAGTGTTATGGAAATACGACAGCTAGTCAGGAAGATGATCACAGTACAGGAGTCGACGACTTGGAGGAAGGTATGAAGATGGAAGAGTACCTGAAGGATCACGGTATACAGGGGTTCACTGCTTACACTCTGTTGTGAGTGGTAAATGGTGAAATTCGTTGGTTGCTCATTTGATAGGTTTCTTAGGCCCCGCTCGCTCGCTCGCTCCTTCTGTCATCTCGCTTTGATACGATTACAATGAAAAGTCTGGCCTATATGGACTGACACGAAGGACCGTCCGGCAGAGCGGATGGTGACTCTGGGTGTGCCCTCGGCCGACTTGATCCCAGCGCTGCACTCATTGGTGCAGTTGCTCGCGCCTGCCAGCCTGCCGGCCTACATAGTACAGGGCAGGGACGAGCAAGTCCCCGCGTCGCGTCGTGCCTATGCGAGGGAGTGAAAGCTCGAGCTGATCCTGGAGCAGACGCGAGAGCCAAAGCTGAAGCTGAAGCTGAAGCTGGAGGTACGCAGGCGTGACCCAAAAGGAAAGCAATCGACGACTGCCATGCCAGTGTTCAGGGGCTTGTGAAGCCAATCAGAGGGCGAGCGCGTGTGGTGCGTTTGGGCGTGCATGAGTAACATTCCTCCGAGATGGGGGGGACCAAGGGGAAAGGGGAAAGGCCTCTTCTTCCCTTTGCCCTCCGGCTGCATAGACGCGCGTCTGGTCTATGCACCCCCCCCCCCCCTCCTTCCGTCCACCTTGTTTTGCCGGCTGCCGACTCCTCCTCCTCTCCCCCTTTTCGGGCGTCGGGGCTACTCCCCCTTCCTGGGTGGGTCTTTTCCCTAAGTGAGTGAGTGAGTGAGTGTGGGCGAGTGAATTGTTCCGCTCCACCCTGCCCTGGTGTGGGCAAAGTGAGGAGCCGAGAAGCCTTGCTGCTGCCTACTGGCCTCTGCGTCTTGCCGAACGAAGAAAGACTTTGCTCTGACTGACAGCCGAGAGGAAAATTCCTCAGTATGTGTGTGTGTGTGTGAGAGAGAGAGTGCGTGTGTGCGGTCTTCTGATCTCGGCTGGGTGCCGCTGACTGAGCTGAACCAAGGTAGGCAGGGCTTCTTCGCGTCTGTGCTTGGGAAGGGCGAGCGGAGCAGCGGCAGTGTGTGTGTGTGTGTGTGTGTTTGTGTTTGGATCTGTCGTCGAGGCCGGCGGGCGGCAAAGGCAAAGGAAAAAGGCCTGGGGCCGGTGAGGGGCGGCTTGGGCAGTAGAGGAGTGTGATGTGCCCCTCCGCTTGGCAACTCTTTCGCCACCCTGCGTCGGCGGCCTCTTTGCAGCAGCAGCAGAGATGGATTGCCTTGCCGTGCCGTGCTGCCCCTAATTTCCGCTGCCACCCACCCACCCATACCCCGACTGCCTCAACACTCACCGCCGCACACCTTCAGATCAGACGCACACACACACACACACACACACACACCTTCCACCGCCCCCACCTCCTCTTTCCCTTTCTTTCCTACCATCAACATATTACTACCCCCTTTCCCCCCTCATCCCCTCAAGTATCCCCCTACCCCCCTTTCTTGTCCTACCCCTCTTCTCTTCCATACCCCTTGACTTCAAGAGCGTCGTAGGCACCCCCAGTGGAAAAACACAGCACCCACTATCTTCGCGCAGACGCAGGACTTCCGACGTCACGCACACACACACACACACACTCAAGGTCTGCTTCCCGACGAACACTTTACTTCATCTCCTGATTTGACGACACTCCCGACGAGCGACTAGCGTTGCTGTCCCCCATCACCATTATCATTACGACTAGATAATACACACGGGACTTTTCAACTCTCCCACGCCCTTGACACAGCCCCACCACCCTCACCCACTCTTCTTTGCCACACAACATGGCACACCACACCGGCGGCTACCAACAGCCCCAGGACACCTATATGCACTCGAATGCATCCCAGTTCGACAATCAATACCAGAGCGGAGGATACAGGGATGAACCTGGATATACCGGACAGCAGACACCCCAGAGCGACTACTATGGAGCCGGTGGAGATGGCACTCACGACTCTGCCAGGTATGGCGCCGGCGCTGGTGCTGTCGGCGGTACTGGCTACAACCCAGGTGAGTAGAATTGAATACTTCGTGTGGCTCTCCATGGACAGTTCACCTGACCAATTACTCCTCACCTTTCCTGTGCTCACCCTCAGCTCAAGAGTCTGCCAACAAGTACTCGTACGCACCACCAAAGAAGACCAAGTCAAAGAAGCTGATGTGGATCATCATTGCCATTGTTGCCCTCATCGTTATCATTGGTGCTGTTCTCGGTGGAGTCTTTGGCTCTAGGGCAGCCAGCAGCAGTAGCAGCGGTAGTGGCGGTAGCGGTAGCGGCAGCGAAGCAGGTTCCGCCAGCAGCTTCTCCGGCCAATCCGCCGCTGCTCGTGTGGCCAACATCCCTTCTTCAGTCTCTTCGTCAGCTGCTGCTGCTGCCAGCGCTGGCGGCAAGAACGACGTCTTCTTCGATGGCACTGACTTGTACGGCAACCCTTACTGGGTCAGCTCCAACCTCGACGCCTCTGCACCTGCCCAGGGCGAGGAAGTCGTCTCGTGCTCAGACTCCAACACACCCGACGGCACCCTCTCCGCTACCTCCCTTCGTAGCCACCCTCGTCTCATGACCACTGGACCTGAGTGGAGCTGCCTCCCCCAGAAGATCGCCAAAGACGCCTACCTTACCGTGTGGAACGCTTCGATCTTCGCCAACGCGTCTGCCTTCTATGATCTTCCCCCTATCAACTACACCTTCGATGGTGACCCGGCCAGTGGCTCTGGTATCCTCGACCCTGCTCGTGAGACCCAACTTCGTATCAAGACCTGGGCGTACGCGTACATGATCAGCAACGACACCAAGTGGCTCGACAGGACCTGGACAGAGATGGTCGCCGTCGCCGGTAACTCTACTACAGACGTTTGGGACGCCTCCGAAGACATTCCTGGGGCCACAAAGAACGAGACTTGGAACCCAGACCATTTCCTCGATCTTGCTGAATTGACTGCTGCCTTTGCCATTGGATACGACTGGCTCTACGACGCCTGGAAGCCTTCTCAGAGGGAAGCAATCATGTGGACCATCATCACCTTTGGACTCAACCAGGGTGTTGATTACTACAAGACTGGCGCTGCCTGGTGGAGTGAGACCTTAAACGGTAACGGTAACTGGAACTGTGTCTGCAACTCGGGTCTCATCCTTGGTGCCCTCGCCATTTGGAGTGAAGACCCTACCGATGCATCACAGACCATCATCAACGAAGCTCTGCCCAACATGCGCCAGAACTGCATGCGAGGAGCCGGCAGCGATGGAACCTGGTCCGAGACTCCCAACTACTGGTACTTTGGTACCAATGCTCAGGCTCGCGCTCTCTCGGCGCTGATCTCCTCCACTGGCTCCGACCAGGGTCTCAGTGCAGCCAACTCCAACTGGAACCTCACTGGACAGTACCACATGTACGTCGGTGGCCAAGCTGGTCTCTTCGCATACGGCGACAACGGACCCAACAAGTTCTCTACCAATGCCAACGGAATGTTCCTGTGGGGCAAGCTCGCCAACCTGCCCATCTACTCTCTGTACCAGCGAGACCGTGCTGATGCAGCCGACCCTCTGAGCATGTTCTGGTACGACACTGGTGTCACCGGATCCTTCTGGAATGGCCTCGCCCTGGACAAGTTCTTCAACAACAACCACTCGTCGTGGGGCAGCATGCGAAGCTCTTGGACCGACTTCACTGGTACTTACGTGGCCATGAGGGCTGGTAATGCCACTGGTTCGCAGACTCACGGAGATCTGGATGCTGGAGACTTTGTCATTGACGCCCTGGGAACCCGTTGGGCCGGAGAGTACGGAAGCGGAAACTACCTTTCCACCGACTACTTCACAAGTGAGGCTCAGAACGCCGTCCGATGGCAATACTACCGCAAAGGTACGCAGGGTCAGAACACTCTGGTGATCAACAAGGAGAATCAGGCGGCCAGCTGCCTGCCCACCAACACCATGGACTCGACTGGTGCCACGCAGAGTTCCAGCATCAACTACGTTCCGGGCACCAGCGACATCGCCTACTTCATCACAGACATGAGCGACTGCTATAACCAGACTAGCGGTACGATCAAGCGCGGTATTCGATTCCTCAATGGCCGTCGTCAGGTCCTGCTGCAGGACGAGGTCTCGGGCGGCTCGGGTATCACCTCGATCGAGTGGCGTGTACAGACCAATGCCACCATCTCTCTCAATGCCAACAAGACTCAGGCCACCCTCACCATTTCCCAAGTGACCGACGCAAACTCCTGGGGTAACCTCTCCGACCCTCTCGTCTCTAAGCTGCCCCAGAAGCAGACGATGCTGGTCAGCCTGATCAACTCAGGCTCAGCCACTTTCGCCGTGGAGACTCCACCCGCGCGAGTGTACGGCAGCGACCCCAACACTGCTTCGGGTGAGCAGGGAGACCAGCCCAACCCTGGTGTGTCGGTGCTCAAGGTCGACTTCCCTTCGACGACGGGGATGCTCCAGGTGCTGTGGCAGCCACAATGGGAGAACCTGGGAGATGCGGACAAGGCTACACCGAACAATGTGTCGCTGTCCAACTGGAGTCTCACATCGCACTAAGTCGCGAGCCGCTCAGCGCGAAGCGCGAGCGAAGGGATGCGAGCGTCTGGCCATAGATGGACATTGGCTCCCCTGCGTTCGACTGTTCTGCCACTTCCTGCTCCAGCTCCAGCCTCTTCTTCGGTCTTTCCAATCATCGCACACATCGCATCTTGCAATCTCTCTCGGTCTTTCTTCCCCCACCCTTTCCCCCATCTCCTCTTTCTTCCACTAGTCTTTTCCTAGCCTGCTTTGCCTTTTTCCCCACTCGCCCTCGCCTTCGCTTCGCTTCGAGTCGATTTCTTTTCCATCCAACTCGCGATCCCTCTTCTCCTCTTGTACACTTCTTCCATCTCATCAAAGGCCCCCCTACCCCCCCTTTTTCAGTCAGACGAAAAAAATCTTGATCGACCGATCGACAACAAGGACAATACAATACAATGAACTACAATGATCATACACTCCTTTTCTTACTCTGTACGTGCGTTGCGTGTGCGTGTGCGTGTGCGTGTGCTAAGAGGAATGCAGACTTAAGTCAGTCGACCTCGACTTGACTCGACTCGACTTGACTTGACTTGACTCGACTTGACCCGACTTGGATGAAAAAGAGAGGAGGGGGGGGAAAAACAAGAAAAGAAAACGACAAGAGGGTCAGATCGAACAAGGGAAGGGAAGGGAAGGGAAGGTGGATGAGGACGAGCACAAGGATGAGAACAAAAGTGCGATTGCGTGTACACGAAGCAGCGAAAAAAGAAAGAGCCAGGAAGACGACAGTAGAGAATTTCGACAAAGAGTGGGCGATTGAGGGGGAAGGGTGGGTGGGGGGAGAAAGACAATAGTCACAAGTCTCTACTAAAGAGGCTAGAGCTAAGCGTCCTTTGACTTTTTCGCCTCCTTTGCCTCCTTCTTTGCCTTCTTTGCCGCCTTTCTTGCCTTTTTCTCCTCTTCCGTCTCTCCCTCGCGCTTACTCGATACACCCGTCTCATCTGCCTTGTCTCCTTCCTCGTCTGCTTTCCTCTTCTTCGACGAGTCTGACGCAGACGTCGCAAGGGCAGTGGCGGCACTAGTGGCTGCACCAGCTGCTGCTGCTGCCGTTGCTGCCAAATCGCTAGACACTGCCGGAGGTGGTGCGGCGGCAGCGCTACCGCTGACATTTTCTGCCGCTCCAGAGTAGTCTACATAGCCCTTTGACCATCCCTCTGGTGTAACTCCGGGCAGAGCCTTTCCATGCTTGTCCAGCTTTCCATCTTTGACCATCTTCTTCTTCTCAATGGCCTTGGGTCCTAGACCCCACCTGCGAGGGTAAGTGTCCCGCTCCATGATGCACCGCTTCACCTTTGCGACGATGCCGTGGTCTGCTGTAGCCAGGTCCGCCGTGGTCATCTGGGCAATGGCAAGGGCAATGGCCTCACCCTTTGTGGTGATTAGCACAACCTCTTCGTTGAGCTCGATTTGGGCCTCGTAGCGGAGCAGACCAGGAATCATTAGCTTGGCACCGTAGCAGACGGCATTGACGGCCGAATCCTTGACGACGATACGCTTGTACCCCACTAGGAGAGCTTCGAGAGGACGAATGACTCGGCGGAGGTAGGATTCTGGGAGAGGTGGGCAGAGAGAACAGATGAGCGTCAGCGATGCATTCTTAAGATACACCCTTGCGTGTGTCTGCTTCCTACTTACCATCTCGCTGGTTGTCGTACAGCCATTGAGCGTCCAGAACATCGTGCATGGTGACAATGTCATCGTTCTCGCTCAATGCTCCCGACCTGACTCTCCTCAGCTCCTGCATGTGACCTCCCACACCCAACAGCAGACCCAAGTGAACACACAATGTCCTAATGTATGTTCCTGCTTCACAGCTAACCCAGAAGACGGCCAAGTGCCTCTTGTTGTCAAATTCAAGCAACTTGGACTCGTAGATGGTCCTGATTCTCAATTGACGCTTCACAGCCGAGATGAGCGGAGGTCTTTGGAAGAGGGCTCCAGTCAGGGTATCGATGGCCTGGGGCAGCTTCTTGACGTCCTCAAGGGAGTCGTGCAGCCTAAGTACTGCCACGTACTCCTTACCGGCTCCCTGCTGCGACTTGACTAGACGGGTGGCTCGGTCGATGCATACGATGAGGCAACCAGTGACTTTGGGGTCAAGAGTACCAGAGTGACCAGTCTTCTCCACCCTGAGAATCCTCCTGATCCATGCCACCACTTCGTGAGAGGATGGGTTAGAGGGCTTGTCCAGGTTGATCACGCCGGACTTTACGTAGGACTGCAGGTCACGCTTGAGGGGGGAGCAACCATGAGGGATGGGTGTGAAGTGCGAGGAGCGGACAAGGAGTTGGTCCTGTGGGTGCAAGAGGTGCGGAGGGGAGGCAACAAGGGGGAAAGTGTGAGCATGTAGTTTGAGAGAATCTTCTATCTACCATCTTCCCTCTGCTCACGTAGTTCTTGAGCAAGAGGGGCCACTGTGCGGTGTTGAGGATGGGACCCGTCTTCTCTGGCTTGATCATGTAGTCATTGGCTGCCTGCTGCTGGGCGGAAGTGGACGACTCGCCGAGTACGGCAGCCATGGTGGGCGAGTGGTGTGGGTGAAGGACGAGGAGGGTGGAGGTGATGAGGTGAAGGGGGCGAGGCAAGGGGATGTCTGCGTGAGGATGCGTACGATGAACGTAATTGTCTGCTGCCCTGTCTACTCTTGGCCGGTGAGCAGGAAGGATGGCGTACGATCCTGTGTCCGCCGTCGCTGTGCCTGTGTCCCGCTTTCCTTGCTGCTCCCACTCCAGGCGACAAAATCCAAATCTTCGCTCGCCTGTCCCTCGGCACCGCGCACAGCGGCAACCTCCGCTCCGCCCAGCCCAGCCTCGTCCGCCTGCCCACCGCCGCCCGCCTGGGAAAAAAGGAGCGTTCCGAGTGCTGACTTGGTCACACTTCCTCCCTTCTTCTCCTCATCCTTTTGCCAAATATAGCTGGTAGAGTCACACTTCCCACAACCACACCACCTCTTTTGTCAAAATGGCCGTCACCAAGCTCGCAGCTCCCAAGTCCACCACTGGCAAGACCAAGTCTTCCGGCCAGAAGTACTTCATTGACTTCTCTGGTCCCGCTGCCGATGGAATCCTCGACGCTGCTGGCTTCGAGAAGTTCCTTCACGACAGGATCAAGGTTGACGGCAAGGCCGGTCAGCTCGGAGATGTCGTAAAGGTCTCCAAGGAGGGTGAGTAGTCTCGCAGGCTAGGAGAAGTAGAGGTGGTGTACAGAATGGAAAGACTGATACCACCCACCCCACTCTGCTTCCTTCCTTCTTCCTTCTCCAGGCGAGGGCAAGATCAACATCACCACCACCATCCCCTTCTCCAAGCGATACCTCAAGTATCTCACCAAGAAGTACCTCAAGCGATCTCAGCTCCGAGACTGGCTTCGTGTCGTAGCCACCTCCAAGAACGGTTTCGAGATCAAGTTCTTCAACGTCTCCCTTGACAACGAGGAGGAGGAGGAATAAGCGCATCGCATCGCACCGTGAAGGCTGCTTTGTTTCGCTAGCTTCTTCACCTGAGGGAGAAAGGGAAGCGAGGTGGTAGTGATGGATCGGTAGAGAGATAGAGGTGGGAGAGAAAGTTGGTCGGGACAGGGACTTTCAGTCCGCTTCGGACCATACCACCAGACCTCTCTACCCTCTGCTTCGATGTCGAACTTGCTCTGGTGCACGTTGCTGGTGGTCAGAGCGTCCATGGCTCGTGATCATGGGTTGTTGTGATGACCCATTGTAACATCAGTTCAAACCATTCCCCCAAAATACGAATGCCTTGCCATTCACTGCCTTGTCACGTCACATTCGCTATGTCTGCTGCTCATTAGTTGAATCTTGTCTAGTCTAGTTCGGAGAGGCATCTATCTCATGACCGACCACCCCCTCTACAGCTTCGCATCTAAATGTCTCCTCAGACTCTCCAATCGCTCAATCGCCCTCCTCCGCCTCTGATCCATCTCACTCTCCGTATCCATCTCTTCCTCACCCTCCCCTCCCTCATCCACCACTTGCGTCAAATCAGGCGGGCTGGCATACGCAGCAGCGGCATACGGTGCATTGATCTCCTCGTGATACCCATAGCCATGGCCCATGCGCCCCTCCAGAATCGAAATGTCGTACTCGATGCGCGCTAGCTGGACTCGACGCTGGATCCGTCGAGCTGTCCGATCTAGACCGCTCGTAGGCATGGGAGCAGCAGCTCCCCCTGTGCCTGATGCTCCTCTTACCGTGTCCGCTCCTTCGGCCTCCTCTAGACGCCTCTTGAGGTCTGCTAGCTCATCGCGCATTTTCGCCTTGCTATCCTGTCCGTCGTCGACTCTCGACGCGGTGGAGCGAGAGTGGGAGGAGGAGGAGGTCGAAGGACCAAGCAGGAAGGAGAGAGCCTCGCGCGGATCGGTAGACTGGATAGCGTGCAATGGTTCCGGTGCAGGCTGATACGCCGCGGCCTCCTCGACCGCTTTGCTCCTAGTCTGCCCTTCAAACCCATCCTGCAGTTGCGATTCATTGCGGACGTCAGAGCCAGTCGCCTGTCGGCGGTCCTCCTCGGCCGTGCCTGCTTCCTCCGCCGCTAAGAGGTCCATGAACCCGCCCTGTTCTGCGGTTCTAGGCGCGCCTGGAGCTGGCCGCCCATCTGATGGAGGCCACGCACTCGTAGCATTTGCAGAGGTAGAGAAGTCAGGTACCAGGTCCGGTGCGGGGCGCAGGGCCTTTTCCCATGCATGCACGAGATCGGCCTCCTGCTCTGCATACTCTGCAGTTCTCGGATCAGAAGAGACGACACTTGGCATGGGGATGGAGCTAGCCCATGCCTCGTGGTAGGCTGGGTCTAGCAGGTCCTCTGTGCTTGGGTCCTCTTGGCGATCCAGACCGCTGCCCAGCCCCTGCGTGTCGCGATCGTGCGACGATTGTCTCTCCCCTCTTTCAGCGTGTTGTCCCGTGCGGGACAGGCGAGAGGAGGCGCCGAGGGATTGTCTCCTGACGACATCGTGGAGGCCTCGATTCAGGGCTTCAAAGGATCCATACTCGGCCGCCGATGGGCTAGTCGCATTAAAGTTTGCAACACTCGGGTACGACGAGGACGAAGCTGGCAAGGCAAAGTGCGGGGTAGACGCGGTGGACGCCGTAGTGCGGAAACCTTGTCGAGGTCCTGTTCCGCTGCGCGAAGCTGCTGACGAGGGCGTCGAAGTCGAGGCTTCTGCTAGGAGGGAAGGGTCCCCGGCCGAGCCTCCCGATTGAGGTTGAGCGGCAACTCCTTTGCCGTTGGAAGTGAGGATGTTTGACAGCGATGAGGAGAGATCGGCGGAGTGCCCTAGCGCCGATCGAAGTAAGGAGGATTGTTTAGCGGGTGCGCTCCCTTGGTCACTCGCCGACGCAGCGGGAGGATCGGAGGCTTTTCCCTTGCCCTTGGCCGAGGGCGAAGGCGCGGCACCTTCACGCGGGTAGGGAGAAGGAGGAGGAGGGCCGTCTTGTGGTGGCATTAGGACAGAATGGATTGGAAGGGAAGACGTCGTGTGGGAAAGTGCTCCCCGTTCTACCCAAGCTTAAGCCACGCCTTTTCCGTCTGCGTCGGACTCCGCCTGGATACGGCCGGGTGACCAACGCCCTCCCCTGTGCAGCACACGTCTCCTCGATCGAGGATTGAACAAGCAAGGAGCAACGGAGGCTGGATCGTCGACCTGCCAGGCCAGGCCACCTTGGAGTCGAGGGGAGCAAGTGTCGTGCAATCGCCGGCCGACGGCGTCCTGTATCGGCGGTATCGGGAGCAGCCTGTGGGAAGTCTGTCGTACGAGAAACGCGGGGAAACGCGAAATCGATCAGCCACAGCAATTCGCTGTTTCTCTCGGCCGTCTGACTCGTATCGCAAAGTACCTCCGCCTTGCTCCCGGACCCACACGCTTGGGCTCGTGAAATGACTTTTCAGTCATCACTATACCATCACTTTCATCCCTGCACCTCATCCTTCCTCCCTATTGAGCACGCCGCACCTATAGCGATCCATTCACCATGGACGTGAAGCCTGTTCGTAGCTCCGATGGGTCGGCCAAGAGCGAGATGGGTGCCATTGCACCTCCCACTCTCCTCAACGACGCCGATGATCTCGACCGACAAATTGCCACTATGTCGCCGGAGGAGTACGCAAAGGTAGAGAAGAAGCTCAAGATCAAGATGGACCTTCAAGTCGTCCTTCTCTGCGGTGTCTTCTATCTCCTGAGCTTCCTCGACCGGACAAATATTGCAAGCGCCCGGATCATGGGATTGGTGGAGGATCTGAAGCTCTCGGAGCATGATTTCAGCGTCGTCCTGACCGTTCTCGTGAGTAGACGGGCAATGATGCGCCTGCAGAGCGAAGAGACTTCATACACATGCACGAAAGACTGACCGTACGCTGTGGCCATATTACTTGCCCACATCATAGTATCCCACATATATCTGCTTCGAGATCCCTTCCAATCTTCTGCTCAAGAAGGTCGGAGCTGCACGACTGCTCCCAACGCTCGTCGTTTGCTGGGGTATTGCATGCATCACACAAGGTGTCGTCACCACCAAGACCGGTCTATACATCAATCGTATTTTCTTGGGTCTAGCAGAAGCAGGACTTCTACCCGGTCTGATCCTCTACAGCACCTTCTTCTACAAGCCTTCTGAAATTCAATTGCGACAAGCGATCTACTTCGGTGGTGCATCCATGGCTGGTGCTTTTGGAGGCCTCATCGCCGCCGGTATCGAGAATATCCAGGCTGCAGGATGGAATCCATGGAGGTGGCTCTTTATTGTTGAAGGGCTGCTCACCGTCTTCGTCGGCTTCATCTGCTTCTTCCTGCTGCCCAACGGCCCTGAGAAGCTCAAAGGTCTCACACCTCTTGAGAAGCGAGTCGCTTTGCACCGTGTGGGCAAGGGATCTGGACAGGACTATGCAGCGGGAGAGAAGCATGCTGCTCTTATCAACCCTGGTCAGGATCAGTTCGCCCCTGTCGGCAACCCCGACATTGAGCGTGAGACGCACAGATTCAAATTGAACGTCTTCTGGAAGGTCGCCACCGACCCCTTTGGGCTTCTACTGGCTATGGTGAACTTCTGTACGGTCGTCGGTGTCTTCTCCACCGCGTTCTTCGCACCCACCATTGTGCGCTCCCTAGGAATCTCCACTCAGCGCACGACCATCCTACTCCTGACGGTGCCTCCCTACATCGCTTCTTTCCTCTTCTCAATTGCTCTGGGTGTGTTTGCGGGTCGGTATCGCTGGCGTGGTGGAGCCTGCTTCATGGGCATTACCCTAGCCATCGTCGGATATGCAACTGCATACGCTGCCTCTACTCCAGCTGGTGGCTATGCTGGACTGATCATCATGTCCATGGGATCATTTTCCCTCGGTCCTATCATCTTCGCTTGGTCCTCACTTGGGACATGGAGTCACTACAAGCGCGCCATCACCGTCGCCTTGATGATCGTCTTCTCCAACTCGGGAGCCATCGTCAGTGTCTGGCTAGACTTTCCCGAAGAGGGAAGCGTGCAACATGCCTCTGGCTTCCTCATCAACCTAGCCCTGAACATTGCTGCCCTCTTCTTCCTTGCCGCACTTGAGACCTACGTCTGGTACGACAGGAGGGAAAAGGCGGCCGGGAGGAGAGATTGGAAGGCCGATAAGGTCAGGGAACAATTCCCAGGCGCTACACCCGAGCAGGTCAGAGAGTACTTGGGCGACGAGGCGGCTGAGTTCAAGCGGGACTATTAGAAGAAGCATGTCCCTTGCTCAATGCCTTCATTCCTTCCGTACTCGTCCTTCTCGCTTCTCGAACTTCTCACCCGGAATGGGTTTCTTCCCTCCTCCTTCATGCCCTTTTAGATCTCCATAACGATAATGTCCGCGCCCTGCCTGTCACCATACCTCTCTCCACACTTGTCATTATCAAGAAGCCAAATTCAATTCTCGTGTCTATCATACATCTTGCGATCGCTCCAGAAGTGCATCTTGTCGGGTCTCCCTGCTGCCGCTCCCGACTCATCGACGCTGCTCGTGGCCATGCCAATGAGCAGATTTCCGATCAATGGGTGGGGATTTAGGAGCCGCTCGTGTAAAGTCGCCATCAGCTCATGTCTTCCTTGCATTCAGGCGTGCCTGTCGCTCCTCAAGGCCCTTCCAGAATGGATCGCGCTCCCATCCTGTGACTTCTCGAGCGATACAACCCCTCGCGAAGGTCAAGGGCGCTCCATCGCCCGGTCTTGTTGCTGACCCCCTCTTCTTCCGATCTTCTTCACTTTGCTCGCCTTGGGAAGACCAAGACGTCTGCTCAGCTTCCGAGGGTAGGTCAAGGTGGTAGATGGAGGTGACGCCGGCGGAGAGAAGGTACGACCTGGACGCAGAGTAGGAAATGCCCACGTGGGTGGGACCGTGGGCGTCATCTGACAGGCATAAGCGTCCGCCGAGGGCGAGTATCCGCTGTGGTGTGGCGACCCGGAACAGCCTTCGTGTCAGTGTCACTTTGCCTCCCATGACCCGACTATGCTGCCTGCTTACTCACGTCCAAAACGTCTCGAGCGGGATACGGCGTGTCCCAGCTCTTGCGCAGACTGGCGCTATTGATCTCGAACAGAGCTCCGTAGCTGACGGCGAGCCTGACATTCCTGTCAACTACCTTTGCCAACTCCTCTCTCAAAGGTGCCACTCCACTCGGGTTTTCCGCCTCTACTTTACCCGCACTTTCTCCGGAAGGGAGCAGGACGAAACCAGGCATGAAGAGCCGGCAGAGATCGAAGTGACCGATGACTTCAGGCCGGAGCTGGTCTATCATCTGATATTGCGCCTCGAAGTAGCTCAGACAGAGCCGGAGGCGAGCTGGCGTGTCATCCCCTGCCGTATCCTCGGGAAACTTGAAGTGGTCCACGGCCCGATCGAAGGTGGCTTTGTCGAAGTCGATTGGGATCCCAACGGGGGCCAAAGGCGCTTGCTCGGATTGGGTGGGATAGGCGATACCACCAGCATGGTGGACGCTACCCACCAGGTAGTCTATCATGCCTCTGCCGAGAGATGCTCCAGTCTGACTCGAGCTTGCTTCACCGCCAAGGACCCGACTTGACAAGAAGCGTCCCGTCTGCCTTGAGATCCACTCCGTTTCTGCCCCTACCAGGACTTTCATGTTGCGTGGCTCCCTTTGATACCTGCTCTGCAGTCTCCGGGCCTCAGTGAGGTAGCCTTGCCACTTTTGGAACAGACTCTTTGGTGTGCTCCCCTCTCCTACCTCCTCTGGATACAGCTCTGCCTCGAGCTCCCGAGGGACATGCTCCGACAATCCGTACACCTTAAATCCCAGGGAGGCAGCTCTTGAGAGCATTCCCTCTGGGTGGGAGTCTGGATGAGCATGCGAGCAAAAGAGCGCCGAGTGAGAGTGGTGTGAATGCATTCCGATCACAAGACACAAGGCTGTCTAGAGGTTGAAAGCACGTTGACTTGAAGCAAAGGTGCGCTCGAGGCAGAGAGGGTACGAGTAAGCGGCCGGCGGGAGGAAGTGCGCCGCTTCGCGCCTCTTTAAATTCCCGTCGCGTATCCGGGAGAGTAACACTTCAGGCGAGCTCTCACCTTTCTCTTCCTTCCAGCCTACCAGCCCACCCTCCAATAGCGACACAGCGATGACGACTTCGACGTCGTCGAATCAGCTGGATCCTACTGTGACCTCACTGCTGTCTTCACATCTGCTCAACAAGGGCCTCTTCCTCACATATCGCCTCCTGTCGCGAGAGCTCTCACTTCACGTCCAAGAGGCCAGGTCCGCTCTTGAAGCCTTCTATGAGCAGCAAGGCAGTGAGCGGCTGAAAGCATGCTGGGTTGTACAAGGGACACTCAAGCCAGTGAGGGACGGACTGGTCACGGACGCGGAGGATGAGGTGAAAGAAGAGGCAATCCTCCTTGTGGGCGAAGAGAAGCTAGAGGGTGAGTTGTGCGTCGAGGAGGCCGGTTCGCCCTGGCAGGAAATTGCAGTACAGCTGTTGATCATGATTTCTTTCCGTGTTACGACAGAGACGAAAGCTCTCTTCTCGCCAGCTCCGTCTGTGCAGATCTACTCCCTCAGCCCAGCCTCCTCCTCCTCTTCGTCCCTCACCTCGATGGACCTGGCCAACTTCTCAACTGTGCCGCTCCACCTCTCCTCGGAAGCGAAGTATACCCAAGCCTGGGAGCAGGCCGATAGAGGCAAGAAGCTCGGCGTCATATTCAATGAGAGAGTCTCAGAAGGAGACCCACGTGCCGTTGCTGCTGCTAGAGAGCAGGCTCAACAGCAAGCAAAGGCTCAAGCTCAGGCGAATGCTCAGCCGGGTGCAGCCAAGCCGGTCAAGGCGGAGAAGAAGACGGCAGACAGCAGTGCATCGACCTCTCAGGCCAGCAAAGGAACCGGTCTGAACTGGAACAAAGCAAAGTGAGTCGGACGAGGGATCGAGGCAAGTGTCAATTTCGGGCTCTGACATTGTTGACACTCTTCTCTTTGACATCAGGGCGAAACCTACCCCGGATCCTCCTGCCGCAACGGCTTCATCGTCGAAGGCCAAAGCCTCGAAGAAATCAGACCCGCCCCCGAAGGCTGCTGATGACGAGGACGAGCAATATGACTCCGACGTTGAGATGGCTCAGATTGGCTACGCCGATTCAGAAGGAGAGGTGGACGAAGTGCCTGCTGGTAGGGCCAAGACCAAGAGAGCAGACGGTTTACCTGCTCCGAAGTCTACTGCGGGCGACAAAGGTACTGGAAAGAAGGCTGACGGCAAGGGTCCACAGCGCAAGGGGTCTAGCAAGGCTGAGCTGGAGAAGATGATGGACATGGATGACGATGATGCTCCTGGCGAGGCCATACCGGGTAAGTCGCAATGACGAGGAGGGCGCATTATAGACAGGACGAAGCTGACCGGCGTTGTTGATCTCTTCGCAGATGTCGAGGCTGCAGACTCGGCTGCGACCTCGCTGATGAAAGGTACAGAAGACGATGGGGAAGAGGCGAGCAAGGCAGCACCGGTGAGGCGGAAAGTGCGGAGGCAGAAGAGAACGGTACGCAAGCAGCGGTCGAAAGACGAGAAGGGTTATATGCGTAAGTTCACAATGCTCATCAAAATACCAAATGCTCTGAGAGAGGCTGACCGTTGTCCGCCCTTGCTCTGGCCGGCCCAAACAGGGACGCAAGAGGTCAGTGATTATGAGTCGTACTCGGACTGGACAGAATCAGAGGAAACAGCGCCAGCGAAGAAGCAAGGGGCAAAGTCATCTAGCACTGGCGGCACGAAGAGCAAAGCTGCTCGCACAGATTCGGCGTCTTCAGCAGGGACAGCCAGTAGGGTACAGAAGAGCGAGGCATCAACTTCTGCTTCCGCCGATGGGTCGCAGAAGGCCGCTGCTGCATCTGCATCTCCGGAAAAAGAAGATGCGACATCAGCTCGACCTTCCAAGAGTCCTTCGCCGTCCAAACAGGCCTCTACTGGTGGTCAGAAGAGCGGCACTGGCAGTGGAGGCGCAAGTGCAGGTGGAGGTGGTACGGGCAGCAAGGCCAAGGGCGGTCAGAGCAAGCTCAGCAGCTTCTTCAAGAAGGGCTGAGCGTGCGAGTGATTAGGCCGCTGAGCTAGTCTTTGTACGAAATGTAGTGATCCTGTCACACGACCATGATCCTTCTCTCCCTCATGTCCAAATCGCGGGTGGTGTCGCCTCTGGTTGCTTACTCAGCCGAAGGCCGAACTCGGAAGCAGGGCGGGCGTAGGCGCGAGGCGGGGGGCGGACTGACGAGGCGAGGCAGTGACCGCGCAGTGACGGAAGACGAAAAAGATGAGGGGAGAGATGATTCCAGTCGAAGGGCTTCCCACTCCTTCTTGGCCACCCGAAATCGATCAAGTCATCTCAGTATATCAACCCTCCCCACCCATCATCTACGAGGCTCCACGATCCCCCCATTGGCCTCTGTCTCATAGCTATACCCTCTGACTCATCTTCAAAAGACTCTTCCGCATTCCGTCGCTCGCTGATACATACCTACCATGTACGGTCTAGCAAGAGGTCTCCGGGCCGCTGCGCCCTCCACCGCACGAGCGGTCTCGCAACCCCTTTACCGTCAAGCAGCTCAGCCTTCTTTTGCCGTGAGTAGACAAAGCTAGAATCGTAATCGTCAAGTCGCAGGCTACGAGAGCGAAGGATAAGAATCGCTTTTGAGCTTGCCACTCGTAGCTCAGGCCATCAGGTCCTCATCCGCTTGCCACAAATCCATGTACTGACCTCTTTGTCGCCTTTGCCCTTTCCGCCACTTACAGCGAATGGCCCCTCTGGGAGCTCGTTTCAATTCAGGGAAGGTCCAGGGCAGCGTCATCGGTATCGACTTGGGAAGTGAGTCTTACTTCGCGAGCTGTCAGAGCATTCTTTGGGGTCCAGCGTAGCTCACCTGCCTCTTCTCCTGTTTCCAGCCACCAACTCCTGTGTCTCGGTAATGGAGGGTCAGCAAGCTCGTGTCATTGAGAACTCGGAAGGTGGACGTACCACGCCCTCGGTGGTAGCCTTCACAAAAGACGGAGAGCGCCTGGTTGGTGTGCCGGCTAAGCGTCAGGCTGTCGTCAACCCCGAGAACACCCTTTTCGCCACAAAGCGTCTCATTGGACGCAAGTTCCAGGACAAGGAGACCAAGCAGGACATTGACAACGTTCCCTTCAAGATTGTACCTCACTCCAACGGAGATGCTTGGGTGGAAGCTCAGGGCCAGAAGTACTCTCCATCTCAGATCGGAGCCTTCGTTGTTGGAAAGATGAAGGAGACCGCTGCCGCTTACCTGGGCAAGCCCGTGAAGCACGCTGTCATCACCGTCCCTGCTTACTTCAACGACTCGCAAAGGCAGGCCACCAAGGACGCCGGTACCATCGCCGGTCTTGATGTCCTGCGTGTCATCAACGAGCCTACCGCTGCTGCTTTGGCCTACGGTCTCGACAAGCAGGAAGCATCGGTAATCGCCGTGTTCGACTTGGGAGGAGGTACATTCGATGTCTCCATTCTGGAGATGCAGAAGGGTGTCTTCGAGGTCAAGTCGACAAATGGTGACACTCACCTGGGAGGTGAAGACTTCGACATCGTGCTCGTTGAGCACCTCCTTGCCGAGTTCAAGAAGGACAGCGGGATTGACCTCTCCAAGGACCGCATGGCTATTCAGCGTATCCGTGAGGCTGCCGAGAAGGCAAAGATTGAGCTGTCTTCCACTTCGCAGACCGACATCTCCCTCCCCTACATCACTGCCGACGCATCTGGACCCAAGCACATCAACTCGAAGCTGTCGCGTTCTCAGCTCGAGAAGCTGGTGGGCAAGCTGATCGACAGGACTGTCGACCCTTGCAAGAAGGCTCTCTCCGACGCCAATGTCAAGCCCAGCGACATCCAGGAGATCATCATGGTCGGTGGTATGAGCCGAATGCCCAAGGTCGTGGAGACCGTCAAGAACATCTTCAAGCGTGAGCCTTCTAAGGGTGTCAACCCCGATGAGGCTGTCGCCATTGGTGCTTCCATCCAGGGTGGTGTTCTGTCCGGTCAGGTGACCGACATCCTGCTGCTCGATGTCACTCCCCTCTCCCTCGGTATCAACACTCTCGGCGGTGTGTTTACCCGTCTCATCAACAGGAACACCACCATCCCCACCAAGAAGAGCCAGGTCTTCTCGACTGCTGCTGACGGACAGTCTGCTGTCGACATCCAGGTCTACCAGGGAGAGCGAGAGCTCGTCAGGGACAACAAGCTGCTCGGAAACTTCCAGCTGACTGGTATCCCCCCTGCGCCCAAGGGTGTGCCTCAGATCGAGGTCACCTTCGACATTGACGCAGACGGAATCGTCAACGTCTTTGCCCGTGACAAGGCCACCAACAAGGACGCCCAGATCACCATTGCCGCCGGCTCTGGTCTGAGCGACAACGAGATCGAGAGGATGGTGAACGATGCCGAACAGTACGCTGAGACCGACAAGGCTCGCAAGGCCGTCATTGAGGAGTCGAACCGTGCCCAGAGTGTGTCTGCAGAGACCACCAAGGCTCTCGGAGAGTTCAAGGAGCAGATCGACAAGGCCGAGGCTGAGAAGGTTGAGGCCCTGATCAAGGAGGTCGAGGAGATGGCCACCCGTGGCCAGGCTGGTGAGGAGGGACTGGCAGCAGACACGATCCGTGTGAAGATCGATGAGCTGCAACAGGCTTCGCTGTCGCTGTTCAAGAAGGTGTACGAGAGCAGGAGTCAGCAGGGCGAGCAACCGAAGGAGGGCGAGGGAGAACAGAAGAAGGAGTAAATAAATGTAGCGCAGGAGTAGTGTGGCAGGGATAGAGTTGGTGGCGGTCATCAGTTCCCCTTTCCCGGATTGTGGCTCCTTTGTTGTTGCGTAGTTTTCTTTTATCATACACTCTACACCAATTCACCATTCTTCATCGGCATCTGTGTTCGTGGCCTCAGACTAGTCGTGTGAGTGGAAGTCCTTGGCTGCTAGGATCAGTAGCTCCCCCTTGAGATGCTCTCCTTCCGGGGTCAGCGTAAGTCAGCCGCGCGCGCAAGAAAGTCTCACGGACAGAGGGCAGTCATCTTGGAGACCCGTCCATATATATTCTTCTCACTTTGATTTATTAAAACAGCAACACCTCGACCTGCCAGATCTTGAGGCAATGGTGAGTCTAAATTTCCCTCTGATGGATGCTGTGAGCTGTATTGGCTGACCTTTCTGTTGCTTCCCGTGACTTCTCAGGCTTCGACTTCTCTCTTACGCACCGCTTTGCGGTCCCTCTCTCTCCGCTCTACGCCCACCACTGGCTCCGCCTCTGCAATCGCCTCGACCTCCTCCCTCCCCGTCCCACGCACCTTTTCGACCTCTCCTCTCCTCAGTACGACTTATCAGCAAGTCCTGCGCGGCGCCCGCAAACCGCATCGTCCCCCGGTCAATCGATCCCCCGCCCTGGAAGGAGCCCCTTTCGTAAAGGGCGTCTGCGCAAAGGTCTTCACCACAAAGCCCAAGAAGCCCAATTCCGCCATCAGGAAGTGCGCTCGTGTGCGCTGCTCCAATGGACGAATCGTCACAGCGTATATCCCTGGTGAGGGACATAATCTGCAGGAACACTCGGTTGTACTGCTGAGGGGTGGAAGGGTGCAGGATGTGCCTGGTGTCAAATACCATTTGGTGAGGGGGGCATTGGATTTCGCTGGTGTAGTAGGTAGGACAACAAGTAGGAGCAAGTACGGAGGTGAGTCCTGTGAAAAGGAGCAGAGGGTGCAACTCTTGGGGAATTGAAGTCCAGGAGTCCAGGAGTATTTGCTGACTGCCTCATGCTCTGCCACGCATCCTTTGCCTCCTACAGCCAAGAAGCCAAAGGCTGCTGCAGCTTAAAAACGATCAGCCTTCTTGTGAAGTCATGAATCCTACACTGGTCTGCCCATCTGTATTATAGCGCCCTTCCGAGGGCTATTCAGCATTAAAATCATACACCCGCACTGATGGTCTCGAGATAGACTTCGCCGAACTGCGCTTAACCTTGCAACGATCTCGACTGGAAGTTGTTTCGTGGCTCACATAACATGTGCAAGAAGATGATTACGTGAGAGTGATGTCCTCTCCGAGGTCTCGCTTTGTGGTACTCGAGCCGTGGTAGCCTCCACCTTGCTTTGACCAGTCCATGTCCGCCGCGTAATCAGGATAGTCTCTTTCACTTGTCCCCACCTGCATCAATTCTCGGGCAGCCGCGGCGGAATGAGTGAGAGTAGCCCAAAGGCATGTCCGAGGTGGCAAGAGATCATAAGGAAAGCTGTCAGAGAGGGGCCGCCAGGAGTAGGTGAGCATCGTCATCGGGCCTGAAGGGAGGACCGCTGGTAGCGCATGGGCTTCCACTGATGCCTCTCTCGTGGTACTCGCAGGCCACTATTCCCTCGCGACGGCGGTGTATGATGCTACCACTCAGCGAATCACACCCTTCAATCGTACTGTGGGGCATCGATGCTTTCTCAATGAGCCAATAGAGGGTGTTGGGTCAGAGGGAGGGGACTACGTTGACGAGCGCTTCGGATCAACTTCGACTATGCTGTTCACTACCGATGCGAGATCTCAGAAAGTCAGGGAGGCAATGCAGAGTAGCGGTGCGGCTGTTGTGTGGTACTTTCCGAACAAGCAGCTGCAAGTGAGACAGATTCGACGAGGTGTCTCTGCAGTGAGGACCCGAGACAGCTTCTGACTTGCCCTGCCTCGATCTTTATTCAGGCACGGCTCACAGGATCTCTGTACGTCCTAGCCCATCCCGACCACCCCTCGGTCGACCTCTTCCCGGGTTCAGAGCTCAAGCCCCCTCCGCTCTCGGCCAAGGACGAGACTGCCGTATTCGATTGGCAGCGCGTCCGTCTAGGTCTGTTCAAGTGCCTTTCACCGTCCCTCTTCGCTGCTCTGTACCGACCGGAACCAGGCTCACTCCACCCTCACAACAATGAGCTCGTAGCTGCAGACAGCTGGCCCGGTAAGAACGAACATGCCAGCTTGAGCGATAGAGAGCGTCCGTGGGAAGTCAGCGTGGACCGTAAGGAGCTCGAGAAGCGCTTGGGGGAGGGGGAGCTCAAGAGTCTGGTCGACGCAGCGGAACGGAAGTGAGTTCGCTTAGTAGCGGACTTGTGGGCGCATGGTGACACTCTCAAGCCCTGACACTCTACTCTTTGCTCTTGACATGGCCACAGCTTCGCTGTGATGCTGTTCCGACCAGACTGTGTCGATCTCGTCGACCTAGCAACGGACCGACGGAGTCAGTCAGTGCGGTCTGGGCGAGATGAATGGATAGAGCAAAGGACGGTGCCGTAGCATTGCTTCGGGAATCTCCTCCGAAGGCAAGCTGCACTTGTGCAAGCGACTGTTATCTCGGAGTAGCCAAGCAATCAGCGCATTCCTCCGGAGACTTCGTAGACTGATGTTCGCCCGGAGCTATTCGACGTGTGACTCGACGTGTTGTGCTGGGGGACACCCTTGCCGAACCTTCACCTCTCCTTGCCTTCGGGCTCGGCTTGAGTGCTCAGTCCGTGTCGCGGCGCCAATGCCGATGCCTTACGTCCGCCGATGGTCCGAAGCCGCTGAGGGTTGCACCGTTCCGCGTGGCGCAGGGGAGGCGAGCCTGACCAAGATTCCCGCACCCGGACACAAGCAGCAGCAGCAGACCCTTAGGGGGCGGGAGCCACCACTCATCCCTTTACCTCGACACGCTGCTGACCTTAGAAACGGGGCTCAGCAATACTAGGCTGGTCCTGACTCCTCTATCTTCCTTCCTCCATATTCCATCTTTCTCCTCATTCTTCCCGCGTTCCCTTGCATCTTCTCACCATCTACTGAGGCCGAGTGGATTTATAATTCAAGAGTCCGGACTCGCCACGCCTTACCCTACTCCGGAGCGGCAAATCACTTCTTCACCTCCATCGCTCAGTCGGGAATTAAGTTTGCTGAGCGTACACAGGTTGCTGAGGGATCTTGCAGAAGCAGCTTCGGAAAGCTCATTTAACAGACTATCCATAGGGCGTTCAGCCCCACTGTCGTTCGCAGCCCCATCACCCCTCGCACCCCCTCACTATTATGGCAGCTCCCTCTCTTTCGACCTCACGTATGGGAGACGCAGAGAAGGTCGCCTCACTTGATCAAAATGCCGCTGGCCCCTCATCATCATCATCATCCCGCTCCGCGCGCAGCCCAGAACCGGATGTCGCCGGCTTGAGCCCGGCCGATTCCCTGGATGGAGAGAAGAAGGTCGATGACAACGAGGCCAAGGAGTCAGGAGAAGAGGAAGAAAAGCCTCAAGGATACAAGTACAATCCCGGCAATCGCCGCAAGACTGATGCGAGGATACGACAGCATGTCTGGCAATTCTGGCGGCCTCGTACAGCTCCTCCGCCGCCGCCGCTTACCATGGACGAAGCGGAGCCGTCGCCAATCATCTCTGCCAATATCATCAGTAAGCTCACCTTCCAGTGGGCTACGCCGATCATGGTTCTCGGCTACAAGCGTGCTCTAGAGGCTACAGATCTCAACAAGCTCCATCCCGATCGTGAGAGCAGCAGATCCTCCCAATTGTTGATCGACGAATGGGACAGGCGGGCCGAGGTAGCCAAGCAGTACAACAAGAAGCTCGCTGCAGGCGAGATCCCCGTCGGGTTCACAAAGTCGCTACGCTGGCGAACTTCAATTGCTTTCCGTACTGTTACGGGGAGGAGAGGCAAGAACAACCCTTCCTATGCGGAGAGGGAGGCTCGTTGGAGGGCCGCGCCACCTCCCGGAGCATGGGATCCGCCTGCGCCCAAGAAGAAGGGCAAAGGTGGTGGCGGAAAGCCAGGATCTGCTCCTACCGGACCTAAGCCGAAGAACTTCAGCGGGTGGCAAAGAGCTTCGCTCATCGGATCACTCCATCCGCAGATGTCGTGGATGCTCTGGTCCGGTGTGGGAGTCAAGGTACTTGGTGACACTGCGCAGATGACGGCTCCCCTCGTGCTTCGCAAGATCATCGCTTTCGGACAGGAGCGATATGCTGCCCATCTTACTGGCCAGCCGCTGCCGAACATCGGCGCGGGAATTGGCTGGGCCTTCCTCCTCTTCTTCATGCAGTTCATTGCTGCCGTATTCACCCATCAATTCTTCTTTAGGACAATGTCCGTGGGTGTCTTCACTCGATCCGCCTTGATCGGTGGTCTCTTCAGGCGAGCAACAAAGATGAACCCGAAGGACCGCTCCCCTGGTAAGCTGCTCAATCACGCCTCGACGGATGTCTCAAGGATCGACTTTGCCTCTGCCTGGGCACCTCTCATTTTCACCACGCCTATTCAGCTGGCTATCGGTGTTATCCTCCTCATCGTGCAGATTGGACCCTCGGCACTTGTAGGTCTGGCGCTCCTTGTGGTCTCGATGCCCATGCAAGCCTTCATGGTCAGGTCAATGTTCGCGTCCCGAGGTGCATCAATGCAGTATACTGATCAGAGGAGCAAGCTCATCAATGAGCTTCTCGGAGGTATGCGCATTGTCAAGTCCTTCTCCTACGAGAACAACTTCCTCAAGCGTCTCGCCTTCATTCGTCGCAAAGAACTCCAGGGCATCCGAAAGCTTCTGGTTCTGCGAAGTATCCAGCAAGCCATCTCTTTCACGTTGCCGACGCTTGCTGCCGTCGTCAGTTTCGTCGTCTATTACACCGTTCGCCAGGATCTGCAAGCCACGGAGATCTTCACAGCCCTCACCCTCTTCCAATTGCTGCGAATGCCCCTTATGTTCCTGCCTCTCTCACTCTCTTCGGGTTCGGACGCATACAATGCATTCCTCCGTTTGAGAGTTGTCTTTGAAGGAGATCAGATCGAAGACGAGGCACAGTACAACCTCGAGTCGGCCGATGCCTTGCAGATCGTCGACGGCACGTTCCAGTGGTACGAGAGCACACCGCCCACCGCTGCTGTTGGAATGGGCGACAAGAAAGACAAGGTCAAAGCGGCCGAAAACAAACGCTCCAAGAAAGACAAGATCACTGCTGCTGATTCGGCCAAGGTAGAGCAAGCCGCAGGCGTAGCTGGTGATAGTACCGAGGCAACAGTGACAGAAGATCGCGCCGGTCCCAACCTCGCTGATGGTGCTTCCTCTGAGAAGCCAGAGGAGAAGCAGGCTCCATTCATGCTCTCCAACCTTGATCTGAACATTCCCAAAGGCCAACTTTGCGCCATCGTGGGACCCGTCGGATGCGGCAAGAGCTCTCTGCTCTCTGCCTGCCTGGGTGAGATGCCCAAGAAGGGAGGTGTCGTCACATGGGGTACTCAAGGTGTCGCATACGTGCCTCAGACTGCCTGGATTCAAGCTGCCACTGTCCGCGAGAACATCGTCTTTGGCCAGCCGTTCGACGCAACGCGATACTGGAGGTGTGTCGGCCTCGCCGAGCTGGATGCCGACCTTGCAGCTCTTCCTCACGGTGACTCCACCGGTATTGGAGAGCGAGGTATCACTCTGAGTGGTGGACAGAAGCAGAGAGTCAGCATCGCTAGGGCTCTGTACTTCCAGGCCGATGTATACCTCTTCGATGATATCCTCTCTGCGCTAGACGCCCACGTCGGCAAGGCAATCTTCCAGAATGCCATCCTGGATCTTAAGGCTCGCGGCAAGACGGTCATCCTTGTTACGCACGCACTTCACCACCTTCACTCCGTCGACCGCATTGTGACCATGACCAATGGTGCCATTGCCGAGAGCGGTACCTACGAGGAGCTCCGCGCCCGTCCCAATGGCGCCTTTGCAAACCTCATGGCCGAGTTTGGAGGTGAGGAAGAAGAGGAAGTGGAAGCGCACGTCGAAGACGAGGCGGAAGCAATCGAGACTGCCAAGAAGAAGTCGGCCAAGGCCACTGCAGACGAGCTGCAGTCGAAGCAGCAGAAGAAGGACGCTGGTGACGATGGTGTCATGACACGAGAACAGCGAAACACTGGATCTGTTTCTTTCGATGTCTACAGGTCCTACCTGAAGGCGGGGCGCGGCGAGTATATGCTGCCCCTCGTCATCTTCACCGTCTGCCTGATGCAGGGCGCAACTGTGATGAACTCGTACTGGTTGGTTTTCTGGCAAGACCAGCAGTTCGGTGACTCTTACGATCACCGAGGACTATACATGGGAGTCTATGCCGCTCTGGGAATCGCTCAAGCCATCATGACCTTTGCCATGGGTTTCGCAACGAGCATGCTCAGCTTCTGGGCCTGTGCCAATCTGCACCATGAAGCTATGAGAGGTATCATTTTCGCCAAGATGTCCTTCTTCGATACAACGCCCGTTGGACGTATTATGAACATCCTTACCAAGGACATTGACGTTGCCGACAACCAGCTTGCCGATGCTTTCAGAATGGCCTTGAACACCCTGGGTACTGTGGCTGGAAGTGTCATCCTGATTACTGTCCTGACACACTACTTCGTCGTCATCGTCGCCGTCCTCATCTTTGCCTACTACTTTGGCGCGATGTTCTACCGTAGCAGTGCGCGAGAGGTCAAGAGACTCGACGCCATCCTCCGTTCGACGCTCTACGCTCATTTCGGCGAGAGTCTAAGTGGTCTGGTTGTCATTCGTGCTTACAATGAGGTCCAGTCCTTTGTCAAGATGAACATGAAGAAGAATGACGAAGAGAACAGGGCCTACTTCATCACCATTGTCAATCAGCGATGGCTCGGTATCCGTCTCGACTTCCTCGGATCGATTCTGACGCTCGTAGTAGCCATCATGGTCGCCGCCACCTCGGCATCCCTCTCGCCCGCTCAAGTCGGAGTCGCCCTCTCTTACGTCGTCTCAACAGCACAGTCCTTCTCCTGGATGACTCGTCAGGTTGCCGAAGTCGAGAACGACATGAACTCTGTAGAGCGCATCGCCTACTACGCCAACTCGCTCGACCAGGAGGCGTCTCAGGAGACTGGCGCTGGCCTGCCTGCTTCTTGGCCCTCTCAAGGCGAGATTGACATCAAGGGTGTGTCGCTCCGCTACCGTGAGGGTTTGCCTCTTGTGCTCAGCGATGTCAACCTACATGTCGAGGGTGGTGAGAAGGTCGGCATTGTCGGTCGTACTGGAGCAGGCAAGTCTAGTCTGTTGACTGCTTTACTGAGACTGGTCGAGCTCAACAGTGGCTCGGTCAAAATTGACGGAATCGATGTAGCCAAGGTTGGACTGGCAGACCTCCGACGACGAATCGCCATGCTGCCGCAAGACCCCCTCATCTTCAGTGGTACGTTGCGCAGCAACTTGGATCCATTCGGAGAGTACGACGATGCTCGTTTGAACGATGCACTGAAGAGAGCTTACCTTAACGACGACTCGGAAGAGGTGTCTGAAGAGGGGCCCGACAGTGCGGACACCTCGGCCATTGCTCTGCCTTCTGGTTCGGAGAAGCCCAAAAAGAAGGCAGCTCAGCGCTTCAGCCTCGACAGCATCGTCGAAGAGGAGGGCGGCAATCTCAGTCTGGGTCAACGTTCCCTCGTCTCACTCGCTCGTGCCCTGGTCAAGGATTCTCAGATCATCCTCTTGGACGAGGCAACTGCCTCCGTCGATGTCAAGACTGATGCCAGGATTCAAGAGACGATTCGAACCGAATTTGGCACCAAGACCCTCTTGTGCATTGCGCACCGTCTGCGCACCATCATCACCTACGACAAGGTCGCCGTGATGGACAAGGGTGCCGTGGTAGAGTATGATCATCCGCTAGTATTGTACGATAAGAAGGACTCGATTTTCCGCGACATGTGTCTCAAGGCTTCTATCACTCGGGAGGAGATGCTCAAGGCAGAGGCTTTGTGATCTGCTCATAGCACTGCTTACGAGGTATCAGCATGCTTGGTCTACACGCCTGCGCTCCGGCTCATTGAACACTGCCATACTTCTCTCGCTTGTATCTGCATATTCTCATTCATACTGACGTGAGATTCATTGTGCAATCTAAAGTAAACTGATCTACAAGTGGTGTGACTCGATGAGTTCATCCTCGCAATTTTCGGCGGGTCCAGCCAGCCAGCCGCGTCTACATTGTCATCTCTTGCCCTACCACCCTCTCCAGCTCAGCCCACAGCGGATCGTTCCTGTCCAAGAAAGAAGCCTGCAAGGCGTCTCTTGCGATCCGTTTCGTCTCTTCCCTAGAAAAACCAAATGCCTGCATGGCAATGGCGTACTCCTGACTCAAGCTGCTCCCAAAAACAGCCGTATCGTCCGTGCACAGCGCGACTGGGTGTTCTTGTGCATAGTGTTTCGCAAAGTGATGGGCAGAATACTCCGGTACGATTTGTGGACATACGAGTAGATTCGAGGTGAGACAGAGCTCCAGCGGGATCTTCGGTTGGGTTTCCTCGAGCTTCTTGGCATTACTTGGAGAAAGGTAACATACGTGTCCGAGTCTATCGGGATGGAAGGAAAGGATCTGGGAAGTCTCTTCGTCTGCGTCCGGTACCTCGCCAGCATGGATGGTAACTTTGAGTCCTTCGCTTCGGGCGCGGCGTAATGCTGGTTCCCAGTTGGACCACTGACCCAGAGTAGGATCACCGCTGAGGTCGATACCAATGACGCCTTGAGAGCGATGGCGCAGCGCTAGATTTACTGTGCGCTCGGCCACCTCGGCGCCATCTCTCCGATCGATCGAAAGGATCAAGCGGGCATGACATCTTCTCCGCGGCTCTGAAGTTGAAGTTGACGAAGAGGAAGAGGAAGCGCTCCCTTCTTGATGGTCACGGAACCCATCCAGAACAGCCTGCACATACCCCTCTACGCTCAACCCCACCTCCTCATGCGCCCGCGGCGTCGTCCTCATCTCCGCATAGACCACTCCATCTTCAGACCAATCCTCCAAAATCTCCCTAGTCACTCTCCTCACCACCTCTGCTCCCCTAATACACTTGTGTGCGAGGTGAAAGACGGAGAATTGCGCACTGGTAGAACGGGTGTCCCCGGGGAGGATTTGGGAAGAGGCGATGATCGCGTCTGGGGATAGGCCTTGGGCGAGGGCGAGGGAGGCGAGAGTGGAGCGACGGACGGAGCCATTTAGGTGGGCGTGGAGCTCTACTTTTGCTAGAGAGCGGGTAAAAGAGAGGTCGGAGGAGGTGTATGGGAGAGAGACCATTTCCCCTCCGAATCGTAGTATAGGATATTGAGAAAGGGTGAGAGGAAAGGAGGGCGACACGACAAGTCAAGTCAAGCCAGTATTGAGGACAAGACCGAGAGAGAGGACAAAGAACGATGGCGATGACGATGGCAACGAAGATAAGCAACGACGATGACGATGACGATGGAGAAGACTGATGACCAAGCTAACGCCGAGGAAAGGATGCGGACAGGTACAAGAATACAGGCGCCAAGGAATCGAGTCAACTTCCGGGATCCGTCCTTCCTCAGGACAGACGGAAAGAGCCTCGGAAAGGACGAGGCCGCACCGCAAACCTGGGTCTCTTGGCGGGCTGGCTATCTATCAAGCCGAAGCCCGAAGAATAGTGGGCACAATGTACCTTGCACGATTGCCCTCAACTCCCGCTAAATGTATTCTGCCATTTGCTTTGCTCGACAAGCACTTTCCCGAGCCCGAATCAAACACCGTGATCACCAGCCTTTGCTACAGCGCACGTTCCAGCAGAAGAGACGCGATAGCAATGCTGATGATGGATTTGTGCAAGTTCAAAGAAAGCAATGGTGACGACGAGAGAAGATGTTGCACAGACAATAGACAAACAAGCAAGCAATGCGTGGAAGACCCCTCGTCTTCACACCTACTACAAGTTCTCAACTCAAGCTCTTCCTCTTCTTTGCTGCCGCTGACCGTGTAGGTGTGCCCGACAAAGCAGGAGATCCCCCGCCAGTTGAGGTCTGGGACGCCTTTCGGGTGGAAGAAGAGACGGAGTGCGGCGTCCCGCTTACTTCCTTGTGCCCGTTTGACTTAGGTGTGGAGGCCGGCGAAGCAGCAGAGGCAGCGCTTACTGCTGCACTCTTCTTTTGCTGACTAGCACTTGTACCTGTGCTGCCCTTGCTTTTGGTGCTGGTGGCTTCGGAGCGACGAGTGGTGAGCTGTTCAGAGAAGAGGTCTGTGAGGAAAGACATCTCTTCCTCATCCTGCTCCGTCGTGCGAGCCTGCAGAGGGGCTGGTAGACTCGCTCCCGCTCCAACATCCGGCCCTGCCACTGCTCCAGCCATGTCTTGATCTTCGTCCTCACCGCCAGCTGTAGCTACCAATCCTGCCTCTTCCACCTTTGCTGCCCCCACATCGTCCTGCCGTCTGCGAGGGGGCAAGACCATTGGGACAAAGCTGTCGAACAGCAGCTTCACAGGCGGCAGCAAATGTGGCGGTGCATCGAACAGCGCAAAGATGTCCTTGCCCGGCTTGGAGCGCTGCGCTGTGGCCTGTGCCTGGACCTGCATACGCTGTTGCTCCTGTTGTTCCTCGAGGAGCGCATCGGCAGTGGAGCCAAAGAGATCGTCGAAAAGAGTGCGACGCTTGATTGTCACAGAGCGGAGGGACTGGGCTGTGCTGCCTGTCTGGGAGGAAGAGGGTCCGGCAACAGCTCTTTCGGAAAGCGAGGGAGTACCGATGTCTAGAACCTCGAAAGTGTCCGTGACAGCGAGGAAGCGTGGGAAAAGATCTTCTCCTCCCGGGTGGCTCCTGGTCGTCAGAGCAGCAGCTTCTCGAATCCCGATCGATGGCAAGCGATGCGTGCTGACCGGCTCCGAGGAGAGGGGAGTGTAAACTTCGACAAGCGTGCTTGACTTCTGACTTCTGCCTCCCTCTGCAGCGGTGCTGCTTGGGCTTCTCAGTGCTGCCCAGCCTGCTCCATTGCCCACGACGATAATGTTGTCGACGGCCTCATCGAAGGTCTTGTGCCACTTGACGCTTCCCTGCACAAGATCCCACAACACCATTGTCCTCCCGCTGGCCAGAACCATATAGCGTCCCGCCCGGCCCACGAACTCAGCCACTTTGGCCGTCTTGAGCTCGGGGCAGCTCAGCGCCATTGTGAGAGCATTGGAGATGGGCTCCCAAAGCGTGAGGAAAGGTCCTTGTGCTACAGCGAGCAGTGATCCGTCCGGCGACCAAGTGGCCTTCATGGGAACTGTCTCTCGGTAGCCAAAGACGGAGCGCGGGACCCAGTAGGTCTCCAATCGTCCACCTCTGGCCGCATGGGAGGCGATGCGCCATGTCTTGACCTTCTTGTCCAAACCGGTAGTTACCAAGAGCAGGGATGCGGGATCCTCCGATCGACTCAGCGGGCTGAAGGACATGGAGGTCACTCCCTCGGCATGTGGCTTATCGATGCGAGTGTTGAGGACGTATCTCGCAGCAGACAAGCTGTACCTCCAGAACTTGAGAGCGAGATCGCCGGCAAGATGTCCGCCACCCCGTCTTGAATCGAGAGTAGCCATCCACTCTGCCGGCCCTGAACCTTCGTCGTTGACAGTGAGGGACGAGAAGACCACTTTTTCGATCCGAGTCGGCTCGAGAGGCGTGTCATCTGGGCGAGACACTCGGTTTGAGGGAGCCACTTCCAGCTCCGAGGTAATGCGATCGCTTGCGACGTCAAAAAATTGTAGACTGGAAGGATGGCCAGAAGCCATCACGACTTGACCGGTGCAGGGCTCGACAGCCAATGGAGATGGGATGGAGAACAACCTCGATGCCGGCAACAGGTGACGGGAGGAATCTGTACGAGTATAGAGGTAGTTTTCGAGGTCAGCGACTGCACCACACGGTAAGATTATCGCTGCCCTCTTGCGTACTCACCAATCTTGACTCGAGCAAAGGACCTGGTCGCCTTCAAGTTTAGTGCCCCTACGAATGTAACGCTACCGTCTGCCAATGCCAGAACGAACTCCTGCTCCCGGCCATCGGTTCCATCGGCAATAGCGATGCTATTGATGGGGGCTCCCAGCCTTGGTACGTACTCCCTCGACTTTGAGCTTAGCTGCCACAGCACCAGTACCGCCTCTTCACCTCCCGACAGAAGGTAGGCTCCATTGGGCGTATATGCCAGGCTCTCAACGGCATGAGCATGCCAGTGGAGCAAGGTGCTAGGCGCGTGCTTTTCCGCTCCCGCTTGTTGCGACTGAGCAATGTACTTCTCATCCAGACAGTACCAGATCCTAATCTTTCCCACTGCGTCTCCCGTGGCGAAACTGGGCTCCGTGGGATGAAAGGCGAGACTGACCAAGCGCTCATCAGAGACAAACTTGATGAAGCCTTCCCGCAGTGCCGAAGTGGAGGCAATCTGTACTTTGCGATTGCCAATCGCCACGAGCCATTTACCATCGGGAGAGACCTGCAGTCCTGCAGCCTCCTTGGTCTTTCCCAGCCTGAGCAGCTCTCGTGGTCTGCGTGCAATGACCCCTCCTCCGGCTGACCTCTTCCCAGTGTTTGCAAAGGAGACAGAGTAGATGATGGAGTTGGTCCTTCCGGTGAAGGAATAAGGATCGGGCTTCGTGCTGGAGTTAGGGTTATGCTTGGGCTTCGATACTGCTACAAAGACCGAATCCTTGATGGTGGGATGGGCAGCAAGGTGGGTGATAGGGTAGCCAACATCAATGTTTTTGAGGATGATGGCATCGAGATAGTCCCACACCTTGATTGTACCGTCCAGCGAAGCAGTGATCATTTGCAGTGGGTTGTGAGGATGAATCATAAGACCAGTAATGGTGTTGGTATGTGCGAGACTGCGAGCATCGATGCGACGAGTATCTGTGGGGTCCAGCGAAGAGAGCGTCGAGACTACTTCGCCTGTGGTCCGCGAGTGGATCTTGACAGAAGAAGAGGATGCTACGCAGAAGTAGCTGGAAGAGGGAGAGGAGAATTGGGAAAGACGACGTCAGGTCACTTTGGCCCACAGCGACTTGTTGTTCTCTTCTTGTTCGCCTTTACTCACTCAGAGTCCTTTGTGAACACGACAGGCAGCGAGCTAGCCCGACCTTGCACAATGGGCGTGTACCTCAAGTCAGCCGTCTTTCCAGCAGCTTTGCCAATGCTATCCACCCCTGCAGCAATTGCGCTAGTCGCGGCCTGCTTGCCCTTTTTGGCTATCGCCTTTTCCTTTCTATTGCTATTCCTGCTAGCTGCATGATCAGATATCGACCTGGCTTGCGGTTGCGGCGCTACCTTCTTGGGCGAAGCGGCGGCTGACCGCGAGGAAGCTCCATTGGCAGTGGGCGGAGGAGCGCTCCCACTTGCACCGGCCATGCTGGGCTCAAAAGCGGTACGTCGGGGTAAACGTGCCAAGTAGCTGAGCAAAGCCGACTGCTGGAGAACAGAGCTGCTGTACGAGCGCAAGTTGTTCTACAAAAGAAAGCCTTGTTGGTGATGAGGATGGTCCAGTTCTGGGAGGGGAGCAGCTGAGAAGAAGTGCAAGTGCCAATGACGGTGTGTCCCTTTGGCGGATTGCGAGGCCGAAGCGGAAACGTCGAAAAATTTGTTGCCTGCCTTTGGCTCTGCCTCGCCCCGCCTCCCGCGCTCCCGCCTACGCCCCCCTGCCTACGCTCACCACACCCGCTCGAGCACTTCACGCAAAAGATACACATGCTCAGGATCATCAAACAGGCAAAGGTATGCGGGGAAAGACTGCAAGAGTCCAAAGATAGAGTGAATATTGCAAACATGGAGGAGTCGTGAATACAACAAGTCGTACAACAACGCTTCCGGAGCGCTGGACCGACCACCTAGCCAGTGCTAGTGATCTGGTGTCGCGGAGCTGGGCAGGGTATGCGTCGAGTCGCGTTGAGCAAGGGGAGGGAGGCGACGTCGCGGTACAAGGAGAGCGAGACAAGCAAGAGGAGAAAACAAAGAGATAGATGAAAGCGAAGATGGCGTGGTGCGAAGAAGATCGCAACCAACTGAGTTGCTGCACCAATCAAATCACGACGAGGGTTTGGTCACTCTCATTCGGCGTCTTATTGATCACTGACAGCCTGAGCGATGGCTGCAAAGCCACCGACAGCTTCGCTCAGAAGACCCAAGTTGTTGGAACTTCCGCTGCCCAGCGTCTCCACCGATTCGTCACCAGAGGACGTCTGAGAGGCAGCCTCGCCATCGCCATCGTCAGTTGCCGTGGAAGTTGCCGCCGAGGAAGTGCTGGAAGCATCCGTGCCGTCGGTGCTACTGCTACTGCTGGCCGATGTGGATGTGCTATGTGTCGAGTGGGAAGAAGATGTGGTCGGTGTGGGAGTGCTCGAAGTGGTGGTCTTGGTGTGCTTCGTGGTCGGCTTCGGTGTGGACGTGGTGCTGGGCGGCGTGTATGTCGAGGTGGGTGTGTGGTGTGTGGTCTTTGGCTTACTGCTCGTCGATTTGCTATCGTCCGAACCGCTGCCCATGACCCAAGACATTTGGAAGACTCCCTGATCAGGAGTGGCAAATTGATCGAAGACTGCGGGCGAGAAGTCCAGGTCGCCGTAGGAGCACGATGGGCACGAATCAGTAATCTCTGCCTGGACACTTTTGCCATTGGCGGTGACGGTGATCCAAGTGTAACAGAGCGACAGGTCGAATTGGGCGGTGTTGACCGCTACGATGGGGTCCGACTTTTGGAAAGTCTTGCCACATGCTCCGGGACCGGTAGAGGGGTTGTAGAAGGTACCTGTTCCACTGAAAGCCCTCTTTGCCAGGCGCAGGGACGCATCTGCAGTGGCCCTGGCCCTGGCCGCGAGACCATGTCCAGCGGGGGCTCGTTTACGGATGAAGCGCTGATTGTTGCCGCTGCTGCCGACATTGGGCTGCGAGGCTGAAGCAACGGCTGTGAAGGCGACGACGGCAAGCGCAATCGAGTTGAGAGGAAGTTGCATGTTGGGCGATGTAAGGATAGGGAGTGAGGATGGGCGGGTATAGAAGATCGCAGAGTTGAAATGCTTTCTTCCTTGCTTGCTTTGTTCTTGCTGCTAGGGATCCGTGCGAGGCAAAGAGTAATGAGCACGATGGACTTGTTGGTGGAGATGGACTAGAATTGAAAGAGCGTGATTGTTGTTCCAAAAGAGTGTGGGGGTAAGGATTTACTTGATCTTGATGAGCAGGTGCTGTCCTAGTAGATGGAGAAGGAGTGGTAGAGACGTGAAGAGGGGGAGAGAGGGTGCAGCTAGGGGATGGAGGAGGATGTAATGGACCGGACGGCCTGAAAGAGCAGGTTGTGGGGAGGGCTAGCGTTTACACAGAAGGTGTGCCGGCGGGCTGGGCGGCATGATGGATCAAGGACGTCACCGCGGGCGGCTTTCCTGGTTGAGCAGCAACCAGTATCTGCCCTGAGTAGAGCATTAGTCAATAGTCTGGTTCCTCCGCTTCGATGATCGTCCTCCTCTGCTCTTCTGCCGGCGAGGTAGCGGGACAAGGAGGGGAGGTTGGGCGAGATTCGCAACTCGAGGTATGTGTTGCGCCTGTGTTGGAGTGGACCCAGGGAACAACACATGAGCTAAAGTGGCTGACGAGGCGCGGCCTGGACGCGGGCCAGAGCTGCATAGAAGTTCCGTTGGACGGCGGAGATAGAACTCCATTTGACACTCCGCGGTGACATGTTCCTGACGATTGGGCGGACGCGGCCACTCGGTCTCCCACGCCGCCGGTAGCGAGCTTCTGTCTGCAGCCACAGCATCGCAACATACCGACGACGTGAGGTAGGAGCCCAGTGGGCAAGCCCCTGAGGAGTATGAGCACTGGCTAGGACCATGCGCCAAGCTCTGTTCTCATCAGTCTAGTGCCTACTTGCTCAACGTGTGACCTCATGTCCTGCCTCGGATTCTCCGTCAGCGCTGATTCACGATGCACCTCGCAGTGACAGGCAAACAAAGGCGGCTCAAGATGCATCACATTGCATTAGACTTCCCCGCACCTTTGTAGTGATGTCAGGAGAACTCTCAAAGGTTCGACTCCTATCACATCTGGACCTGCGTCAGTCTTGGCGCTGTCCCGTACATAGTCTGTCTCCTCTCACAGCGTTTCACGGGTGTTCACGGCTGACGTCAATCTCAAGCAGGAGTCGACCGACCCTGGAGTCAGGGCAATGCTACCGAGACCATCACGACCTCTTGGCAAGCCAGAACAGGATACTGATGATACTGTCACTATGTGTATATTACATGGAGGCGATGACACCCGTGCTGATGGTACAAGTTTGCAAAGCAATCCTTCAATGCGTGCGCTGCTGCTCGGTCTTCTCAGAGATCAAGCTCCATAGCAGCAGCTTCTCCCCCACCATTGCCGAAAGCCTGATCAAATTCATCTTCTAGATCATCCTCGTCCCCCAGCTCCTCGATCCGCCTAACTTCATTCCCCCTCGACTCTAGCTCCTTCTCGTGCACCTCCATAGCAGCTGTCGTCTCCGGATCGTCGAATTCGATCAGATCACCACCGTCGAAGACGTCCATTCCATCCGCGGCCATGAGCTTCTCAAAGTGCTCTTGCTCGCGCTGCTGCCTTTGCTCGATATCCTCTACTGACCACAGAGAAACCCCATTCTTGCTCTCTGTGTACGGCTGAGCCATCCTCCTGATGAAGAGCTTGCTCTCCACAATGGCCATGTCGGTGGACAGGTTCGAGTGGGTGTCTGTGATCTGTTGTGCGATCCACTTTGGCAACTTGGCGCGCTTGTCCGCCCTCGCAAAGCGCTTGTCGGCAAAGATCATCAGACCGTAATCGCTCTTTCCTCGCAATACACGTCCCACACACTGAGCCGCGTGTCGCATAGCGTCAAAGGTCAGGAAGTCATTCTCCCTGATCCTGAAGTTGTCTCGCAGGAACTCAAGGCGAGCTTTGAGAATACGAGACTCGGTGTACTGATAGGGTACACCGAACATGATGACGGCTCTTCCGTAGTTGTGATCGAAATCAATCCCTTCCGAGACCTTGCCTCGAGCGACAGACAGCAGGATGGCTCCTCGACCATTGTCGCAAGCTCGCCTATAGTTCTCCAGAGCGACAGAGGTCTCGGGCGCATCTGGTGTCTCGATGAAGACGAGCTTGTATTTCCAGACCTCCTCAAGGATGCCCATGTCATGCCAAGCAGACACGATTGACTCCATATAGAGGTAAGAGGGAAAGAAGGCGACGATGCCGTCGGGGATGCACTTGGCGTAATCGATAAGGATAGAGCCGTAATTGCGGACTACCGACGGATCGTTTCTCACTTCGAACCTGGAGCTGATCGCAATCTGGTCTGATCCCCGAGTAATAACCATGGGCAGAAAACACTGCCGAGTGAGCGTCATGGGATACGACTCTTGGACAACGGGGTCGAATTTGAGCATCTTTGGGTACATGTCCAGAGGACTGATGGTACCACTGGTGATGATAACCGAGGAAAACCTCTCGAATACTGGCGCAATTGCCAGACTTGCATCGAGGCAGGTAAAATGGAAGATTGGGTTCGGTACGGTTGCATTCTCAGTCTCGAATGGTTCTAGAATGAGCAGAAAACCTTTGTCATAGGTGGCCACCAGTGTGGCGAAGGCGGCAACCTTCTGCAGAGCAGCGAACTCGTCTATCCGGGTAAGTTCGAGCGTGGAGACAAGCATGCGCAGTCGCTCCGCACAGAAGCGCAACGGCTTTCGTTCGATGTATGTGATGTCCTTTAGATGCTGCAAGAAGCTGGCCGGAGTTTCGGCGACGACGTGCAAGACTCTCATTCTCGTCTTGAGGTACTCGACGAAGCGTTTCAGGAAAGCAACGAAATGCTCCGCCCTTCGGATGTTCCCCGGGACTGCTTCAGACAGCAGATCATCTGGCAGGATAGGATTGGCCATGAAGGTCTCTGCTTCTCGATTGTCTTCGTTCTGTTGAAGTCCCTCGACCAGCTTGGCGTATTCATCTTGTAGCTTGGTAGCGTCAGTCGCCTTGACGTGCTCTACTCTCTCTGCTAATTGATCCACTGAGCGGTATGCACTGTCGAGCATAGGTCGTGTCAAGTCTATTGAGAGCGATTCGATGCAGACATTGTCGATGTTGTGGGCCTCATCGAAGACGACGATTGAATCTTTGGACATCTCCTTGCTGACCTGCTCAGCGATCTTGGGGTCGAGGAGATAGTGAAAAGAATAGACGATGATGTTGACGAAGGGCAGCATCCTTCGGATGGCAAAGTAGGGACAGATGCCTTGCTCCTTCGAATAGTCCTTGACGTCCTCCAGAGTCCATACTCCGTGAGGGAGCAGATGGCCCGGCTCGAGTTGGCCCAGCTTCTCGTGGAAGTCGCACAGCTCGACACTGCCAGGCTCGGCTCTACCCTTTTCACAAGCCCAGGCGCTGGTCATGTCTCTACACCGGGCATCTACTACGTTGCCCCGTCTTTCCCTCCCTACGCTGGGATGGATGCAGAGGTTCTTCCTCGAGGACAGACCGAAGGCGAGGATATCTTCCGCCTCGCCTTGGCCTTTCGGCAGGGGAAGTTGTAGCTCTTCGCCACTACCATCCTTCTTCATTTCCTCCGAGACGTTGTACCTCGCCCTGTACTCCATCAAACGCTTCAGCTCAGCAAGTACCTTTTCGATCTCTGGCACAGTACGGGTGCAGTAGATGAGCTTCCTTGCGGCAGGATAGTGCATTTGGTAACTGACAATGAGACTCAGGAGGGAGACCGTCTTTCCCGTCCCAGAAGGCGATTCGATGACAGCCTTGCCATTTGCATCGAGCGTGCGCTTGAGGTCGTTCATCATGGCCACCTGCTCAGGATAGGCATAGGGATAGGGGAAGATAACCGGAAGGTCATCAATGTAGAACTTCATCTCGGCGATGGAAGTGGCCTCTCTCGCACGAGGACAATGAGATTGTTGTGCCCTACGGACGGGACTAGAATAATCTCAAGGCAAATCTGATGGTAGTCTAATGGAGGATTCTCCGACGGGAAGAAGTGCGAGCATGCTCAGTGCTGACGAATTGGCACTGGCGGAGAGGCGCACCCGGGACGGAAGGAGGACAAGTGGCCCAGTGCAGGCCGAGTGTTGCTGCAGCGCAGGGTCCATCCAGAGCAACACTGTCCCTCCCCTACTGCCTTGCCCCTACCATCACCGCGACCATTGTCCTTCGCCCCTCAGCTTCCTCGCCATCTGGACAGCATCTCACTCATCTCCCTTTCTCTATACCACGACGTCGACGACTGCCTCCTGCCAGCGCGCTTCAGCGAGACTCGCGTCCAGTCTCGGGGTCGCATAGCCTCGCACAGCCGCTGCCATGTCCTCCCTCGCCGTACCTGCCCCCATTGAGAAAGCTGCCGGCTCCAACACCTCCTCAGGCCAATCGACGCGGGACGCCTTCAATGCTGCACTGCGGTCTCGCAACCCACAAAACAATTACATAGCTCATCTCAAGATATGGGAACCTGTAGAGACGGAGAATGGCGCGCCTCCTGCCGCTGGCCCAGTTCGGAAGGCTCGCTACCTGATCCTGGCAGTGCAGCGTGACACAGGAAGGGTCACCGTCAACAAGGCCAAGAGAAACGCCAATGGTAGTTTCAGTATTGGCAAAGATTGGGACCTCAACACACTCAAAGTTGTCGAGGTCATCGACCCCACCACTTTCTCACTCACCCTCTCCCGCCCTTACCAGTGGACCACTGATCGTGGCCGCGAACAGCACCTCTTCCTCTCCTCCATGGTCAACGTGTACCGGCGGTATACTCGCAGTTCTTCTGGTCCTCGATGTATCGGTATTACGGTAGAGGCACAGGGCAGCGGGGCCTCTTCCGACAGGCTAGTGTCACCTAGCTCTTCCCAGGACAGGCAGCCGGAGCCATCGCTCTCCCCACCTACAGCGAGCTCACCATCCAAGCCAACAGACTTCGTGCCTCCGGCACCGCTGTCCATCGCTCCTCCGAAGCCGTCTCGATCAGGAACGGCCGACAGTACGCTAGTATCTCCTTTGTCGAGCAGGCCTCCACCAACATCGTCTCCTTCACGCCCTCAACGAGTAGCTCATGACCCTATTGCGCAAAGTCAGGGGGTTGAGGAGGCTGCACCGGCCCCTCCTGTCGTAGAGTCCCCGGCGCCCTTCTCTGCAGCATCATCCTCAAGCCTGCTGTCTCCGCTGAATCGTAGACCGACCATACAGAGGGAGACCTCGGCTGGACCAGTTCTGCAAAGAACGCCGAGCTCGTCACTTTCAATTGAGGAGGGGGCCAAGCCCGAGTCAATGCAGTTGGGAGTCGCTTCAGCCAGCATGTCGAGGAGTAGGAGCTTCCAGTCCGCATCTAGCGCCGGGTCGGCAAAAGACACATTGAGCGACAGACTGGCTCGTGCTGCATCCGGCGCGAAGAGCGGATCCTCCACGCCAACGGCAGGCAGGCCCTCGACACCAGAGTCAGCACCTCCTGCTAGACCGCCGCCTGCTCAGCCTCGCGTGATGCCGCCGGCCTCTGCTCCGCCTGTAACCAACAGCATGACGGACTCTCAGTCTGCGTACGTCTCACCATCAAAGCCAACGTTGGATCGTAGATTCTCAATTGCCCCAACGAATAACGCTCGTGCCCGTCTTTCGGCTGTGGAGCCAATCGCTCGGGGAGGCAAAGCGTACGAGAAGATGCTGTTGGCCGGGACTGGTCTGAAGAGTATCGGAGACGAGGACGAGGAGGAAGAGGAGGAGGAAGAAGAGGAGCTGCTAGACGAGACTGCAGGAGATCTTGGCCGTCTCAATGGTGACAATCGCAACGGCGGCACCACGGGAGAGAACGGCATGAGCAAGTCTTATCTCCAGGTGGAGCCCATCGGCCGGAAGAACACCCTCAAAGCGAGCAAAAGTCTTACTCGCAAAGCCACAAGACGTCAAGGGAATGCCCATGAGCGGCAAGCTAACGGGAGCGGCGCCAATGAAGAAGGCGAGTCAGATGAGGACGATGCGACTCTTGTCAACGTCGAAGAGCTGCTAGAGGGCATTGATTTCCGAGCGGTCAACAAAGAGTCTGGCAGAACGGGATTAGCAGCAAGGGGACTTGGCAGTGGTAGTGCTTACAGCGGAGCGCTGAGCCGGAAGGGCCAAGGAACAGCCGATGTCATCGAGGCCAACCTTTTGTCCGAATTGGAGGCTCTTGACTCGGCCAACATCCACTCAATCCTGACTGGAGATGACCGTCTAGCCTCTGTGCTGAATCATGTCGATGCAGCGCTAGCTCAGCTAGACAGCATCGACTCGCTCGTCGCCTCCTTCAAGATGTCGCTCAACTCGCGGGCAGAGGACATCAACTTTATCGAGGGCCAAAATCGTGGTCTGCAGGTCATGAACTCTAATTGGCGAGCATTGGAGAAGGAGATCGAGCAATTGCAGCAGACAGTCAATGTGCCACAGGAGGAGGTGACGGCCCTACTTGATGGGACATACCACCTTGATGGAGCCATCGAGAGTAAAGAGGCAGCCGCTGCCAGTCTATACAAGGCCATTTTGCAGGCCAAGACCAGCCAGATGGAAGAAACCAACGGTACGGCTGGCGTCAATGGCAATGGCTCTGGTGGTGGCATGGCTGCCACAACTGAGAGACTCGACGAGTACTCATCGATCTCCAACGCGTTCGGTACCAAGTCTCTCTCGCATCTGCAGACCGTCTTCACTGAGCTCACTACAGTACTACTGAGCGATCCGGCGAGGAAGGCGATGCTTCAGCCTCCTCATCCGAGATTGACTTCACACGAGGTCGTCGAACAAGCGCTCAGTGGTTACTGTGGGCTGATGCTGTATCTGAAAGAGGTCGAGCCCAGGACATTCGAGCGAATCTCCGCCGCATACCTCACGAGCGCTGCTGAGCGGTACAATGCAGAGTGTAGCAGGTTGGCAGCAGTATGGAAGATGCTCGTGAGGAAAGCTAGCGAGGACGAGGATGGAATGGCGTCCTTTGTGCAAGATGTTCAAGTAGGCGCCGTGACCGCCCTGAGTCGAGCAACGACAGTGAGGCGGTTGGGTGGTCCCGCTGCCAACAGAAAGGGCAAGAGCGGAGGCGCAGATGGCGAAGTGGCTGGAGCAGAAGCATTTGGTCATCTGCTCTTCACCATCATTCCCCTGCTCATTCAAGAGACCCTCTTCCTCTCCGACTTCTTGCATCTCAACCTGAATGGTCTGACATTCGCCGACTATATGGACTTGGAAACATACTTCCGTAAGCGAGCTGCAGCTCTCTTCGGTGAGGACTCGAAAGAGCGAAGAGGTGGGCTCAGAGAGATGAAGGGAGCTATGGACCTTGTCTTCGGCTTCCTCGTGACAGAAGTGAATGGCTTCCTCGAGGAAGTCGAGAGGCGGGATCGCTTCCAGATGGTTGGAGTCGTTGCTGCTCTGGATGGCGCTCTGATGGAAGCGGAGCACTCCGGCAACGACTTTGTGTTAAAAACGCTGAACAAGCTGCAAGGCAAGGCTACTGCGATCCTAGAACGATTCTTTGCCGATCAGCTGAGAGCCGCAGTGGTCTCTGCTTCGAAGCAGCAAACCTTTTCTGCCCCTACCTTTAGAGGCAAGCGCTCAGGCAGAGGTGGTCTGACCGCCGCCGTCAGGATTGCTCCCCACTTTGTGGACCGCATTGAGAGCCAGCTGGGGAATGCGCAGCACCTCAATGTGCGGTCCATCGTAGATGGCTTCTACGCCCGGATGGAGAATACCATCATCGACACTCTCCTCTCGCTGAAAGTTGAGACGACGACTGCCACGGGAGGGCAAGACGAGGACAAGGGCGCAATGAATCATCAAGTCCTTCTCATTGAGAATATGCACCACCTCATCCAAGAGTCGACCAAGCTCCTCTACCGAGCACCTGCCCTACGCGCCCTCGTTGCCCGCGCCGAAAAGGTGTATGAGGACAGTCTAAGCCACTACACTCACTTTGTCCTCCGCAGACCTCTGGGTAAGATGATGGACTTTGGAGACGGGATCGATGCGCTCCTCCGTTCCACGCCGGCCAATGAAGTCTCCCTTCACAATGCCTACTCCAAGTCCTCCTTCCGTAAGCTGGCAAAGGAGCATGGCATAAAGGATCTCCGCAAACAGGTAGACGCACTCTGGAAGCGTGTCCTCAAACACTTCAACGAAGATGAGAATGAGAATTTCACACTCGCCTCTTCTACTTCCTCAAGAGGTGAGACGGGTGAACTGGTCACGGGTCCTGCAGCAGAAGAGGAGGAGCGCAGGGCCGTTGTGGGGAAAGTCTGGAGGCGCTGTGAGCATGACTTTGTCAGGGAGATTGAGAGGACGATGCGCATACAGGACGAATGCTACAAGGGTGCTGGAGTTGGTTTAGAGGTCAAGGTGGACGAGGTAGTGAGACTGTTTGCTAGATGAAGGAGATCACTACAGATGGCAAAAGTAGTGCAATGTGTATATGTTCCTAGTTCCGCGAGATGGCTCACTTTCGACGGCATTTCAATCGAATGTCACCTTCTTGCCCGCACCAGCTCCACCTGCCAAGGAACGAGCAATGAGGTCCTCCCTCTCCTTTTGTTTCTGCTTGGCCAACCAGCTCGGGTGCATCTCCTGCTCTTGCTGCTGCTTCTCCTGAGTCTGGAACCTCACAGGAGGAGCGGTGCTGGGCGGACGTCGATCGCCTCCCCTCGCCACTGGCTTACCTCCCCGACCTGGAGGGGCAGCAGGACTACGTGCAGGCGACGGCGCTGCAGCAGCGGGCTCTGATGCAGGTGCGACCACGGGGAACTTCTTCCATCCAGCATCCGTCTGCTTTGGAGCCTCAAACTCCGGTATGACCTTGCCGTCCCTGCCACGCCGCAGAGGCTTGTAGGCCGGCTTGCCGCTGCCGTCCGTACCCTTCTCGGCAGACCGCTTCTTCGGAGACTCCTTTTCAAGGATCTTGATGTGGTTGGCGTTGCGGCCGAACTTCTTTTCCCAGAGGCTGTGCAAGACAACGAATGGAAGAGAGGTGTCAGTAACACTTGAGTCTCAAATTGCACGCGCCAAATACATGTTTCACTCACGCCTTCCTTGCCCGCTGGCCCATCCTGTTCTTGCGTTCCTTGGCAGACTTGACGCCTTTTGCCTTGCTTGCCTTGTCCTCCGGATTTTCCTCAATTTCGCCTTCGTAGTCGTCATCGTCTGAACCTTCGCTGCCGCTGAAGTCATCGTCTACACGGCGACGGCGAGAGTGTGCGAGGAAGCCGTGCGAAAGGGAAGGAAGATTGCGAGAGGAAGAGGAGGAGGCGCTGGAGCCTTCAGAGGAGAAGTCGCTGGCGTCGCTATCTGATTCATCTCCATCGTCCGAGGGAAGGTCCGCTTCGTCTTCACTGTCCTCGTCGCTCGAGAGTGCTGGAAGCTTCGAGCTCGCCTTTGCGTCGCTCTTCTTCGCCGTCTTCTTGGCTGGCTTGGAGTCGCGAGGAGATGGAGAGCGTTTCCTCTTGCTGACAGGGGCCGCCTTCTCTTGACTTGCAGCATCTGATTCGCTATCGCTTGCTTCATCCTCTTCGTCGCTGCTGCCTGCCCCGACAAGAGCGTCCCACTTGTCAAGGTCGCCTAGTGCAGCTACGCGTGCTTGTATGTCTTCTTCATCGAGATCCTCCTGTTCACTTTCGCCTTCACTGCTCTCGCCTAGCTGCTCGATTTCGTCCTCATCCTCTTCATCCTCCGAGCCAGACCATATCCGCTCGTCATCTTCTTTGAGAGCTTTGGCAACTGTCGCTGCTCCCTGAGCCGATTGGTCTGTCTTTTTGCCGTCCAGAGCCGGAGTCTCTGCAACCGCCTTTGGCTTCACCCTGCCCGCCAGTCTGCCCAAAGTCTCTACCATCTGACTCGACTCCTCCGCAAGCGACTTGCTGCTCAGCAGCTTCGCTTTGACCTTTTCTGCATCGCTTGCAAGATCCGCCGGTGGGCTCGCGTCCGTCCAGACCTGCCTGAGCCCCTCCTCGGACCACACGCCCGTCAGTAGAGGGAAAGTATCCACGCCCTTTTGCTCACTCTGAGCTTCGGCGCTTTTGAAGTCTTTCGAAGTAGGCCCCCTTGGCAGGAGCTTGGCCTTTCCTAGCTTGCCGAGAAGACACGTGGCTGCTATTCTTTGTAGATCTATCGACTTGAATATTAGAAGCTGGGCTTCGAGGGAGCTCTTGTCGGCTGAAGAGGCAGACTTAATGCGCTTGACCAGGCGTTGCACCTCGAACTGACGAGCACGCTTGCTAGCTGAGGTGAGATGTCGAAGGGCATGATGCTGTATATACAGATAGGAAGGTCACGATGGTCACCGTGCGCACGAGTCAGTCCTAAGTTGGGAGGAGTATTCAGCTTCATTCTCGATGCCACGTACCATTCTCTTACGGATCTTGTCAAGATCGATTGTTGGCCCTTCGTCTTCGCTGTCCTCCTCTTCCTTGCTACCATCGCTGTCACCTTCTTCCTCATCGTCAGTGGAGCTTTCCTTCTGCTTTCCCTTGGCTTTTTCCGACTTGCGTGGGCCAGAAGGTACGTCCTCCTCCTGGTCAATCCCTTCATCGGAGGAAGTATCCGAGGAAGAAGCTGAAGCTGAGGATGAGGATGAAGAAGACGACGACGACGACGACGACGACGATGCGGGTGCTGCTTTTAATGCAGCTCTGGCTCCTTTTACGGCTGCCATCTTTTCAGAAGGTCCTGCAGCCTTCGCTTTGCTGCCGTTTGTGACCTTTGCGGGCATCGTGGTGGTGAGGGTGTGGGTACGGATAGGCCGGAGAGGCGTGCCAAGGTGACGCGAAGCCTCGTCTGGCCTTGGCTGCCGAGCGGAAAGAGGCCAAAAAATTCAAAGGCGCAGGCAGACGCATCGCCGGGAAAAATTTGAGCGGACAAGCAGAGCCACACACGCAGGGTGAGCACCACCACCACCACCTCTTCCTTCCTGACGACCAAGGATATCAACTCCATCACCACCATCATCCATCATGCCTGGCCTGAAGAGGAAGGCACCTTCACAGTCCACTGCGGCTGCGAAGCCATCGCTCTCTGCCACAGCAGCCGCTTCCTCCACCAAGAAGCCCCGCCCTGCCGAGAGCTACGCACCTGCCCCTCCTTCCGCACTGGTAGACTCCCAGGTCGACTTCCCAAGAGGAGGCGGGTCGGGTCTCACCCCCTTCGAACATGCCTCTACCCTGCGCGAGGCTCGAGCTGAAATGGCCTCAGCCAGGAGAGGAGACGGAGACCTCTTTGCTGAAGGATCTACCTCGAAAAAGACACTCAACCCAGAAGAGGAGAAGAAGAGGAGAGAGGACAGGAAGAAGCTCGGCAGAGACAAGCAGAATGCCAAGAAGAAGAAGAGCTTCACATCAAAAGAGGCCGAAGACACCACTACAAAGACGAGGCATCAGAAGGACCACATCCGTATTGAGCATCTCAATTACAAGGTAAGCATATCAGCGCTCCGCCCGACTCTAGCACTAGTCCGTCTCACGCTGACCACTGTCAATCTCTGCCCTTTGCTCCTCACTCACAGCGTCTCGCAACTGGCACTCGCCTGCTATGCTCAGTAGTGGCCGTGCATCCTCTCGCCCTCATCGTCTCTTTGCCCAACCAGCTCGTTGGCCACATTCCCATCACCTCCATCAGCCCGCTCTTCACACAGAAGCTGCATGAGGCTGCCGAGCAGGACTCGGATGATGAGGCCGACGACGGCACGGACGACGACGATAGTGATGTTGGCTCAGTGGGAGGCAGCCAGAAGAAAGCCAAGGCAACCGTTGCCAAGCTTGCCTCTGGCCTCCCAGAGCTATCCGACTGCTACAAGGTGGGACAGTGGGTACGAGCCGCGGTGGTATCGGTCAACTCGTCTGGCCCACGCAAGGCCCCTTCGTCCGCTCAAGAAGCTCATGAGTTCGACAAGGAATCAAGACGAGTAGAGCTGACACTCGCCCCTGAAGCCGTTAATGACGGAGTGGGCGCCGATGATCTTGCTGTAGGCTTCGTCATCTCCGCCGCAATCAAGAGCAAGGAGGATCATGGATTCCTTCTGGACGTAGGCTTGGATGGCATCTCTGGCTTTGCCCCCTTCAAGAATGTGGAGAGCACCTCTTTTTACCCCGGCCAAGTCGTGGATGCGGCTATCACATCTCTTGCTTCTCAAGGCAAGTCATTCACTGCTTCACTCAAAGCGTCAGCTGCTGCGTCTGCCATTCTGGGTCCCCAAGATGCCCCTTCCGCTAGCGCTCTTGTCCCAGGTTGCCAAGTGACAGCGCTCATCACTGCGTCGCTTCCTACTGGTCTCAATGCCAAGCTGTGGGGTATGTTTGATGCTACCATCGACAGCTTCCACTTGCCCGCTCCTCTGCCTGCGGGCAAGGAGATGCACGAAGTGTACAAGGTCGGCAGTAAGATCAAGGCCAGGATTCTCTGGGAGTCGCGCAAGAACGAGATGGGAGGCCTCGTTGCCAGCACTGGGGAGGAAGAGGCCGGACCACGAGCAGTAGCTCTGAGCGCAGCGCCTCACATTCTCTCCCTCTCAGCCCCCAATGCTGGTGACAAGGCTCAGCAATCTCTTTCAGAAGCCTACCCCATTGGAGCCAAGGTGGAAGCCAAGGTCACTCACACGGATTCCGAGTGGGGCCTCACCTGTTCCGTCTCCTCAGCGAACATTCAAGGCTTCACTCACATCTCTCGTGTGTCAGACGACCATGTTGTTAAGCTTCCTTCGAGATCAGGTCCCTTTGCCTTGGGGACCACTCATTCTGCCAGGGTGGTCGGTCACGCGCCCACAGACCGTCTGCTCCTCCTCAGCTTCCAGAAGAGCACGCTGGAGAAGGCCTTCATGCGAGTGAGCGAGGTAGAGGTAGGCTCAAATGTGCGGGCTACGGTCACCCGTATCGGCCCGAATGGCTCTGCCATCTTCCTCGATCTGGGGGGCGCCTTCCCTGGTGTCGTCTTTCCCTTGCATTTTGCAGACGTACCGCTGAAGAAGCCAGAGAAGAAGTACAAGCCTGGAGCAACCGTCAAGGCTCGTGTGCTGAGCGTTGATCCGGCTCGCAATCGTATTGTTCTGACGCTGAAGAAGTCGTTGGTAGCTAGCGAACTGCCTGTCATCTCCTCCATCCAGGACGCCAGAGTTGGCGTTGTCACCCAAGCGACAGTCTCCAAGTTTGTCGAGAACAGGGGCTTGATCGTAGACCTCTTCGGTGGTCTGCGAGCCTTTGTCTCCACCTCGGAAGCTACAGAAGCTCCCCTGGGACCTTCTGCCCCTACTCTGCAGTCTCATTTCTACGAAGGCAAGGTTGTCACAGTGCGCTTAACGCACGTCGATTACGAAGCCAACAAGCTGCTAGCCTCGGTAAAGCAGGCCAGCCCAAGCTATCTGGCCAAGCTGGATGTTTCTGGCGTTCAGCTTGGAGAGAAGGTGACAGGCACGGTCGCAGCTATTCGTGAGGATGTCGCTGTTCTCGAGTTGCAGCCCAGCAAAGTTCGAGGTCTCTTGTCACTCAACATCCTCGCTAAGCGGAGAGAGCAGACCGTTGACGCTCTTCGCGAGCAGCTGGAAGAAGGAGAGACGCTGGACAACCTCATCATCGTTGACAAGCATGCTGAGCGCGGCTTTGTCATCGTCGGAGATGCTCGATCTCAGCAGGCTCGCAAGACCGCCTCTGGTATTGCCGAGCCTTTGCACGTCGGATCGTTGCAGACGGGCACAATTGCTGCAAACTCGGGAGAGCCCAATGTGGCTACCGTCATCTTGGCTGGCGGCTGCCGCGGTCGCCTACATCTGACTGATGCGGCTGATGACTTCGACCAGGCTGCTCTGCCCGCGACGGACGAAAGTGTGCAAGTGTACCTCCTCCGCCTCAGGAATGCAGGCAAGCGAGCAGACGTCATCATCCGTCCTTCCCGCCTGGTGAAGGACAGTAGCGATGCCGTCAAAGACGCCGAGGTAGAGCGTGCCTCGGACCTCAAGGTGGGCGAAAAGCGACGAGGCTTCGTCAAATCGATGTCGCCCGCTGGTCTGTTCGTCGACCTCGGCCGTAATGTTACGGCTCGAGTCCTCATTGCTGAGCTCTTCGACGACTTCGTCAAGGAATGGCAAGGTCGCTTCAAGGTCGGTCAGCTGGTCAGCGGTACCATCACAGCTGTCGATGCAGGTCACTCAAAGGTCGAATTCTCGCTCAAGACTGTACCTGGCTCTTCAAAGAAGAGCAAAGCAGATCGGACGGCTGAGAAGGCTGAAGCCAAGGAGGCCGAGAGGCTCAAGAAGGAGGCTGGTCAGCTTCGTCTGCAGGACCTCGAGAAGGGCATGAAGGTCAATGGCTTTGTTCGAGCCGTACAGGAATACGGAGTCTTTGTGCAGATTGAGGGCAGTCAGATCAGTGGCCTAGCGCACAAGAGTCAATTGAGTGACAATGCCGCTGCTCCTGGGTCGGATCCCACCAAAGCGTTTGGTGTAGGAGACCGGGTCAAGGCCGTCGTGCTGGAAGTCTTTCCCGAGAAGAAGAAGGTCAACTTCGGCCTGAAGCCTTCCTACTTCACTGCCGAAGACTTTGAAGAAGACGACGGAGATGAGAGCGAAGAGGATGATGATCAGCTAGAGGGAGACGAGACGCAAGATCAAGATGAGATTGACGAGGTGATGGGCGACGATGAGAGCGAAGAGGAGGATGAGGAGGATGATGACTCTGAAGCTGAGGGCGACGACAGCGACATCGAAGTCGATGCTGAAGCTCTCCTCAACGGCGACACCGACGACGACTCGGATGGCGATCTTCTTGAGCTGGGGAATGGTGAAGATGATGAGGAGAGTGAGGCCAGTGACGACAGCGACGAGGACGTCGAGATGCGAGAGGTCAGCTCTCCAGCTCAGAACAAGGCGAAGGCCACTCCTTCAGCTCTGCCAGCCCTCGAGCTCGGTGGTGGCTTCAGCTGGTCAGTCCCCGAAGATGACGGCGCTGCTCAAGACTCTGCTTCGGACAGCGACAGCGACAGCGATGATGAGGACGATGTCAAGGCAGCCAAGCGAGCACAGAACAAGGCGGCGCCCAAGGCCAAGCGCGGTCACAATCGCACCATTGAGGAAGACCTAACGGGCAGCCTGGCCAACAAGGCTCCTGAATCCTCTGCGGACTTTGAGCGTATGCTGCTCAGCTCTCCCAACTCATCCTATCTCTGGATTCAGTTCATGTCCTTCCAGCTGCAGCTGTCCGAGGTAGAGCAAGCCCGTGAGGTGGCAAGGCGTGCGCTCAAGGTCATCAACTACCGAGAGGAGACGGAGAAGCTCAATGTCTGGATTGCTCTCCTCAACCTGGAGAACACCTACGGCTCCGACGAGTCCCTCGAGCGCACTTTCAAGGAAGCCAGCCAGATGAACGACGGCAAGACCGTTCACCTGCGTCTGGCATCCATTCTCGAGCAAACGGGCAAGATCGACAAGGCGGCCGAGATGTGGAAGCGCACAGCCAAGAAGTTCGGCTATTCGCACAAGGTCTGGGTGGGTTATGAGCACTTCTATCTGCGCCAGAAGCGCTTCGACGAGGCTCGATCCCTACTGCCACGCGCCCTGCAGAGTCTTGAGAAGCGCAAGCATGTAAAGACGATGGCTGCCTTTGCACTCGGCGAGTTCAAGATGGGCGATGCCGAGCGCGGAAGGACTATCTTTGAGGGCCTGGTGGACAGCTACCCAAAGCGTCTGGACCTCTGGTGGCAGTACATCGATCAAGAAGCCTCATCCAACGCAGGGGACAATGTCCCAGGTGCAAGACTTCTCTTTGAGCGCGCTCTGAATCTCAAGCAGAGCACAAAGAAGGTCAAGAGTATATTGAAGAAGTGGTTGGAGTTTGAGAAGAGAAAAGGAGATGCAAAGGGTGAGGCAGAGGTGCTTGCTAGGGCGAGGAGATTTGTGGAAGAACTCAATGCTGCCAAAGAGGGAGCTGATGACGAGGATGAAGAGGATGAGGAAGACGAGGAGTGAATGCAAAAGAGAACTGTCAAGACTTGCCGAGGCAAGCGTTACTGCATACACAATTTTTTCCAGACTGCTTCTTTTGTCTGCCATTCTGCTTGGTTCGAAGGCTGAAAGTTGCCGTGCGAGCCGAACTCCGGGCGGCCCTAGGCAGGCAGAAATCAGACGGGAGAAAAGCAAGAGAAGCAGAAGCAGGGACAGAGGCAGCAGCAGCAGCAGCAGCAGGAACGAACAAGGAGGGGTTTTTCGGGATGCGGACCGGATGAACTCGGGGCGCCGGGAGAATCTACTTTATTATACGCGAGCAGTCGAAGCGCCAGTACAGGACAGTACAGGATCGTGGCCTGCAGTGTCGCTTCTCCTTACCTCACGTGGAAGCATCACTTTGTTCCTGCTTGTGCTTGTGCTTGAGGCAGGGTGTAACAATCCAGGTTCAGGAATACCGGACGGGTGTTTTCGCGGTTGAGCCCTTGGGCCTTGGTTGCTGCTTTGGTCGAATTCGGCAAATGTCAATCCGAGCTTCTTTGGGCGCTGCAATGCAGTACGTGAGAGGGGAGAAGGAGACGGGAGCAATCATTGGCAATTCTACACTCCTAGAGCGGCTCTTCTCGTCTTGGCAAAGTCGGAGGAGGAAGCCTCAGCCCACGCAGCGCTGCGAATTCGGATGTGCCTGGGAGCTTCCGAGTGTGCGTGCGCCTATCTGATTTCTTGGATATCACGCGCAAGGAGGTGCAGGCGGCCAAGGCGGGCAGTAGAGCACAAGAGCAGAGGAGCTGCAGACGCGGGCCAGGCGGGGTGAGAACCAGGAGCGGGGACCCTTGTAGTGGCCGCGCCTTCGCTCAAGGGCATCTCTCCCCGACGCTCCCCGCAGAAAGCAAGGAAGATCTTGACCTCGGCATTGGCCCGACGATTCTGATGCAAGCGAAAGGAGTAGGCGCTGCTGCTCCCAAAGGTGGAAGCGAGTTGCCGTTGAGGACTCTGCGGGTTTGCCACGGGCGGGAGGCCAAGACCTCCTAGGCAAGGCTCCACCCGGGTTTCAGGGCAGCGCAGGGGGAAAAAGTGGCCGGTTACATGCGCAGCCCCGTATGCCTTGACCCTCCTTGCACGCCCTGTCAGCTACCACCAGAGCTTCAGAAGGCACAAGGACAGCTGTCACCATGACCGACAAAGTGGCACCTCGGGAGCGCTTTCTGCTTCCCAGGGCTGACCTGCAACCACCCTGTCTCATCTGCTCCCCTTCCCTGACCCCCTCTCTTGCAAAACTTTTTTTCTTCTTCATGGGCGTCGGAGTCTGATAGATTAGGGCAATCAGATACGTCGTCAGCCGGCGTCCTTCCTCCTTAAAGGCCCGAGGGGCAGTGCGTCCGTTTGCTGTTAGGCCCCGTTCACGTCCAATCTCACCCTTCTCCCTCAACCATTCATCTTTTCCCTGGCCCTCACCCCGGCCCCGTCCCCCCTTGATCAACTCCCCGCTCACCTATCGTTTCCGAGATGGTTCGTTTCTTCTCGGCTGCTGCACGACGGCAGAGCGAGCCCGCGTCGGACGAATCGTCCGTCAGCGGCACCGCGCACTCGCAAGCTGCCAATGTCACAAACAAGAGTGGTGAGTATGCTCATGCGAATGCATTCCGTAGAGTCCCCTTGCTGATACATTCGACCTGCTTGCACGACTCCCCACAGACCTTGAAAGCCCACATGAAGACGGCAAGCCTCTCGGCGAAGCTGAGGAGGTGGAGCGACAGCACGCAGAGGGACAGCAAGTCGGTGTCTCGCGGGTCGAAGCCATGAACAGGGTCTTTGGTCCTCGATCCATCCCCTTCATCTCCCTCGTCGTCACGCTAGCTGCACTCTGTTGTGCCGTTACACTGGAAGGCTCCACCATCAGCGCTTTCCAGACCATCGTCGTATCCCTCTACAACAACCATGCAGGTCTCTTGGCCGTCATCTCCATTGCAACCTCGGTCATCAATGCCGTATCCAAGCCCTTCATCTCAAAAATCTGTGACATTTCCTCCCGTCACATGGCCTACATCGTCACCCTCGTTGCGTTCCTGCTAGGCTTCATCATCATTGCAGGAGGTCACACTGCTACCGGATATGCCGTTGGCTCTGTCATCGCCGAGGTCGGTGAGGCTGGTCTGGACCTCGTCTGCAACATCCTCGTCGCCGATATGACCAATCTCCAGTGGAGAGGATTTGCTACTGCACTAGTCGACTCGCCATACATCGTCTTCGCCTGGGTCGGAGCCAATATCTCCGGTGACATTCTTGGCGATAATGCTGCAACCACTGGACAGTGGCGATGGGGCTATGGAATGTTCTGCATCGTGAGTATACGCCTTGTAATGATGTTTAGGCAAATCTAGTGATATTGTGGTGCTCATGCCAATTCAACTGGACTTTCCATCCATCACCACTACAGATCATGCCAGCCTTCACCATTCCCCTCATCATCGTGCTCTACCTTGCCGGCAAGAAGGCCGCTAAAGCCGGCGAGCTCTCCCTGAACACCTCTTCTTACGGCGCTCGAGTAGCTGCCGGTCAGGCAGAGGCCAAGAGTTACTTGACGCTGCTGAAGGAATTCGCTATTCATGCCGATCTTGCTGGGCTCCTGCTTCTGGCATTCGCCTGGTCCCTTCTGCTACTGCCCTTCGGTCTGCGTACTTCTGCTTCGGGTGGCTTCCACAATCGTGAGTGGTGCAGCGCTAGCAGCTGCATACAGTGCGACGATTCCCGAATCGGTACTAGTGCTGATCTTTCTTTGGTCGCCCTATTCCACTCTCCTAACAGCCTCCCTCATTGCCATGTTCGTCGTGGGCGGTGTCCTGCTGATTGCATTCGGCTTCTTTGAGGTCTATGTCGCACCAATCCCCTTGATGCCCCGACGTCTAATTCGCAACAAGGTTTTCTGGCTAGGAGTAATCATCGACGTCTTCTACTTTGCCTCTGGCAACCTGCGCTCCCTCTACTTTGGCTCTTACACTCTTATTCTGAAGGACTGGACACTCACCGAATGGGGTTACTTTAGCAACGTCTCCACTGTCACCCTCTGCGTCGGTGGTTTGTTCAACGGTCTCATCCTCCGCTATACTCACCGCTACAAGATGCTGCAAATCTTTGGACTCTGTGTCAGGATCCTCGCCATGGGTCTCACCTATTGGGCACGAGGCGAAAATGCCAGCTACGGTGTCCTAGTATGGACCCAGCTGCTCAATGCCTACGGAGGTTCGTGCTCCGTCGTCGGTACCCGTGTGGCCACTCAAGCTTCGGTCCCGCACCAGGACCTAGCGACCATCATTGCTCTCCTCGCCCTCTACACCCGACTGGGAGGCGCCATCGGCTCTGCTGTCGCCGCCGTCGTCTGGTCTGGCCGCATGCCTGGCGAGCTTCTCAAGCAAGGTCTGACCGCCGCAGAGGCAAAGAGCATCTACGCCAAGCTCACCCTCGTCAAGGCCTACCCCCTGGACGACCGTCGTCGCCAAGCCGCCATCCGAGCCGCGGGCAACACTCTCGAACCCATCTTCCTCGCTGCTCTCATCCTCAGCTGTGTCCCCCTGCTAGCAGCCGTATACATGCCCAATTGGCGTCTGGACAAGAGACACAACAAGGCTGAGAGGACCGACATTGCTGGACGCTACGTTGAGCATTCGGCTGATGCAGATGCCGTAGAGTATCGACCGGAGAGAGAGGCCGTCTTTGCAAAGGATTCACTCAAGCCTGGACAGATTGATCGCGAGAGTGGCAATGTCGCTAGCAGCAGCGGAAGCGGGAGCAAGACTACGGGTGGCCAGGCCGAGCAGAATCAGGCTTAACTCGTTGGCTGCTGATACTCCACCGGCCACGGTCACTGTCACGACCTCCCCTGATCATCTCCATGCGCAACCTATTCACCTCTTCTGGTCCTAGACTTTACCCTTTACGCTTCACGCATAGATCAAAATGAATGAATGAATGAGTTCTCAGAGATCTCGTTCTGGTAGTGAGATGATGTGTATAGCTTGCCTTCCTTCCTTCGACTCGCCCCTTCTCTTGCTCGTCGTAGTGACTTCACTTGGCTGGATCGCGCTGAGGAATCCACCTGCCTTCTCGTGGGCTCTGTTATCCAACTCGGAGGCCATTCTGACCAGACTGGGCTCATACTTCACTTTGCTGGCATAGTCTGCCGTAGAAATTGGAAAGGGGACACGCATGCACGTGTGTGTACCTACGTAAAGCCGTGGCTACGCTTCTCGCCTTCTCGGTGAAAGCAGGACGTCCCATGGATAGCAGAGCTGGTCCAGCAGTTGATCATGCTGGCCAAGTGGCTCATCTCTGTGTTCTTCTTCCTGACCCGCCCCGCCATCCCCGGAAACTTCCCCTCTTCTCCCAGGACCGACAATCTATTGCACTCGAGTTGGTATCCTCTATTCCCGACCTGGTCCGGGTCTGTCTGAGGTGACCAGTATACAGACATGCGCTCCATCCCCCTCAGTCCTACCCGCCATGCAAAGTGGAGATAAAGCAGACCTCATCGCCATCTTGCAGCTGGTAGTCCAGCTCCCCTTCGAGTTCCCAGTCTGCATCGTTGATCAGTACGAGGATACCTGGTCGGCTATTGCATCGCAAAGCGTCGGGATGAGGGAGAGACAAGGGTCCGTGATGAGCGATTGGGAAATGCGTCTGTTGTTGTGATGTTGAGCATTCTGTAACTCACATTCCTTGTCCATCCGAATCAATGAAGAGCTCTGCGCGCTCTACGATCATCTCTTCCTTTATGTACCGCACAAGGGAGCGCATATCTGCAGGCCTGCCTTGTCCGTCTTGCCCTGCTCCTCCTCCTGCTTCCGCTGCTGTCCCATCTACAGCCGCTATTTTCTCGGAGTGGGATGTGGTAGGAGCGGTTATGCTTGGTGAGGGGACTTTTCCGCTGCTGTTGCTAGAGGAGGAGGAGACGCGGGCGGGGAGCTGTATGGTGTGTGACTTTGCTCGTGGAGGAGCTAGGAGCAGCTCTGTGCCGCCGCTGAGAAAAGGGAAGAGGAAAGGCGAAGAGGCATATGAGCATGACTCTTTCCAGATGAGCTCTGGGGCAATCAAGAAGGCGAAGTAGTCGCAGCAACGCCTGAAGGACACTTGTCGCTTGCGGTTCGACTGGCCTAGTTATGCCATGCCATTGTTTCAGCTGCGCTGCGATGCTCACCCGAATTCGAGCTTGATGGTTAGGGCAGCTGCTGCGGAAGAGGACGAGGATGGAGCTCCGTTCATGACTGTATGCTCTGCTCTGCTCCAAAGTGCTCTGTAGTCGATGTTAGATTGAAAATGTACGACGTCGTCTTGGCTGGGACACGGAACGGAGCCTTGGGCTTTGGAAAAATGCCTGGAGTGTGTGCTTTGCGGAAAGAGGCAGAGGTGAATGGCAGCTGCGCGGGGGGGAGACCGAGGGTGGGTGGTGCCCTGTGCGTGGGCCGAGGCTGCATGAGCCAAGCAACCAAAGGGCGTCTGAGGCCGAATGGCCCGACGCACCCTGGCTGACCACTTCCAGCTTCACTCACCCAGACGCCGTGGATCCACGTCGTACGTACGACTCTTTGTCATTCCCAGCCATCTCATCACGCCCGTCATACTCGAGCAGATCAGTGCTACCTGCACCTGTCCTCGACTACCTCAGCTGCCACTGCCATCAAAGCTCGCACACTCGAGCTCACCCACCTCCACTCGAAGCACCTTCACCCCTGCGTCCGCCACCTTTCTGGTTCCTAAGGCAATTCTCAGAGAGGGCACTTGCTCTCGCCTACCTCAGGCGCCGGCATATACACCAATCCACTACATAGGCAGCAGCTATCATGGAGCCACGCGAGCCACTCTGGCAAGAGGTGTCCGAGGACTCTGACTCTTCAGAGAACCGCTTGGCAATGGCAGATGCACTGGAAGAGCTGGCGGAACAGGTGGAAGCCCAAGATAGACCCATGTTCGACCTCGACGATGATGATGATGATGACGATGATGATGACGAATACGAGGATATAGAAGACCTTGAAGAAGAGGAGTACGAAGACGATGATGATGATGAAGAGCTTGATGCAGAGGAGATCATGCAAGAGATTGATCTAGACGATGATGACGAGGGGCTGGGTGGATCAGGGGACGAGGAGGACGAGGACGAGGATGAAGGAGAAGGCGTACAGGCGTCATTGGCAGGTGAGTCAGGGTGTGGCTGGGGAAGCAGATTGCATGCTTGAGCTCACCACGGTCACCTTACATCTTTCCTCACCCCTCCCAGACATCATCACAGCAGCGCTCTCGTCAAACGATGAGAATGCAGCAGAGGGCGACAGCCAACAAGCTCGACTATCGCGGATCATTCGATCCATGGGTTTGACTGGCATCCGTCAATTGCTCGCACAGGGAGGTCTCACACTACGGACACAGGCCGCCGATGATGAGGACGAGGATGATGAGGACCATGTGAGTCCAGGCAGAGGGAGGGCAGGCCACAAAACCCCTTATTCTCACACGTACTGACTTCGCCCATCTCACAGTGGTATGGCACTGGCACGACGCACAGAGCAGGCATGGCTGACTTCTGGGACCCGGTCAAGGAGCCAGTCCAGGCTGGGCAGGAGCTGCATCTTGGTGGCGAGTTCGGCAAAGTGAGTTCGCCTAGCAGACGACTGCACGCTGCCTGTCTAGGTCTGAAATCTTCGCCTCTTTCCTCGCGCCAACTCTCCAGACACCGAAAAGGCCCTTTGGCAGTCCTCCTTCGGCCTTTGACCCAGGCCGTAATCTTGTCGACAGGATATCACAGAGAAGGACATCCCTCCATCGCATAGCCAAGACAGAGATGGACGATATCGTACCCAATTCTACCGGAACAGAAGTGGCTCGTTATCCTGCGAGAGTGTATTGTGGACAGTACTCGGAAGACTCTTCGTTCTTCTATACATGCTCGCAAGACTTCAAAGTACATGTGAGTAAGGCTTGGGCGTCCTGGTGACTCTCGCATACGGCTCTTCGAGCTCACTCATGATTCTTCCCACCTCGCGCAGATGTACGATACTACCGCCGCCTCGTCGCGCCGTGTGCTTGAGATGCGAGAAAGGCCGGAAATGCGCCGAAGTCGCTACTACCACTCGTATGGCACTACTCAGTACACGTCTCTCAAACCAATCAAGACCATCCAGGGCAGAATGGGCAACTGGACCATTACCGACGCCAATCTCTCGCCAGACAACCAATGGATGATCTACTCGTCCATTACGCCCACAGTGCATCTTGTGTCTACAAGAGCAGAAGCCCAAGGCGGTCAAGATCTGAGTGACAAGCAAGTCGCACTGGACTTTGGCAGCGGGGACGACGACGGAGGGGTGAGATATCGTAGCGGGGTGAGAGAGATGCAGCCATGTAGCAAAGGGCGCAGAACCTGAGTGTGTTGCTGACCGTTCCGCCCCTCTCTTTGTCATGCCTGCTTCCCCACAGATCTGGTCAATCAGGTTCTCAGGAGACTCGAGGGAGATTGTAGCCGGAGCTCACTTTGGTGACATTTACGTCTAGTAAGTAAGAAGCAGAGAAAAGCGCAGGTGAAAGACGTAGCTCATAGTGACCTGTCTGTTCCGTCTGTAGCGACATCGAGGCACGTCGGCGAGTCCTCAGGGTCTCAGGCCACAGCGACGATGTCAATGGTGTAGCCTTTGCCGACTCTGCCTCTTCCAACGTGCTTATCTCCGGTTCAGACGACTCCTATGTCAAAGTCTGGGATCGTCGCTCCTTGTCTGGTGGTAAGCCAGCAGGAGTCTTGCCGGGCCACACGGAGGGGATCACCTACGTTGCGCCAAAGGGGGATGGAAGGTACTGCATCTCCAATGGAAAGGACCAATCGCTGAAGCTGTGGGATCTGCGCAACATGAGGAGCTCGACAGAGTTCGAGTCAATGAGGAGAAGAGGTGAGTAGTCGGCATTCTCTAGCTGCCCATCCTCGTCACAGTCAAATCATCTAAACTCAGCAACCTCCCTCCCCTCCCTCTCACCTCCAGATTACGGCCTCCGCAATTGGGACTACCGTAACATGTACTACCGCAAACCCCGCTTCGACTCTCATCCAGAGGACTGCTCCGTGATGACCTATCGTGGGCACGCCGTCCTCAAGACTCTTATCCGTTGTCACTTTTCCCCCTCTGCCACAACGGGACAAAAGTACATCTATTCGGGAAGCGCAGATGGACGTATTCATATCTGGTCCTTGGATGGAAAAGTGGTAAAGGTCCTCGATAGGAGTAAAGCCAGGGGACTATTTGAGAGTGCGGATCAGGCGGCAGATCCAAGTGCACCCGAGTGGACTTCGGCCGAGGATACAGCTGCTGCAACGACTGCTGGCGCTTCGGAAGGCACACCACGTCGAGCGGGTCTACGAGCTCGTCCTGCCACCACTACCTCCTCCGGCGGTGGTGGTGGTGGAGGAGGATATGCAACTACAGTTCGTGACGTCTCTTGGCATTCTTCAGAGGCGTCCATCATGAGTACTGCTTGGGATGGAAGTGATGGACAAAGTGGAAGTATTGCCAAACACGAGTGGAAACCCTTTGGAAAGGGGACGAGCTTGGAGGATGCTTTTGCCAGGCAGAGGGAGGAGGGGGAGGAGGTGTAAGGAGTGCAAGGAAAGGAGTGAGAAGGAGGGAGGCAGAGGACGCTCGTCTCGGTCTTTTCGATTTGTAAGGCGTATAGCTGTTGCTGCTCCAAGATTCAAGCACGCTCGCCTGTCCTGTCCTGTCCTGTCCTGTCCTGTCCTGTCCTGTCCTGTCCTGTCCTGTACAAACAATTCTACAATTCAAGCCAGCCCGCCCCACGCCGCAAGAGCAGAGCAGAGCAGAGCAAGACGATGGTTTGTTGTCAATGGTGATATTCAATGTTTACTTTTTCTTTTTTTCGATTCAAAAGAAAGATCAAAAACAAGTTGTGAGGGGACAAAAAAAGGGAGACTCTGCAGCCCTCGTCTCCCCTTCTTTCTCCTCTTTGTCCGCTGCGTACCGCTCTGTACCGCTCCCGCTCCATCTTCTCTACTTCTGCTTCCCTACTCCAGCTCTTGCTCTGGCTCCTGCTCCAGCTCAGACTCTTGCTCCAGTAGATGATTCAAATGCAAGGACGCTTCTCGCCCTCTTATGCGGAAACGTTTTGCGCGGCGCCATGCCTATGGAGCGTTCGATCTCATGCTGTGCTCATCTAGAGCATGAAGCTAGTTCGGGCAAAGGATAAAAAGAAAAGAAAGTCATAAGCGTCAGTCTCGCGTGTCCGCATACTCCACCAGCACAATCTCCTCTCAGCTCGCACTCGCACTCACCTCAGCGGGTTCTCCAAAGCCCTCTTGAGTGCATCACACCACTTTGCTCCTGTAGCCCCATCCACAACACGGTGGTCAAAGGAAGCCGTTGCGCTCATGACCTGTGCTGTCCTGAAACCCTTTTCACTCTCTACATCGGGTACAAGCACAGATCGAGTGGTTCCAATGGCCAAGATGGCCGCCTGAGGTGGGTTGATGATCGCAGAGAACCAAGTAGTGCCGAACATGCCCATGTTGGAAATGGTGAAAGAGCCGCCTTGGTACTGCTCGGACTTGAGCTTGCCGTCGCGCGCTAGGCGGGCAAGGGACTTGGTCTCCGAGGAGATCTCGGTCAGACCGCGGTGGCCAACGTCGCGGACGATGGGGGTGATGAGACCAGTGGGGGTGGAGACGGCAATGGAGATGTCCGATGCGTTGAACCTGGTGCACGCAAAGCGATGTGGGAGGAAAATATGTCAGCATGCTCTTCTTTTTCCTCCCTTCCCGCTCGCTCGGGCCACTACCGCCGCACTCACTGCCTGATGCTGTCTCCCATCCAACCAGCACGAACGTCCGGCACCTCATCCAGCGCGACACCAACAGCCTTGGTGATAAAGTCTCCCACGGACAGCTTTGCCTCCTTTGCCTTCTTTGGGTCATCCTTGAACCTCTTTGCCGAGGCGTCATTGAAGACCTGCCTCAGCCTCAGGACCTTGTCCATCTCAATGTCAATCGAGACGTAGTAGTGAGGGATGGTGCTCTTGCTCTCGGTCAGACGAGAAGCAATGACCTTTCTCATGCCAGACACGGGCACGTCGGTGTAAGGAGTGGAAGAGGGAGCAGCAGAGGGAGCGGCTGCCGATGCAGGGGCGGCCTGGCCAGACGAGGCGGAGGGGGAAGGAGCCGAGGTAGAGGGGGATGCTGCTTGTTGCGATGGCTTGTAGTTCTCCACGTCGACCTTGATGATTCGGCCGTTGGGTCCGCTACCCTTGATGTCGCCCAGAGGAATGCCTTTTTCACCAGCGATCTTTCGGGCAATGGGAGAGGCAAAGATGCGCTCGCCCTCTTTCCTCGAGGGAGCCTGCGACGAGGAAGACGAAGACTCCTGCTTGGGCTCCTCCTGCTGAGGCTTGCTCTCCTTCTCCTCACTCTTCTGCTCTGGCTCATTGTCACGCTTCTCCTCCTTGGGGTTGGAAGCGTCCTTTCCGGTGTTGCCTCCCTCGTTTTCGGCCTCGGCGGCGAGCTTGTCAGCACCAGAGATGTCATCTCCCTCCTCACCAATGATGGCAATGACCTTTGCGACGGGAACGTTCTTGCTTCCGTCACCAACGATGATCTTGGCCATGACACCGTCATCTTGAGCCTCTACATCCATGGTAGCCTTGTCAGTCTCGATTTCCAGAAGAACGTCGCCAGAGGAGAAGGTCTCTCCCTCCTTCTTCTTCCACTGGGCGATTCCTCCCTCGGTCATGGTGGGGGACATGGCTGGCATGGTGAACTTTTGCAGGGCGAGGGAAGCGGGCGAGGCGTGCAGGTCTGAGGAAGGGGAAAGGGAGAGTGGGGGGGGCGAGAAGGTCAGGGAGCAAGGTCAGCCGTGGAAGTTCGTCAAGGCGAGTGAGGCGTGGATCGGCCCTGGTGGCATGTTACAACACTTACTTCTCCTGAGCACTGCGCTCCTCATCAGAGGTGCGGCGGCGGCGACCTTTGTAGAAGCAGTCGCGCCGGACGAGGAAGCAACCCTTCCCATTCGGAGGAAGGAAGACATGGCGGGCGGGAAGAGGGGAGGCGGGAAGTGGTAGAAAGGGTATGTATGAAGGGTATGCGATAGGAAGACCAGATGGAATAAGCACACACGCTACACTCGAGTGTGTGGTGATTTCTGGTAACAGGAGGAGAGAAGGGGGGGTGATACGTGCGTACAGGAAGAAGGAGTGGGTAGGGGAAGGGTGAGCGACGACGGGAGGAACAGCCAATCTCTCGTGTGTGTGTCTAGGCTGAACAACTACTTTGGCCCTTTGACTGCTGCTGCTGCTGCCTGCTTTGCTTCGCTTCCTCTCTCCGCCCCGCCCCGACGTCTGGCCCTCTGCCTTCCCCTTTCCGCCCCGCGCCAGGCCCGCCTTTTGGGGCCAAGGCCACTTCTAGTTGGGCGCCGGGCGGAGAGTCAATGGGCAGCAAAAACCAACTCCTCGAACCCAACAAGTCTCCGTTGCCTGTCCCGCTCCGACCCGACGCACAGAAGCAGACGCACACACGCAGACACGCAGACACAGCAGGGAAAGCAAGGTGGGAGGATGGTGTGTGTTGTATTTTAGTGGCGGTGATGATGGTAGTATCGACTACGTTGATGATGAAAAGAATGTGGTGCAATGATGAAGATGAGAGAGAAGGAGCATCTACTCCCACCCTAACCACCAGTGATGGCCTGCACTGCAGCACCACTAGCAAGCTTCGACCCGCCTCCTACCCAGACGACTCAGCATGTTCTGCCCTGCACTTGAACGCTCTCCAGTCGATGGCGGAACCGATACAGCTGACCCCTCGACGGAAGGACGACGAGGCAAGCTCGATGGAGGAGGGATCCGTCGAGAGTTCCTTCGACCAGGTGGCACGTACTTGCCTGCATCACTGGCAACGGGCAAGGGTGCCGTCGGCGGCGGTGGAGGTGGACTCTTCAGGTTCCGTCGAGAGGGCATCGTAGGGCCAGCCGACTGAGGTGTGGGTCGCCTAGGCAAGCCATGCGGAGCAAAGTCGACGAGCCGGCTGGGCGTCATGTTGACCGTAGCTGGCGCACTCCTTGGTACCGAGGAGGGCGGAGGCATCGCCATTCCTCGCATCGGCATTGTCCCGACTCCAGGCCCACCCAGACCTGCTGCAGCGTTGGGCGGCAGAGGTGTCCCTGGTGAGCCAGGCCATCCCATCCCAATGACTTTTCCACTGCCATTGCTGGCACTACCCCTCCTGCCCATCATGTTCCCCTCCCTCTCTGCAGCCAGTCGCATCGCCGCAAAAGCAGCCATGACCTGCTCTTGACTCTGTTTGATCAGTGCCTGAGTAGCTGCCCTCTCTCTATCCCTCTCCTCCATCATCTGCTGACGACCTGGAGCTAGCTCAAATGGCGGTGGAGCGAGCATGTCCAGATCATCCCTGGTCCGACGGAACTTGACGGCGTGAACGGGGTTGCCAGCGTTCTGTAAGATGTAGCCCATCAACGGCGAAGGAGGTTGCTGTCCCGGTGTTGGTGGTGTGATCATTACCGACACTTGACCGAATTGCCACCATTTGCCGCTGAGAGATGGAGTCGGACAGCTTGTCACTCTTGCTTGGCCAGGAGCCGGCGTATGATGGGTGACAGGGCCAGGGCTACTCACGCCAGTCCGAAGTGGCGGGCGAGTCTGTGCATTTGTAGACGATCCTGCTGCTTCGGCGACACGTGATTGAATCTGTTGCAGAGACGGTAATGTACGATGGCCTCGACGATGGGACAGGGCCTTCATTCGACCAGATGCAGATCGAGTAGGGGACCGAGGCTGCCGGTCGTCGCTCTGCGAAGTCTCATTCTTGCCTCGATTGCTGAGGGCAGCAAATAGCCTGCTGGAAGCTGCAGACCGTTCGGCCGTCTGCTGAACACTCTCATTCGAAGAGTGAGAAGATGCCGAGCCCTCTTCGTCCGACGAGTCTTGCTCCAGCTCGATGTTGATGGCAGTATGGCCCACTTTGCTGCCTCGTCGAGAAGGCTTGACCATCTCATTGTCCTTGATCGACTCGGGCTCAGACTCTTCAGTGTCATCGCTGTCGAAGCCAGTAGTGGCAGAGGCTTGTCTGACATGCCATTCCTGGATTGCGGCAGCCATGGCAGCATGTTGTCGCGAGAAAGCAGGAGCCGAGCGAGGGATGTGTTGACGGCTGGAAGACGCGCCTTCGCCCAAAGATGGTGCCGAGGAAGACTCTCGCATAAAGGTAGTCGAAGCTATGCGATTCGATGGGCCGTTGCGACCCGTGACCGAGCCCCTCCTTGACGTCGAGACAGAAGGAGGGTCATCTGGTTCGCTCAGATCGCCGCCATCGTCATCGTGAATACCTAAGCCCTGTGGCAGTGACAGACTCTGCGGAATGAAGGTAGCATATTCGGAGACACCGGATAGTGGGCGTCGTCGTACACTGCCTTCGTCATCCGTATCCGATTCACTACCGCCTCCCTCTGACTGTGAGCCCTCAGTGCTCGAAGGGCTATCAGAGAAGGAGGGCTCGCTTCCCTGTCGCTGCTGCTGTTCTGCAAGCTGGTAGTCTGCCCAGACGATTCCTACCTGTGAGGCCTCTGTATCCTTCGGGACATCTGGAGAGTTGGCGAAAGATGAGATGGCGTCTTGATGCTGAAGAGTAGTAGGGAAAGCCATGATGATTGTGACCGGAGCTGAAGGATCTGATGCGTATGAGAGCTAGCGTGTTAGATCCGTTGCTTGGTCGAAGATCTACCTGCGACTCTGGTGCTCTCGTGACTCACGTATGCTCGAGTTCAAGTTCCAGGAGTAGCTCTATGATGTTGCCTAAATATTGCTGACAGGGTGGGATGGTGAGCTACTGGACTTTGATGTCCAGGGGCAATGCGGGCTACTCTTAGCTTGGACAGCTGATTTCAAGTACGAGCAAGCCGAGCGTGTCTGACGTGTTAGAATGAGCAATCCGAGCAATTGCAGCCGAGCAGTGTGAAGGAGGTTGGGGCCAGCCCGTAGTGGTGTCTAGGTACGGAGCTGAAAGGACAAGGTAGGCAAGCAGGTGAGATGTACTAGCAAGCTTAAGAAAGGGAAAGGGTGGCCAAGAGGGGTGCTGAGGTGGGGGGAGAAATGCGGGGTAAAGAAAGCAACGGACTCTATAGAAATACCCAATCGACTAGCGAGACCAGCAAGCTAGCAATGTAGGGTGAAAAGGAAGTAAAGGCGGGTGGGAACGAAAGGAAAAGAAAGGGCAGGGACCGAGAATAGGGAAGAGGGTAAGGGGACGGGAAGGGGAGGGGGAAAAGAGAAGCGAAGTATCGGGCCGAGGCGAGCGAGGCACAGTGGGATCCTCGCGTGGGCGTGGGCGCAACTACTTTGTTCGTTATGCGTACGGCGAGAGGGATTCGCTTGACACCCCCGGTTCAGTCGGCGCTTGCTCTTCGTACCTTCGCTTCTAACACCGACGTCAGCTTTCGTCGCCGAGGGACGCCGCCGGGATAGAGGTCCTTTGCCTGGCCTCGAGGAGAGAGAGCAGAAGGTGGTGTTGGGCGAAAGGTAAAGCTGGGTGGTAGACGTTGAAGGACCTGCAGTTCGGAGCTTGTTGCGGGGAAGTGGGCCGGAAGCGCGACGAGGCACCAGAGCAGAGCAGAGGCGACAGTGGAGGCGCGTCTCGTTCTGTTTGTCGAGGCAGTTGGATGTTCGAAGGTGCAGCACTGCGTCGACTCTGCTCGCACACCTGGTCGCTTCAAAGAGGATGAAGTGGGCGTGCAGGAGGCTTGGAGCACTTTCCAAAGGATAGGATACGTCGATATTGCGGCGTTGGCTGCGCCAAGACAGAGATCCCTACAAACAAACAGCCCGGCGTCTGGTGATTCGACTGGGCGGAGGTGAAGCGCGGAGGTCTCAGTATCCGAAGGTGTAGCCGTTGGTCAAGGGAACCTCTAAGGGTAGGGGGAGGACGGTCGAGCCAGCTCGCCCAGGCCCGTGGAGGTCGACTTATATACACCGCCCTACGGTGGAGAGCCAGAGCCGTGATGCCAAACCACAAACGAACGGTGGCGGTCACGAGAGATGGGTAGGGGAGAGGCAGCGTTCGCAAACTTGCCCTGACGGGTCGAGGGGGAAGTTCGTTTGGGCAAAAGCAATGCGGCCAGGCTTGCCTTTACTTCTGATTGGCAGCCTCTGCATGTGTTGCTCGCAGGCAAAAGCGATGCGCAGGGGCACTGTCGCCGAAGGCCGAGACCGGAGCGACGATCGCCTCATCGTTTGCCTCACCCTGCGTTTGCTGTATTGCTCCCTTGCTGCTGCACTTTCAGGTACCGGGTCTGACGTAGCCGACATGACCCATCAGTCAACCAGCGCAATCCGTACCACAAGATCAGCCATCTCACATCCGAATGCGGCCTTCTCTCTACTCGAGCTAATCGATGAGATGGTGTGTTTGTTAGTCAGGCACGACGAGTGAAGAAACCAGAAAGACAAGAACAGAGGTACAGAAAAGGGGAAGATAGGGTGGGGATGAGACGGGGCGTGAATGGCTGGAGGCGACGTGGCGTGACTAGTGACTGTGGGCAAGATAGGCTCTGGGTAAGGTGGGGGATCGTCCACAGAGCGGATAGCGGGGTGAAAGCTGGAAGGGGAAAAGAAAGCTAGAGGATGATACAGTTGTTCTTCTTGCGAGACTTCACTGGTGCAGGAGCCATCACGCAGCGAATCGCCTGCAGAGGTGGGTTGATGAAATGCAGCAATCGACAGTCAGTGACGGCTACGTGGTTCTTTTCATTCGCTCTGGTCTACTCACCTCGTCAAATACGCCCTTCAATCCCTTCTGTGTCAATGCTGAACATTCCAGATACCTTGTGGCTCCAATATCCCTCGCCATCTGGTTTCCTTGCGCGTACATGATGGGCTGCATCCTTCGTTCCCGCAGCTTGCCGACTGTCTCGGGGTCCTCGCGCAGATCGAGCTTTGTTCCGACGAGGATCATAGGAATGTTAGGCGCGTGGTGCGAGATCTCAGGCCACCACTGTTGAGCAAGAAAGAGAGGTCAGGGGTCAGTGAGGCCGCTCAGATAGATGTCTCTGCTAAGCTGCATCGCAACCTCGACTCACCTTTGTCCTGACGTTCTCGAATGAGGGCGGCGACACGAGTGAGAAGCAGATCAAGAAGACGTCTGTTTGAGGGTATGAAAGAGGGCGCAGACGATCGTAGTCTTCCTGTCCGGCAGTGTCCCACAGGCCTATAGAGATAGGGAAAATGGCGGATACTGACGTTGAGCAAGCGTTGCAAGGCTAAGGGGGCTGATGTCGTTGCGTCGCATGACACTCACCTAGACTGCAAGGCTTTCCGTCCACCATCACATTTGCCGAGTAGTTGTCAAAGACCGTCGGGATGTACTCGCCCTGCGCACGCGAAGCCGAAGACAGGGGGTGAGAATCACATCAGTACACTCCGTCTGCAATGCTGCGAGATCTCTTCACGCTTGCGACTCACGGGGAAAGCATTGGTGGTGTAGCTGATGAGCAGGCAGGTCTGCAAGGCAAAGATGGTGGAGAAGCATCAGTATCACAGCATTCCAGGGAATCTGACGAGCGTGTCACATTCGCGAATGTCCCCTATTCCTGCTGATGGCATTGGAGCTGCAGTCTACTCACCTTTCCGACAGCACCATCTCCCACCACGACACACTTGATTGTCTGCATTGCCGAACTGTTGCTTATTGACTATACGCAGATAAGGGATCAGAAGGAAGGGGTAGGGGTAGAGATGGAGTCAGCCGATGCTGTCAGGGCTGCCATGAGGTACGACGCTGGCAAAGCTTGATAGATGCGGACGGCAGAGCAAGACCATGGACCTGTGCCTGATAGCCGGCGTCACGTCTCGGAGATATCGGGATGAGGAAGCGACGAAAGGGGCGCGTCTGCCACGATGAGAGCTGCGATGGCATGCTCTGATGACATGCGCTAGCTCATAGCAGCAGACTCGCTCCATACCCGCTCCAGCATTGAGGTATGAAGGAAGGCACGCGCCAAGCTCTGTCCTCTAGAGCACGCCAGCTCCTCTTCCTCCCAGCTCCCGGGCTGCAGTAAGCCGAGCTAGCTATGCATACGTGCTGCTCCGTGCCCCCGCAGCGACTTCCAGTAGCCTGAGCGACCTGAGCGACCTTTCAAGATCGTTCCTTCGTAGCTCGTGCCACGACAGCTAGCCATCGTAGCCCCTTTCTCCGGCGCGGGAAAGGGGTAAGGGGAGCTGCAGCGCCTGCTACTCACGCTCAAAGAGGCGTCTTGCGTTGCGTGTCTCGAGGCTCGTCACTTGAAGACGAAAGAATGCAAAATGAAGAGCGAATGATCAAGTTCGAGACGAGCTCGAATGCTAAAGAGGGAAAGTGCAGTGTGTAAGATGGGGGAGATGAGAGGAGCGTGGTAGTATGGGGTGTGAGGGACGGGCGAGGGTAAAGTGGAAAGGCCGAGTGCGAGTGTCTGGTGAAGCGATTGCGAGGCGAGGCGAGGCGAGGCGAGGCGCAGGCTGAGGGACGAGGAGGGGCTGCCCAGGGAAGGAGGGGGGGTGGTTGGTTGGGGCGGAGTACCAATCTGGGCCAAGCAACAGTGCGCGACTCCTGGCACATCACACACACGCACACACACCCACGCACCACATCCGAGGGCCAAGGCGCCTGCTGGCCCGCCGCGTGGCTCTGCACGGCTGGATAGGGCGTGTCGCAGCCTCCTCACGGCTTCCAGCCTGTCTCTGCTCCCTCCCCGCCCCATTTAGGCGAGGAGTATCTTCTTATAGACACGCGCTTTGCTCGCAACATTTGGTCTTCTAGAAGGAAATCATTTCGGTAACACTGGACAAGAAATAGAACACAAATCGACGCTTGGCAGCCACTGCTCCTCACGAGGACGTCCAGCTGTCCTCTCCCTGGTATCTCACTCCCGCCTCGGACTCAACTCGACCCATCACAATGGGATCCTCACCGCGCTCGCTGAGACCCCTCTTCACCTCTTCCACGCGGTCTGCCTCGACGATCAACACCATACCTACACCGCAATTGAAGGTACGACACATCTCTTTTGTTGCCACGCGTCCATTCTTCTGCAGCCATTGGAAGACCGGGGGCAGCTCCCACTTGGAAAGGTCAATTGACACTCCCAGATGTTGCGGCAGGATACGAGGAACATTCTCTGTGAAGCCACCACCTGTGATGTGCGACAGAGCCTTGATGCCAGTAGAGTCTGGCACGCTCAGCAGTGGTAGCAGAGGCTTGACGTAGATCCGAGTAGGTGTCAGTAGGTCCTCGCCGAGCGAAGGAGCTTGACTGTTCCAAGGGCAAGCAGAGTCCAGACTCAGTCCAGCGTGTGCAACAATCTTTCGCACCAGTGAGAAGCCGTTCGAGTGAACGCCAGATGACCTGAGACCCATCAGCACGTCACCAGCTTTGATAAGGTCCATCCTGGGTAGCAGACCTTCCCTCTCCACTGCTCCCACTGCGAAGCCAGCAAGATCGTACTCGCCCGCTGCGTACATGCCTGGCATCTCTGCAGTCTCACCTCCAATGAGAGCACAGCCAGCCTGCAGACATCCCTCAGCAATTCCAGCGATGACTGAGCGCGCTAGTGGCACCTCGAGGTGTGATGTAGAGAAGTAGTCGAGGAAGTAAAGGGGCTCAGCACCTTGCACTAGAAGGTCGTTGACTGACATGGCGACCAGGTCGATTCCAACACCACCATGGCCGTGTGGGCCGACGTCGTTGGCTACCTTGAGCTTTGTTCCCACACCATCAGTACCCGAGACCAGCACGGGGTCCTTGTATCCCGTTGCCTTCAGGTCGAAGACTCCACCGAAGCCTCCTAGAGAGGCATCACATCCAGGTCGTCGTGTAGACTTAGCCAGCGGCTTGATGGCGTCTACAAGGTCATTTCCATTTGTGACCGAGACACCGGCAGAAGCGTATGTGAAGCCTTCGCCGTTGGTCTGCTTCGACTTCGACGCCAGAGCCAGAGCTCGGTGGGCAATGTCCCTCCTGAAGGTTTTGCCTTCGAAGTCCACAGCGTCAACACCCTTGTATGCCAGCTCAAGAGCTCCGAAAAGGGTAGGACCAGCGGCCGAGACGGCAATGACCCTGCCACCTGCTGTCACCAGCTCGTTCGATGATGAAAGCGAAGTTCCTGCGTGGAAGACTTTCACTCCCTCTGGCACGCTTCCCACTGTGATCTTCTTGCCCTTGGGATAGCTGCCTGGGTATCCACCGCTTGCCAAGACGATGCTGACAGCGCTGTGTCCCTTCTTGTACTTGACATCCACACTGTCCAGTCTCCTCTCAGCACAGGCTACCATGATGTCTGCCAGAGAAGCGCCCGCAGGGTCGAGCAGTTCCAGCACAGCCTCTGTCTCCGGGTCTCCGAACCTCACATTGTATTCCAGCACTTTTGGACCTTGAGGTGTGATCATGAGACCGATGAAGAGTAGACCGACGAAGGGGAAGCCATCTTTCCTCATACCAGAGATGGAAGGCTCTACTACATCACGCTCGATGGCTGCAACCACCTCGGGTGTTGCTTCTGGAGCAGGGCAGTAGGCTCCCATACCGCCAGTGTTGGGTCCTGTGTCGCCCTCGCCGATCCTCTTGTGATCCTGGCAAGCAGGGAGGGACACGTGAGAGTATCCATCTGAGAAGAGCAGGACTGAGAGCTCAGGGCCAGTCAGTCGGGACTCAATGAGCAGCGTGGAGCCGGCATCTCCAAAGATCTTCTTCTCGAGGATGTCTCGAACGGTAGACTCTGCCTCCTCCTTGGTCTCAGGAAGGATGACACCCTTGCCAGCTGCCAGACCGCTAGCCTTGAGCACAACAGCCTGAGCTCCACCCAGCGACTCGATGTAGGAAAGGCACTCGCTGATCTCGGAAGCCGAGAAGTGTTTGTAGTCAGCAGTTGGGATGCTGTGCTTGGCCATGAAGTCTTTCGAGAAGGCCTTTGAGCCCTCCATCTGAGCAGCATGAGGCGAGGGACCAAAGACTGGGATTCCGACGTCCCTGAAGGCCTGCTCCACACCATCGACCAAAGGCTGCTCGGGTCCAGGCACGACGAAGTTGACCTGCTGCTCACGAGACCACTGCACGATCTGCTTCCAGTCTCCGTTCACACCAGCAGGTACATCGATGTTCTTGCACCTCTTCGCGTCCAGAGTCGCCGTACCGCCGTTTCCTGGGGCGACGAAGATCTGCTCGACGCGTGGGGAAGCGAGGAGATGGTGGGCCAGCGCGTGCTCCCGTCCTCCGGCACCGAGAAGGAGGATTCGCAGAGCCGGAGCAGGAGGCGAGAGGGTAGAAGTAGGCATGGTGGCTCGGTGGTGGTGGTCTTCGAGATGAAGAACAAAGAGGAAGACAAGGGAGGCAGCACACGCTCCCGCTCTCAAAGTGGTGGGAGGCGTCTCGGCGTCGAGTCAAAAATTCATCTTGACGCCTGCGCGCATGCCAGGCAGCCTTGTTCCGACGCGAGGCTGCGATTGGCAGGACACCAACCGCCACATGGCCCCAGGCTATCTGTGCTGCTTTGTTCCACCACACGCGTATTGGCAAACAATGGGTATTCCACGAGACTCGGAACAAAGAGAAGAGGGAAGGATCAAGCCGCAACATCCGAAACCACCGCCAGGGTGAGGGGAGCGTCCTTCCATACACCGGGCGAAAGAAGCAGCCAAGGGAGATCTGAGGAGCACGATACTAGTACAGCGCCATCTACATCATGCCTCTCCAGTCATCATCTGTCCGCTCCAAGCTAGCCAACCTCCGTAATTCACCGCATCATCCGACTGCCCTGTCACACTGTGGTCTACCGCTGAAGTACACACAGGCATGCCCCAATTGTTGCCGAGGGCAGCAGCAGCTGTCACTGATGGCATAAAGAAAGTTTGCGAGCCATCGGACTGTTGATCGTAACGTACTGCCTCCGAGCCTGAAGTAACAGACCAGCTGGAGCTCGCAGGTGGCTGGAGGCGTGTCAGCGATGCTTGCTGCATCTCGTAAGTACGATGGGCTTGTTCGGCTCGTTGCTGCTGTTGTGGAGCGAAGGGCGGCAGCCTCGACAGACCCCCAGTAGGAGAAGGCGAGCACACCTCGACGCTGGACGGGTCGTCGCTGACTTGCAGCTGCTGGAAGTATCGACCTGCGCTTTCAGTCTTGCAGTCTGTAGCGAAGCGTCTCGAGCTTGATCGTAGCTCGTATGTCGAGTCGAATGATGTTGCTGCCGATGAGGATGAACCAGAAGGGTAAAGCCGCCCACTTATCATGGAGGACAGGCAGGAGGATGAAGAGCTTGCACCCGATACATTCCTTTGTTGAGGCATACGTCGAATCGGACGCAAGCCAGGCCGCGCTGGTGCAGGAACCTGCTCCTCTGCAAGCTCGTCCTCGCTGTCTTCCATCTTGTGGTCTCTTGTGGCTGCTGCTGCTCGTCTTCGACGTTGCTCTGCAAGGAGTTTCCTAGCGGCTCTTCGATCTTGCTTTTTCCTTTTGAGGGTCGCTTTGGCTTCGCTCACTACCTTATCCATCCAGTCGCCCACTCTCTCCTTAGAGCCCTGCTCGATCCAATCAGTGACCTTCAACAATTCTGCCTTGCAAAGCTCTGCCAGTTCCGTCTTCGTCAAACCTCGGTCCTTGACGTCATGTGCCTCGACGAGCTCCTCCAGTGAGTCATTGACCTCCTCCTCAGCGCCACGTATGTCTAGGACTTCTCCACGGATGGCTGCCACGATAGCTCGTAGCCGAGCCTTGTCACTATTGGCAAAGCGTCGAGCCCATGAGGTCCAGCCAGAGCGACGGCGAGTGTTGATGAACCAGAGTGTGGCCTGGATGGAGGGAGGGTATGGGCAAATTGACGTGTGAACAAGCAGAGGGGCAGTAACGTATGCCTTTCTCCTTTTGACGCCTTCGACTCACCTGCTCGGGTCGTAGCTGGCTTTTCCCGCTTGGAGCACGCCGATTAGTCTCTTTTGCAAGCTCTTCTTTGTCATGGTTGTTAGGGAATGGGTGATCGATGTGCTCCAACATCCATCGCCGCATAATGGCAGCGTTGAGACTTTGTTCGCTATATTTCGAAGATGATGCTACATTGAGCAAATGAAGATCTGACTGTCCGCAATCTTTACGGTCTTCATGTTGTCTATCTGGAAGCGTTACAGCGGCAGAGAGTCTGGTCTGCTTTTGCAGCAGCAGCATGACGTCGTCTGCGACGTCTTTCTGTCGTCGCAGCAGTCTCTTTTCTTGCTCAGCGAAAGAGACCGCTATCGTCCATATCGCCTGCACAGCGTTTGCCACCTGTGTCCAAGATGCTACATCGCTCATGCCATCTTGTGCGACCTGACTCAGCTTAAGACCTATAGCATCGACTCGGGAGAGAAGATGCTCTAGCTGTGCGTCATTGTCCTCGTGTCCAAGAGCTGACGACAGATCAGCCTCGATTTGCAGCAGCTGGGAGAGAGCAGATTGTGGGGTCATTGCTAATAGCGATAGTGCTTACTGGTCGATACTGTCGGCGGGAGGAAGGGAAGGTTCATCTCTGCTTTTTGTCGATGAGGGTCTGACAGGGGAGCTAACGACACGCGCAAGTGGGACAAAGGGGAAAGCGCGCGCCACAAACAGACGCCATAGCGGGAAGCTCGTTAGCGGGGTCCCGCTCTCTTCTCCCTACCATTCACGTATCAATTCTTAGTCATTCGACATGTCGCACCTCAGTCTCCTCGAAGACTACCTCTCCTGCTCTAACAGAATTCTGGATGTGCTATCCAAGGATTGCCTCTTGCCTGTACAACAGGATATGAATACTTCTACCGTAACAGTGCCGCATCTGCCGAAACAAGGTACCTTCGCTGCTGAGCTTCGGGCCCGATTACATTCGAGGGCTTTGGGCGAGACTCTCATCGAGAGCATCTGTGATCTGTATCAATCTCGATGTTGTATCTGGCAAGAGAAGATTCAGGTGGAGTGGATCAAGTCCTATACTCGGTTGGTCGGCCTTGGTGGGAAAGCTAGCACATTACGTCTCATGCAGAAGGCATGTATCGCTAATCTCTCTCGTGGCATGCAGTGTATGCAGGACGACGTCCTCAGCTTGATCGATGAGCGTATAGAGAAATATCGTATCGACAGCGAGGCAGCCGCTTCAGCCTCCTCAGGTGATCAATTTTCGGACAGCGACGACGACGACAATGCGCGGGGCCACAGCGCCGAAGCTGTTGCGATCTTGGAGGCAGCGTATGCTTACACAACAAACATCACACAAGCTGAGAAGAGACGGCTCGCACAAGCGACTGGCCTCGAGCCACGCCAAGTTGTCATCTGGTAAGTAGAATCTCCGAATCCCAAGGGAAGGCATGGGCGCCTCTCTACAGCCTCTCATACTGATACACCAATCGGTCCCCCTACCTCGTAGGTTTCAGAATCGTCGCAATCGCAAGGTGAAGTCGAGGACTGAAGCTGGTGCGCCCAGTACCGCAGTTCATACAGTCTCGCCATCGGCACATCTGGCTCGCAAGCGCAAGATGTCTTGCAACGACGCAGCAAGTCCGCGTCGCCCATCAAGTTTCGTTACGCCCGAAAAGAAGGCTCGTCTGCCGGACATGCCTCCGCCACCTATTGATCGACGCTTATTGTCTGGCAGCTCCAATGCGTCAGTAGGATCGTCGATTGATAGCCGGACCGAATCTCTGCTCAGCGGCTGGGCCGGATCAGAAAGGTACGGACAGCAACGAGCGGTCTCTTCGGAAAGCGCTGCTACATCGTACACTAGCCCATCGATCTGCAGCAGCTTTGCATCGACACTGGCGTCCGAAGAGTGTAGCTCATCGACCAGAGTGAATGCTCAAGAAGCCCGCCGCAAGCAGCCTGCGTCAGTCAGGTCCGAGCAGGAGCAAGCTTTCGCCCAACGTCTCCTTCCTTCTAGTCCTGCACATGGCCACCGAGAACCTCCTCCGGCCGAGATCGCTCACATCTTCAACGACGGACAAGAACACCTTGCTTCGTGCGGGCTCTGGGGATCTAGCAATTTCCTTTTCACCGATGACTCCGATGTCCCTCGCCTAGACTTCGACGATCTAGGACTGGAGCCCGCCGACTTCGGTAAAGAAGGATCACTACTCTTCGATTTTGCTGCCCCTCCGCCTGCTGGTGGTGCTCAACTGTGGCAGCGTGGTCCGCCAATGGTAGGAGTGCCATCTGGAACATTGCATAACCAATACCCATTCGCAGCAACGTCTACAACGACTTTGGGGTATGCCCTTGATCCAAGTGCCTCCGCGCAGGATCGCACTTCCTCAAGACCTCGTCACTTCACCGACGTCGCCGAGAGTCTTAACGAGGGCGACTTCAACCTGTTCGCTGCTCTGGCTTCTCTTCCCACATTCAAGGACATGTCGCCAGATGCAATCCTCCAATTTGCAGCCAGTGGTGGACATGATCTTTCCGTCGATGCAGAGCGAACGCGGTACGCTCAATCTCTGCCGACACTTGGCTCTTCTCCCAGCTCTTCGACCCCTCGGGAGAAGGACATTGTCACGCCTCCTTCAAGAGTGGCTGACGCCAACTCACCGGAGGACTTTGCATTTACCTTCGACTTCGCCGAACTCGGACTTGACCGTAGCTTTGCGGAAATCCGGAAGTCGTATCGCGTTGCGGACGAGGAAGCAAAGATGTACAGCATCAGCGAGGTGGAAGATGAAGAGGGCGGAGGAGCGACGTCCGGCTGGGAGACAGGACCCGAAGAGATGAAAGGCCGAGGAACCAAGAGAAGCTCGTCTGGTACCATCATATCGGAGCGTCATACTTCCTCAGAGACATCGAGCGGCCCTTGGGCCATCCCTGCGAGACCTGTAGATCTGCATGGGCAGCGGCAGGCTGGAGGAAGGTTCTTTGCTAGCTGAGATCCCCAACGATTTGCGTCATCCTCTCTCTCCTCCGGGTACATACTTGTCTCTGCTTCCGGAATCTCCCGTTATCGCTTCGTGTATCTGCCTGCTTCATTCATACCCAGTTCAATGCTTTCTGAGCCGGCTCAGGACCCATCTTGTCGTGGAGCGTATCGTGTCAGATCTCTTGCCTGAGCATCAGCAACGCCTCTATTGTCCTTGTCGCTCTATGCCACGAGACTTTCAAGGCCTATATTCAGTAGTCTGCCCGGCAGAGCGGCACAGCTAAACAAAGCCAGAGTTTGCAAAGCGAAGGGACCGTGCTGACGCCGAGGAGATCCCGGCGGACCCGAAGCGCCTGTCTCTGAAAGCGAGCGCTCCTATCTACAGCGGCAGGCGTGGCTGTGAACGAAAGATGTTCGTTGCGGCAGTCAAAGCTCTGACGTGCGGATGCTATCTCCATCTCACCCGGCGTCAGCGATCGTAGCTCGGCAGGCTCGGCGTGCCAATCATTGCATGACGTTGCAGAGAAGATTCTTCATATGGAGGGTACATCTGTCTCTCCTGTCAGCGAGGCGCACGCAGTGTTTGTTCGCAGGCGCGGCGAGAACGGCGAGGTGGGCTGGGCGCAGTGCGGTGTGCAGCAGGCAGGTGATGCGACGCGAGTGTCGGCAGCCTCGCCTCTAGACGCAGCCACGCACGACGGAAAGGGGAACACTGCTCTAGTGCCTACGTGATGTGTTACTTACCCCTGAAGTGCACTCTTCGCGAACAACCCCTGGACCTCACCTTTGCCGCCAGGCCTCACTGCCAGCCTCGAGCCCGGCCTCTTCGAGCTGCCCCCTCCTTGCCCCTTTCCCTCCTCACGGCTCCCCTACTCCTCTTCACTCGTCACCCCTCCCTCCATCTGTACGCCTCGTCATTCTCGTCTCTTCAAATCTCAGGTTCTCTCTCAAGTCTCTTACTCTAGATCTCCCGCATCATCAGTCGTAGTCTTCTTCTCTGGAGAGGAAGGAACGCGACACCTGTCTCCTGGTTCCCACTCACGATACTTTCAAGACCCCACCTCACTCATCAGACCTCCTCAAGCTCTCCACTCGCATAGATTCCCCAGCACAACTACGTACAATCTCTAATGAGGCTGCTTTCTCTTCCCGTCGTTTTCATCGCGCTTTCGACAGCCTCACAAGTCTCAGCAAACAGCCTACGCGACACAGCTGATGCAGATGGTCTCGCACGTCGCGCCCTTGCTGGGTCCTTGAGCCAGAAGGGCTTTGAGATTCGAAGGAGGTCGCTCAGGCAGCACCACGATCTCATCAGCAAGCGTGCAGATGAAGAGAATGACGATGTCGCGGCAGACAGCAGCGATTCCTCCGCTAGTGCGAGTGCCACCTCAACACGGTCAAGGACTACCAGACGATCAACCAGCACTAGGCGGACCAGCACAAGAACAAGGTCGTCGGAGTCGGCTTCTCCAGACCCAACCACATCAGTCGACGACAGTGAAGCAGGGAGCAGCAGCAGCAGTGGGAGAAGCAGCAGAAACAGCAGTACAGCTACCAGCAGCAGCACAGCAGCCCTCTCGTCCGTGACGCAGGCCGCTGCTAGCTCTTCCCGAGCCGCTGCTAAGCTGGCCGCCGCCTCGAGCGCTTCAGAAGCAAGCCTCTCATCAGCCTCTGCCGCGGCTGCCTCATCGCATTCCCTTGCCAGCGTCTCGTCGATTGCAGCAGCCAACGCCTCTTCCTCACTAGCCGAAGCATCCTCTGTTTCCTCGGCCGCTTCCGCCTCGTCCGCTTCGCTCGCATCAGCCTCGTTGGCATCAGTGGAGTCCATTGCTTCAGCATCATCCGTCGCCTCTCTTGCATCGGCATCAGCAGCTGCCTCTGCCGCTTCAGCCGCCTCGGCTGCTGCTGCCACTGCTGCCAGTGAGACTGCCCAGGACACCGCTACCGGAACCTCTCCTTCCTCGGCCTCGAGCACAGAGTTCCTTATCACCACCAGCGTTGACGGAGGCTACACTGTCATCACATCGTACCAGACCGTGGCAGCTACCGGCGGTGTGACCAATCCGCTCAAGGCAACATCGGCTTCATCGTCAGACAGTAGTCTGAGCAAGGGAGCCATTGTCGCCATTGCCGTCTCCTTGGGAACTATCATGCTCCTCGCCGTCGTCTTCACCATCATCCGCAAGCGCCGACAGGCTCTTTCCCGAGCCATCCGTCCTCTCAGCTTCGACCCTACCCCGAATTATGGGACCAGAGGCGACACTCATTCGACACACCGTGACATGACTCGTACCTCTCAGGAGAGCTGGCTAGGCGGCCGGCCCATGAGTGGCGTCTCTGAGCGCGACGCCGACATCTTGCCACCAATGACAGAGGCCAGCCATGGCAATCGAGTCGTGAGCGATGGCTACTCTGGTGGCTACACTGTCGGCGGCATCACTGCTGCAGCTCCTCAGTACGGCTACGCCGGTCAGGATGACTACGCTGGCTCTGGTGCGCACTACGATGGGTCGAATCATGCAGGATACCAAACCGCTTCCGCTCCAGGCTACGGCGCTCCTGCCTATCCTGAGGCTGTGGGAACAGAGGTCACGGGCTACGCAGACCTGCAGCGTGGTCCTTCTAGTAGCAGCGGTCACTCGCACGGCTCGTATGGGGAGCGTGCGTACGGAATGGCCTATGGTGGAACAGACCGTCCGGAAGACGACCCCTTCCAGTATCCATCGAGCTCCAGCAGAGATGCGATTGGTACGACGAGGTGGTCTGGATGATGGGCATGATGGGCAAGGGCGAGAGTGCTGACGAGTGACCGTAAATGTGTAGGGAAAGGGTGAAGAGCGCATCGGCTTCGAGCTGCTTTGCAGCACCCACCTCAGCCACCCTACACAGCGCAGCAGCTTCGAGCGAAGCCAGCTTGCAGCGCCACCGCAGCTACCGTCCTCTGCTTCTGGCGAAAGCGCCAGGCTTCTGTACATAGCCGCCTATGTCGTGTATCTGCGCCATTGACTGGCGTCGCTTCGTCTTCACTTCTCAGCTCTACTTGTTCTGCACTGGTTGGAAGAGCATCAGAGCCGAGCCCGCGTTGTATCTCGCATTGTGCATACCCCGTTTTGACTCCATTTTTCATGCCTTTTGTAATTGCACGAGAAAATGGAATCGTTATCCTCAATCTCTCTGCTTGCCTGGGTGTTGCACCCGCTATCGGTGATTTACTAATCGTGACGGGCAGTCGCCTCCTTGTGCCACCCTGGGTGTCTCGGAGCGGAAGGAGTCGGTGGCAGGCAGGCAGGCGCCCCCAGGGCTGAGGTAACTGCGCGCGGCGATTGGAGTCCACTGGCGGGCGGCTTTGCAATCGAAGCTCGGGACGCATGGGCAGAGCCAAGCGGGCGGGCGGGCTGATCAGGCTGTCTGTCAGCCAAGGCTCGCTCGCCTGTCGTCTAAGCTGGACCTCCATCGGTCCGATCGCACCTCACCCTCACCTCATCTCGTCACCTCCCCTGCGAGCGCCGAGCTATACGACTTCTCCTCACAACCGCCACCGTCTTTCCTATCAACGGCTCCACGCTCGAGTCGACTGCAAACGTTCTTATTGCCTAGTGTCATCAGCAAGTCTTCTCTAGGAGGACAGAAGTATCGCCCAAGATGCAACGCACATGTGAGTATACCTTCCGGCCTTCTCCCGCCGCCTTGCTCTCGATGTACTGACCCTCTCTTACCCTCTCTTTCCCTATCAGCAATGATCGCCCGCCGCTCGCTGGCCTCGTCCGCTTCCACCTCATCTTCGCCAGCCGTCTCGACTGTTGCGAGGAGGAGCTTCGCCACTGTTCAGGACCCACCCAAGAAGACCCATGGTGGATTAAAGGACCAGGACAGGATCTTCCAGAATGCGTACATGAGGCATGATCATCTGCTCAAGGGAGCCATGGTGAGTAGGCGCACGAAGAAGCGAAGGGGTGTAAACCCGGATCTGAGGTGGAAGGAGCGTGTTCTGACCTATCCGCTTTGCCCCGCCCTGCGCTGCATAGGCACGAGGAGACTGGCACAAGACCAAGGAGATCCTGCTCAAGGGTCACGACTGGATCATCGCCCAGATGAAGGCTTCGGGTATGCGAGGACGTGGTGGTGCTGGTTTCCCCTCTGGTCTCAAGTGGTCGTTCATGCTCAAGCCCGGATGGGAGAAGGACCCTCGCCCCCGCTACCTCGTGGTCAATGCCGATGAGGGAGAGCCCGGAACCTGCAAGGACCGAGAGATCATGCGTGGTGACCCGCACAAGCTCATTGAGGGCTGTCTCGTTGCCGGTCGAGCCATGGGAGCCAATGCTGCGTACATTTACGTCCGTGGAGAATTCTACCTCGAGGCTGCCCACCTGCAGGCTGCCATCAAGGAGGCTTACAAGGCTGGTCTGATCGGAAAGAACGCCTGTGGATCCGGCTACGACTTTGACGTCTACGTTCACAAGGGAGCTGGAGCCTACATCTGTGGAGAGGAGACTGCCCTCATCGAGTCACTGGAGGGCAAGCAGGGCAAGCCTAGGCTGAAGCCCCCCTTCCCTGCCGACCTGGGAGTCTTTGGATGCCCCACAACCGTCGCCAACGTCGAGACTGTCGCTGCTGCGCCGACCATCATGCGTCGTGGACCCGAGTGGTTCGCCTCGTTCGGAAGGGACAAGAACCAGGGAACCAAGCTCTTTGCCATTTCCGGTCACGTCAACCACCCCTGTGTCGTCGAGGAGGAGATGGGTATCCCGCTCAAGGAGCTCATTGAGCGCCACTGTGGTGGTGTTCGAGGTGGATGGGACAACCTGCTGGGTATCGTGCCAGGTGGATCATCCGTCCCCATCCTGCCTGCCAACAAGTGCGGTGACGTGCTGATGGACTTTGACTCTCTCAAGGACGCCCAGTCCTCCCTCGGCACAGGAGCCGTCATTGTCATGGACAAGTCCACCGACGTCGTCTCTGCCATTGCCCGATTCGCCAAATTCTACAAGCACGAGTCGTGTGGTCAGTGCACACCTTGTCGTGAGGGTACCACTTGGGTGGCAAACATGATGGAGCGATTCTCTCAGGGTAGGGGTAACTTGAGGGAGATTGACATGCTGCAGGAGCTCACAAAGGAGATGGAGGGACACACCATTTGTGCTCTTGCTGACGGTGAGTTGCAGTAGCGAGGAACGCGCTCATTTTCGTGCGCCATACTGACTCTACACCCTTCCAAACTTTTTCGATACTCTTCAATCCTCGTCTACCTTCACTTCTGCCTTCATTTCTGACTTGAATCTGCTTTCCCCGCCCTCAAAAACTTCAAAACGCTCTCCTGCGCTCAATTCTGGTCCGTTTGGGCTGAAAAATGCAGCGGCGGCATGGCCTGTTCAAGGGCTTCTTCGCCACTTCAGGCCGGAGGTCGAAGCTCGTCTCCAGGCGTTTCAAGACAAGAATGGCCCTGTTCTCTACGGTGGACAGCTGGCAAACGAGTGGCCCGAAGGTCTAGCAAGGCCAAGCAATCTGGCAGCTCCTCATCCAGCTGAGAGGCTACCAAACCCGCACGCTAGCGGAAACGTGTAGAGAGGACCTGGCGCTAGCTAGCCTTCCGCTCTCGAGCATCCCATTCTGTACTGTTGTCAGCCTTGACTTCTTTTCTTGAATATCATTCATGTTCCTCTTGATCTCTTCCTCATCCTCATCAGACTTTCTCGAGGGATTACGAGGCATGTGCAGTCTTTGAGTCGCTCCTTCACGCATTGTCGTACCGCTAACGCTCTTTGCTCACAAGCCTTCAGTCACACTCACCGGAAGTCACGCACACTCAAGGCGCTTCATTCATCCACGGCCGCTTCAACCGATGAGTCCACCCTCTTCGTCATCAACCCTCCCAGGCATTCTCCAGGCACCCGTCCACGAGGCAAACACGGTAGCGACCCTCGTATCCCGCCTGACGCGTCCCTTCCGATTCCTCCCGACACGCGGCTCGCATGCGCCGTTGCTCGAGCAAGGACGGCAAGTGATTGGTGATGATTACGGATCGTGGTGCCTGGCCTTCGCCCTGCCATGGGGTATAAAGACGCTCCCTCTCCCTTTTCCCCCTCCTTTCTTTTTTCTTTCCTCACCCCGCTCAGCCCACCGAAGTACAGTACCTACCGACCCACTAGGCGCCTACACAAGTAGCCAACGACCTTTCGACTGTACCACTCACAGTCATACTACGAGTACTACCACTGCTGCCGCTGCTGCACTCGGGCCATCGAAGCAACCGCCAGCGCTCACAACACCGAGCTCCTCTCAACAGCTGCTCTGAACAGCTGCTCTCAACAGCTCCTCCTCTTTCGCCCCATGCTCTGCGCCGTCAGAGTGCAATCGACTACGCAACATCCCTCCGGCTTGCTCAAAGCTGAAGACGCAGCAAGACTCAATCTATCCTCGTCTTCCCAGAGTTACCCAGACGCAAGCGAGGCGCTACTTAGTGAGTTCTGCTAGTGCGCATCGTAGCAGCAGTCGTACATTCATGTTGACTGAAGCTGTCTCTGTCGTCACTCTCCGCTCACAGGCACTTCCATCTCAAGACTTGCCTATCTAGCTCAAGACTACGGACCCTCTCACGGTGCTCGCAAAGGAAAGAGCTACTCAAGGCTCTATTTCCGATTGGACTCTCGGCTGCTCAAGACTCTGCACATGCACACGAAGCTTCACATACCTCGTCTGAGATACCAATCAAGTCGGAACGATACAGAGAAGATTAGCACGGTCTTTGCATAAGTACGACCTATGTTTTTGTCACGACACAGCAGCTCGCGCTGCCGATCGCTTTCGATTCTCTCAAGTGAAGGCTCTACGCTTCAAACAAGACTGGTCGAAAGCCGTCATCACCGGGCACGCTTCCTCCCAGAAGCAGACGATCAGACCTCGTGTCGATTTCAAGGCTCTGACAGCGGCTGTCGAACGACACCACGCCCAGAGCGACGAAGCTCGAAGGCGTATGACGGTTTTTTCAGCCTTTAGGGGACTGAAAGGATCGAGGAGGCCAGGCCAGCAAGACCTGGACGAGAGATTACTTCGACGTCTCGCCGAAGAGGGGCTTGCAGGGTTCGATGAGATGGCATATATCACGTGGCTCAGCACCACGATCGACATCTTTGAAGAAAACTTTGCAAGCCAAGACGAGCTGGATGAATTACAGGCTGCAATCGATTCGGCACAGGGCCCTCGCGACGTCGTCATCCGCGTAGGAGTTGGCAAGGCTTCCGGCGACCTGGAGCACCGGACGAATGTACGCGCTGCAGAACGATGTCTCGGACAAATCCGACCTTCGATCATGCGCCTGTACTGCATCTCGCGACGGGGCAACGACCCCAAAGCATTGCCGGCGTTGAGCGCAGTCTCAACAATAGTCACAAGCGATGAACAGCCGATACCAGCATCAATCGGCGGCCGCCGACTGCTGAAGAGGAGATGAGTAGTGCAGCCTATCAGCACCAGGCAGCACTTTCACCGTGCAAGGCATCTACCGCAACGATTCTGAGCCTGTGGTGTCCTGAGAAGCTTTGGCTGTCGCCGGATCCTGGAGGTAGCCTGAGCCTCGTGGAAGCTTTTCAGTACGATCAAGCCTTTGACTATTCGATTGTCCCCTCAAACATCGATGCGAGAATGACGCACACCAATCCTGGCAGGAGGCTCGAGGAGACGACCGCGAAGACCACAACTCCTCAGTGAACTAATGTCGAGGTTCGAGACAGCCATCTACGTCGTCTGCCTTTTCTCTGTCTGCGATCGCAATCAAGACTCAGTGCTCATCCGCATCGCAAGCCTGTACGAGGCCTCCTCGTGACCGATATTTGAACACGTGTCCACATGCCTGCTTCAAGCATGTCCTACTGATTTCGCCTCTCAAGACGACAGCCTGAAACGGACGACATGACGTCGAAGACATCTTTCTGGGTCTACCCTTCCATACTATCTTCCTCGATCTCATGCGGGGCCCCCCGAAGCCAGACGACGCCTGCCTCATCATCATCGACATCTTCTCACAGATGGTCTCCATCCACTCGATGAGCTCTTAGATCCATGATCTTACTCACACGTTCGAGGCTCTATGCTTAGGCGGTCAAAGGGGCAAAAAGGACTTATCTCCCATGACGCAGTGGATGTCGCGCAGCCTCTTTGCTGGCAGTGGATAACAATGGGCCCACATGACCACGCAACAGGTCTGCCAATGCGGTCGCTTCGCGGCAAGGGTGCCGAGCGCAACCCGCTGGTAGTCACCGTCTCGGCAAGGAAGGTGCACGGCAGGACTGCACACTACGGCTGGCGGACGGCTGTACCGTCTTCCTGGGAAGACTACAACCCCGCCGCGTGCAATGTCCTGGCAGAGCTCTGGCTCACCAATCTGTTGCGAGAGCAAGGCATACAGCCAGTCTCGCTGATTGCCGGCGTATACCGACGTATCACGCCGTCCATCGTCGACAGACTGGTCGAGAACCTCCCCGAGTACAGAAGGGAGCCCATCGCGACGGCTCTGCTGCGTGATCGTCGTCAGATGAAGTGGCGAGTCAACACGCAGAACACCGGCATGACCGTAAACTGTCTCAATGGGAGCGAGGCGGCGTGCGTCACCAGGCGCCTTCACGGCTATGTGCGAAGACGATCGAGGGACGCCACTTTATAAGCAGTACAGGCTCTAACTCGAAACTGAGGAAGGTCCCTCTCTCACTCTCGCAAGCATTGCTGCAAAGTCCTTTGCCCTACCCAAGGAGGCATACGGCTTCCATCTTGATTGTAAAAGCACTTTCGCTGTAGACGCTCCATAATACTCACAGCTTTGATACAATACGATTGCAATCTTTACATTGTGCACAGATGACTTGCAACCCATGACCGAAAGCGCAGCGCTGTTCCTATCGTCCCCACGCGCCTGTCACCAAGCCGCACTCATCCCCCCACCACCCATCCCCGCGCCCGCACCACCATAGCCGGCGAAGTCCCCCACACTGACAATACTCGCATCGCTCCTCTCGTCTGAGCTCGGACTACGACTCCCACTACCTCCTCCTGCTCCATCGTCGTCGTCACTTATAGGTGAGGCAGACGAGTCAGAAAGGTCCTCGTCGGACTCGTCTTCGTGCGTGAGGGTGGGAGCGCGAGTCTTGCCCTTGCCTTTGCCCTTGAGCTTGCCTTTTGAGCGTGGTGTACGTTGTGAGGAGCGACGAGCGATACCTTTGCGCTTTGTACCCCTCGAGGCGTCAGCATCACCTCCTCCAGCGCGGGAGCCGGGAGGTGCGCCTGTAGCGTCGCGCTGCAGGAGGTCCTCGATATCCCTATCACCGCTGTCCTGCAGAGACAAGGCAGGATCGACCTCGATGTCCTCTCCCCCTGGGCGCTGGTTGCGATGACGCTGTGAAGGCGGACGGCGCGGCGTGGTATGTGTGCTTGCTGGTCGTTGCGAGCGGGAGCGGGCAGAGCGACGCAGAGTGGCCTTGCTGGTGGGGTTGTCTTCCACGTAGAGCATGAGCTGCGAGGAGGCGAGTGATTGTAAGCGCAGGTTGTGAGATCGTGTACTCTGCTGCTGCTCACTTTCCAACCACTCACATTGATGACACCACTGTCGAGCGACTTGATCGGCAGAATGGTCGCTCCCTCTTCCGCCTCTGCACCATTCTCACCACTCCTCCCCGTCTGCCTCCTGGCCCTCAGCTCACTTCCACTCCCGTTCATCTCCTCATCGCCATCTCCATTTCTCTTCGCCTCCTCTCCTGGGAAGAACCCCTCCCGATCATCTGCCGGCACCCACATCCCCTCATCAGGTTGATTCGGGTCCTCCCCCTGCGGTCCCACCCTACACCCCTCCCTCGCAAGCACCATGATTGCAAACTCCAAATCTTCCTCATCCGGCACTCCCTCCAACCCCACCTCGCACACCGCCAGCTTCATCAGAAACCCCCTGAAGATCGCCGAGAGTTCTCGAAAAGTAACATTATCCCGTATGCTCAGATCTCGGTCTGCGCGAGGGATCGCGTGCGCTCCTTCGAGGAGGTAGGAGAGGCGGAAGACGTACCGCTCTAGGAAGACGCCCGTTGTGGCGCTCTTCAGGACTAGGAGTACCTGGGATACGCGAGAAGCGCGAACTTCGCTCCGGATTGAGGCGAGGACAGTGCTGAGGTATTCGTTCAGGCCTGGGTGACGAGAGCGATACACCGGGTGAGAGTAGAGGCGGTGCATCTTGAAGATTTCTGTGAACGGGGTGGGGGCGAAGCAGAGATGGTCAGTCCTCGGTATTCTCCGCTCCAGTGCAGTGCTCCCTCGAGCTCACCAGCAGGGTACACTCCACGTATATACAATATCGTGTGAAAGGCAGCCTCGAGAAACTGCACAATCGCATCGATCGTCTCATTGTACGTCAGCTCCGAATCCTCGATGCCATCGCGGATCCCAGCGCCGCCCGCACCGCCAGCGCCAGCAGTAGTCGATGGACCTGCAGCGGCACTCGCGGCGGCAGAGGCAGAAGTAGCTCTACCTTTACCCTTGTCCATCTTGGCGAGACTCCACTAGCAGCTTTGTATCGCGGGAAAGGCGAGGCAATATCGAAAGAGGAGTACTGAGGTGACCTGACGGAACGGTGCACAGACGCGGACGGACGGAAAGGGCTCGGATGTGCGGAAGCGGGGAATTGGTCAAGTCCGCGTGGCTGGTGATGGGCGAGACAGGCGAGTGACACGACACGCAGACAGGACCGTACTTCATGCTCCTCTTAGTAGAAGTCAGACGGATTTGCGATGCGATGATGGTAGTGAGATTGTGCGATTGCTGTCCGGAGCTTACCTCTGCTCGATGATCGACATCTATATCCATCCTCTTTCCTTCTGTACGATGCCCCCGCGTCAATCTGCCCTCTTTCCCTTCTTGCCATTACTCGCTCCAATATCCCCGTCGTCTCCTCCATCTTCCTCCCCGCTCGAAGGCCACTCTGGCTCCTCTTCTTGCTTCTTGCTAGCGAGAGAGCTGGGCGTCGTGGCTGCCTTTGCTGCTGAGGCCCGCAACGGCTCATCGTCGTCTGGGGCTTGGAAGACCAGCTCGGGTGGGGGAACAGGGGCAGACGGCCGCGACTGGGGCGCCAGACCTGCGTTGCCTGGACCTGAAGACGGTCCGCCGTTGGCGTTCGCTGAAGTAGTCGTGTTCCCACTTGCCGACCTTCCCGCCATGCGCTGGTCCAGGGCTTTGAGAGCCATTGCTCTCCTGCGCTCCGCCTCGGCCCTGGCAGTTGTCCCACTCCCTCCACTCGGCCCTCCGTCCTGTCCTCCCTCAAACTCAAGATCTCCAGGGATGTACTCGTAGTGATACCGTGGGATGATGTGGAACCGGGCAAACAGTCCATGCAGGAAAGTTGTCCCGATCCCGAGGGGCTTGTGAACGAAGGGCGGGAACCACAGGACGAATGCAAAGGTCTCGCTCCGATCGCCCCTTGTACCGTTCTCGGGGTTGTACCGGTAGAAGCGCAGGTATACCCATGAGATGAGCCAGCCGAATTGGATGAGGATGAAGGGAGAGGTGTAGCCTAAGAGGCAGGTGATGTTGGAGAAGGTGACGTAGAGCATGGGCAGATCGCGCACTCGCATGGGAGGCAGCTTGCCGCCGAGGAGGTAGACCTGATGATCTGGTATCAGCTGAGTCAGGGCAACGAGGAAGGCTACTTGCAGAGCTTCGAGGCCGTGGTATTGTGTTCCGTAGCTGTGACGGAGGTAGAGGATCGCATGAATCTGGTCAGTTCAAGTTCATCGCAAGCAGCATCATTCCTCTCCTTGCAACTCACAAGGCAACCTCACTTCCTAGGACGATGTACAACAACGTCGCCAGAACCCAGGCGATGATATTCGACCCCACCACTACGATGAGGGTGAATCTAGCGAATTCAATGGCCCCCCATATCCTCTCCAGATACCTGCCGGCCAGCGGCAGTGTGATGATGGTGACCAGAAACTCGATGAATGTGGTCTCGCATAGTCCGGAAGTGACGAGTGTCCATGGGTACCAGAAGGATACGCCTGGGACAATGACCAGCCAGGGGAAGGCAATGGCTGAGTCGGTCTTTGAGAAGCTGAAGAAGTGGACCTTCTCCTCTGTCCTGAAGACTCTCAGCAGGAATAGTGTGCCAGAGAAGAGAAGTACGAGGAGGGATAGCGACCGTGTTGCCAACGGCAGGGACAAGACAGAAGAGGTAAAGTTGATGACTGCCATGCTGCGAGTGAGGTGGGTGGGTGGAGGAAGGACAAGCTGTCACCGTCTACGTCGCCTGGTCCGCCTTCAGGCTGCTCGCAGCGGGGCTTTGCGCTGGTCCAGAGGGACAGATGGGAAGGACAAGCCGGAGGATGGCTTCCTTCGTATGAGAGCGCGTGAGACAGAGGACGAGGTGTTGGTCTGTAAGCCCAGATGGTAGGTAGAGTAGCCTCTTCGCCCTGGCGCATGTCCCGCCTGTGTGTCCAGCCAAGTTTTCCTGCGTCGCGAGTCAGGCGGGCGAGGAGCGTGGATCCATTCGCCCGCGTCGAGGCAGAGCCATTGCCGTGCGCCCGCCCGGCTGCTCGCTGCCTGCCTCGCCTTTGGCCCTCTGCCTCTGCCTTTGCTCGCTCCCGCTCTTCACCTTGGGTCAGTCGTCGTAGCCGACGCATCCAATCCTGCCATCCTCGTAATCCTCACCACATCTCACCTCAGCCATCATCACCATACTACCCTTTGCATCAACGCAACAACTCTCAAGGCGCTCTTTGCTCTACCCGGCCACCCTTCCACGTTAGCCATCCGCTTGCATCACGTCCGGCAGCGAGCCCAGAGCAGAGACTTTCGTCCACTGTCCCATCCGATATCTTCTCCTCTCTTCTCCCCCCGTCTGCATATCAGACGAGTCGGCGAGCCGTCCTCAACCAATACAGCTTGGCGCCGACCTCCGATGTTGTCGTACCCGACAACAATAGACTCATTCCTCTCATCATCCTCATCGTCGGTTCCATCTCTGTTCTCTCATCTCCACGCTCAGCCTCGATCAATTGCAGGACCGTCGCGACTATACCTCTAAGCGAACTGGATATACACGGAGACAATCCATATCGCATAGCATCCCCTGGCATTCAACTCTGACATTGCTCTTCGCGACCATGTCGAGTATCAACTCGACGGCGGAGGTCAATCTGCTCATCTATCACTACCTCAAGGAATCAGGTGAGTGGACGCGGACTAGGAGAGGAAGAGCCTCTTGGACTTATTCCAAAGGGAACATGTAGAAAGATCACGAGAGTCAGTATCGCTGACATCCACCCAAACACTTCTCGATTCGTCCATCCTCTCCTTTTATCCCGCGTCATACTCATTCACCAGACTTCCGCCATGCTTGCTTCTCATTACGACATGAGAGCAGACTGGACGAGGAACCACTCAGCAAAGAGGCAGTCGTCGAACCGGGGAGGCTATTGAAGATTCTACAAAAGGGACTCGTATACATGGCCGTCGAGGCTCATGTCAATCCCGTGAGTTGATGCAGTTGAGGTCGGCGGGAGACGGGAATTGGGATGTGGATGCAGACATTTGCGATTGTTGAGAGCAATCGTAGTCTGCATGTGACTTGCATACTTACCCGTGTATCCTTCCTCGTCCTATCCCCTCTTCCAGGACGGATCAGAGAAGGCTTGTTCGGCTCCTTTCCATCTAGTCGGTCCTCCTCACGTCTGTGATGGCAAGGCCCGGCGTCAACCCTCGGTCCAACCAGAGCCTCAGCGTCTCACACCGGAGCCGCGGCCACAGGTCGTCTCCTCTCATATCGAGGCTGCTTCGCAGACCGATCCTGTACAATCGCGGAGAGCTTCAAGCAGAGCTCCATCGCCGGTTGAGAGTCGGCCGAATGGCAAGCATACGGCTTCGAACGTAGCATCATCCTCAAAGAACAAGCTGGACGCCGAGGAGTCCGTCGAGGCGAGCACGACGAAGAGGAAGGCGTCCGCCAGCAATGGCTCGTCGAGGGAGGAGAAGCGCTCCAAAAAGGCGGCAACAGAGGAATCCGAGCCTACTGGAGTCGGCTCTTCGGCGAAGCGGCTACCAAATGGAGCAAGACATCAAGATGCGGAGGAGAAGGGGGAAGACGAGGAAGGGGATGTAACTCCTCGCTTGACAGCGACGGCTCAGAATGGCAAAGCCAGCAGTCCTTCACCGCCGAACAAGGCGAAGGGCAAGAAGGCAAGCGAAGTGACAGCGGGCGGCAAGGTCGGCAGCAAGACTGCTGGCAGCTCAAAGAAGAGCAAGAAGAAGAAGCAGAAGCGTAGCGGGACAGTCGAGAACGAGGACGATGAGGAGGCAGCCACAAGATCTGACGCTGAGGAGGTACCGACTTCTAAGAACCCTCGCAAGGTAGCTGGAGCTGCAATTGCCAGTAACTCATCTCAGCCGACAGGCCCACCTCTCACAGGCAAGGCGAAGGGCAAGGAGATCGCCAGCGACGATATCACCACTCTCGTGGGTCACTCTGCCGAAGTCTTCTCTTCTGCTTGGAACCCTACCGTTCCAGGCCTGATTGCATCGGCCGGTGGAGACGCTACTGTTCGCATCTGGGATCTGCCGGCAAAGGGCGCGTCTCCCGATGCGCCAGCTATCTGCAAGCATCTGCCTACTACTCATGCCAAGGACGTCTCTGCGCTGGAATGGAATCCTGACGGCACTCTTCTTGCTAGCGGGTCCTACGATGGTATACTCCGTCTGTGGACTCCGCAAGGTGACCTGCACCTCGTGATGTCGATGCATCAAGGACCCATCTTCAGCGTCAAGTGGAACCGTAAGGGCACTATGTTGCTCACGAGCTCAGCCGATGGAACAGCTATTGTCTGGGACCTCTCGTCCGGCAAAGTGCGCCAACAATTCCCTGTCCATTCAGACGGCGTGCTAGACGTTGACTGGCTGGTGAACAGTCGGTCTCAGGGACCCTCGAGTACCCGCAACGACATGACATTCGCTACTGCATCCGCAGACAACAGCATCAACCTCTGTCGAGTTGGAGAGACGAAGCCGATCCGGACGCTGAGAGGGCACGATGATGAGGTGAATGCGCTCAGGTTTGACGCCAGCCAGACGCTTCTCGCTAGCGCTTCTGACGACAAGACGACGAGGATATGGAGCATCGATGGCAACGTTCTGGGTGACTCGTCCTCTGAGTCTTCGTCGAGACCTAAGCGAGGTTCTGCAGGTCTGTCAAAAGGAAGAGGCGGCTCAGTAGCTCTCGATGCTTCAGCATCGATGGACGTTGACAATCGATCCGACGAAGATGACGCTGCTGCCGAGATGCGCGTCGGCTCGAGTAATTCCGGCTCCCTTGACAAGAATGGCAAAGCCATCTGTCAATTCGTCCTTACCGGTCATACAAAGGAGATCTACAATCTGCAATGGGCTCCCACAGGGCCTGGCACGGCCCAATCCACGCAGCCCCGCATGCTTGCGACGGCTTCCTTTGACAAGACCGCGCGGATCTGGAATGCCGAGGATGGGACGTGCTTGAGAGTGATAGAGGAGCACTCCGACTGCGTCTACTCAGTTTGCTGGAGTCCGGATGCTAGGTTCCTCGCAACGGGCAGTATCGACCGGAAAGTCCTGGTGAACCGGGTCAAGGACGGGGCAATCGTCAAGGCGTACGTGGCTGGCGGTCCTGTCTTCGACGTCACATGGCATGTCTCACAGCCAAATGCTAGCTCGAGCGGAGCCGCTGCTATCAAGGGCGAAGCGGCTGCCGAGGAAGGGGAGGGCAGTGATGCTGCCAAGAAGGCCAAGAGTGGAGGCGCGGCAGCTGCCAAGGGTAGTGCAGCCGCTTCGTCGTCGAATGGCAGCGCCAGTGGAGGTACACACCAGCTGGGCATTAGTCAAGCCGACAAGAGGCTCACCATTCTAGATCTTGGCCGGCTAGACGAAGAGGAGGAAGGGACCGAAGAAGGTGGCGAGCAAGCGACTCAAGGCGACAAGACGAAGATGGAGGAATGAGACGATTGGCGGTTAGGCCGCGTGGGGCTTCAACACTGCCTCTGGAACTACCTCTCCCCCCTTTTGCTGCTGGTGGAGACTCCCGAGCGGTTCCTTCATCTCACTGCCTCCTCACTCCTCCACCAACTCTCTCTCACGCCGGTCACTACGTCTTTCACCACTCGTTTCTTTCTCCTTCTTCTTCTGCTACTCCTGAGGGAGCCTAGACTTTCGACGTTCGACTTTCGACTTCTTGTCATGTACTGTACTATCAGCCTCCCGACGCTTTGAACGAAGAATGTGGTGTATGTCCAGGAAGGGGGGGTTTGGGGTCGCCGGTAGCAAAAGATCAATGCCAGAAAGGAAAAGGAAACAGGGCAAGAGAAAGAGGAAAGAGAAAGGGCTGTACTCCAATGTTGTGCTCTTAATGTTGTTGGAATTTTTTTCAAACCGTTTCAGAATTGCCACTGTCGTTGTCGTTGCTACTGATACTGCTTGTGTCGCTGCCGTCTGTATATCTGGGCACTGCATACCATTGAGGACCTCGCTACTTGGGTGTGACTCTGGGTATTGGGCGAGTAAAGGCGTCAAGGGCATGCTGGGCGGACGAGCAGCAGAGGGAAAGCGGCAGAGTCACTTGCCTCACGGAGGAGGCGCTGGACCTGGTGCATCATCGTCATCCGAATCCGAGTCGGCCATGTCCATCGCAGCTGCGCAAGGAGACGAAGCAAGGAAAACGCAGCCGTTAGTGGGATGATACGAGCGGATACGGCTCATGACTCGAGGTAGTACTCACTCTCCTCTTCCTCCTCTTCTTCCTCCTCTTCCACTTCTTGCTTCTGCCCCCCATCAGCCCCCTCAATCTTCCTCGCCTTACTCTTCGGCTCCCCCACATCCTCCTCCTCCTCCTCATCATCACTCTCCTCCTCCTCTTCCTCCTCTCCCTCCACAATCTCACCCCTCTGTCTCGCCTCTTCCCTCGCGCGCTTCTTCTCTCTACCGCGTTGGTCGGCCTGAGCGGAGGAGACGGTGACCTTGTTCTTGCTAGAGGCGGAAGGACCGGTAGAGCTGGAGCCAGAGGCGAAGAGGGAGGGGTCGAAGAGAGCCTCGGGACCTTTCTCTAGGATGATGGTAGCTTTGCTCTGAGAGTGAGCGTAGTCGATTGCCTGAGCAACAAGGGAAGAGGAGCGATAGCCGTCAGCTCCAAATGTTTTCAAGCCATCTTGTACCTTGTTTTCCAGCTAGTGCCCAACTCACAATACTCCTATCGTAGAATTCGAACCCATCCAACGCTCTCCGAGCTGCCGTCGCGCTGCTGAGATCCCGGAATACAACGAAAGCCCGCCCCCTCATCCCGTCTGTGCGCGTGGCAACAATATCAATGACTTTGCCATAGGTTGAGAAGAGGGAGTAGAGTTGCCGACGGAGCTCTGCGGGGACAGGAGGTAGATCGAGGGGCGGGAGACGAGGGAGGAAGGAAGCGTGAGCTGCGTTGCAATGGCTGCTGTTGCTCATGGACTGTATCCGCAAGGACTGCTCACCTGGCTTCTTTGTCTTTGTATTCAAATTCCGGACATAGAGCGATGTATTTGGCTGCGAGCCTGAAGACGTGGAAGCTATTGCGCTCGTCATGATGGGCGATGAGTCAGTAGAGTAGAGCGATGCGGGGTGGTTGGTGGTATGCGGGACGAGCGATGTTCGCGAGAAGGTATGCCTGTCCGCTTCACGCTGCATCGGAACGGATGCTTCCCCCTTTCTTCGGAACCGAATCTGTGGCACTCCCGACCGCGGCAGGAACGGAAGCGATTTGTCCTTACTCCTGCGGGCGGATGGATCCGCGCGCAGCAATGCGACGCCTGAGCGGCTTGGGGGGTTGGGCGCGAGTCGGGGCAGGAGCGAGTGGCAGGGAGGCAGGGCCGCCATCGAATGGAATGGCCGCCTAGGAATCTCAAATCTCATCCTACGCACCACCATCAACCTCATCCTCCTCATCTTCCTCCCCGCTACACCACCCACCCTCAACACAAGCGTGAGTATCTCTACTGGCCATACAAGAGGCACATGCTACTCGACATTAGCGGGACGTCGGGAGTCAGATAGATGGCTTGAGAGAATTGGGCAAGGGAGGAGATGCGAAGAGGGATGGCATCTTCGCGAAGAGAGGAAGATCAAGGAAGGAACAGAAGCTGGTAGACGAGGGAATGGGCAAGGGCGTTGCAAGACACTGGAAGAGTAGCCAGCATCATCAGGATGTCCCAGGGGTCATCTCGATCATGAGAAGGGACGAGCTGATCCCAGCCAAGGTGGCAGCCACTGAAGCTGAAGGGTAGCCTGCTCGGGCATGGTGGTGATGAAACTGCCAGTAGCCTCGCGAAGAGCAGATCCAACTCCATTAGCGAACTAGCGCTGCAAAGTAACATCACAAATTGCTGACCTCAGAACCTCCCCCCTTTCTCTCATTCGCGAATTACAGACCTCAATATGGCTCGAATTGGTGTTCCCAAGGACATTGCTGCCCTCTCTGCTCCCGAGGTCGGCTCGGTGAAGCTCTTCGGCAAGTGGGATGCCCAAGAGGTCGAGGTCAAGGACATCTCGCTCCAGGACTACATCTCTCTGCGAAATGCCGTCTACACCCCTCACACCGCTGGCCGATACGCCAACAAGCAGTTCCGAAAGGCCACTATGCCCATCGTTGAGCGCCTGGTCAACTCCCTGATGATGCACGGTCGCAACAACGGAAAGAAGCTCATGGCTGTCCGAATCGTCTCGCACGCCTTTGAGATCATCCACCTGCTAACGGACCTCAACCCCATCCAGGTCCTTGTGGATGCCATCATCAACACTGGACCCCGTGAGGACTCCACTCGTATCGGATCGCAGGGTACCGTCCGACGACAGGCCGTCGATGTCTCGCCTCTGCGACGTGTCAACCAGGCCATCTCTCTCCTCACCACCGGAACCCGAGAGTCGGCTTTCAGGAACGTCAAGAGTGTTGCCGAGTGCCTGGCCGACGAACTAGTGAACGCAGCCAAGGGTTCGTCGAACTCTTACGCCATCAAGAAGAAGGATGAGCTGGAGCGTGTTGCCCGATCCAACCGTTAAAGAGTGGCGTCTCCCATTGGAGAAGCTCTGCAGGCGGTATCAGGTCAATCCACAACTCTCTTTCTTCTACCTTACTCTATTGTCCCACGCCCTCTTTTGACATGGGTTCCTTGGTCTGTTCCAACAGCAGTGTCCATCACCCCTCTGTCTACACTGTACATTTACCTTCGAAGTCTAGCAGATCACGGCTACGCACTGCCCGTCGTCTTGCCTAGCTTTGTTGGACCACCTCTGATTCTCACAATCAATTCAACAGAACATCAGCATAATCCCAAAAGATGAGAATGAGAGCGTGAATTGAGGAGCTTCACTAAAGCTATGACTGTGGAAGACGCGTCAGGTAGGGTATCTTGCTTTCGTGATGCAGCGTCTGTGGAGCATGCTGGGGTGCACGGTGTGAGGTGGATCTGGAGTGAGAGACCTTCTACTGACCGACTCGGGCGTACTCCAACGAGTGCCCAGCACCTCTCCGTGCGTCTACTGATCAAGTTTCTCCCCCCGCCCAGCTTCAAGCATCAAGTCGAGCTCGCATGCTCTCGGTCAATCCAAGATCGCTTCCAATGTCAATTCCATGCGCCTGCGCCTGAGCCTGAGCATGCCAAGACCCCATTGGGCCCGTTGCCAGGTAGCGGGCGATCCACTCGTCGAGCTCGTCGCCTTCGAGGCGCTTGATGCGTAGAGACTCGACGACTACGCTGGTGCGCTCCTCGTAGGCGTAGGCCCAGATGACGTCGAGCTCTTCGAGGGAGCGGCCTTTGGTTTCGGGGAAGCATTTGTACTGTGGAGGTGAGGTGAGGAGGGTATAAGATTGAGGTGAGCTATATGACAGACACTTGGGCCACCGTCCACGCCACTTACAATGACAGGTATCTGAGCGGCACATAGGACGCCGAAGATGGCGTACATGCCCCATCCGATGTGGGCGATCCCGGGAGGGGTGACCATGACTACCATGAAGTTCGTGAGCCAATTGGTTGCCGTGGACAGACCGTTGGCCTGGATACGAATGCGCAAGGGAGTGATCTCGGCAGGCTGGAAAGCAAGATGAGGGTCACCTTTGGTGTGAGAGGCCCTTCCGCTACAGCTTCCCCATCACCTCTACTCACGTATAGCCATGTCAAACCTAGGTACGAGACACCGAAGAAGCCGACGTACAAGAAGAGGAGCAGTACCGACCAGGCTCCGCCAGCCTGAGACAGCGCAGGCGTATCGTCAATGTAGGTGCTTGTCGAGACGATGCCAGCCAAGACGAGGAATGAGAAGGTCATCCCGCCCGCGCCGAGGAAGAGGAGCTTACGACGACCCATCTTTTCGACGAGTGGAAGGGCGCAGAGTGAAGTCAGGAAGTACCACAGGCCGTTTGCAAACTGTGTTGGGTTGGTAAGAAGGCTCAGCAGGCTGTCATGTCTATCCCATCAACGCGAACTCTGCTCACCGACAAGATTCTGGCCAGCTCCGCAGCCAGGCCTAGAGACTTCTCGAAGAGCAAGCTAAGGTAGTACGTTGTCAAGTTGATGCCCGTGAGTTGCTGACCTGCCTGGGCCATGATAGCAAGGAGGGTCCGATGGAAGTTCTGCGAAGGGCCACTGGTGAAGAGCTCTCGATATCGGAAGGGTCCACCCGCTCTTTCTGCTGCCAAGTTGTTCTGCAAGATCCTCATGTCGCTTTCGACCTGAAGTGAGTCCACGTGTTGACCTGCCAGACGTGCCAGAGTGAGACGACATTCTTCCGTGTGACCTTTCATGAGCAGCCATCGAGGAGAGTCTGGCAGGAAGGGAATGCCAATCAGGACGATGCAACAGATGACAATCTGCAAGGCGATGGGTGTTCGCCATCGGGCTGAGCCTTCCGTGTAGAAGAAGATGAGATTCATGAGGTAGGATAGCGCGATGCCACCTGAGATGAGAGCACCCGAGAGCATGATGAGAAGACCTCGCATGTGTGGCTTAGCACACTCAGACTGCCAGGTCGGGATACTGGGAGAGTGGAAGCGGCAAAGGTCACTGACCCCTGTCGACAATACGCACCTCTGGCGGTGCGCCTGCGTGTACTCACCTTGCGGTTACGACACCGTTTCCGAGTCCAGCGATAATTCTGCCAACGACGAAGAGCATGTAGCTGACTGCAACGCCACCTTGAGCTATCGCCTGCAGTGTCGTGCCTACGATCACTACTAGCGTTCCCCAGAAAGCAGAGTTCCTCCTGCCCCACCCGTCCCCATACTGGAGGACGGCGATAGCACCCAGGAAGCAGCCAAGTTGATAGATGCCCACGCCAATAGCCTGAGTTCCATGAGTACCCATGCACTGGATCTCCTCGCGACACCAGGCGTTGTCAGGCTCGTAGGGTGCCATGTAGGGAATCGCTCGCTGGAAGTCCTCAAGGGTGAGGAGACCGCTGAGTACACCCTGCTCGTAGCCCCACTCGGTGAAGGACGCAGATGCGACAATCGCAAGGACGAAGTTGAGAGTATGGCCTTGCAGTGAGCCGAAGTGAGGTACTTTGAGGTCGATGGGTGGGCGACGAGCAGGCGGTGGGCCAGTGCTGTCCCCTGGCGCAGAGGTGAACCTGCTCGAGATGGTAGAGGCCCATCGACGGAGCTGTGCGGGGACAGAGGTGCTGCTGCGAGAGACGACAGGGTATGCTGCTCCCTGCGCCTTGTCTACAGAAGATGACTTGCGAGCTGTAACTCCAGAGGTGTCGGCTGCGCTGATGTCCCCGTCTTGGTGAGCGGGCTCGTGCTCTGCTACTGCGCCTTCATGTACCCCAGAGCCGGGCTGCGGCGCTTTCTTTGTAATACCCAGCGTTACGGAGCTCTTCATATTGCGAAGGACCTTCATGGCTTGTGAATCGAGTGCGTCAGACAGAGAGGCTCTGGAGTCTTTGAAGCGAAGGGTGTTGAAGCTGCGAGTGGCTCTTCGTGAGAGTGATTCGCCCAGGGAGTCAGAAGAGACAAAGGCGCCGCCAGCGCTGGCTGGAAGTGGCGTGGGGAGCATGGCTGGGAGGGCAGGATGATGGTAGGCATGGATGAGAGGATGAGGAGGAATGATCAGATGTAAAAGGGGGCGCACGGTTGGCTGAGCGCCCCTCTGTATGCTGCGCCTCGCACGTCCTTCGATTCAGGACTGAGTACAAATCGTCACCGCAACAGCAAAGGGGGAAGCGGCGGAGAAAGCCGCGGCTCTCAGGTACAGCGAGTCAAGTAGATCGGTCAGACATCCTTGGCACAAGAGAAAGAGGAACGGATCTGGGAGAGTGACATCATCATCGGGTAATGTGGTAATGTAAACGAATGTATTTGACAGCAAGATTGGTGGAATGTACAAGTAAAGACAGTGGGAGACAGCAGCACGGCAAAACAGGGCTTTTCCACAACCTACGACGAGGGGCGATAGTCGACCAGACCGGCAGTCAGGACCTGGCTATCGAGCCAGTCGCTGTCGTGAGTCTTATCGCCGTACAAAGCCGCCAGACCATCCTCAATATTCGCAAAATAAGGAGCCGAGACATCGTCATCAGCCGAAGTGTACGACCCATCACCGTCCGTAGCGGGACCTGCTACCCAGGAACCAGCTCCCGTGAGCAAGGAACGAGGCAGACCAGCACCGACAAGGTCGGCCGTGAGCGTCTTGTTGGCCTTGTTCATGGCGGTCAATAGCGAAGAGCTAGAGGTGCCCGCAGCGACTGCGGCATTGTACTTCGCTTGGGCTGCAATGAAAGTGTAGGCATCGTCGCTAGTCTGCTCCCAGTCATAAGGATCAGCAGATGACGTGCGGGCCAAATTCGACTGCACCCAGGCGGCGACATGGATGTTGACCCAGGGTCGGTAGAGGTCATCGGTGGTCAGACCTGCCAGCGACAACTGCTTGCCAGTGGCGTAGTCTAGAAGGGCGCCACAGGGCCCTACTGTATCGCTCCAAGAGTAGTTGTTGTACGAGACTCGGGCATGACCAACAAAGAGGGGCAGAAGCTGCGAACCAGACCCTGGCGACACCTGCAGCAGACCAAGGGAGGCACCAGAGTCCAGACGACCACCGCTGTACGAAGTCACATTGAAGCTAGACTCGGCATTGATATCGGCTAGCAGGTACCTCACGGCGTCCTGTGTTGCCAATTCCGGGTAGTAGCGATTGGCTGCGGACAGCACGGCGTAGGTCGTCTCCACCTTTTGTGCCTCAGTCTGTATGTCGGTGACATATGCCCACTTCATGATCTTGTTCAGATCGGCCCGGGCCTGCGTGTAGCCGTAGGAGGACGAGCCGCAAGTGGCTGTAGCAGTCGACGAAGCAGTCGTAGTGGTAGCAGTCTTGGTAGAGTTCGTCGCTGTGGTGCTGGTAGCTTTGCTCGAGCTCGCTTTCGAAGTGCTAGTGGCCTTGGTAGAGGTAGTGGTCGTAGTGCTAGTAGACTTCTTAGAGGTAGAGGAAGTGACAACGGAAGTGCTAGTCGAGCTGGAGTTCTTCTTGGCACAAGTGCCTGCAGATCTCTTCTTCTTCTTCTTGGGCTTCGCAGGAAGCTCAGTACTGGCACTTTCTGCGGGCTCGTCCCTGGCCTGGTGGCCACCTCTTCCGTAATCTGGCGTAACGGCCGCCGCCGCCGCCTTGAGGATCCGAACAGCCTCGAGCTCATTCGGAGTCGCTGCACGCTCTTCTAGCCCTCCTTGCTCGCCGTCCTCGGCCAGATCTCGTGGGTGGTATCGCACCCTACGATGATGCTCGCCGACGCTCCTCCGTGCCTTGTGACCTCCGGTCCCGTAGTTGGGCGTCACAGCCGCGGCCGCGGCCTTGAGGATTCGGACTGCCTCGAGTCTATTCGGAGCTACTGCACGCTCCTCTACTTCCATTCCTGATGACGGCAGAGTCGCAGCCATGCTCATAGAGGAGAGCGTGCACGCTACGAGCAGGGCGCAGAGGAGCATCTGCAGCTGAGTACGCATCATGTTGGAGAGCCGAGGTGTGGGGAATAGATGAAGCAAAGCCGCCAGGGCAAGGGAGCAGATGAATGATGCTTTCGTAGCAGCGAATCTATCGAGCTCGGAATAATATCAAAGGAGACCAGCTCCAAGTGATCAAGGGAAGAAGGAAACGGGGACGAAACGAAGGTGGGTTGGGAGCCGTAAGGAACGAGTCTGAAGGAGAGAATAGCGGGGGTATCGATCAAGGCCAATCTTGCTATAAAGCTCTGATCTCTACTGCGACCCGATCCCACATGGCTCTGTCCGATGACGGAGACGCATGATCGGCATAGATGTTTGCCAACCTGCCTCCGCCGGCCCTTGCGTCCGTCTCTGGTCGCCGTAACCTCGTCCGCCACAGCGGAGTGAAGCTTATTCAAGCCCAGAGCAGAGCAGCAGAAGCAGGTACGGGTCCATGGCTTGCTTCGTCTGGAGCCGAAGTGCCGAGACAAGGCATGCCCGAATAGGGAGGCGAGTGCAAGTGATGCTGCCGCAATGACCGGGATGAGATGTTCAATTGGATGTGCTGCAGAGGCTCGGAACAAAGCTGGGTGATGCAGCGGCGGACATTCAACCACAGTCGCGTGGCGCCAGGCACAGACGCCAAGCGGGGAGCCGGGTCCCACGCCACAATGGAGACCTCTCCACACTTCCGTTCCTACCCACGACTGGTCACTTCGGCATGGTAAATGATTGGCTGTCAGGGAGCATGGGCGCGCCGGGTACGCAGTGAGCAGGCCATCGTGAACGCCGAATGCTTCGCATCGTAGGTGACATCTTCTTCTCTGAGTGGAGACGCACGAAATAGATCATTGCTACGCAGTAAATCACCATGTGCGAAATGAAAACACGGATATGGCGATTCTTTCATTCGTGATGTCCCACCCTAACGACTTGGCAACCACAGCTGTTTCAAGGTTCCCCTGATGGCCGGATGTTCGTACGTCTCCTCGGTCTCCAGCTGCTCGTCCTCCGCGACCGCCTCCACCTCATCATCTTCCTCATCGCCCACATCTTCTTCCTCTTCGCCAATATCCTGCGCCCTGCTAGACCACCTCCTACCGGACCTGCTGAAGCTAGACGCAGAAGCGCGCTCCAACAGGCCAGGCAGAGAGTCGATTCCGCTATCAGAAGAGGGCTCGCGGTAGTTTGTGTACTTTGAATCGGGACGATGATAGACTGCTCGCTGGCGATTAGTGTCGGCTTTCAGTGTGGTGGTACGCTGCGAAGAGCCCTTCCGCCCCAGCCTGGCGAAAGGCGATGACCAGATCTTCTTCTGCCTGCCCAGAGCGCTTCCGCTACTGGAAGATCCACCAGCTGCGCTCGCGTTCAGCACCGGGGTGCTGACTTCCGAGGGGGTCGAGGTGCCAGTCTCAAATGCTCGGTTGCTGAATGACCAAGGCTGCTCGTCTTGCTCATCGTCCGTCGAGGAGCCCCAGTGGGCTTCGTTGCCTCCGCCAGAAGGAGGAGTCATCGCGTCACCTCTGATTGCTGCGTCCGCCTCCGTATTGAGCTTCCTCTTGCGATCGTCGGGAGTCGCTATTCCCTCTGCTACATCCCCATCTGTGAACCCTCCCCTCGCCTCCGCTGCATCAGCTAGCACAGCTCCCTCAAGAGCTTCGAAAAGCTCCAGCTTCTCAAACCTCTTGTCCAGGAATCTTCCGTACCAGACCGTTGTGGCCATAAGCGGCAGCGTCAAAACGACCATGAGCACCTGTCCGTGTACGGAGAACAGGCTCAATTGGAAGATTTGGAAGAGGAAGATGGCAAAGATCATGCGTGGGCGTGTCACACTCGTGAGTGCCTGCTGCGTCGAGCTCGGTGGCGGGTAGAAGACGTAGAGGAGCTTATACTTGAAGACAATGTACCCGATCGCGAAGTACAGGGTGGCGAAAATCGTCACGAGCGGCTTGACGATGGCGTAAACAAGGCCAAGAGTAGCGACGATGAGAGCTTGAGGGTATACTGTTCCTGCCTTGAAGATTGGCGCTGCATGCGCCTCTGCATGGTCTCGTGGAGTGCGTGCAGCGACCACGTAGATGGGCGAGATCATCAGAGTCGCCAGAGAAAGCAACTGCAGTGGCAGCACCGTCAGAGCCTGCAGGATGATGTACGACAGGGAGAAGTTCCTGGCAAGGGGAAGCGACAAGGACAGCTTGTCCAAGATCCTCATAGGATTCGCGCTGAGATCCAGAAGTACCCCGAATGCAGTCCCAGTGATGATAAAGATGAAGATGACCGAAGTCACGAGGAAGATGTGATACTTCTTCAGCACACTCATCTCGACGCCGCTCTTGGTCTTGACTCCCTGCCAGATGGACGTAGCTTCCAGCAGCATCGGCAGACCAGCGTTGAACCCAACGAGCACCAGAGACGGGAGAGATGTGCTCACCAGTGCCTCGAGACGAGGTGAGACAGACAAGATCTTCCAGACATCGGGAATGTACTTCTTGAGGAATGCTGGTGAGAGTAATGATCCCAAGAAGAGCAGGGGAGGCAAGTAGAAGAGGTAGAGCAGCGTAATGCACACGCTGATGAAAAATTGACGAAGTCGCCTCTCCCCAGTAGGAACGCCAACATTGCGCCAGATGATATCTCGACAGTCGGGTGCCATCACAGAGCGGCAAGTGGCCTCCTTCTCGAAGAAGAGAGCCTGAGCCGACACCAGCGCATCTTTGACCTCTCTGAACTCGACGAAGCCTACGCCAATTGCCTTCCAGTCTCCTTCGACCATCTTCTTGCGGACCAGGGCAACAGCAACATCCAACTTGAGGTAACGTGCTTCAAGGTCCGCAAGCAGATCTACCTTCTGTCGCGAGAAGTAGTGTAAGCGACGAGTTGGGCGCTTGTGAGCGAAGGAGGGCGGACCGTATGCCGGGTCGCTATCGATTGGGGGAACTCTGTCGTCTACCGCTGAGTTCGCGCTAGTTGACGATGGCAGCGGTGTCTCCTCGTCTTCCCTCTCCCCAAGCGCAATGGTACCATTGCCAGAATCGGCAGTCTCGACTAGCCATCCACGGGAAGGTAGCAACTCTTCACCCGCCAAGATGGCCTTGCTGCGCTCTTTGATCCTCTCTTCAATCGATGCTGGCTGCCATTCTGCGCTCATCTCCGGCCGCACCGGATTTCCAACCCATGCCACCCACGCACTCTCGAGATTGCGCAATGCCTGTTCTCGATCTCTGAGCAGCTTTCGAAGGCCCATCCCTACATCGGGCAAGACCCACGCATTGCAAGCAGACATCTGCAATGTAGTGCCAAAGTAATTCTGCAGAGCTTCTGAAGAGCGCAAGCTACGAGGCAGAGAGCGGACCAGGATTGAGCGCGATACGAGACTTGAGTGTAGGGCGTGTAGAATACGTTGTCTCTGAGCGAGGAAGGATGAGGTATGTGATGTGAGGAGGTACAAAAGTGCACCTGTAACGAAGTAGGTCGTGAAAAGATGCGTGCTGTCATAAAGAGTCGTAGCCTTGAGTGCAGGCAGTGTTGGTCCTGGCGGCACAGGAACCGGATCCTCGGGCTCTGCATGTCCTTTGAAAGCGCTAGCAAGGCGGTATAGGGCATTTCCGCCTTCCTCTCCCTTCCTCTCATCGTCCCCCGGCCTCACTCCATCAATCCAGCCATGCTCTCTGTAGTTGACCGGCATGAGGATGAGTAGCGACCAGATGCTCAGCCACAGGAAGAGATGTGTGCCGAATCGGAAGAATTTGAGGAGGTGTAGCGTATCGATAGATGATGTTGGAGGTCCAGCCAGATACGCAGTGGCAGAGTCCGAAGTATAGATTGTCGTGGCGAGCCACTCAAGTCCCATCGAGTTCAACACCCTCCCGACACGAAACTTCGACCCGTCATTCAGCCTGTGGTCATCCGCCTGCGGATCTTCACCCTGCGCCAGGACAGGTTGTCTCCCAACAGGAGCGAGATAGCTTCTCCAACCCTTGCGCTTGACCAAGAGGGAGAAGCTGACGAAGGAGGTCAGACCGAGGAGGAAGGTGAGTAGGAGCTGCTGAGAGAGCCATGGACCGGTAAAGGAGCGCGTGGTGGGCAGTCCAATGTCCGGCCTATCGCCGGGCGATTCTGACATGGCGGGCAGGCAGACCGTAGAAGGGGATTGGCAGGTCTAGGGTGATACTAAGCCATGCCACAATCGCAAGGTCAAGAAGATACGACAGACCAAGCTCAGGCCAACGGGAGGAGCTGTGAAGTGCGTCACGGTGCGGGGGCTGAGATTGAATCTGCAACGGAAGCACTGGCGGCATCTTCGTCATCTGACATTGCAGGAGACAAGCTCGTCTATGCTCAGGCACACAATCAAATATTGGACACTTCATATATCGATCGGCAGCTGTCATTGAGAACAGATTGCTTTGGCATGTTGCATAGCAAGGAAGAGGAGTTTTTTGGAGTTACAGACAAGAAGACCTATGCGAAGGTCACTATGCGAAGAATAATAAGAACAACACGTCCCCAAGATACTAGTACAATATTTGTTTGTGAGTCAGAGGACGGCTAAGGAATCAAGACGATGTCTTTCGGAGCGGTGAGTCCCCTAAAGAGCACGCTACGTCCACAATTCAGAGCGCGTCAACGGTAGCGGCACGAGCTCCAGTGTTCTGCTTCTTGTTGCCCACATTCGAGAAACGCAGAGGGTACAGGGTTCCCTCGTCATCATCGTCATCCTCTTCGGCGCCGTGCTTCCTCTTGATGCTACTACCGCCTCGGCGACTTTTGCCACTGGGCCTACTGGGCGTCTCTACGAGGCTGGGATGGTAGCGACCAGCCTTGGACGCTGACGAGTTGACATTCTCCTTGCCTCGCGGTGAGCCCTTGATCGTGCTGGTCGGACCCTCATCATCGTCATCCGCTCCCTCATCGTCTTGATCGAGGGCCGGGACTGAGGAAGAGCGACGGTGGCCGGCTTCGAAGCGAAGTGCACCAGTGAGAGGCTTGCGGATGCTCTCCGGCCAACTGGATCCGACACTGTCCCTCCGGCTGAGGAGACCACTTCCTTTCTCCCAAGGCGTGAAGCCCAGACTCATGCCCATCATGCTCGCATGCTGGAAAGGACTCGCGCCGAGACCGCCAAAGTCAAAGGCGGAGGCAGCCGTCGCGCCGCCACCTGAAGTAGATCCAGTGCGGAGAGCAGACTGGGGAGCCAGTCCGAGGGAGTGGGCGAGGTTGGGATGATGGGGCGAGGAGAAGGCGTCACGAGGTTGCGGGAAGCTTTCAAGGTCCAAACTGTCTGCCGAAGAATTATTTCCTTTGCGATGACCTCTCTTGAAGGGCGTTGGCCGCCCTACAGTTTGAGGGAACGAGTCCAGCAGACCGTGGGAAGCAGGAGTGCCACCAATGCCTCCGATGCCGTTGAGCTGCCGGCCAATGCTCTTGTGGAAGGGAGTCATGCCCGTCAAGCACAGCCCACTGTCATCGAAGCCAGACTCGCCGCTTGTAGGCTTGCGTGATCGCCGAGGCCGGTCGTTTGTGAGCGAAGTGAGCGCGGCAGATGGAAGCTTCCCCTCATCGTCCGAAGAGCCCCGCAAGGCTGACAGGCGAGAAGACTTCCTTCGATGACCAAGAATGCTGCTACCGAGTTTGACCGCGCGAGGCTCATCCTTCATCGCCGATTCACCTAGCTCGCCACTACCCTCGTCATCGCCTTTCGCTCCACCTCCAAGACTAAAGCGCGATTCGGAAATGTTTTGACCCAACAGGAGTCCATCATCCATGGTGTGCTTATTAGGGGTATCAAGCAGAGATGGGAATGCGCCTCGGAGAGAGGGATGACGAGAAGCAGAAGGCGGGCGTGTGGGTGACATCGCCAGGTCGGGTTGCGCGAGGCTGAGCACTCGTCCATGGCTGCTGATGGAGCCACGCGCCTTGCGAGCTGAAGCTAGAGGCCTGGCTGGAGCAATTGGTGAGATCTTGTGGTGGTCCAGGGAGAAAGGATTTGGGTTCGTCCCCACTGAGCCCATACTGATCGAGCGCGACATGGAGTGGCCGTGTGAAGCAGAAGTTAGGCGTGAAGGGGTTGTCAGAGGAATCTGACTGCCTGACGAGCTGCCGACGATAGCAGTAGGGCTGAATTGAACGCTCAGAGATGCATTGTGGCGCCCGCCTCTTCTGCGATCAGGTGTTCCTCCGGGAGATGGCAGATTGTTCGTCGATGCGAATGCGCCGCCCAGGCCCGAAGTGAAGGGCACTGATGACGTGACCGCAATCTGAGACTGCCTTCCGAAGGACCAGGGTATATGAGCAGCGCCTGTCTCTCCCGCAGCGGGCGCTACGAGGTTGGGCCGCTTGACACCTGCATCGCTAGCACCGCTGCCGTTAGCAAGAGCTGGCGCAGCCATCGATGCAGGCAGAGCCGCAGGTACATCGGCAGGTGGAACCGAGCTCGCGTTGATTTTCCTATCTTTCCGGCTGGATTTGATCCCGGCCTCCTTCTTCACGGTTGCTCCCCCATCTGCGGCAGGCGTCGATGTTGCACTGTCCGGGGTCATAGCGTCTTCCTCGCTCTTGACCTTTCCTTCTGACTTGTCCATTGCCCTCTTCTTCCTTGCCCATCTCCTCTTGGACTCGAGCATCCGCTCTCGTCGCTCTTCTGCATTCTTTGGTCGGTTGACGTCGGCATCCCAGCGCGTCCGCCTAGGCTGATGCGATAATGGAATACCGTGTTTGTCCTGAAGATGTCTCCTCCAGATTGACCGGGCGTGTTTGCCCTTGTATGTCTTGTCACAGTGAGTGCATGAGAAGTTGTCTCTGTCTCTGTCCATATTGCCGCCGTTGGCACTGCCGGTGCCGTCCATGGAATCCTCTTCTTCCATCCAGTCGGTCTCGGCTGACATTCTCGACGACGAATGATCGTCCATCAAGGCCCACCTCTGCTGATGGACAGCAGAAGAAGGACCAGCTTTCGCTTCCAGCAAGTGCGAGTGATGGATGTTCTGGTCTTGACCATGCTCAAGGCTCCTTGAGTGCTGCTGCTGCATCTGATGAGGTGGCACGGGACCCGCGTTCGCTTGAAACACTGGGGCGGTGGCATGATGCTGATAGAATTGCGCCTGGTTAGGGTTTTGCATATGCGAGAGGGCATGGTTGCCATTGGCAAACTGGAGCTGGGCGTACTGTTGCTGCTGCTGAAGGAGATGGGGATGGTAGTTGCCGGCTGGCGCCATGCTACTGTTTTGATACAGTTGCTGAGGGTGGGGTGCCTGATACTGCATATTGAAGTCATGCTGCTGCTGCTGTTGTTGGTGGCTATTGGGCAGCAGCATGCCGACGTACCGTGGTGCTGCCATGGCGACGAAGGGGCGGGGTGCTCGCTAGATGAGGGGGAGATGTGAAAGCTCACGTCGAGCTTGGTAATTGACCGGCTGCGTCCTTGTGCGTGATTGGCCTAGCCTGTTACGCGAAAGGGCAGTCGTACTGTCTGGCTGATCTGCAGTCGCTCGGCAGGAACGTGACGAAGGTAAGAGAGTGTGGGGGATGGCGTAGGTGAATGGGGGGTAGGATGAGTGGTGTATGAGGGTGCAAGGGGGAAGGATGGATACAAGCAGCAGCAGGCGTCGGCGGAGGGACAGTAGCGAGGGGCGCTGGTGAAACACGGGTGGCTGGAAATGGAAACACAAGGCGGGGTTGTGTTTCTCCCCCTGCGAGCAACGCTGCACCACAGGAACACGCGCCTCGGGTCGCGAGGCAACACATGGCAAACATACGGAACGGAACAAGGCGCCGACGGCGGAACGAGGCCATGCACGGAGGGCCCACAGGCACGCACCGCACGGCACAGCGTGGCCCTCTGGCGACGACGATGATGACCAGCACCATTGCTTCGCACAAAGGGTCAGTTACAGCCGTACAAAGCACCAACACTGGGCACGGAGCATCACCATCTTCGGATGTGAACCAATGCGAGCGCATCTACGTGAATGGCTCGCAGCCTACAATGGTACTTCTTCCGAGCACGACCTGCTAACGAGGAAGGCAGCAATTAAGAGTGCAAGCCCCTTGATCGTAAAGTAAAGCTGGTTGTCGTATCTGCACCAATGTACCCTTGAACGCAGCTAGTGCCTCTAAGCGAGGGAGAGGCTTCCCCGGAGATCGAGCAAAGTGATGTACACTTGTGTGAGTGCGGGCCAGCCGGGTCACTGCTTCCGATCCGTCCTTGGCGCAGCAGCGGCAGCCGCGCGCAGCCTGGCCCGCTCGCAGGGACTGGAAATATGGTCTATGGGCACGACCGCTCCCGTCTCCCTTTCCTTCTCTTCACTACCAACAGCTTTCATCTTTCCACACTATCAAAAAGTGCCAAAGTCAGTAGCAAACCTCTAGTAGAGTAATCTAGTATGCTATGATCATGTGACTGACCTTTCTCGCTCCCATTGCACCCCATCTCTGGCACCATTTCTCACTTTCTTCCAGATGAGAGCTAAGTGGAGTGAGTATAGCTCGCCTACGTGCACCAATCACATCTATAGCGAGTACTGACCTGTCGCACCTCTCCATCCTCTCTTCTCACTTCTTCAGGGAAAAAGCGTATGAGGAGACTTCGTCGTAAGAGGAGGAAGATGAGGGCTAGGTCGAAGTAGTCGAATCACGATGATAAGCCTGGACGAAGTGGGCAGCAAGTCACGAGACAGCAGCACAGGTCGAAGGGTGGATCAACGTGACTGCAGAAGGGTGCAGGATAGCTGCGCATGAGGGTGTTGTTGACGCTTCGGTGAGTACGTTGCGATTACGAGTTCCTCGACGTCTTCATGGTCTGCGCAGACGACTGACATTGTATGCTCCACCTCTCTATGCTCTCTCTCAGCAAGAGGCCGATGTCACGCTCCCATTCTCTGCTGGACTACCTTAAGACGCAGTCACTTCTGCCTCGAAGCCTCAATGCTACCTCGGGATGCGCTCTCGCAGAAGCCAAGTGAATTGATTTCGAAGTTCTTCCATCAACATCATCAACCCCAAAGTGCCCCCAGGCCATGCTCTCCCTTCTCCCCTTCATCTCTTCATACTTCTCGACACTCGGCTCTTCGCAAAGGGAGGGGCTAGCGGTCGAGTCGTCTTGTGAAGACTGCCGTTTGTTAGTTCGAGCTCACTGTAGAACCGCAATTGGTGGTTGGTTGGGCAGAATAGGGTATGACCTGGAAAGGGTGAAATAAAAACATGCAACAACACAAGAGCGATGGTGTGAAGTGTGATTGTTGCCGTGACCGAACGTAACAGACTGTGTGATGTGATTGTACAATTGCTCCCTCCCGCCATACTCCACTCAGTCGTCTCGCCTCTTCAGCTTGACTTTGAGCTTCCCCCCAGCCCCACCCTTGGGAGCAGGCGACGCAGCCGCACCTGACGGGCTCATCGCCCCGCCAGAGAAGGAAGGCGCTCTGGCATGCGTGGGCGGAAAGAAGGACGGCCCCCCTGCTCCTCCCACGCCAGGTGCTCCACCGAACATCGATCCCCCCACGGGAGTCGAGGGTATACTGCCCCCAGCTCCACCCGCAGCAGCTGGGTTGAATGTTCCCGAGTCGTGCGAGCCCAACGCAGGTCGGATCCCCAGTGGGCCCCCTCCTGCCGTCGTCGGCATCCCTGCACCGGCAGACCCAACGCCTGTACTTCCTGACCCCGGCACCTGTCCATAGAGGGGACAAGAGCGGTTGGAATTCATATGACCCACCTGTCCACATCGTCCGCACTTGCGTGAAGTGGTGGGCTTGTCCGCCATGAGCTTCTTGTAGGCTCCAGGCAGAGCCTTCCCCTCTGCAACGGCCTTGGCGTGATGTCGTGCAAGACGCCTCTCCTGGTTGCGCTTGCGAGAAGCAATTTCCTCCTCGAGCCTCTTCCTGCGCGAAGCATCCAAAGCCGCATCTCCTGTAGGCACGAGGGACTCCGTCGTCGTCTCTTCGTCGGCGATGCGCTGGCGAGAGGCAATGTACGACTGGATCACCTTGTGGTCCCTCACGATCTCAGTCTGCCAACGACCATTGACTTGACGCTTGATACGGAGGACTTTGCCCTCCTCGACGTGCTTCTTCTTGTCCGTCCTGCCCTCCTCGGCATCTTCCTCGTCCGCTTCCTCCTCTTCAGGCTCTGGCGTAGGAGCAGGATTTGCTTCTTCGTAGGTCAATTCTGGCGGCACCGGGTTGGAGAGGGCCGTCTTCTGAGCATTCCAGATTCTCTCGATCTCCTCTCGGTAAATCTGCTGCTGACGAGCGACATTGTACTTGTGACCAGAGCGCTTCTCCTCTTCTAGCTGTACGGCCAGTCGAGCCTCATCTGTATCGTCGCCCGCCTTGTAGAAGACGTCCTTCATACTGACACGCACGAAGCTGAAGCCTTCTCCTCTGCCAGTAGGGTCACCTTCACCATGCAGTCGGAGCATCGCCTTGCCTTGAGTGGCCATGAGGAAATTCTTACTTGTGATCCAGGGAGCAAGTAGTTGCTCTGTGTCAAGGCCACCTTCTCCGCTTTTGCCGCCCGTAGGATCGTCGTCGTCGTCCATGCCCTCGGCAGCGCGGGTGTAGCCAGCATCGAGGAGCTGTCTCTGCCCAGCTTGCATCGCTTCACTGAGACAGATATGCTCAGGCGGGATCAGCTTCTCGAATTCCAGATCCGTCGGAAGGGACACTCCCTGACGCAGCCTCCAGAAGCCCTGATTGGGGTCACCTGCCTTGCGAGCATACTCCATGAACTCCTTCAGCCTTTGCCTCATCTGCAGCTCACTCTGGTCCGGGAAGTACTTCATGATGCGATGGATCTTGATCCTGCTTCCTTTGCTCTGCTCGATGAGGCGCCGTGCCACCATGACGAGGCGGTTGCGAATGGCATTGGTGACGAGACGGGCGTGCGGACCCGGAATCATCGCTAGCGGATAGTTCTGTCCGACCACAAAGAGGTTCTTGATGTCTCTCAGATAGTATCGAACGTGATTCTTGGTAGTCGATCTGACGAGTAAGAAGTCCGTCGTGGCGGGCTGGTGACGGAAGAGCGGAGCGCGGACGAGATTGTTGTACAACGTAGGCTGAACCTGTCCAGGCTCCACTGAGCCAAATTTGAGGAATGGCGACTCGTCGTTCGGTTCGAGAATGAAAGGCTCACCTAGATCAGCCTTGGGTATATGTTCGTCCTTGACGTCCTTTTTGCGGTAGTAATTGACCAGAATACTGCCCATCCCGACCTTGCTCAACACGGGCGGATGCTCCTCTGAGTATTCGTAGAGAACGAAAGCACCCTGCTCCTTCAAAGTCAGCTCTCGTGTATTGCGTATGACTTCATCAACGTCTTTGCTACGCTTCTTGTCCTTCTTGCGGCTGCCATTCGTGGCACCGCCCGCCTTCTCCACACGAGAGAAAGACAGTGGAATGTTGATAGGGAACTGCAGAGCCGGACGATGGAAGGAGCGAGCTTCGACCTTGGTGAGACGAGTCTTGTAGAAGGGAAGCTGAAGCTTCCTGGCGACCTTTGTATGCTGAACGACAAGCCCGCCGAGAGTCTGTCTCTGGATGCGCTGACGCTGCTCTCTCGACAGCTCATAAAAGCCATCATTGCTCATGTTGAGCGGGTCGAGATGGAGAGCATTCTCTGCTGCTCGCCGGGACAGCATAGGCGCCGACGAGGCAAGCAGCGAGGAAGCCATCCGCTGCTTGTCGTTCTCTGGCGTGACCTCCTCGATCATCATCTCATCGTCGTTGAAGTCTAGTATCAGTCTTGTATTGAGCTCAATCTTACGAGGATCGCGGGCGTCCTCGCTTGACCAAATGATAGCATCCGTCCAGTCATCGCGATTCAGAGACCGATTGACCGGATGCTCCACAGATGGAAGTATTGGCGGTTGGAAGAACTCGTCGGTCATGATCCGGGACTCCCAATCGTCAAGCTCTGGCAGCTCCAGAGCTGATGGCGGTAGCCGAACCTTCGGCTGCGAACGCTCATCCATATCGGCAGCCCGCAACCTCGCTTCGATCTCCTCCTGCTCGATGAGATCTCCAGCGATCTCATTGATGTACCTTATCTCATCACTGGCTGCCGTCGTGAGAGGCTGTAAAGCCAGCTCTTGAGTCGAAATGGGCGGTGTTGGGCGCCCCTCTGTAGGTCGTAGCTTGACAGGCTTGCTCTGAGCCACCCTCCTCTTCTTACGTCTGGGAGCCGCAAAGAAATCGGTGAAATCCAGGACTTTCGTAGGGCTGAAGGTAGGCCAATACTCCTTGACGTCCCTCCGAGGCGGAGGAGTCGGCAGACGTAGTGAGAGCGGCGAAGACTCTCGTGATGATGTGGAAGATTGCCGCCGGCGATGAGGCGATGAAGGTCCTGGCATGGAAAGTGTAGGAGGAGCGAAGAGAGAGATATCGTCCTCTACCGGCTCTGCCTTGATGTGTGTAGTCTGGTGAGGATAGCTTGGAACGTCCGGCGACAATGGACGAGGTGCGTATGGCCGCTCGTCTTCGTCGTCAGATCCCTCCTCCTCGTCATCAAAGTCATCCGTCTCGCCCCGGACAGTAGCACGGGATCCGCCCATCGAGGCCAGACCCCTCTGGACGTAGCGATCTTGGAGAGCCCTCTGTGCCTCTTGCCGACTTCTTACCTCCTCTTCATCCTCCTTTCCCATGCGCATGAGATCATCATCATCATCGTCCTCGTACTTCTCGTTGTAGATCTGGTCCTTGCCCAGAGCTGAAGCGGCGGAAGAGGATGGCTGCTTGGGGGCGAGACCTAGACGATCCATACCTGCCTCGGAGTCGATGCCGATCTCCTGCAGCAGGTTGCCCAGGGCGAGGGAACCCAGCTGGGAGATGGCGCCCGACTCATCCTCCATCTTGTCGTCTGGGTATCGGAGGACAAGGCTGAGCGAGGGAGATGGAGTGGGACTGAGCGGTCGTGGTGGCTGAATGTGAGCCCGGCAAGTGGACTTCATATCGGCGTCCCCGCCAGACGGAAAGAGCCAGAGACGACTTGGCGCGCGGCAAAGGGCGTGGAGTGACGCTCCTGTACAGACGTACAGACAGGTGACGAAGTCCATTAGTGAAGGGAAAAGCAGCGTATAGGTACAAGTACATGATGAGGCAGGTCTCTCTTTCTCCCCCTGCCGCTGACGAGTTTCGAAGAAGCTCAATCGTCCTCGCCCCTCATATAAGCCACCACTGCATCCACCTTGTGAACTCCGGTGCTGAAGGACCTCATCTTGACCTGCTCCGCCTTGCCTTCTGCGATCAGCCGAGCGTCTGAGTCTTGCCACTCCAGAGGGACATTTGTATCTAGCCGAGTAGTATATGCGAGGATGTTGAAGGCGCCTTAGGAAGAGGATGGTTCGAGATGAACGAGTAACATGTGACGAGGTCAGTGAGAAGGAGCCAGACCTGTTGTCAGTAACCTCTCTCGCACTCAGCAATCTCTGTGACAGTCAGCTGGAACTTACAAGGCTCTTCAATGATCGGCAGGAAGGTACATGACGCAGTGATCTGCTTGATGAGAGCTGCAATCTCGGATTTCACCTGAGCATCCGTCTTCTTCGATGCCGCTGATGACTGCTGAGGTTTGCGAGCAGCGTCAGGGCTGGGAAGAGCGGAGAAGCAGGGCACAGTAAGGCAATGTCATCAGCAACACGATCACTGCCCCAACATCGCCTTGACCTCGACATGTGCTCTTGCCCTCCTCGAGGCCTCACGCAACCATGCCACCCTCGTCTTTGCGCAATCTGCTTCCAGAGCTCCTGACAGTGCGTACTCACCCGACATTCTCCTTGCCATCCGGAACATCAGTCCCAGTACCTGTCACCTCAAGGTCAAACTGCCACCTCTCCCTCGTCTCTCCGGAGTCCTTTTCCACAATCGCCACGACCAGCCTTGTGAGCTTTCCCTCTTCGATCCACCGAGTCACCTGCTGCAGACAGTCATTGAGATACTTCTCCAAGCCCGAGTCTGTTGTGACTAGCATCGGTAGACCGTACTTTTTGATCTGTCGAAAGTCCTCGTTTGGGTAGATGCCTCGTTGGTAGAGGAGGGATTGGACAGAGTAGTTGAAGAATTCCGAGACCATCGCTGTTGAACCCTTGAGGGTCAGATGCGTCTTCGATGACGTCGCGAGAGACTGAGCGGTTGCAGTCATCTTGAAAGTGAATGTGGGTATCAGTGAGGATCGTCTTGATCGATGGAAGGTGGTAAGTGGAAAGACGAGGGACCCTTCCGTGGGAGGTGTTGGACTCAGTGCGAAGCGGACTTTGAATTCCCCACGTCGCGTATCCGCACGCAATAAACACTCGCACCCGCCTAGGTCCACCCCCTCCTCATCCTCCAAACCACTCATATCAGCCATCGATGCCAGCCAATCGTCTCTCACCCCGCAAATCCAGGAGAAGCGCAGTAGGAGGAGGTGCGAGCACCATGGCGCGACCATCGAGACGTAGCACCGTCAATGGCGGCAGACGAAGCTTGCTTGCGGATCAAACGAACATAGCTCAATTCAGCCCGGCCAAGGGAGACTCTGACTCGAAAGGATCGAAGCGGACGAGCCTGCAGGGCGTGACCAGGGAGGAGAAGAGGGTAGAGGTGGCAGGAGAAGAGGCCAAAAGGTGAGACAGAGATGAGCACGCTGGGTCATTGTCACGAGGATATCTTTCTGAAATCTGGGCTTCTCCCTCTCCTAGGATCCTGTCATCACTGGACACGTCTTCTGGAGGCTACAACCTGCATAACCTAGTCAAATCTTTCGCGTCAAGACAAAAGGTCAAGACAGGGAGGACATCAGAGGAAGGAGGCGCCCATCATGGCAGCTCAGCATGGAACCCTCTAGACATTGAGTGGAGCGTCTTCCAAGATTGGCCGGAGGGACTCGAGAAGGAGGAGAGGGAGATGAAGGTGAGTGAGAGTCGCTATAGGATGATCGCGATGCTTTCAAGCTGACGCTCTTCGTGTCTCACTGCCTAAAAGCAATACTACAAGTACCTCAAGTTCATCCATCTTGAGCACGAGACCAAGATCCGCTTCATTACAGAGATCGTAGAGGACCCGGAGGCTGATCCTCCCAGGGAAGCTATCGTCTACTCTGCCCGGGACGTGAAGGAGAAGGAGGCCGAGATGTTCGCAGCCAAAGCCCAGCTCAAGCAAGGCAAGCAGATCGTCCGTGCTCTGCGAGCGGAGAACGACGCGATCGCCGCTCGAGTCTCAGTGCCCTTTATGCAGATCCAGAACGACTCAGCTGAAGCCAAGGCCCTCCTGGACGAGATCGACGACCTGGAGCTTGAGCTAGTCAAAATCAAGAGCGAGGGCGGGACGAATGGCAGCGCCGGCGTCACAGAGCTCGATGTAGAGGAGATGGACCTCGAGGCTCTACCTCCCGTCGGGTCACTGACGGAGCAAGAAGCCGTGCGCTTCATCGAGCGTCAGGAAGAGGGCATGGCTCAGCTCGAGGACGAGAACAGCAATGCAGATGAGATCATGAAGCGCTTGAGAAGCGACACAAAGGCGGCAATCAAGGCGGTGGATCGTCTGGCGAGCGAGAGCCATGTGGCTGAGAGACAAGCAAAGGAAGCTCGCGAGATGGGCGTAGGCGGCAAGAAGAGGGACAAGGAGGTCGAGAGGATTTGTGGAAAGTGAGTCACCGCTTGAAGCGCGCCATTTATCGCCTCGTCGAGAAGCTGACCGTAGTCATTCTACCCTTGAACCCTCATTCATCAGCCACATTGCCACACTAGGCCTGCTACGCTCCCTCTTCGGTCTACGAAGGATCGAGGCGCTGGAGGACAACCGTATCAGCCTGGCCTGGGTATCCGAGAAGAACGGCTGCGAGATGAGTGTGGTATTGCAGTTCGACCAGCCTGGAGGAAAGCTCGAGAGCGTAGAGGTAGGTCTCTTTGGGATGTCCGATGAGATCGCAAGTGGCACATTCTGACTCCCCCCCCCTCCCCCTCCTTCTCTGTCCCACTTGCGTCTCTCTAGCTGCACCACCCAACACAAGCAACTCCCATCCACCTCCCTCCACGCTCTCTCAAGTCCAAAGCCCGCACCGCCGGCCGACCCTCTCAAGCGCACACGGCAAGCGAGCAAGAACTTGTAGACCCTCAATTTGGCCCGCTACTCAAGGCGATCCAGGCCAACGATGTACCAGTGGTGGTGATGGAGGCATGGGACTGGGATGAAAATCTCAGGATGGGCACCGCATCTGGTGGAGTTGAGGGGGATGCTTAAAGCGGAGAGTTGCTGCTTGGGATGGATGGATGGTGCTGTGCTTGATACCCTGACTCGACTTGATTCGCTTTCCTGGCTGCTGGAGAGGACACTGCCTTTGACTCCTTTTTGTAATCTACTTGATGTCCGTTCTCCTTCTCTGACTTTACGAGTGCACACTAACTAGTCGACGGGCAGTGGAATTGTGACATTATAGGGACAAATGACAGGGAAAAGCAGGAGCCATCTCGCTCCCAACTCAGGGATGTTTTCTAGACTCACGCTCCGAGACCTCTGACGACAATGACTCCCCTGCTCTTGTCGACCTCTGCTCTCCATCCCTGCCTCGCAAGCCACTTGGCGACCGAAGGGGTCAGGATGGCCACCTGGTTGGGTGAATGTCTTCCCGCTCCAGTGATGATGGTCAGACTGCTCGTCCTACTCCTCGACGGCAGGCCCCACCAAGCATTGAGCTCAGCATTGACAATCGAGAGAGCCTCGCGGACCGTGACGCCATGCAGGTCCACGACTCCTTCCCTCGCTCCACCACGACCCTCATCCCCGCCATACCTCGCAGCGCCAGCTCCACCTCCGCCCGCTTTACGATACTCAACCAGCTCCTCGGCCGCCTTGAGAGACCACGCACGGCTCTTGGCCTCCAGCCGGCGAGCCTCGTCAGCATAGTAAAAGGCTGCGCCTCTCGTGGCATTCGTACCCGAGGCGGAACGCCAGGCGCTCCCTGCCTGCACGAGGGAGGTGTTGCGCCGTGTCTGGTACTCGGCAGCGAGGGAGCGGTAGTGACTGATGAGCTCTTCGCGCTGTCGTAGTGAGAGGGGACGAGAGGAGCGGGCGGGAGAGGAGGGGGAGTAGGAGGGCTCGGAGAACATGAGTTGAGTAGCGTTGGGGATCGAGTTGCTGCCGGAGGAGGAGGATGTTGCTGCGGAGCTGGGAGGGAAGGAGATAGTAGCCGTCGTACCCTCTCGGAGGGACGCCATTGCCCTGTCCTGACCGGTCGGGGCGCCGTTCCTTCCTGCGACAGTGGCTCTGGCGAAACCACCTGCCCGTCTTGCGGCATCTAGTGTCTTGAGATCGACTGACTCACCTGGCAGGGGGTCGACATTGACCGACATGCCAGCACGGTCGGAGGATGCGTCTGCAGTCTGCTTCTTCTCCGGCAGCAAGACATCCCCTCCATCCCTTAGTCTGCCCAGTGGATCCAGCTCGTCTGGCTTCTCGCCTCCTGCGGCATCCCGTACGACGTCCATTAGATTCAGCAAGTCGAGTGCGGCGTCTTGTCTTCCCTTGGTCGATCGCAGAGCTAGCTCTGCCATCACGACGCTCTTTCCGGCCAAGGCGGCCAGGGAGTCCACCAAAGCTTTGGCGGTACCAGAGGGAGCAGAGCCTGCTTCATCTAACGAGTCCAAAGTTGGGTACTCTGCGGCGCTCGCATCGATCACCCTGCCAACAGCAATGTGAAGATTGAAAGAGGCCTTATTATATGCTGATGCGACGCTTTGAGGCGGAACGTCAAGCAATGTCGAGAGCTGTGCAAGGACTGAAGACGTGAGCAGCCACTGGTTGTCCTTGACGGCTTCTCCTGCAGTCGGGTCTTCCTCCTTTGCTAGTCTCTTCGCAAGCTCCTCATCGGTGAGGTCCTCGGTCGGTTGTTGCGCAGCGTAGTCGTGTGACGACACATTGCCCTTCGAGGAGCGCGTCGAGCGAGAAGCTGACATGGGAAGACTTTTGGCACCTTGTCTCACGTCTCCCAGAGTAACTTTGGTCTGGTGACCTTTCCTCGGTTGCAGCACTTCCTGACCCATTGACCTCATCAGGTCTTCGTGAGCCTTCTTCCGCATCGCCCTTCCCTTCTTGCCTTTGACGTTGCGGCTACCTTCAGCAAGCGCATCATAGTCCAAGCCCTTCTTCTCAGGAGTCGATGTGCTACTCTGCTTTGTTTCGCTGCTGAACGTATCTTCCATCTCTTCGCGTTCGACCAGATCGATGGCCATGAGCGTATCGATGGTCATGCCCACATCCCCTCTGCAGTCAGCGAGCGTCTCCTCGAGAAATTCTGGCGTGCGAGTAGGGAAGGCATGAGACAGGAAGGCCAGTGAGTCCGATCCGCCTCCTGAGGACAAGACCTTTATTCCATCATCTTTGGTGCGTTGCAGACTTGTGCCCCTCTTGGAAACATCTGCGTGCTCGCTTTCGCCCTCCGATGGCTCCTCTTCGTCATCTGTCAGCTTGAGGTTGGCTGCCCTGGCATCTTCATCCTCCCCATGATCGAGCTTCTCTGACAGATGAAACTCGTCGAGCATACGGTCGATGTCGACTGCAGTAGTAGAAGTGGCATCAGAAGAAGAGCCTGGAGTAACGGAACCAGTATCTGCCTGACGAGGCGACAAGTCTTCCGGTGATCTCGGAGGAGTGGATGAGCTCGAAGGCCCAGCGTCTGCTGCGAGCGCGTCCAGCACCTCCCTGGCGCTCTGAAGGGTTTGACCTTCGTCATTGGCGATTGCTGCGACTAGTGATGCGTCTAGTGGTGGGCAGTAGAGGACCTGGACGAGGTATGCAGATGTGGGAGAGGAAGGATGTCAGGGGTGCTGCGAGGAAGGAGACATCGAGGCTGCTCACGTCACGTCTTCTTACCTCTAATTGGGCTTGCAGATCTGCCATTGCGCGGGACAGCTCACAGGCCGATGCTTCTACTACGAGACGATGGTGGAAGGAGTAGGGTGTACGATAGCGCAGACTGTACAATGCTTGGAAGTATCGAGGAATATGGCCTCCTTGGCCCGCTGCTCCTTCTCCACACACACAGTCTGCCTTTGGCCTCGGCTGACGAAATGGCGCAGACGCAGAGGCGGAAAGAGCCACGCGCCAATCAGAATTTTGACAGGAACGGGACCAAGCGAGGCACCACTCACGCTCAGAAGACTTTGTACAGACAGACTCGTGTGGGTACAAGTCACACCAGCTATACTCGCAGTAGATACGATGCCCACAGCAACGTCGTCTTTCAATGGCTCCAACAGCGCAGCAGCTGCGGCTTCGAGTGGTCAGCCACACATCCGGGCTACAAAGAAGACCAAGCGCTCACACCCTGCATCATCATCCTCCGCCTTTGCATCGACTTCCAGCCTCTCCCTCTCCCACCCTCATCCGCTCAACATCAAGCCAGCAGGCAATGCCCTCCTCGCTTCGGGGCCTCCTTCGAGGTATCTCACGCTAGGGTCACTTGCAATCCTTTCAGACGACCTCATCACCCATGTCATCACTGCCTACTCGAACATTCTCACACCCAGCGACTTGTGCGCCCTTTCAGCCGTCAGCTCCGCCTGGAGAGCCTTTGCAAATCAAGAAGGAGTGTGGAGAAATACCTTCATCGAGAGGCACGGCGGGATAATGAAGCCAGAGATCGGATGGAGGGGCAGCTGGAAGATGACCTGCCTCGCCCACCTCGCAGAGCAGCAGGGTAAGGCTTTCCCGCCCTCCTCTCGGCTCGCCTCTATCAGGCCCAGCAATCCATTCTATTCGGACTCGCTCTATCTTCCTCATCGCCTCTCACTTCTGCCGCTCTCCAAGTATCTTCCAACAGGAAGCGCAGGCAGTAATCCATCGACGGCCATCCCTCGTATACCCGCCTCGAGCTCCCTCGCCGACTTTCACGCTCGATACCCAGCACTGAACAAGCCCGTGATCATCGAAGCCCCGGAAGAGAGCTCGATAGCGGGACTGGGTACGAGCACAGAAGGATTGAAAGACAAGTACAGCTCCCGATGGGTACGCGCTGAAGCCATCCGGACTACCGTCAGTGTCTACGCCCAATACTCTCACTGCTGCGAGAAACAACAGAGTGCCATTGCCCGGGCCGACGGCGACGAGGACGTTGCGAGGGTAGCCGAAGTCCGCTACGACCCAATGACTGTCCCGGATGAGTCCCCCTTCTATCTCTTCGACAGCGAGATTCCGTCGCAAATGGCCGCCGACGGCCTCTGGACCGTCCCGCAGCAGATTCTGCAGTGTCCCTCCTCGCCCTACCAGATTCAACGCAGCAGCCCAGAAAGCGCGCAGCGACAGCAGGTGGAAGCAGACCTGTTCTCACTCCTCTCCTCCTCCCGTCCAGATTACCGCTGGCTCATCGCCGGCCCAACGCGTTCTGGGTCCGGCTGGCATAAGGACCCAAACTATACCTCTGCGTGGAACACGCCTCTTTCAGGCCGCAAGCTTTGGCTGATGCTGCCCCCGCATGTCGCGCCACCGGGCGTATATGTGAGCGAAGACGGGGCAGAGGTGACTGCGCCCGTCAGTCTCATCGAGTGGCTGGACGACTTCTATGTAGAGACCAAACGGCTCCATGGACCTCCTTCTTCCTCCTCTTCCGCCCGAGGCGGGATCGGTGGTGGTGGGGATGGCCAACTTCTCGAAGGCATTTGTGGACCGGGAGAGACAGTCTATGTCCCCAGTGGGTGGTGGCACCTAGTCGTCAATCTCGAGGAATCCGTCGCCCTCACCCAAAACTTTGTCAGTCTGGCCGAGTTGCCCGAGGTCCTTTTCTTTATGAAGCACAAGCCCGAGCAGGTCTCCGGCTTCAAGTTCAGCAAGACTTCTTCTGAGGGCAGAGAAGAAGGCTCGCAGCAGCAGCAGGTGGGACAGGAGGAAGAAGACCAAGAGGAAGACGAGGATGAAGTCGAGGGCGATGCAGACCCAAGAAGAGGCCTGTACGACGTCTTTCTCGGCAAGCTCAAGGTGTACGACGAGGAGCTTGCTACATGGGCATTGCAGAAGCTGGCTGTCATCGAGGAGCGAGAGAAGGCTACACTTGAGGCTGCTCGTCGCGAGCGAGAAGCAGGCGCTGCCGATGGCAGTATCAAGAGGAAGCGCAAGACGGACGAGGAAGAGGGCGGGCTGACGTGGTGGGATAAGCTGAAAGCGGGAGAGGGCAACGCTGGTGCTGAGGCCGGCGAGCAGGACAAGACAGCCGGAGGAGCTACCTTTGCGATGGGACTAGCAGAGGATGAGCTGGAGGATGTGCCGTGGTAGCACTATCATCGTATCTTTGCAACACTGTTCTTTGTAATGCTACATTGTCTTCTAACGCCTTGCATTGAACCCTCGGAACCCTCTCCCACCACTACCACCACCACCATAACCGCGACCAGCTCTCCCACTCCGTCGCCAATTCCCTCCCCTTCCCCTCCAAACCTGCACCCCTCCGCTATTTCCCTTGACATTCTCCACTATGAAGTTATGCAATTTCCTACCCGGTTCAATTCCAATCAATTCCTGAATCTCCTCGAGGTCAAGATCGCACAATTCCTCTAGATCTTTCACGTTATTCTGCACGTATCGGTAATTCTTCGTAGTGATACCAGGCATCATCAAGAGGATGTCCTGCGGAGTGGTATTGTACGTCCCGACGTTTTCAGAATCAACTCCGAGTCCAGCGGCCTTGTCTGCGTCTGGCTCCTCGTAGGTGCTCTTCAATTCGGCGAATATGTCTGCAGTGGCAGAGGAGCTGGGAGACCAGACGATCTTGAGTCGGGGAAAGGCAATGATGAGCATGACTAGCTTGGTCTGCGTGTCCAGTTCAGTGGGGTCCATCTTCGTCGCTACGAGTTGTTGCTTGCTCTTTGGACCACTCTTGGCAGTTTGCACACTCTGCAAGGAGAAGGACTTGTCTTGACCGAATTCGATGAGGAGGATGGGGTGCAGGTAGTGCAGCGTCATCCCTTCGCACTGACTGTACAGTCGACCATTGTTGAGCGATTGGATCAAGTCGAGAATCGCTTTGCGCTCCACGCACATTTGCGGACTCAGGACGTAGTCTCCAATGGTGAGGGTGCGTGGGATGACGATGATTCCGGCCAGGTCGAGCATGCTTGCCAAAGAGGAATTGAACTCTCGCATGTCGACGATGATCCGCGGTGGCTCTTGAGTCACGCCTCTCTGCCCACCGGCAATCCTACTGTTGATGGTGCGCAGGAATCGATCGTCCGCACTCTCCACTGCCGGTCGACCATCTGCCTGCAGAGGCAAAGCCATGATCGACCTCTCTCGAATCAGCTTCTCGAAGCTCTCCTTCTCCCTTCTGATTGAGGAGAGGTATCGCTGCTCCTCAATTGACTCTGCATAGAGCAGAAAGTAGACGCGAGGGTTGACGCCAGCAGTGGTGCTGCGATACATCTCGATCCGGCGGACAAAAGCGGCGTCGGGGTCATACATGATGATGAAGCGTGGCCGCAGCTCTTGCAGGACGTAGTCATCACTGTCTCCTCGATAGGTCCGCACGACGACCAAATCGTCCAGAGTGAGGATACCAAAGAAGTTGTCGAACTCTGCCGACGATAGCTGGTCTGGGATTTGGTGGACACCAGTGATCTCAAAATCATCCTCGTCGTCAGAGTTCCCGCCATCTAGCCCAAGTTCATCGTCGTCGTCGTCAACCGCCATCGCTTGTGCTCGTTTCTGGAACTCTGACAACTCCATCGCCTCCTTCTCAAATCTCTCAGCAGCTGTAGCTGCGGAGCGCGACGAGCCTGCAGCGCTCACGGCCGCACCTCTTTGCCGCCTTCGCTTGTTCGGGGGAGCTGCTCCTCGCTCCCAAATCTGTTTGCGCTTGAGAGCATCGCTTTCGAATGACTGTGCACCATCCTTGTCTGGGTTCGAAGCGGCGCTTGCAGCAACAGAGCTAGGCCGAGTACTGCCGTTGGTGTCACTGCCGCCGCCCACCAGCGTTTCCCACGTGTCCGCCATGTCTCCCAAGCCGGCCTTGTCCTTGAGGTAGTACTGGAAAGAACGCATCATCATTTTCCTGGCCGGCGCCGCTGGCACTTCTGCGTCGTCGTCCGGCTCGTCTGGTTCGCCGATCATGGATTCGTTCATCGTCGAAAGATATGACTGCACTTGTGCGCGTGTGCGATCGGTACTCGTCATGATCAGGATAGTATTGTTTGGGGCTGCTAAGCCTTCCTTGTTCTCGCTAAAGTAGATTTCCTGTTCGACCTCGTCCAGAACTTCTCGCAAGAGCTGCCACTTTGGTTGTTCTTCGAGGATTGGCTCGATACCTGGGGGAAGCCACCAAGGCCGCCTTCCACTTGCGTTCTTGCTTTTCTTAGGTCGACCGCCAAAGGCAGCTTCCTCTTCATCTGAGTCGACCTCAATCGGGTCATTCGTCACTTTGGCCATACGCGTCTGCTTTTCCCTCTCCTCTTCCTCCTCGGACATGACGTCGCCGATGTACACTCGAGCTTTGGCTTCACGGAAGATGACATTGGCGGCATCTGTGTCCAGCCAAGGACTTCTGTTGTCCTGATTAAAGCCGCTGAGCCGTTTGCTTTCACCAGCTTGAGTGATCTCGAGAAGCTTAAGAAAGGTAATAGCATCGTACGAGATGAGGTGGCTCAGGAGGTGTCGTAGCTTTTTCAGGTCATTGACCAATCTCTTCATCTTGTTGCTGAGCTGATGCCACCGCGGCTGGAGCTGACGTTCAACGATGACGTCGAATGCTCGGAAGATTGCGTTTTCTAGCGTGTACTCTTCGACTTCGACTCCGGAGACGGACCGCTTGACCTCATTGAGTGTAGCATCGAGACATTCCACAATACTGTCTTGTATCCGCTTCATGGAGCGGCTGAGCGGCTGATGTAGCTCTACGACGTCTGCTTTGCGCTCACCCAGATCGCGGATGATGGACCGGTGAAATCGGGGCCAGAGCTCGACCTTACGAATCTGCAATTGTCCCATCACAGTCTGCAAAGGACTCAGACCCATAGCGAAGGAGTCCGCATCGTCTGAGAATGCCTTGAGGAAGCCATCCTTGTTCGTACGTCGGTAGATTCGAGCAATGAACGCTACCGATGAGGTAGGCGTGACGTCTTCGGCGTGGAGGACTACGATACCGGTGATGAGATCCACCGGAACAGTCTTGTTCAGCATATCTACGCATAGAATACGTGATGTCACTGAGATCAAACCGCCAGAAGCATAGATGCCTGGCCTGACAAGGGCAACGAAGTAGATGTCGAATCAAGTCGATGTCTGTCAGCTTTGTCACAGCAGCTCAGCCTCACCTCTCGTGAATGACGAGCTCACTTACCTCTTTGCAGTAGGCGTATCGGATGTGATGATACGCAAGCCCGGCTTCCTCACTCCTAGCGAAGTCAGGTCCTCCGTCAAGCCCGTCTCCTCGTCTGGCCGAGCATTGACCACCAGGACCAAGTTGGTGGGTGCATCATAGATCTTGAGGATGCTCGCTACAATGGATCTCAGACCCAGTCCCCTTGCCAGGATAATGAGAGCATCTCCTTCATCTAGCGGTTCATCGTTGGCAGGAACGATCGAGCGGACAATTGTCCGAGCGAAGGGGAGAAGATTGCTATTCGTGCTAGCGGAGGGAGTAGAGGCGGAAGGGAGGGGCAAGGCGGGAGTGCCGCTGCTACTGCCGTTGCCGGTGAGACGACTGCTGCCCTCTGCGGCTGGGGTAGCAGAGGAGCTGCCGGTACGTCTCGATGGGCCCCTCGCGGCCATCTTTGTTCAGACGGCGTTGCTCACAGCGACTCAGCAAGGTTGTAGAAGGACGAGGTGAGGGTAAGCGGGAAGGCCAGATCCTCAACCACGGCCAGAGTGGAGGCGCGCCACGCCAGACGGAAAGAGCGGCAACAAGGGTCTACGGATTCCACCAACGTTGGGTAGAGGCAAATGCAAAGCAAGATGATACAAGAGAAGTGTTAAGCACGTCGCATCCCCCAGAGTCTATTTCCAGTCTCCCACAGTCCAATATACATCTTATGCAAAGTCGTAGGTGCTCAACATGACCTCAGTGCCGGCGAGAGACTCGAGCCAACTCTTGGCTTCGAGCCAGAACCACACCTTGATCATCGGGGAGAGGTCCTTGAGCTGGCCCGAGTCGGGCATATGCAGACCTCGTGAGGCCTCTTGTCGGCTGATCTGACGTCCCAGACTACGCAAAATGGGCAGCGAAGACTTGAAGAGATCCATGCTTGGGTCCAGTTGCCTTCCAATTCCCTCTAGCAGTAGGATACTGATCACCGTGTTCACGAAGTCGGCCTCCATCTTGACGTGGTGGTCTCTCACCGCCATCAGCACTTGGCTGAGGACGTCACTGATCTTGATCTCTGCCAGACTGAATGTCTTGCTCTTCACACTCAGAATCAGACTTGACATCTTTGTAGCGAAGCCTTCCTTGTCGATGACGAGATCAGGTGTTCTGCATCGCTCTACCATCAGATGACCAGCTCTTTCACCGTCGAATTGTGCGACGGCAGAGAAGAGGTCGAGGAAGTTGCGCCGATTCTTCGGCGTAAGCTCCACTGTTAGACCAGCGTCGAGCAGCACAAGCTCGGGTTGATAGCCCTGTGAGTCAAGCCGATCCAACTCTGCCAACCAAGCCTGCTTATTGTGCTTGATGCTGTTGAGGTTGCGCACGACATCCTCTTCTGCTTGATCGTCTGCGCTCTTGGGGCCTTTCGGACCTCCGAGAGCGTAATCACTGTTGAAAGGTGCGATCATGCGAGCTGCGAACGCTTCAAATTGTGACGACTTGGAGGGATGATAGAACTTGATCATGATGTTTCCGGGGTGGAGATCAGCGTGAGTGAAGTTGTCGAGGAGCAACATGTATAGGAAAGTGTCGAGTCCCAAGGTAGCGATACGGTGGTCGAAGCCAGCACCTCCGTTGTTGAGGAAATGCTTGAGCGGCAGAGCATCCTCGTACTGTTCGATTAACACCTCTTTAGTTGAGAAGCGAGACAGCGGTCGGGGGAATGAGATAGGGTCGGTCCTCGTCGAGAAGTTCTCGCCAAAGCGCAGAAGGTTGTTGGCTTCGTTGCGGAGATCAAGCTGACTGAACATCATACCTGCGAAGACTTCGACTTCTTCTGGGAAGGACAGCCACTCAGCTCCTGGGAAAGCGTTGATCACCTTGGCAAAAAATGTCATGATGCGAATGTCCCTCTCAATTGTACGGTGGACCTTGGGATGCAGAATCTTGATGGCAACAGAGGCCGTCGGGACCTCAAGAGCAGAACTCGTATCCTTCTGAGCGGAGTCAGTGGGCTGTACTTGCGGAGGCGGCGAGCTGCTCCTTCCAAATCTCCTCTTCTTTTTCATGCGCTTCGCCTCAGAAGGAGGGATGACGTCCGGTCGCAGTTTAGCCTTGTACACTTGGGCGACTGCTCCGATTCCCAAAGGCTTCTCTCCGAATTCTTCGAAAACTTCGTCGAAGTTGCGACCGAAGACGCTCTCAATGACTTTCTTAGTGTACCGGAAAGAGTGAGGCTTGCCGTTGGAGTGGAGCTTGCCGAGGCGTTCACACAAGGCATCAGGGAACAGATCTTGGCGAGACCCTGCCCATTGCGCGAGCTGAAGTGGGTGAAAGGAAGAGAGCGTTAGTGCTGGGGACTGATCGTTACACACCTGAATGCTGAGGGCGCATCTACTCACCTTGATGAACGTTGGCCCGGCCCTCTCCATCTGCTTGACCAGAAAGCCATACCACCAGAGTGCTCCCCATCTGTCCTCCTCATTCTTCGATACATAGTCGTCTCCATTCGATCCCTTACGCTTCTGGGTCGTAGAGGCTCCTTTGCGTCCCACGAAGAGCATGGGAATCGTGAGAAGAACCGGGAAGAACAGTGAGAAGAGTACGATGAAGCGCTTGGCGGTACCAATAGGCTCGAAGATAAAGTTGTGGAAGAAGCGAGCGAGGCTATTCCAGATACGAACGATGCGATTGGAATGTCTAGTTTCCGAATCTTCGATCGAGGGTGCGAAGTTAGATGCAGCATTGCTGTTCTTCTCCTTCTCTTCCTCAGCAAGTAAAGGCCTGAGCTTTGAAAAGATGAGGAGAGCACCGCCACCAGCTACACCAGTAGCGGCCAGGAAGAGGAGGTTGAGCTTGAAATTAGTGGCAGAGGACGAGGTATATGAAGGAGGGGCAGAGTCCATGAAGTCGCCAATCTTCGGCTTCTTAGGGTCGACTTGATGAATGCCCGATGAGTCTTGACGTTGCTTATCAGAAGTGACACGATCGGCAGCAGTGCTGGACTGCTGTCGGCGGGTAGCGACATGGATAGGTGAAGGTGCTACCGAGTTGTACAGCGGCCGTAGAGAATGAGCTCGGGTATGAAGCAGGCTAGTGACGCCCATTTTGGCCACTGAAGGTGGAGTGCTCGCCCATGGCCTCACAGCTAACGACGCGGGTAAGCAGCATTTGCCCATGCCATGTTGGCCTGCCAGTCGCAACGGCGACCTGGCAAGAGTGCCGAGCATGTGCGGGGGCTGAGAGGAGAGAGGGATCTGAAGAAGATTGACCACTGATCCCGCTGCGAGGCACGACCCTGTCTACGATGGTATGGCGGTGAAGGTGGGGAAGACGATCAAGGGTCTGTGGGGGCGGTAACGTGGGCCTTCCAGCGTGCGTGGAGGTGGACCCAGGCCCGCCGCTCTTTCCGCGTCGGCGTCAATGACGATGAGCGTCCAATCGTTCGCGTCTTTGGCACTGATCCTACAACGTTCCGAGCTTCCTCCTGTACCAGACATAGCCCTTGCCAAGGCTCATCGGTCATCCTCTTCATGAGCGACTCATCTTCGGTGTTTGAGCTGCCAGAGGTGAACCCAAATGCGGTGGCATCGGGCTCATCACATTGCACACCCGCTCGGATCAGGTATTCGCTAGGCAATCCTGCCTCATTTTCGCCTCGCCAGTCACGGACAGCGTCCAGCAGCAATGGTATCACACCTCGCAAGACGTCCCTCTCATCTTCGGTATCAAAGCATCTCGGAGGTAGGACACACTCCGCTTACCAAGAATTCGATGAACAGTCGTGGCTCCATTCCTTGACATCAAGCATCCACGATGCCCTGCATGGACCACCCACCACGCTACCGGAGGAATCTGCAAGCATATCACATGCCGCAACGATGTCAAGTCCTGGCGCGAAGTTGCCAGAGCTCAAAGATTGGGCTCGTCAATCTCGGTCAAGCCATCTGGAAAGACTCAGGGCGAGCCAGCTGGTGGATGAAGGTGTACAGACTGATCCTACACCAGACGAGCTCAAGCCAGCCTCAGGTACAGCTGTGACCCAAGATGTACAGGCTCTCAATCCTGATCTCGCCGCCAAGGAGATGCTGTTCCTGTCTGGCATGCTAGATGAGGGAGGAGAGCAGCAAAGCGCTCTTGATGTGGCAGATCTGCTGAAGAGAGCAAATGGCGATGACGAGGAAAGCGAGAAGGAGGAGCCCGTCCGCTACTCGACCCAGACAGTCCCGCCCCTAGGCGGCTTCGCTCCAGCTAGCAGCCTCTTCAGGGAAGGCCGCTCTCTCGAAGATATCCTGAAAGAGAGAGCTGCCCTGGGTCAGCAAACCGCTGGAGATGTCCTCCGCCAGGAAGCGCCAGAAGAGAACTCCGAAGATGTGACTGCTTTAGGCGATGACCTGTCAGAGAAGCCCCGAGGCAGACGTCTCATACAAGACATTACTGCAAGTGCAGACAGCGATCAGCTGGGAAGCAGTGATAGTGAAAGCGAAGAAGACGCGGAGCAAGATGATGATGAGAAAGATGAGGAAGACGAGGATGATGATGACGAAGACGAAGACGACGAAGAAGAAGATCTCGACGACGATGAAGAAGAAAATGACGAGGAGCTCGGTGAGGAGGATGCCTCCGAGGCTGCGCTGGAGATGCAAAGCGCTATCAAGGCCCCATCCGCGATGAGAATGGAAGGTCTCGCTGGAACAACAGAGCTCGAGCAAGACGACGACGTCATCGAGATTGGCAGCTCTTCAGATGAGAGTGAGGGGCGAAGCGACCTCGAAGAAGACGAGGAAGTCCTTGATCTTCCCGAAGGCGATCGTCTGGGCCAGGGCGAGAGCTTTGAGGGCCTTGACTCAGAAGAGGAAGAAGAGGAGGACGAAGAAGAGGAGGACGAGGAGGAAGAGAATGAGGCGCTGGGAGACGGAGATCTCGACATTGAGGATGGTGAGGATGACAAAGGCCAGCAACAGCTTGAAGGTGGAGCCTACGATGATGATGAGGAGGGAGCGGACGGCGAGGAAGAGGATGACCATGTCTTCGACGAGACAGGACATTCGGGTCCGACGGCTACCGCCGACAGTAGATTTTCCTGGGGCCATGACAAGCAGCAAAGCGGAAGCACTGATATGGTGGTTGATGCTCCCGAGCCTTATCAGCTGCAGAGCTCAGAAACTCCAATGCTGCCTTCCGATGCTCCAGACAGCCGATGGTCCGACTTCCTGTACGCTGAGAACGAAGACGGCGACAGACCAGACATCGAGTTCGATGAGAGTAGGGACCGCGCCGAGGAGGAAGATGGCAAAGGTGGAGGCAGCCTTGGCGATGCTGTTGAACAAGGTCGTCAAGGGGAGAAGCAGCCAAGCTCTTCGATCAACGTGGATCCCAGGCTCCTTGCTCAAGCCGCTCTCGCAGGAGGATTCCAAGCCTCTGGGCAACAAATTCCTGTCGAAGAGACTCGTTCAACAAGCTCATCTCTGGCTCCACAAGTGCAGGACGCGGGCCAGGGACAATTGGAACTTGCTCCGTCTTCCGAACAAACAGCACAAAGGGAGAGCGTCTCCTTTCCTCCGTCTCACCCGTCAGAAGCACTGTCCTTTGATCAGACGATGGCGATTAGGGCTGCAACGGGTGTACTTACCGGTCCAGGGAGTAGCCTGGGCTCGGTAGGCGGGAGATCAGGCGAGCCGTCCGGAAGCGTGCGAAAAGCTGCACAGGGTGGGGATGCGAATGCCGGAGTACTACCCAGTTCTGCTCAGGAGCTAATGGACTTCAAGCAAGAATCTGACAGGCTCGCTGTGGAGCATACGCAGGGTCAGATCCAGTCTGGCCCACCCTCGGTTGGCGCTACCGAAGGATCTGAGGGAACCGTGCAACGCAGAACAAGCTTCAGTATAGAAGGCACCCCAGATCGTGCTCGTGGCCGTGTTTCAGCTGCCCATACACCTGGTCCATCAGCGGTCCCCCCGTTGCTGGACACTCCTCTAGCCTCTCCATCTGCTTCATCTTCATCTCATCCCTTCTTCGCTGCTCCTCTGCCTCGCTCTGGAGCCGCACTTCACCTCTTCAAGCAGAGCGCCGCCAATCGGGCGGCTTTCTTCAGCGCTCCAGCCAGTGAGGGAGCGACGGCCGATGCAGAGGATGTAGCTCAAAATCAAAAGGGTCTGACTACTATGGACGAAGATCTGGCAGCGGTCGAAGGAGACTCTCACACTCTCACATCTTTCGATGAACAGCAAGTGCTGGACTTTGACCCCACCGAGAGCTCGCGGGCGCTCGTGGAGTTGAAGGAGGCTACACAAGTAGAGTCGGCCGATGCTCGAAAGCCAGGCTTGTCTAGCTTAAAGAGCGAGCCTTCTCTGACATCTCCGCAGCAGACCATTGCCGCCTTATCTGAACAAGGCACCAAGGCCACCGAAATGTCCACTGATGCCAATCACCCTGCAGAGCCTCTGGTCGAGAGTGCAGAGCCCACGCAGCCAGCCACTGAGGCTGGGGCTGAGGTGTTCATTCCAGATATGTCGGCAAGCGACGCAATCGAAGCAGACACAGCAGCCAAGGGGTCAAGCCTTGACCAGCCGACGAGCAATGCAGCCTCTCTGGCGCCTCAAGCAGAGATGCAACAGCAGGAAGACCAACGTGAAGACATCCCTGAAGCTATTGCCAATGTATTGGCACTACTTGGCAATTCTGCTGGGGTTCTTCCTGATGCTCCTGCTGAGAATGCTGCTCTCGTTGACGCCATGTCAGCGGCAGACAACGCTCCTGATGGCTCAGACGACGATGAAATCGTGGATGTAGACGAGCACACGGAGTACGAAGTCGAATCGGAAGGATCTTTCAAAGCTGAACCAGAAGAGTTTGTTCGAGAGCAACAGCAACACGAGGGATCTGCTCAAGACGAGGAGGAGGAGGACGGGCACACGGGAGCAGATGAGCCCACCTACGATCTGGGAGAAAAGACATCTTTCGCAGTGGAGGAAGATGGCTCGGTCTTGATGGAGCCGGAGGAGGGAGCTGAAGCACAAGAAGAGGTCGAACGGACAGAGTCACAGCCAGAAGCTGCAGAAGTAGTCGAAGAGAACGACTTGGCAGGGCCATCATTTGAAGAGCCCCTCAACCTGCCTACGCCGACTGAAGCAGAAGTGCCAACGTTAGCTGAACCAGCAGAGCCGCCGCAACCCGTTTCAATTCTGATCTCGAGCGATGAGTCGGACCAAGAAGAGGACAGTGCTGCTGCAGGCGAGCCGATACAGACTGCAGCATCCGCGGCCTCGCTAGGTGTTGAACCTGAGGCCTCTACCTCAAAGCCACGCTCGCCTAGCCCTGCCAGCACGCAATTCTCGCCTCGTCGCGACCGACAGTCGAAGGCACAACAAGGCTCCCGCCCTTCTACTGCTGACACCGCGCCTCCTGCAAGCCCAGTATCGCGCCAGGAGAAGAGTTTGACGGCTCTGAGGAAGGAGTGGAAGATGATCAAGGAGGCAGAAGGAGCCTCGGCCCGCCTACCGGCCCCTCAACCACAACAAGTCGAAGTCGTTGATCCCGTCGAGGTCTCCAAAGCCGTTCAAGAAGCCCGTCAAGCCGTTGAACAGCCAGAGAAGGCCATCTCACAAGACCTGATGCCGGAAGCAGTCTCGCTTCTGCCCAACACTGAAGAGGTCCCGAGACCTGCTGCCGCACCGAGGGACGGGGGCAAAGCATCTACACGTCACCGACACCGTCATCGTCACGGTGCTACTACTGAGAGCGTGCTCGGCAACGCAGATGACTCGGCTGATGAGTCTGAGGATCAGCCACCCATTACGCGCTCTCACTGTCGCTTTGCCAAATTGACCTTCACTGGCCAGGTCTCAGAGGAGCGTGTCACCTTCGTTGTCCCTGAATGCTCGATCCGGCATGACCTTCTAAAGGAGGAAGACGCCGATCTCCTCGGTGCAGCCAGCAAGCAGGACAACAATGATAAGATCTTGTTCGATGCAGAGGAGATGGAAGAGTCTACATACCATCGACTCTCACGCCTTGTAGGGCATGAGATGGTCAGCGATGCATGGGTCATGCCTGATAGCGCTTGGAAGGCCGAGTGCGAGGCAGCCAAGACCTTTGAGAGCGAGACTATCGGCGGAGCTGGCGAGAAGACAGACGACGCCGAGACTCTCAATGATGGGTCACCAGTCGAAGGCTCGCCAGAGGAGCTTCGACCTGCTTCGCCACGTCAGGAAACAGAGTCCGATGACGAGCTCGACGTCATTGCTAAACACTCTTCACCGCCAAGCAAGGTCACTCCTGGTCGACAGCGCATTACTCCGAACAAGAAGCATCACAGGCCAGAAGCTGGCGATCGTGACTGGCTTCCCGAGCAAGAGGACGCAAGCACCCGCAGCAGCAAGAAGCGGGGTGCGAGTGCCACGCCTTCATCGTCCAACAAGCGAGCCAAGGCAAAGACGGAGGATCGTCCAGGCTTCGATGCGGATCTATCCTTCGATATTCTTGAAGGGGAGGCTGAGCAGTCACAGGAGAACGAGGTCGCCAGTCAGACACCCAGCAAGCCCGCTCGTCGACGTCCCACAAAGCGCGCAGGTAGTGTCTTCCAAAGCTCAGAGCCTCCATCGCAGGAGACATCCACTCCAAGCACTCGCACTCGCCGTCGCAAGCTAAGCGAGGCCTCTCCTGCGGCTGAAGACGAACAACCCATTGCACCGGTCCGCCGCAATAGCAGCGCAGGCAAGCGCAAGTCGGCGACTCCCGCCCCCAGGGACCCCTCCGAGGGACCTTCGCTCGTATCGCCTCGAAAGACGCCCAGCCGTCGATCCAAAAGAACCCTACAGACGCCCGCTGGCGAACAGGACGAGGCGATGGACATTGATCAGCCTGCAGATGAGGAAGTCGACGATGCTGACGTCGACGTCGACATGGATGCTACCGAAGCGCAGGAGTCGACCAGTCCCAGCACAGCCGTCACTAGGTCTGGTCGCGCTGGATCTAAGCGACCTACGCGGGCGACGAGGAGCTCCAGCCGTACCCTGCCCGAGGCGAGCAGTACTCCCAGTGGTAGTCAATCTAGTGTCACGCCGAGGGTGACTAGAGCGAAGGCTCGACAAACCGGGAAGGACGTAGAGGAACAGTAGTAGGGAGAGCCTCAAAAATGCTTCTTTCTTTCTTGATGTTACATAGTCTCTTTTCCCCACGCATACGCACGCACACAGATGCAGTGAACCCAATCGACATCATACCACATCCGTGTCCTCCAGCTCGCCTCCCCAGCCCCACTGATCCTCATCTACCTCGCTCGCCCAGTCCTCATCTTCCGATTCTCGGGTCACGTCCCCTTCCTCTCCTGCACTCCACTCTTCTTCCAGATCGTCGAGCGCACTGCTCTTCCTACCAGCTGGACGGAAGAGATGCTTCGAGTCGGCTTCGTCGTCGTCGACTCCGCTTCGGCCCATGCGCTTGAAGATGAGCGAGGGGCGCTGGATTTGACCTTCCTTGAGACCTGCGCTTGCTCCTGCTCCAGCTCCACCTTTGCCTGCTGCCTTTCCCTCCGATCCTCTGGAACCTGCAGCAGCAGCGTCTTCTTCATCAGAAAGCACGACAGTCCCCAATGAATCGCCCATTCCCCTCCTTGCTTTGCCCAGCAGGAAATCTCCGCTACTGCCATTGGGCAATCCTCCTCTTTTGCCCTTTCCTCGCACGGGCATGCCAGCCTGCTGACGATTGGCCGCCTTTGCCCCACCCCACGTCTTCCGGTCGTCCCCTTTACCAGCGGGCGCGGCAGGCTTGTAAGCAGCTAGATCGCGTAGACGCTGCTCTTCCATCTCGCGCTCGATTTCTTGCACCATACTGTCGTTGCCTGCTGGTGTGCCAGAGGATCCAGAAGGACGAGAGGCATCGCCTTCGTCGAGAAGGCGGGCGAGGGCTTGTCGACGGGAGGAGAGGAGGTCGGAGCGGTGCTTCCGAGAAGGGTTGGCGCTTCCTTGTGTTGAAGAGAGGGTCTGTAGAAGCCGATTCGCCTCGGCTTTCCGGGTATGGCTTTCCTCATCTTCGTCCTTGTCATCGTCTGAGAGCTGAGAAGCAGGAGGAGGCCCGCTTCGCACGCTCGTGATTGCCGTCGGACGCTTCTTCCGGGGTGACAGTAGGCCAAACGAGAGCGGTCCATCGTCTGCCGAGGAAGCGTCAGAGTCGTCGTCATCGTCTCCGTTCGCAGAGCGACCCCGATCAAGGCTCATTTGGCCGAAGCGTTGGTAGGCGCGTAGAAATACAGCCTTCGAGGGTGAGTGACTTTTAGAGGGCTCTTTCCTCGCCTGAGCGCTTCCTTTCCTGCCACCCTTGCCTTCTGTCTCGGACTCTTCAGAAGAGGAGTCGAGGAGCAGTGGCGCTGCTGGAGCTGGTCGAGGAGGCTGCTTGGTCTCTCGTGAGGCTTGGCGGCCCTTGCCGTTCTTGGTGATAGCCGCCGGGGCCACCTTCACATCCAAATTCCCGGTGTCCCCTTCCGCACGTAGAGCGACATCTTCCCCATTGCTCAGATCCATCGCATCGTCATCGTCGCCGTATGCTCCATTCTGATCCTCGCCCCCATCGAACAGACTGCGGAACTTCCTCCCTTTGCGAGACTCTCCCGCTGTCAACGCATTAGCATTCGCCGCACTGCGATGGTCCTCCTGCCTCGGCGGAGAAGGAGCAAAGCCCACCTCAGTGTCGTCATGCGGAGGCGATAAGCGCAACGATGGAGCGTCTGTCTGCGACTGGTCCGCCCTCTGCAGCAGTGGCTGTGAGCCCGCTGAGGCCGTTCGGGAGAAGAGATTCCCGGCGCTAACCGCTGTCCCACTGCTAGATTTCTGTGCAGCACTATCCGACTCGCTCCGACCCCACAACGGTCCTAACTCGCGCTCCGAGCGGCTGCTAGCACGTCTCTTTGCAGGCCGACCGTCCCCAAGGGCAGAACCGGGCCGTAGTAGACCTTCTTGCCCTTGCGAAGAGGAACGACCTTTCGAAGGGCTCATTGCGACTCCTGCGCTCGACGGCCCTCGCGGGGTCGGAGGGACCTCTTCGCCTCTCAGCCTCTTCCTTGCCTTTGTCCGCGGAGTGTAGACCTGCTCATGAGCTGATCGTAGAGGGACAGCATTACTGACTCCCTTGCGCGGGCTCAAGTCTGCAACGAGTTTCCGAAAGGAGACAGGCGAGAGATTGTAGTGGAAGCGAGAATCGACATTGTTTAGCGCTGAATGTGAGCTCGGAGAGCCGGCGGCAGCTGGAGGTGTGCGGAGCTTGACGCCGCTGCCTGGTGTTGAAGGTGCTTGCGAAGCTGGCTTGGTCGGCGTCTTGAAGGGGTTCGCCGTTCGGGAGGAAGTCGTGGGAGTGCTCGGCAGGCGGGAAGCAGACGATGAGGAAGCTCTCGGAGGGCTATGAGGAGGCAGAACGGGCAGTGTTGAAGATGTCGATGAGCTTGCTGCTGCTGTACGCTGCTCTGACGACCGTCTGGGCTTGGTTGGTGTAGTAGGAGGAGGGCCCATCGATTGCTTGGTGCTACTGCTGCTGTTGCTGTTTGCCTTCTCTCTCCTCGCAGCTGTTTCCGGACGGCTGCTGCTACCACTGCTACTGCTCTTCTCTCTACTCTTGCCCTTGTCAGCGCTACTCTTGGTAGCTGCTCCACCGCTCATAGCCGTCCAGGTATCGTACACGGCAGCCATCTCGGGCACCTTGGCAATATCGCTCCTGCGCGGCTCCCGTCCATGGGCAGTACGGAACTCCTTCTGGAATGCTTTGAGTTTCTTTGCCAGGAGAGACTCCATGACTGGCAACTGAGCCCGCGAGAGATGGAAAGGGGATGGGGAGGAGAAGCTCTGATCTCTGAAACGGTGTAATAGTAGGATCGGAAGAAAGTGCCCCGCACTGTTGCTTCGCGTAAAGAGTCGCGCTCCTCGCGAGGCCACTTCCGTCAATGGTGGCCCACCACTCAGCATCTCTCTTCATACCAATTCGACACTACACCTCGTAAAGGAGATGAAGAGACTCGTGGAAGATTGAATCGAGAAGGCAGCATCTCGAGGCAGAGCTCGAGAATTTTCATCTTTACGAGATGTCCGGGCGAGGAGAGCTGTTCGCCTCGCCTGCTAGGCACGTCCAGGCGTCCACGAGGGATCACACAACGCCTAGCACACCAATTCGGCATCAGCTCCAGAGTGATGGTACACCCACGCCTCAAGAGCCCAGCATCTTCTGTCACCGCTGTCTCACCAATCAGAGAATCCACCTTGAGCTCCTGTCCGCCTACGAGGACGAGACCTCCAGCTCCTCCTATGCGTCTTCCTCATCTTTGCCCGTGGGATCCTACGAAGCCTACAAGGCCGATTTGGAGGCCCGGTATCCGCTTCTCTGCGACAGATGTAGACCTGCGGTAGAGAGCAAGATCAAGGAGAGAGACGATATTGCTCGCAGATGGATATGGAGAAAGTGGATGGAGAGGAACAGGGGGGAAGAAACGGCGGGGCAGGGGAGTCAGTCTACTGGCTGGAAGGCTCCAACTGGTGCTGTCAGAGGTCGAGGGCTGGACTACGAGAGACGACGCAAGCGAAGGAAGAGTCAACTCAAAATGATTGAGTCAGCAATGAGATGGACTCTCATCGCGATGGGACCGCTTCACACCTTCTCAAACCACCTCATGACCAGTCAAGCTCATCAAATCAGCCTGGTCCTCTCCCGCACTCTCCCGAGCGGCTTTCCCGTGGCGACTCTGAGCAGGTACGCTTGGCCCTTGGCTGGATTGGCGAATTGTACCGCTGTGTTACAGTCCCACCCACAAGAAGTGGAAGAGGGTGACGAAGGCGCAGGATCTGGACGCAGACCTGCGAGAAGGTCTATGATACGCGCTCTTCATTGCCTTACCTACTGTCAAATAATAGACACACAGCTCGGAGCGGCTTGGGTTCGCTATGTGCCAGCGAGTAGCATCTTACAACGAATACCGGCTTCGGCATTCGGGTGTGTCTGTCTAGCTCTTCAAGTGGTCCTGCTCCTGCTCTGCATTCTCCGGCGTCCTGTGTCTCCTACTATTATGAAGAGACCACGAGCTACAGACACAAAGCACCCCAACGAGTACCAAGACGTTTTCGATTCTCTCTCGCAGTCGCTCTCTCAAGTCACAGATAGCATCTCGGCCGGCTCTGCGGCGTTGCAGGGAGGAGAGGAACCAGGGGCCGTCTTCGGACAAACGACCTGGGCGAGCGCCAACGAGCGCACCGTCCCTTCATCCTGGCGAAACGAGCAGACTTTGCAGCCGTCGCAAGCACGCAGGGACGAGCCGATGGAGCTGGACGCTCCTGTCGCTCCAGCACAGGTGACATCGATGGATTGGCAGCCCACTCCGCCTCCAGAGCACACATCGGTGCACCAGCACCAACATCGCTCTACTCCTTCCTCTCCCACACCCGCATCTCGCTCCTCCATCTTCGGACCGCAGAAATTCTACGTACCGGAAGAGCCGATTGGTGGATTGGAAGAGAGTTTCTCAAGGGGACTGTCCCTCGGTGCGACCTCTGAGGAGCGGGAGGACGTGGATATGGAGGCGGCATTACCGAAGTACGGGGGAATGGTGCAAGGAGCGGTGCTAGTGGCTATGCTGGGGCTGGTGATTGGGTTGTTGACTGTCGTTTGGCACAAGTCGCAGGAGAGCCCGAGTGGATATGTGCGTGTGTACAAGACAGGGCGTGTTACGTGCTCTTCCATCGCCAGGTGGGTCAAGAGCCGCTGGCTCGCATCTAACGCTGATTATGCAATGTAGATCAATACCCAGGTGAAGATCAATGAAGAACCAATCTGAATTGTGAGGAGGCAAGGCGATGATGCATAGCGAATACGATGACAAGGGAAACAGTACACCATGATCGACCACACACTCGCGCACACACACGTCGGCACACATACACAATCAGATGACGACTTCCTCCGTCTCCTCGATGATCTCCTCCTGCCACTCCTGGATCTCCTGTGTGGGCTCCGCCTTGATCTGTTCCGCCAAAGAAGGAAGAGGCTCCTTTCCAAGTGCCTCCCTCTGCTCGGCCAGATCGGCCTTGGTCTTTGCCCTCCAGGCCTTCCACTCGTCCAGAGCACGCAGGTAGAGTTCCTTGTTCTGCAGAGCCAAGTTGCTCTCCTCTGCCAGGTCCTCCTCCTCGAACTGCTTGCCGATCTCTCGGATCGTGCGACGCACTTGCTTTTGAGCTTCCTTGGATAGGAGAGTGCGAGGACGTGGGCGCCAGAGGATCTGCTTGAAGCGGTCTTGCACTTGCTTTTGCAGCTCCTGACCCTTCAGGTCCCAAATTGCGTAGCCGTTTTCGAGAGAGTGCCTCCATGCGCTGGCACTCGTGGCGACGAAGCGTCCAGAGGGGTCCCACTCCAGGTCGGTGATACCGTAGTGCTCTCCCTGACCGATGAGCCTGACCTCCTCGGCCGGGTCGGCAGCGGGCACACCTTGGCGAAGATCCGCGTTGAGGTCCACGTCGTACCATTCCAGGTCGAACTTCTGCGAGGAGCCGAGGGTGGCTACCACCACTTGACGGCCCTTGGGCGACCAGAAGACTGTGTTGCATGTCTTGTTGTCCAGGACCTTCAGCAGTCGGAAGTCTCCCTTCTTGGGGTCGAGGTGGAAGAAGTTGAGCTGCGTCTTCACTGTGATACCAGGGGCAATGATACCCAGATTGGGGTCATTTGATGAGATGACGGCAAAGTGCGATCCATACGGCTCCCAAGCAAAAGCAGTGACTGGGTCCTTGAGCTCCACGACTTCGACTGGGAAGTCCTTCTCCCTCATCCTGAAGATCTCAAAGTTGCAGAACATCGACTTCTTCGTCTTTGTGTGACGGTCGACCTTGACGCAGAGGTAGTTGCCCTGAGGGTGCCAGTGCAGCTTGCAGTCCGAAACGTTGAACAGATTCTTGGATCTCAGGATCTCTCTCGATGGCACCTGCATCACGGACGCACGAGCTGGCTGGTTGGCAACCTCAGGCACCCAGAATGCAAGCATGTTGTCGCGGGGCTTCTTAGCACCCTTGGCTGGGTTTGTTCCGTCTCCCCATGCCTCGATGGCGGCCTTGTCTGCGTCTGACAGAGGGCACCATTCGAAGTCCACCACGCCATCGATGTTGATGCTCTTCTTCTCCAGGAGACCCATGGATGGAGTCTCGTAAACGCGGATCTGCTTTCCTGGTACGACTTGCGCACAGTACTTGTCATCACCGCTCCACTTCAGGAAGGGCCAGCTAAAACCCTTCTTTTCCTCGTCGTCCGGCGGCAGCGGGAATGTTCGCAGCAAGTGGCCGGTCTTGACCTCCCATACGGCTACCCTGTTGCCCTCGTCATCGGCGGTGAAATGCTGAGGTCCGATAGGTCCGTTCTCTGGGACAACGATGGGTTCATGTGACCACGTCACCATGTACTTCTCAGAAGGCGAGAAGTCCACCAGCCTGGCTCCTGGGTGAGCGTATCGCATGAAGCGCTGCCATGTGTTCCCGCCCCAAAGAGCGATACCTTGCCTGTGGAAGGTAGCAAGGAAAGTTCCGAGGGGAGTCCATTGCACGTACGACTCGGTCCACCTGTTGTTGGTGTGGAAGATCTGGGGCGGGGCATGTCTGTTGTGCCAGGCTACATGCACATCGTCTCCTCGGCACATGACGAGCTGGTCTCGACCCTGAGGGTCAAGGAGCCAAGATCGCAGATGCTCCTTGTCCACGTACTCCTCCTCGGCAGGCTCCACATACTCCTCGCTGAGATTGGCTAGGGACTCGATGTCGCTAAATCGGTTGACTGCAAAGCGGTGCTTCTTGTCGAAGGGGTAGCCGTCCATCGTCTTGATGGCGAGCGCAGCATCATCGGCGCTGTCAAGCTCAATGAACATGAAGCTGTACAGCCAAGGGCAGGAAGAGAGCAAGTCTGCGATGAGCAAGGTTCCAGAGCGTCGGTCTTCTTCCTCTGCCACCAACTCACCCCTTTGACTTCTCATCCTCTCCGAAAGGCATATGGAAGTTGCCCACGTCTACGTCCAATCCAGTCTGTGTCCTGAACCTCTTCTTCAGTGTGTCGAACAACCTCTCCTTCTTCGAGTCGTCTACGATGGGCACTCCATCGATAACGATGACATGGTCAAGACCTTCATCAAATCTTACTGCGTACCTATGGGAGCGAGATTGCATGGACAGGGAGACCAACATTGTCAGTCAGTGGTTCGGCCATGTGAAGCGGCATGCTGTCTCTTTTGCTGCAGGTTCCTCACCTCTCCTCGATGTCGGTGTAGTCGATCTCCTCCTCTTCCTCTAGTGAAGCTCCATTGAGCCCATTTGTGATGTGGTTGACGTCTGATGACGACGACATTGCGGTGCGGCAGAGGGCAGGGCGTGTAGGGTGGTCGTGGTATCCAGGAGAGGGCGAAGAAGTGCGAGGCTGCCAGGCTCAGAGGAAGAAAGGCGAGGAAAAAGGCGCTGCTAATCACGTCGCGCATAGAAATCCCTCCCGTTCCGCTTTCCGATTCTAATCACCCGCTTCTAATCAAAATTTTGAGCTGCACGACAGAAATTTCTACCTCGGACTGGGGAACAGGAAGCACAAGTGGTGCTCGCTCTCCCGTACCACCCTGACCACCTCCCACCTCTTCATCCTCCCTCGACGCCTTCACCATGCCAAAGAAGAGCGAGAAGAGGACCGCAAAGGGGTGAGTCAAAGTTCTCAGCGGAATGATCTGCTCTCGGACGTTGCTGACCACTCACCTTACCTCCCACCACTGCTACAGTCGTCTTGATAAGTTCTACTGGCTTGCCAAGGAACAGGGATTCCGATCCCGTGCTGCCTTCAAGCTCGTGCAGCTCAACAAGAAGTTCAACTTCCTAGAGGATGCTCGGTGCTGTATCGATCTGTGTGCTGCGCCGGGAGGTTGGCTGCAAGTGGCGAGCAAGCACATGCCCCCCAACAGTCTCATTGTAGGAGTGGATCTTGTTCCCATCAAGCCCATCCCTCGGTGTATCACCTTTGCAGAGGATATCAACTCTTTCAAATGTAGAGATCGACTGAGGCTGGAGCTCAAGGATTGGAAGGCAGACATGTGAGTACAAGTGATGATCTCGCCAGCCTGTCTTGGCTCTTCCTTTGCTGACATTATTTCCATGTTACCCCTTGTGATGCCTAGCGTTCTCCACGATGGAGCTCCCAATGTTGGTACTGCCTGGGTGCAGGATGCATACACTCAGTCCGAACTGGTCTTGCAATCGCTCAAGCTGGCAGTCGAGTTTCTGGCTCCCGGGGGTCACTTCATCACAAAGGTCTTCCGCTCGAAGGACTACAACAACCTCATGTGGGTATTCAACCAGCTGTTCAAGAGGGTCGAAGCCACCAAGCCTCCGTCATCTCGTAACGTTTCCGCCGAGATTTTCGTGGTCTGCCAAGAGTACAAGGCCCCGCGTCGCATTGATCCTAAGTTCCTTGACCCGCAACATGTCTTCAAAGATCTGGAGCCTCTGAGGGATGGAGAGGACGAGTCGATGAAGGGCACTAGCGCAGCTAATGTTCACGCAAACGTCTTTGAGCCCGAAAAGAAGCGCAGAAAGCGTGAGGGATACGAGGAGGGCAACTACACGCTCTACAAAGCTATACCGGCCTCACACTTCATCAGGCAGTCAGACGCCGTGTCAATGCTCGGCACATACAATCAGATCACCTTCAAAGATCCCGAGGATAAGGAGATTCTCAAGCACTCCGAGACCAATGATGACATCAAGGCCAACTGTGAGGACTTGAAGGTTCTCGGCAAGAAAGACTTCAGGAACCTTATGAAGTGGCGCTTGGCCTTGCGCGAATACTTTGGTCTGGAGGCCAAGAAGGCCGAAGTGCCTGAGGAGACTACCGAGACAGCTGAAGTGGAAGAGCTAGACTCTGATGAGGAAATGGATGCTGAGCTCGAGAAGCTCACTGAGGAGGAGCAGAGAAAGGTGCGAAAGGAGAGGCGGCGGAGGAATGAGACTCGAGCAAAGAGAGTCCTCAAGATGCAGCTGCAGATGACTACGCCTATGGACATTGGTATGGAGCAAGGAGACGAGAGTCTCATGGGCGGTACGGACGACTTTTTCGACCTCAAGGGCACCAGCAAGAAGGACGCTGATGACCTGCATGCCGAGGACCTTGACGAAGAGGACGAAGCCGAGCTTACGACCATCACTAGCGGGGACGACGCCGAGGATGAGGAAGACGAGAAGGAAGCACGCCTCAGACGCCTCGAAGGTGACATGGACGGTCTGTACGATGACTATCAGACCCGTCGGTCAGAGCGAGATGCTAAATACCGAGCGAAGGAGGAGCGTCGCAAGAACAAGAATCTCGAGGAATGGCACGGCATCAACGAGAAGGAGGGTGAAGACGACCACAGTGATGCTGAGAGCAGCGTTGGCGGGTATGACATCGTTCAGGGCAAGAAGGAGAAGGAAGAGACTTTCGACACCGACGACGAAGAGGATGAGGCTGAAGAAGAAGAGATGAAGCAAGCCATGAAGGCCGAGAAGCGAAGACGGGCTGCTCTTCTAGCCTCTCGGGAGGCTGCTGCTGTAGAAGCCAAGGCGGGCAAGTCCAAGAAGCGCCGGCAGCGTGCTGATGAAGACGATGAGGATGAGGTTGACAGTGGCCTTGTCACGTCACTGGAGAGCAAGAAGGACGTCAAAGCAAGGCAGAGCCGAGAAGCTGCTATTTGGTTTGACAACCCTCTCTTCAAAGGGGTCCCTGGTCTCGACATGGTCGAAGATGAGGACGACGACGACGACGATGAGGAGGACGACGACGAAGAAGAAGACGAGGAGGAAAGTGAGGAGGAAGAGGAAGACGAGGAGTCTCTGGAGGAGGATGAAGAGGCTTCTGGCGAAGAGGTCGACGATGAGAGCGACTTCGAAGTTGTCCCTCAAGAGCCAGAAGACGATGGTGACGACTGGCACGTCACCGACCTTGATGTTGATGAGGAGAAGCGTCGCTTCATCGAAGAGCACGGTCTCACAACTGCCGAAGCCATCACTCTTGCCCAGCAGCTAGTCAATCGCGAGAAGAGCAAAGCCGACCTGATTGATCAAGGTTTCACAAAGGCCAATTTTGTCGACAAGACCGACTTGCCCAGCTGGTTCCTCGACGACGAGGCCAAGAATTGGAAGGCCAACATCCCTATCACCAAGGAAGCCATGAATGCCCTCCGCGCTCGTCAACGTGCTCTGGATGCTCGTCCAATCAAGAAGATTGCCGAGGCTAAAGCGAGGAAGAAGTTCAAGGCTGCTCAGCGCATGTCCAAAGCACAGAAGAAGGCCGAGGACCTTCTTGCCAATGAAGACGGCGAGCTTACCGAGCGTGACAAGGCCAGCTCCATCTCCAAGCTCCTCGCTCGTGGAGCGGCCAAACCAAAGCAGCGTGAGACGAAACTCGTCGTCGCCAAAGGACCCAATCGTGGTCTCAAGGGACGACCAAAGGGAGTCAAAGGAAGATTCAAGATGGTAGATGGAAGAATGAAAAAGGAATTGAGGGCACAAAAGAGGATTGATAAGCGCAATGGAAAGAAGGTGGGAGGAGGAAGGACAAAGCAGAAGCCGAGGATTCCGAATGGGTATGGTGGGAGGTAAGAGGGAGCGTGGGTGAGGGAGGAGGGCTGGCAATATTTCCCTTGTAACAGTAGCTTTCACATTTCGACTCGTAAAGGGCCAATCATTTCATCTGATCTTACATCGGTGTGAGGTTGTTAGTGAGATCAGAACGCGAGATGTGGAAACGGAGCACTGGCATCTATAATGGCTCTCTGGGGTACATAATAAAAGTTCGCAATGTCGTTGCGGCCCTTCAATCGGGCATCGTCGTATGTCCTCGACCCTCCTTTTACTCCTTACGAGCCTGTCTGACCAGCCAGTCGGTAATCTCCTGAAGTACAGCGTCTCGCTTCCGGTCATCTGCCTCGCTTTGTCCCTTGACGTTCTTCATCATTACTGTAGAATCAGAAAATGTCAACGTGGGAAGAGTGGATGGTCGTTAGAAAGGAGCCCAGGGCTTTGCGACAACAAGAGGGCGTGATGGGAAGAGTTTCTCCACTTCCTTTCTGCGAACTCACCGTGTTCGTAACCGCTCCACAGTCTATACTCCTTATCCTCCGCGGGCAACCTCTCAAAGAACTCCTTCGAGCTCTTCCAACTAGTAGCCCTATCATGATCTCCATGATGGAACTGCACAGGGCACCTAATCAATTCCGCCCTCTCTTGTAAGTCATTCAGTCCTTCAAGAATGGCAAGACCGGTTGCAATGCGTAAGCGGCCCTTGTAGGTCATGGGGTCCAGGTGGAATTCAGTCTCGACGCGCTCATCGTCGGATACTTTGCCGCGGACGGCACTTGCGACGGGGAGGCGGCCGAGGAAGAAGCGCATCGTCTTTGCGAAGAGCTCGACGGCATACGACGGACGGGCTGAGACAGGTAGGAAAGGACATGAAGGACAGTATCGCGGGTCAGCTGTAGCTTCATGCATAGGCATTCGGCTTTCTGGGACTTGAATATACTCACATTCTGGACTGATCCCAATCATAGGCGCAGCAACAGCCACTCCATCAACGTGCGGTCTCCATCTATTTCCCACCAAGCCACCATTCCTGAGCTCTTCCTCGGTGGCAGGGGGATAGAGGGCAGCATAGTACAGTGCTGTGAATCCGCCCATGGAGTGACCCTCGAGGAAGAGCTTCCGCCGCGTGTCAGTCACCACAAAGGGTCCTCCCTCCCTCTCTGTCAGGTCGTGATCCCTGACGTCGTACAGGACTGCATGTACTGCCTCGATGAGGATCTTCAGCGAGGGAATGTAGGCGTGCAGACCAGAAGAGTTGCCAAAGGTGGGCAAGTCGACGAGGATGACTCGGAATCCGGCGAGGGCAAACTTGTGGCCATGAGGGGCAAGCTTGGCACCATGGTCATTGATACCGTGCAGGAGAACCACATCTGCCGTGAAGCCACACTCAGCAACAGCTTCGGGACACCAAAAGGTGGTATAGGCGACGAATGCATCTCCCTCCTTGTCCCAGCTGTTCCCTTTTGACAGACCTTTACTAGAGATGAACGTCTTTCCATGTCTGTACTTGATCTTTGGGTTCTCTAGCACAAAGTGCTTCTCAAAGGCATTGGGTGGGATCTTCGACCGGCCATACGTGGGATCGAATCCTCCAGGGCGAGTGAGGCGAAGGTGACAGAGGATAGGCTCGATGAAGATGGTGTAGATCTGGAAGAGGAGACCGATGAATAGGGAGGGAAAGTCGGTTGGTGGGAGGGGCGCGTAGGGAGAGGAGAGGCCGCGACCGATGACGGGGCGTTTGAGCTGGGCAGCGGTGAGGCCGTTCTGGCCATTGGCTTTGGCGGCCATTGTCGCCGTAGTCGAGAGAAGGAGAGAGTCGAGGAGCGAGTCGTAGAGGATCCACGACCTTTGCCTGATATCGTTCGTAGAATCCTTCGACGCCGCCCTGTGCGAGCAAATCAATCTCCGACGCAGCGGCCTCTTTCCGCCCCGAGTGGCATTGAAAGCCAAGTCCTTCCGTTGTGGAAGGTCAGCGTACTCTGACCAACAAGGTTGTATACCATCACCTCGGCGCCCTGTGGACGACGATGCCTTCTATATCCGAGGCGGCAGATGCTGGACAGTCCTCATCGATAGCTGTGCCCGACCAGCCCGCCGAGGCTGGCCCTTCCTCGGCTCCTCAGGCTCCTAAGGCAGCCGCGGCACCACCTACCCCAGCCGAGAGCTCAAAGCCAAAGCCGACCAAGAAGCCAAAGGGCAAAGGGAAGGTCAATGCTGACGGTATTGCAGATGCTAAGCCAAATCGCACAAGCCTGCGAGGAGGCATGATTGGAATAGCCTCGTCCGATCCGCCCGCGCCGGCTTGGTTGCCCGCTGGAGGAGGAGCGAGAAAGGCATTGCCTGAGCTGGTGCTGCCTTTTAAGCTGCCGACGTCGATAAAAGGAGGTGAAGATGGATTCAGTGAAGGAAGCGACGCTGAGGGATCTGAAATTGATGATGAGAGCAGCGAGGAGAGTGAGGCAGAGGGGGATGGAGAGGGGGCAAGGAGAGCAAGATTGGAGAAGAGGAGACGTAAGGAGCGTAGAGCATTACAGCGAAGGTAAGTATTGAACACAGCTGTTATACATCGCCGGGAAACGACTTTCATTCCGGGAGGGATCTAATTCTGACGTCTGTCTGTATCTCCTCTTCAGTCTATTGCAAGTCCAGGCCCTTCGTCAGTCAAGGCTCTTCCACCTCGCATCGTTGCTTGCGCCCTATTCCCGCCGCACAAAGGCTGGCGTGTCCTACCCAGCCAGCGTGTCTCCTGACCTTCTTCACGGCATCGAGCCGTCTGTCAAAGGTGGTCATATCCTCACCCCCCTCAGCAGAGTCGAAGTCCAAGTCGGACCACACTTCTTTGCCAAGACGAAGCTGTGGGAGATGAGAAAGGAGAGGGAGCCACGAGCAACATCTCCTCCGCCTCCGAAGAAGGCGCAGCAGCCAACAGCGCCAAGTCAAACCTCAGCAACCCAGCAGTCCAGTAAAGCTTCTCAGCCAGCTGTACAGCCAGCTCCCGCACCGCGTCCTGTACAGCAGCCGCCTCCTCAGCCGGCAGCCCCCCGGCCCACACCCCCAACAGCAGCAGCGACAGCAGCGGTCGATCCTGTCCTAGTCACTCGAGTCAATGAGCGTGCATCGAAGGATGCTGATCTTCGAGACCTTCTGCAGGTAGCGGCTAGAGGAGCCGCATCCCCTGAACAGCTCCGTGTGTTGGGCGAAGTCATACAAGACGTGACGAGGGAGATGGAGCGCGATGGACTGAAGGTCCAGCCACCTCAGGCGATAGCCAGGCCGCCACCGCCGCCTCCTGTAGCAGCACCGGCAGCTACCTCTCCTCCCAAAACTCAGGCAAAGGCTGCAAAAGGGCAGACGAAGAAGACTGCGGCTTCGGGAACTCCTGGCAAGCAGGCTGCCGCGTCTCAAACCGGTCCGTCCACCGAAAGCGCTAAGCAGCCCGAAGCTCAGCCTACGGAGCAAGCTCAAGGACCTGCTGAAGACGACGCCAAAGCGCCTTCATCGGCTGCAGCTACTGCAGTAGCCCCTGCATCCTCATTCCGCCCCCCGATCCTCGTCATGGAGTTCCGGGAGAACCCCTCTATGCGCTTCTACGTCCCTCTGTGGTCTTCCATCGTCCGTCGGCGCAAGATTAAGCGAGCAAGAGAGGTCGGTGAGGGAGGTCTGGAAGAAGAAGAGGAGTTGCCGGAAGAGCCGACAAAGGAGAAGGAGCTGATCGAATTCATAGAGTTGCAACTGCACTTCCTTGCGCCTTTGCCGGGAAGCGATGCGGCTGTTGGAACTGGAGCGGATGCAAAGTATCCCATTCTGATGACTATCACTGCAGAGGACTCGAACAGGACGATCTGGGAGGCGATTTCGAGAGTTCCCGGTGTGAGGACAATCGATGCCAGTGGGCGGGAGGTGTTTGAGGAGCCGAAAGAGGAGACAGGCGAGGCCTCTTCGCGAGCGGATCAGGACAGGAAAGAAGTCGCGGATTTGGAGACGACTATAGCCAAGGCGGTGAGTGAGACGCAGCGAAGACATGGCAGTACCCAACGCTGTACCGCTCACACCTGCTACTCTTTACTCCACACAGATTGCTGCCCTCCCTCCTCGTCGCTCACTCAACCTTTCCGCTCCGCTCCCTCGCGGTCTCGAAGATCACCTAGCAGACAAGTTTGCTCCTCAGCTCCAGTCCACCGCCTCCCTCTACTCGTCCAGTACTAGTAGAGACGTCCACCCTCACGCCTCCAGCGCCGGGGCCGCAGGCGCAAGCAAGAGACGCTCCCCTCCCGTAGATCTCATGCATGACGACCTGCACGATCTCACCGGCTCCGGAGGAGCATACGACTTCGACGGCTCTCTCTCCGGTATCGGCGGTAGCGGCTCTGCGCCCAAACCAAAGAAGAAGCGTAACGTCGCTACGCACAACCCGGACGGATCTGTCAAGCGGTGCAACTCCTGTCAGACCAATGTCACGCCCATGTGGAGGAGAGGGCCAGAGGGACCTGCTACGTTGTGCAATGCTTGTGGAGCGAGGTGGAAGTCAGGGAGGTTGGGGATGCCTAGTGCGAGAGGCAGGAAGGGAAGCGCGGGACTTGGCGTGGCGGCTGGAGCGGGAAGTGGAGACACTGCTACGGCTATTGGTGGTGGAACTGCTACTGCTGCCGGTGATGCTGCCCCGAGCGAGAGCCAGAGTGGAGAACAGACAGTACCTACGAGCACTGAGCCTGCCCGAGTAGGAGAGGGAGTGGAAGTGGGCGAGGAAGCCCAGACAGCGTCCACCACATCGCAGCCCGTCGAGTTGGCACAGACCGCCCCTGCTACCGTCGCCGCTACATCGGCTCAAGGAGCAGAGGCTCAGACTCAAGGGGACGTCGCCATGGCAGAAGCAGAGCCACAAGTAGAGGCAGAGGCAGACGCCAGTGCAAACACCAGTGGGATGGTCGAAGGGACGCTCTAATCACATCGTCGCAACTGCAATGCCAAATGCTAGAGTCACTCACTTCTTGGTGCTCAGTGAAACGTGTGTGCGTGTGATTAAAGTAGCTCGGAATGATCAAAAAACCATAGACTCCTCGCAACCCCTCCAAGTACTCTTCTCCTACTGCTTCTACGAACTACACATCGTACTCTTTCATCCCCGCCTGCTTCGCCGTCACTTTGGGTACAGTCCCCATCCCGAACCTATTAGCAAGTACCTTCCACCAAGTGCGTCCCACAGGGTACCTCTCTCCATCCCCCTCTGCTCCACCACTACCCATCGCTCCTCCCATGGGCAGATTTTCAAATTCAAAATCTTCCCAATTAGGAACCAAGCAACGCAACATCATCTTCCATTGCCAATCGGGATGCATGGCTGTAATTCTTCCTGAATTCTTATCCATGTACCAACTTCCTGAGCCGTGGGAAGAGGAAAAGACTCGTTTTTGCATTAGAGAATGGATCCAGTATTGTTCGTCTAGCTCTGCACGGAGCTTGACGTTGAATGTGGGTCCTCGGGTAAAGGGGACGATGGGTGAGTCGGAGGGAGAAGGAGAGGGGGTGGGAGAAGGAGTGTGAAGGATGGCTTCGGGACTGGGACGATCGTTGCTGAGGAGAGGACGGGCTACCTCTAGGGCTAGCTCGATTTGGTTCTCAGTTGTGAAGATGAGCGACTGCAGACGAGAGGAAGATACGGAAAGGGGCATTCAGTCAGATGGAAGCTCCCAATAGCTCTCGAGAGGCTCTGCTCTATCGACACCACTCACCTGATGGCCTGTAGCTGAGTTAGTACCAGTCATCTGCACCAAGTTGGGAAAGCCAGAGAGGAAGGTAGACCGGTAATGCAGTGGTCCTCCATCTCCATACTTCTGCCAGTGATCCCTCAGCTCCTGGCCCCCCTTGCCGTAGAGTTCCATGGGGAAACCAGCACGGGATGGCGTGAAACCAGTGGCAAGGATGACGACATCGGCTGGAATCTCCTTGCCCGTGTTGGTGATGACTGATTTCTCCGTCATGCGTGCCGTCCTCTCAAACTCCAGCTTGAAGTTGGGTGCATTCAGAGCCGGAACGTACTGATCCGTGTCTACCAAGCGTCGCTTATGCATAGGCGGTAGCTTCCTAGTATCGGGAACAATGTGATGGAGGTACTTCTTCGGGCAATTCTTCGCAGCATAATGTCTGCACTCCCTCGCCTGCATCCAACGGAAGAGTCTCCCAGCCCACCAGTTCATGTGAGTGCCGGTAAAGTGGGACTCCATGACCATGAAGATGAGGATGCGCTGCATATTCTTGAAGAAGGAGAAATGCCTCACCAGCCACTTCCATCCTGGGATGAACCTGAAGGGGTCTGGGATCAGAGGGAGGATCCAGTGCTGGGCGCGCACGAATTGCGTCACCTGCTTGGCCTCCTTGATGATCTTGGGGATGAATTGAGTCGCTGAAGACCCGTTGCCTACGACGACTACATTCTTGCCCTTGAGATCGATGGAGTGGTCCCAACGTGCCGAGTGGAAGCTACAAGGAGGCGCGGCAGGAAGCGAGTCAGTCAGTCAGTAACTCCTTTCCCTCATCGAGCTGCTTCGCTCGACCACTCACATTGGACCCTTGAAGTTCTCGTGTCCCTCAATGTTACAGCTGTTAGGCGAGGACAGCCCACCAATGCAGCTCACAAAGAATCTGCAAACATAGTGATGTTTCTGTGGCTTCACCCCCTCCTTTGTCTCCCGCTCCGGCAGGTCCTCAGTATAGACGTGCCAGAGACTGCTAGCTTCATCCCAGCGTGCTTCCTTGACAACAGTGGAGAGGTGAAACTTATCCATGATGTCATACTCGGCAGCGACGGAGCAGATGTACGCTTGTAGCTCGGGCTGCTTAGGAAAGAAGGTAGACCTGAATGAGTAAATGAGAGAAGAGAGAGGAAGGGGGAAAGGTAAGTCGAAATACCAGAATGGGGGGCTTATATCTGTCAGGCAAGCTCACCAATCGGTCTTCTGCCTAAAGGAGAAAGAGTACAGTGCAGCAGGCACATCCGCTCCAGCACCAGGGTAAGTATTGGAGTACCAAGTTCCAGCAATTCCCGCCTCCTTGTCCAAAATGACAAAGTCATCGCCATACCCTTTCCTCTTCAATTGACACGCCATGCCAATTCCACTGAGACCAGCGCCAAGGATCAAAGTCTGATGGTAGACGGGCGCAGGCCATTCTTCGCGTTGTGAGAGCACCTGGATTTGCTTCTCGTCACTGATGGTCTCGGTTGGGGGTTGCGTGGAGGTCTTCTTGTCTGCGCCATTAGGGCGAGGTGCTGTAGACGACATTGCGTCTGTCTAATGCTCTTTGCGTGTCTAGGTTGTATGTACAGTAGGCCAGTCTATATGGCAAAAAGGGAAGGAAGGGAATGTCAACGCAAGTTGAGATATTGAGGTAGTTGAGCTGCTAGACTGGTCGAGTCTACCTGAGGTAATGGTACCCGGCTGGTGCTGCGTTGCCTGTCAAGCGGAAGCAGGCAGCCGTCTGAGGCGAGCCATGGCGCCCGACCTCGCTTCTGTGTCCAGTCCCAAGCTGGTCCGTGAATGCGGGGCCAGACGCCGGATCACCCGGGTCAAGAGCAAGGCCGGAACAGACGGAACGGAAGCAGGACTCGGTGATCACCGTCTGCTCGATCATACTCATCACCTCGCAAGATCAATACTGAAAGCGTCTCAATTGAAAGGATGTATGTGAAGGGAAATCACTACAAGGGGACTATGCCAATGTCAATGCGAGATACAAGAAGAATCAAAGATCGAATGAGGTAGGCCAAATTAGCACCGTCACACACCCTTTTGCCATCTATGCAGAACCGTTCTCCTTCTCTACTCCATCCCCGACAGGCTCCGTTGCTGCTGCGCCCCCCGAGTCCTCCCCAGTGGAGACGGCAGTTGCGGCAGCCGTAGAGATGGGTGCAGCCACCGCACCAGCACCGTCAGTGGCGTCGGCGCTGGGTCCAGGATTGGCCGCCCCAGCGGCGGCAGCAGCAGCGGCAGCGGCCTGCTTCTTGCCACTCTTCCTCGGCTTCTTCGCGGGCGGAGGAGCCCCACTTGCCAAATTTGAAGCTTCGCCTTCAGCGGGCGCTTCATTGGAACCTCCTTCGACCGTCTTATCGATGTTGCTCCCCTCCGCCCCTTCTGCATCCTTGTCCTTCTTCTTTCTCGACGAAGGGCCAGAAGCACTCCTCTTCTTTCTTTGTTGCTGCGAGGGCACCCGGCCTGCCTTGGGTCCACGGGGAGCGGATGCCTCACCACCGGCGGCGCCGTTGCTTCCTCCGGCAGGGTCTATCTCTTCGATCTTGGAAGTGGGAGGCTTGGCACCGAAGAAGTCGTCCTCATCGTCGTCGAGCGCCCACCCCACTGTCCGCTCCGCCGAGCCCCTCTCCCCATCGGCACCCCCGTCACGTAGAGCCTTTTCTCGATTGGCCTTCCTCTTCCTGTGCGTCTCTCTCATGACATCTGCTTTGCCCTGCGCTGTAGCGGCCTCTTCGGCTTGCCTCTTGCGTAGCATAGCTTCCGCCAGCTCATCGTCGTCCATCAGAAGACTGACAATCTCCTGGGGCTTGGCCACACCACCGCTACCGCCCTCGTTCATCGTCTTGTTGCCTACAACGATGTCTTGGACCTCCTTCTTGTTACGGGCCATCTTGATGATGCGCTCATCGATCGTACCCTTTGTGATCAGGCGGTACACCGTCACTTGTTTCGTCTGACCCAATCGATGAGCTCGATCCATGGCTTGCTGGTCGTTTGAAGGGTTCCAGTCCGAGTCGAAGAAGACAACCGTGTCGGCAGCCGTCAAGTTGATACCCAGACCTCCCGCACGAGTGGAGAGCAGGAAGACGAACAATTCGGGCTTCGTCTGCCAGTCAGTGACCATGTCTCGCCTGTCGGAGATCTTGCTGGATCCATCCAGTCGCAGATACTTGTACTGCCTATAGATGAGGTATTCCTCCATCAGGTCAATCATCTTGGTCATCTGGAAGTAGATGAGCACTCGGTGATCATTGGCCTTGAGGTCTCGCAGGAGTTTGTCGAGGTGAGCAAGCTTGGTCGAATCGATGATCAACTTGTTGATTTGTGGTACTTGCATTTGGGCTGCAGGCAGCTGATAGGCACTCGAAGTGGTGAGGATACCTCGAGGTGGGAGCTTTGGCAGAGCGCGTCGAGTAGCCTCGACGAGCTTCTCGTCCTCACATCCAGCTGGGGTAGGAACACCATAGAGCATCTGCGTCACGAGGTCATCGCGACTCATCCGCTCTTGCTCTTCGACAAAGGGGCGATCGTTGCTGTATGCACGAATGGGAGGTGCAACGACCTTGCCAGCCCATAGACGAGCAGCCGGTCCAGCAAGTGGGGAGTTCTCACTGTAGACGCGACGAACGTCGTTCAGGGGCGGCAGGATCGAAGGCGCAAGTCCGCTGTTGGTTGGGATACTCTTTTGCACCCAGCCGAAGGGTCGGACCGAAGCCGCTGAAAAATCGTCGTCCGAGACGTAAGGCTGCAGGTCCTTCATGCGAGTCTCACGATTGACCGTCTCCATGGCAGACTGAGCTGAGTGGCCCCAGAAGGCGACTTCGGCATCGCGAGCATCCAGGTCAAGCAGACGCAAGGCAGAGAAAGCAGAATCCTTGCCAGATCGGAGGTCGTCAGCCACATGCGGTTGTCTCCAGATGTTGAACATGTTGTCGAGGTACTTGGTATCGAAGCCCGCTCGACTGTTCCATCCGGGTGTCTTGGTCAGGCCACCTTCCCGAGCCAGCAGCTTCGGGACTCGGAGCTCAATGCCATTGGTGACCGAGTCGGGACAATGCAGCAAGTCGCCCTCCCTGGTGAGAGAAGCCGAATGGGCGAAGGAGGCGAAGCTTAGAGGTCCAGTCACGTCCGCTCGCTCAAAGAGCTCAGGGTGGTTGCAGACCTTCCTGAACTGCATGACGAGGTTCATCAGATGCTTGATACCAGCTTCATCTTGCAGATTGGAAGCGCGATCCATCAGCTCCGCAATGGAGACATTTTCTCTCAAACCTCGGTAGAGCATCTTCTGTCGTGCAGACATCTCGCACAAAACGTCGATCTCGATCTTATCACCAAGCTCGTTCTGGACATTCTTCTTGATTCTTCGAAGCATGAATGGCTTCAAGATCATATGTAGCCTTCGCAATTGACCTTCGTTGAGGGTACCCTTGTTCTCGGCGTGGCCTTCAATGTCTTTCGAGAACCACTCGGAGAACTCGTCGTGGGAGTCGAAGAGGGAGGGCATGATAAAATGCAGCAGGGCCCACAGCTCCTGCATCGAATTCTGCACGGGAGTACCAGTAAGCAAAAGTCGATTACGGCAATTGAAGCTGAGCAGCGTCTTCCACCTCGTACTTGAAGACGACTTGATGGCCTGTGCTTCATCCAAGATCATGTACTGCCACTTGACTCTCTTGAAGTACTGCTCGTCACTAACAACCAGCTGGTAGCTGGTGATGAGCACGTGGAAAGGCGAGTCTCTGTTGTACGAGGTGTGTTTGCGCGACCAGAACTTGCGCAGGATGGCTCGATCCTTGACATTACCCCAGTATGGCAGCGCCTTGAGTGACGGAGTGAACTTGGTGATCTCTTGCTGCCAGTTGTGAAGGGTAGAAGAAGGCGCGATCACAAGGAAGGGTCCCCAGATGTCATGTACCTCAGCGAGGTAAGACATGAGCGAGATACTCTGTACTGTCTTGCCCAGGCCCATTTCGTCGGCAAGAATACCATTGATGCCTTGCTCGTATAGATTCGCGAGCCAATTGAGACCCTTCAGCTGGTACTCTTTCAGCTGACATGTGAGCATCTTGGGCTGCGAGATGTTCATTTGACCCATCGAGGTCGGGTTCTGGAAGTTGAGGTCATCGGAATCGAATGCCTTGCCAATGTCCTTCTCGTCAATGCGCTTGCCACTGGCATCCGCTGCTTCTGCTGCTTCTTGCAGCTTGCGTCGCTCCTCAGCGGCGACAGCATCGAATGCTTGCGCCTTTTCGCGGGCAGCCAGGATGGCCTGCTGAGCGTTCTTGGCAGCGTGGGCTCGCAAATTAGACTCGTCGTCATCGTCAAAGTCGATGTCCTTGAGGTCGCCATTGGAATTGGCAGCATCCACCTCGGCCGCTGCACCGCTTGCGCTGGTCGCAACCGGCTTGGCATTGACAGGCGGCACGCTAGCAGGAGCATCTGTACTGGCTGCAGACGGATCGATGATCGCAGCAGATCCGCTAGCGACTCCACCTCCAGGCACTGCACCGCCTCCCGAAGTCTCTTCTGACTCTTCTGCTTCAGCCGTCCTCAGCTTGTTGCCCACGAAGTGAGAGTAGAGCTCCGTCTGCGTGATCAAGAAGTTGAGCTTCCTCGCCTGTCTCTTGGCTTCTCGCATCTCCTCTTCTCTGCGTATACGATCGGCGGCCTCCTTTTCGGCTTTGCGTCGCAGCTCCTTCTCCTCCTTCTCGTTTCGCCTCCAGAAGAGGAGCATCTCTCGCATCGCCTTCTTGGCTCGCTGTTGCACGTCCTTTACAGACTTGTTGTGCCTGGTCTGGCCTCGGCGAGCTTCTCTCTGCACCACTACAGCGATTCGCTTTGTGTAGGTATTGCGACCGAGCTGTGTAGCCTGTACCACTCGATACACCTTGGGGATCTCCCGACGCGCCAAATTGGTCCAAATGCGACGATGGGCTTCCTCGAGCTGCTTGATACGCTTTTCGTCGAGAGGTAGCGCTGGTCCATCAGGATCGATAAGAGTCTCCCCGGGCTCCAATGGCTCAGGACCGGAGGGCAGCGTTTCCTCGCCCTTGAACGGCGTGTTCCTGCTACTATCAGACTCGCCAACCCTGCCCTTCTTGCTGGGACCTTTTCTCTCACCCGAAGCAGTAGCATCGTCGTCAGATGCCTCAGCATGCTCTTGCTCTGCCTCTACAGCAATGCCGCTCTTGGCCTTGCTCTTGCTGCTGCTCTTGCCGCCACCAGTCATACTGAGAAGCTCGCGATCGACCTCTCGCTCCTTCCTCTTGCGGGCTGCCTCTCGTCTTGCACGCTGCCTCTCAGCTTCTCTCTGCTGCTCCAACCATTGCGTCTCCTCTGCTTTGCGGACGAGTACGCTAAATCTAGTCTCGTAACCCTTCTCAAGTCGCTTCTGAACAACGAAGTGGTCTTCTGTCCACCTCAGAGAGTCGGCCTTCTCAATCTCCTGAAGGCGGAGCTGCTGACGAACTCTGTAGGCATTGAGCTCATCCTGCCAGATGGCATTGTTCTCTTCGGTGGGGAACTCTAGGTTTACTTCGGGCACAACTTCGGCTGGAGCAACGACGGCTTGCGAGCTTCGACGGGAGGCGTGGCCCTCGCCAGTGCCTCTCTTGCTGCTAGCCTTAGACTTCAGCTTGATGCTTGTGACTCTTCCGGTTCGAGGTGCAGGAGCAGACGTGGAGACGGGGCCGCCTCGAGGATCGTAGTCGGGGTGAGAGGATGAAGACTGCCAAGTAGATGTGTAGTGCCGTGTCAGTAGTGTGGTTGAAGGTGTTTCCACTCCCCACGATGCGGCACTCACGCTTTCAACTTGGCCATGTAGCTGGTCTGACCTGCCCCCTGAGCCTGCCTCTGAGCTGGAGTAAGTCCTGTGGCCCTCTTCCATGGCTGGGTGATAGGAGCCATTCCCATTGGAAGATGGCATCACCTCCGAGCTTGCAGATGACACCGGGGTCGGGGCAGCAAGGGCGGGTGCCTGGCTGCCACTGTAGTCGGCTCTGGGGTACGATGTTCCCGATGCTGAAGCGGAGGAGGCGGAGCTTCGAGCTACAGAGTGGCTCTGCTCCGAGGGGTGTTGATGCTGATCTCGAAAGTGCGGTGCTGGTAGCCGAGAAGGAGTCGCGTGGGTTGCCCAGGTAGATCCACTCCGTCCCTGTGCAGAGGGAGGGGACGAGGTGGGGGCCTTGGAAGGATGATGAGGGGGAGAGGAAGGTCCTGCCATGGAGTGGCTCGAAGTGGCAGAATGGCTGGTGTGGGAGACATGGGCGGGGGCTCTGTTGATGCCAGGTGACTTGGGTACGCTGCCGCCATCATTGAGTATGCTGGATATACTCATCATGGGGCGAGGGGCAGGAGGTGGGGAGTCGGAGATGTGCCTGCCATTGGTGCCATGATAGGAAGAATGCCCTCCAGTGCCGCTGCTGCTTGCCCCTGCCTGGCCCTGATAAGCTCTATGCTGGGGGGACGACATGTTCCTCGCTCAGCCTCGATCAGCTCAGTGAGAGAGGGGGGAAGATCTGGGGGAGAAGGGGGCAGCCACCCGGGAGGCGTGGCCGTTCTTCGCTGAGTCTCAAGCGTAGAGGGGCAATCAGGAGAGGGAGCAATACAGTGGCCGAGGGAGGGGCAGCGTGCGGGGCGGGGCGGGGCGGGGAGGTGCGAGGTGAGTGGGATGGTGGTGGAAGATGTGGCACAAGTGATGGTAGCGGTGGTAGTAGTGTGGTGGTGGTGGGCGATGAGTCGGGAGATGGATGGCAAAGTCGAGGCTGATGGTCCTGGTGTGCGCTCCTCTTGGGGATGGCGTTTGGGTTGATTGCTCTTTGCTTACTGTATTCTGCCCTCGCCTCGTCCCTCTTCCTTGTGCGTCCTGCTGCCCTGGGTGAGGGTCCGCTGGACGTGTGTGCGGGTGATGCGTGGGTGAGCCTCGGGGCTGGCGGCATCAGCTTCCGATGCAATTCTTGCCGCCCCTCGTCGCCTTGCACGGTAGCGGAGGTCGCAGCAGCAGCAGCGGGCAGCGCGATCTCCCGTCACGCCCCCCCACGTCCTTTCCTACTTGGTCCCACTTCCGCTCCATCCTCCTGCAGCCCACACACACGCACCCACCTACACACACTCGGGCGCACCCGCTCCCCGTCCAGTCTTGCCCAGCCCCCCCTCGGCTCCTCCACACCACTTTGCTACACCTGAGGATACCCGGCGCCGGTGACTCAGTAGCAGGGACTGCAGCGCCAGTTGCTGACATCTGGCCCACACCGCCCGTATCCCTCAACCCACTCTACGCGCTCCAGCCATCTTGTCCTCGACCCGCGTCTTCCCGCTGTCAGTCGGGAATTCACGCGTCCTGATAGTCCTTTTACGTGCCTCTTGCCGGTAACAATCAAATGCCATCAGCTCAGATACTGTGTGCCCCGTCTGAAAGCACCCTCCCTTCTTTACTCCTTGTGACAAGAGCTACGGCCTGCACTCGACTAGCCAAGGTCACTCGCGAGGCGTCACGTGCCTGAATCAGATGACCGAGTACCTTGACTCACTGTACACCTGCTTCTCGCAGCAATTTGGAGACAAGTCAGTCAGTTACCATGGCTTCATGACACATAATCAATTGTACAACATATCCACTGCGCCCCTTGGCTCAGCCTCGACCTGTCACGCATATACATGATCCGCCTGATCCACTTCTCCTCCCTGATCAAAAGTGCTCCCTCGCCGGGCGCAGGTCCATCTCAAAGGTCCAAGCCGACGGGGCTTGCTGTGCCAGAAAGAGGTATGCCTTGGCCGCCTCTCTGGGATCCACAACCGTATCATCATGGAAGTATTCGGAGTCTGACAGGCCCAGGTGTTTGCGAGCTGCTGACGAGTCGATCAGACCGTCGATGACGATGTGAGCGATGTGAATGTTCTTCAGGTAGGCGAGGGGAGAGGACTTTGTCAGCGGCCTTGAATCATTGAGAAAAGAGAATACATCAGTCACACCGCCCGGGCGATACTCACATCCTTGCCATGCTCTCGAGCCGCTACTTCGCATATCCGTCTCAGCCCAGTCTTGCCCATGGAAAAGGCAGCAAATGACGCCCTTCCTCTTGTGGCAGATGTAGCGCCCGTCGCCAGGATTGTTCCTCCTGATCCCGTCCCAGCCCCTCCTACGCCCTCTTCCCCTCCCTTCATGAGCGTGACACACTCCTTCATGAACACAAAAGACGACATGATGCTCGCCTGAAACGAATCCCTCACTTGCGCCTCTGTCTGCGCCAGAAATGGGCGCTTGACCCTCACAGAGGCATTGTAAATGGCTGTGCCCAGCTTACGACCGGGGAAGAGCTGCAGTGCGCTCCGGATACCCGTGAGGACGCTATCCGGATCGAGTACGTCGCAGAAGACTCCTCTACTCAAAGGTGCTGCCTCTTCTGCTTTGCCTTGACTCCCAGATTGGTTTGCTTCCTCCCTATCCCGGCGCAAACGCTCCTTAGCCACCACATCCAGCTCTCTCGCCCACCCTTCTAGACGCTGGACATCTCGACTAAGAAGAGCAGTCGCGTACCCCTGTGCAGCAAAGTGCTGTGCGATGCACAGACCCATTCCTGGACCCACGCCGATAATCAGCACTAGATGCTCATGTCGAGGAGGACCATGCAGAGGTGTGAGACCTAGCGGGAGAGGTGGAGGAGGAGGCGAGGATGGGAGGGGACGGTGGAGGAGGTCATTCCGGCCTGGAGCTGTAGGTGAGGGGGCTGACATCTTGATGGCTCTTCGAGCCCAGATAGTGCCTCTCTAGTATCGACCAGGGAAAGCAATGTCTTTCTTGACGGGATGCTCAGCCCGACTTGGTGAGTGCCTTCGACTTGCGGCTTCAGTGAGAATCTAGTGTACCACATCCACACGAGGGTCGCGTGCACAGACCTCACACGCCCCCCCCGCTCGCTCGACTCGATCGGCTTTTCGGCATCCGGTCCGGATCTCCGGGCGGCCTGGAAATGCGGGGAAACGGCAGCCGCTCTCTAAGGGAAGGCAAAGCCAACGAAGGATACCGCTGACTGCATCCTTCGCATCGACTACTTTGATACCAAACCCTGCCTTCGAGTGTGACAACCTCTGAGCATACAGCAAACAGCGATTGGACCAACCACAGGAATCTCCCAGTCATGAGCTCCCGCCTCGTCGTGAGTCAGCCTCATGTACAATTTCGCACTGCAGCTCGCTCACCACCTGATCCACCTTCCTCCACGCAGCTTCACTACGACATTGTCTCGCCATGGAGTTACGTGGCCTTTGTGACGCTCACCCGCTATGTCAAGCTGTGGAATATGGAGATGGTGAGCAACTGAGCGGGGAGATTTCGATTGATGATGTGCTCTGACAGTCTTCTGCTTGCTTCAACTCACCTCGGCCCCACTTACGTCCTCTACCTTGCAGGAGCTCAAGCCTATCAACTTGGGCTACGTGATGAAGAATGCTCAGAATAAACCGCCGCTCACCGTACCCAACAAGGGCAAGCACATGGGGGGCGAGATGGTTCGCGCTGAGCAATTCTTTGGCCGTGAGTGACGCTTACTGACCACCAACCCAGGGCGCTCCAAAGAGGACACGCCTCGATCTCACCGAGGAAACTCCTCTCCCTTCTTTTCCCCACTGCGACTACAGTCAAGCTCAAAATGCCCAAGGAATTTCCTTTCAACTCTTTCCCCTTGCAGTGTGCCCTCCGCGTCCTGCAAGACGACCATCCCACCCGTCTCCACTCCGCCACTGCCCACTTCTTCCAACGTGTCTGGAGCGGCGAGGAATTCGACCTCCTCTCCGTCGAGGCAGTTGGTGCTGAACTGAAAAAATGGGGAGAGTTGAGTGAAGGGCAGGTGGGAGAGGTGGTCAAGAGGGCGGGATTGAAGGAGACGAGGACTCTTTTGAATGAAGAGGCGAAGAAGCTTGTAGAGGATGGGGGAGCGTTTGGTGCACCGTAAGTAGGGATGAGGAGGAAGGAGAATGCAGAGGTGGTTGCCTCCACTGACGATCGATGATATGCATACCTGGACCGTTGTAGATGGATCGTCACCACACGACCAGATGGACGCTCCGTCAGCTTCTTCGGCTCAGACAGGACCGAGGTACGTCAGCAGCGCAGAGACACCTTGACTCTCTCACAGACAAGTAAACCTGACGCATTCCCTTATGTCTTTCCTCCGACCCACCAATCTGATCTCAAAGCAAATTGCAGCGTTCCTGGAAAAGCCGTACAAGGGTCCCATGGCCGATGGAAGGCCATCGGCGAGCAAGCTTTAGAGAGGCTCGCCAATTGGTGGACGACTTCCTTCGACCCTTCTTCGCAATGGAATGCAATGCTTTCACATCATCAAATGCGGTATTGAGACGGGGATACAGGGAAAGGTCATGACATTGTAACAAAAGCGACCAACATGCTGAGACGATCTAGCCGAGAGCCAAGTATACGCTCACTTGGCGACTCTAGCTTTCCTCTTCTCCTCCTTCTTAATCTCCTCTCTCCTACCCGCCAGCTTCTTCTTCTCCTCCTCGGCCTTGTTCTTCGTATAGCTGAGCTTGTCATACAACTTCCTCTGTCTGTTGCTCAACAGTCCACGAGCCATCTTCTTTGCCTCGTCCGCCTCTCGCTCTTCTTCTGTTAGAGCTGCAGCATTGGCAGACTTCTTGCTCTTGGTAGCCGATGAAGGAGCCTTGATTCCCGCCGCCTTGTTCCAGGTGACGCGCAACTTCTCAATCTCTTCCTCTCCACCGAGCGCTTCGGCCTCGAGCTCTGCAGCGTCGAGTAGGCCTTGGGACTGTGCAGCGCTGGGATCGCTGGCAGAGGCGAGCAGAGCCTGCAGAGCAGGCCTGGACTCCTCGAGATCTTCCAGGTCCTCCTCTTCCTTATCCTCGTCGTCGGAGCCAATGACAATCTCCTCCTCCTCGCCCTCCTCATCCTCCATCTCCGCATCAGCTGCTGCCAGGTCTCCCTCTACGAAGGGACTCAGATGAGGCGGCAGAGTCTTGCCCACCTCATATTTCTCCTCGGGTAGCAGACTGCTCCTGTTGGCAGAGTCCACGACCCATTGAGGCTGCACGTACCTTCGTCCCTCGCGCTTGCTGGACGAGGCAACGTCTGGACGGTCAATGAGAACGTGTGTGATGCGGCTGTCGTCCTCCTGGAATGGTGAGTTGGGGGCGAGAATGGGGTCCCAGCCGATGCGCGTTGCAAGCGAGCCATAGGACCGGAGGAGGAAGGAAAGAAGGGAAAGAGGCGTTGACCTATCGAGGTAGAATGTGCAGGATTTGAAGAGATTGTTGCTCGACTCCGACGAAGAGCTAGAAGCGATGGGCAGGACGTCAACTCCAGCTTTCCCTGCTGGGGCGGTGAACTCTGTGGCAGGGTCTTCTGTTGGCGCAGCACCTGTTGCGTCATCCTCCTCGGCAGGCTCCGCATCCTCGCTACCCCCAGCCACTCCTTGCTCAATCGATCTGATGGTTTTGCGCACGAGCTTCTTGCTCAACCCAGAAGCAGACTGTCCTCCATTGACCTGTTTACTGCTCTCGCCTTCGCCAGCAGTAGCTGCTGACTTGGCAGAGGGCAGCTCATCGAGTTTCGGCGGGTATGACTCGCCCAGGTCGGACCAGAGCTTGAAGAGGATGAAGGAGAGCAGGGTGGTGTAGAGCTCCAAGAAAGTAGACATGATACGGAAATCAACATCGTGGGGTACGTGTTGTGTGAATGGGTATGGTACCAGCCAGGTGATGTCCTTGCCTCTGATCGTAGCCTGGAAGTAGATGCCCTTGATACTGAGGAAGGTCTTGCGGAGAGTCTTTGTCCGCACAATGTACTCGTCCCACTCCCTCTTCAGTCTCGAGCAGTGGTCCACCACACCATCGGGCAGATTGTACATCTTTGCGGGCAAGTTGGCAAACAGGGCAATCATACACAGAGCATCGTCAATGTCTCCCAATGCTTCGTCAAAGGTGGGGTAGCGCTGCTTGATGATGTGGTCGAGCGAGTACTGAGGCTTCGCGTCCTCAAGATTCTTGGCTGCTGCCCACTCCTTTCTACCAATGGCTCTCGAGAGCTTCTTGGCGAAGGACTTGTGCTCTCGCAAGGAGCGGAGAACCGGTTCGTGAGCCAGGTAGGCAATGTCCTTTGAATAGAAGAACGAAGCAGGAGCGGTGGAGCCTTTGTTGGCTTTCTTGACATTACGAGGTTGCTGCGGATGGATACCCTTGAGGATACAGAGCCTTCTGAAGTCAGAAAGGGAAATCTGGAGCTTCTTGAGAGCTGGAGGGAGGATGTGTAGCGGGACAGGCGTTAGCTGCTTGAAGCTTTGATGGGAGCATATTGATCAGACCTGCGCTCAGGCTCTCACTCACCCTGATTCCTAGTCACGTAGTTCTTGGCTGCACCGGACTCTCCCTTCTTCTTCATTCGAGCCATGATGGATATGCAGAGGTTGAGGCAAGGGAGGTGAGGCTGATTGACGGCACGGAGACGTGGTACCAGGAAGGAAACTTGGCTTGACGGACTCTCGGTTCAAAATTTGCCTGTGGCCCCGACAGAGGCAACTCCGACCGTGTTGCTTACGTCAGCGCGTCGAGGGCCTCTTCCCGCTTGGTCGCTCGGTACCCTCTCGTTCAGGTCACCTAGGGGCTTGTCGCGTGGGAGGGCTCATGCACAAGTATGGAGAAGGACTGTGCCATGTTACGGTCAGACCCCTGTCTCGCAGTAAGAAGCGTGACATCCTGCCATAGGCATGGCCAAGAACGTGCATATGCTCCCCGCCTCTCTGCTCCAGTGTGGACGCAATGACTCTCAAGCCACTATCGACGCCTATGGCCGAAACTTATATACTGCTCGCCTCAAAGTGTCTCTCGCCTTTGCCTGAACAGCTTCCCCTATCCATATCTACCCCTACCACCGGCTTTCGTCCGTATCCCTTCCTGTCTGCACTGAGCCTTCACTGCTTTTCGGGTCACAAGGACTGCCCGTCATTATACTGACGAGTCGGGAGTGCATCTTGCCCGAACGGACATCACCATGTGGTGCGATAATTGTGGTCTCATCTTGTGAGTTGTTCAAAGAGTAGGCCGCAACCGATGCGCCTCGACTCTGGCTCGTGCCACGCAGCTGATACTTCGACGACACCTCATCCCCACCCACGAGCCCCCTGAGGAGCGGCGCGACTGTCTGGACGGTTCTTATTGTTCTGTACTCAGTCATCGGAGCTGTGTTCCTGTTCTACTGGGGTCCGTTTGTGTACTTTGTGTCTCCGGAGTGGAACATCTACGCCGTCGTTGCTCTGCTGGTAGCTGGAGTGGCGCTACTTGCCATTACTGGACTGGCGACGAGATCGTACATGTTGACGCGATTGACTTTCTTTGTTTGGCCGCCACTGATGGTCTTGGTGGCCATTAGGGCTGGTGTTATGGGTGAGTCCAGTCCACAGGGTATATCCGTGAACATTCGTAGAGGCACGCACTGACGCTGATGCCAAGACCAATCGTCCCTACCCTTCGCCATTCAACTGTGCAGTCTATGAGCTCAACAAGAATCAGACACAATTCACCTGGGAGTGCGCAAACGACTATGCCCTCTGGCCCGCCTCAGCCACTGCCGGATACGCAAGCACCGGTGCTACCATGCCGAAGCTGCTGTGCGACTATGGGTTCCACAGCTTCTACACCGGCGTGGCCGCCTCATTGGTGCTGGACTTGGTTTTCCAGATCTACGGATGGTTCCTCGTCTGGAGGTACAAGGCGAGCCTCGAGCATGCTTACCGTCTGGTGCAAACTGACAAGACACTGTACTGAGATGTGCCTGAGGAGGCAATGTTGTGCAGAACTCTGAACCTTCGCTCACTCATCGGCGCCATATGACGACCTTTCAAGACCTGACGAATTTCTTCGATACCCGACACCCGATACCCTATCGTTCCAAATCCTTCCTGCCTGATTCGTCATGCCTTCTCACGTCCGAACTCTCTCGTCGCTACTTATCGCATTTGACCCTCATGCTCTCGAATGTCATAACAAATTCTCTAGATCACCGTAAATCATCAGCAGAATTGCAAGCGACGAGCAGCACGCACAACTCATGGTGGTCAGAAATTGTGACATTACTGACTGCCCAAGATATGGCAAATTTCTTTCAATCCTTCCAGATTACCCCTAGTTGTCTCGACCCTGCACTTATTGACAGAGCTTCGATTTAAGAGCTCTTTCCGTTGATGGCCAGAAGCTCAACCTCGAACTTGAGGGTAGCGTTGGCTGGGATAACGGGAGGGTAACCTCGGGGTCCGTAGGCGTAGTCAGGGGTGCAGATCAGGTTGGCCTTCTGTCCGAGGGAGAGCTGAGGAACACCCTCATCCCATCCCTTGATGACTTGACCTGAGCGAGAGGAGCGGGAACGACAGCGCCAAGAGTCAGTGAGATGTTTACAATGGAACCGCTGGGTAGCTGCAAGGGAATACTCACCGACACCGATCTGAGTCTGGAAGGGAGATCCGCGGTCTCGGGACGAGTCAAACTTGCTGCCGTCTTGGAGGGTACCGACGTAGTGCATGGAGACCTGAGGAGGTATAGTGAGGCATATCGCGGGGTCAGTATCAAATGCGTAGCGCAACGAAGGCTGTGCAGCTCCAACATGACATCTGGCTGCTCCGATTGTCATGACCAATCTGCTGCGCTACCCACCTTGTCTCCAGACTTGGGGAAGTTCTTGCCGTCACCGGCGGAAATGGTCTCGACTGTGACACCCATTCTTTTGGCTGTTTGAGAGAAGGTACGACGAAAGAGAGTAGAGGCGAGAATGATGACTGATGGTCCGTTGGTGTAGGATGAGTCACTTGTGAGGAAGGGGAGAAGCAAAAGGAAGAAGCCCGAGCTGTCGCTGGTGTGCCCGCGATGGCCTCAACGTGGAGGAGCAGAAGGGGTGGAGCTTTAAAATTGCCACGTGTGTCACTCGGGAAGGGCAGGAAGCAATGCGGGTCTGATCGGCTTAGGGGGCCACCACAGAGTCAAGCCATGGCGGGCGGCCTTCGCGGCAGACAATTTTGGCTCTGTGGCCCATCTGATTTCACTCCTTCTTCCCCACAGTATACCATCACCTCCATAGCAACATGGCAGCTCGACTCGCCCTATCTCGTTCCGCAGCAGTAGCTGGACCCTCTAGAGTGAGTAGCTCAGCTTGATGTTCCGTTTCACGGACGCAGTGCAACGTCGAGTGCATTTCAAGGCAAGCGACAGAGTCGATCTCGGAAAGCGCCAGGCTGGGTGATGTGGGAAACACATCATCGGAGCAACAGGCCAAGCCGTCTTACCCGCGATTCCCATCCTACCACCATTCCTTCTTCTCACACCTCCATCATCACCTTCTTGCCTCCTCCTTCAACCCCCTTCCATACAAGCAGATTGCATCAGCCTCACTGCGAGCCGCGACTCCTCTCAGACTGTCCTCCGTTGCTGCATCTAGGACCTTCGCTACCTCGCTTAGAGCCATGGTGAGTGGGATAGACGTTTTCGGGCCCCTCCGGAGACGAGGCAGCCGGTCTCACTCTTCGCATCTCCCATTCGTCATCTCCTTCAGTCCGAGTACCGTGAAGAAGCCGACACCTTCGGCCCCCTCAAGGTCCCCGCGGACCGATACTGGGGAGCCCAGACGCAGCGATCTCTTCAGAACTTCGACATCGGAGGTCCCGCTGAGCGCATGCCTCTGCCTCTGATCCAGGCCTTCGGTGTGCTGAAGAAGGCCGCTGCCCACGTCAACCAGACCTACGGTCTCGACCCCAAGGTGGCCAAGGCCATCTCGGAAGCTGCCGATGAAGTCATCTCTGGCAAGCTCGAGTCTCACTTCCCCCTCGTTGTCTTCCAGACTGGGTCCGGTACCCAGTCCAACATGAATGTCAACGAGGTCATCTCCAACCGAGCTATCGAGATGCTTGGAGGCGAGCTAGGAAGCAAGAAGCCCGTCCACCCTAATGACCACGTCAACATGAGCCAGAGCAGCAACGACACCTTCCCCACTGCCATGCACGTCTCTGCCGTGCTGCAGATCACCAAGCTTCTGATCCCAGCCATGGAGGAGCTCCATGCCGCTCTGGACAAGAAGCGCGCCGAATTCGACGACATCATCAAGATTGGACGAACCCATTTGCAGGATGCTACACCGCTCACTCTCGGACAGGAGTTCAGCGGCTACGTCAAGCAGGTGGAGAATGGCATTGACCGAGTCAAGGGAGTCTTGCCTCGCTTGAGCCTCCTGGCTCAGGGTGGTACCGCCGTGGGTACTGGACTGAACACCTACAAGGGCTTCGACACCAAGGTCGCCGCCGAGATCTCCAAGATCACTGGTGTTGAGTTCAAGACTGCTCCCAACAAGTTCGAGGCCCTAGCTGCCCACGATGCAATTGTGGAGGCTTCTGGTGCTCTGAATGTGGTAGCTGTGAGCTTCATGAAGATCGCTAATGACATCCGATACCTCGGCTCGGGTCCTCGTTGCGGTCTGGGCGAGCTGAGCCTGCCAGAGAACGAGCCTGGCAGCTCGATTATGCCTGGTAAGGTCAACCCTACGCAGTGCGAGGCTCTGACCATGGTGGCTGCACAGGTCATGGGCAACAACACGACCATCTCCGTTGCTGGCTCCTACGGTCAATTTGAGCTGAATGTCTTCAAGCCAGTCCTGATCAAGAACCTGCTGCAGTCCATCCGCCTGCTGGCCGATGGAGCCAGGTCTTTCACCAAGAACTGCGTTGTGGGCATCGAGGCGAACCGTGACACCATCCACAAGATCCTCAACGAGTCATTGATGCTGGCCACTATCCTCAACTCGCACCTGGGCTACGACACGGTGGCCAAGTGTGCCAAGAAGGCACACAAGGAGGGCAAGACGCTCAAGGAGGCGACTGTGGAGCTGGGTGCGCTGACACCGGAGAAGTTCGATGAGCTGGTGAGGCCCGAGCTGATGCTGTACCCCGATGACCCTCCCAAGTAGAGGCGGGCGTGGGGCGTTCCTCTGTTTTGTAGATGGCGGAGAATAGACGGCGATGCATTCCCTCTACTGTAGCCGTCCTGCTCCTGAGGGTGGGTAGCGCAGATGCGGCCCATATACACAATCATTACCAAATTGCCTGCCGACGAAAGTGCCCAGTCAAGGGGAAAGTGGTCCACTAACTGTGCAGATTAGCTAGCTACCTTTGTATACACCACGGCGAATTCTTGTCCATTTCCCTCGCCCTCGCTCTCGCCTTCACCCCACTGATCTGGCTGTAAAGGCTCGGCAATCGGCAATGAGTCGGCGGAAGGACGACGCAAGGGCTTGTCCTCAGGCGCGGGGCGGGTGCTGGTGTGCATGTCCCAGGCCCCGGGCCCGCGCCCGCGCCCCGCCCAAATGGAATGGAATGTGACGTGTGTTCTCCGCGGCTCCGCCGGCTTCGGGGGTGAAGGACTGAGTGAGAGAGGCACTAGAGGGCAGTGCAGACTAGAAGTGTTGCTTGTGTTGATCTCTGCAGGTAGATGCCGCTTTGCGCCACGGGACTACCAGGGCTCGTTTTTCCTCGTCGTCTTCCTCCTGGACCCCTCTCTCTTCTCCTGTTGCCTCTTGCCTGGCCCCTCGGGAGAAGTTCTTCTTCTTCTTCTTACTTGACTTGGCAAGTGGGTGGGTTGTGAAGCGTGCATGGGAGGCTGTGGTGTGGCATGATCGAGCGTGAGCGAGTGTATTGTACATTCCTCCTGTCCCGCCTTGGTGGCTGGAGGCCCGGCAACACAGAGAGACCAAACAATGTCAGCCCGGGGATGCGGGAAGACAGCGTCGATCAGGTTCCGCTTTGCTGTGCCTGACTTGTCTCTGCCTGTGCTTCTCTTCCGGGCTGCGCTCTCCCCCCTCATCAAACGCTGCCCCTCGGTCCTTCTTTTACTTCTCACCTTACCAACTTCCCATCACCCTCTTGCTCCCCCTTTACCCCACTTACCTTCCCGCACTCAGCATCACATTGTTTGCACTTTTCTTCGCCCAGCACAGTTGCGCTTTTCGCTCTCTACAAACCCACATTCGTTACCAGATCCCACCAGCCCTCACATCCTAGCCCCTTACCAGCCCCTCGTCCCACGTCCCAAGGAACAAATCAAGATGTCCTCTACCAAGTTTGCTCTCGGCGCCATTGCCTCTCTGGCCTCTTCTCTGCTTCTTCTCGCCTCGCCAGCTGCAGCAGCCAGTACCGTCACACCTACTGCTCCAGGACCCGGAGAGGTCTTCACTGCTGGTGGACAGTGCTCTACTACTTGGACACCGGCTACTGGCAGCTCGTGGAAGAACATGACCATTGAGCGTGAGTCTCCGTCAGGGCAGTAATCTCACAACAGACAGAAAGCTGACTCTCCCTACCGTTTCACTTTTCTTTGCCCAGTCATGACCGGTTCCAACCTCGCCATGGTCTCCCTCGCAAAGGTAGCCACTGGCCTCGATGGAACTTCCTCTTCAGACACCACCTACACCTTCACCTGCCCCGACGTGACTCTGTACAGTGCCGTCTACTTCTACCAGTACACCCACGGCAACGAAAAGGACCCAACGTGGACCACTCGTTTCACCATCCAGTCTGCCAGTGGAGAATCCGTCGACCCACCCGAGTCAGAGGTGAGCGATGGAACGACCGTTTACTACGGTACTGGCGCACTGGCAAACTCGGTCACTACTGTCGCTAGTGGATCTGCAGGCGCAGCAGCAGGTACAGCTGCTGGTACTACCACCATCACTGGTACTGGTTCGGGCAGCGCAGCCACGACTGCTGCTGGTAGTTCCAGCACTGATTCTGCTGCTGCCTCTAACACCACTACTTCGGCTGCAGGCACATCTACACAGAGTGGAATGACATCAAAGACGTCTGCTACTAACGCCTCGAGCTCAGCGACCAACACCACGAGCAACGCCGCATCCACCTCATCTTCCTCGGGCGCTTCTGTTGGCGCAGTGGTCTCGTCCCTTGGAGCCCTCTTTGCCGTGAGCGCAGCCTTTGTTGCTCTGATCTAAGCATAGCTCGAGTCTAAGCTCGACAAGAAGGGAAGAGAGAGAGAGGGAATGCGGGTGAAAGAAGATCGCTCGATGCGATCTGGGTCACTTTACTTTTCTTGAAGCTACCTGCTCTGCCACGAGGGTGTGCCCACCTGTCTCTTGTCTCTTGCTCCTTGTCTCTTGCTCCTCGCTCCTTGCTCCGCCTGGAGGTATTTCCGTCTGTTTATACAATTTCCTTTTTCCTCCTAGCCTAACCATCGTGCCACTCTGACCTGCAGTGTCAATCGACCCCTGACTTGATTGATATGTGGGTTGATTCACTTTGTCACTCGTGCGAACGCGCCCTGAACTGCTACCCCTACATGGCCTGCATGACCATGGGACCAATGCCCTCGCCCTAGTCTACCTGCTTCTGCTTCTCCCTCTGCCTCTGCCTGTCTGCCTCTGCCTCTGTCAAGATTCATATGATACGCACAACCTAGTCCCCCTTCCTCGTTCTCTACAGCTCGTCGGCGCGAAGTCGGCGCGAAGTGTAACTCGTGACTTGTGACTCGTGACTCGTGACGTGTGACTTATGACTCGTGAACCTGATGATGAATGGATTATGAACGAACGAAGAACAATTGTAGAGTTCAGTGTCTGAGAGTCTGAGAGCCTGAGGGCCTGGAGCCTGAGAGCCTGGAGTTGAGAGTAAGAAAGAGTGTACAACAAGTCCCACCCCACCCCACCCCATTATCGTCCTCCTCCTCGTCCTCCTCTCTTCTTGTCTTCTCTTCTGATCTAGTTCCCTACTCAGACCTTTCCCACTGCGGCGGGAGTGAGCGTTGCGCCGATGTCGGAGGAGTGGAGATGAGGACCACTTCCAGGGGCAGCTCCAACTCCAACTCCAACTCCAGCACTGGAAAGGGTGCCTGGACGACTGTTCTTAGTGCTGTTGCTGCTGCTGCTAATGTTGCTGGTCAGCCCTCCCCCTCCCCCTCCCCCTCCCTCTCCCCCTCCACCTCCTGCAGGAAGAGTTGACCCGCCTGCGTTCGTCGTGCTGCTACTGCTCCCGCTGCCATTAGCATTGCTTGCTGGTGGGGTGGAAGCGGCAGTACCTGTCGCACCACTTCCAGTTCCAGTTCCAGTTCCAGATCCAGTCCCCGTTGATGTGCCTGTACCTGTACTTGAGCTACCCTTGTTGGAGGATGGTCCACTCATCCCCACTCCTCCTCCTCCACTCCCTACAAGAGCATGCAGCTCCCTCCCACTCAGCGGTCCCATGCCCTGCCCCGCCCTCCATCGATTCGTCGCATTCACCGTCTCCTGTGTGGCCAGACTTGGATACCTCAAAAGGAAGGCATGATCTAGCTGGTAGGTCTTTTCACTAAAGACGTCTCCATCTCCTACTTTAGCACAGGAGAGAATGGAAAACATGACTTCGTCGAGGTTTAGATTGGCACGATTGAGGATCAGAGCGTCCCTTAGTGAAGGAAAGGGAGCACTGTCGATTATAGGGTCGTGCGGACGGGTGAGCTGTAGGTGGGTTGGACGTAGGAGGGCGGGGAGGTGGTAGGATGCGTTGCGCCGGTCTGTGATCCATCGAGAGGAAGGTCAGTGGTTTTGCCTGACGTAGTCGAAGGGGGCGCTTTGGCTACCCCTGCTCTAGCGATACTCACAATTGCTCATCTCATACGACATCCGAATAGCAGCCTGCGTCATCCTCTGCATATCCTCTTCACTCTGCAAAGTTCCCCCATCCTGACTATCCACACTTGCAGCCGAGTCACACCGTGACGGGTCCGGGTGGAAAATGGGAACAAAGTCAGTCCTGCCTTGGCTGGCCCTCACGCGTGCGAGTTGATTAGCAAGGGCAGTCATGCGCTGGAAACCGCTCTCATCTTGAAAATTGCGGAGGGAGTCGATGAAGGCTTGAGCGCTCTGAGGGATGCCATTGGGAGCGTTGTTGGCATCAAAGCCGCGCATTGCTGCTTGCTGCGAGGGCGGTAGAGATCGGGCCGTATTGGTCTGAACTAAAGACGCAGCAGGAGAAGAAGTGGCTGCTGCGCCCTGCGAAAGCAGCTCAGTTCCCCCATTGCTCGATTGGAAGAATGAGGCAGCATTTGTGCCATCTGCCAATGCGTCAGCTCCGAACAGGCTTGCCATGAGGGCATCGTCCTGCGCGTCCATAGTTGACGAGAAGCCAAAGGCACTGGGAGGCATAGGACCATTGAAGGGATGGAGATTAGTCACGCCACCCGCGCTGGTCGCAGAGCCAGGCGTAGCTACCTGCTGTTGCTGGGAAAACCCTCCCAGTGAATTGGTGCTGATCGATGGCAGCATTGAGAACTCAAAGCCCTCGGAGGCATCGAAGCTCTCCTGGCCGCGCATGGGTGTACCATTCTGGGGAGTCTGGGACTGCTGAGTAGTTCTTGAGCCACTCGGCTGCGCGGCTGGAGTTCCTTCGGCAGTAGTACCCTTCTGGCTTCGCTTGCTGTTTTTGGCGGCCTTCTGTGCATCTCCAGAGGATGGCCCGGGCGAGCCTCGCATCTCGGGCAGACCATCTACTGGTATATTGGCCTCCTGACGTAATTGTCGCAGCGCTTCGCACTCTTTTGCTCCAGGCCAGTTCTGCCAGGCATCTGTCATCGTCTTCTCTGATCTGCCATTGATGGTACGGAAGAGCTCCTCACGGGTCAGGCCAGCCTGCTGCAAGGGTCCTCCGAGCAAGCCCTCTCCGATGAATCTGCCTAGCGAGCCTAGTAAGGATCGCAGCGTATTGTTCTCGCTGAGCAGACCTCTGAGTGCAAAGCGCAACCGGTCCACCTGCTCATCATGATCGGTGGATAGAAGCTCGACTCTGGCTTCCAGCGCTCGAATGTACTGCTGCTTGCGCTGTCTGAACTCCCTCTGGGCAATCCTATTCTGAGCTTTACGAAGTACCGCGGCATCATCTTCATCCCCCGCGGCTTCGCCCGACTTGCCGCTAGCGGGCGCCTCATCATCTTCCGTGGCCTTTTTGCGCTTTGGGGCCTTCTTCTTTGCTCCTTTACGACCCTGCTTTGACGTTCCAGCATTCTGCGGGTCATCGAAGTGAGTAGAGCGTCAGAAGCGGTCAGCCTGCCTGCCCCTTTCTTGAATCTGTGCGGGTGGCTCCCGGAGCGCACCACTCACATCTGCATCGCTGTCATCGTCACTACCACCAAGATCGCCAAAGGTAGAGTCACCCCCTGCGCCCCCTCCTGCAAAGCCAGCGCTGCTCTGCAAGTTCTGCAGCCAGCTAATGCCAGGCATACCAGCATCCCCGGCTAATCCTTCACCAAAGCCAAAGTCATTATTACTGCCGGCAGAGGTGGACCCTTGTCCGATGACACCATTTGCTCCTCTACTGCCGCTACCACTGGCGCTGTTATTGCGGATCATACGAGGTTGGGGACCGATGCTCATTGCCGCGGAGAAGCCGGCGGATATTGCGGTAGGGGAGGCATCGGTGAAGCGGTCCAGCGGGGAACGCCTCTTCTTTGCCGGCGGCATTGCTGCGAAAGGGTACGAGAGTGAGAAGAGAAGATGACGGGAATCCGAATGAGCTGCTCGGCTACCGGGTTCAAGCAGCCAAAGACCTGAGAAGGGACTGAGGAAGGAAGGCTCGGTAGACGGGGAGGGACATATGCCTCTACTTGGGCTGATTGATGCAATCTGTAGACTCCTCGATTGCTGAGCCTCGTCTCCTTGGCTCCGCCAATTTCTTCCCTTTCCGCTTGGCGGGGTGGCCGCTCGCTCGCTGCTGCACGCAGGACAGAATCACCCCGCCGAGATCGTCCACCGCCTTCTTCCACTTACCCACAATCAATTGACACGATCATGTTCGGAGGTGAGCAGACGGAGAAGAGAAGCTAAGCGCTGACGGTGAGAAACGAGTACTGATCCACTGCTTTTCTACCTCCCTCCTCATTTCTCTCCAGGACCACCACCCAAGCCATCGCCCGAAGAGCAGGCCATCGCTGTCCGCCAGACCAGGCGAGAGCTGCGAGGCTTCGCAGTCACTGCCGCCAGCCTTTACATTGGTGAGCAGAGAATCTTTGGGATCAGACCACGATGCCCCACCCGGCAGCTCTTCTCTGACCCTGACCCTCCCTTGCTGCCTCTTGCCATTCTTGCTCCTTTCTTCCCCTGAACCCTGCAGCACCTTGGCTCCTCGCTCCCATCTGGCGCGCCCTCTTCAGCTACCAGTAAAGGCAAGATTGGCTGGTGTAAGCCAAGAGGCTGATGTTGTACGAACGCCAAATCAATGACATTACTACACCGCTTCAATTGTTGTGGAGGCCTAAAGGCGATTTAGTAGTAGAGAGATTGCTTGTGGGGATGGTCCCAATGAAGGCGCAGGACTTGGCAAGCTCGGCATGGATAATCACGCCGACTATCTGAGAGAGTGATAGCCTGATCAAAGGTGGGGGATCTTGGGCCCCGAAGCTCAACGTTCAGGGGCCAGTGTCAAGGTCATGAGGTCATATTGTAAAATCGTCACATATGGTGGTTGGGACAGATCCTTGAACTGTCGCGCGATGCTTCTTCACCTTTCTCCGTGCATGACATTATTCCATGAATCCCCTGAGAGTGCTCTCCACCCTTTGCCTTGATCTGATCGCAGCTATGCTTTTGCCAATCCCTGAGTGCTGAACTTTCTCGAGCGATCATGGTCTCGTCGTAAGTGTTGCCTCTGCTTCCGTCCCGATCCGTTGCGCGCGCCTTGAATTTTGGATCTTCCTGCCCGGCGTGCAGCTCAAGCCAACGTCAGGTCTACGCCTCCCAGATTTGATCCCGACCGAGAGGTGCATTACTGCTCCGTCCCCTTACTCCTACTTCTGCTCCTGCTCCTCCCACAGCATCTTCCCTTACGTCCAGCCGCATCTCCCGTCTTGCCCGTATCGTACCGCCTTGACGTCCTTATCAGTCACCTGTCTTCGAAAGCGTCTGCGCTCAGAGCTGTCCGTCCTCACGACTTTCCTGTCACCTCAAGGCTCTTCCTCCAATCGCATCTTTGCAGCTCTGCATCCGAGCCGAGATTACCTTGGTCCTCACTCATACCGTCTGAACAACAGACAGGAGTGGCTTCGCTTCTGCAAAGACAGATCAGCTACAGCTAGAGCGGACTTTATTGCCCTCTGTTGCATACACATATAGCCTGCCATGTCGGACCACGAGGATGCAGGAAATGATGCTGAGGGGTGAGTCTCTACCGGCGGATGCAGGATCGTCTGAATCTCATGATGGAAGACGACAGTGGCATGACTCAGGCTGCCAAGCTCATAGCGAGCCATGATCGCTGATGCTTCCATTTGCGTCTCGTCTTCCCACCCACGCAGATACTACGAGGAGCAGTACGACGACCCAGACGTGATGGACTTTGATCCCGAAGCCGACTTCGACCAAGACGGTACAGCCACAGGAGGTCAGGGTGGTCTGGATCATCCGGGAGCAGGCGGTGGTGGGGTTGGGCCTAATGGGATCGTGGAGAGTGGGGATCCGGCAGCGTATGGTGGGACTGGGGCGGGGCCGAATACAGAGAGGATCACAACGCCGTACATGACCAAATACGAGCGAGCAAGAATCCTAGGGACAAGGGCACTGCAGATCAGGTGAGTAATTGAGACCTCTTGGACGATGTTCAGTGGAAACACAGCTCATCTCTGCCCTTTCCTTCCTACGGAAACAGCATGAATGCTCCCGTCCTGGTGCCGACAGAAGGAGAGACGGACCCCCTGGCGATCGCAATGAAGGAGCTGGCACAGAAGAAGATTCCTCTGATCATCCGGAGATATCTTCCTGACGGCAGCTACGAGGATTGGGGAGTACAGGAGCTCATCATCACAGAGTAGAAGCGGGAGTCACGGGTTGTCAGGGAGCTCCATGGTGGGCAAGGCGCATCTATTGTTCTGCAGAGTCTCCTACAAAAGCATATAATCAATCGTCATCAGCAAAGCTTCGTGTGCAGGTCTGATCTGTCTGATCTCCTGACTCAAACTCAGCTGGACATTGAGACGCCCACACTCTGGCAGAAGCGATGGCGTGGGGACGCCCAATGGGGCTGTGCACAGCAGCAGGATCGCGGAGCCTTGCCCTTTCCAGATGACCTCCTTTCCAGCTCTTTCCCAGACAAAATGGCCAGTATCCCTCCCCCTACTATCCGCAACTATCAGCAGCTACTTCAATCGTCTGCGTTGTAGTCTCATCATGACGCTCAAGATCATCATCACCAGTGATCCCAGTGAGTCTCACCTGCCACAAGTGCTGCCAGGGCTCTCACCTGACCTCGACGCTCATCTTATGTCCGCTCCCGCATCCACTTCCGCACTTCCCCACACTCTCCCTCGCCCGTACCGATCCTAATCTGCTCTGCGATGCTGCAGTATGTCCCATGTGCTACGTGGGCTTCCTACAACTTCAATCTTCTCTCCAAATTCTCGGAGTCTCAGAGTCAGACTACACCATTGAATTTGCTCCCTTTCTCCTACGACCGGATTTGGCCGAGGAGAGGGCGGTGAGCAGGAAGATGTTGCGTGATCGGAAGAATGGAGAGGAATTGTCGAGACAGCTCTACGAGGAAGTGAATGCTGAAGTGGAGAGATATGGTATCAGGTTGTGAGTTGGCCAGGGCAGATGCAGATGCAAGAATGTCGGGCAGGCGCGGGGAGAGTTTCGGTACTGATTCTTCACTTGTGCTTCGGCCTTGCCTTGATCTGCAGTACCGAAGACGGACCCGTACGCTCCTCTATGCTCTCTCACCGCCTGCTCGAAGAAGCCTACGCTCGTGGCGGCCCAAACCTACAGCTCCCTTTCGCTCTCGCCCTGTTCCGCTCCTACCACGAGCAAGGCCAAGACAACGGCCTCCCCTCCCTGCTCATCCCGCTAGCCATCGAAAATCACCTCTTCCCAGACGTAGAAGCGGCGCAGGCTTGGGTGAATTCGACGGAGCGAGTGGAAGAGGTGGAGAAGCGCATTTTCCAAGCGAGGAACAAGAAGGGTATTCAGGGCGTGCCGTACACGGAGCTGGAGTATGATGGGAGATTGGTAGTCGTGAGAGGCGCTTTGGAGCCTACGGAGATCTTGGCGAAACTCATGGGGATCAAGACGGCAGAGGAGGGCGAGCATGCAGGCGGAGCGAGAGAAGGGGTAGCTTGTCTTTGAGGGTGAGAGCAGAGATGTGATTGTGACAAGATTGATTGCTGCGACATTGTGTACAATAGTGTGTTACTCTCTACTTCTCACCAAAGAGGATCTTGAGATTCTCTACCGTCTCCGACGTCTGTTCTCCACCGCTGCGTGCCGCTCCGCCCAAAGCCTCGCTCACCAGCGCCATCTTCCTCTTTTGGATGGCCAGAATCCGGTCTTCCACACTATCAGCAATGAGGTACCTATGGACGAAGACGTCCCGCATCTGTCCGATTCGATGCACCCTATCCACCGCCTGATCCTCCGTCGAGGCGTTCCACCAGCAGTCCAGCAGCCAGCAGTGATGCGCCGAGGTCAGATTGAGCCCCACTCCACCTGCCCGAAGCGAGACAAGAATGAGCATGTGCGAGCTACACTCGGCAAAGGTGCGCAGGACCAGCTCTCGATCCTTCTGCGAAACAGTACCGTCCAACCGCACAAAGGGGTGATTGTTGCGCTTGAGTACCACTTCGACGAGGTCGAGAAAGGAGGTGAACTGGCTAAAGACGACGCCTTTGAAGTGCGGCTCGTCTTTGCGCAATGTGTCCAAGTCAGAAATGAGGGCATCGAGCTTGGTCGAGGAGCGAAAGTCGTCCTTGGCAAAGGACATAAAGTTGGCACTCTTGGCAGGAGCTGCCTGCTTAGCCTCTTCGCTGGCGTGTTCATTGGCCACTGCATCGTTGACAAGGTCTTGGATGTCTTCGATAGAGAAGGGTCCTTCACCGCAGACGATGCAACGGGGTGTCTCGCCGGAGTCCTCGCAACGCTGCAGCTCGTCGACAAGGCAAGCCCGACAAGCTTTGTGACCGCAGGGCAACGTAGCGGGTTCAGCCTGTGGGTCGTGACAGATGGGACACTCTTCCTGGTCCTCGCCGTGCAATTCTGCAGCATCGATGCCGATGGAGCTCTCAAGACGCGCCAGGGTCGCTGCTTCGTCCGCGACAGCTGCGTCCTCTTGGCCTGCCTGATAGCGGGCGACGAGAGCTTTGACTTCCCGCTCGGCCTCCTCATCCAGTTCTCCCATGCTACTGCCACCCTTCTCCTGAGAGCGGGCATGGGAAGCTTGCATAGCTTGAAGCACCAGCAGAGGATGACAGACGGCCTGCCTGAGCTTCATCAGAACGCTGAAGATGACAGAGAGGTTTTTCGTCACCGAACCATCATCCCTCATGCGCTGATACTGAATCCAGGCTCGATCAAAGCAGAGGTCGTAGATCTTCCTTTCGATGTCGGAGAATTCCAGATGCTTGATCAAGATCGACTTCGAAGGAAGACTGACGATTGGCTTGCCGTCCTTGTCCTTCATCTTCTTCTCTCGTCGGAGCAAGATCGACTCAAGCACGACCTGTACAATCTCCAGCGCCTTTGGGTTCTTGTTGGCAAAGGGCTTGCCAATGAAGGAATTGAAGAAGCTGAAGTCGCCCCACGGCTCTACCCGCAGGAAGTTCAGCAAGCTATACAGGTCAGTCAGTCGATTGACGATGGGACTGCCGGTCAAGCACCACCTCCGCCGAGCCATCAAGTCATGGCATGCCCTGGCGTTGCGAGTGGTCCGATTGCGGATGTTGTGCGCCTCGTCCAGGATAACGCGAAGCCAATCGACAGCGTAGAGAGGAGCAGCCTTGGTGACTTTGCTGGCCGATGCTGCAGAGCCGCCGAGATCGGTGAACCGCTTGTACTCTGACACTAGTGTGCCGTATGATGTAATGACGACATCAACGCTACCGCCCTCTAGCCGGCCCATCAGGTCTGCTTTGCCTTCTGCATAGTACAGCATGACTGAAAGAGATCCAGCCTTGCTAGCCCTCTCCAGCTCATTTCTCCACTGCCCAACCAGACTCATGGGAGCCACGACAAGAGTGACTTGACCAGCGGACGGAGCCTTGCGAGCCTGCCGATTCGATTGTGCAAAGGCAGAGGCAAGAGACGTTTGCCGCGGTCCTTTCTTCTCGACCTGTCTGGCCCTCTCTTCGTCTTGTACATCCTCATCGTCCTCGTCTCCTTCGCGAGGCGCACGGTTCGTATGCAGCAGGCTGGCGACCATGATCGTTTTGCCAAGACCCTGGGTATGGAGACAGCATGGTGAAGGTCAGCGGAGGAGATAGCCCACAAGTGCAAGGAACCACACTCACCATCTCATCAGCAAGAATCCCGCCTCTTGTGCCGTGACTCGCAGGCTGAAACTCTAGACTCATCTCCCCGATGTAAGGATTGAAGTAAAAAGTCCCAGTCTCGTCAGGCATGGAATGATCCCCTCCAGCGTCCTCGGCATCCTCGGCCAAGAATCTGTACTCCTGCCAGAGAGGATGTAGACTGGCTTCTTGTCGCTGTCCTTCTCTGCCTTGGCGTAAGGAAGCAGGCTGCTCCATGTTGCGCATCCATCCCAGAGCCTGCTTTTGGTAAGGGCGTAGCGTCAGAGCAAAGGTCTCGGGCGGCTCATACTCTGGCAGCTCGGCGTCGTGGCGTTGAGCTTTGCTATACACCTGATCGAGCTGGGCTGCCTCGATCTCCGTCCCGTCATTGACGTCCGGTCCTTGACCTTCCTCTCCATCGACTGCAATAGGTTCTTGCGCTGATGTGCCTGCGCCATTGCTGCTGTCACCGACGGAATGACCATTGGCAGCGCCATTCTTCTGACTCTGAACGCCGGGAGAATTTAGTCTGCTTGTGCGGCCCGGTGACCCGCTTCCCTCGCCCAGTGTATCCCGGCCTCCGTAATGATCTAGCATGGCAGAGCTCCCAAAGCTGCCGTCCTCAGAGTGTTGCTGCAAGATATCATTGGCCTGGGTAGGCCTAAGATCACATGCTTTGAACAGCCGTATGAGTGCAGCCTTGCGCTGGCGCAGCTCCCTCTCGCTCGAAGTCTCTGCCGTCTCCTGGAAGAAGTTCTTTGCAGGCTCATTGTGGGTATTCCGCGAGCGACGCACGTCGATAGAAGCAGGGAAAGCTGCTCGTTTCAGGTATGCCTTGATATCGAGGAGGATATCCGACCCTACTGTCAAGACCGGAGGGCAGTCGACTACCGTGGCTTCGAACTCGGCAAGGTCAAGATCCATCAGCTTCGAGATCCAGACGGCGGCTTCTGTAGGCAGCCTGCCTACCTCGAAGCCTCGGGTGTTGCCGAACCTCACAACATAGTCCTCTTTCTGTTTGCCTTTATTGCTAGACGGACTTGCTTTAGCCGCTCCTCCTCCTCCGCCGAAGCTGAGCTTCGTCTGCTTTTTGGATGGCTGTTGCGCCTTCTTCGAGCTGCCATTGACGGAAGAGGAGACAGAGGAGCTGACCTGATGCGGCTTTGAGCGCTGAATGTTCATCTTGGCTCCCTGCTCAGCATAGTTGCGACCTTTAGAGAGTGACCACCCAGCGACACAGAAGTGACCGATCTAAATGAGAGCAGGAGAGCAAGCGCCAAAATGTAGCGTCAGCTCTTCTGGACTTTGGTCGTATTCAATCTGGACTCCCAGCTCATACTCACATATTTACGAGGCCAGTCGTTCCGATCTGGACTCTCGTCCTTAACCTGAATGACCTCCTCCGGCTGAGGCGTCCGCGATGCAGGCGGCGATGCCTTTATCGCTCGAGGCGACTCTATCCTCTGCCGCTTCCTGACGACGACGGGCTCACGCAGTGTCGCGTCCTCATCCTCCTCCTCATCGTCATCATCGCCACGGAAGAGGTCTGATCTCTTCTTGACGGGAGAGGCTGAACCCTCCACTTCTTCCGTCTTATGCTCTAGACTGGGCGCACTCGGTTGGGAGGTATGATGAGATGGTGAGGAAGCGAAGAAGTCTTCGCCATCCGAGCTGGAAACCATTCCTGCTGGCAAAGAGGATATAAGCAGAGCTATACAGATCAAGGTGGACGAGAATATGTGGTAATCCTCGGAAGGATTGACCAGGAATGAGTGCAAGGGTGCAGGCAGATCCGAAATCCACGCCACTTCCGAGACGCGTCGCCGCGCTCCGATCAGTCACAGTCACTCCTGGTTCCGCCATTGCACGTCGACTAATACACATTGGATCCGCAAGGGTATACACTTTGTCGCAGATCACTGAGCTACCATCTTACTTGCCTTCCTTCCCCTTCTTCTCCTTTGCATTCTTGACAAAATTCCTCGTCATACGGTCAGCAAGAGAGACGGGCACCATGTTGAGGAATTTGGCACCGCGCGAATGAGGCGTCCACGGCACGATGACAGGCCCGGGCCGAGAGGAGAAGAAGGAAGGCGCAAGAGAGGATAGAGCAGAAGCGACCCAATCTGACGAGAGAGGCATCTGTTGACAGGGTCAGACAAGCGAGGGTCAGCTTTGTGCGACGCATGCTCGGGAAAAGTCATTCACTCACGAAGCTTGTAGGTGGCCCGTCATTCATGCCACTGATCACCGTTCTGCGAGAGCGAAGCAATACGGAGCAGGGTGTGAGAAGAGAAGGAATACTACAGCGTGCGCTTTAGCATTGCCACGGCTCACCCTGGGACTATGGCCACGACATCGACTTGAGCGTTCTCTAGGATCATCTCATTGTATCTGTAGATCAGGACGTGTGATCAGTCTAGTGCCGATTGAAGCGCCTTACCCGGCTGCATCCCACTCACAATGCGCGAGAGAATTGAAGATTGTAGGCCTTAGATCCCGAGTAGACGGAGAGGCTACAACGATGGGATGCACGACGCCGTCAGCGAGCTATGATCGTCTTCCGCACCTTGGCACGCAGACTCACTAAGGACTAGGCGCCCAAGCTCCCAAGCTAGAGACATTCACCATCAAGCTCGGCTGGCTCTTCTTCAGCAGCGGCAGTGTCTTCCTCGCCACCAAGCTCGGAAATATCATATTCAGCGTAGCCATCTTGATCACATCCTCATCGCTCGTGTCCTCCAATCTCGGGTACTCCTCATTAGTGATCCCAATATTGTTCACCACCACTCGCAGATTCAGCCCGCCTTCGGAGAGGATTGCCTCCAGTTCTGCCATCTGCGGAGGGTTCGATCCCGCATCTGCTACGACGGGTCTAATCTTTACTTCTGACTTGATGCCTGCTGGAAGCCCCTCGAGGATGGACTGCCGTGTCGTCTCGAGCTTCTCGGCGCTGCGACCGTGGAGCAAGAGGGAGAAGCCCAGTGCGGCTAGCTGACGAGCCCATTCGAAACCCATGCCATTCGTAGCGCCAGTGACGAGGGCCCAGTGGGGACCGGAACCATGCTGATAGCGCTTCAAGGAGCTGGAGCTGGACATCTTGGCGATATAGAAGAGGAAAGAGAGGAGCAGTCGTTTGACGAATCAAGAGAAATAGAAAAGGAGGAGGGAAAAGGGGGGCTTCAATACCACACCCGGACCAACTGCAAGCGGAAGTGGAGAAATGCATCAGAATTCCGCCCTCCAGATTTCCGCATCCAATTTTCAGAGGGCGACTTTTGTAGGAGGGAATGGTTTCCCAGAGCAGAGTTTTCATAGTAGGCAGAGGTCGTCGCTGATGAGGGCTTGATGGCCGAGCACAGGATTGAGAATCAGACAGTAGTACATCTGTCCCTGAATCCCTCAAACTTGTCTGGCGACTGTTGTGAAGCTCAGGACGAGCCATGCGAGCATAGCTGAAGGAAGTCGTACGCGAGTCAGGGCCGCCTCACCCATCAATCCAAGTTCAGCCGCGACACACGCGGAAATGTCAAGACGAGTGGGGAACGGTGGATCATATTGTACAAATACAGTCCCCTTCTTCTGGGCGAGAGGTGTGTACAGCGGTGCAAAGGCATTCGAAAGCAAAAGGAGGGATTTATCTAGACAGTAATTAAGCAGCAAGAGGGCCAGCGGAAGGGGAATCGATGGAGGGCAGCGCTCGTGCGCTCTACTTCTACTCAAACATCAACGCCGTCCTGCTGGCCCGTTCTTCTCCATCGGTCTGCAAAGGTGTCCGTCTTGGGTCCCACCACGGTGCTCAGCCAGTCCTTCGAGGCAGACTTGCTCACCGGCGGCGTATCGTCCTGCTCATCATCCTTCTGATCTTGTTCCTTTACAGTATCGGGGCTGGAGTTGGGACGAGGTGTGCGACGCCCTTCGTCGTACATTTCCTCGTCGTGCTCTTCCACGTCCATCTCTTCATCGTCCGCTTCGGCACGAGTGTGGCCGAGGATGCTCTGCAGGCGCTCGGGGAAGTTGATGGCTAGCAAGAGACTCTTGATCAGCTTGACGTGCCTGATCCTCGTCTCCAAAGAGACGTCGCCTGACGAACCCGGTGCAAGAGCCATCTTAGCCATGAGGGTGTCAGCGCCGGGCAAAGAGGGGTAAAGCGAGCTTGGTGGCGCTGGCGATGTAGACCTAAAGGCAGACGACGACGACGAAGTGTCTGTCGGCGATCCGGTCGAGGAGGGGGTAGTGGTGCGGGTGTCGACGGTAGTGCCGTAGCTTTCCTTTCGAGATGAGCGCCAAGTGTGACCCGCCGTACCCATCGCGGGTGGGGGTGGCAAGTCTCTTGACGAGAGAAGAGACGAGATGGAGGGCAAAATGGGAGCAGGTCTGGCACTATCCGTTGCCGCAAGAGCAGTAGCACCACGTCGTGTACCGTCGATACTGGCCAGAATGTGGGCTGCATCATCGTGCCTTTCGTCGCTCACCGAAGCGGTGGGTGGCTGCGGAGACCGGATGGGTGCCAGACTGCTCTTGCGGTCATCGACATCGTGCGTCTCCGTGTCGACAGATCGAGCTTCGATCTCGGTTGGTGCAGCTCTCATCAGCGGGTCGACACGGCGGAAGGTGTGAGACCTGCTGTCAACACTGGACAGTGTCGGCTTCACGCCTGCTCCACGGGGCATGCGCACAGAGTCGAAGCTTGCGGCTCCACTGCCATAAGGCAGGTGCTGAGCTTGCTGCTGGGGCTGGCTCTGCGCCATCGTCTGCAGCCCATGATGAGGAGTCAAGGATGGATACAGACTGCCCATTGGCGACGCGAAGCCGGCGGCAGTCTGTCCACCATTACCCTGTGCCGTATGTTGCTGCTGGTGGGATTGGAAGTGACCGCCATTGGTGGTGCCCTGCTGACGGGGCATGCTGGCAATGGCTCGTGGTGGCTGCTGCTGCTGACCGAGATCCAGATAGCTGGCGTCACCATTGGAGAACAGGGAAGAATCGAATCCCGCAATGTTCGTCAGACCCATGGCGCCGAGGGAATTCATGTCAAAGGCAGCTGCATCGAAAGCTCCGCTTGACGACGGTTGTTGTGAACCATTCCCGTGGGAGGCCATTGCTCCATTTAGGTCCCGAGCAGCGCTGTTACCCAGCTGCAAGAGGAAGTGATTGAGCTCAGCAAGCTTGTGAGGGTCGGTAGGCAATGAGGCGGAGAATGCTGGAGCGGATGCAGTGGTGGGGCCGATACCAGGTGCTCCTCTGTGCGGCCCTTGTGGACCGGCAGAATGTCCGTTCAACGCAAAAGTTGGCATGTGACTCCCACCTTGGTGCGAGCTGGCGGACCCTGCGTCATTGACATTACTGCCGTTGAGCAGTGCCTGCAGAATCGCATCATCGTCGAATGTGCTACCAAAGGTCGAGCTGAGTTTATCCGCCATGTTTGCATCGTAAGCCGGTGAGGATCCGACGAGACTACTGTAGCTTTGGTCCGCATCAGGCAAGCTTTGAGACTCGCTGGGCCTTTTCTTCCTCGTGTCTTGAAGCAGACCGTCCACACCAGTGAGCAAGTCATCGTACCCACGCTTCAAGCTAGCAGAAGATGCAATAGACGAGGCACGGCTACCCTGAGAAAGGAATGTGTACGAATTGGGGTCCTCGGATGGCTTCGAACGTTGAGTGCCACTGGCCAGAGCAAGGTACGATGAGTTCAGAGGGTACTCCCCTCCCACCATTCCTTGTGTACTCTGTTGCGCCTGTTGATAGTGGTTCCTCGGCGAGGCCTCTGAAGAGTATGGAGTACCCAAGTGCGAAGACGAAGGAGAGAGGGATGCTAATGACGAGACTGAACCATCCCGCCTCTCATGTTGAGGGGCCAGGCGACCAGATGCGGATGGCGATTGTTGCCTCATGTTCTGAGTCCAGTCGGACGTGTAGCCGCGGTGGCTGGGCATGCCGACTCCCTGAGGATAGAAGACAGGATTGCCTGTGGAGGAATAGACGTTGCTTCCGAATGGCTGATATTGCTGGTGAAGCTGAGGATGAGGTTGACTCGCCATCGCGGCATGATGGCGCTGCTGGTGGGCAAGGTGTGCTTGCTGCTGTTGGTGGAACCTCCTCTCTTCGGCCTGCTGTTGCTGCTGCTGCTGCCTTTTGGTATTCTCCTTTGCTAGCGCAGATGCCTGCTGTTTGTGGACCTTGGTCTGAGCCTGCTTCATCTGATGGTCTTCGGTGTGGATCCTCTCGTGCTTCTTCAAGTCTTGAGGCCGCTTGAACATCTTGCCACAAGAAGCACAAGAGTGAGGCTTCAGTGGTGTGTGCACACGTAGGTGAGAGGTGATGTGATCCCTCTTGGCGCAGACGGCATCGCATCCTATCCAGTGACACGTAAGACAGAGATTGTTGGTGCTCTTTCGTCCTACGTGGTCATTGCACAAGTGCTGATACAGAATCTCGGGATCTTCATACGTCTGGCCACAGTCGTTCCACTGGCAGACGACGAGGGAGAAGGAGTCATCGTCACCAGCATTGGAGTCGTCGGTCCGGGCATCACTGCTCATGGAGATGCTGCCGTGAGAGGATGCGGCGCCCGAGGGGCTCATCGATCTTGCTGAAGAGGCGCGAGACATGGACGTCGCAAGGGAGGATTCCAAAGATGGAACCGGAGAGCTGGAGGATTGCTTTGAAAAAGCCGAGTAAGAGCCTCCCGAGGGACTGATCGAGTTCATGCCTTTGTGATAGTGCTCACTGAACTTGTGCAGCAAAGGCGAGAGCGGATGTCTGGCAGAACGACAGACAGGCTCAGGGGTCTTGGCCTGCGGAAGGGTAGCTTTTGCTTCCGGGCGTGTGTAGCTGTTGCCTGCGCGAGATGAGGACGATGGGTGGATAGAAGAGTAAACTTGCGGTCCGATAGTATGAGTAAGGTCTAGTGGAGAAGGAGGAGAAGGGTATTCGACGACGAGGATGAGGGACTTGGAGTCGTTGCTGTCAATGAGGAGTGACCGTGGTGAAAGATGAGAAAGGGAGGGGGGCGGACGGCAGTGGGACGCCAAGACATAGGTCCCACCCGCGGTCAAGGGCAAGGGCAGCCCCCCGCCCCACGGCATCATCCTTGTAGCCGTCAGGGAGGCTAGCCGACAACGGCACCTCGGCAGAGGAAGAGTTTCGTCGGCAGGCCCTGTCCACCCGCGCCTTGGCACTACACCACCGAGGTGCCTCGAGCTCCGCACGCCGTCATTGCGACTCCGAGCAAGCCGGCTGCCGGCCTGCAAGCAAAGCCAAGAACCGGCCCCGCCAGGTCCACATGGCAATCGGCGCGGGCAGGCGGCCCCCGCAAGGCGCAAGCAGATGGCTGGCTACCTTCTTGGCACAAGCAGAGGGCCGAGCGCCAGTGGTGATGCCAAGCACCCGTGAGTGCATCTATAATCCCACAGCAGGCGGCATCTTTCGGATCTTTATCCTCGGTGGTCTTGGCACACCGTCGATGTTGCTTCCACCCACCTTGGCTGGCGCTCTGGGGGACACGTTCTTGCGGATCCGACACAACATTCTAGCTACGTTCGCGCTTTAAAGTCTTCTCTGCCCTCGTAGCTCCCATGACAGGCAGACGTGCGACAGCGGGTGGAGCAGCCTACCTCGCAGCAGCTGTCCGACACTCTTTGCCGCGCTGCGATGTGGGACGCATCACTGTTCTCCTGTTTCTCAGGCGTCGTTGCAAATGGTCGAAAGGAAGGCGTGAGACTGAATTACGCCTTCTGCTTGTCGTTGCACCTCCCTCGGTTTGATTTTTACCTTGATGATGCGCTCGAACAAGGCACCTTGAAGCCTCTTAGAGGGGCGCTGTGCTGCCTACTCGGACCCAAGCGTGTGCACACGAACGGGGCCGAGTGTTGTCTCGCGCTGAGTATGGCTTGCGAGTACTACAGACCTGGCGCATTCACTCTACTCTGGCTCTGCTTTTCTCTCGACAGCCAAGGCTGACTGCGTAGAGTGCTTCTCCAATCGCTGCCTCTGTCTCTCCACACCCCTGCCCGTGTCACAGGAGCCAAACGGAAAGGGCTCGGCGGAGGAATCTGCCCCGCGCTCAGGCCACGCTCAACCCACGGCAAAGTCAGCCTCACCTCTGTCCTTCGCCTACCATTCCATCCTCTACCAGCGGCATGGCGCATGCCACTTCGTCGCAGGCTACGTCCTCATCCTCGACGAAGGCCTCGCTACTGCTCTCTGATTCCTCTTACGGATCCTCACCTGCAGCTGCGAGGGCGTCCGTCTCACACTATGCTTCGGCAGATGGTCGCAGGCTTGTCACAGCCATAGCAAGCGGAGACCAGATCTGTCTCCTAGACGGCAATTTCGACATTCTATATACGCTTGACTTTTGGGACGCTTTTGCTGAGACCTCTGAAGTCACGGAGAGACCGGCGCATAACATACAATGCCTGGCAGTCAGGCAAGGCGCGGAAGAGGGGCAGGTATTGGTGAGTAAGCAAAGCTCAAAAGATGCCGTGCTTGGACAGACTGCCTGACGAGAGCATCTTTCATATCTTCAATCCTGCGCGACAGATCTTCGCCTCCATTGCAACTCGCATCGTGGTCTGGGCAGCCTCTAATGTTTCCTCCTCCTCAACAAAACGCTGGCGGGTACATTCGACGCTCGACCTGCCTGCTCCAGCAACCTCCCTCGACTTCGATTCCGGGCGTCTACTAGTGGGCTGTGGTTCATCACTACAAATCTGGAATCTACATGATGGTCGCCTGTGGCGAGAGAGCTGGAAGGTCGCAGCTCCGCGGCCGATCAGACTCTGCTCTTTCAGCCCGTTGGGAACAAGCTTTGCAGCATGCAGCGAGGACGACAGAAGAGTTGTCGTGTGGCAGATCAAGAAGGCCCTGATCTCGAGACCAAGAAGGACTGCCGTTCTGCTTCATGCAAGCTATGTAGTTGATCTGAGATGGAGGGGCATGCCGGATATCAGCAGGTGAGACGTTACGCAGGCGAGACGCCTGAGTCTGCGTGAGCGCTAATCCACGACAATCTGTCCATCGCATCCCCTCACAGCCAATCGGACATCTTGATGACTCGCTCACAAGATGGCGCTGCGAGAGTGTGGGCTCCCGTGATAGATGAGCCCTCTGCCCTCCGCCTATCGGCTACCATCGATGCTGCTTCGTTTGGCAAGCGTGGCCCAGGGGCTGCAGAGACAATCGAGCACATCTTCTACCTGGACGCCGCCACAATAGCATCTGTCCTGCGAGCTAACATCAGCCTGCTGGAGCGAGATATACAAATGTCGGAAGTAGGTCTGTCGGACCTCGATCAGCCATCAGCCAGTCGCGAGATCGATGCGAAGCGTACTAGGCATAAGCGGCTACAGCATATGCTCAGCGATACTCCTGACGTATTCATTCGCTTTCAGGAGGATGGGACCATTGTGATGAGGGCTTTAGCAAGCATCGATCGGAGACCGCCTACCCTCTTACAGGCATACACCGTTCTCAAACTCTCAAACCCTCTACATCCGATCTCTGCTGGGGACATTGGCAGTATAGAATTGTTCCCACTCAGCGTTCCCACAGGTCAAAGCAGCGAAGAGGCTCTCGGCGTATTCTACCTGCAGAGTCGAGACGGCAATAGAACCCTAGCGGCCAATTTCAATCCGTCCTTGTTCTTCGACGGGCAAGGCATGGGTCTCGTCAAGAGGAGCTTGTCCTTGGAGTCGAGTCATGGAGGTAAGGTCCGAGGCATGGTCAGCACTCGTGATAGACAAGTGCTCTCCGTAGACGATGCCGGGTATGTCACGCGGTGGGGGACTGCATCATCTGGAAAGGCATCTCTGGGGAAGCGTACCGTGATGACCAGCCGGCGGAGATCGGAGTTGCCGAAATTCCAGCGTGATGATCGCTTGTTGGCAGGTCACGGAGAAGGCATCGTTGTGTGGCACTGTAGCACACAGAGTCTACTGCACTATCGTAATGGCAGCAGCAAGGCTGAAAAACTGGCTGGGCTTGCTGATCAGGAAGAGCCAATATTCGGCGCCTTCAATGAAGGAGACACCATTTTGACGATAGTGACAGCACAGCGCATGATTCATCAGTGGCATCTGACAAGCTCCTCAGGCTCCCATGGACCTCCCACAACGTCTACCGAGCTGGATGACGTAGGGACGCTCAAGCTCGCATTCACTGCTATGGGCGAAAACGCGGCAACGCACCCCTCCTTCGCGACCTTTTCCGCCGATGGTCAAATCACACTGTGGCAATGCGGTCAAGACGATGGTCTCTGGAGCCGAATGAGTCGATCAGTGCAGGCCAACGTGAGCGACCGCGTCAAGGGTGCTGCGACTTCAAGTGGCCTGATAGCAGTGAGTGGCAGCCAAAATACTCAAAGCCAAAGCCAAGGACGGACACGCTCTTCCCTTCAGATTTTCGACCTCGCTGCCTCGGATTTTGACACAATACTACAATCCTCACAAGTGGACGATGCGGATGAGAATGACACAATCGTATCGCTCGATTGGCTGGAGCTAGCAAACGAATCGTTCGCCCTGGCCGTGAGTAGGCGGCATCGCATAGAGATTTGGGTCCAAGCAACACGCGGACCATACGACACCGCCAACGAGGGAGGCAAGTCAGCCTGGGCAATTCTGGCAACATACGACTTGACGGAGATCACAAAGCAGGCCTTCACAGCGTGCCGATGGGCACAGCATCACACCCTGATCGTCTCAACTGGTCATCAGGTGCATAGCCTCGGTCCACTCCTGGCTACAGCAGGCTCGACAGCCGAATTGAGGCACGTCGCAGAGCAGCAGGCTGGACCGCTGCCTGTATGGCATCCAGTGCTGCTATCACAGCTGATCCTGCTTGGCAAGACAGATGAGGTGACCAGCATTGTGCTGAGGTTAGCAAGGGCTCTCGGAGAAACCTCCTTGGGAGAAACGCCGAACTTGAGTTCTCTGAACGAGAGCAGCGCAGATCTCCTGAATAGTGCCAAGCGCAAAAGTCTTGAGTCACGAGAGGGACAGGAAGTTCACGACTCACTCTTCAATGCCGAAAGCAATGGAGACGATACTTTACGCTCGACTCTGACTTCGGACATTGTTGACAAGCTATGTAGCAAATTACAGACAACGCCTATGCCACGCATGGCCCTCAGAGAGTCTCAGCAGCTCTCTCTTCTTGTTCGATGCCTACTAGACATCAGCGAGCGGAAATTCATCGTCGATGCAAATGGCTGGCGCTACCTGACAGCTCTGAGAATGCAGCGCGAATTGCACAAATTGACTGCTCAGGAGAACGTGAACGGTAGCGTCAGCTCTGCTGGCAAGACGTCTGCCTCTGTCACGGCAATGTCCCTGATCAATGGCTCAAGCAATGCCTCAACTTCTGGTCTTCCGACGTTTCACCTTGCCAGCCGCGATACTGTTTGGGCTCTTCACTCAACGACGCAGGAAGCTATCGTATCACGGCTCAAAGAGACCTTTGGCGATAGGATCACATGGCCGATCGCTCGCTCAACAGGAGTTTTCTACTTCCTTCCGCCTGCCTCGTCGAGCCCTCTGCTGCTGGAGTTGGCCGAGCAAGTAGCGCGGGATCAGTACTCGCTCACGCGAGACCCTGTCTCTTGCTCTCTACTCTACTATGCACTGGGCAAAAAGAAGCTGGTCCTAGGACTGTGGAGGCAAGCTGCAGGACATCCTGAACAGAAGAAGATGTTGCAGTTCTTGACGAAGGACTTCGAGGAAGAGAGGTGGAGGACTGCTGCGTGCAAGAATGCGTTTGCGCTGCTGAGTCAAAGAAGGTTTGGTGAGTAGAGTGGATGCGACACTGCAAACGAGTGTTTCGAAGAGGGATGCACTGATACGTCCTATCTCCCTGCTTTGCAGAGTTTGCCGCATCATTCTTCATGCTTGGCGACTCGATTCAGGACGCAGTCAACGTCTGCATCAAGAATCTCAACGACATTGACTTGGCTGTCGCGCTTGTACGCATCAAGGAAGGGCGAGATGATGGCCCACTCTTCGTAAAGCTCTTGAAGACAAGGCTTCTTCCGCTCGCGTTTGATGTTCAGGATCGCTATCTGGCTCACTGGGCATTCTGGCGTCTCGGGCAGCGAGAGATGGCGGTGCGCGTGCTGTGTACCTCGATGGATCTTTTGCGCAGCGAGGTCAAATCACTTCCTCCAGTAGTCAGCGATGCACCACCCCGAGTGGCCAGATACGAGGATGTGACCCTTGCGGTTCTGTACTTGCAGATGAGCAAGAAGGGCATACCAGTCGAGCAAGATACTCGCTTTGCAAAGCACATGCAGAAGGTACTGAGGCGAATGGGCTGCCATCTTGTGGCAGAAGCCCTGCTTGCCGAATGGGAGTACAAGCCATATGTAGAGGTTCAGTCTCAGCAAATCAACAACGACACTGCTGTTGACGTTGAAATGGTACAAGCCACTCCTGGGCAGGTGTTGCAAGAGACGAAATCTTCGGGCACGGCCGACGGTCCGCCCTCGGACGCCCTGAACGATGCGCTGGCGGGCTTGACTTTCACAAGCGCTGCAACTAAGTCCGAACCCGAAACAACAACCAGAGCTCCCAGTGACGAGAAGACGAATGGAGCGGTCAAAATACCCGACAAGACGGATGAACGTGAAGCGGCAGAGGAGAAGAAGAAGGAGACTCGAAAGAAGCCCGGAGGGGGAGTGGCCAATCTGATCACTTCTGCGAAGAATGCAGATCAACAAGGCGCTCAAGAGTTCGACTTTGGCAGTTTTGGATTCTGAGAGGGGCTCTACTGGATGTCTGTAGGCTCAACGTCTTCTGCCAGAAGACTGTGTACAGCCAGCTTTCTCCTAGGTGCCAAGAGAGAATGCCTCGGCCATACTCTATTCTATCTTCTTCGTTTGCCACGTGCGCGTCTAGGCGGGCTGAGCCTTCCACATCGCCTGTCCGTCTGTCCGCCTGCACACCGCCCCCGCTGCGCCGGATCCGATGGCACAGGCGGAGAGGTCTGTCCAACGCTCTGACTGCTTCCCCCCGCTTCCTCGGTTCCTTCCTAGACAACCATCAGTTCCGTATCCCGCACCACCTCCTTCCCACAGCACCTGTCCTCCCCCCCCACCCTGTACCCGACCTCCAACTTCCTCAATCATGAACGCAGCAGTGACTAATATGGCGGTGATGATGGGTGCGATGCAGGTGGCTAAGCGGATCCCTTTTGAAGAAGAACCAGTGTACATCGTGTATGCCCGTGTGGCTTACATCTCTGCACAGATCCTAGTGCTGCTCATCAACTTTTACATGTCGATGAAGGTGAGTACTGCTTAGGGCGTTGGAAGCGTCTCTCATTGAACATTGCATAGACACCGAGGGCGAGTCTGGATGACAGGATAAGATTGCCGAGACCTGACCATTCCATTTCTTCTGCCCTTTCCACAACAGGTCAAGAAGGCCAACGATCTGACCGTCCTCAAGTACGTGGGACCCAAGTCGGCCATGTCTCAAGAACCAGGCGAGCTGGTAACGACGACTCACAGGGACTATGATCTGCAGGAAATCTCAAAGGCCATGAGGGGAGTGTACATGGGAATGGCAATGGTTGCCGGTATGCATTTCTACATGGGATACACAAACCCGTGAGTAACTGCGATTGGACAAGCGAATGAGACCTGGGTCGCCGATATCCATTTCCATGATCTAACCTCTTCCATTTCATTCTACTACCCACTTACCAACCCCCTCCAGTCTGGTCATCCAATCTATCCTTCCCCTCAAGAACGTCTTTGAGTCCAACGAAGCCAAGATTTGGCTCTTTGGCAAGCAGGCTGCCGGTGATCTCAAGCGACCTTTCAAGGCTGCCCCTGGACCCTTTGGAATGGGAGCTGCTGGTGGACCGGCTACAGATGCCGCTTCGATCAAGGAGGCTGAGAAGGCTGGTGGGCTGGCAAAGAAGTCCGAGTAGATGGCTTGAGACCGGGAGGTGTAGAGCAGGGAGAAGGGGAGGAATTAGGGTGAGAGATGTGGAGATTTCGGCGGTGTGGGGGCTCAGTGAAGCCGTCTGTAGACTGGAGGAGGGCGGGTGCTGGCTACGCAGCAGGCAAAACTGTTCATGGCCTCCCGCATGCACTACACGAGCGTTCTCGTGCACCAATAGTATTGAATCCTCTCACACTTGTCGCTTGTGCGTTATTCTCATTGTAAAGGCGACGAGACGTCGTAATATTGTATTAAGTGCATTAGAGAAAGCACAAGGGGTCCCTCGCCCAACACTACCTCTACCCTCTCTTTCCCCACCACCTCCTCCTCCTCCTCTTCCTTCATTCCCCCGCAGACTTTTTGCTTAGAGCTTGGGCTTCATCTCCTTCTTTGCCGCCAATCGATCATGCAAATCCCTCAACTCGACTGCACTCTCATTGAGGTAATGTCTCAACTTATCCGCTCCCAATCCCAACGAGGTAAGGGTAAATGTCAAGCTACGTTCCTTGATTGCGTATGCACATCCGAATCCATCTGGAGTCACTTCTCCATAGCCCCAACAGTCAAAGACTTCCGAGGAGATTTGACTGGTGCTTAGTTGCCAATTGGAAGTCTTGCTAAAGGCTGCATCCGAATAGAGGGCGGGAGCTTTCTCGCCGTCTTTGAGTAGCTTCTTGAGTCCAAAGAGATGACGGTCCACCCCTTGTCCATCAGCAGCAGCAGTAGCATAAGCCAAGTGTTGCTTCACCGCTGCTTGAAATTTGGTGGAGCGCTCTTCATCACTAGCTGCGTGATTCTCCATACTCTCTACAAAGTCTTGCGATTGGACAGAGCAGGAACGAATCGTCTCTGTTCGTCCCCAACGGAACTTTCGTGTTTGAGCAGATTCATAGGTTGGAGCTGGTTTGCCATTCATTTTAAAGTAGGCAAGTTGGATGACCATCTGTACCCAGGCGTCAGGGGAGCACTTGTAAGCCTTGATGGCTCCCTTTCCGTAGCCTTGAAAGTCTAGAACGGCAAGATCGTGCTTGGACTTGAGGGAGTCAAAGGAGCGCATGGCAGAGAGGATGTGTGACTCGACGTCCTTGTTCAGCTTAAAGGTAATCTCCTTTGGCTCTGCCAGCGAAGAAGCATCGGCACTCTCGCTGCCGAGGTCAATCTTTCCCGCCGCTAGAGCAGAGATACAAAAGTCATTGAGACGCAGAGTAGGAGTTCCATCCATGGTGGAATGCTCGCCCATGTATCCGGACTTGCCATTGCTAAAGACGATCAGCTGCTGCTTGTCGTAGAAACGGTTCTTGCCGTCTCCGTACCACAATTGCCAGGCTGCCTCTTCCCTAGTCACAGGTGCCACATCGTCCAGGCACACGACGATGATGGCCGACTGGATCCTCTCTAGAGCGGCTTCGTTTGCCGAGTCGGCCTTGACAAGGGCCTGACGAGACTCAAGCCACTTGTCTCGATTGTTCGAGGTAAGTGCACCAACAGGGAAAGACTCTGGCGTACGAGGATCGGCAATAATCTTCTCAACCTGCGCTTCAATCTGCGCTGCGCTGAGCTCCTTACCCGACTTGTCCACGACCTCGACTTCAAAGTAGCGGCCGTGGCGGACAAAGACGACGTGGTTGTACTTGTCTGCTGGGTACTTGACAGCTTGATCCTCTCCAGCAGCAGGGAGACGAGAGGCATTGAACATCCAAGGGTACGAGGCGGAGCACAGCGGTCCAGCCTTGGTCTTCTCCGGTGCGAGCTCCTCACTCTCTACCAGCTTCCTGAATTGCAGCATGGCCTTGAGCATCGCACCTGCCCTCTTCGGTGCAGTCCTCCTACTTTGGTCATCCTTGTGTCCATAAAAGTAGCTAACGTAGGGAACCACTGGGTCACGGTAGGCCATGTAAGCTGTGGTGTTCCACCAAGAGGCGAGCCAGTTGCCCTCTGACTCGGGACTCTGGGCTCGCTCTTGCAACCTCTTTTGCAGCTCCTTGAACAAGGCCGAGTCCTCTCCATCCAAAGCAGACTTGACTGCTGCCTCGGTCTGAGCAAGGGAAGAACTGTCTTGGAAGGGACGGGTGGTCTGAAGGTACTTGTTCAGCGTCTGCTCCAATGCCGGAACGGGCAGAGAGGGGAGGGAAGTCTGGGAAGATAGCAGTTGGCCCTTGCCATTGGCGAGAGTGGAGGCCTTGAGGATCATCGTCCTTCGTTGCTGATGCTGGAATTGGGGCAAGGGAGAAGCACGCTTGATGTTGGATGTTGCTGCTGCGAAGCGATTTGCCGTTTGACGAGAGAGGAGAGAGGAGACGGCAGTGGGCATTCTTCTCTGGGCTCTACGTACTGAGACTGATGATGCCTGGGGGGGAAGGTGGGAGTACAGCTGCGAGCAAGGGAATCGGCCAAAGAGGGAGGGAGATATGTCTGATGTGTGTAGAGGTAGAAGGTATGGCAAGGGAGCACGGAGATCTGTGTTCTCCTGGGATCGACGTCACCAGCCAAGTGGAAGTGGAACGACTTGACCGGCGCATCCTCGAAAAGCCGGTCCAACCGCCGCCCCGCCAGGCACATCGCAGCCAAGCCACGCTTTCAGCTCCGCCTCGGATGCACCGGGATCCCCACCACTTGTCCGGAAACAGGCGGGGCGGACAGAAGTTGGCAACGAAATGATCAATCGAAGAATTGTACATTGGGCGTAGAGGTCAAGATCCTCGTAGAGGGAGACGAGTTGGTGCAAGTAGTGGGAATCATCAAGAATGGCACCAATGACGGGGGGTCAAAGCGCATCCCATGGTAGTACAGGTCCTCAGGTAGGCACACGCCAGGTCCAAGCTTCCCTCCACTGAGCCTCGAGCCTCTCCACGCCTAAGTTCATGCTCTGGTACAGATCGACCAGCCAGACAAGAATGTTGTGAGTAGGACAGTGACTACGCCCAGCAACAGTGGCGATGCATGAAGGCCGCTCGCCCCACTCTTGCACCCCGTGCATGTCCAGCCATCTGCAACATGGATTCGGCAGAAGCAGGTCGACTGTCAGTCATAGCCTTGCACTCCCAAGCTTGATCCTTTTGCTCGCACTTACCAGCCAAGGCTGTATAGCTTTGTGGAATATACAGCGCAAAGTCCGTGTCCTCATTGGGGCTCATCAATCCCGGGCTACTAGCTGCATCCAAGCCCCTCTCATCGAAGATCTGCAGCCGGTACGTTTCTTGCACCAGTGCTGCTGACCCTCTTGCTACGGCAGATACGCTGTAGCTATATGGATTCCAGATGACTTGCGTGGCTGTAGCTGGTAGGCTCGTAATGGTATATGTGTTGGAGTTGCTAGTGCAGTATGCTTGTATGGTCAGCGAAGTACCATAGGAGAGGACTGATGTGAAATTCCAGGCAAAGGTGACATTGACTGCTGGGGCAATCTTGTAGTAGGAAGCATCGGCCGTCTCGTTGGGCAGGGTGACTGTCAGACCACCGGCGGCGGCGGTTGAAGCAATGGACACACTCGACGTTGTAGTCGAGGCTGCTACCGTTGCTGATTGGGTGACCGAGTTGACCTGAGCGGTGACTGCCGAGGTGCAGTACGCTAGCAGGACTATCAGCAATTGAAGCACCAAAGTGAGAAAGGTGCGTGATGACTGAGGAGCATACACTGTCCTCGCGTGGCTCCGCGGCGATGCCATTGTGCGGTCAGGTCTCTGCTTCGAAGAAAAGTGCTTTCTTCCGGAGTCGTTTGAGCGTGGCTCTCTGAAGGAGGTACGAGTACAGGTCTTGTCGCCGTAAGAGTGGTCAAGAAACGATTGATGGGCACCTGGGAACGTGCGATGGGGGCTGAGCTGAGTGGGGCTCTGCACAGGACAGGGCGGGGGAGTGTGCGAAAGAGAGAGAGAGATGTCGGGGTGGAAGAGAAGCTGAAAAGCAGGGCTCACAATGGTATCGAGGGGTCAAAAGGAGATGCAGGTAAAGCCCTTGAATGCAATGAGCCTAAGTGAATGGTCGCAGGGTCCTTCTCCTGGCTCAGTCTCCCGTTCCTGTGGGCCACGGCAAGGGGTGGGTCCCTTTGCTTCGGGCGTCGTCAGACTCCAACACATTCAAGAATCTGTCCTTCGTCGTCGGCATTCCTGCGTCTGCCTGCGTCCTCCATCCCCGCCGAAGACGCCGAGGGGGGCCACGCGCCAGCCACGCGAGCAAGGCGGAGGATGGCAGTGGCCCTTGGCGGCTGCATGGCTGTCAGCTGTGTGCTTCTTCGTCCCTTGGCCCGTCCTTCCGCTTTCCTCGTCTCTCCACCTTGCACACCTGCTTCAGCCTCGCACCTAGGCTCCTCGAAGACATGGACGTCGATGGCGAGTCCACCGCATCGATGGTCTCCTCGGTCGTCTCGCAGGCTACCTCGGTAGTGGCAGACGTAGCCGCAACAGCCAGTGCAAAAGTCACCGCACCCTCCTTTCCCTATACGGCCCATCATCTACCTCTACCCAATACCTCTGTCCTACTGCATCCCGCCTCCATCCTCTTCTTCACCGCCCTCTTTGCCACCATACTCAAGAAGATTGGCAAGGACCGCATAGTGCAGCTCATCTCTCCGCTGCACCTGCAGCTCACCTCGGGCAAGGTGCTCAGGAGACAGAAGCAGCTCAAGAGGGAGCTCTTCCAGGCCAGGCAGGACATGGCAAAGACCAGTAGTCAGGATGAGTTCGCAAAGTGGGCAAAGCTGAGACGCAAAGTCGACAAGACACTGGCAGATCTAGAGGCAGTCAGTGAGTGCTCTAGCGACATTGGTATTGCAAATACAGACGCAAAGCTAATCGCCTTCTCGCCTGGTGCTGCGATGTGTCACCCTCAGACTCTTCCCTTTCTGGCTCACGCTCATCGCTGGGCTTGTTGGTGAGAGCTTTCCTCTTTGTGTTCGGTACGGCCTTCCCATTCGTGGTCAGCACCTACTACAGAAAGACGCCCATCTTCTGGCTTCCCCCCGCCGCTTCCCTTGGGGGTAAGGGACAGGCCGTTTCTCAAGACTGGCTCGGACCCATTGGCTGGATGCTAGCCCTGCCCAGCGCACCTAGAGGCTCTATCTCAGCTACAGTTTGGTCACAAGTGTGCGGAAGAGTCATCGCACTCGTCTTCACAGCCATCTATGACCTGCTCCTCTTCGTCGCACTGATCAAGGACCCGAACGCCCCACCTCTGGTATCCCCCGCCAAGCCAGGCCGAGCTCTGATCACTTCGACGCCTCTGCGCCTGGTGTGGTGCGCCATTGGTCTGGCCACCTGCTCCTTTGCCTACACTAAGCTCCTGGGTCTAGGCGAGCTCCTAGGTGTAGATCTATCTGCACAATTCGGAGGACTGTGGCAGTACTTGACCAATCTGGGACTGGTCGCCACGGCCATTACCCTACTCCTCTCCTTGACGGACGCTCTTCTCCCTTCCTCCTCTCCCACGAGCCCAAGTCCGACCTTCAAGCTCAAGGAGCTCTCGAGCATAATCGCCCTACCAGGAGAGACGTTGATCTTCCTCCTCTACTGGTCCATCATGCTTGCCAAACCCGAGCTCATGGTCCCAACTCGGCAAGTAGACGATCCCGCCAATCCAGGCCAACTCCTCACCGAGACCATCCGTCTACCCCTCAGCACAGATCTAGCCCTACACGGCATCCCCGCCGTCTTCCTCCTAGTGGAGCACCTCCTCTTCTCACCTTCCTTTCCCTCCTCTTCCACCTCACCCGCAACTCTCCTTGGACCCTTCATTACAACCATTGCCTACTGTCTATGGGTGGAGTACTGCGCGATGCAGAATGGACACTTCCCCTATCCGCTACTGGAGATCATGGATGCACCTGCGAGAGGAGCACTCTATGTTGGTTGCAGCGCAGTGCTGGTTGGGGTGCTAAAGGCGCTCGAGGGTGCTAGGGCGTTTGTTGAGGGGAGACTGGCGGGAGGAGAGAGTGCAGGGAAGAAGCCCGTACCCGTGCCGGCCGAAAAGACGCAAGCTCATAGTGCAGGATCAAGTGGGGAGAAGAAAGACTTGTGAGGAGTGGAGAAGGGACAATGCAAAGCAAGGCAAGGCAAGCCAAGGAGAAGCGGACGGACGGACTAGACACAATGACTCTGACAGGGCTGCTGCTGCTGCTGCTGCATCGGAAGCGGTAGTGCCCTTGCTCAAGCGTTTCTCACTTGAGAAAACACACAATCTCACCTTAATGCAAGACTTCTTGCTGTTCAACAATTGCCCGTTGCCCGATGTCCGAGTGAGTGATGAAGGCGCCTTTATCGTCAAGGCGTCTACAAGTGGGGGCGCGGGGAAGGGTACAAACAACAATGGTATTATGCAGGTATCAATGTGACAAAGTATGAGTGTGTGTGAAGCCAAATGTTAGAAAGACGCAAGTGATAGGCCAAAGAAGACCTCTAGAATGATTGAATGAATGACGCGTCACTAGACGGTCACTACCGATTCCCCAAACCCTTTCACCTCACCACCGTCCTAAACAGACTAACAGCGAACACAGACGTGTAAGCCACGAGTGTCGTGAAGGTCAGTCCAATAAAAGCCGCTTGGTAGCTGCAAATGGTTGGTTTGAGGGAGGGCGTCTTCAAGGGTGAACCATTGGATATGGAGCAGGAAGAGGAGGAAGAGTACCACCCGACACAATTGAGGGAAGAGGTGGCGTAATTGTCAAAGGTGAGGGCTAGTTCGGCGGACCAGAGGGAGATGAAGACGAGCTGTGTAGAAGAGAGGGGGGGACGCATGGTATGGGGAGAAGGGAGATCGTGTCAGATGCGGATCGTCGTGATGTGATGACGACTTGTGCTCCAATGTTCCCTCTCTACCAATCTACCCACCTCTATAAGCTGGTAACTCAGCTTGCTCTTCACTGCCCAAAGTCCAATAGGGCGGGAAAAGTACTCCAGCCAGACTTGACTCGCCACGTGAATCAAGCTCAGAGGAGCAAAGATGATTGCCACCACTGGACTTGCGCCGACCGAGTCGGCCGCACCTTCGCTATGGAGGATCATGTAGAGGCGAATCGCCACTGCTAGAGTTGCAGTGGTGAAGGAAAAGTTGATGGCTCGGAAGAGCAGGGGGACAAAAGGATTCCTCATGAGGAAGTCCTGCCATTGCTCCCACTTGTCTCGAAGCCACGTCTCGCGTGGGCCTGAACCCTTCTCCTTGGCCGAGGCGGCAGAAGATCGGCCAGAGTGTCCCGCAGAAGGACCATTGGCGTCCGTGGAGCGGCCTTTTCTACCTTTGCGACGGGCCATCATCATGCTTGTGCTGCTGTACTTCTTCTTGCTCCTATCGACGCGCGAAGTTGTCCGAGGGTAGAAGTCATCTCCACCCGTAAAGGTGTATCCGCCGATATCGATGGCTCCCAGACCATGCATCTCCTCGGGTCTCCAAGGACTGTCCCAGCCCGGTAGCAGATCCTGGCGACGGGTAAAGGAGCGCTCGGCCTTGGGTGGCATCGTTAGCTGCATCTGGTGATCACTCTCGACAGGTCCTTCATCTCCCTGTTCGTACTCTCTGCGCTCGGATGGTCCTTCGTTCCCCGCAGCAGCTTCAACGTCGGGCATGTCAGCCCCATATCTGCGGCTAGAAGTATCCACGTTACCGTTGGACGAATTGTCTGGAGACGTCTCCGGAGCAGGTGACCGCGATGCTCCTGCACCAGCTTGTTGACGCTTCCTCCAGCTGACTAGAGAATCTTGTCCTCCTAGACCAGCGGCTGCTCCAGCACTCGCATCAACGCGACCCATGCCTTCAGTGCTCCGTCGCTTTAGCCGTTCTATCCGACGCTGAAGCTTCTCTTCCCCTCTGTTATGGCTGCGAGTCTCGTGCACCGCAGGCGGTGACCGGGGCTCGCCATCGCTGTCCTCGGAAGAGCTGTCGGAGCTGCTATCGCGCCGGGGACTGTGAGCCTGTTCTCCATCCCTATATGCTGCATCGGCACCGCCGCCGCCCCCAGGATGGCGATCGACTTCGCTCTTGGTCCGCTTGAAGGGATGTTCCTGCAAGCGACTCCGGTACTTTGGAGGTAGAGTAAAGGTCCAGAAGCGAGAGTGAGCCTGGTCCGGTGCGACACCGCTAGTACCCGCCGATATCGCAGCTTCCTCTTCCTTCTGAGTCGCAGACTTCGATCCCTTCGCAGGTCGAGGCGATTGCCAACCGACGGCGGGTGTGGGTGAGCGGGATCGGTAGAGATTGAGAGCGGGATCCCGGGTCGATGCGGACGAGGATCCTGCCGACGTAGGCGTACGAGGTGGGCCGGACGGTTCCGGTTGAGCCCATGCTGATAAGTGGATTAATAGGAGTGAGCTGTGGACACAACAACTCAAGCAATTGCTTAGAGCACGTGCTGCTCACCTGGAGTTGTGACGACTGTCCTCTTGTCCTTCTTCTTTGACGGCTGCCATGTGGTTACAGCGCTGGTCGATGCTACATCACCACTGTTGACCATATTATCGCTGCGTACGCTCGATCGACTGTTCTGCTTGGCCATTTGATCCCCTCCCCCGAGCGGAGGTGGGGCAGAGGGACCGGCCTTTGCAGCGCTGGTACTGCCGCTCATGGTACGTTGGCGCCTGTCTAATGAGGGCGCAGCCAGGGACGACTCATCAAATTGGATTTGAGTGGTGGAGGAGGGCATTGTGAGCTACGAGGAGACCCTCTGAAGCTCTGCGCTGGGCTACCCCAGAGATTGTTTGAGGGCCGAGCCAGTAGCAGAGGGAGCTGGTGGGGCAAGACTTGTGGCTCCTAGCCGGAGCAGAGCTACTCGAGCTGTAGACTGCAAGGGGTGGCAGGGAAGGATACCAGGGTACCTTTATGGGCGTATGCTGAGAAGGAGAAGGGTGAGAAGATATGGAATGAGTGATGAGGAAGGAATACCACGACGATCTACCTCACCGCATTCCCCTGTTGCTTGGCCTGGACCGTCATCCCCGGCTGTGTCGTCCAGACAATCCCCGCCCCGCTCGAGGCCAAATAGGCGAGGGAGTGCTTCCGCTCCGCTCCGCCACGCCAACGCCCCACGCCGCCCTTTCCGTCGAGCGGCGCCGTGCCTGATCTTCATATTCAAGGCTGCATACATTCACGCCATGCCTGCATTGCTTCGAGTAGACATCACCTTCTAGAATCACAGAAGGCAGTAGCAGCTCGCCATACTCCCTCTCGCTGCGTAAATTAGAGGTCTGTACTGCTGCAGGCAACGTCCGTCGGTGTCACAGCGGCAACACAGGCGACAATGCAGCACTCGTCCGACGAGGACTCTCCGTACTCAGCACAACCTTCCCTCCACCACACCATCGCACATGATCAGGCGTCAGTCCTAGCCATCGCCATCGACGAAGCATCTTCACTGCTCTTCACCTCTGGCACTCAATCAGAATGCATCTATGTTTGGAACCTCGACACCTATCGGCCCATCACCAAGCTCAGCGGCCATACAGCCTCCATCCTTACCCTCGAGCTCGCACCAGAGCGGGGCTGGCTCTTCTCAGCTAGCGGTGACGGCACAGTGAGGATATGGGACACCAGGACGCTGTCTCTGCTCTACATTTTTCAGCAACCGCCGACAGAGGAAGATGAGGACACGACGATGGGAGATATCTTCTCCCTGCGCTGGAGCAAGGAGATGCAAACGCTTTACATGGGCTGCCAAAATACCAGCATTAGATGGGTGCGGCTGTCCAGGCTCAGGTCACGTGGTAGATGCCCGTTCACAGAAAGCGAGACTACCACGGCGTCTCAGGAACAAGACAGGTACGGGAAAAGTGACATGGATACAGAAGGCTCGCCTTCGCGAGGGACAACTCAGGATACAGACTATACCGGCTTCTTGCCTGCTTCAGCCATGCCCATTGCTCCCCGTCCACACAAATTCTTCGACTCTGGACCATCAGGGCCTTCTCATAGCTCGAGCTCGACAACTCCTCTCAGTAGATCTTTCAGTCGGACCCAGTCTGCCTTTGGGGTAGCTGGTAATCACAAGCCCTCGCCGAGCACCCCTCCTCCTGCAAACGATAGCCCATATTCGCACAGCCCTGGCAGACGAACACCTGAGCTGCGCTTTCTCCCTACGACCGAGAGTGCTGGCGATGATCAAGGTGGACGCCTCTCACCCACTTTCGATGCCGCGCTCGACCGCGTGCTTCGTCTGCGAGAACAAAGTCAAGAAGGCCCAACAGCTACCGGCGCAGATCCTCGGATGTCGGAAGATCAGAGCACTGATGTCGCCCGATACGTTCAACTCTCTCAGTCTTGCAAAGTACCAAATGCCCACTACGGCTATGTCTACAGTCTGGCTTTGATTAGTCTAGGCAGCCTCCGACCGGTCGTGCTCGCTTCGGGATCGGGAGATGAGGACGTCAAGCTATGGGATTGCTCAAGCAAAAGGAAGGGCCAGGTGGAACTCATAGCTACATTGTCGGGCTCGGAGGGCGCAGTCCTCGCTCTGGCAAGCTGGCCAGGAACGCTCTTCGCAGGGAAGCAGGGAGGCTCTATTGATGTATGGGACCTTGAGACTATGACGCTGATTCGGACACTGGAAGCTCATGGGGACGACGTCCTATCGCTTTGCACATCTGTCAACGAGGATGGCAGCTCTTGCTTGATCTCAGCTGGTGCGGACGGCTGCGTCGCCCGGTTCGATGGCAACTTTGCCAGGAGAGACTTATGGGCTGCTCATCAGGATGCGATTGTGCTCAGCTGTGCGATCGTGAATGAGCGGCCACGTCGCGCTTCAACCAGGATCATTACAGGAGGTTCGGATCAGGTCATCAGATTCTGGGACTTAGCACCTTTGGATCGCGGCGAGGATAGCTTGCCGCATGACGGCTCGCAATTCCCTCGCAAGATCGGGTTCCCTTTGACGAGCAGCTCTCATATCGAAGATCCGAATGGACACGTCGATACGAAGACCATCACCGAGATGTCATTCGATCCACTGCTGACAGAGCTTGCCAAATTCGTATCGTACAAGTCGGTGTCAAGCGAGGCTCGCAGAGAGGATTGCCGGCAATGTGCTCACTACCTCAAGCAGACGCTGTCCAGTCTCGGGGCGCAGGAGTCGGCCATTATACCTGGAGCACCCGGTCGCAATCCTCTTGTCTTGTCCATCTTTCGCGCTAGAAGCGGAAGCCCTGACCAGCCTCGCGCCGCTCCCCACCGCAGAGTGCTTTTCTACGGACATTACGATGTGATATCAGCTCGAGCAGACAAGACTTCTTCGGGATGGTCTTCTGATCCTTTCACACTTTCCGGACGTGATGGCTACTTGTACGCTCGAGGTGCATCAGACAACAAAGGCCCAGTGCTTTCCGTGGCGACTGCCATCAGCCGACTTTGGAACTCTCGAAGACTCGATGTGGACGTGGTCATGCTCATCGAGGGAGAGGAAGAGAGCGGTTCTGTCGGTTTCAAGGAGGCACTCGAGAGGGAAAAGGAGAGGATCGGCAAGATCGATGTGGTCCTGCTGAGCAATTCATACTGGATCGACGATGTCACGCCCTGCTTGACGATGGGCATGCGAGGCGTCATCCAGGCCACAGTCACCATCTCTGCTGCCAGCATCCAAGCCGCAAGCTCAGAGAGTTCCGCGGCAACGACGGCAAGAACATCTCCTAGCCCACATCGTCGAGGCGAAGAGAAAGACGTCCATTCGGGTGTGCAAGGCGGTGCAGTACGAGAGCCGATGATTGACATGCTCCGTCTGCTGTCAAGCCTCAGCGACGGCGAGCGTGTCTTTGTGCCAGACTTCTACGACTCGGTCAGGCCCGTCACGACAGAAGAGCGAGCGAGCTACGAAGCCATCGTCGAGCTCCTGAGCAGGCAATCGAGGGACCGCGACTCTGACCTAGATTTCGGAAATACGCAAGAGGGCCATGCTGGCTGCCAGCCCTCTGGCCGGTCGAAGAACGCAGCAATGGCTACCGTGGAGAGTCTGATGGCTCGATGGCGCTTCCCCTCGTTGTCCATTCACAGCATCAGCGTTTCTGGCTCAGGCAACGCCACGGTCATCCCAGCAGTCGTGACGGCGAAAGTTTCACTGCGTCTAGTGCCAGACCAGGATCTGGAGGTGATTAAGTCTTCACTTGTCTCCTTCCTCAATGAGCAATTCGACCGACTCGCTGGCGCTCGCCCAGATGCCAACAGACTGCAGATCGACGTGCATCATGTAGCCGACTGGTGGCTCGGGTCCTCTACCTCGCCCTACACCTGTGCTCTGGCGGACTCCATCTCGCAGACTTGGTCGTCCCCTTGCCCAGGCTCAACCGCGGCCGCTGGCATCTCCTCGCCCTCCTCTTCCTCTTCTTCGGTCCTGCCACTACAAATTCGCGAGGGCGGCTCCATCCCCACTGTGGCTCTACTGGAAAAGGCCCTTGGCGCACCCGCCGTGCACCTGCCCATGGGTCAGAGCAGCGACAATGCCCACCTGGGCGATGAGCGGATCAGTATGCAGCACCTCCTCAGAGGTAGAGAGGTCGTGGAGCGCTGGCTGGGCAAATTGGCCCACTTGCCACTCGATTGCGATGAGGTGGGGCATAGGAGAACTGTGCCGGCGAAGTAGGTCAGCTTTGCACCGGAGTGATCAAGCGGGTCAGGCAGGCAGGCAGGCAGGCAGGCAGGCGCTTCAGGCGACGTGTATAGAAAGATGGGGTATGCAGAGAGACTTTGTTCAATGGGGTAGAGGTTGAATGAAGGAGATAGAACAAATGTCTATGTACAGTGCAGAATTGCAATGGGGTAAACAGGTGACAGGAGAAAGTCTACTGTACAATGAAAACGAGGGTGACAGAAGGCATAGGATGTAAAAGAGCAGGGCGATCTAGCACCCTTCTAGACTGTAGACCAGAGTGACTGCGTGAAGCGTAACGAGCAGAAGGGAGGAACGATGGGTATGCTGATGGATTCTGAGGGAGGGCATTAGGCAAAGGCGCCAAAGGTATCATCGGCTTCAGCCCGGAGAAGGCCGCGGCTAACGAGGTAGGATCGCTCGACATAGCGAGCATCTTCGTCATCGACTTGCTCGTCATCGTCGGTGTCATCAAAGAAGCTGCCCGAGGGGATCACCTTCTTATTCTTCTTGACAATGTTGAGCGCAGGAGTCATAGGTGCGGTAGGTGTGCTGGGAAGGCCAGCATTGAGGTGCTTGGCCCCAAAGGGAGTGCGAGAGGGCAGGCGAGGCTCGTCTTCGTTGCTGCCGGCAGAGGAAGAATAGACGATGGACTGCGAGCTGGCAGAGAGCGGCAGGAAAGCTCCATTGGTGGTGGCTACCCTCCTGCGTACGGGACGAGCAGGGACAGTCGCCGTAGTCTTGAGCTTGAAAAAGTCCAGAGACTGCTTGCGCTCGAAAGGCATGTCTACCGCTAGAGTTGTCTTGGCAGACATTTTGGGTAGGGCGACCCTCGGCTTGAAGGGAGAAGCGAGGGCGACGTCGACTTCGACGGTGGCGGCCTGGAACTTCGTTGTGGCTGATGTGGTCCAAGCTCTAGGAGCCATCGGAGGACGGCGCAGGCTGGTCTTCTTTGTCTTGCAGTCATCGTAGCGAGCCTGACGCGCTTGTGCTACAGCGCTGGGGTCGAGTCTACTGATTTCGTCGAGCTTGGTCATCATCTCAATCGGCTCGAGGAGCTTCTGGGATGAGGCAGTGTTGGCTGTCCCCGACTGGTTCGAGAAGAGCGAGGAGCTGGCCGTACGAGCACAGTCAGAGATTTCTGCCGACGAGGTGATGTCTGCGGAGAAGCCGAAAGGCGAGACCTGATTCCAGCCGTCAAAGGTCTGCGAGACAGTGCTCAAGACCTTGCAAGGGACCTTCTCGTCGCTTTGAGCGAAGACGGTCCTTACGTCACCTCGAGACGAAGAGGTAGGCATGCCAGTGCTGTTGCTCTTGGGCAACCAATCGAAGGTGGACAGGTCGAACGGATCCGGCTTTGAGGAGGGGCAGGTAGAAGGGCGTGTCGAGGACTTGCGACTGATAGGGTTGGGGTCGCAAGACACGAAAACACCAGGAGTGCATGGTGAAGGCGGTGTCGAGGACGTTGCTGCTGAGGAGAAGTAGTCACTACCAAATCGGGTGGAAGCCCCAGAGGTCAAGAAGGAAGCGGCAGGTGTGTCTGGCGAAGCAGTTGTGGCACTGCCTGCCGAGGTACTCCTGCTCCGAGCACCTGTCAAGGCTACTACGGGCGCTGGGCCGGAGACACAGAGCCCGAGGCCGACCGAGGAGCCGCTAGGATCGGCGTGGCTCTCGCAAGCAGCCTGTCGCAAGGGTCCCGACTGAGGGGTAGAGATCGAGCGCGCCTTTGTCAGGTCGCAGCTGCTAGACCTTCGTTCCCAGATCATTGGGCTTCCCTGCCAGACGGCCTTGATGTCCGAGTCTTGCGATAGTCGTCTTGAAGGTAGAGCAAGGAGGTCAGTGCTGAAATCCTTCTGCCAGAGGGAAAGCGAAGCGGCGGTGGGCGTCAGGCAATCGCTGTCGCCCATGAGGTCCAGGTGGTTTACTGAGATACCTGCCGCTGTCTGGGCGTTGCTCGACCGTGCTTGACGAGGCACCTTGTCGGCAGAGTATGCTCTCGCACTCAGGCCGCCCTTTACTGGTTCAATAGACTTCAGCATGGGGGCAATGCTGCTACCGCTCTGCGATGCGATGCGGCTGAGCCTCCTCCTGGGGAATGTGGCCGTGTACCCATCTTCGTTGGTGATGCCAACGCGGGGCACACTGTTCGATGATACTGATCTTGACATCAACTGGCCCCTTCGCGAGCTTGCCTCCGCCGATGGAGTGCGGCGTCGACGTGCGTTGTTGCCAGCTTCCTCCATCAATGTTCCAGTGAAGGAGACTTGAGAGGAAGACGCGCTAGTGGTGGACTGCTGAGAAGTTGTTGCCTCTGTGGGCGAAGCAGACAGGGAGCGGGAGATCGATAGGAGCGCTGAAGGGCGCTTGTTGAGCAGCAGCGGGGAAATGACACCAGTCCACATGAGCATCTCGCAGGCGCTGCTTGCCCGGAGGACAATGGAGTTGTCTACCTCGAGCGGGAATGTGGGACTAGTAGGTGAGGAGGGCTCGTGGCCAGAGTCCGACGAAGTCGGGCTCAGGAGTCTGACGGACTTCCGCCTACGCCCCGTCAGGCGCGACCATGCCGAGGCTTTAGGAACACCAGTAAGCAGACCGTCGGCGGAGAAGCTAGGCTTTGGCATAACGGTCGAGGCAGAGCGTGGCTGGACGGGTGTCAGAGCCGGACGAGCTCTACGGAATGAGATTGAGGGTGGAGACAAAGTGTCTGCAGATGGTCCAGTCGACATTTGTGATGGCGAGAGCGTGGCGCTGGTAGCCGATCGAGACAGGAAGCCGTGAGCCTGAGGCAGGCGCAACGTGCGATCAGCACCCCTTGCGGCGAGACGAATCTCAAATTGACCAGGTGAGTCCAAGCCCCAGGAGTGAGATGTTTGGAGACTGTCATAGATGGAGAGGTCGATTGTAGATTGAGGTGAGGTTGGATTGGATGTGGCGGCTTGTCTGGAAGAGGGGAGGGAGAGGAGAGTCAACTACACTGCATGTGTTTCTCGCCAAGTCAAGGATAGACTCACTTTGTCGAGTACACGAAAAGTCTACTCTCAGAAACAGTGCACCATCGTTCGACCCAGTCCCCTTCGAGGTGTAATGTAAGAGTGCCTTCAAATTGCGGCACTGACGATGTCGATGGGCTGATACTTGTAGCCTGCTGAGTATGAGCGAGTGATGAGCTGCGAGACGTTGCTGGAGAGGCAACCATTGTTGTATGTTTTGTACCGGAGATGCTGAGTGTAAGGTCGAGGTTGATGAAAGCAGTCACAATGGCAAGAGAAGGTAACGTCGTGACCGAGGATGATGCGGAAGAGTGTGTGAGGAGCTGCTGATGCTGGTTGCAATGCTACCGGACGCGAGTGTTGAGGGTGGCGAAACGGACCCGGAGACAGAAGTGAGCACTTGCGAGGATTTGCGAGATGAGAACGAGATGGTGAGTGGGGTCAAGCTGCTCAATTCCGCGAAGCTGCCCTTTTTAGACAGAAAGGATGCTCTACACAACCAAGGCGACGGTGGCATGCTACTGTGGGGTCTTGATTGAATGTCCGGCTACGCCTCAGTGGCGTTAGAGGGGCGCCATAGACCTGGCTATGGCCAAAGGGGAGTGTCTATCTGCATCGGAGATCGGCTGTTGCATGAATGGTAGGTCGAAGTGCCTCTCAATGAGTGCAGGGGCAGCTATGTCGGACTTGATATCTGCCGATACGCCAGATCAGGAGGGGACAGGGGGCGGGAAGGAGTTGCGGCGCCGACAGGGGTATGCTGTGCCTTCTTCGTCCGACCGGCCCAGCTGGCCCAGCTGTCTGGCGCGAGCCGAACACCGGACAGGCAATCTGGGAACAAAAAGGAGGCTGCTTTGGTCTCCCGACGCCCGGGAATGGTCGTGGCAGTGATGAGGAGCAAGCTCTGGCGGGGGTGAAGGTGGGCGGATGTAGGGGTCGCGTGAAGGTGGTAAGTGGAAGTGCGCGACTGGCAATTCCCCAGAGGCCGACGGAGCTATCGTGCTGCACCTTTAGGGGGGCGTGAAGGCGGAGCCACTGGTATCAGCAAAATCACCTTGCCGAGCTGCAGCGGAGTGCCAATACAAGCTGCAAGAGATGATACGTCTCTTCTACCAGACGCTCGGTCAAGGTCCACTGGCTCGGTCGGAGCAGCCACTGACAACTCCAACACTTAGCTGCAACACTGCAGCCAGAGTCCAGACCCATTCACTTACTGACTCGACCTAGCGCGGAGACGCGTCGTCGGAAGATATCACGCGTTCGCGCCCTGCTCCGTCAGCCTTTGGAACGACTCGCTCCTGATTATTCCCATGTCAGACGGGCTCCCCCCCTTGACAACCTTGCGAAGAATTACGGTCGTGGGAAGAAGGGACATCCCGTTCGAGGAGTAAGGAAGGAGGGATCACCCTTTTCCGCCTTCACCATCTCCTTCTTTTCCTCGTCTTACGCAAGCTTGGCTAGGTCTGGTCATGATAAGAGTCGCACCATAGGGGTCACTAATTACCAAGAGAAGAGGAAAGGTCCCTTGGCAGGTCTAGACTCGTCGTTTCCAGGCAGCGTCCACTCTATCAATGCAGTACGCTCCCACGAAGACGCGCCGAGACCTTTGTCTTGACACCCCGCAACTCTCTCTCCTTGCGTGTGTATGTTCTCCCTCTGTAACTCGACCCGGTCTGATGGTTTCCTCAACGGCTCGACTCGTCTTCAGATGTGGAATTGATGGTCCGCTTGCCGAGTGTGAAGTCGGGCCGGACCCCTGATGTCTGTATGTCTGCCGTGGTCAGGCGTACTGATCCCGCTACGGCTACCTTCTCAAGGTTCAGGGCTTGTTGTCTCAGATGGACAAGCGGGACCCAATTGTAGTAGTGTACCCTTGCCAAGTGTTACGCTGAGTACCCTTGGCAGAACGGGACAGGCCTTCAAGTGCAGCTGCGCCCGCGAGACACAGTTGTCAGCGCCTTCACGGAGGTCTGCGTCGGGGTTCCTGACTCGAGCGGGAGTTGTATCGTGGGCGCCCAGAGATCGAGACAGATCCTAGGAAGCACTCAGCTGAAAATTATCACTTCGCGTCGCAGAAGCTACTTGATCTCTTCTCTAGGTAGAGAGGAGCGGGACAGTATCATGCCGGTCGGAATGAGCGTCCTCGGCGCCATCGACACTGCACTGCCGGACTGTGGCATGCTGTTGCCCTTGCGCGTGCAATCTTCGGCTGATTAGGTCCGGGTACCTGACGATAGCGTACCTGCATCGGCAGCAAGGTTCACCCGATTCGGATCGTCACTCATCGGGTGCGCGCTCAGCTTCGTAGATTGAACCATCCATGGTATAGGAGTCGTCCCGGATAAGGCCCCTGGCCAATCCCTTAGCGAACGTCCGCTTCACGCTACCCCTGATAGACCAAGCTTGCAGATACTACTTCGACCTCTGACGGGCATTTCTGCTTCGCGTGACGCCAACGAAACTCATCACGGGACACTGTTCCGGTCTCTGAGAATTGCGCAGGACAGGACAGAGAACACTGCATGTGGACTTTCGCCCACCAGGGTCTCGGGTCTGCTCAGCGTATTCTACACGAGCTCATCTACACGGCCTCCGAAGGCAGGGCAGGTCCTTCTCTGATGCAAAAAGCAGAATAGCACATAGAGACGATAGAGGCTCAAGCGAGCTCCCGACTAGCAGTAAGGAGAACTCGAGCTGCATGCTCATGCGAGTGGTTGCAGTCCTTGCAAGGGTCCAATGAGGTGGAGTCTAACCCGGACCCTGCAGCTTCCTCATTAAGCTCCATGCCCCTTCGTCGTTCCGGCCTCCGGACCAGATCAAAATTCTGAGAGGGCAATCATGGCCCGAGTAGCTGGAAATTGCCAAGACGATAACAGCCCTGTAGGCGGAGCCTCCTCTTCGATTGCTTGCGCCAGAATCCCGCTCCTTGCAACCTCACAAAATGGGTCCACCCTGTCCACTTCCTCTGCCAAGTGGCTCGATCCCGCAATCACATTCCTCGCCGTCAGGGATGATCACTCACTCTCCGCCGACATCCACCCCAATAAGGGTGCAATGCGATGTAATGCAATGCGATGCGTAGCGACTCCGGTCAAGCAAGGGTCCTCACCTCCCCCCCCCTTCCGCGGAGAATACAATACCACAATGGGCCGCGGGCTATGTTTGGGTGACGCGCGGAGAACAAAAATGGGGTCAAGCCCCGCTGGGATGGGCGTTCCTGTCCGCTCCTCCTTGGACCTCAGCTTGAGGCTCAGCTTTCAGGATTCAAGGATCCCAAAATGGGAGACCAACCCCTGTTTAGTGTAATGGAAAAGCTGGGCTGGGCTTAGTAAGCGATACTGAGCCTGTGTGTGATGTATCTCCCTGATGAGGGGGTGTAGAGGATGGAGCGGAAGCAGGACGCGCCGCGACGGGAGCTGTCGCAGGTCACGCCTCTCCCTGCTCTCATCACCCAATATGAGAGTGAGACCCCCCCCCGCCGACCTGCGAAAGTCAGCATCTGTTGATTTCCTAGCGTCTATGGATCACTCTTAGCACGATTATTGACATCTGAGATAGTCTCATTCAATTGTGACCGTCGACCGAAGTCGCTGGACAGACTTGGCCTACCAGTTCTGCCCGGCAGCCAAGCGCAGCTGCTCTTCCTTCAACTCCCGTTTCGCCTGACGCTCCTGCGCTTCTGCCTCCCCATGTGCATGACCATGTGCGTGTGGGTGCGCCGGTTGAACCGACGATGGCTTCTCTTCGCCTACAGCCACTGGCGCTGCGTTTGCGGAAGACGCGGCAGCTCGTAGACCTCTTGCACGTAGGGCTGCTAGACCTTTCAATGGCGAAGCCTGAGAAGCATTCGACGCAGCAGCTGAAGTGGCCGGAGCAGGTGCAGCAGAAGCCGTAGCAGCCGTCACAGCCTCTTTCGCCTTTGCGGGCGCCGTGCCAGCAGAAGCAACAGAGCTTGTTGTAGACTTTGCTGCAGCTGCTGGCGGCGGCTTCCTCTTCTTCTTCTTGTCCTCATCGTCCCCACCAGCGCCCCAATCAGCCACCAAGTCCCGCCCAAGCACCTCGACTTTGAACCCTTTCCGTCTCACTTTGAATCCCAATGCATTCTCCCCGCCAGAGCCTCCCCCTCCTCCATCGCCCGAGGCAGAACTCAGTCCCCGAAGTTGGCTTGCTCTGATGCTCGAAGGGGCCAACGAACCCAGTGCTGGCGTCTTGAGGATCTGAAGAGCGCCGGTGAAGCTAGCTGATTTGCCCGTTCCGGCTCCTGACGAGGTAGAGCTCTCGGAGGTGGGAGGCTGGAAGACGGAACGCAGACGTGCGTCGGCGCTGTAGGATGAGAAGGCCAGGGCGCTGTCGGCTAGTGTGGACAAGCGTGTTGCTACTGCTGCTGTCGAGTCGTGCGAGAGGAGCGAGGCGGAGGGGGAGCAGAGAGCGATTGTGGGGACCTCGATTGGTGGGTCTGTATTTGTAGCTGAGTCCCCGGTGCGGGCAATATTGCCAATCCAACTTGAAGACCGGAGCAATTTTTTGACCCGTAGCAGCAGACGGTACGACTCGACAGCGTGGGATTGACCGCGTTTGACGCTCCATGCTGGAGATCCCAGAGAAGGCAACACAACACGTATCGGCAACGGCGAAGGTGGAGGAACGGCCGGCCCCTGAGAGGTCCATTGTCGTCTTTGCTCTTCGTCTTGCGCTCTCCACAAGGCTACTTGTGTCTTCACAACGAACCAGACCTGCTCGTACGTATTTTCTCCATCTACATCTTCCTCCGCCAGAGTATGCACGACCAATCTCCCTTCCTGTCTTGCCTCGCGCAGCACCGATCCAGGCATCTTCATCGAAAGATCAAAGGGGTGGACGTAAGGCAGATTGTCTTGTCCACTCGACGAGGAGGAGGGTGAAGGAGATCCAATGCCAAGAGCCTTGTTCTCCATCTCCTCGAGCCGCTTGAGCTTCTCGTACCTGAAGGCTACTTTGAGCTGGGAGTCCCTGCCAGAAGAGGAGGAGGAGCCTTCGTCCTCTTCATCCTCTGCACCGCTTGACAACTTGCCAGTTCCAGCAGCAGGCGCCGTGTCCGTCTCGGACGTTGCCGTATTAGTAGTATCTGTCTTTCTTGACTCCCCAGCTCCAGCTCCAGCCCATCCCATCAATCCCCTCATCCACTCCTCCGCCTCCTCACCCACAACCAGCACCCTCTGCTTCGCCGCCAATCCCTGCGCAGCCCCATACCTCACCACCAGATCCGCATACGCCGCTCCTGCCTCTGCAGTCCTTCTCCGATCCTCCTCTTCCCCTGACGAGCTCGACGAATGATAGGCAGGCAGCACAGGGAGGAAGAGTGCGAGTGAACCGGCCGGCAGGCCTAGACCGGTGAGAACATCGTTTATTGCATTTAGGCCGAGGGAGAAGAGCGGGAGAGGCTGCTGTTGTGGGAAGGGAGAAGGACGCAGAGTCGGGTGCGTTGAAGGTCGAAGGGAGATTGGCGCTCCTGAAGATGGAGAGGGGAGCGAGGAGGAGGAGGAGGAGGAGGAAGAAGCAGCGGAGGAGCTACTGCCCGCACTGCCAGAGCCGGTCTCTTCCCCCGCAGAGCCACCGGCATCAGCAGTACCGTCAACTGCTAGAGCAGCCGTGGGGAGTGTTCTCGGCCTGCGCTGGAAGGCTGAAGGCATCTGTTCAGACAGCGCTGAAGTGCTAGTGTAATGGCAGGGAGTCAAGGTGAGTATCAGGGCTGCACCTTCGCGAATCTCGGAAAAGTTGAACGGAAGCAGGCAAAGCAGTGGAGGAACGGTTGGAGTGAGAGTCGGAAGTCGGAACGGAAAAGCGCGTTTCGACGCCTCGAGACTTCGCACGCAAAGCAACGAGGCCTTTACAATTACATGGGAGTGAGGACTGGTAGGTGATATATTTTACGATGAGGTCTCTTCAACTCTTCAAAATCTACCTCACTGTTGCAAGTATCAGTCTTGCTTAGAGTCCTTGTCCGTCCCTGCCATGAGCGTCTCCTCGCTCTCATTCCCGTGATGAGTGTCCGTCGGCCTGTGGACAGGTCGACTACTAGACCTGCCACCCGTACTACTCATGCTCTGGTCTTCCTCCTCCTCGTCACCGACGCTGAACATCACCACTGACTCCTCGCCGACCCCGCCGTTGGGATCAGCCTCGTATGCAGGCGGGCCTGCGGTTAACGACGGCCCACCGTTCGAGGCCTGTGCGCCGCCCCCCGTTGACTTCGTCTTCTTCCCATCATCTTCATCATCCGAGTCGTCTCCATGCTGCTCAAAGCCAGCATAGGCTCCACCCAACTCCATATCCCCTCCTTCTGGGTCATCCCCCGTGGCCAGCTCATCAGACATGCTCAGCCGCATGTTGTACCCAGTAGGGCGGAAGATCCAGGCAATTGCGACGAAGACGCCGAGGTAGAGGCAGGAGGTCCACCCGTCCAGGAGGAACCAGCGATACCGCCACGTCTCAGAGGGATAGTTCTCGGTCCCTGCGTTGGAGAAGGATATTGTGGACAGCACAAAGAAGGCAAAGATGACGACGATGGCGATCACCAGAATTCTCCATAGCCGTCTGAAGAAGGCAAGCTTGAAGGATTGTTTCCGTGCTGTGAGGTGAGCAATGGTGGCGTTGAGCGAGTTGAGGGTCCATGACATGAATGTCGTGAGAGAAAATGCTAGTGGGAAGATGAAGAGGAACACCCAAGTGCCCCCAGCCTCGATGGAGAGGAGCACAATGCCCACTGAGTACAGCCATCCGCAGATCAGATGCACTGCCGTCAGACATTTGACCATGAACATCGTCCTGGGCTCCAGCTGTGGCCTGACAATGCCATAGCCCATGCTGACGATGAGCAGCAGGAAGAAGCTGGCGCTATTCCTAGTTGAATCTAGTAGACCTTCGAGAACCAACAGGGCTCGAGCGGTCCACGTCTCGCCAGCATTGCCATTCAGAGATGCAAGACGCCAATACTCAATGACATGTGAGTTGAGATAGGAATAGTAGAGCCATGTGATCATCTGCTCGATGATGAGTAGGACCGACAGTCCAGAGATGAAGTGCTGGATGGGCAGCAGCTCAGCCTTGTGCTTAATACAGAGATAGCCCCAGCCAAAACCGAGAAGAATGTAGAGGCTGGTGAGACCAAAGTAGAACTGCGAAGCAGAACAAAAGCATGTGCAGTGAGCTTGTGAGCAGGTTTGAGCTGAATCCCCAAGCGCTACAGCACACTTACGCCGACTTTTGGGTACTCTCCACCTGGCAGCTCTCCCTTGAAGGCATTGTGGAAGTTCACCAGCCCTTGGAAGCTAGCGTGTACTCCGCGAGATGTGAAGGGTACGGCGGCTAAGGCAAGGAGAAGGAAAAGAGAGAGGTCAACATTCATCATCTGATTTGCATGAAATCCCCCTGTGGTCCTCACTCGCACCGACGCAGTAGTATCCTGTAGAGTTGACTTTGTATGACTGTCGGGAGGGGAGTTGGGGAAAAGTCGTGAGATGCAGTGTTCCGCTTGCTACGCTGTCAGACTCTCGTCGCAGCGAGTTCACTCACGATGATCTCTTGTTGAGTGTTTCCCGTGCCAAAGTCCATCTTCTGCTTCTGCACGGAAGGCGCAGTCCCATCGACGATGAAGTTGCCAAGGTCTGTGTCTTCGCATAGACTCTGTCTGACGGCGAGAGGTGTACATACGTAGGACTTGAGCGAGTAGCCGAATACGTCCTTCTCTGGGCCATCCTTTCCCAAGCGGTCAAAGTCTGACCACTCGTAGAAGATTGTGGCTATGATCCCGGTCGAGTTGGGCTTGAATGTCACTGTAATTAGGGAGAGACAGTATAAAGGAACGTGATGAGCGCCAGTTGACCTTTCATTGCCCCCTGCGGGCCTACTCACAGTCAATCGACGTGTTCTTTCCCGCCCACATGCCGCTGCATGTTTGTCGCAGAGCATCGGCATCGCTGACTGGTACCTGATATGCCGACGCAGTGTGAGCTAGGAGAGCAAGGAGAGCGCTGGCATAGAGAACCAAGAGAGACAGCGATAGCGAAGGCTTCCGTGACCGAGGATGAGATGCGTGAGCCATGATGCTATGAAGGGGAAGAGAGAGGATGCTGTTGCCGTTCGCTGCTGCTGCTGCTGCTGCTGCTGCTCGGAGGGTGCGGTTCCGGTACCGTCCGCCTGTCTGAGGGAACAGAGAGCCTGAGAAGGGTGCAAGTTCCTTCTTCGCCTCTATGGGTATGATGTCCTCTTTTGCCAGAGCCTGCGTTGTGGTACCTGAGCCGGGAAGAGAAGGTCGAAGCGCGTTGGTAGGCGTGTTAGTGGGAAGGGCTACGTGGACCTTGGGTAGTCGGTCTACTCTAATTCCTTGGCCCGTGGTGGCTCTAAGCGAGTTGGTTGGCCTTGGCTGGCGGTGCGGACCAGGGCGGCGGTGGCGCGCCGCTCTTGGCCGGCAGACGCAGAGGCTTGGCTCAGGAAATGAATCACACGCCGGGCACCAGAGAAGGAGACTCAGAGACACACACACACACGCACGCACGCTGCCGTCCATCGCACTCGGTCGTACTCTGCCGCTGCTGCATCCTCACCCTCCTTACAAGCATCGGCAAGGCACGCAGCATCCCCTCGCACACTGACACTCTTCGTCTTACCCAAAGATCGCCTTGCAACCGCCTCCTCGGCACCACCTAGACCCTCGCACTCGTCGCCTACACTTAGACTACCTCCGACCCCCGAAGCCACGTCAAAGCCTGGCAGCTGCATGTCTCCGCCCTCCACGTCCTGCTACCCTCCTCTTCCTTCCATACCACTGCTCCTACCCAAGGAGCTCATCTCATATCAGGGAAACGGGATACGCACCATTGCTCAGGCCTAGAGATCGTCCCTCGTCTTCGCTATACCGTACCCCAGTATCGCTATTCTATACTCGCGGCTCTACTTCTCCGCTCGCCCCGCGGCTCTTCGGCTGCAAATTCCCCTCAGGCTAGAGCCCAGTCACAGCAATTGCTTCCGGCCTTCAGCTCGCTCCACCAGCAACCTACTTTCTCCGGTGCCTATCGGAGCATCGTGGTAAGCCTGTACAGTAGCCCGTACTCGCTGCTACCCACCTCGTACATCTTGAGCCCTCCTTGCCCGAGTCTACTCAGATTGGGCCAGTGCCAGTGCCCGTGATCACAGCACCGCTCTCGTCCCTTCCGCAATGTCCAACATGCTCAAGGGAATGGGCATCTGGCCCAATGCAGGCGCCATGGATCAGGTGAGTACCACTCGGGTCCAAGGACCTCAATCCTCATCTCCCCCGGGCTGCACAGACTGATCAGCATACACACTCCTCTCTTGACCCATCTCCATTGCCAGACGACGCCCAAAGCCCCCGTCTCCTCAGTCAAGACCGAAGAGCGCAACCCCTTTGATTCCATACCTTCTTCCACACCGGGAGGGCCAGGACTGAGCCAGCACCGCAAATCAGCGAGCGGAAGCAGTCTCAACACCCTAGGCGTGCCGGGCAGAGGTGGCGATGTCACGCCCTCGGCACTCCTCACACCGGGAGGCAACATCTCGACTCAGAGTGCCATCCCCACCACGTCCCTTTCCACCACTGGTGAGTATGCGTTGCAGCCGACGAAGGTGCGACTCGCCCCGTTGCGAGGGCCTGGGCTGACATCTTGTCCTACGATTCCCCTCACCTCACTAGTTCCCGACTTTACCATGAAGCTACCGCCAGCGAAGGCCAAGGCGGAGCTGCTTGCCGCCGGATCCTCTACCCCACCCAGCTCCGACACTCGTAATACAAATGCACCTCGAGGCCACCTGACGGTCAAACTCGTCGAGGCTCGCAATCTCGCAGTCGGCACCTCGTCGAAGTCCGCCCCCTATGCTGTGGTATCCTTCGACAAGAACGAGTTCATCGGTCGGGAACCCATTGATGCCGCGACAGAGGATGCGCATGGGAAGGCGATCCCCAAGGAGGAAGGGCTCAGGTCCAGAGCGAAGACGGTCACACCTGCCTCTTCTGCTGCTGGTGCCGCGACAGCAGGCTCTTCTGGCGCACAATCTGTGCCCCGCAACCCAGTCTGGAAGCATCAAGTCACCTTTGACGTGACTCAGGAGAGACAGCCCATCTACATCAGTGTGTACGACCGATCTGCGGAAGAGGAAGGCTTCTTGGGGCAAAAGATGATCACGCCGAGACTTGTGCACAAGATGTCCACCGATCAGTGGTACTCTCTCTCTAGCCGGGAGGATCAGATTGAGGACGATTCGACAGTCCGCGGAGAGATCAGGATCCAAATCTCCTACGAGCGGCTGGCAGCGCGGCGCCTGACGCCCGCAGACTTTGAGTACTTGAAGCTGATCGGCAGGGGTACTTTCGGACGGGTGTTCCAGGTGAGAAAGAAGGACACTAAGCGTATCTACGCCATGAAGGTTCTGAGCAAGCGGGAGATTGCCATCAAGAAGGAGGTGACACATACGATGGGAGAGCGGAAGATCCTAGAAAAGTCCCTCGACTGCCCTTTCCTTGTCGGCCTCAAGTTCAGCTTCCAATCAGAGCAAGAGCTATACTTTGTCACCGACTACAAGTCCGGTGGAGAGCTCTTTTGGCACCTCCAGCGCGAGGGAAGATTTACAGAGGAGAGGGCAAGGTTCTACATTGCAGAGCTAGTCATTGCCCTTGGCCACTTGCACAAGTACAATATCGTCTACCGAGATCTCAAGCCAGAGAATATTCTGCTGGATGCCACAGGGCACGTCGCCCTGTGCGATTTCGGTCTCTCCAAGCCGGATCTAGGCGCAGGACAGCTGACCAACACCTTCTGTGGCACCACTGAGTATCTCGCACCCGAAGTCTTGCTTGACGAGAGCGGATATTCGAAGCTGGTCGACTTTTGGTCTTTGGGTGTGCTGCTCTTTGAGATGTGCTGTGGATGGAGTCCATTCTATGCTGAGGACACGCAGCAGATGTACAGGAACATTTGCTTTGGCAAGATCAAATTCCCACGTGGGGCTATTGGAGACGATGGCAAGCAATTTGTTAAGGGGGTGAGGAAAAGAGAAGAAGAGCTGGGCCAAAGCTAGGAAACAGATGACTGACGAATGCGGTTGCCCCGTATCTTCTCGCTCTCCCGCACTCACAGCTTTTGAACCGAAACCCGAAGCATCGTCTCGGTGCGTCTCGCGATGCCCAAGATCTCATGGAGCATCCCTTCTTCAAGGACATCGATTTTGAAGCCCTAGCCAACAAGCAAGTGACCCCTCCCTTCAAGCCCCTCGTAGAATCAGACGAGTCCGTCGCCAACTTTGACCCAGAGTTCACCGAGACGGATCTATCAGAGGTGGCTACGCTCGCGCCAGAGGGGGCACAGCTAGGCAATGGTGCCGACGCAGGAGGTTCGGGCGGGAACGGGAATGGTGGAGGAGGGGCAGGCATGGGCGCAGAGGTTGGCAGTGCAGGCAAGTCGGGCCTGGCTATCAAGAAGCCTTCCCCCGCAGGCGGCGGAGGTGCAGTAGACGAGACGCTCTCCTCTTCTATCCAAGAAAAGTTCCGAGGATTCTCCTACTCGGGGACGTACGACGGGTCTGTCGCTGGCAGTCTCTCGAGCTCCTTTGGTGGAAGGAGAGGAAGTGGTGGATCGGGCATCCGGGGCGCTAATCTGGGCATGAGCAGGATGGCCATGGATGATGAAGTCGAGAGCAGTGCAAATGGTCATGGTATTGGTAGTGGTAGTGGGGACGGAGAGCTTGCGAGGGGTAAGGCGGACGAGGTGATGAGGAGTCCTGAAGCAGAGAGGAGTTAGGTGGAAAGACTAAGTCGTAGATGCGGTCACTCTGCAGAGCGAGCCAAAGAAAGAGTAGGGACAATGCCTAGCCTATCTATATAATCCCTCCATCCTCTTCCCACTTTCTCGTCCCTATCACGATCTAAGTTGTCAAGTTCTCAAGCTGTTTCACTCAAGTCTTCAAGTTCAGTCGAGCTATGCAATTTCCCCCTCCTCTCAATGTCCCCAGCTCTACTCCTCTTTAGATTCATTCTCTTTTGTTTCATTTTGCAGTAGTAGTAGTAGTAGCAGTAGCGGTAGCAGATTCTTGTTCTCTTTTTCGTGTAGAATGTAGAAATGAACGAATGAACGAATGGAATTTTGACGATGCATTGCTATTTCAACTCGGCTGTAGCTAACATGCACATCGTGAGAAGCAAGAAGGCTCTTCAAGCAGCAGCAGTCTCGAGCAGAATGGTCACGGTCACAAGAAGTTCCGATCCGATCCGACCTTGTCCCTGGTCGGAATGGACGAAAGTCACCGAGGGGGGGTGGGCAGGCTGTTGCGCGCGCACGCATGTCTGGAATCTCGAGTAATTATTCGGAGGGGGCAAGGCGGACTGGGATGGGATGAGAAGGTTGGACGGACGTTTGGGCGCTACTAGCATTGATCTGATCTGATACCACGATACCGCGAGAGCATATACCTACGGCTATACTTCAAGACAAGACGAGGGACAGTCAGCTAAACAGCTCTCAGTCCAGACTCAATAAGCAAGCGCAACTCAATCCAGCTTCCTCGTCACCCCCCTCACCAATCATGCGTATCCACCAACTCAAAGTCCGTCCTAAGAAATCCCTCCTCAGCGCTCCCTGCTCCGCCGAGCTCGCTGCCCTGCTCGCCTGCTGGGCATCAACAGATAGTGTCATGGGCGCACCCGTACTGGGCGTGGGGAGCGTACCCAAAGTAGGAGGGGCGGTACCGTCTGGAGCAGGAGGAGCAGCAGCAGGGGCAGGACTAGGGACACATGGAGCTTGTGCGAATGCAATGAGGGGACTCGAGGAATGTATGCGGAGAGCGGTGAGTGGTCTTTCTTTCCTCCTCAGTCGTGCTCCGGTTGTGCTTTGTATCGTACTGACTGACAAGTCCTTTCCCCCTCTCGTCTTCTTTCTTGTCGCTCTACAGGCAACGGCACCTCGCGCAAAAGCAAGACCGGCAATCAATTACCATTTGGCAAAATGGGGAAAGCAGCTCTGAGCCCCGTTTTTTCTCCTTCTACCTGGCTGCTCTCTTCTGGCTTCTGAACTCCTGGTCTCTGGCCCACCGGCCGTCTACCTTGCGCTTACCTCTTTTGCTCCCTCTTGTCTCTCTGGGTTACGTGCTCTGGCTCTCCGGATCTCTGTGTGTCCAGAAGCCCCCTCGAGGTGCGCACTTTCAGCATGCATTTGGGCTCTCTTCAGTCAGGGCTGCCTCAAAGGGTAGCAGGAACAGAGACGAATTACTCGCCGGCGCTTCCAGAAGGGGAATTTCTGCCTGGTAGTAGACAGGAGAAAGGGGGGAGTAGACAGTGAAGCAGAAGCAGACGCAAGAGAAGGAGAAGAAGAAGAAGAAGAAGTGAGCACCTTGTATTTGTACCACCCATCAACATCGTCATCATCATCATCGACGACGACAACCAAAATCTCAAACTTCAGATCTCTTGACTGTCTGATAAAGAGCATGATGCTCACAGAGGCTCTTGAGGCGGGCATGGAGGTCCGGACGCAAGAGCAGACGTCTTCGGTCATCTCTGACAATTGGCAGGGCACGGGATACAGAGTACGGAGCAGGGAGTGCAACAGGTCGTGCGACGATCATCAGAGGAAGAACGCAGGTTCGGCTACTGTGCAGAGGTATGGTCGAATGAACATTTTTGGTGTATGTGCGTGTGTAGTGCTCACTGGAAAGAATGGGGATTGGAATGGGGTGGATTAAAATGTACAAGAGCCGCTCCGCCCTGTCCCTCTCCCACCTTCCGACCATCATTCTGGTTGGTACAGACCCTCTCCATCCCTCTCATTTCCAGTCTTTCTCCCAAAGTGCACCTCAGCTTTACCTTTTCTCACTCGTTGTGCTGCCCTTTAGAGATCGAGGTAGACGTAGAAGTCGAGGGCTGCTGTGCCCAAGGACATGGGCAGGGACACTCTCCACAGGGGATCAACCCCGTCAAGCTTCGAGAAGTGGCCATCGATACGCCTGTAGCTGTAGCTGTACCCGTACCTGTGCCCATTGAACCTATGACGCCACCGTCGAGCATGCGGAGGGCTTCTTCCACCCGATCATTCTCGACGTAAAGACGACGACGCTTATGCCCATGCCCATGGCCGTGCCCGTGCCCGTGGTGGCCATCCCTGGTAGCGCCATCCTCGTGACGACTGAGAGAGGATAGCGGAACGAAAGAGGGTCCAGCTGCGTCTGAAGTCGAAGGTCGAGCTTCGTGACTCTCGTCGTGCTCCTGATTATTCTCCTTTGAGCGGTCGTGCTTGTCTACGTGGTCGTGATCATGATCGCTCATCACATCCCGATCGGTGCTTTCCATCAGGCACGTCTTCCTCTGCAAGGAGGGGCCAATTTCTACCGAAGGATGGCGGGCCTTCCTCTCCTCTGCCACCGTCAATCCACCTGAAGCCGTGCCAGTGCCAGCGCCTCTCCTCGCAAGTCCTTTGCGAGCAGTAGAGAAGGGAGGCGAAGTTCCCCCGAGTGCTATTGGGCTCGTCTGTCCCTGTCCTTGCGTCGGTGCCCTTCCGGAAACAACATCAGCGAGCAGGTTGAGTCCTCCTTGCCACTTTGGAAAAGCCGGGTGGGATCGAATTTGCTTGAATGCGTCTGGGATCGTGTATCCATGGCGCTCTAGACTGGCAAGAGTAGGGATGACAGATGCGGAGGAGGCGTTGCGGTATGGTAGAGGCAGGGAGAAGGGTGCGGGAGGGCTCATGGAGGTGCCAGAGGGGTAGCGGAGCGTGCTGCTCGACCCCAGCGGCACTTTACCCGACATGGGATCATCCTGATCTTCGAAGACAACGTCGGTAGGCCTGTCCGCCGTGCTGCCTCTTCGTGAGATGGAAATGGAAGGGCCAATGCTGGAGAAGCTGCTCGCTTCACTGATGGCGCCGTCATCGGCTACTGCCTCACAGAAGGCAGCCAAGACCGGGTCTGTTCCGCAAGCTGGACAATTGGCCGGATCCCCTGAACACAGGGCATCGGCTAGCGTCTCTTTCTTGCCGCCAGCGACTGCAGGTCTTCCGCCCGCAGCTGGCACAAAGGACGTCATCGATGAAGTGGTGATGGTCTGGGCCGATGCAGGTGAGGTCCACCAGAGCTTGCTGCTGCTCTTACGGGATATAGACGCTTGAGTCGATGGTGTAGGCGCAGAAGTAGGGGCTGCAAGTGCTGGTGTGGTGGTATTCCAGAGTTTCTTGCCCAGTGGTGCTTTGGTCCGCGAAGACAAGAGCGAGGAGATCGATACTGCTGGTCGGATAGGGACGTCCTGAACTGATGCTAGAGTTGTCGGATTGGCAGCCACAGTCGAGAGGCCTTCTTTGTACTCCTTGTGAGGTGCCTTGCCGCCACCAAAGCTTGCCACGGTGAAGCCTCCCACATTGCCATCATAATCGTCACCTGTCTCCTCTTCGATCTTACCCATCGTGTCTACGCCCTCCATCCATGTATTGTCAAGCCTCTCCGATAGACTCTTGTTTCGATCATCATCGCTGCTCGCATCCATTCCAGTGAGGTCAAGGATAGCTTCGCCCCGACAGATGCAGGGCGTAGCATCGGTACAGAACCCACAATCGCGATCCATGTCCATACTGCTCGAGGCCATGAGATCTGGGGAGGGTTCTCGTTGGAGCTTCTGCACAGCGCTGTGATGACTTGACTGTGCGCCTACCGGAGAGGAGAGCTCTGTCGTTGACCAGAAGGACACGGTCTGTTGTGCAGGCCTGTTGATCAGATCTGGACGCGCAAGAGGACGTGAAGCCGCTATTGTCATTGCGCCGAACCGACTTGTGTTATCATTTGAGCGTGATGGCGAAGTAGCAATTTGGTACTGTTGTCCATTGTAATCTACTTGCCCTGTAGAATTCTTGCGAGAGGGGAGAGGGCGCTTGAGCCTTTGAGCCGGCAGACCTTCGTGAGACGGGGCTCGACAGCCGACTTCTGAGCATGTGCCTGGTTGACATGGTCTGGCGGATTCCATGACCCGCCTCGAAGAAGAGCCACTTCCTTCGCTGCTCTTGAGAGTCTGCACGGCTAGCTCCAGCTCCTTGACCTTTGCCTTCAATGCAGCATTCTCCTCTGTCAGGGCGGCATTGTCTGCCCGAAGCTTGCGTTGCGCCTTCTCCTCTCTAGCATCTCTGGTCAACTTTTCCTCTTCATATGCAGCCACTTTGGCTTCAAGAGTGGCGACATGGCTCTGTTTCCTCTCTCTGAATGCTCGTTGAGAAGCCCGGTTCTGCGCCTGCCGCTTCGTGAGAGGCTCTTCCTGACTTGGCTTTCGTCCCGGCTTGGCACGCTGTGGCACGACCCAATCTCCCTTTGCATCTGGTCCGGGCGTAGGGCTTGCAGCGGCAGTAGATCGACTACTGCTACCCTCGCCATGAGGTGCTCGTGATGTACGAGAGTCTTCATCCCCACGGGCAGCAGCAGCGGCCTTTTTCGTTGCGGCAGCTGCCTTGGCGCTGGCTCTCTTGGCGGCTGACGACTTGACTCTATTCCCACCTATGGCTGCGGAAGCCTGTTGCTGAGCAGAAGGTGGAGGCGAGCCTGAAAGGCTATCATTGGACGATGATGAAGCAGAGGATGAGGGAGAAAAAGACGAAGAGGCGATGGCGTTTGAGGGCAGACCATACTGTGGACTCCCACCCTTGACCTTGTTAGGAAAGGGTATTGGGTATGGGGAGGTGGATGTCGCAGCCATGTCTGACCACGGCACGGGGTTGAGGTAGTGATGAAGAGTGACCACCTTAGCGCAAGAAGTGGGGACGCAAAGTGGGGCTCAGCGATTCTCTGTGAGAGACGCAGCGCCCGCTACCTGGCCACTAGTGGAAACAAAAATGAGAGATAAGGAGATCGTACGTGCTAAGCGCTCCAGTAGTGCGATGGTGTCAGAGTGGTCGAGGGAAGTGAGTGTAGTGTATCAGGTGATGACTGTGGTGAGCGTCGAGCGAGTGAAGCAGGAAGAAGGCTACGCTGGGCGCAGAGGGGTCGAAGGAGGAAGGAACCGAGGAGCGGAGCAACCGAAGACGTCCTTCGGGGGCGCGGGCTCAACCGGCAACTCGCCTGCAGACACTGCTCCCGTGCCTGGGCTGGAATCCGCAAGAATTATCTCGAGTTATCGCCATCTAATCGCGCCAAATCCGAAAAGGCGGCCAAGGCAGAGTTTCTAAGCTCGACCGAGGGACAAGTGGCGACGAAGGGGGGAGGCAAGAATCACACACGCTGACGGATCACCTTTGCGACTCCCACTCAGCCGCAGGACACCTCACTCATCGGTCGCACACAGAAAGTCGGGAGGGAGATGAGGATAATCCCGCCGCCACTACCCTTGTCCGGTCAGCGATTGTATCCTTGCCTGATCTCCTGACAGCTGCCGGTTTCACGTCCACAAGCTACCTTCCGTATATCAACATTTTCCAATTGGCAACTGCGGTGCGTTTCAAACGCCAAGATAGCGTCTCCAGTGCGATAGATGGGCCAGACCAACGGATACCTCTGAAATCAGACTGCCGCCCACTCCCTCCTGCCCGTCTCTGCACCACTTGCTCTCAGCTTGCCCGCCACTTCCTCCCACTCGTCTCCAAATGGATCCTCCTCGGCCTCATCATCATCGCCTCCTCCTCCCTGAATCCACCTATCCTCATCCTCCTTGCTCCACAGACTAGACGTCTCCTCTCCAATGCGAGACTTGTGCGATCTTCTCCAGGCTTCCAAAGCAGCGCCATGCTGCGATTGAGTTGTGGAGCCAGAATGAGCGGGGGAGAGAAGCGAGGGTGAATCTCCCGGTGGCGCAAGGCCTCGTGAGGAGGCAGGAACACCCATTCCAGCAACGGGCTTCTGCTGCTGATGCGTCTCCTCGTCCGAAGACTCGTCATCGTAGTCAGAGTAGTCCGACAGACTGCCATGCTGAGCAGCACTGCCGCCAGCGCCACTTGCGCCACCGCTCCTGGTCGACGTAGAGGCAGACGTCTTCGACGGCCTCAAGCTGGGGCCAGAGTTGGTGCTGGTCTCGTCAAAGTCTAGATCGAGCAGATCCTGCATCGCTCCTGCTCCCTTGAGGTCACCCCTTCGAGAGTTGTGCCTGTTGATGCCCATCCTCTGTCTGAATTGCAGCTTTTCAATTTCGCCCTCCCACTCATCATCGCCGCCCTTGGATGCAGTGGGCTTGCCACTATGGAAGTCGGATCTGGCGAGACTTTGTCGCACGGCCTCGATCTCAGCGTCCTCAGCTTCGGCTCGTTGAGCAGCGGTGGGCTTGTTAGATGGAATAGCCGCGAGAAGCGTCTCGTCCTCAGAATCTGACGTATCCGGTTTCGATAGCTGAGCACGACAGGAAAGCGAAGCTGATGAGCTGAAAGAGCCCTCTCTTTCGGCCGACTCTGCCTCTCACTCACCTTGTCGTACAGCTGCAGAGCAACCATGATTCTCTCGTTGGCCTCGATGAGGGCGCCTAGCATATCCTCCTCCTGACACAGCTGAATATACCTGACAATGGTCTTTCTTTCCGTCTTGACATCATTCAGCGCCTGCACTACCTTGGCATTTGCAGAGACGCTCTCCTTCTCTCGATTGACGTGCTGCAAGGTGTTGACGAGGGCTGTAGCAGACCGACTAGACGTAGCAAGGTGATTGAGAATCATCGGCTTCTCCGCCTCGTAATTGAAGCGAGCGGGAGCTTTCTTCCCCTTTGCCCCCAGCTTGCTTCTCTTCTTATCCTCCTCCTTCTGCAGCTTCTCTGCCGTCTTGCGGTCCATTCGTACTTGCATCTCTCTCCTACGCTCCTCTTCTTGCTTCCTCAGTAGCTCCTCTGCCTCACTGCGTTTCCTCTGCGCCTCTCTCTCCTGCCTCTCCCTGCCCCCACCACAAGCTACATACAGCGATGAGATAGTACGTAGGGTAGGCTCGCCAGAGTATTGATGTTGCCATGAGAGGAGCAGACGCATGAGCTTGCGGCGGACAGAGGCGTCTACGAGTGGGTCAGCTGATGTGAGCTTGATCTGTGTGACCAGACGCTCGTCGGCAAATGTGGCTATGAGGAAACAAGGGAGTCGGAGCAGGTGAGCAACATTGAGCGTAGTCATTCTTTCACTCCTTTCCAACCGCTGCTCTCCGCTCACTTTGGAATCGTGGACCCGCATTCTCCACCAGTGCCCCAAGAATGGTCAAGGTTCGCTTCTGTCCATGCACGCTGCCGTACTTGAGCTGCTTCCGCACACATCTTGCTGCCTCGGTCGGACCTCCACCCTGCAGAGTGATGGCTTCGGTAAGTTCGGGAATGCTGTGCGGCGAGGTAGCATGTAAGGTGGGTACATGCGGCAGTCAGTGCCGGTTGCCGTAATAATGCGTTTGACTTGATAAGCACCACTGCACTCACCCGTCATAGTCGTCCTCTTTGAAGTTGTTGCTAGTCAGCTTGTCGAACCAGACGCTGATGGCTGAATATGGCTTTGCATTGTTCAGTGCGCCATTCATTTGCTGAATGGACTGGTTCACGATGGGGTGAGAGATTACAGGAAGAAGGTCACCTAAGCGCACGTTGCGGGGTGATATCGGATTGCTGGTGCCCTTGCTGCGCTCAACTTACCTTGATCATGTTGGGCAGCTGGTTGACGTGGTAGACTGGAGTGAACTCTGCTGCTGTAGATGATACCAGTAGAATGGAAGGAGCGAAGGAGGATGACCGGGGGGTGCGTCTGCCTGGACAAGAAGGGAAGGCAGGTCAGGCCAGGCGAGACAGGCGAGCGGTCAAGCCACTCCCTTACGGCTATCATCCGGGGGACGCTGCCTCGCTTCCTGTGGTCCGCCTCGGCTGCCGTGCCCTTCCCCGCGCAGCGACTCAGGCACAATGACGCCCAAAGCCCTGCTCGTCCATCTCCGCCCTTCCGTCGGCAGCGAGTTGCTCCTTTGCCGTGGTGAAAGAAGGAGAGCAACACCAGCATAGAGCAACCACACCATCATTCATCCATCGTACAAGTCGTCGGATAGCACAGCCTTGGCATAGCAAAGGTCGCTGCTCATGGACGCTGTTCAGTCAATTCGGTAGATCAGGTAGCCCAACATGGCACCGCCCTCGTCCTCTTCAGCCTTGGCGTTGACCCCATCGCCCTCGCCTCAGCCACCCGCCTCGCTCCGTGGGCAGCGACTCCTTTCCGAGGCAGACTACATCTCCTCGCTATCGTCACTCATTCAGAGAGACTTCTTCCCCAACCTGCCTCGCCTCACTGCCGAGAACGAGTACCTCTCTGCTCTCGAGGACTTGGACAGTGGCGTGGATGGCGCAGAATTGCGGGTCAAGGAAGCAGAGAGGGACCTCGATCGAATGGACCGGGAGGAGGTGGATGGCAAACAGAAGAGGAGACGGGCTAGAAAAGGCGCTGGGAGCAACGCGAGACGAACTCCTTCACGCTTTGCCACGCCATCTGATACCCCTGTGCGGCCACTGCATGGCAGGTGGGACCCCACGCCACTCTCCTCGGGCGCCAGAACACCTCGTTCAGAGGCAGGATGGGCAACGCCAAGCAATTCGGAGGGTTATGGCAAGGCTCACGCCACAAGGATCGGCTCTGCGCTTGCGCAAGACCCTCGTCCTACTTACGCCTCCGATGAGGAAGAACTCCCTCCTCCTCCTGAGCTCTCTGGCCACTCGATCTCTTCGTTTCAGCACAGCTTTACGTCGGAGGATAACGCTTCCTTCCTTGCCCTCGTCCAGTCCACCAACGATCGGCGCAAGGAAAAGTATGCTTGGGCGTTCCGGCAGGAGCGCAATCACAATGCAAGGAGGAAACTCATTATGGATGAGGCGACAAAGAGGGCCGATGAAGGGTATGCGCGGAGTGTGCTTGCTCTGCCAGAGACAAAGAGGAGAAAGCTGATCGAGGGGGGTAGGTTGGGGATCGAGTTGAGCAAGCGAGTCGCCGATCTGGAGCGAACTGAAATGGTTCTGGGAGAGGGGAGCGGTGGCAAGAGCAAAGCGGAACAGCAGTTCCTTACCTACGACCCCGCCAAGGCACACCGCGCCCTTCGTGCCTCGAGCGAAGAAGGCACGTCTGCGAGCACTTCATCACAATTAGTACTCCTGCCCTCAAGACATCGCTCAACATCGCCACCCGCTCTGTCTCCCTTGAAACACTCTCTCGACCCTCGCTCTGAGATCGCGCTCGTCTCGACATCCTCTGCCAACAAAGTCTCCGACGATTGCGAAATGGAGGACCCCAGCTTCGACCCCAATGCCATTCTTCGCCGAGCCAAAGTCGTGCCGACTACAGCCACTACCTACACAGGCACCAAGTATGCAGCTCGCAATGCCCTCTTCTTCGGTCCCGACGCAGAGATCGGCACGACCGATCGAGTAACCTCTTCTCTTCCGGAACACGTCAAAGAAGGTGCCACGAGCGCAGAGCGTCTTTTCTACGCGCGGGAGAAGCTTAAGAGCAAGACGGTCTTCCACAATACTGCTCTGCCCTCACAGGGCGTCTTCCCAGAGGCGAGGTATCCTGACCTCCTTGCAGGCAAGGACAGCTCGAGCGTCATCACCTCTGCCAGCCCTCGATCCAGTCGAGTCGAGAGCGCCATGGCTGGTGGCTCGCGCTATGGAGACAACTTCGATGACGAGAGTGGGGTAGATTTGAGGTACGCAGGTCCCACTGTCAATGGCTTCGGCTTCGTCTCGCCTGCCGAGGATCTGACTCCGAACCGAGCAGCGATGGAAGAAGAACTTGCGGAGAGTCTTGAGCAGAAGAGGAGGCAGAGATTGCTCGCCATTCAGGGCGGTGGAGGAGGGGGAGGTAGAGCGGAGGATGGGCCCCGCTCTTTCTTTGTACCTCCAACACCCAAAAGGGACGAGCTGGCCTCTTCGCTCGCCACAAGATCTGCTTCGTCGCGCAATCGCACGACCGCCAAGGGCTCGACATCTGGCTCACTGCGAATGGGGTTGGGCGGTAGCCTAGGCGCTCGACTTGGACGCTCATCAGGCGCTGCGACTCCCAGCAGGCGATCCGAGGCTCTCTCTCCGGCCGCCAGGACACTGCTCGATCGCAGTACCCGAGGTGGCCTTGGCAGTGGTCTTGGAGGTTTCCTCACTCCCAGTCGAGCCACCACACGGGCGCCAAACCTGCAGCGAAGTGGCGGATCGAAGGACAAGGAGAAGGAGAGGCAGAGGAAACCGGTTGAGACGCTGGGAGGGATGCTGGGGAAGAGAGGATGGGAGGATGATACGCCCAAAGCTGGCACAAGTGGGAGAAAGCGCTAGATGAATTTTTGTATTTTGTACCCTCTAGATGAAGGATTGCAGACATTACTATATACCATGATCTCAATCTGCCAGTTAGCCATCGCACACGTAGCTTGGCCATCACTTTACCCTTGTTCCCCCTGTCATTTCCTACTTTGCGCCCAGTGCCTTCTCCCTCCACCCCATTAACCGCTTCACCTCCTCCCGACTCCCCCCCTGCATCTCCACCACATTCGCCAATGCCAAGAGCAGATCACCCGACCAGGCAGCGCTGCGCTGCATGCGAGCTGAGCGACGCTCTTTCATGCCTACGCCTCCAGCACCGGCGAGAGTCGGGGGTGAGATCCACGCACGCAACGAGGCACGTGCTACCTCTAGCTCATGCTTCGCTTCGTGCAGGTGTGGAGGGGTGGAGAGGGCGTAGCACGCTGCGAGGAGGAGACGATGCTCGAGCCCCTCTTGCAAGGAGGTCCAGCTCGCCTCCTCATCCTCTTCTCCTTGTTGGGAGATGGAAGAGGGAAGCTCATCTTTTGCCGAAGAGACGGAGAGAGCAAGAGCTTGCTTGAGCTCGATGAGCGCTTCCCGCTTTTGCTGAGTGTTGGTCAGGGCTTTGATCCGTTCTTGCAATTGAAGCTGGTTTGAAGTCTGCCCTTGACTAGCATCGGGAGGAGTGGCAATGTTAGGCTCGGAAGCGATTAAGAGGGAGTGAATTTGCGGTAAGGCTGGGAGGTGCGGGAGTTTGAGCACGTAGGAGAGGTTGCGCGATATGAGAGGGCCGACGGGGAGGGTGTACCCGCCTGTGCTAGTGCTTGTGTTGGTGCTGGAAGATGGACCATTGGCGGCAGAGCTACCTTCACCACCACTCATCGCTAGCCGTGAGCCTTTTCAGTCGAGCTCTGACCGCCGCTGCCCTGCGCAATGCAATTGTCCTGCTCTTTCTCGTACTTTTGGTAAGACTGACTTGATGGTTGCGGAACGGAAGCAGAGGTATCAAGTGAAGCGCATCTGCACCTCCATGGAGATAATCTGACCGGGAGACGCGGCTGCTCCGCAAGGCGTTTGTGGCGAGTGAAGTCCCAGTAGTCAGACCTTTGGGCATTCGGCGTCTGCAGTGAGCTTCGCTCTGCAAGCATATGCCATGGACCTCCTGCGGCAGCCTCAGCCCTTGTCCGTTCGAACACCCACCGTAGTCTCCTTGTCTACCGGAAGGCCGCTGCTGCCCGGCTTTCAGGCTCAGCGTCCAGCCGAGATCCGGTCGCGCCGCCGCCGCCTGGGCAGCCAAAGCGGGACAGGCGGGCGCGGGGGGCGGCTTGCATTGCATTGCAACACGCACGCACACACACACCTTCCGGCAATCGTACCAACTCTTGACCTGCCCTTCAAGCTACGAGAAAGGACTTCTTCCCAAAGAGGAGCTACTCACAAGTGCCATAGCACACGAAAGGGACATCCTAGCGATTCATCCACCTTCATCAACCCACCATGTCTGCCCTTCAGCAAATCATCCTGCATCCTTATCTGAGCCAGACGGTGAGCCTTCCACCCCTCTCGAGCTCACCACGTGCAGCACGCTCACTGACGCCCACTCTCCTCTTACCTTGACTGTCCTGCTCCCTTCTCCTACTCTCCTCGATGCCCCCCCCCTCCTTCTGCCAACCAGCTCCGCTTCTGGTCCACGACGGTAGGACGAGACAAGACCTACCGAACTGTGCAGTACCTTGCCCGATTCCTGGCATGGTACGAGTACAGAAAGGGAGCCACAAAGGAGACGGTTGCTCGTTTGACCAACCTGAAGAGCTCTTTGGCTCTGAGCAGGAAGCGTGAGTGATACTTCTCATCGGGCGGACTGCTGTAGAAGGCCGAAGGATCTGCATACTATAGAAGAGACATGAATGGCTGACCTTGCGCTTGTGCGCTCACTCCCATTGCTCTTACCTGGGCGACAGTGATGCGAACGGGCAAGTTCCTGGAGCATATGCAGGCTGCTCTCAAGGCCGTCTCTATTCAGGACCCCTTTGTCAGCTACACTGCCCTGGGTAGGCAGGTGAGCTATGCCGGGTACCTCATGCTGGACACCTTGCAGTGGGTGAGTAAGGCTGCATTTGGCGAGAGGATGGAGGGAGTGTGGCGAAAAGCAGGCATCCAGAAGCTGTAGAGCTGACTGAATGAATGACCACATCCGTCGCGTATCCTTCCTCCACGCTATCAGGTGCATGGTTCCAAGGCGTACCAATTCGCCCCAGACACGTACAAGAAGATCTCCAAGAACGCCTCTCGCTTCTGGCTCGCCGGCCTCCTCTTCTCCCTCGTATCTGGCACCTACAAGACCAATGCCCTGCGCCAACGACGTGCCGCCGCTCTTCGCCCACGAGCCACTTCTGAGAAGGAAGCAGAGAGGAAGGTGGAGCTGCAGCAGATCAAGAAGGAGGCAAGCAGTGTACAGTGGCAGATGATCCAGGATGCTCTGGACGTCGCCAACCCTGCCACGGGAGCCGAGATTCTCAACGTCGACGACGGAAGTGAGTAGACATAAGGAGAGGTCCAAGAGATGGGCGATCTTCGAGGATTATCGCCCGATACTGACGACATGCCCATATTTAATCCCGCAGTGATTGGTCTGCTTGGTCTCGGATCTTCCATCATGGGTGCTATGACCCAATGGCAGGCAGTCAACGGTGGTGCGGCGGCTGCGAAGAAGTAAAGACGAAGCGCACGAATCGCTTGCGCTTTGGGGCCAGAAGCGCAATGCTGTCTAGCCCACCGTGGGAGTTTGAGACACCCGATTGTTGTGGAGTTGTGTTCTCGACTCTTCACCGTGCTAGTCTCACTGGTACTTCGTCTTCCTCGTTCCATTTGGAATGCATCTCCTTCACGTTGCGACCCTCGGTGTGTTGCTGCCAAGGCCTTCCCTATCGGTGTTGCGTGCGTGCGTGCGCCCTACGTGAGCTTCCGCCTTTGCCGTTGCTCCTGGCGGCGGCTGAGCTGAGCTGCAACGCGCCAATTTACGCCGGGCGCCCGCTTGCGTGTCCTTCCACATCCGTCGTGCGCTTTGTTCCTCCCCCGCTTACTTCCCTTACCCCCTCCTCGCCACCCCTTTCTTCGAGAGGAGTCACCTCCCTCAACATCCTTGACCTACAACCACACCACTGCTCCGTATATAGACGTGTATAGCATCCCCTTGTCCATTGCGCTATCCGGCATCGTTGATCGATCCAAGACTGGCAGAGGTAGATCCTCACGCAACATTCTCAACCTCGGCGTACCCTCCTCCACTACCCACCTCCAATCATCAGTATGCCTGTCAGTCGACGATCACAAGCGGGCGGGTCTCTCTTGGGTCACTTTCAGCCTACAAAGAAGACTGTAGGCACACCAAACAAAGATGTCAAGGGCAAGGGAAGGGCACTGGCCGATGTGGGCAAGGCCGCTAGAGCAAGCCCCCTCACCACCAATGTCACCGGGAAGGGGGTGGATACATCGGTTGAGGAGGTGAAGGCTGGCCCTCAGCAGACCGTCGCAACACAGCAGATTAGCGCTCGCAGCACTCCCGTCCGGGAGGTCTTGACTCCTTCACCTTCAAGATCCTCACCCGCTCCAGCCTTACTGGGTACGCCATCCAGCAGTCGTCTTTCATCTGCCTCGCCGCCGCCAGAGCTGCTGCAAGCGACGCACAAGTCTCCAGTCTCTGTACGGGAAGATCCCGACAAGGGAAAGTTCTACCTCATGATTTCCTCCCCCAAGAAGAAGGCATCCTCTGCTTCACCATCGCAGCTGCAGATGCCTACGCGGACGCCCTTCCATCTGCGTGAAGGCTCGCCCTCGCTTGAGCGTACGCCCATGCGTGAAGCTTCAGCACTGCCTCGCCAGCCTCCTTCGGCTCCCAAGAAGAGGCATGCGGACGAGTCTGCCCTGGAGAGAATGAGAGTGCAGAACGACGAGAGTCCTTTGCCGCATGACAAGAGGCGGCCTTCATACAAGGCCTTCGGAGCAAGTCAGGAGGCAGGATTGTCTCTTATGGGCATGACTGACTCGGGCGATGAGAGCTTCAGCCACTCCAGAAGCAGCAAGCGACCGAGGTACGACGACGGACAGCTCTTGTCCACTGGCTCAGCTTCTTCCTCCGATGATGAGCTGCTCATCACCCCTCGCAAGGTGCGAGAGCAGCCTCCACAAGGCGTATCGCCCGCTTCCTTCGCTACGCCTACCAAGGCCGCAAAGTTTGACGACCCTTTCTCGTCGACTCCACGCATCAAACCAACACGGTCTGCTGGTATCTTCTCCTCGCTGATCAAGCCGACAAGCGTGGGAGAGCCGCGGCCAGCGACGAGCTCAGATGAGGACAATCCATTCCTCGACTCGAGCCCAGCGACTTCTTCCTCATCAGTCTTTGCAGGAGCCCAGTCGGCTCTGCCTGCTGGGATCCCGGAGACAGGGTACAAGATCTCTGTTGCTCTACCACTGCCTCCGCATTACAACTCACTCTACCTCCTACACATCGGCATCGAACATGCTCTGGTTGTCCATCTAGCCACTACCGGTCTCGCATCTTCTAGCATCGACTCTACTTTCACAGACTCAATGGGTCAAAGCGTTGTGCGCTTGCCCAACTTGATCACCTACACAGCGCTGCGACCTCTCGTTGAGCGCACAGCAGGTAGACGCTTGGGCCCCGTAGAGCTAGCACGACTGATGTATCTCTGGTCCAATGGACGTCTGCCCTCGCAAGATGCTCCTCGGGGAGCATCGACTGCTCCTGTGGCGCCCGCTGGCAAGGAGCAAGAAGCCCTTTCTGGGCTTGGCTTCATCCTAGCCCGACAACGTTCCCTTGACGCCAATGGGCGACGCAAGTGGGATTGGAGCCTCGGCATTGAGCTGACGATTAAGCGCGCCAGGCGGGAGGTGACTCCACCTCTTCAGGTGTCATTCGGCGGTAGCAGTGAAAATGGGGGAGCGAGCGTACAAGTTCCAAGCACTCCTCCCTCCTCGGCCAGAAGTGGTGGTGTGGCATTTGGACTAGACACTCCTCCATCTACTCCATCAGGCAGCAAGCGAAGGAGGGAGGCAAGTGGAGATGGCTCGCCCAATGTTGGGCGGGAGGGTATGTCGCTTGTGGCGCTTTGGAACAATGGCATCGAAGAGCGCAAGAGCGAGGTGGGCCGCAGGCTGCGAGCGCTTTGTGCAAGCGACATGGAGGAGTGGCTTCAAAATGGAGCGATGACAAGCAGCCATGCAGATCTGGACGACAGGCCTTCCACGCCCGAGCCATCTACCCGCAGGGCAGAGGTTGGCGCAGGTGGCCTCCTGACGCCTTCTGCGACACGGCCCGAAGGCAGACGAAGTCGTTTCGTCAAGTTTGACGAGGCTACTCTGGGAGGCGACGGGGCTGTTCCACTGGTCGAGACGGCGGGGGAGGGCGCGGTGCAAGACTGGAATTTGCCGGCCGAAGGAGAGGTGCTCAGCGAGTGGCATCCCCGCTTCAGTCTGAAGGAGGCCAAGGCAGTGCCCTGCGCTATCCTGCCCAATCTCAAGGACGTCGCTGATGTTCCCCACCTGATCGGAGGAAGCCGAAGTCGAGAGACTGCCAAAGAGCCTGTGCCCATTCCGAGGGAAGCTGCTACCCCTCCCACTGCATCGAGCTCATCGGTAACGGCCACGCCCTCACGTGCTCAATCGCTCATGGACCGCATCAAAGCAAAAGAAGAGTCGAAGCGCTCCTCTTTGCAAGCTCGAGCCGGCCCGACCTTCCCCTCTAGTGGCAAGTCGCCTGCCTCCTCTTCTGGAGCAGGAGCAGCTCCCTCAACAGGCGACCTGATGGCCTCCTTCAAGCGTCGAGCTACTCTCAGCAGGCTCAACGACGTAGCGACCAGTCTGCACATGCTCTTTGTCACCTCGAGCGAGACGGCCTCGCCCCTATCCCCTGGTAATGGAAATGGCCCTCTGCGACGCTCTCCCATCCTCCCTCTTTCGACGGTTCTCACCTCGCTGTCCAAGAGCAGTCGAGTCACACTGAGCACCGCCGAGGCAAGGGGCTGTATCGACCTTCTTGCGCAGGTCTGCCCGGGTTTTTTGGACGTGAGGACCGTGGGTGGGAGAGAGTGGGTGAAGATGGGTGAGAGTGGAGAGGTGGGATTGGGTGAGGTTAGGAGAAGGGTCAAAGCTGAGCTTGACAAGTGAGAAAGAGTGATCTTGCCGGGCGGAATTGAGGTAGAAGCCTGAGATCTGCTTGCGAGTGCTCTGTTTGTCTTTCCCCTGCGTAGCACTTAGGACGCTCTGTCACTCGTTGAGGTACGCCTGTCTCATTCGCTCATGGCTCCTTGCACATTCCCATCTCTACTCATATCGCCTATCAATCCGATCCCTCATCATCAGCATTAGCATCATTTACTCCCCTCTCCTCTCTTCCGTCTGTCTTCTGTGCATCTTCCTCCCCTCAATCCGAGCCTGTCTCCTCTCGGACTTTAGATCCGAAGCAAGCGTGCGTAGACTAGACGCGGCAAACGATCGGCCGGCCGAAGAGGCAAGATGACCTCCACCTCGCTTCCCGCAGGATGCGAGGCCGACTGCCGGGAGAGTAAGCTGATGCTGCAGACTCCATGCTGAGCGTCCGTGTGTGCGTTGCCGTGATGCCCCTGGTAGATTGACGACTCAGCTCTTTCCTTCCCTTCCTTCCTCTTGCTACAATTGACGCTTAGTATCTCCCCAAGCTACGTTGAGAGTAAGTTCAAGCAAAATGTCGATCCCACAGGAGAAGACAAATGTTAAGATCGTGAGTGCTGGAGCTAGCGAGGTGGTGAGAGGGACAAGAAGGAGGAAGGACGTCGCTGACTAGTAGTGCATTCTTTCCTGTGCAATGCCAGGTGTTCGGCACGATGACCTTTGGTCGTGAGGGTGAGTCGACTATGTACACCTGTCCAATCGGGTGTACCTGATACTGACTCCTTTTGTCTTCTCCTCTCCTCTCCTCTACCAGGCGTGGAGCAATCTCGAGTCCACTCCCTCAAGGACTGCCAAGCCATCCTGGATGTCTTCAAGCAACATGGACACATCGAGCTCGACACAGCTCGCATGTACGGTTCCGGTAGCAGTGAAGAGTACCTTCGCGATATGGGCGTTGAAGCTCAAGGATTCAAGGTGGCTACCAAGGTCTTCCCTTCTGCTCGCATGCCTGGTCGACCTGGAGATTGGACACCCTATGATCACACTACTGATGGTGTGCAGAGGGCTCACAGTGACTCTTCCAAGGCTCTTGGCACAGACAAGGTAGATCTCTACTACCTTCATGCCCCCGATCGTGAAGTCAAGTTCGAAGAAACGCTCGCTGCCATTAATGATCTGCACAAAGCTGGTCACTTCTCCCGCTTTGGAATATCAAATTACAAGGCTGAAGAAGTAGAGGAGATCATCTCCATCTGTGACCAAAAAGGTTATGTCAAGCCATCCGTCTACCAAGGTTTGTACAATTCCATTGCTCGTAGTGCAGAAAAGGAATTGATTCCCGTACTGCGCAAGCATGGATTGAGCTACTATTGCTATAATCCCCTCGGTGGTGGATTCTTTACTGGTGCTATTACCGCACCTGACGATAAAGTGGAGAGTGGAAGTAGATTCGATGCGACGAAATGGCAAGGAGCATCCTACAGAAAGCGCTACTATCGAGACGAGTACTTCAAGGCTCTCAAGGTCGTCAGGGCCGCTTCTGAAAAGGCGGGATTGACAATGGCAGAAGTTGCACTGAGGTGGATGCAGCACCACTCGGCCCTCTCTACCAAGGAGCATGGAGACGCCATCATCATTGGTGCTTCCTCTCTCAAACACATCGAGGCTAATTTGGTAGACTTTGAGAAGGGACCTTTGCCACAGGAAGTAGTACAGGCAGTGGATGAGGCGTGGAAGATTGTAGAGCCCAACGCTCCTCCTTACCACTTCTGATCGGCAGGATGAGAATCCACAATATATTGAATACCAAAACGGGAAATGAACGATGCAAGTTCGCAAAAGAAATTGCAGATGAGATCGTTGCTTTCACTGTGCATTGCTAAAGTTACTACGAAACGCCGAGACAGGTAACAATGATGAGACGTAGAACCTCTGAATCGTCCACTTTTTCCTCCAAGCAGTTGCCTTGTCTGCTTACCTGCAAGTGCCTTTGTGAGAGAATGTCGCTTTCTCCTTACCGCCACTGCTTCAGATGCCCAAGAAGCTCCTCCGCTTCCCTGAACCCTCCCTTTCGCCTCCCTCTCTGAACGTGCTACTCCTCGATTCGTAAGAAGGCAAGGCCGTCATTCCTTCGACGACGGTATATCCATCTCCCCAACTCGCCGTGTCAGACCTGCCAGCACTGCCACTGCCATGTCCATTTCCTCTAGCTTCACTATCCCCCGCACCTGCACCCGCACCAGCAGTGCCTACACCCCCGAACTTCTTGACCTCGATTGTGCCTGCGAGGTCCGGCCCTGAATAAGCCATAAGCGGCCAGTGAGGGTGGAAGGCAATGGACGCCATTGCAGGTGTGAAGCAGGAGAGGGGTTGGTCGAGCATAGCCGGTGGGAGTAGAGCGCTCTGCTGGCCTCTTGCTCCACCCTGCGCCAGCTGCGAGTGGGCATGATGATGTTGCTGATGTGCATGAGCATGGGCATGGGAGTGGGAGTGGGAACCCTGGTGATGCTGCTGCGAAGAGTGGTTCAGAGCAGCTGCGGCGGGACTGTTGGCTGAAAAGTGGCGCACGATGGGAGCACTGCCGCCTAGAGGCTTGGAGGGCTCGGTGAAAGAGGCGTGGTGAATCGTCTGAGGTGTAGAGCCGTTCCATGTTGAAGGGCCGTTCCTCGTCTGTCGTGGTGTAGAGGCAGCAGCAAAGACCTGGGCCCGCTCGTGGACTGCGAATGAGGAGAGCTTGCCTCTGAGTTGACCTCCTAGATTCGCCTTTGAGATAGAGGAGCGTCCTCTGATATCCCACAGGCGGACTTCTGAGTCATCGCTCGCTGAGACAAGCTCGCGGTTGCTATGCTTTTGCAGGTGAACCTTGTGGACCCAAGTGCGATGCTCGGTCCAGAGCCGGACAAGACTGGCCTCGGGTGGATTACGACGATCGTAGACTCCCACTGTTCCATCACCAAAACCAGCGACAAAGATGTGTCCAATGTCCGCCTCGGAAGAGATGGAAGTGACGCAACTCGACACCCGAGTAGGGATATCGCAGACGCACAGCTCGCGATGAGCGTCCCAAACTCGAATGACACGACTGTCACCACCGGCCAAGAGGTGGCCAGTGACTTGCTGCCAGTCTGCTACAAGACCACTGGGGAAGTGACTCCGCACCAGATCAGGCAGAGCACGGAAGGAGCTGATCAACTCTGGTCCGCGAGTGTCAGGGATCCAAGTAGGACGATCGTAGTCTCGATAGATGCGCACGTCACCCTCTGCAGATCCCACGAGGAGCAACCCATCGGCCTCTTCATTGATGAAGAGTGTCGATGTGATGTTGGTGCCCAACGGGTTGCCATTGTGGAACCTACTCAACAGTCGAGCTTTTTCCCAGTCCCAGACAGACACGACATCCCGCTCGCTTGCAGTCACGAGGTGATTCTCGAATTGATGCATCACCATCTGATAAGGCGGCGCTCCATTCCTCATCGTCGAGACCGGCTTGGACCACGCATTCTTCGAAGCAGGCTCAGCTTGCGCCTGTGAGTCGCTCAAGATGCGCTCATTGCGTTGCCTCTTCCACGTCTGGACATTGTATTTGACACTACCCGGCTCCTCGGCCTCTGCAGGCTTCATCTGGGGCTCGCGATAGTACTCGCTGCACCAGCTGAACAGCCGGCTCTTGAGGGGCAATGTGTCTCGAATGTCGTCATTGCCCAGACCAGGATCAGTGAGGAGGACCTTCATCGCAGACCGACCATTGTTCGGGCTTGTCATTGGAGTGCTGCCAGCGGAGGAGCTGCCTAAGGATGGATCCGCGGCTAGAGAAGCTCGATTCCGGAAGCGCTGGAGGTCGACTGAGATCAGCGCTGCGAGGGCATCCGCTACCCGCACATCGAAGACGGAACCTCGACGACTGTCCTCCCTCTCTGGAGTCCCATTGCCTGCAGGTCCAGTGCCTGCCTTGCTGCCCCCAGTGGGCGTGTTGCGCCCACTGTTTGCCGCGGACGGCGAACGTCCAGGAACTTGCTGAGTCTGTCGTCGAGCGATATGAGCTAGACTCTCTGCCGAGGCCGAACGACGTGCTAGCAGCGCAGCGGCACTGTTAGCGCTGCTTCCACCAGTCGGGGAAGTGGGTGTTGATGCTCCTTCTCGTAGAGCATGCAGGGACGCCTCGCCTGCTTTGTGTGTGAAGGGAGAGACATAGCCTCTCACATTGAAGCGAGGCGCTGGAATGCGGGGCGTCGCAGCTGGGCTGTATGGACGCTGACCGGCTGTAGGACCACCCTCGGCGGGCGAGCCGGGGTCAGGCGAAGGAATGGGGCTAGAGGGGCGAGAATATCCAAGGGTAGCAATGGTCTTGACCGTCTGTGCAAATGATGGCGCTCTCTTAGGTTGATATGGCAATTGACGGTTACTTGCACCATTGCTTCCTGAGGAGCCGGACGCATCGACATCGCCGAAGGTGGTGCCGTGAGGGCTGACCAACCCCTCAGACGCCGAGGGCATGCCGTAGGCAGTAGGGGAAGGAGGTGCAAATGCAAAGTAGCCATCGTTGTCGCCGTTGCTCACGACAGTGGGCAAGACGATGCGGTTCAAGGAGGCATCGTGCGCGCCCAATGACAAACCAGCGAATCTGTTGACTGCACTTTCGCCTGAGCGAGCAACGTCGCTTTCGAGCAGAAGGGCCAGAATGTAGTCGACGACAGTCTTTGCCATCGATGCTACTTCGACGTGACTGTCGGCAGCTAGGTCAAGCAGGGAGGCAAACAGAGTGGAGAACGCTGGCACATTGCCGATGTCTTCCTCAGTCAGTCCCTCCTCGAGAGCGAGCTTGCTCAGCACTCTTGAGAGCGTAGGATCGTCTCCTGTCTCTTCCTCGCCTGGCATGGAATCGGTCTTTCCAGAGTGTTGAGACTCACCAACACCCTCTTCCACAACATCGAGACCTCGCATGCTTGAGCCACCCTTTGCAGAGTCGGGACCGTTTGCAGTAGGCTGCTTCTTGCCTCTGCGCACTTCGCGCTCTTCTGCATCGAAATAGAGATATGCGGCGAGGACAAAGAAGCCCTTGTACTCCCTCACAACTGCGCTCAGGGCTACGACGACTTCCTTGCGGACCATTGGAGAAGAGTCACCACGTGCAGAGAGCATCGCAATGGCGATACCGAGCTCGAGGCTGCGCTGCGCAGACTCTTCAAGGTGGAGAGCCGAGCCGGTGCCCAGACACCTCTGCCTCGGTCCACCGCTGCCACCGGGTCTATTTGAGCTAGAGCTCGAGGCGGCAGTGGTGCCCATCGAAGAGACAGGATCAAAAGGATCCACGCTGCTGCCGCTTGCTCCAAGTAGAGTACCCAGAGCATACAAAACGGCCGCTCTAACTTCAGGACTGACATCGCCGAGCATATAGCAGAGTTTGCCATGAGCATCCTTCTTGATCCCCAGCGCTTTGCCCTCATCGCTTCCATCCCAGAGCTGCGCCAAACACAGTGCGCTCCATTGTCTCAGGAGGAAATCATCATCTTCGAGGTGTTCCAGGCAGGAGTCCATTGCATCTGTCTGCTGCAGACATGCCTGCTGGCCAGCTGGGAAGTCTTGACAGAAGACCGAAAGGATGAAGGCGCACATGGCTCTGTGCTCGCTGACGTTCGGAATGGGCAGTGAGGTCTGGCCCCCCTGCCCACCCTGTCCTCCGGCCTGAGGTTGTTGGAAGGGACTGAGGACGCCAACAAAGTAGATGAAGCCATTGTCCCTCAGCAGATCGTTTTGACAAGATCGATCCACCGCCAGGATACGAGCCCAAATGTAGATCAACACAGGCTTGAGATCGACAGCTGGGGACTGCAGTAGCTTGAGGACATAAGGGAAGATTCCGATGCTGAGCGCAAGATTGACGGCACGTGGTCCCAGGTCGAGGAACTGGCTCAGAAGGATGAGAGCCCGCAGACGATGCACTTGACTCAGAAGAACTTGCAGGACGATCGGCAGCTGATCGGGAGGATCCAGGACATGACGCGTACTGTCTTCGTCGTTGAGCCCATCTCCTGCTGCGTCTACGAGATCATCGCGTATCCCTCGGAAGGCGTCAACCCTTCTGCGCCTTCCTTGCCTGCTGACACCCCCTTGGCCAAGCCAGACTTCGAAAGCCTTCAGCTGCTCACTGAAGAAAGTACTGTGACGATACTCGAACGCCGCGAGCTTGAGATCCATGGGTGGTCCCCCTTCATCTGCTATCCTCTGAGCCTTCTCCTTCTCGAGAAGTGTCGGTAGCTGCGCGAGGCACTGATCGACAGCAAGGTCCCAACTGCTCCAGAGGGGGTGGTTGTGGGTAGCCGGTAACTGCGGGTGGCTCATCGGCGTGCAGTGGTAGAAGCGCATGATCCTCTCTGCTAGCAGGAAATTGCGCAGGAGAGCGGCGACCATCAAGTCGTCTCGGAAGAGCCTTCGGAAGATAGCCCGAGGAAGGACTGTCCAGGCAATGGTATCCGTGATAGCTGTGAAGATCCAATTCAGCTCGCCTAGAGGTGTCCGGCGATCTTGCAGCCTGCCAGGGATGTTCATGACCATGTCGACATTGAGCTTCGATGGCAGAGGGTTCTGCAATACGAACCACCGCAACGAGATCTCGATGGGCGAGGTAAGGCAGCAGGTGAAAAGGTCGGCTGGCAGCTCTGGGTTCATCGGTAGGATCTCGTCAGGAGCGCAAGCTGCCAGATGTATGCTTTCCCGTAGCGGGAAGTGCGTCTCGCTCTGCTCCTTGTCCCTATCTCTTCCACCTCCTCCCGCCTTTGCCTCCTCTTCCGCTCTCCGATCGGCGAGCTTTTTGAAGTTGACGACTACATTTCCCGCAGCACTGGCATCCCAGACGAAGATGCATGGGTTGCCCAGCCAAGCTTGCAGGTCGTACAGCGTAACGGGAATGTACTGCGTGTATGCCTTGTTGAAGACCCAAATCTCTCCGCCAGGGGTGGGCTTGGGTACTCCATATCCATTGTAGTAGAAGAGCACCCTCTCGTCTTTCGCCGTCCGACGCAAAGCAGTACAGAAGCGCTTCGTCTCCTCTACAATGGGATCGAGGTATTGCTTGTACCTCGTCTTCATGCTCAGTGTCTCGAACTGGGCTTGCAGATTCTTCCCGATAGCTGGCAGAGCTTTGGACACTTCCAAGCTAGATGGGTCCATCCAGCAGATGAGCTTTGAGCACGGGTTCGTCTTGGATACATCAGGAGGGTCGACGCCGATGTTGAGACACATGACCAGTGCGGCGGTGACTGTCCGTAGTCGCTCCCTCATCCTCCAATCAGGCAGGTCTAATGTGGAGCGAGATTTTGGGTTGCCTCCCGTGAGGTGGCGTTTGGAGTACCAATGGGTCATATAGGCAGACTGATGAGGGAGTAAGACCGGCGGAGGTGTTTGAAAGGGAGAGCGTGAGTCCAAGGCTTTGAGCCCGTGAGGCTTGCCATACTACTTACCTCTGTAACCGCATAGTCTTCCGGCTCTGGCTGTAGCAAGTTGCCATGCCGCCTGCCGCTACTTGTGGAAAGATCATCGTCATCGTCATCATCTGCTGTCATCTCCTCTGCTCCATCTTCGCTGTCGTTGTCGTGGTACATTCCGCCATTGGCAATGAGGTAGGACTCGCCATAGCTCGAATCTCCTACAGCATAAGGCATTACAGAGGACGAGTCTGCTGCCGTGTGCGCGTATTGGCCGCCTTGAGAGGGATGGGCGAAGTGTCCGCTAGACATGATAGTGAGGTTGCGAGGGTCTAGAGGCGAATGAGAGGAGCGATGCGAAGAGGAAGGCGGGCCGGCAGAGGTAGAAGGGTCAGCCGAGGATGTATTCGAATGCCGGTCGTGAGGGGTCTGATGATGATGATGATGGTGATGAAGTTGGCCGGAAGAATGCTCGTGCTGCTTCTGCCGTTTCATCGGTGAAGACTGTTGATGATGCCCTGAAGCGGATCGGGCAGGAGCAGGCCCGGCGCCGGCAGAAGAGTAGGAGGATTCGGAGGGGAAGTGATGCTGACCTCCATTACTCGATCCGCCGCCGCCTGGGCCTGTGCGGGTGCGTTGTGACCTCGGTGACGCTGTTGCCATGACTATTGGCACTCGAGTCCGCAGCAGCAGCGCATCAGGTAGAGTGGTCTGGGCAATGGAATGTGAGCCCGCTTGAGGAAGAGAGGAGCAGCGTAAGTAAGAGGAGGAGCGGCTGACGTGCGAACAGGAAGCAATGGTCCAGGCGCCCGTCTACCGATCCACCTACGCTGGTCAGGGCGTGCGAGTGGCCGGGGCGGGCGTCCAAGCGGGGAGGGCAGATTGGCAGATGCGCGCGGTCCAGCCCAGATTCACACTCCGACCCACATCCTCCTCCTCTCAGTCTTCCCCACTTCCGCTCCGCCGGTCCGGGAAAATAATTGCAAAGGCAGACAGACGGAAACAGAGACTCACCACCACGACCACCTTCAGCATACACAGATACCAACAGCCTAGACTGCCTCGACGATGCGGCTGCCACGCCGTCATCCATTCGCCTCCCATGGCGGACAGGCAGAGGTGTCTCACCTCTATGCGCTCTTTTACCCATCAGCCGCCGTACCGCACTACGAAGCCGATGCACAGCGAGCTCACGGCGTGCACCTCGTGCAATCCCTCTACCTCGCCAAGGGTGGCTGTCCGGTAGCCATCGAATGCACCTCTTCCCTCGTCTCTTCTCTGCTACTCGATCATCAGCTCACAGGTCATGCAGCTGTCGACGCTGGGCCTCTGACCCCACCTCCGGCCATCTCCCTTGCTGTGCGCCAGACGCTCACCCTCTCCCTCATCCGCCTAGTCAATACTCTAGCCGACTCACTGCAAAAGGGCGCATTCGCTAGGTCAATCGCCTCGATAGCAGAGCGCGAGCTCGGTCTGCCACAGTGGTTCGTCGAGTTCCGGCATAGGGGAACGCACGAGGAGTTGCCCAGCTTAGAGATCTGCAGGGAAGTCGTGGGGAGCGCATTGGCTTGGATAGAGGGAGCTTACTGGCTACCCACGCTGAGAGACGCAGAGAGGCGGAGGGTTAGAGCTCTCGACAGAAGGAGTCAGGGATCTACTTCAGACCTCACAGGAGCCTTCCAATTGCCTGAGAAGCCCAAGGATGCTAGTGCACAAGTTCAACATCCGTCAGGCAGTGGCAGCACCCTCCTCTTCCCTTCCTCAGCCTCACAAGTAGCGTCCAGCTCCCTCACGCCAGCCGAGAAGCTGCAGCGGAACCACACCCCCACATTGCACGGTATCTTACGGAACTACAAGCGCCTCTCGAAACTGCTGGTGAGAGACGAGTCCCTTCGAGGTAGGAGCCGAGCAGAGATGCACGGCATCTACCGAGACCTAGACAACTGGGTCCAAGCGGCCCGGAGAGATGTGGGCGAGGGTTACCGCACGACAACGCTCACACGAGGTATGAACCAATCTGGTTCACGCAGACAGGTCGGTTGGGCGAACGAGGACGAAGACGAGAGCGACTCAGAGCAAGACGAGGAGTCACGTGGAAATGTCCGACCAGGAGACCCGACTCTTGATTGTCTCATCAGGGTGCTGCTCTCCTCAACAGAAGGAGTCGGTCTGATACCACTTTCGAAGAACAAGCGGGCAAAAAGGGCGAGAGGTCAGGAAGAAGGCGGTGAGGCACTGCCCAGTCTTCCGGAAGAGCTGCTCATGGCGTGGAGCGGACTCCTGAATCACTTAGGCAAGGGTGATCCCGCAGGCGAGTTCAGTTTCATCGAAAGCTGGCTGCAAAGTATGATCGAGCTCCTTCTCGGCACCTCAGTCACTGCGCAGGGCGACCTCGCAGAGTCTCCAGGCACGCAAATGGACACTTCCTCCCGCCTTACGCTGCTAGCCTGGATCAGATTCATCCTCGACGCCCTCTCTTTTACCGCCACACCTCCATCCGGTCCTCCTGCATCGGCAAACGACGAAGTCATCTCTCTCCGCCTCTGCATCTGCGCCCGTCTCCTCCGATCAAGATCTGGGAAAGATCACGAGCAAGACAAGGAGAAGGAGAAGCAGGTTTTCCTCCTCTCCCTCGCCGAGAAGCTCCTCCTCCAGCGCGGAGTCTCCTCCCAATCTCAAGCACAGGAGCAGGCGAGCTTGGCGGCACTACTGCGTGATGTGACTGCCAGGCTGGATCTGGCGACGCGTGGAAGGCTGCAGACCCTCATGGAGCTGCTGCCCCCGGTCAGTTCACTGCCTGAGGAGCAGGGGAAGGGGGAGAGCGAAGTCACTGGTGGGGCAGAGGGAGCAAGGAAGAAACGGCGCCTCCCCACGCAAGGGTCAGGTGAAGAAGACTCCTTTCCCCTGATGAAAGGGTTTGAGGAAATGGACTCGGGTGCACTACCGGCACCTCCGTCTGAAGTCCCGACTGGAGATGCCACAACAATCGATGTCGATCCGAGGACAAGTGTGGGCGCAGTAGATGGAGGCAGCGTTGGTGATGAGTCGCTCATGGATGAAATGGAGCGACGCTGGCGCCAAGTCCTCGCCTCCTCCTCTTCCTCCTCCACCACAGCCTCTGCCACAGCAGCCCCCGTGACCTCTACTCTGCCTCCACCAAGTGCGACCAAGTCTCTCCCGCCGCCTCGGGAGGAAGACGACTCGCCGCCTAGGTCTAGGTCTCCTGCCACCACGACCACTCCTCCAGCTTCAGCTGTTCCACCATCAGCTTCCCCAAGCGCTAGGTCTGCTGCGCCCGCTGCGCACGCCCCTCCCCTTCCCCTTCCCCTGCCCAAAGGCTGGTCTCTCTTCCCCTTGGAGGAGGAATGGCGCGCTACACCCATTGGAATGATCCGTCTTAGGAAGGGAGTGAGAGAGGGAGAGGAAGGAGAGGAGGGACAAAGAGAGAAGGAGGGAAGAGCAGTCGTTCCGGATTTCCATGGCCTGTTGACTGGAGGAGGAACAAGAGTAGGGACAGGAGGGACAAGGGAGGAGATGGCGCTATGATCTTTTGCTTCCCGAGGAAGGAAGGACGATGGACGTTCTTAATAAAGTGTAGTCTACAGCGATGCACTCCGCACGGGGCAATTTCGTCCTTGTCGATGTGAATCGATTGCATTTCACACCTCCCGCGAGTCATCGCATCTACAAACTTCAATCCTTTTGTGATCATTACCTCTCCACCTCTACATCTTCTTCTTCCTCTTCGCAAAGGACGCCGCCATCCCCACCGCCGTCGCAGGGGGTACAGGTACGTCTCTAAAGCTCCTCGTGAGGAGGTTGACGGCGGAGCCTGCAAAGAGGGCTAGGAGGGTCGAGGTGAAGATGCTGTGTTGGGGAGTGGACAGGGGAGGATGAAGGCAAGGGAGGAGGGAGAGGGGGGGAGAGGGGGGGAGAGGGGAGACCCGATCAGTTTTTGGCGAGGGAGGAATGGCGGAGATCGGAAGAGGGAGGTGAGACTTACATGACGTCTGAGAAGTACGGCAAGGCAACGAGGAGAAAGGACAAAGAACAGTCAGTACTGCGTCTGCTCAAAGGTCTGAGTCATGTCGCGAGGGCCGGTGCTGCTACCACTCACTGTACGGCATGCTGAAATCGGGTACGGCCAGCTCTACTAGTCCCACTTCAGTCTTGAAGATGCTCCTCTGTCCTCCTTCTGTCAACCTTACCCTTCTCCTCTTGAAAGTCTCCCCTCGCTCTCCACTCTTTTCCCCCTCCACACGATCCTCCATCTCCTTCTCATTGTCGTCCTCATCATCCACCACTTCCCAAGCCGTGCCCGCTCCCGTCTCCAACCCCCTATGCGCATCAGGGTTGTGTTCCTCATACCTGATAACCTCTCTCCCTACGCTCATCTCCCAACTCAACTCACTCCCTGCTGGGATGCGTAACTCCATTTCCAACACTCCTGCCCTCACGCGCGGGATAGAGGGCGTAAAGTGCAGGTGCAGGAGGGATTTGGAGGGCGAGGTAAAGTCGCTTTCGAATCTGATGAAGGGACTTGCAGGATCCGAGGCGAGGGGTAGGGGTACAATACTTAGCTGCGCAGAGGGGAGCGAGGGGAGTAGCCACCATGGGAGCGTCTCGCGATATACCACCCGCCGTGAGGTGTCAGGTCGATCGTTGCGTATCCGTAGTGAGAAGGTAGAGTGAGTGAGAGAGGAAGAGACGTACGACCGAGAGACGTGCAGAGTGTGATCTTGCACTGCTGGGGAGGAAGAGTAGTTGTAGTAACCTTCGTCGGGCCAGCTGAGGGAGACGTCCAGCCCAGAGGCGCGGCCGCCCTGTGGTGGGTGAACGTATGCGGGGAGGGCGGCAGATGTGGTGAGATAGCGCAGAGAGCCCTCACGACTCAGAGCATTTGCTATGCCGAGAGAAGAGTCGGAGAGAGCAGGTGGCGGTATGCTGCCATCATCTTCGTCCTCCTCGTCTTGCACATCTTCATCGGCGTCATTGGCGTGCGCCAAGAGAGCAGGTTGCACTTCGTACGTCGGCGATAGTCCTTCTTGAAGCGAAACATCCTCTTTCGGAGGCGCCAAGAGACTAACAAAGCTCTCCTTTGCCAGTGGACAAGCCGTCGCCAGTGGCCTGCCGAACATGGCGTTCATGGAAAAGTCTAGCAGGAAGAGAAGAGTCTTGCGGTCAGCTCTTGCGTCTATTCCCTGCGGCTACACCCCATATTCTACTCACCTCTCTTGCCATTCTGAACCACACCATTCCAGACACTTCCCACCCTCATCTCCACCTCCCACCCCCTCTGACCCACGCCAGTCCTCCTGACCACCAACTCTACTCCATGCCACTCCTGTTCCAACCATTTGTGCGGTGCAAGCAGCGATGCCAGACCTGCATTCGCACGACAGGGGAGCAGCGTCAACATTCTGTAGAGGACTTCGGTGCAGGGTGTCTCAGGGATGGAGAGCGTGTAGAGCAGGTCGTCATTTCTGCTGTCTCCGTTTCCTCTACCGCGACTAGAGTCGTAGAGGGATCGGGAGAGACTCAGGGGCGAGGTGATGGCTTCTTTTGATCCCGAGGCAGATAGTGTAGAGCAGAAGTGGCCTGCGAGGGAAGCCAGGAGATCGTGGAAGGTATCTTTACCATCTTGTACTTGTCGGGCTCTCCGTGACTCCACGGTCGAGGCATTGAGCGCAGCGCTTGCTGCCCATGTGGGAGGAGCAGTATATCTCACCCATGCCTCGACTCCACTTGCAACGGCTCTACTTCCCCACTCGTGCCCCTGCTCAAGGAAAGTGGGCATCCCCCACCTTGCATGATTCCATCTTCCCTTGTTGAAGGCGAGGTGGAGCTCCTTGACATGCAGAGGTGAGAAGTGCAGTAGAGTGAGGAGGGAAGGCGGGAGGAGGTGGAAGGAGACGCCATCCTCCGATTCCGGCGAGAAGGGATCTACTTGGGAGGAGAGGGTGAAGGTGAAGGTAGACTGGACTCGACCGAGGGGAAGAGGCCGCAGATGTAGGGATTCGGTGAAGTCGTCGTTGAGGTTTAGTGGGGAGGAGGCCGCACACCGTGTCAGAAGAATCAGGAGGAGAGTGAAGGGGTAGAGGGCCAGCAGGCGAGGCCGCGTCATGGGATCAGTCGAGGCGACGGCAGCAGCAGCGATACTTCTGGGAGCATCTGAATCTGCCAATGTGTCTGCTAGAGGAGAGATATGAAGAGGTGAAGTGGTGAGGATGGGAGGAGGAGGAGGAGGAGGAGGAGTGGAGAGCAACACCTGCAATTCACACTCTTCCGTCTCTCCGCTTCCGACGTCCGACATCCGCGGTCGAGCCAGGCAGACAAAGCATGAACTCACTGCGCCTCCCCTCAAGGGATCCTACCATCCACCATTGACCACCGCTGACTCGCCCTTCGAGTAGATCATGGCAGACGCCGCAGCCCCCAGCGCAGGAGGAAAAGGCACACCCTCGCTCCTGACACCATCCACGCCGTCTCTGCCCATTACGACCACCCCTTCTCCCTCCTCGCACGACCACTCCTCTTCCTCCCCCTCCAACCAGCAACAGCAGCAGCAGCAACAACAACAACAACTCATCCCCCCAACCTCCCTCCCCGCCCTCTCCCTTTACACTCAACGTGACACTTCTAAAGTCCTCGTCAAGTTCAAGGCGATTGGAGCTGCGCCCATCATGAAGAATAACAGTTTTAGGATTACAGCCTTCAATAAATTTCATGCGGTGGTGGTGTTCTTGAGGAATCAATTGGGGGAGAAGACGGGAGGTGGAGGAACGCTGGTGAGTTGTTGGCGGTGAGGCGATGGGTGAAGGTTTGAACGAGGGGCTGATAAGGGTTTGCGATCTTTGACTTGGTCTCTCCCAGTTCCTGTACATCAACAATTCCTTTGCTCCTTCCTTGGACGATACAGTCGGCAACCTCTTCCGGGTGAGTACGGAGCCCTTATGCCCACGTAGCTTTCATTGACACCGTCCCCTCTCTTACACGTTTCTCTGACATTGACAGTGCTTTGGCACAGATGGACACCTGATAGTCAACTACTCTACCACCCCTGCCTTTGGCTAAGGCTAAAGTGGGCCGAATGACTCCTCCCCGCTGCTGCTGCTCCATCGGCCGCCTGTACTTGTACCCGTACCTATCCTTTCCTGCTGACGAGAGCGCTCGGCTTGTAACATCAATCAATACCACATTAGATGACACAGAGAGATAAACGGGTGGCTATCATTGCGCTCACATAGAGGAAGAAGAGAAGGACAACCGCACTGCCTGAAGGGTTCACTTCCCAATGACCCCACTGGCCCACGTACGCTCCGAACCTCCAATTCCCAATCTCATGAAACCACACCTGCCCACCTTCCACCACCAGGCTGGTTAGCATTCCCGTCCACGCTCACATAGGCCCAGCAGCCGTGGCCCTCTGTCTGATCTCCTCCTTTTGACGCCGTGCAATGTCCCCAAAGCACGAAGCGCAGATGTGGTGAGCCAGCTTAGGATTACCACATGCTTGGCAGTGCACGAAGTCTAGCGTTGGCAAGGGGGAATGAGCAAGGGGAGAGAGAAGGTGAGTGTGAGTGTGCTTTCTTCACAGTAGAGCAGAGACTGAAGGACAAGGACTCACCTACACGATCCTTGAGTCCCTTGTTGGCAGCCCTCATCCTCTTCCTCGAATGGCTGACCTTCTTCTTCGGCACGGCATTCAAGAATCCATCCCACTTCAGCGGATCTGTCTCCTCTTGACCATCCTGCTGTTGCTCCTCTTCTGCTTGCTTTGAAAGAGAGGAAGAGGAAGACGATCCTACTTCGGCTGCGAGTGCTAGTGCGGGCGAGGGATACGATGGTCTCTCGAAGAAGTTGGGGAGACGAGGTAGAGCAAAAGAGATGCGCAGCGAATAGGAGGAAGTGACGGGGATGAGGAGAGAGGAGGCAGAGGAAGAGGAGCTTGAAGCGAAAGAAGAGGCATGACGGATAGCGCTACTGCTACTACTGCTGCCGCTGCCGCTGCTGCTGCTCGTGCTGGCGGAAGCGAAAGACTGTCTTGCGAGTGAGCTGGTAGCTCTTGCTGTCCTGGTTGTGAAGAGCGACATGGTGTTGTGGCACTGTCGGATAAGGGACGATGGATGGGGGGATTGAAGTGAGGTGAGGTGATCGGAATGATTGACCTTCGGAAAGCGTCGTCTTCCGTCAAAATCGCTGCCTGGGCAGATTGCGCTGCGCTGTGCCTCGACTCCCCGCCAGTCCGCCTCGGCGGGGGAAACACAGTGGAGTTGCGACTGAGGAATGCCTCAACATCACCTCGAGGCGCTTGCCAGTCTACCATCCTCCCTTGTCACTCTCTGGCTGTGACGGCATTTCCAATCATGTCGTACTACAGCAGTCCAGCCTCTACCTCCTCGGCGATCAACGCCTCCGCCTCTTCCTCCTCCAGCATCAAGGACCGTACCTCTGAATTCCGCTCCTATCTCTCACACCACCTCGCCTCCCAATCCACCAACAGCGGGGGCGCATCCACCTCTGCTCCCAAGACCCGCCCCCCGCCAGCCACCAAGGGAGAATTTGCAAAGCGAGCAGCAGCCATCGGAAAAGACATCTCCGATACCACGGTCAAGCTGGGACGGCTGGCGGAGCTGGCAAAGAAGAAGAGCTTGTTCGATGATCGTCCAGTGGAGATTTCGGAGCTGACCTATATCATCAAGCATGACTTGGCAGCTATCAATCGGCAATTGGCCGATCTGCAGGCTCACTCCAAAAGTGGCAAGGCAGGGCAGGGCAAGGACAACAAGAAAGGAAAGGACAGGGCGGAGGAGCACAGAGGGAATGTGGTGACGCTGTTGCAGAGTAATCTAGCGAATGCCACGACGGCATTCCAGGATGTACTGGAGGTCAGGACACAAGTGAGTCGGCGTTCTTTGGGAGTGTGATAGAGCCGCGATTGAGAGAGTTTTGAGATGCTGAACATCGCCCCTCAATGACACCTCCAGAACATGAAGGCCTCGAGGGATCGCTCAGAACAGTTCGCTTACGGAGGAGCTTCATCTGGTATGGCTCCAGGCGAGCAGTCAGGTGAGCATCGAGCAAGGCGCAGCTGCCAATCTCCTCAATCTTCTTCATTCTTCGCTCTCTTGCAAACAGCAGCGATCGAAGCTTACCTCCCTCGTCTACCCGACTTGTCCGCCATCCATCTCACTCGCTCGCTCACTCACTCGCAGTCCTTCGCTCCCGTCTCCCACCTGCTCCCTCATCTCGACCAGACTCACCTCTATACAACCCTGGGCGTACACGGCCACCGCAAGCAGCAGCAGCTCGAGATCAAATTGGTGGCTCCACTCTGAATGTGGATGATGGGTACGACCCCAAGAGGAAGACCAAGGCGGGAGGGTATCAAGCCCTGCCGCCGGGGGAAGGGTCGGGAGAAGCGGGAGGTGGTGGGAATGATGACTTCCTGGCTCTGAACATGGGCGGGGGGCAGCAGGATCAATTTATGCAGATGCAGTTGCAAGAGAATGGCGATGTAAGTTGGCGCAGCTAGGAGCGTGGAGAGTATTGTAGGAGCGGTGGCCAAAACCTGACCTCTTGCTGCCTACCCTCCCACAACAGTCGGCCTACATGCAGCAGCGCTCCACGGCCATCGAATCCATCGAGTCTACCATTTCAGAGCTGGGCCAAATCTTCTCCCAGCTAGCACACATGGTCGCCGAGCAGCGAGAGACGGTGCAGCGCATCGACGACAATATCATGGACGTGGCGGACAATGTGTCTGGAGCACAGAGGGAGCTGCTCAAGTATTATAATAGCGTAGCGAGTAATAGGTGGTTGATGTTTAAGATTTTTGGAGTGAGTAGTGGGGCAGGTGGTAGGATCAGTGAGGCGAGAAGAGCTGGGGAGAGTGGGAGGGACAAAAAGCTGACCGCTCCGTATCTCTCGTTCTCTCCCACCTCGGCATCCTCGGCTCTGCTCCTGTCTGCTCCCTTTTCTCCTTCCTACCTTGCAGGTCCTCATCGTCTTCTTCCTCCTGTTCATCCTAGTCTCATAGACTGGCCCGTCGGCGTCGGGATCGGCCCGCTCGCCTGCCTGGCTTGTGGGACTCACGCGCCACGCCATGTATTGTGCAACGTAGCAAGCGAAGCGGGGCCTTTTTGCCTTTCTGCCTTTCTGCCTTTCTGCCTTTCTGCCTTTCTGCCTGCCTTCTGCCTGCCAAGAAAATCAATCCGATCTCACTTGTCACATTTCGAAGATACACAGAGACGCGCTAAGCAGCAGCAGTAGCAGCAGTAGCAGCAGGAGCAGCAGTAGCAGCAGGAGCAGCAGTAGCAGCACTGTCGCCCAGTCTTCGCCCTCCCTCGTTCTTTTCCTTCCTTCCTTCCTTCCTTCCTTCTTGGCACCCAAACACTCTTTCCCACGCTCTCCCACGCTCCCACGCTACCTTCATTCCTTCTTGCTTCTTGCTGCTTGCTGCTTGCATCTTGCTTCTTGCTTCTTGCTTCTTGCTTCTTGCTTCTTGCTATCGCTATCGCTACCTCGCTTCCTCGCTTCCAATCGACCGTCGAGCGTCGAGGGTCGGACGTTGAGCGTCGAGCGTCGGGCGTCGGATACCGGGTATGAACCGCCGGATCGTGGAGAGCCGAGCTGAGCGCTGATTGCTGATCGCGGAGCGCCGATTGATGGTTGCCGAGGGATGAGAGATGAGAGTTGAGATGTGAGCGTGGGTGGGGTTCGGGGGGCGAGTTCGGGAGCGGGGCGTCATGACCATCTGGGCGTATCGTCAATCAGGAGAGAGCATCGAAATCGAGACCCTGCTTGCATGCATGCTGGGATTGATTCTATTCAAGACCGAATCTTGGTGCATCGGTGAATCTGTACATCTATGCATCGGTGAATCTCTGCATACGAACAGACGAGCATGGGAGCGTGTGAATGCGCGTGATTGTATTTGCATTTGTATTTGTACGTGTGTGTATCATCTTCACTCTCGTTCTGCTGTTCAGTGCTGATCTGATTAGCCCTGTAGGAAGGAAGGATGAATGCCACTATCGGGCCCTTTTCTTGCTCTTTTTCTTTCTCTTTTTCCCCTTTTTCAAATCTTGGCGGGTATGTACCCACGCACGCTGCGCTCCACCGATCCGCCGTTGCGCCGGCGGCATCGGTCGAATCTTTCCGAAGAAGGATGGAAGTGTAGGGTAGGGTAGGACCCTCTGGTTCCATCTGCTGAAAGATGCCTGCGTTGGCTGTGCGTCAGAGATGCACACACACACACACGCAAGCACACGCACACGCACGCGCGCGTGTAGGTTGAGGCCCTGCATTTGAGTGTGCATTGAGTGCTTCCCTCTGCAAAGTGAGGAGGAAACGGCGCGAATCAAGGCGAAGCACTGCCAAGCCGGCGGGCATTTGCCGAGACGACGACGACGTCTGGGGCTTCCAGTCTTCCAGTGCTACTCTACTCGTGGGTAAGAAAGAACGTCCTTGCTCGAAAAGGTCGCGTCTTCGTTTTGCTCTTGCTCTTTGTCTAGGATGAGTGTGCTGAGCGAGCCATTTGCCATTGGCGATTGTCGATTGTCGAGGGGTTTGCACTGCACTGTCCCACCATTGTGACCTCGGTCGATGCCTAGCAGAGCAAGTGTTGGACGCGAAGGAAATAGGGGGGCGGAGAGCGGAGCTAGACAGGGATGGGGGCAGAGCAAGAGAGAGAGAGAGGCGCCAATTGAGATCGGCGGGGCCTCGCTTGCATGGGCTGCTTGTTTCTGCCTGCCCTCTGCTCTTGCGACGTGTACCTCTGTGTACTTGGGGGCACGGCAAGAGTGTGGGCAGTCTACCAGCATCGGGTCAGGGTCCTTCTTCTTCATCTTCATAGGCATTTGCTTTTCCTCGCCCCATGTCCCAGTGCACTCCAGTCGCGTCGCTGGGTTAGACCCGGGCGCGTGGCTGCACCTCGGCATCGAGGCGAGGGCGGACGTGTTGGACCCCCGAGGCAGACGCACTCAGCCCAGCCCAGCCGAGGGCGACAATGACACCGGGGCCGCCGGGCTGCCTCCTGCCTCCGTCTCGGGACTGGACTGGACTGCCCACTCGCTCCCAACCCCCTCGCCGCCGATGCCATGGAAGTCAGCCGGGCACAATACTCGTCTTCTCTTCCTTGGCACTCACTTCCACTTCCTTGTTTTCCTTTTGAGCAACAACAACCCTCTACGTATTCTTCACCATCTCCATCACGTCCCTCCTCCGCAGCGTGTCTTTTTTCACCCTCTCCACCTCGGACTTTCGTGCAACCAACACTTCCGCTCAGACGCATCTCTGTGCCGAGAACCCGAGGCGTTTGCTAGCAAAAGACACGGCACGCACGCACACAGACGCACACGCACACACCTCCAGAACCTTGTGATAGCATCTGGTCCACATTTTCCACTCTTCATCACCACCCTTGCAATTGCTCGTTACCTTTCCCGTGCACTTCCTCGAGACTTCTGTGCCCTCCGTAGCCAACACTATACCCTTCGAACCCTCTCTCTCTCTCGAGCCTCTCTCAGTTCCGCGGATGGGATGCCGATCATAGCCAGACCCCTCACATCCTCCAGGATGGGCCTGCCGGCAGAAGACTTTCCCGTCTCCCCTAGCACCAATGTCGATTCTCAGCAGATGCAAGCTTCTCCCTATCAAGAGATTCATTCGCAGAGGGAAAAGCGCGCCTCTCCCTCCAGCTCCGGACCAGGAGTAGCAGCCCTCTCGGCGAGATTCAAGGCAATGGACTCGTCCGCCGGCGCGAGTCCACTGGCCACCACGAGCACTTTGGGATATCAAGACGAGGAGCAACGCTCTCATCATCTCCACCCAGATGGCGCTTTCGCCTCGAGCAGTCTCTCCCCGCTCATGTCTGGCGGATCACCCTCCTTTTCTCAGCAAGGTCGCTTGCGCAGGCAACAGCTTGACCCAAGGAGACCTAGCATACAGGCCGATCAAAGACAGGCTTCCAAAGCTAGTTGGTCACGCAAGACTTCCGATCTACCCAGCGTATCTGTGCCATTGGGCAGGTCTGCAGAAGGAGGATATAGTCGAAACGTCTCTGGGCAGAGCAGACAAGGCGGGCGAGGGCCAGCTTCCTCGAGACACTTCTTGACAGTGGTTCCACCTGAAGAGTGAGTACGCCTCTACAGATACAGAATCGTGGTACCACCAATGTTGTACAACCTCACTGACCCGCTCCTCTTGATACTTTTGACTTCCAGCTTCCCTGCCGATCGACCTAACGCTCGGAGCGCTGCCGCTTCGTCTTCCTACTCCAATCTGCGGAGAGGCGCATTGCTTCCTCTGTACCCTACGCTCAACGGGCAGCTCTACGCCATCTCACGTGAATATGGTCTACCTTCAATTGGCGGTCTGTCCATCTATCTTTGCGAGGATGGGGACGGAAATTTGGGACCACGCATCGGTGAAGGGACTTGGGAAGTACTCTGGTCGCGCTACTTTTTGGAAGACGAGGAGGACACAAACAGCGGACCAAACGGCAGGATAACAACCCCTCACTCGCCTTTTATGAGATATGTGGCTAGTCGAGACAGAGATGCAAGCCCTTCGAGGTTCCCGGATTCTCGCAGTCCCGAAGGCGTTGTAGCGGGCAGTCAACACTCTCCAGACTTGCGAGGGTCCAGCAGTAGGCTGCGCAACGTATCGGAAGGAGCGAGAAGAGTGACAGGTGGCAGTAACAGCTGGCGAGCAGGCTCTCCCCTGCCTTTCTCGAATGACCCCGAGGCCAGCTTTGCTACCACCACCACCTCTTCACGCTTGGCTGCCGCATTGCCGATTGTAGGAAGAGTAGAGTGGACCGTCGACAAGCATCGAGCTCAATGGTGGGCTAGCTGGGCCGGCGAGACTGTCGAACAGCAGCAGCCGGTCGCGCCTAGCGCCGCATCGTCTCGACGGCAGAGAAGCCTGCAACTGTCGAAGCTGCTGGACAGCCACGATATCAGCATTACAGCAGCTGATGTCTCTACCCCTTCCATCATCGACGGTCAGCGGGACGAAAGTCAGCGCTTCGAAAGCGAGGCCACAGATGCGCCTTCTCAGAATCCGTCCGCGCCAGAAATCACACATCAGCGGCAGCTATCTTCCACTAGTCAACGACTGCAACAAGATACCCCCGCCGCGAATCTTCAAGCGTCATCGAGCTCGACACAGAGATTGGCTCTTCGACGCACTAGCAGTGACGCGACCGTAGCCCCAGCTCGCTCCTCTACTCCCGTGATGCAAGATATTGCAGAGGAAGGAGCAATGGAAAAAGATGCTTCACCATCTACACAGCAAGACAGCGAAGTACCAGATGTGCCGAATACAGTCTCGCAAGCTCCGAGCTACCACGGCTACTCTGCTCTGATGGACGAAGATACGTCCGAGAAGACGTCTACGGAGGATGAAGACACCAGGGGTAGCTCATCTGTCGAAGGAACCGTCGCTCGAATGCGGAGGCGCACTGAAGAGGCAGACCCCACCCGAAGTCTGCCACCGGCTCCACACACTCGACGGATGACATTCGAGATCATCACTGACTCGGACGAGTCCATGTGGCGATCACTACAAGATGCACCTCATCCTCCCACCACCATCGGACTTTCTCAGAAGATTCTCACTTCCTACGAGAGCGGAGAATTAGGCGGAGTCGATGCCGCTCTATTGCAGATGCCGGCACATCCCGGCCTGTCAAGCGGAAGCGGCTCGGTCAGTCAGTGGATTGTTGCTACGCAGAGCAGTCCCGATCTTCTCAAGCGACGGTCCGACTTCATCCAGGAATGCGTTGTTGAGGATTCGGTGCAGGGTGAGGACGAGACGACGGCAACTAGTGAGGGAGATCCGCTTGAGGACGATGTCAAGGAGGTCATGGAATTGTGGGCAGAGAAGGCGCCTGCTCCTGTCTTCAATAACGAAGGCATCACTGTTGAAGGTCTCGGCATCATTCAGGACGAACCTGCCCAGCCGCAGGACCCAGCTTCTTTGAGCGCTGCGGAATCAAAGCTGAAGCTACTGAGCCCAATTGCACTCGATGATATTGGAGCATTTCAAGGAACAGCACCCCAGCTTGGCAATCTGGCTTCGGAAACGGTGTCAGCAGCAAATGTGGCAACCCAGCCCCTAGATCAGACTGTTTCCCGCTCGCACAATCCCAATGGACTTCGTTTGGCTCCTAGTCCAAGAAAGGCTGAGGACAAGGAAGCAGTCTCAGAGAATGCGCCTGCCTCGAGCCAATCGTCAGACAGTAGTGGCTTGGAAGACTTCGAGCGAGCTCTGCAGCTCCTCTCGCCTGTTGCGTCCGCTCAAACACATTCTCCCAGCCTGGCTCAGCTCGCCCTCTTCGAAGATGGCCACAAGATGAGCTCGAGAGATAGTCTTGCAGCGGCACGTACCCTTTCCACCAGCGTCACGCCCTCCCCACGCTGGCTGTCTCGGAAACGCACACCCGGCAGTCAAGCCTTTGACTTTACTGGTCGGCGCTTCTCTGCCGGCGGACCTGATGACCACAGGCAGTCGCGCGGCTCAGCTTCGCTCGCAACCATTTCTGCCAGCTCTAGTCGTCTAGCCGAGCAAATTGGCGGTGGTCTGGACGATAGGAGAATAGCTAGCGCTGGAGACGCTCTGAGGAGCACACAGAGCAGTAGACAGAGGCTCGCTTCTGCTCCGAGTGTCATTGGCTCGCTCGATAGGCAGAGCCTGGCTTCGGAGAAGAGTTATACCTCTTCCATGTTCCTCTTCCATCCTGGAGCGGAGGTGCCGGTGCAGATCAAGGAGCAAGATCAAGAGCAGAATCAGCCTGAAGATGAGCTAAAGAACCGCGAGAGTCCCGATGTTCAGGAGGGCGTGGTGCCCGACCCTGCGTCTTTCGGCGTCGACAGCTCCATCACGCCTTCCAACGACGTCACCAGCGAGCATGAATCTGACGATGCGACAGACACTGACGCTCGCAGCGTCCATGCAACTGACATCGATGCAGCCAGCCTGCACAGTGAGCTCAGACAAGAGACTTCCGCCCCATCGATGGTACGCCGGACTTCGCCCTCACCACCTCCGGCGATGGAGACCCTTGCCGAGGAGGAAGATGATGCGAGCGAGGAGACTGGCTTGGATGCATCCCCTGCCGCAGAAGAGATCCCGCGATTGCCGGCTCCGGGAGGCAGTGTTAGGGCGGACAGTACTGACACTGTCATGCCCGGTGTAGAGGATGCTGAAGCGGACTCAGCCTCAAGTGAGAAGGAGGAAGCTGCAAAGGAAGAAGTTGAGGAGGAAGAGCCTCTGCCGCGACCAGAGGAGACAACGTCTGCCGAACCTGTCGATGGGTCTCCAATGGAACCAGTAGAGCCTGTAGTGCTCAGTCCCAAGACAACAGTGGAATCTCCTCCTCAGAGCCCCAAGACGGCTGCTCAGCAAAGTCTGCCAACAGACAACTCCGATGTCTTCTTGTCACCAAAGACTCCCCTTCGATCGTCACCGCCTCTGTCACGTGCCTTCAGCTCGACCGTCGAGGGTCCAGACGCAGAAGCTGCTTCATTCGTCCCGAACCATGCTTTTGAGGGTCATATGCTTCCACAAGGTCCCAATCCTAACACACTCTCGCCATCGGCAATCGACGGCACACGGACCCCATCTCCATCGCCTTCTGTCGTCGACGGCGAGGAAGTCCCTCCCTCTGTCGTTCGCATGATCCGAGGAGAGTCATTTGGAGCCTCATCCGCTGCCACTGACAATAGCCTCGTCAACACACCTAGCGGACGTAGCATATCTGAGGAGAGCAATGGGAAGCCTCAAGATGTAGAGGCGAGCTTGCACGCGATGTCTTCCTCGCCTTCTTTTGAGGAGACGCTTTCGAGAGCTGCTACATACCACGAGGCGCTGCGCGAGACTGATCAAGAAGAGGTTGAGGAGCTGAAGTCTCAGGTTGAAAACGCTCAAGATGAGGAGGAGCCTCACTCGATGCATCCCAACTCTGCTCTGCCAATGTCTGCCTCGGTAGACTCGTGCTACTCGACTACGTCCTACAACGGCGGACAATCTCGCCATGGAGACAGTACGCTCAATCCTGGCAGCTACGACGACGATACGGTCCAAGGCGGCGGCAGTCCTGATAGCTGGGGTGGCGAGGACGGGCAGCGCAGCGGGGACAGCGACAGTCGGTACGGAGGCGACTCTGGTGTCGTGAGCACTGTCGACACTGCCTTTACCCAGCTGGACGGCCCTTCTCCCGAAACGCCCACCTTTTTCTTTGAGCGCCATTTGAGAGACGGGGACTCAGGTGACTCGCGACCGAGCAGCTTCAGGGGTAGCAGCTATAGCGCTCTATCGGGCTCCAAGCTGGGTGCGGTGGATGGACTGCCCCAGGAGGGAGATGGATTGGGACTCGGCCTTGCTCCGTCTGCTTCTGCGAATAGTCTGCGCCAGAGCTCTTCTCTCGCTCGAGAGCCTTTGCTGGGCGAGGAACAATACGAAGTGCAAGTTGATGAGGCTAGCGAGGGCGACAAACAAGATGGTGACGCCGACGAGGACAATCAAGGCCAAACTGCCATGGAGGCTGAAAAGGAATCGGCAGCTACAACATCTCTCCCAACTCCTATGCAGGAGTACCGGCACAGCACTGCTGATGTCACCAAGGACCTCGAGGAGATGCTGTCGTCCATCGAGACCTTCGCCAGCAGTAGCGATCACGTGGGTCGTCGCTGGAGTCGACCTGGCAGTACGGCAGGGAAGCCCTCGTCGCCTTTTGATGAGGATTCCTCGCTAGCTAATAGTCGCTCGACCACTCTGCCGAACCTTGCCTATCAGCAGCAGAAGCAGCAGCAAAAGCAACAGCAGGAGCAGTGGCAGGCGGAGCAGGAACAAAAGGAGCACAGCAACGGCGATAGTGATAGTGGTGCCCCTCTACTTGCTCCAACTGCTCGCTACCACATGGCCGATACTGCAGGCAACTTTGGCCTCGATGGAGAAGACCGAGAGGACGACCTAGACGCAGACACCAGCCACGATCTCGAGACCATGACGCAAACAACGCGGCAAGCGGTACGCCAAGCGCTAGGCCGATCGGATCCCTCCGTGGTGTCTGAAGTGGTCCCCTTCCGCGCCCTCTCTGCCTCGCCTGACCATCAACACAGCTACAGCGAGATGCGCGCCAGCGGCAGCGGAAGCAGCGCGAGCTTCTTTGCCGGCGGCCCCATAGGATCACGCTCCCGCTCTCGATCACCCAATCGACGTCCATCTCTAGAGCCGCCCAGGAGAAGCTTCAGTGCCGGCGGTAGTCGACCAGGCAGTAGTGCTAGCTTTCACGCCCACGCCCACGGAAGTATGTACGGTGGAGCACCCCTTGGAGGGCACCACAGCAGCAGCGGTGACTCGTACTATGCCTCTACTCGACCTTCGCTAATGTCCCCTGGGGGGAGACGCTTCAGGACCTTACCGCCTTCGCCGAGCTTGCTTCCCGAGGGCTTTCTCAGGGAAGACGCGATGAGTCGTGAGAGTGGGAGTGGAGATAAAGGTGGCAGCGGAAGCGAGATGAATGGGGAGACTGCTACGAATGCCCCTGCTGGCATCAACGCTCAGGGAGAAGAAGAGGCGCACTCCAGCACTTCGAGTGCAGCCTCTATCTCTGCCTCTGCCTCTTCAACTGCTTCTGCCGCTGGAAAATCCACTCCGAAGCCTCTCCTCGTCGACTCGAGTCGAATGCTCAACCGAGTCGAGCTTCTTCCAAATGGACACGAGGCTGAGCAGTTGCAGAAGCAGCAGCACGGAGCAGAACAGCCAGTCGTCTTCCACGATTCGCCCGTCGCACAGTCTGAGACGGGCGGGTACTCGCCTTGAGAGTAAGGCCATGGTACAAGACACCAGGTTGGCCGAGGGGCACGCGCTGCTCTTTCTCCTCTCTCCTCTCCTCTCCTCTCCTCTCCTCATTTGGGCATTCACTCCACCATCATCACCTTTCGACTTCTTCCCCACCCATAAACGTTTCCGCCTCCGGTTCTAATCTACATTTGGTCCTCCAGACTCTACTTCACCTTCACTCTACCCTCACCTCACCACTTCAATCATGTAACACAACCACTCTACCCACGACTTGCCTTGACCTTGACCCTAATGCTCCTGTATCCCTCTTTAGTAGTCCCCAGTCCCCAGTTCCAGTCATAGCTCTACAGATAGACGTACACACATATACACATTGCCTCGCTATTGGTTCTAACCGTGCATGCATGCATTCACCCACTCCGTTGAACAATGAAACAATGAAACAATGGCCAAGCTGCTTCTGCTCTCTTCTACCACGCACAGTTACATACGCCTTTGACTCCTCTAGGTCTGATGTCTGTTGAAATTGTCCGCGTATCTGAGACATGGTACAGCTTGGGTCTCACCTCCTAGGTGGCCGTGTAGAAGGCCTGTGCTGATTCTCCTCGCTCAACCAAGGAACGTCTCCATCCTCTCCTCCAACTCCAGCTCCGAGCCCAGCTCCAAGCCCAGCTCCAGCTCCAAGCCCAGCTCCAGCTGCAGCTGCAGGTTCAGCTGCAACCCCTGCGGACCTATAAGCCCTCAATGGTCTCTCCCAACAAATGGCACTTCGCGCATTCGAGCTCAACTCGGCTTCTGGACTTAGATCGCTCCTACGAAAAGGGAGGAGCACGCCTAGCTCCCAATTGTTCGCTGTCAGACCCACCTCGCCGGGAGCACTGCTGCTGCCGTGTACGCGCTCGTTGTTGTTCTGGCTGGGAAGGGCTAGATTCCCCCAGGCTGCCATTGTGAAGTTTGCTGAGCCGAGGTAGGTGTACCCAATGATTGCGCTTGGGCCTGCGTCTGCGTCTACGTCCACATCTGCTGTGCGTGGGGCAGTCTGCCCGGTCGTGTTGCCTTTACCGAAGAAGGAAGATGAAGAAGAGGCGGAGCTAGAGGCAGTGGTGGAAGAGAAAGAAGAGGTGAAGCCAGGCTTGAGTGCCAAGATAGCCTTCTGGTGCATGAGCAGGCCGGGGAGACGGGCGCCACGGGCTTGATAGCAGAGGTGCTTCCAGCGGTGGAAGGCGTCAGGCTGGATTGAGGTCGGTCGAGAGAGAAACGATGTGAACGTCAGTGAGATTGGCGGGTCTCCACTTCGACCTTCAACCTACACTCTCACCTTTCCAAAGTGACAATGCCCATTTCCGGGTCCAGGCGCGCTCTCCCTGAGTACAAAGTCTCTGGTGGGAAAGACGACCTTGATGGGCGGCCATTCCTTTCCTGGTCTGCCAATTTCAGCACCGTAGCGACGTGTTGCGGCCCCTTGTGCGGCGGGTAGGGGAATGCAGCGAGAGAGCTCTGCGCCTGAAGCGGCTAGGTGGAATTGTTGGAGCCAGCGCTGGGAGTACATGCCCATTGAGGAGCCCTGATGCGCAGGGCCAGAGAGAGAGTGTCATGGTCAGAGCCAATGTCACACTAATATTGCCTAGGCGCGGACTCACCTGCGCCTCCAGCTCAAGCCCACCTCCAAGCACTGCCCCACCCATAAGGTCCCTCGACTTGACGGCCAGCCTGCCCAACCCGACTTTTGAAATCTTGTCCCAGCCTTTCACCGGCACGTCCGTCGCGATAGAGGCCACAATCGTCGGCCCTTTGGTCAAATCGTAGCGAGCCAATGCTTGGAAAGCCACATGCTGGCGTGGAAGACCCATGGAGCTCAACACCATGCTCATTTGATCATACACATCCGTGCTCGTATCTCTCCTCTCACCAGGCAGGATCGGGAAGTCCTGCAGGAAAGCGGCATTCTCAAGTGTGCTCCAGTCATACTCGATCATATTGCCTGTGAGGATTCCCATCCTTAGTCGGTCGGGGTAGAAGAGCAGGAGGAGCTTGATGTGAGGGCAGCTATGCTCCTTGCGAAGCTCTTTGCGGACGTTGAAGTTCCAGCCTGGAGGACCGGCTGCGTGAGTGCCGATGGGCTAAGGTGGCCAGAGAGGGGCAAATGGAGATAGTGTGGATTAGTCAATCGCTCGCATGGTAACCTCTACCAAAATTCAGACGCTCGACCCACCAGACCTGTCTTCTCCGAAGTGAGGAAGGTGAGCTCAGGACCAGGGAGTGCCTTCCTCCCGGGCTGTGCTGAGTTCTTCGTGGGAAGTATGGTGGAGAGCCATTGGTAGTCTATGTCGTAGGATGTGATCACGGCGTGTGTGAGACCGGCAGCGTTGCTTCTTGTCGTGGGGAGTATGAGGTCTGAGAAGGGCACGCCGTCTTGTGTATACCTGCTCCAGCTCCTCTGCGATATCAAAGGAAGAAGCGACTGGCTTCAGCTGGCTCATCCTTCGCCGGCCTGCGACGTCTGGTACTCACCTTGACATTTCCCTCCCAGAAGCGATCCCCTGCCAGTATCCTCCTCAGCGCAGGCTTGCTCCCACTCACTCCCCCAAGCCCACTTAGCGCAGAAGCTCCACCTATGTTGTTTCCACTGCTACCGCCTGCCTCTTCAGCATCACGAGTGAGATCTTCGAAGCCGCGAACCTTCCCCTTGGCTGCAGGTCGCGCCGCTTCGACTTCAGAGATGTAAGAGCGACTCTTGTAGTTCGCCGGACCTGCTTGAGATCCGCTAGAGGTCTGATGTGGCAGGTGTGCTGACTTGAGGCCACCAGTTCCATTTGGAGTATCAAGCTCTGTCTCGCTATCTTCGCTCTCGCTCTTGAGACCCTGCGCTCTTCTCCTCTCCTTCTGTCTGAGCCTCCGCGCTTCCTCCATCGCTTTGCGGTCCATCGCACTCAAGCCGAGCCCAAGCCCGCCGATTGAGGGAGGTGAAATCTTGGCGCCATTGACGCTGCTGGAGTCATCTCTTGTGAGTACGGCTGGAGCAGCAGATATTCGCTCGAGAGATTGTGTGATCTTCGAAGGGCCGGCCAAAGATTCTGATGAGCTCCCAGAGGCAGACCCCGCCACATAGCTTCGAGAAGCCGGGGCATTCCCTCCAGTCCATCCCCCCTCTCCAACAGCTACCCCACTCCCTTCTCCACCCCTCCTCCGCTTCGCCGCGGCTCTATCTCGTTCCCACTGTAGTAGGTCCTCTTCCTCTTCCTCCTCTGTGTCGGAGTCTATCACGATGATCGGCTCGTCTCTCGCTCTGGCCTTGCCTGCCGCTCGTGGGAGGGGGGCTATAGGAGGAGGAGGAGGTGGGGGAGAGGGGGCCATGCGCTTCAAGAGAAGGTGGGATGGGGAAGGAAGTCGAGGTGATGAGGTAGAGAGGATACGGCAGGATGACTGACCGAGTGAATGACGGAAGCGCCCCCTTTCCCTCGATGCCGGAATTCTGCACTTTTCCCTCCACTTTCACTCAAAAACGCGTCTCCTTTCCGTCTTTCCGTGTGTGCTTCTGACGATACGATACGATTCAAGTCACTGGCAAGGAATGTGGTATTGATTGCGACACCCATACAGACGGTACCTAACTCTACATTGCTGTGTGACTCCATTACTTGTCGCTCGGCAACACCTGGAAGGCGACTGTGGGGCCTCGCTCGATGTAGGCCGACTTGAGCGTGTAGCCCTTGGCCTGCGAGTCTGCAAAGACCAGCTGTGGGGCAGAATTGGGAGTCAGGGGTGGCCGAGAATGTCAGACAATGACAAGTCATCGCATCATTCGCATCCTCACACTCCTTTCAATTCTTTCACTCACCTTGGCGTAGATGGTAGCTCCGAGGAAAGGCGCAAGGTCCGTCCGGTCCTTGAACTCGACAAAGTAGTCTGGCGTCTTGAGTGCCCGAGCATTGCTCACCTGCTGTCCATTAAATGCCAATCCCGCACCCACATCGTCCACTCCTCCTATACCTCCACCATTGGCTGCCATCATTCCACCTGCGCCTCCATTGCCATTAGCAGCGGAGCTAGAGGCAATAAACTTAGACAGGGATGAAACGATGTAGGTCGTCAAGCCGCGCAGTACCCGTGTTGGCTGGCCGGTGATGACGAGGAGCTCCCATAGGGGAGCACGTCGCTCTGCCTCGAGAATGGAGTTGATGGAAGAGGAGATGACCTCGGGGAGGGAGGGAATCGAGGCCCAGTCCACCTGAGCAGGAGCAGAGGGTATCGAATCTTCGCTGGAGAGACTAGGCGGCGAGGCGAGAGTCAGGAAGCGGCTGTCCACGGAAGCAAGTACGCTTGGTTCCGTCAGAGGTGTGACAGCCTTGTCCAGGGGAGATTTAGGTATCCTGAGAGGGGTCTCTCGGAACTGGAAGGTGAGGAAGCCATTTACGTCGCTTGCCCCTGCGCTCGTGTTGCCATTTGCAGCGATCTCGGCAGGCATTTGAATCTTCTCAGGCTCCTTGCCTTCTTCGATCAGAGCCCTGTTCTTCTTTTCCTGTGCGGCAATTGCCTCTTTCTCCTTTCCACTAGTCAAGGCTCCCAGCACGTCGAAGTTGCCCTCATCATCGACATTGGCATTGGTGGCTTGCAGTCCGTCATCGCCTTCTCCCAGAGACACCTCACCCTGCTTGAAGAGCTCCTCTGCGAGTGCAAGGAGCAGCTGTGTCTCCTTGTCTGAACTAGAGGCGGCAGATGTAGACGCCGCTCCTTCCGGGGTGGTCAGGAGGGTTTGAACGAGCCGCCTGTCCTGTCCTAGCTGGAAGGCCAGGTAGGCGATACATTCTCTCAGTCCCACTTCACATCTGACATTGCTGCCCAGCACAGGCAGTGCATCCAATACGCACGCAGCGCTGCTGCCGCTCCATCCCACATCCACCACGCAGGCTCCCAGCTGTCCCACTGCGAAGGTCGACACGAGCGAAGAGTCCACTACACAGAGGGCGGGACAGTTGAGCTCTTCGAAGAAGATCTTGTGGATTTGCGCCGAAGTGTTGCGGTCGATTGCTTGAGGTGGCAGCGAGAGGAGGGTCACGGACTGGTTCGTAGAGCGGATGACGGGGAGAGAGAAGAAGAGGAGGTGGTACCTATCGGCGCGAGAGTAGGGCAGTATAGGTACAATCAGTCCACAGCCCTTCTTCTTGCTGACTTCGGGGCGAAGAACCTACTCACCATATCGCCTGCATACCGCCCCAATCCCTGATCTTTCCTCCCACCATAGGCCAGAACGCGTGAACGGGGTCGTCCTGATACCCCTCTGGATGCTGCAGCGCGTCCTCCAAGAAGTGACCCACGAGATAGTCAGAAGGTTTCACCGGAGACAAGTACGGATCTGATCCATCCGTTACATCAGCGCTACTGCCATTCAAAGAAGCGATTTTAGCATTGTGAGCGCGGAGAGCCTGGATGTGTGAGCTCCTCAGTCCAACCTGCGCGGAGAGCTCGACGGAGGGTAGCCGGAGGGGCTCGTGGATACCGAAGCCAGCTCGGATGGTGTGGGATCCATGGGCGATGACTACTGTTCGAGCCTCGCGAGCCATGGCTGGTGAGGATGATCCAAGAGGACAGGAGAGGAGCGCTAAGAGGCGGTATCGAGCGGAGGAGGGAGTGGGTTGGTACTGTAGGGACACTGCTATCCGCTCCCTCGACGCGAGAAGAAGTGCGGAGGCTGGTGCAGGCGACCACGACCAGCATCGGAACGGAAGGGAGCGGGAGCGGGAGTAGACTAGCAGCCAAGAAGTGGCCCTTTCCGCTTCCACTGCTTCCTTCGACTTAACACCTTTGACCTCCAAAGACAGCTCAAGCAGCCTCCTCCATCTCATGTCTGCGGCTTCTTCCTCTTCTGGTCGCTCGAAGATGCTGCGGCTGAGCGAAGAAGAGGCCAGCGATGACCTCGACGGCGAGCTGGCGGAAGCCCGAGCTAAAGCAGCAGCAAAGGCGAGCCTGGCTAGACTGCAAGCTGCCAGGAAGGACCGCTCGCAGGAGCGTGTTCATCAATCTCCCAGGGGCGAAGAAGAGGGCGAGAACGGCAGGACAGAAGCCAGAAGAGTCTTGGCTGCAACAGAAAATGGAAACGTGGCCGAACAAGAGATGCTCAGAAGGCAGCAGAACGGAGGAGAGGGCAGCTCGCGCCTGAGCGAGCACCACGCTCCAGTGCGGATACGGCCTCCTCGTCCACCGCCCACTCGCGGGCCCATCCCTCCTCGCTCAGCTCATCCACCAATCACTTCTTGCTCCTCGGTATCGGACTATGAGAAGCTCAACCACATCGAAGAAGGGACCTATGGCGTCGTCTTCCGCGCCAGACACAGGGTGACGGGAGAGGTTGTAGCCCTCAAGAAGCTCAAGATGGATCGGGAAACGAACGGGTTCCCTATTACGAGCTTAAGGGAGATTCGGACGTTGATGATGGCGCAGCATGAGAACGTAGTGAGGGTGAAAGAGGTCGTGGTAGGGGAGACTTTGACCCAGTGAGTACCGGGCGAGGTTCAGGCGGGCGACAGCCCATTCTGGCTCCAGCAGCAAATTGACCCCGTCTTTGATCGATTGTCTCAGGATCTTCATCGTCTTCGAATTTGTTGAACACGACATCAAGACGCTCCTCACAGCAGGAGAAGTCCACTTCACCCTCTCCGAGATCAAGACTCTCCTTCATCAGCTGCTAAGCGCTGTCTCCCTGCTCCACTCTCAATGGATCATCCACCGGGACCTCAAGACGTCCAATCTTCTAATGAACAATCGCGGGCAACTAAAGCTCGCCGATTTCGGTCTTGCAAGACTGTATGGAGACCCGCCTATGGACGATTATGGCGGGATGACTAGCCTGGTCGTCACGCTGTGGTATCGAGCGCCGGAGCTGCTGCTGGGGGCCAAAGAGTATGATACGGCCATTGATATGTGGTCGGTTGGGTGCATCTTTGCTGAATTCCTCAAGTCGGAACCATTGTTCACTGGGAAGAATGAGAGTGATCAGCTCTACCAGGTGAGTAGAGAGCATATGGCGGGAGTCAGAGGCCCGTCTGACACTACGGCTGACATGTCCTGCCTTGTACCTCCTCAGATCTTCTCCCTCCTAGGTCGGCCCACCTCTTCCTCCTACCCACCCCTCTCCTCACTCTCCACCTCAAGCAGCACCAGCAAGCTGCTCCGCTCCAGCAGCTTCAGCTCCATCCAGCCGTACAGCACTCTGCGTGCCTCTTTCCCATTCCTCACCTCCCAGGGGCAAGACCTCCTCTCCCGCCTCCTCACCTACGATCCCGCTAGGAGGATCACAGCTCAGCAGGCCCTACAGCACCCTTGGTTCACCGAGGCGCCGTTGGGGAAACATCCGGACTCCTTTGGGAGTTTCCCTAGCTGGGCGGCAGGGGAGAGGAAGAGGAAGGGAGGAGCTGGAGGAGGAGCAGGGACAGAGGCTACGACTGATGCGCCTGGAGGTGGGGCTGATAGGAGGAGGAAGGGTGCGGTGGTGGATGGACTGGTGGGATCGGCTGGTAGTACGGGAGAAGCGATGGGACTTGTGACAGACTGGAGCGCTCTGCTCTGATCGGCTTGTATTGGCCCGCTGTCGTTGGATGGACATCATATTCAGCCTCTTCTGGGCATCCAATCATCTGTAACACTGTAATAGTATCTCATTCACCTGCAATACTCTACACACTTCCGGCATCACTCCTCCGCTTCCACACCTGAATGTACGTCTCACCGAGGAAGATCATCTGCCGGTTGATATCCTCAACGATCAAGTCCTGGATCTGGAACCACTTCTCCTCGGCCTTCTCTGCTTCCTCTCCATCACCCTCTCCGGCCCTTCTGATGCTTTCAGCTTTGACGCTGTCTGGCTGACCAGCAGCAGTGGACGAGGAAGAAGGGTTGATTGGCTCTCCTTCGAGACTGGTATGCACCTGGGAGCGCCACACGGAGTTCTCGCGGACTGTGCCTGGAGTGGCCTCGTGCGTAATGTTGGCCACCATGTCGTACAATGCCGAGAGAGGAGTCAAGGAAGGGTCGTCGACGTCTGAGAAGAACAAGGGAGGTGTATGAGAAATGAAGTCAGTACGCTTCGTCTGACTGCGCTTGCCAAAGGACCCTACCATACACTCACAATCTCTCAGATCCAGTCCCTTGATGGGGAAATTGACAATCGTCGGGTTCCTCTCCTCGACAAAGTTGTTCTTCGTAAACCTCCTGAAGTGCAGAATCACATACGGCGGCAACTTTGTGATCTTGTATCTGCGAATCATGCCCCGCGCTTCTTGGAAGGAGACGCCGTCGTACTTTGCCAGAACTTGGGCAATGGAGACTTGAGGGATGATATTCTTCTCGACTACGTCTTGGAAGACAGGAGGGGGAGGGAGGTCGATGGCGAGGAGGAAGAAGGGAGAGCGGTCGATCTTGATGTCTGCATAGGTGGGGAAGAGCAGAGGGATGGTGATCAGAAAGCGTCTTGCCACTCACAAAGTCACCCCTACTCACCTCGATCGATGTTGAATTTGGCATTGCCGTACTCGTCCTCCTGGCCGCCCTCCTTCCTCCCATCTTGGTCCAAGCTGTCCTCAACATCCATCTCGCCTTCTGTCTCCAGTCCAGTGCGGACAAAGACCTTCTGGCTCTCGATCCTCACTTCTCCCTGTAGACACCTAGAGATGATACTGGGTTTCTTTCTGCTACCTCCATTGAGGTCCATATGCAGTTGATTGAGCAGCCAGCCGAGCAAGTCTACAGGATCGCCTTGCTCCATCAGCCGGAAGCGTCCCTTCGATGCGCTCGTCACCTCTTGCAGGAACTCATGCGGCGAGACCTGAGCTTTGAAGGCGCGAGGGTTCCAAATCTTCCTCAACAGAGCTGCAAAGCGACGTACGAGCTCAGAAGAGTTGGCGAGAGTGGGGTTGTATGACACTCCGCCAGATCCTCGCGCGACAGTAGCGGATGTCGATGTACTCTTAGCTCCCTGTCCATCGTTGTCAGGTCTGAGCGAGCCGGTAAGGAAGTAGTCTCTGAGGGGAGCGATGTGGGCTAGAGCTTGTATGACAACATTGACGTAGTCGTTGCCTCCAATGTTGTTCAAGCCTAGATAGCCAGGGTAGTATGGCTTGCCTTGTAAGTCTATGGAGGGTCGAGCATCAGGGGCATCAAGCCGCCTAATCTGCTTTGGCGTGTATGTTGGCTGAAGAAGGTAGACAATGTCGGACAAGGATGCAGAGGAGACTTGATAGCCATCTGGGAGAATGTATACCTGAGAATGGGCGAGGCAAGGGTGATTGATGAGCTTACTGCTGGCTCGACCAGCATCACTCCCCACTTCCTCTGCTTACTTTTGCTGTCTCGAGATTCATGTATACTCTGTGGCCGTCATTGATGGAATGGAAGTAGGCGTAGGAATTTTTGCCTCTTCCCTGAAAGTACTTGCCGCAAACAAGGCAGGTATACACGTTTATGTTGGAGAGGGATACGCTGCAGAGCTTCTCGAAGTCAAAGTCCAGGACGCTTCGATTGATCTGAAAGTGAGAGGACCGGGGAGCAAGGGTCAGTCTCGCCCATACTTTCAGTCCTATCGAAGAATCTGTGATGAAGCTACTCACAGTGTCCAGGTACAAGTCTTGGGACTTCTCCTCCTCCTTCTGCCGATCTTCCTCTGCGAGTCTCTCCCAGTATTCTGCATCCTGCACATCTTCTTCATCTTCACCTGCTGGTAGACCTGCTTCTGCTAATGGCGGGGGTGGAGGTGCGCCGTCGAATGTAGGCGGAGGCGGCGGAGGAGGCTCTTCGTCGGTGGGCGGGGGAGGTAAGGGCAGATCGGTGGGAGGTGGGGGAGGTGGTGGTGCGAGGCCATCTTCCTCAGGCGCAGCAGGTGGGGCGGCCGGGGGAGAAGGCGGCGGCGGCAGATCCGAGGGCGCTGAAGGCGGCGGAGGAGCTTCGTCCTCTACTGATAGTAGTGTACTGGCCTCTTCGCTCTTCCGAGCCTTCTTGGCTGGCCGTCCATTGCTGCTGCTAGCTGTGGCCTGTTCGGAAGAGGACGAGGGATCGGAGGCGCCAGCAAGAGATGGCTTCGGATCCGCCGGCGGCGGCTCCTGAGCAGCCTTTGCCGCTCGTGTCTTACGAGGAGGCATTGAGCGGCTATGGTATTGACGTGGTCAATGTCCTGAGATCAACAAGCAAGTGAGCTGTGTACGACGAGAAGGGTGATGGCAGGCAGCCGTAGAAGACGCGAAGAAGTGAGATCTGGGCCTGCGTCTCTCCACACGCCCCGCTTCCGCTCCGCCCGCGCTTCCGTCTCTGGATTCAAGACGTTCCTTCTCACTTCCGCTTCTTCCTACACTACTTGCTGTACCTACTTTCCCCAACCCTGCCCACTGCTAGTCTATCCTATCCATAGGCCTACCTTCGGATCTCTTGCCTTCTTCAGCTGAAGACTATCGCTTCCGCTGCTCCCTTCCGGCTGTTCTAGAGCGTGCGGCTCAGCAGCAGGGGCGGTCTACTCAATTGCGGATCCAAGCCGGGCAAGCGTGAAGCTCAGTCCATCAGGAGACCATGTCAAAGTAAGTGCTCGCCACCGCCTTGCAGATATCGTATGCACGATACTGACAATACACTGTTCTTTGTGACGCTTTCCTCGCTTCTCCTCCCTCATCGCATCACAGGCATCACCCAGATCTGATCTTGTGTAGGAAGCTGCCAGGGATTGCCATTGGCAGGCTGTGCGAGAAGTGCGATGGTAAATGGTGAGTCGTTCGAAAGACAGGGTTGAGTGTAGAAGCACATCGAATTGAAGCTGACCCTAAATTCCGTCCCGTCACTACCGTCCTTTCTTCTGCTCGCGCCACCGTCTCATCCTCCCTTCTGCTGCCTCCCTCTCTCAGCCCCATCTGCGACTCCTACGTGCGCCCCCAAACGCTCGTCCGCATCTGCGAAGAGTGCAACTTCGGCTCCTACGGCGGACGCTGCATCGTCTGTGGCTCCAACGGTATCTCCGATGCTTACTATTGTGCGGAATGCGTGCGGTTAGAGAAGGACAGGGATGGATGTCCAAAGGTGGTGAATCTGGGAGCGAGCAGGACGGACCTGTTCTATCTGAGGAAGAAGAATCAGCAGTCGTGAGTACGAGGGAGCAGGCGAGGCGAAAATGAATCAGAGCCTCAGACTGACGCTACAACTTCATTTCGCTGTCTGACCCACAGGTTCCAAAGAGGATAGCATCGTCACTTCAACCCTCCTCTGCATACCACCCCCGGCCACCTTGTACATCTGATCTTCCCACTTCGCAATCTCATCGTCATCTCATCGGTCTTTTCGGCCTTCCAGGTGGAAGGACAGTAGCGCGAGCGTGAGATCAGCGAAGCCTCGCGATCTCCATGTCTCTGAGCAAGGCGGAAGCTGAGTGGTGCGTTAGCATTTCCCAATAGCAAGCAGAGCAGCAAGACATGAGGAAAGCGGCGGTGATTGAACACTTCTCGGTCTGGATGATCCGTTTCGATCGATGAGAAGATGAGAGGGCGATGGATGAGGTACTGATTGGCTGCGCTGCGCGATGAAGCAGAGGGAAGGGAGGGTAGGACAAAGACGAGAGGTTGATAAAGGCAGCATTGTCCCTTCTCTGACAACGAACGTCCTCTCAACACCCACTAGTAGTGCCCAAATCAACATTCCCAGAAGCTAACAGCACTGCCAAGGATGTCGATGCCTCCTCCCCCTGTGCCACTCACACCAAAGCGCTCCGCTGCTCAACGCGCTGCCTCCGTCCGACCGGAGGCCGCGCCCATCAACGTAGACAACTTTTCACCTCGTCGTGCTTCGGTACCTCCTCAGTCGATCCCATCTCCTTCCAGTCTTGGAGCGGTGCTGCTCAATACTCCGCCAAAGATCAAGGCCGAAGTCGTAGAACGACCGATTTCACCGTCTACTCCCTCTCCCTCGCGCCATCGGGTCACGCCTTCCCCTTCTCCCTCTCCATCTCGTCGTCGTCGATCTCCTTCGGTCACTGGGACCTCAACTCTTGGCCGAGCGATCTCTCGATCCCGCCTCTCTCCATCTCCTGGCCGCTTCAAGTCACCAGGTCTCCTTTCTCGTCGCAGCATCAGTCGCTCCCTCTCTGCTTCGCCTCGCTCCCGCCGAGCTGGTACCGTGCCTGCCTCGCCTTACGTCGCCGCGGCCAGGAGCAGGGTACTCAGAGCCTCGGCAACTCCATCGCCTCAACGCCCTCATCTACCAAGTGCTCTACCACTCTCTTCGCCTTCGGCTTCTCTGGGACAGGGCTCGAACGCCACCGTCGTCCCTTCAGTGGCCCCTCTGCAGACTATCCTCCCATCTCGAGAGCCAACACCAGCACACCTGGTGGACCGTAACAGGGGCCGTCTTCCTTCTGACACTCCTGGCCCGGTCAACTGTCCGCCTCCTCAAGGCCAAGTCGAAACCTCAGATGTATTAGCTGGACAGAAGCGCAAGGGCAAACGCAGGAAGGCCTCTGAGAAGGCAATTGTTCTAGACTCCTCGTCCTCCTCCTCCGACAGCGACAGCGAGATGGAGGTCCTCCCGGCCCCTGTCACTTTCGCTGCCTCTCGCTCTCGCTCCCTCTCGCTGGTCCCGCCCTCGATCACTGGCACCAGTGCCTCAATGCAGCCGCACCTCGCCGAAGAAGACAATCACGAATGTACCATCGAGGTGCACGTACTCGTCAAAGGACCCAATGGGGACGCTATAGCTCGAGTGTCGTACCAGCGACAGGCGCATCTTGGTCCTCAGAGGTGCTTCAACTCAAGGCAGAATGAGGTTCTGGATAGGGAAGCTCCAAAGACTGCCCGAAGACTCGAGCATGAGTTGAGGAAGGTTCGAAGGCAGGGATGAGCAGCAAGGGGCGGATGGAAGCGAAGACATTATCAAGACTTTGTGTGGGAAAAGGGATCACATCAGCTGGAAAGGGGCCTTGAAGATCGTTGTGTGTCCTCCTTGTCAACTCTGCCCTAGTCTTCTCAATCGAAAGCTTTCTCACTCACGTACGTAATGGCTGGAGAATCGGGCTCCTCATAGGCATGCGCAGCTGCAGACTACGCCCATGGCCACCTACGCTGCAGGTGACAGGAGGTCGATGATGCAAGCACTCAGAAGGAAAGGCTTACTTACCATCACGGCTGCGAGTCGTCGAGGCAGCGGGCAGCAAGCTCACTTCGCGGGTGGACAGCCAGAGCGAGAGAGAGCAGCTTGGGATGGCAAGTATCGGCAGAGAAAGCATCGTGAAGCTGTTCACCCCGCAGGTTCTGATGGTACCAATTAGCATCGAGGTCAGCGTGACCATCAGCATCAGCATCAGCATTGGCTGTGCTACTCAAGTCTCTTCGCCTCCCCACCTGCCCGTTTCAAAGTGCGGAACGGGCATGTCACTCTCAATTGAGGTGATCCGTGATCGGGCCCCTGCACCCGCCTCGCGGCGCTCCGGCTTCATGCATGCACGTTCTGACACTGCGTGGCTTGGCCCATTCTTCAGTCTCTCAGACACAGTGCAAGAAGAGAGGGGTTTCTGGTTGGCTGCGAATCTTGGCGCAAAGATGGCAGCGTCGAGTGGGAATTGGGGCAAGATGCAGCTGATGGAGCGGGGAGTGAAGTGAAGTGCGGGGTGGCATTGACGGTGCGAGGTGGTGAGACGAAGCAGGACTGGATGGTGTGCAGTGGCGTAACACAGCGCTCTTTGAAGTCGTGATGAGGAAGGTCTGGTGGCAGCGAAAGCGGTAGCTCCCCTAATCTGGCGCACTCGATCTAGAGGTGGCCAGATACAAGACTGCAGGAGCTTTCAAGTTCCGGCCTTCCTCTTTCTGGTAGCGAGCAGGGTATCCGACTAGTCAGCTTCCGCATCGCAGAAGACAAGAATATCACTGGACTCACGTTCCGCCGGCAATGATCTCCAGAAATCGCGCCTCTTGATCGTCCAATTGATCTAGGGTCTTTTGAATGCCTGCAATGTCCTCCTCGATGAGCTCCAATTCAGCCTTGCTCGCAGCAAGATCGCCCGTGAGAGATTCGAGATCGCTGAGGAAGCGCCTGAAGGTGTTCTGGAGGTTGGTGAACTTGATCCGCCGTCTTCGAATATAAGCCAGGCCCTCCTCCACGGTCTGGTGCGGGCCCTCGTTTGGACAGAGGACGAACTTGGTCCAGAAGAAGTCCATCGTGGGCAGACAGGGCTTGCGATCGCTCGGATCGAGTGATTGACACTCGTCTGACGAGGATCCGTTCGACGCGGTACCTTGACAAAGTGAAGGATGCTGCTGGTACAGGTGCCGCAATGGTGACAGTGATAAGGAGTGGTTGTTCAATGGATCGAAGATGAAACAGGATGTGATGGTAGGGAAGGAGTTCTATTTGCTGCTCGGAAAGACGCGGTTGCGGGCGGACAAAGGGGGATGAAATCACAGAGCAACGTGCCTTTGTCCTCTGCTCTGCCGATCTTGCCAAGTCACATGCCTCACTTGTCATGTGAGAGGTGGATGGTTGGTATCCGACTTCTGTGGCTCGAGGCATATCATGACAGATTGTATCTCACACAATCACAGAATGGGGTCTACGTCTCTGCCTTGCACCCATCCCGCTTTGTCAACTCAGCAGCCTGACATAGTTTGCGCAGTTCTGAAAAGGGCGTATGCTCGGGTCTGATTCTTCAAGCGGTGCTCTGCTTGCTCCTGCCCGACTATCGCGATGTCTCCAGATACTCACCCACTTTTCATCTCTGTACCACTTTGATCATGTGTCAGAGCCGCGCCACGAATTCAATACTGAGAACAGCCTGTATGATGTTCTTCGGAGCTGTCTAGTGTATAGTGGGAGGGAACGGCATTGTGGTAAGCATAGCAGAACAGGACGAGGTCCCGAAGAGCGAGCTGCTGGGATTTCGAGGAGCTATTTGTATAGCTTAGGGAGCTGATCACTTCAGCACCCAGAGGGGTAAGTCGAGCACTGCTCAGAGGGTGAACCCAGCTTCAGTCGTGCACCTCGCACATAAGAGCGGAGTACATTTGCTCTGACCCTCACGGAGCTTCAAGCTAAGCATTGCTGTGTGCACCTCGCGAGAAAGCAAAGATACTAGAGTCTCTTGAGGGCCTCAGGATCACCAACCGTCGAATGCAGTTCGGTCCTTGTGCGCCATGCCAGCTTGCTGTCAAGGCAATGCCCCGCCTCCGGATCCTCAGTGCCGAGTCAGATGTGATACGTCGAGTGCGCCCTTGCCTTCGATGCGCGTGGCAGTGGTCAGCATTGCCCCCACGCCCCACCGCAATACAAAAGGCAAACCCCAGACTAGTACAAGCTTTCCTCTCCCCCTTCCTCACCCACCTCACTCGCCTCACTCCCTTCCTTCACTCACCATCCTTCCTGCTCTTCCTCTCCTGACTTCACCTTTGCCCTACTCTACGTTTCACTACCCTTATCACACAGCACTCAGCCACGTCCCTCCTCCTCCTGCGCGTAGTGCTGCCCAAGCTCAATATAGTCTCTGCACCTCGCTGGCCTTCGCGACTCTAAGCAAGATCCACTATTGTACTCTACCACTGTCCTAGTGAGTACCTTACCTACGCTCCTCACGACTGAGCACGCTCATCTTCCGCTCGCTGATACATTAACTTCTTCCTTCTGCGATCGCTTCTCAGCAGAACATCTGAGCTACCGAGTCTCAGCCCTTCGCTTTCCTCTCACTCTATTTACACGAGTCGATACTACCTTAGACCGAGCATACTGTACACGGCACTCTATCAGCCAGCGACGATCACTGCCGCTTCAAGCAGACGGGCAAGCACTACGGTACATCGAGGAGGACGGCTTCAGACGAGATCGTTCGAGCGAAGCATAACGGGTATCATCACTGTGTCTGGGCATCCAAACGACAGACGAAAGTAGCTCTTAGGAAGCAGAGCTCAATGCAGCTCTCACGGCAGGCCGAGAAGCTGTTTGATTACACCACTTCTACAAGCTTCGATTGGCTCGACTCCCCAATGTCGAGATCCCGAAGCACATCACGATCCATACGGACTCTGCTGGGGCCTTGGCTTACATGGCGGATCACAATAGCCATGGAAGGACCGAACAATACAACACACTGCTGCTTTCGGAGGCTGCTTGGAATCTGGAGGGTAGACCATACCCTTTGGCAAGTGCTTTGACTACTACCTGTACTCAAGACGCTCCCAGAAGACATTGCCTCACGGGGCCCCTCCACCTGTATCGACGGCGAGACAACACTTTCCCCCGTGCCCGGGACAAAGCTTCTCAGGGTTGCAAGATCTCGGGGAAGCTTCAAACCTTTGGCGATCAAGGCCGAAGAAGACGCGCAGCTGTGGGTACCCCTCCTTCGCGCCCAGGTTTTGGCACTCCGCTGAGGCTCAATGGATCGACACCCGGCTTTGGGACCAATCGACACGTAAAGTGACATGCAGGGTGGAATGTAGTGGGAGAGCCACACTCTTCAGGCGCCGGTGCATAAGCAACCGGAAGAGTTGGCGAGAGAAGCGGAAACCTCTGAAAGCCTGTCCCGCTCGGCCACGTCCACCTCATTCCCTACTCTACCACACATCTCACCGTCGCCTGCCCCATCTTGGACAAGTCAGATACCCCTCTACCAGCCAATCAACTGCTCTCAACTGTCCAACTGCTCTTTCTACCGCTGCTACCATGGTAGCCGGGCAAGACAACGATCACCGGCAAGCGGCCCCACTACCCGACCCTTCTATAGCGCCCCTAGGGCGTTTGCTCGAGCTCGAAAAGGCCCGCATGGACATAGCAAAGTCGAAGCTTGCGGACCTCAAGATCAAGCTCACCGCACACAAGACTAGGGAAGAGGCTGCTCGGGCGCATCTAGACTACCTCATTGCATCTACCTCCGCGTGCCAGGAGCTCTACAAGGCCGTCGAGGAGGACTACCAGCACGCCGCTCTGTGCACGGCCTTAGCTGAGTGAGTCCGACGAATATGTAGTCTTCAGCTGCTCCTAAGCTCTCGACACATCGCCTATCGCAATACTATCAATGACTCTGCCGGTCATGCCAAGACCACCAATGCTGACCCGTACTCCATCCTTGACACACTTCTTCTCACCTCGCAGAGAAGCGGAGCCTGCCGATCTCGCTCCCTCAGAGATCTCGGAGGAGCTGAGCGCCGTCGGAGCAGAAGGCCACACTTCGGCGGCTCGGACGCGCAAAGAGCGAGGGATACTGTCACATAGCAGTGCCACCACGCCACGCGCTCCGGCAAAGCTATCCCAAGCGGTGAGCATTTGACTGAGATGCCTCTCCGCGGCGACTCTCCACTGACAATCGCTCCCATCGTGATTGTTCTACCTCCCGCGTTCCCTCTTCCAGCTGGTCTGGCCCCTTACCCTGGTCTTCCAATCCTTTGCCCGTCTCCCTTGTACTATAGTCTCTCTTCGCTTCGACTCATGGCTCTGATGCGGTCCACAATCCACCCACACTTCATCTTCACCTGCAGCCTCTCCCGGAACGTTTGAGCTGCCCTTCGAAAAGCCTACGGTAGTCTCTCAAGCTTTCGCTGTTGACACCGAATGTTAGAGTCGGTAAAGTCAGCGCTGCATCTGCCGAACACCGGACCTCTCATCTCCGTCCTTGCACTCTGTGCATCTCCACCCTCGATCTCATTGCCCCGTAGCCACGCCCATGGGCATCGTTCAGACTGCAGGATCACCAGTCCAAGGTCTCTCTTTGCACTTTCGTGCATCCGAAGCCATACGTTCCACTCTCCCCCTCTTTGGCTCCTTCCACGGTTCACGACTTCGACGGGCTGTCGTAGAGATGTTTGCTTTGCTAGAATTCATTCAGTCCATCAGACTTCCTGGCCAACGTCCGTTAATAGAGTGTTCCGTACTGTATCACATGCGCTTGGACTCGTCGGACGGTGGAGCAGCTGTACAGGCGAAAGCAGGATAGCAGCGCAGAGGCTGCTCTAGCAGGCGGTGCATTTGGCCTCAGCTGACAATGCAAAGCGTATGAATTCAAAGGAGGCCTCAGCACGAAGCGCGCAGTCTCCGACGGACGGCGGTCTATTGCAATCCTCAGTCTGTGAGCGGCCCAGCCGATTGTTCGCCCGGCGAGAGTGTCGGCGAAAAGGTACAGTCCATTGGGCGCATCCGCCCGGGGATGCCAGGGTCGGCGCCGTCAGCCTGAGTGAATGCAACGAAAGGGGGACACGCGCGTCCGGGGAAACCGGACCAACCGGCTGATCTGAGCGGTGTGGGCCGGTGGATGCCGAGACGGGCTGATCTGAACCAAGTGGCCGGACTGGCCAGAGGGAAAGTGGACTAGTCTAGCTGATCTGGGAAAGAGCGGAGGGGCTGATCTGGACAGAGTTGGCTGACTGGGCTGGGCAAAGGGGACAAGCTGATTCGCGCAGAGATTGGACTCGCTGATCTGACGGAATTAGGCTGGCTGTTCTGTGGCCGGGCTGATGGGATGGAAGAGGGTCGGCTGATCTGATGGCTGATCTGATGGAAGCCGACGGGCTGATCTGATGGAAGTAAAAGACCTGATCTCAAACAAGTGGCCGGGCTGATCTGGGCAGCGTGGGCCTGGCTGGTGTGAGGAATGCGGACAGGCTGATCCCAGGAAATGGGACACACTCGGCGGCGGGGACTCCCGCCTGAGGCTCGATGTGGGGGGGACTAGGTGGATGCGGTGCGCGCCGAAATTTACCCTCTCGACAAGAGTCTGCCCTTCGCCCCCTTTGACCTATATAACCCTGGCCCCAAGAGCGTTGAGAAAGTTCCCCCCTCCTCTCGTCAACCCACCCCTCCTCTCCTCAAAGTTCCCCCCTCCTCTCATCAACCCACCCCTCCTCTCCTCCTCAGTCCAATCCTCCCTTCCCTCTCCGACCTCCACCTACCTTCCCCACCATAGGTGAGTACCACGAGGCTAGCGGCTATCCAGGCAAGACAGTATCGGGCAGCAGCCGCCTCTGGACTGGCACAGCGCTAGGTGGGATCCTCTGCTCTACTATCCCGGGGAGTAGAGCAGTGTGCGGTCCCCAGCGAATGTGCCATGACCGAGCCGTTGATGTACAATTTAAGCTCCGGGCACGATACTGCTTCAAGCCGGGAATATGCATGAGTGAGAATGGGAAAACTGACCTTGTAGAACTCTCCTTCTACCTGGTCAGACATCAAGACGTTCCGCCTCCACATGCCTCCCCCAATCACCTCCGATTCCTGTGAGTACCACGAGGCTAGCGGCTATTCCGGCAGGACAGTATTGGGCGGCAGGCATCCGCCTCTGGACTGGCACAGCGCTAGGTGGGAGCCTCTGCTCTACTATCCCGGGGAGTAGAGCAGTGTGTGGTCCCCCAGTGATGTGCCGCCGAGTCTTGATCTATTTCTAGATCGACCAACTGTCCGAGTCGTTACAGCGATGTACAAGTGAACCTGCGCGCCTGATGCCGATCAACCGAGATATGCATGAGTGAGAATGGGAAAACTGACCCTGTAGATCTCTCCTTCTACACGGTCAGAACATCACGCACCAAGCATTCCGCCTCCGCTTTTCCTTCCATCGCCACCACAAGCTATCCACGTGACTAGGTGAGTACCTGGATTCGCACTTCACCAGAAAAGGGAGGGTTCATGCCAGCGTTGGAAACACCAGTGACTGCAACATCGCTGGGCTGGATCCTCTGCTCTACTACCCGGGGGTAGAGCAGCGTGTGGTCCTCCAGCGATGAGGTGCAAGAGTCCCGAGGTACCATCCCCCTCGACTCGGTAGCTGCTGCAGCGTCACATGGGAATCCGCTGCATGTTACCCCCTTTGACGAAGAGGTGCTTGAGCAATGGGAAAACTGACCTTGTAGATCTCTCCTTCTACCGGGTCACCACCCCTCCAGACACCTCCCTTTTTCCGCCTCCTCACTCGCCTGTACCACCTCTTCTCGCTTCACACCTTTGTACTTTGCTCTACTCGCCGCGCATGCACGCCTTTTCAATTCAACAGACCAATGTCATTACCTCACACCGCCAGATACCCTCACTGAGCACAGCCCGCCCTCCTTGAGCGATACGACCTGGAGCCACTTACCCTTGGGGGTACGGCTTCACCTTGTCTGTCCTCGAGAGAGAATAGGCAACTGAAAGGGAAGAGGCTCTCGACGTGCGCCGGTGATGAGCAGAAGCCCGTGGCGTCATCTGAATCGATGACTGGACACGCGTATACGGCAAGCCTGGTTAGATGATCAAGATGTAGGACGGTAGATTGCGAAAAGTCAACGAGTAGAAATAACAGACAGAAGAGCAACGGAGGGATTAGCTTCTGTATACAATACGGGAGGAAAAAAGGCAAGCAAGGGAGCGGCATTCATTGCTGTCTACGAGCAGCGTGCATTGTACCGATGTGCTCGGTGACCTTGGCAATGCTTACCAGTCCAATTGACATCCGTGACACTGCCGTCCCTTGCATGGTCTTGGCACGCACAAGATCAGCTTTCGGCCTCTGGTTGCCCCTCGATCGCAACTCATTTTAGCTCGGGTGACTGTGTGGTCGAAAGTGTAGTAGGTGGTAGAGAATTCTGTAATCCGAAAGTGGGAGAGGGGATGTGTGAATCTGCAGCCTCTGATAGCGACGTCCAAGGAGCTTGTGACCGCCTCCTCTAGCAGTTGAGCAGCCTTGTAGAGGTGAGCTCCAATCTCTTGTGGCTAGTGACTTCTGCAACATGTAATCTGCTGCATCGATGTAGTCTTGGGCCTCTTCGCAAAGCTTGGCTTCTCAGCCATTGCGCTCCTGAGCTCGCTCCTGAGGGTGCATGTCGTCGGTGAGGTGAGCGCTGTGCGAGCTCTTGTCATGCGACGTACGGCAGTTCATCCTCAGACGCCCGACTACCATTCTCGAGGAGGCTAAGCGACCTTAGGGTTGCGAACCCAAGCCAGCGTCAGTTTTGATGGAACAATAGTACAAAGACGAGAACTTTCGAGAGATCTACTCACACGACGATGTGGTTGAATTGCCATCCTACGATCGATTCATTCCCTCTGGCGTGATGGAGCCTGCTTGAAGATGGGACCATACACGATGAATAGGCAAATCAGCTATTGAGCTGGTACCGGCATCAGCTGGTAGTTGAAGTAGTTTGGGGGTACGAGCTCGGTGAAGGGTGGAAGACCACTGTGTGGAGAGGGTGACGGCGGTGCGATGAGCATGGAGGAAGTAGTCTCTGGAGACCAATGGAGTAATGAGACGAACAGAGCGCTCAGTCAGTATCAATGCAGACAAATCGGAGCAAGCATGACGGACAAGAGACTTACCGGCGGCAGACTGCCAGCTTGAGGTCAGGGAAGGGCGCTGAGCAGCAAGCAATGATGAAGACGTATGAATAAGAGGCGACACCAGGGTCATCCCGCATGGGAGAAGAGAGTCGAAGGAGATGGAGGTGGACGACGACGAGGAGTGGAGCAGTGGGGCGGACGAGGTGAAGAGGTAAGGTCCGTAGGGATGAAGAGGTCGACTCAGGCAAAGGCTACGATGATCGCCCCTGAGGGAAGCAACGAAGCAAAACGGCTGCTAATTGCTTGCCCCAACAGCTCAGGCCGGGATCCGCCGCTGTGCATCCGGCAATTGAGTAGCGCTGCACGTCGGCGCCACCCGCTTCCTTCCGTATCAGCGGTGAGCCAAGGGCGGCTGATGGTTCAAGTCCTCGGTGTAGAGCCCGATGCAGTGGTCGAGGAGGGGAACACACAGTCTAGTGGATGGCAACAGGATGTATTGGGGATGGTATATTAGAGCGTAGATTACAGTACAGTATCAAGCAGTGAAGGGAGCAGCTACGATACATGTGAGAGGCAGGAGGAGGGAGGGACACGGTGAGGGGCGCTGTGACTCGATGCTTGGAGGGCGACCGAGAAGAAAAGGCAGATTTCGACAAGGTCAGTGATGGCATTGAGGTTTAAGAAAGAGGTAGTTGTCTTAAGCAGAGGGGCTCTGAGTCGATCAGAAAAATGATCAAGACCCAGGCCGCGAGGCTGGGGACCACACGCTACTCTACATCTTCAAAGAGCAGAGGATCCCAAGCCTGCAAACCCAATGCAATCACAGTCACGGAGTAGGCACAGTACCTCGCTACCCATCCGCATACCGGACGCCTTCCGGCGCCACGCGAACCTTGAGCTCTTTGCTGTTCTCTTCCCCCTAGGGTATCAGGAATTCAATGGTACTCACGTGGCATTGTAGATAACTTGATCCGGCTGGCACTCTAGCCCGAGGAGGGGCCAAAGCGGAGAGGAGAGGGCCCGGACCGGAGGAAATGGGAGAGCGAGTTGAGAGGAGGAGGGGGGGAAATAATTTTCACCGCTCTTGGGGGCGGGGTTATATAGGGCAAAGGGGGGCGAAGAGGGCGAAGCGGGGGTGAAAGAAATTTCTTGTCGACAGAGGCCAATCGCCCTCGCGCAACAGCTTCACAACGTGGCGAGCGTCTCTGCTGGGACCCAAAGGAGTTCGCTGCCGCGCGCTCTGTCCCATTTTCTGGAGAGCAGATCAGAGCAGTCTGTCCCATTCTTCCACATCGGCCGGTGCTGAGCCTGGCTGTCCAGTGCCCACGAGGCTCGGAAGGCGAAGGCGGCTCGAACGAGAGACTCTTTGACTCTGCCACATCGTATCTTGTCGCTAGGCCTCTGGCCACCGCTCAAAATTCGTATGTCATTACCTCTCGAGTAGAAAGGCAGACAGTATCTGTCGCCACCAATCTATGCAGTCTGTACACGGTGACAGCTCAAGTGGGATGCATATCAGACGAGCGTACAGTGTTGCATCCAGACGCCTTCCGTTCCGGCCGTCACCTCGATTTTTGAGTGACCATGAGAGCCGCATCGACAGGCAAGTGACACATCGGGGCTGGAATGCGAAGCGAGACCACACCTCCACGTGCTCTCTGCTGCTCAGACACCGGATCGGAGGGAAGCTTCTGCTCTCTAGAGTGCCTGGGCGGTCACTGTCCGCGAGCAAACCTTGGTGCAATCAATAGCCGCTTTGTCGCCCCTGTTGCAGGGCAGTCCTGCTCTGCTGCCGCGCCCAGGCTGAGCCTCTGATCGTGTGCCTCGCTCGCCTCGCCCTTTGCCATTACCCCTTTGCCTTCACCTTTCTGTTTCTTTTCCACCTCCTGCTCTCGCCATCCCTTCTCTTTCCATCTCCCATACTCTAACACTCTCTCCCAGTCGATAATCTGCGCGTACTACTGTACATCACTTCACCCAATGCACAACCTGTCGCTCCTTGATTCCTTCGTCGAACCTCTCCTTCTCACCGCTTACTCGTGAGTGACTCGTCCGCTAACGGCAGACTCCTTGAGGTCACCATCATCTCACCCCTTCCGCTTGTACAGAACGCACACCTACTATGACATCTCATAGAATACTCTAGCCAAGTCTACAGTGGCTCTTCCTAGCAGAAGCCGTCTTCAACGCATCTTTTCCTGGAAGCCTACTTCACAATCACTCCTTCGACAGGCTACTGCCCCTGTCTCTTTTCTTCTACCACTAGCGCACACACACATCAGCACTCAATCCTACACATGCACACTCAGCAGCCTAGTCGAGCGCCTTCCATCGCGAGATCGGCGCAGCCCACTATCAGCACCGGGCGAGGAAGACGCATATACCTCTACCTCAAGCCAGATTACTTGGCTGGGAATCAATGTACGGTCTCTGCCGGATCTTGCACACACTGCAAGACTCAATCAAGTCTGAGAGCTGGATCTGTCATCTAGAAGCCACCCGACGACAAGACGTCGCTTAGCAATGACCTTGTCCTGGCCGCATCACGGGTCCTTTTCATCAGAACACCGTACTGAGTAATACTGAGCTCTTAGCGACAGCCCGAACCTGGGCTGAAGAGTCTGCCGCCGCCGCCCGCAATGCATCTATCTACCTCTCCAAAGCCGCTGCTCGGCTGAATACGGCCGACATTGAGCTGGATGATCTGCACATCCCCGCGCAGAGTGAGACAACGTCAGTCGCTTTCTGCACATCTCTTCTCCGTGACTCAAGCTCAAATGCGCCAGGTGGCACAGGATCACTCGTTGCTGGTACAATCCCTCTTTCTGCTAGGCAATCCACCTCCATCACCACGTCTGGCGGCCAAACAGTACTCGTGCCTGGCACATCGCCTTCCTTTTCCAATGCTCCAGACTCGTTTGCACCACTGCCAGCGGTACGGCACTGGCCGCTACGTCGGCCTTAAACAGGGCGACAGAGGTCAAACTGCCCAAAAGTGAGTCAGACACTTGTGCACAAAGCTTGTTGAAGTTCCTTCGTGCCTGACACCGTCAGTTGCTCTCTTCGCTTGCACTGGCACTGAAACAGCGACGCTGCCGCTCCGGCCGTTGGAACTCACCGAGTTCAATCAAGGCGACGGGCACACGCTCGTGGCTCTCGAACCACTTAGTGAGTGGCAGCATGTTCCGGCGTGGTGGATCGATGACCTCTGAAGCAGTACCCCCGCCGGGCGAGAGAGCGCCGGTGAGGCCGTAATGAGGCCTCCAGTCCTTCGACTGTGGAGTCACCCAGTAGACTTGAACAGCGCCGAGGTAATGATGCCGCAAGTGGCCGTGCCTCCTACTGTCCTGCAAAGGTAGTAGAGCAGCGTGAGACTACGAACTGTTCTCGGCCCTCTGCCCGTTTGGGTACGGAGTCTGGATGTCGAAGAGGGAAGGAATGAAGAAGGGCTCTCCATACGCGGCCGTCTTGAGCGCGCCCCCTCACAGTCTACAGCTGCTGACCCAAGTACTATCCCTGTTGTGACTCAAAGCCGCCGCACAGTTCAAGTCGTCAGAGACAACGCGTTTGCTGGCAACAGCTTCGGCCGAGATGGAGCCATCCACGGGCCGACCGCTCGCGAAGGACAGACCGTTGGAGCCAGCAACACTCGAGGGAGTCTGCCGTCATGCCCTCTGTCTGAGGGTGACATGCCGATCTTCCTGTCGTTCCCTTTTCGACAGGTCCCTGGCAGCGTGGGCCACGTCTTTAGGATAAGGGCAGGCTGGGAGGCTTACCAAAGGATCCAAAACCAGCTGCCGTGATAGCAGCACCTGGTTCGTGCCTCCTTTGACCTTCATTCCCTCTCTTCTTTGACGCTTCTCTCTCTTACGGGCCTACTTCCTCGCATTCTTCCTCACCATACATCAGCGTCATTTACCCTCACCTTCAATATTGCCATTTTTGATTCGTCATGCAGAAGCAGAAATTCAGTGGAGTCCCCGCAATGTTCATACCACAGTCAGCTCAGCATCCTCTGGACTTCCTCCTGCCACCAAGCTCACCTCCTCACCCAAGATCTGCCCTCCTCTTTAGCCGTATCTGTAGTCAGACTGTCCATCCACCTGCCCGAAGTAACACGCATCTCTGCTTTCAGGGTGATCAGCTGTTAGATGGAATCGGATTCGTGTGGAGAGTAGACAGCGAGAGGCAGCAGTGGCTGTTCCTCTACTACCCCCAACCCTATACCCTCAACCTCGTCCCTAGGCATGCAGAGAATCTCCTCTCGCTTGCCAAGCGAAGCGTGAGAGCCTGTGTAGCAGGCCTGGCCATTTGACAAATCGCTGCTATCTTGCGCTAAGGGTGAGTCATGATAACGGAAGTGCAAGGTACAGTGCGGGGGTCACTTTCGCACAGCGGAGTCTCACTGCCATCTCCACCCACGTCACTGTGGGGCGCACGAGGGAGGCTCAGTCAACTCAGAATGGTAGCGCTTTATCACGGAAGGTCTCTCACTGATATCTGCTGCCTCGAGTGTAGCAGTTGAGATTGCGTTTCGATACAGTGTCTCTGGCAATGCCATGCAGGAAGAAGAGTAGCATGGCCTCAGCATACACGAGGCTCAGTCTCGGCTGTTAGGACGCCGGTAGATTGCCGATGGCGGAGCGGAGATGGCCATGGCGCCAGAGTGCGGGGGTGGATCTGGAGAAGATCGAGCCTCAAAAGGCTGGGGCCCCACTCCTCCTCCTCCTCGTCCTTTGCTGACCATACCCGCAATCCCACCCACTCCACTGCACCATGGCCACCACCTCTACCTCGACTACCACTACGACTGCGACCGCGACCATGCCAGCCATTGTCCGTCTGGCACGCTCTACCAATATCGATGTGGACTCTCTTGACCCTTCTCTCGCGCGCAAGCTCCTCTCCTTGGGCGTGACAGCCAACGACCAGACGTCCAATCAGGTGCTGATCGTGCAGGCCATTCTGGATCCACAGAATGCCCAATTGGTCAAGGAAGTCACTGCCTCGATGCCCGACGCCCCTTCACTGGCCATCGTCGACCACATCTCGGTGCTGTTGAGCAAGCGCAACGATGGACTCATCAAGGGGAGATTCCTCCTGCAGACGTCCCCACAGGGTGCGAGCGACATGGCTGCCATCATTGCTCATGCTCGCAATTACGCAAAAGAGTTTGAGATGGCGGGATTGCCAAAGGAGAGGTTCTGCATTAAGCTGCCGGCTACGGGAGCGGGTGTTAATGCTGCCAAGGTCCTCGAAGGGGAGGGGTGAGTTGCGGAAGACGCAAGAAGCCAAGCCTATCCGAGGCCTGCGAGCTGACATGGACACTCTCATCTCGTTACTCCTTCAGTATCCGCACCCTCGGAACCTCCCTCTTCTCCGTCCCTCAAGCTCTTGCATGCTCCCAAGCAGGCTGTCTCTCCATCTCCCCTTACTTCAACGAGATCCCCGCCCACGACCGCACCACCAACCTGTGGCCCCAGCCTGCAGACGTGGCCCGAGAGCATCCCATGTCCCCCCGAATGGTGCAGATCTACCAAGCCTACGCAGACCTGGAGCGACACACTGGTCGGACACAGCCGCTGATCAAGGCGGCGAGCATGATTGGGGGAAAAGAGGCAATGGCGATCGGTGAAGAGATGGGGGCACAGCACCTCACCTGCCTTGCACCAGTGCTCAAGGAGCTCTTTGAGATGCAGGTCTCGGGCGATTCGAAGAAGGCAGAAATCAATACGTACGCTACATTCGACGTACCAGAGCGATTGAAGGATCTCCTGCAGGTCGACCCGCTCTCCCCTGGGGGCAAGCCATACACCATCGACCCTTCCCTTGACTGGCTCGCGGATGGGGGAGCAGCACTAGATGCATACATCGCCGGAGACGCTGAGACGGCGAAGCGACTCCAAGCGTCACTCGACTTGTTCATTGGAGCTGAAGCAGTGGCCATTGAGGCCGTGGAGCGAGTCAGGAGAGGGGAGGGTACAGAGGGATTGGTATTTGGAGGTCTTTAGAGCTCACGCGCACTGGTAGATCATAGACTAGACTAGACTAGACTAGACTAGACTCATCCTTGCAATCATCGTCAGGTCGATTTTATTGCCATAGAATCAAACCCTTTGATTGAGACAGTCCTCGGATATGTATCGCTGGCAGTCGATGCCATTTCGCTTGTCTGATTTGCGCTGCTCAGTAGGCCATGGACCTCTCGATGACCTGAGTCAGGTGTTGAGCACCATCAGCGCCCTGCACGTCACCGATGCCAGGAGCGAGGCTGCAGATTCGAAGGGAGGGAGGGGGATCAGTAGCAGACCTAATAATGCACTTCAAGTCGGCCCATACTCACTCCAGAACTCTCCTCTGCGGAATCGTCCCCTTGACCAAAGCCGCAATATCATCGTCCTTGTACCCAATACTCTTCAGTCCCCTCGGCATACCCAGTGTCCCCACCAAGAACTTGGCAATACAGTCATACACCACCTGTCCAATCTCCCCATCTGGGATGCGGGCAATCGCACTCGTGTCCTCTCCTGCCTCGGACATGAAGACCTGGGCAATCTCGCGGTGGCGCGAGGGAGAGGAGGGGGCGGTGAATTCGAATACGGCAGGGCCGGTGAGGGCGACGGAGACGCCGTGCGGGACAATGGGGTGGTCGACTTGGTAGCCGGCGTGCTTGTACTTGGCGCGAGTCTTGTTGAGGCCGGAAATGGGGTAGGAGATGCCGTGGCAGAGGTGCTGAGGAGGGTAAGAAAGGGGTAGGAGAGGTCAGCGCATTCCTTCATGATCTTCGGCTACATTTCTCTCATCGAGATACTCACCACCCCTGCCGTACCGAACCCTACTCCAGCAAAAGTAGCAGCAAGCAGCATCTGTCCTCTGGCTTCCATATCAGTCGGATCCTTGGCCACCCTAGGCAGGTACTTGACGGTCTGCTTCAGTGCCCACATTGAGAAGACGTCCGAGATTGGGTTGGACCCTTGGTAAGCTGGTCGAGCGAGAGGGTTGGAGGGACGGGGAGATCGCTCTGTGTAGGGGATGGCGGTGTACGACTCGAGACTGTGGAAAAGGACGTCTAGTCCAGCACTGACATGCACGCTGACTGGACATGTCTCGGTATTGAGCGGGTCAATAATGCCCAGCAGGGGTCGCATCGCTCGTGAGGCAATTCCGGTCTTGCTCTGCGTCTTCGTGTCATCGTAGATACTTGTACCAGTAGTCTCCGAGCCAGTCCCTGCTGTGGTCGGAACAGCAATCAGCGGCGAAAGCTTCTTGCCCACCGGCGTACCCCTTCCGATGGGCGCATTAGTGAATTCGTACAGGTCCGCATCAGGGTAAGCCGTGAAGAGGTTAGCCACCTTGGCAGTATCCATCACCGACCCTCCTCCAACGGCGAGGAACGAGTCAAATTGCTGCTTCCTCGCAAAGTCGATGGCTTCCCCGAAAGAGACGTCGGTGGGCTCTACTCGCGTGCGATCGTAGATCTCGTACTTGACACCGGCAGTGTCGAGGGCGGCGATGGCTTGCTTCATGGGTGTGAGGTCGCGCACAGTGGAGTCTGTGAAGACGCCGACCTTCTTTGCGCCAAGGTTCTGCAAGGCGAGCGAGTGAAAGACGTCGGTGAGCCCCAGAGTGCTGGGGAATTACGAGCAAGTCGAGCAGGGAGCCTACTTACTGCAAAGTCCATGCCGACTTCGTTCGTAACTCCCTCTCCATACCTGACGTTGGAAGCAGCGAGCTGAAAGGCCAATACCATGTCAGCGAAGGCCCGATCAGTATGAACGTCAAACCACTGTTCAGCTCACCTCAAACGCATACTCCTTCGTCAAGGCCGAATCCACCGGGGTAGCATACGACCTGCCACCCTGGGCATTGTGCTTGCCAATGAGGCCAAGTCCTGCACGTGCAGCCGAGTTGCCCAGCTGCTTGAGGCTCTGACAGTTGTGGCATGGACATCCTCCCGAGTGGGACATGCGCATCAGATTGACTGTTCAAGCAAGCGTGGAGAGGGAGAAGAAAGGGTGGTGTAGGTCAGCAGTAGCTCTTGCTAGAGTGAGGACATGCTCGGATATGCCGGGGAGCCGCGTGTAGCTGGAAGGGATACACACAGATGGAGGAACGAGAGGCATTGGCTGCTCGAGAAGCCATGATGGGCAGACGAGCGATGGGAGGTTACGAAATGAAGGGTCGAAGAAGGAGTGATAGGAAAATGAAGGAAGGAGGAAGGAGTGAGGCACAGATGAGCAATGCGAGTAGGGATGGTCAGGTGTCAGGGGAGGAAGGCAGGGCGTCGTGGTGCGGGGGATCAGGCGGCGGCGGTGTTCGAAATGCGGGGAAGGCTGGGCAGTGGGCCGGAGATGGCAGCCGGGGCCAGCGGCCGTAAGAGCCGGTTCACACAACACGCGTGGTACGGAGGGGTAGTATCGGCAAGCAAAGCTGAGATAGACAGGGTAGAGTGAAAGACATACAGCCATCCCTCTAGTTGCTCGACATCTTGCTCTTCATGTCTGTTGCAGCGCCCGGGAAATAGAGAAGGTGCGATCATGACCAGGTACACGCCAGTCAGTAACGGCCTTAAGTACCCGCCACCACTGCTGCTCTCGCAGAAGCCCACCCTACTCACCTTTGAGCTTATCCTTCAGTCCCGAAGTGGACTCCGTGCCATCCCGGTCCACATCTCCCTCACCTCCATCCAAGCTGACACCACCACCCTCCTGGGTGCTTCCACCACCAACACCCGCATCAAACCCACTTCCACCCCCACGTCCGTCCTCCTCCCCGGCCCCACCATCCAGACCCTGGGAGAGACCACTCTGCTTGTCTTCATCGCCCTGTCCGCCGGAGAGACCTGCAGAGGGAGCACCACCAGCTTCCGCATCGCGGGCTCCTCCAGCAGTGCTTAGCATGGCCTTGGGAGCACCTTGGTCGGCTGTGAGGGATTGGTCGTGGGATCCAGCTCCTGCGTCGAAACCTGTAGTGCGTGGACGGAGGAGCAATGGGGAGAGTGGATGGGAGAAGGTAAGTCAGGTCAGCAAGGAGTGCGAGACAAAGAGCACCTGCATCCGCATCCGCATCCACATCCACATCCACATCCATAACATACCTGAAGACATGATTGCTGCGTCAAGGGGTGGTGTTACTGATTGAGTTCGAGGTCGGGTATACTTCAAGTGAGAGTTCTGTTCAAAGTAAGGTATAGATCAAAAGGGAAAGCCGCGACCCTCTATTGGCTTATGAGATGCCAATCCCCCTCACTAGCCAGCCAGCCGGCATCCCTCCCTCCCCCCCTCCATTTCCGTGGTGCGGGGGTGGAGGGGGAGGCGTTCCAGTCTCCACCTTTTCCGGCAATCGCGCACACGCACCTCGCACACACGCAGTCAGCAAGCCCGAAAGGGAGATAAATCTCCTCAGCGTTAGCTCTGACGGTACTCTCTCTCTCTCTCCCTGTCTCCCTGTGTCCCACTTCCCGACTGTCCGACTGTCTGTCTGACTGTCTGCGTGCCTGTTTGGGCATCCCTGCATCGCTCCCTTGACTCCCAAATCCAAATGCCGCTCCCCCCTCCCCTCCGCCGATTTGAGTGCGTGCGTGCGGGGGAGGAGGCGCGTGGGATTTGCGGGGTGTGGAGGGCGAGAGACCGAGAGACCGAGAGACGAGAGACGAGATGTGGGGTACAGGCGGCCAAGCAGCAGCACACCACACGAGTAGATGGTACTGTCCAAATAGATATCTTTCCTACCTCGCTCGCCTAGTCTTCTGGATGGGTCTCCATAGGGACGGCCAAGAGAGAAAAGAAGAAGGATGCGATCATTGGTACGGTAGTGTCTTCCCTTACTTTCCGGTTCTTGGAGAAAGAGAATACGAGATGTGGGGACAGGAGGGCGGGCTTTTCGAGCCTCATCTCGACTGCGTTCCAGACACCTACGACCAGCCCATGAGCTACTGGCGTCGCTATCGCCTTCGCTACCGCTACCGCTGTGACTGTCGTTCCTTCGCCTGCCCTTGTTGCCTCACCCTGCGCTGACGTGCAATGTAATACAGTCTAGGTGACTAAGTAGAGATTGGCTCAAGAGTGAAGTAGGTGACACGTGGAATATGCGCCGGGGAATCGGTGACATTGGAGACACAGTGGGGGATGACGGTGATGGTGATGGTGGGGAGTAGGGAAGGAAGGGGTAGTACACAACCTCGCCGGCCAGCCGAGCGATTCTTCTAGCGTCATTCTCTGGCTGAACGTTCTGGCGCCCTCCCCTCTCTAAGCTCCCACTGAAGCGCTCGCCGACTCTTGCTGTTCCCCTTTGTGCTGTCCCGCTCCTTTCTCTCCATTTCCATTTCCATTCTTCTCCGCTTCCTCCTGCTCTTCAATCTCTTCTTGTACTGCAGCCTCTACTGCCTTGACTTTCATCTGCGCCAATTCAGCCTGAGCCGCTCGCTCAGCAGCAGCAGCGTTAGCTAGATGACGGGCGGGGGAGGGACCGCCTTGGGCTGCATCGAACATGGCTGCTGCTACTGGCTTGGCGGGGAGAGAGGCTGATGCGGTGACAGAGGGACGACGACGATGGGCTGCGAGGTCCATGGATGCAGAGGCATTGGAGATGCTAGTGCGGTGGCCGGGACGGCTGGGCGAGCCTGAGCCAGGGAGAGCAGCGGCGTTGGTAGCAGAGGATGTGGATGAGGAGGCAAAGGGAGCCTCGGAGCGTTCGTCGATCGGAGAGTGTTCACCGCCGCCGCCGCCAGCGCTGAAGCTACCGCCGGCTCCGAAGCCCGAGCCATTTGCAATAGAGCGAGAGCGTGTGCGATGCTGGACAGAGGCGATGATGGAAGCAGCGTCGTCTCCATCGTAGGGTCGTACTTTGGCTGTGACGCCTTGGGAGGTCATGAGGAGGGTCGGAGGGGACATGAGAGTTGCTAGGTATGCTCGCTTTGCTGGAGAGGTGGAGAGGTGGTGGGAATGTGAGACGAGGCAGGATAGGCAGGTTGGAAGAGGGGAGATTGTTCAGCACGACCATCTCGCTGTGTTGCGGTCATCTACTTCCCTGCTCTCCTCTCCTCACCTGTGCTAGGATCGCTAAAGATGACCATTGCATTTGTATCATCCACCCACTTGATCCTGAATCCTCCATTATCGTCCTCCCAAGCGGAAAATACCGCCTGTATGTCTCGTGTCTTGAGCTGAGGTGGGAACCCAGAGAGGGAGAGGATGCGAGTGGAGAGCGGGGAGAGGGGCGTGAACATCGTGTGGGTATTGTGGGAGTGAAAAGAAGGTGAAGTGGAGTTGAAGTGGGTGTGTGGAGCTGTTGCTTGCAGGACCGGTGGAGGGGTGGGGAGGGAGCGAGGAATGGGAGGGGAGGCGAGGAGAATTAAGTAGTCGTGTGATTGTGAGTGTGTTTGTGTCTGTGGGGGTGTGGCCTTGCAGGCGGGTGGTGTGGATTCGAAGAGGGTAAAGGAGTGAAGGGGGGAACAGGGAGTGGAGGAGTAAGTGATTGGTAGGAATGGAGCTCCAGTGAGCCTTGCCAGTAGTGAGTGATAAGTGGCCGGCTAAAGCAACGGCGCAGGCAAAAGAGGAACAGGGGCCGCGACAGGCGGGCGGGCGCAACACAGCAACTCCTCATCTCAGTTCAGACGCGGGACCTGCACACGCCAGCGGCATTTGAAGGCCGATCAACCGACGCAGGGCAATCGAAGACGTCCTCGTCAGTACAGTAGCCCTGCTATAGGAGTGGTAGCAGCTAGGCAGAGTCATCGTTGGTAGACCGGTAGATCCAGAGATCCTCGGGCGCAAGGCTCCAGACTCTGCGATATCGCGAGGCTCCTTGTTGTGGGCCTCTACCAGGCACTGGTGTCACACTATACACGCGCATGGCCCCTGCGACAGCACTCACGGGCCCCGCTCTGAGCAACCCTTTTCATTCATTGGTAGTGCGGGGTAGCAATGAAGGTCTGCCTTGAATACCTTGCTCTATTGCTACGATGGTGATCACCAAGGCTGTCTCACTTTATCCAGTCTACTCACTCGCTTCCACTGGAGGTCTGCCCTTCCGCGCTTGCCCTACCCCCCTCTCTCTTCCCTCGGCGACTTGCCATGCTTCGCCCTGACGAGGCTCGTGAGTCGCGGCGTCATCGGGCAGGAAACAAGACGCGCCAGCAGGCGGGGCGGGGCAGCAGGCGTCAGTGCGCTCATGCAGGATCTTCTGCCTCTTCTCGCCTCTCATAATCTCCACGACTGTCGTCCACCCAGCGGCACCTCAATCAATACTCGAGACCATCACACCGCTCTTCACCTCTTCTCTCTTACTCTCTCACCCACACACCCCTGCCACTTTCCTCTGCCAATCAGCCTCAGCGCTCTCACCACAGCCGCTCATCCTCATCCAGTGAGATAGACGGACACGTACGCTTCTTGTGCACCCAGCTACCTGCGAATACCTATCTCTCCCTCCCGCGTATCTACTCTACAACATGCTTCGCTCCCTCACCGGCCGCACTGCCTCGCAGCTGGTACGCAGTACCGCTCCCACAGCCGCAAAGGTACCCACTGGCCTCCTCGCCGCCCCCGCTTTCAACCTCCCCTCGGCCGCTGCTCCCCGTAACTTCTCCGTCTCTGCACGAGCATCCGCCGTCACCAATCCTTCTGCACCCAATGCTTCACCTGAATTCGACCCTCACTCGGTCACTGCCATGGACAAGCAGGAGCCGCCTGCGCCCGGAAGCGACTTCAACGTAGTCATCGTAGGAGCGTGAGTAGCGGGACAGGCGGCAGAGGAGAATACCTCTGTGCAATTCTAGCCTCTGTCATTCTACACCGGTACTGATCGAGCTGCGCTACGCTGCATCGTTTCTCCCTTCTCCCATTGCCTTTTCTCCCCCTTCGCCAACACAGTGGAAACATCAATGTGAGCAATAGCACTCGCGTAGACAGACAATTTCGTTCACATCTAGCTCACACCTGCACAATCCCATTCCACTCCCTCCTCCCCTCCGCGCGCACTGACAGTTCGGCTCAGACGAAGGACCATGGAACCACTCTTTCCGTCTGGAGCACAAGCTCGGTCCTCGTCTCAAGGTCGTCGCCCTTATTGACCCCTCTGCTACTCGAGCTGACGCTGCTCTGACTGTCAAGCGCAATTCTTTCGTGCTGAGCGCCTACAAGGACACCATCGTCTACCCAGACTTTGAGAATTATGTCAAGAACAGGCCACAGGGTCAGGAGCCCCAGTGAGTAGGTGTGAGCCAGGCAGTGTCACTATCAAGGCTGCAGGCTGACACCTTCTCTCCCCCTTTCCCTCTCCCAGCGCTATCTGGGTCGGCTCTCCCCCCGCCTACCGAGGACAGGAGACTCCCGGACGTGACCTGGAGAAGCACCTCGTCAAGGCCTTTCCCGATGTCGGAATCTTCATTGAGAAGCCCGTCTCTACCGGTCCCGTCTCAGAAGCCTTCAATGTCGCAAAGGAGCTGAATGGAGCAAAGAATGTTGTTTCGGTGGGATACATGCTCAGGTATCTCAAGGTGGTGCAGAAGATGAAGCGCATCCTCGAGGAAAACAACCTCAAGGTCATGGTGAGTACCCCGAGGGAGTAGTGTAGAGCATTGCCCTTCAGTGGGCTCAGGCTGACCTCGATCGTGGTCGTCGTCCTCTTGCCGCCTCTCTCCCTCCTCTGCTAGGCCACAAACGCCCGTTACTTCATGGCCTACGAGCACACTGCCAAGCTCGACTGGTGGGACAAGTCCCAGTCTTGTGGACCCATTGTCGAGCAGGCCACTCACTTCTGTGACTTGTCCCGCTACTTTGGTGGCGAGGTAGACCTCGACACCGTCATGGCCCACTCTCTGGAGCACTTTGAGCCCGCCGGCCACCTTTCCAAGATGCCCATTGACGAGAACAAGATCAAGCCCGAGGAGCGTATCCCCCGAATCACCTGTGCCACATGGAAGTACGAGAGCGGTGCCGTCGGCTCCCTCACCCACGCCGTGGCGCTACAGGGCTACAACTACGCCACTGAGCTGGACGTCCTAGCCGACGGATTCTCCCTTCGGCTGGTAGACCCCTACAATGCCCCTGTGCTGTACCTCAGGAGACCAGGTGACGACCACGAAGAGGTGATCCGCTACAATCAGGACGACCCATTCTTCTCCGAGGTGTCCAATTTGATCGACAATATCGAAAAGGGACCTGGATCCGCACCGATCCTCAGCAGCTACGAGGACGCAGCTAAGACGTATGCTCTTACCTGGAAGATCCGAGAGGCGAGTGAGAAGAGCGCAAAGAAGCCTGCTTGAGAGGGAGGGGAAGAGAGAGAGGAAGTTGGGTGCTGTGTAGAAGTGGAGGAAGGTGTTGCTTAGATTGGGCACCAGTGGCCGGTAGAAGGGAGAAGGTAAAACAGGGAGGAGGACGATGACCAAAGCTGCGGTTGTTCTTTTCCTTCTTCGCAATATGCCCAAATCGTACGTGTTTCGACTAGACCCCCACTTTGGACACTATGCAAGCTGAAAGTAGGAACAAATGACTGAGCTCGTGACCATTGATGAGAATATCATCTGAGGACAGTGAGCCGCCCCTTTCTCCTCCCACCCCTCTATTCCCTTCTCCCTTCCTTCTCCTTTTCTTCTCCCTCCTCCCCCCCTCTCTCTCCTACGTCCCACCATAAGTCATCAATAGCGCATCCGCCACTCCACCAGGCGTAAGCACTCCCACATCAGAGATGATTGCCGTGACCAATTCAGGTGGGGTATAGTCCACAGAAGGGTTGAGACACTCCTGCTCTAGAGACATTAGAGGCTGGACTTGTGAGTGCGAGTGCGAGTGCGAGTGCGGGTGTGCTTGCGGAGGCTGGGAGGAAGGAGGCTCGGGCTTGCTCTCGGCTGTGTCTGCTGGTGTGGAGGTTTTGGAGGCGATGCTCGTGGGTGTGCTAGAGCTGGAGCTGGGAAAGGGGAGGATAGGCCGTGTTGTGGGTAGGTCGGACTGGCTGAGTGGGAAAAGACGGAGGAACTTGTAGCTGTGTGGTTCAATCGTCCGAGAGTGGTGGTGGTGCGTCGTCAGTATAGGTCTTTGGGGCAACCTCTACTGCCACCTCGGTCCTCGTCTCCGACTCACCTCTCTGCTGCAGCATAGAAAGGCTTTCCTAGGCTCTTGGCAATGAGACCCAGCTGATACGTTCCCACTGCATTCAGCACTCCTCCACTCTCCACCACTCCCTCGCTACCAACAAGCACCACGTCCACCCTACTCATCACATACGCCACGGCCGTATCCAGCACAAGCGTCGCCGGTATTCCCGCCGCCCTCAACTCCTCGTAGGTCCTCAACCCCAACCCCTCTGGTCGAGACTCTGTAACGTAGACCTGTAGTGTATTCCTATAGAGTCTTGCCGCACTGAGGAGTAGTTGCATCACCACTCTCGAATAGGAATGGGTGAGCACAACTGCTCCTTCTTTTAGAAAGACGCCTGCTCGAGCGCAAATCCGAGCTCGACAGGCAGGGACAGTCTTTTCTGCGTACTCCCTCGCGACTAGTACCAATCGCTCCTTTTCCCTCTGAAAATCCTCACCACCTCGCCAATCCATACTGACTACCAATCGACTAAAGAGATCCGTCCCTGCTGTGGCTGGTACGGGACTAGCTAGGGAGGATTTAAGTTTAGAGGAGTGGGATTGGATTAAAGTGATGAGTTCGGAGACGGTTGTTGGGGAGGTGGAAGGGTGGGAGAGGAGATCGCAGAGGGCGTGGATTGCTGCGATTGGGTGGGGGAGGGTGAGGGAGGATTGCAGGTGGGAGTGGTAGGAGGAGACGATGTCGAAGGTACCCGTCGAGGACGACGAGGAGGAAGAGGAAGCAGCGGCAGGTGGGAGGGTAGAGGCCGTCATGATGGGCAGCGGTATAGTCTGCTGGTCTAGCTGAGATGGGGAGCTCTGTCGTCGTCGTCGTCGTCGTGTAGTGGTAGTAAATGTCGCTGCAAGTGTCAGTGCCGCTCCCTCGCGGCCAGGAAGAAGCGAGGCGAGGGCGGGGCGGGGCGGGGCGTGGATTTTCCCTTTCCGCAAAAGTGGCAGTCGAAGCAGCAGCAGCAGCAGCCGCCGCCTCTAAAAGCGGGCGACCAGTGAGTGACATGACAATGGTTACTGTACACAGTCTTACTCTTGTTCAGACGAGTGTGGTGCTTGATACATGAAGATGGACTGATACTATTGCAATGACGGGACACGGATCGAAGAGTGCAGAGAAGACGAGGGCCTAAGGTAGAATGTTGCACTGTAGAGTTGGGCCAGCCTGCCCTGCGCTACCACTAGCTGCCACACCCACTTCCATCTGACACAGGAGCGCTCCTCGCTCATCCCATGACTAGCTTCTCACCCAGCTTCCTCACCTCCTTCTCCACACTCTCAAACTCGTCCTTGTAATCCTCCTTCATCTCACTCCCCGTGCCCTTCTTCTTTGCCAATTTACCACCATCGGGACACACCATGACTGTGCTGGTAGGCCTCTTTGTCGAAGAGGCGGCACCCAGAGACTCCTTGGAGGAGACGAAGATGTAAGGGACGTTTTGCTCTTCGCAGAGAATGGGGATGTGGGAAAGGATGTCCATCGGGGAGATGTCGCCGGCAAGGATGACCAGACTGGAGAGCGGGGGCAAGGAGAGTGAATGTGAGCGTCAGCGTGTGTAGGCGAATCGATGTAGAGTCTTTGGATATCTCTCTCCATAGCTGTACTCACCCCTTCTCGCCCTTGCGCAGACCCTTGACCACCTCCTTTACTCCTCGCTTGACGTGCCCTCTTGACTTGGACGCCTTCTTGATCGTCTTGAAGACTTTCTTTGACAGCTTCTTCTCAGCAAGTGGCCCTGGTATGGGCGAAGGAGGTGGACAAAGCAAGCAATGTACTGGATGAGTCTTCTTTCTGCGTGTGTGCTCTTCTTCTGCTTCACCTCTGTCCCGGACTCACTTGCAATCGGGCTAATTGTGCTCATGTCCACCTCTGCCTCATCTGCTGCATCCTCTGCATCCATTGTCACATCTCCCACCTCGCTCTTTTCCTTTTTGCTCTTCTTTTCCTTCTTCTCCTTTTTGGCTTCTTCGGTTGCTGCGACGGAAGTGGTGGCCTCGGGTGCGGCGACGACTACATCTACCGACATGGCAGTGTCGTCGGCGGCAGTGGAGGCTGCTGCTGCCGCTGCTGCCTTTGCGGCCTTCTTTGCGGCCTTGCGCTCATCCTTTGAGCCTTCCTTTGCCATGTCGTGGGCTGGTGGTGGAGGTGGGAGTGATGAGTGACGTACGTGTATGAGTGAGGGTGTAATCGGCTGCGTCTCTGGTCTGCGATGATGGTGAGTAGCTTCTGCCTACCACTGCTACCTCTCCGCCCAGTGGACCTTCGGAAGGAGTTGAAACTTCTTGCGCGCGAGTTGCAGTCCAGTCCGGTCCATGCCATGCCTACGCCTACGCCTACGCCTGCCGCGAGATTGAGCTCCGCCAGCTGCCCCGCGTGGTGCCCAAAGCGCAACCAACGCAACGCTTGCAGGGCGTCATAAGGACGCACCACAGCATCACCACCACAAGCACCAGCAGCATCATCTCCAACATACCAGTCGTATCTTCCACTCCCAACAACGACCCCCTCGTCATCACCTTAGCATCGTATGAGTGCATCTTATCAAGCCCACGCTCTCATCTGAGCCTCTTCTCCGCCCTTCTCTCCCCCCGCCCACCCACCTGCCCCTCGGGGTCACACACGCACATCACCATGCCCTCGCTGGTGTCCATCTTCTACTACCTCTTGGGCGGCGTCACCTTCCTGCCCCTGTGTCTCATCGTCGGATTCATCTACTTCCACATCACCGCGCCCATAGCAGATGAGGCTGAACGCAGACTCTCCCCGCACCCACTCCATGATGGACAGGACGGAAGTGACATCTCGCCAGAGAAGAAGGCAGCCGCCCTCGATCTAGCTGTGCGCAACGCAAAGGCTCAGCAGGAGCTCGATGAGGCACTCAAGAATGGTGAAGCAGGCAGTGCTCTTCCTACTCCGGCTAGACAGACTACCATCCCTGGTGCTGCAAAGCGTCTGGGACCTTCTGGTTCCCATGTCCCCAAGCCTCACCGCTCTGGCTGGCTGGTGGTACGGAAGCAATTTGAGCCAACTCCGCCAGCCAACAAGGCTCACGGAAGGGAAGCTAGTCCTCACCATCAGAGCAACAATAGCGCTAGCGCCACTTCGACCTCGGGCCAAACAGACTCCCAAGATGCCACCAGCACTCATACGTCCTCCTCCTCCTCCTCGTCAGGACCAAAAGCTGCCTCGGGTAGCAAGCCAGGCTACATGTCTGCCATGTATCGCGGTATCATGGACTACCGCGCTGGCAAAGCAGACGCAAAGAGGCTCGCTGGGCTGTCGGCCCAGGGCACCTCGCAAACAGACGACGAACCAGCGGCAGCAACGGCGAAGCGGTCTGCAGGCGTCCCTCACCCAGATTCCTCGGTACCCCCACTGTCTGCTCCCAAGGATGCCTACTTTTGCGTACTCAAGGCGCCTATTCTCTACCTGTATTCGTCACAAGATGTCAGCAATCCTACAACGGAATGTCTTGCCGCCATCGACCTACGTGGCAAGAGGGTGAGCATGTACATCAACCAGATTGGTGATGTAGAAGGAGAGCCAGGTGACGGTCAGGGAGCTAGCGCAGGCCAAGAACACAGCACAAGCGACGACGAGACAGCCGACGAACGGGTCCAGCCTCACTTTTCTACCAAAGCAGCATCAATGGCGACGACTCTCCGTCGGATAGGTACCAAAGACGGGGAGCTGTTCCAGAAGCGTAATGCGATCCGCATCGTGACTCCATCGACCTCGCCTCTGCAGCAGTGGTTCGTCTTCTTGCGGTCATCGACGACGCTGGAGGACTGGTATCATGCCCTGATCCATGCATCGCTCGCACCGACTGATAGCTCAGAGCCACCCGTGGACCCCATCGGCCCCGTCTTTGACTTCGAAGACATGCGAGGCCTCCTGTCCTCCCTTGACTCTTTACCAGACCCGATCCCTCTACGTTGGCTCAATGCAATGGTAGGCAGAATCTTTTACTCCGTCTACCGCACGGCGTGGATCGAAGACTACGTCACTCGGAAGCTGATGAAGAAGATTAGTCGAGTCAGAACGCCAGGCTTCTTGTCAGACATTCGTGTCAAAGAGGTCCATCTGGGCAACACCCCTCCCGCCTTTTCCAGGCCGATGCTCAAGTCACTCACCGGCGAAGGAGAGGCTAGCATGGAGGTGGCGATGCACTACCGTGGAGCGCTGAGGTTGACCATCTCCACCGTCCTCACCATCTCCCTCGGTTCGAGGTTCAAGCCTTACAACGTACCGCTCGTGCTTGCCGTAGTCGTCACCTCACTTGAAGGCAACTTGCTTCTTCAGATCAAGCCGCCGCCATCAAATCGCATCTGGTATGGCTTCACCTCCCTGCCCAAGATGCAAATCGACGTCGAGCCTGTGGTCAGCGAGCGCAAGGTGCAATGGTCCATGGTCAAGAGGCTGATCGAAGGAAGAATCAAGGAGCTGATGATGGAGAGCATGGTTGTACCAAACATGGACGATATTGCCTTCTTTGATACGAGACCAAATGCTCGCCGAGGAGGAATCTGGGCAGAAGCAGCTGTACGCAGGCAGGATGGCAAGGTGGCTACTAGCGCTACACAAGAAGTGTCAAAGATGCGAGATGGGGTGGAGAAGGTAGAGGCGGAGAAGAAGGTGGAAAGTGCATCAGGTATCACTTCTGCCATGAAAGACTCCACATCTACGGAAGACCAGCTGCGCAATCGCAAGAAGGCGGCCGAGGATATCGCGGCGCCTGCGAAGCTGGACACATCTGTCAAGGATGAAGCTCCTTCTCAATCTGCTTCAGCCTCTTCACCCGCCATGGCTGGCTTGTCAGCCCTCTTGGCCCGCAACAATGCTCAAGGTGTACAGACGAGCTCGTCTTCGATGTCACTGCCCCTATCCACGTCACCTACAAACAACATATCGAGTATGGAGACGTCTCGCAATCCGGAGAAGAGAGCACACTGGTTCAGAGGCCAGAAGCCGCAGAGCAGTCTGGCGTGGGGTTCTGCTAGCGTACTGCCGAGCGCCGACGGATCATCTATCTCTCTGCCAGCTACTCTAAGTGCCGATGCAGAGAGCAAGGATCTCCCTACACCTCGTCTTCAAAGCACGGCCTCCAATACTGCCCTCGCTCGGCATGCCAAGAATCGGAGGAGTGTGTCGTCTACGCTCTCTGCGGCGAGCAGTGCTGGCACTGATGACATTCATGCCGCGATGGCGGAAAGTATGGACAGCAGCGATGATGAAGGCCGACGAGACAGGGAAGAAACTCCTATGCCGCAACGTGAAGTTACCACGACGCCTCAAAGCATGCTCTCTCAGACCATTGAGGTGTCGCCTACCGGTGCTCAACAGGCTGATTATGGGGAGGGCGAGACCCCTCGCCCTTCCGACGCACAGCTGCACCAGCAGCGACAAGCATCAGCTGACAGGACACCCGAAAGTACTCGATCCGCTAGCCCACTACCTCCGCCAGCCTCGACTGTCGATCCGTTCCTGGAAGTGCCACCACTACCTGCTGAGCCTTCCACACCACAGTCACTGTCCCCTGTGGGTATACCAACTTTGCCGCCCCGTACCGTCTCTCCAGACGCCGTCTCTATCGCCAGCGCAAGCGATGCTTCTTCGGTGAAGAGCAGCGCACAGAGCATCACAGCACCTACTCTACCTCTACGTGCTTCGCAAGCGTACGGGCCTCCACCACGTAGACCGGCCGTACCTTCTCGCAGGCCTACCGAGAAGACGCTCTCTCGGGCAGTCTCCCGAGAATCTATGGGCAGCGAAACAGCTCCCACCTCGAGGTCTCCCTCGGCTCAGCAAGCTTCGGCGCTGTGGAATCAGGCCAAGTCTCGAATGGCAGACAAGGAGGCGAGACAAGCTACTGCTACACATGCCAAGGACGCTCTCAAGAAGGGCTGGGCGAACTGGAGTGCCAAGAGACAGGCCAGCGGTGGCAGTTCCATCTCGCTGCAGCAACAGCAGGAGCAACAAACGGCTCCCGTGCGAGAGGAATGGGACCGTCTCGACCGCGCCGCTACAGGCAGAGATGAGAGGCTGCACTACACGCCTGACCTTGCCCCACGTTCATCCACTAGCTCTGCTGGATCGTCTACCTGGCAACTGGGCACCTCTGCCACTGATCCGGCTAGCCTCGGTGCTGGCTTTGGTTTCGAGATGAGCCCTCATGGCTCGCCTGAATGGCAACGTGCTGGAGATGGGTACCGCCTGGGAAGTCAGACGTCTACGCAGGCTCATTCAGCCTCGTCTGCATCCCTCAGTGGCAGCAATGCTTCATACCGGGAGTACAGAGCTGGTCGATCGCGAGAGAGTTCACGAGCTTCTTCGCCAGGCAAGAACGGCGGTCCTCCTGCAGAGGTCGTCTCCTCAACGGATACGGAGAATGGAAGGCCGTGCGCCCCCTCGTCGTCTACATCTGTTCGCAAGACAAGTGCAGGCGTTGCGCACTCGGGCTCACCTTCACAGGATAGCTTTGCCTTCTTGCCTCCTGCTGCCAAGCCAGTGACAGCGCTAGCAAACGGTACCGCTCCCTCTGAGCTGAGTAGTGCTGGCGAGGCGGTTGCTGCACCAGCTCCTTCCATGACGCCTGCGACTCCCTCCAAGCCCCACTTGGTACCGGAAGAGGCCGAGGCTACGCCTCGCAATGAGGCCGATACGCCTCGCAACGTATCTACATCGTCTGCAGCCACAGCCGCAATGTCGCCTACGTTGTCACGGGAGAAGTCTCGCTCGGGCTCTTCCTCTTCGCCTTCTGCAAGGATCCGATCACAGCCAGGGCACATGACCATGATGGCTGTACCTGGCATTCAGCGCAAGAGTGGTGAACCGACGAGCTTCTCTGCTCCCCTTCCCCCTCCACCACCCGCACGAGAGGAGGGTGGTAAAGCTGCTGCATCGGGCGCAGGGTCTAGGCTGAGCTTCAGTGGACTCAAGCTGCCCAACTTTGTTGGCGGCATTGCCCCTGGGGGGACGGGGATGTCTACAAGTGGGAGTGCGAGGAGCGTGAGCTCGGAGAGACATCAGGAGGCGACGCCTGCTCAGGGCTCTGCCGATGCGAGTGGAGCAGCTCCCTCTGCGCAGGCAGAAGAAGGACATTTCACCGTCGGTCGGCAAGGATTCGAGCCGGTCACAGACGCAAAAGAGACGGGAAAGACGATTGGAGGAGAATTCGGTGGACAGGAGGTGCAAGAGGAGGCGGCGTCTCCATCATTTGTAGAGGTAACGACGAGCCAGGATGAGGCCGTCGAGGAGCGAGAGCGCCAGTAGGCATCCCAGAGCCACGATTTCGAGCCTCACAGGGGCCACATTTCATGTCATCAGCACACATTGCATTACTCACCTCATGCCACACCAGTCATGTCACGAACATTTGATCCTCACACGATGCTTGTCCAGACTGGCGCCAGGATGTGTGAGGGGGAACTCCGCGGTGAGGGTGCGCTGATCCGCTGCGTCGGATCCGTGAGGGAGGCGCGTGGCTTCGACTCGGCTCTGGCTCGGCTCGGCTCCACATCGCCCGACTGGCCTCCGCATCCGCTCGACGTCGGCGCTTAGGCTCCTATAGAGTCCCAGGTAGAGGCACAAGTCACCATCCTCTGCTACCATACATACAATCCATCGCACTCGCAGACGCAGACGCCATGAAAGTCACCTCCCTCCCCCTCGCCGCAGCAGCAGCAGGTGTCGCTCTCCTCTCCACGCAGCCAGCCACCGCCTCGCCCCTGCCCCACCAGCTGTCCTTTGGCGACTCTCCCTCTCTCTCCACTACCTTTTCCCTCCTCTCCTCACTCACTTCCGCTTCTTTGGACGTCTTTACTCCTCGTCTTGTGCAGACAGCTCACGATGAAGCACCTTACTGGGGATTCCCACACTACCTCCGCTGGAAGGGAGTACGCTTCTTTGATGTCACGGACCACCTCGACGCCAATGGGCAGGACGTGCTTCTCGCCCATTCTCTACTGAGCGCCACCTCCAACGAGAAGAAGACTTCCTCCTTCCCCTCGAAGCTCTCCTACCAGAAGCAAGTGGGTAGCGTTCATGCCAACATCTCCGAGTCTGGGCCCCGTGCAAACATTGCTGCCTTCACCTCCTTTACCAATCGGTACTACAAGTCCGGCTCCGGCAAGCAATCTCAGCAGTGGCTCCTTGCTAAAGTCAAGGAGATCACTTCGGTGGATGAGAACATCACCGTCGAGGAGTTTGAGCATCCTTGGGGACAGAATTCCATTATTGCAAAGATTCCCGCGACGGACAGCAAGGCCGCAGAGGAAAATGGGAGAATCGTGGTGGGTTCGCATCAGGACTCGGTGAACCTCATGTGAGTTGATAACAATAGACGTACTTTGAGCAATTTCAGACCACAGCGCTTACCCCTGACCTACTCTTTCTCTCTCCTAGCTTCCCCTACCTCCCCGCTCCAGGTGCGGACGATGATGGATCCGGCACAGTGACCCAGCTCGAATCACTACGTGCTCTCCTCGCCTCAGGCTGGAAACCTTCTCACAGCAATGTTGAGTTCCACTTCTACTCTGCTGAAGAAGGAGGTCTTCTAGGTTCTCAAGCCGTAGCAAGATCCTATGCCGAGTCTGGTAAAAAAGTTCGAGCAATGAGTCAATTTGATATGACTGCATTCATCAAGGCTGGGACCAACGCCACCATTGGCGTGATTACCGACGTGGTCTCGCCCGAGCTAACGGCCTTTAACCGTTTGCTCATCGAGGGATACCTGGATGTACCCTGGGTGGACACCCAGCTAGGGTACGCAGGCAGCGATCATGCCTCGTGGACCAAGGTTGGCGTGCCATCGGCATTCAGTGTAGAGGCTACCTTTGGAGATTGTAATCTCAAGAGGATCCATACCACTTCGGACACTTTTACTCATGACGAGTATAGCTTTGAGCATATCCTGAGATTTAGCAGGCTGAGCAGCGCATTTATCATTGAGCTTGCTGGGTGGGGCAAGTAGAGTAGAGCGTGGAAGGGAATATCGGATTTTCTTTGTCGGTCTGAATCAATCATCACATCATTGTAACATTGAATGCAATCTACATTGAACTACTCCACACTCCGTAGTACGTCTGCCCGTCTGTGACTTTCTCATCCTCCTCCCACCTGGCCCCTTCAATCATCATTCACACCAGCATACCTCACCTTTCCCTTCTTGTGTCCCTTGAAGTGCTTCTTGCCCTTGGGCTGAGGTCCATCCCCCTGCGCCTGCATCAATGGTGATCCATCCGGTGCCAATCTACCCTGGATCACTCCACGACCAGGCAGGCCCTTTCTCCCCCTCGCAGCAACCCCATTGGAGGCGCCATTGGAGAAAAAGGCCGCGTCGAGGGCCCGGGACTTGACACCGCCCTGCTGTGCGGGCCTAGGTGCTCCATCCGCGCCCTCTTCCTCCTCTGCATTGAGATTCAGGGCAGGGTCGTATCTCCTTCCCTTGAGAGCCTCCCTAGCTCTTGTGCGCTGCTCCTGGTTGAACACGTTAGCTTCCACTCCCGGAGGAGGGTTGCAGTACAGGAGCTTGGCATTGACGTAGTCCTTGAGGACATAGCGCGCCGCTCTGCTCTCGTCTGGATTGCCCTGACCCTGTCGGACAAATCCACGCGCAACGGCATAGGCTGCCAGGAGCTCTAGACCAGTAGGGATGCCTGTCCCGCCTTCTTCGATGGGCAGCGTAGGGATACGGATACCGTAGTAGCCCTCGACGATGTCCTTTGGCATTCTCCGGGCGACGAGCTCAGCGGGAGCGGTGTACTCGCGCATCTGGTCGATGGGGAGGATACCGTCCACCACTAGCTCACCAGTGGAGGTGGCAAATTGCGGGAATACCAGACCGGGACAATCGCATAGCGTCACTTGCTCCGAGAAGGGCAACGTCTGGAAATGCTTCGTCTTGCCGGGTGTAGAGGAGACGGACACCTTCTTGGAGCCAAGCAAAGCATTGATCGTCGAGGACTTTCCAACGTTGGGGTAGCCGACGAGACCGACTGTCAGCTGCGATGGTGTGCCGTGCTCATTTGTGAAGTCTGTGAGAGGCGGCGCTGAGGCCATGAAGAGCTCCTCAAGCTCGAGGACATTGAGAACTCTGGTGGGATCGCTCTGAGGCTCAGTGGCCACCTTGACCGCATCGTCAGAGTCCTTGACAGAAGTCTGGGCCTCTGCTGCCGCCTTCTCCTCCAGGTCTGCCTTCTCGCCATGTACGGTATCATCGAGCATGCGGTCGGTTGCCTCTGCACCTACTAGAGGCTTGGCGTGACGAGCTCCGAGGGTGATAGCCTCGGTGGCTTCTGTGAGGTCTTCGCTCGCACTTCGAGCCTCGTTGTCCTCGAGCTCATCCTCTTCTTCCTCTTCTTCCTCCTCATTCGTGGGCTCGGTCTCAGCTTCAGCCTCTTCCTTGGCCGCTTGAAGAGCAGCAGCATTGGCAGCGCTAAAGAAGGCGTACCGGATGCCATGCTTCTCAAAGTAGCTTGCCCACTCCTTGCGCTGTCCCTCATCCAAGAGATCTGCCTTGTTGATCAGCAGCAGATTTCTCCGTGGGCCCTTGACTGCCTTTGACTTCTTTGACTCGTGCTCTCCATCCTCTCCAACCTCTTCCACCTCGTCTGTGGCGTACTGCAGTCCACTCTTGCTCACCACACCTAGACTGGTGACGTACTTCTCCAGATCCTCACAACGGAAGCTGAGAGGGTTCCTAGCATCAACAATCTGCACGACCAGATGTGACCTCTCCAGTACTCTCCATAGTTGCCGCCAGACTTCGATGTTGCGCTCGAATGGTGTCAGGAGCAGCATCTGAGCGTCGGTGAGTTGGGCGAGATTCCTACGCCAGTCGAGGAAAGAGTCCTTTTCTGCGCGAGCCAGGGAGGCAGGGGTCGTCTTGGCATCCCAAGCAGGTCTGACAGGGGGTTGATAGGAGAGGATCTGGTGTGAGCAGAGCGCCTTGCCATCTGTAGGTGTTTCGATGCAACTCACCTCCTGGGTACCCTGAGCCTTTGCTTGTTCTCCCTCTGCTTCTTGAGTACCTCCCTCTCCTGCTGACCACTGAGCAAGAAGGGGTTATTCCCCCTCTGTCCTCCTGCGCTGGCCCCGGGCGCCTGCACCACGGTCACATTCCTCCTCTCGGCGGTAAAGTCCTGCTCTGCAAGTTGTGCGGTGCTGAGGAACTCTTCGAGGTCTCCCTGGTGTGTGACAGAGGAGAGGCCGTGCTTGGAAGAAGAGGACATGTCGGTCGTGTGAAACTCGGAGCGCGGGCGATCCTTTGCGTCCTTGGCTCTGCGGTTGATGATGGCATGGCCCAGGCCTACCTTGTTACGAGATTGTGGAAGAGGCTGCGAGGGAGACAGAGGGAACAAGTATAGGTGGCATCGAGTGTCAGCGTTCCCTTCAAGCTGACCTCAAGGGATGTGCTTGGATGTCCGCATGATACTGACCATGATGATTCTGCCTCGATGTGATGTCTTCCGTATCCTTGAGATGATCTGTGGTGAGGATACGCAAGTGGCCTCTGCTTGATTTCTGGTATCCACGGCCTGCCTCTTGGCCCAAAATTCTTTCCTTTGAGTGGAGCAGCCGAGCGAAATTCCGAGGGGACCGGCGAGGGAGACGAGCGCCGACGTCGGAACGGAGCGCAAGGGAGTCGGAGCAGCAGCGCCCCTGCGTGCGTGCGTGCGTGCGTGCGTGCGTGCGGGCGAGATTGCGATGCGGGTGAGCCATCGACGGGGGTCAGGGGCGGATACACACACGCCAAGGGCAAAAGGCGGCTACTAGTAGGCGAGCCGAAGGGCAGAAGGGCGGGCACCAAGACAGACAGAGGAAGTGTGAGAGCCGATATGTCGACTCGTAGTCCACGTCGCGGCACCACAGGGCCACACGCAGAGGGAACCATGCACCGGCATTGATGGCAATGTCTCGCCGGGTGTCTTGGCCCAATTGTACCTGTCCTACTAGGCCCTAGTCTCGACTGTCCTGGATACAGGTATTCTCGATCCTGTTCGCCTCTACTTGTCTCCCCCTGCGTTCCCTTCACTTGCTCTTCTCCCTTGCGTCTCCCCCTCTGCTCCTTTAGCAATGCCCCTCTTGCACCCTACTCGTGGCTCGCTCTCCAATCGCACTTCAGTCCTCATCGGCGTACTAACTGCCCTCGCCATCACCGCTTTCCTCATTACACTCCTGCTTGTGCTATATCAGAAGGGCAAACAGAAGCCCGTACCACCCACCATTGCGCCCAGAGAAGATGCTCTGGAAGGCCAGCCCACTCTTCCTCCGGCCTACACCTACTTGCAGTCCTCATCGGCTCCGGCCCTCTCCAAAGCCTACCGAGCACCAAGTCAATGTATGACGAAAGGCTCGGTCCATGACGACCCTGCTGTTTCCACCAGCCCGGGCGGACCTTCCATCTCTTCACACACCTCCAAAAGCAGACTCTGGTCACCTTCTGGAAGCCTTGTGGCTCACGGTCCGACCTGGAAGCAGGCTCCACCACCTCCACGGACCCAGGAGAGCCTCGCGACATTACCCTCGGCCTGGTCTTCTTCCACTCTAGCAGCACCTGGCACAAGCGCACAGAAGCTTTCGCAAGATCATGGAGCGCTGATTCGTGGCCAGACGTCGGGCTCCTTTGCTACGTCTGAGTCCTCCAATACCACCCTCGTCCGGCCGCAGATCCAAGGTCCCCTCTGCCAGTCTCCGCACATCAACTCACTGACCAGCAGTCAAAACCAAAGTACGGAAATCCCATGCTTGCCAGCAGTCAGTACCTCCGCAACAGGCCACAGCTGCCCTGATCCTACCTGTTCCTTGCATTCTACCCGACCGCGAAGCCTCTCCTTACCAGCACGTATCGACGCTCCCTGCTCACTCAAGCACAGTCCCCTCCCCTCGAGCACCTCGACTCTGATGACCGTGGGCGAGTCTACGATTGTCGAGCAGCAAGAGTGGCGTGTGACTACCAGCACTACGGACAAGGAGGCAGAAAAGGGAGATGGAGAGGGAGAAGCAAGCGTGGACAGCTTTGTCGCGGTCATGCTCCAGCGGTGTTCGAAGAGCAGGGTGGGCAACCAAAGCATTGATGGGGACGCGGATAGGGGAGAACAAGGGTACAAAGATGGCATTGTTGATGCGAATGAGCGTCTGGCCGCTGTATTTGAGGCGCTGGGATTGGCCAAAGTAGACGTGACTGGCTCAAGACGTCTTGAGGCGGTGCAGGCTTCTGCGTGATCGGGGCGTGCACGGCTTGCTATCGTCGTCCTCCGCTCAGTTCCGTAGCCTCCTTTGCTCCGGTCTAAGTTGCAATGCTCAATGTCAAGTATCTTGCACATCTGTAATTTCTGCTTGTGCCTGAAGAGGAGTGCGACAGCTTAGCATCAACAAGGTCGAGGTGCACACAGCCGTCTCCTTATCGCCCACCAACGTGCACTACCCATCCTCGCTTCTCCAATTCCCTCACCTCGCAAAAAGCAGTCACAGCCACTACGAACCTGCCTTCTCAGCTGCAGTGTGTCCTGGGCAGTGAAGTCCATGTCCAAAAGGGAAAAGACAAAAATGAAAAGAGCAAAAAACTTCAGCATCCAGGATTCCCGCGTGGTCCCCCACCGCAGTACTGACTGGACGGTACCTTGCTTAACTTCGCAGATCGGACGGGATGCGGTGCTTTCAAGGTCCTATGGCCGAAGATGAAGTTGAATGCTTGGAGAAGGTATATGACCTTCCAGCAGGCGACTTTTGCGTGCGAAAAGCAGAGGGATCGACTTTTTGACCGTGTCTCACCTACACGCAGAGCGTCAAGATCATGTCAGCGCTAATGATAGTATATTGTACAATGGCGATAGGACAAGAGACTGCAACGGGTATCCAACAACGACCGAGATGAGAGGAGCGAAGAGGCTGCAGCTCTGCAAGGTCCACTCCCTTCTTCTTCCTGCTCCCTCTCGAATACGCCTACACAGAAATGGTCTTGAACAGGTGGAAGCCATCAGCACTTGTGCTGGTAAGCATACCAGGGATCTGCTCGTTCCAGTGCACCTCCTTGATCTCACTAGCGCCCTGGTGGCAGAAGAGCAGTTGCGAGGGCACCTCCCTGCCATCAGGACCATAGCGTGCGCCAGCGCCTCCTTCCTCGTCTTCGTCCTGCTCGACCGACAAATCCCACAGAGTCACCTGGTCGTCTCGGCCAGAGGCAGCAAAGACGGACTCTTCTGTCGGATGCCACTCGACGGAGGAGATGGGTCCGGTGTGCCAATTGAAACTGGCAACAGGCAGTGGCTTGCTGGTAGCGTCCTTCTTGAAGTTCCGCAGGTCCCAGACGTTCAAACCACCCTCGTCTCCACCAGACAGCAACAGGTAGCCTGTCTTCTTATTCCACGAGATGACATTCACATCTGTAGGGTGGGCCTTGTCGACGGTAATCACGCTCTTCCGCGACTTGAGACGGACGTCCCACACTCTGACAGAGGTGTCTGCTGAGCAACTGGCAAAGACAGTCGTCTCACTCGGCGACCATTGCAAGTCCTCTACGGAGGAGGTATGAGATGTGAAGGGGGTAGGGTTGGTGGTGAATCCGGAATTGTTTGATGTAGTGAGGTAGATGTTGGAGAACAGGTCGCCGGTAAGCAGACGAAGGTTGGATGCTCTGCTGCCGGAAGCGCCGCCTGCGGAGACACCAGCCCAATCCATAGCGTAGCCTTCCACACCATTGTGAGCCTCGACAGTATAGAGAGGTGTTCCGACCTTCTTCTTGTCGTATTGGGTACCTGGACGATCTAGGGCGTTGAACAGAGGACGGACATCAAAGATGTGCACCTTGCCCAGCTCTGACCATGTTGCTACTGGGTAGGGATCTAGGCAAGGCTCCAAATCTGAGGTCGGTGTGGAAGTGGGAGCAGCTCGGACTCTGTTGATGCCTCCGAGATGCGGAATGGAGCGATACTCAAGAATAGCATCATCATCCAGGTCGTCGTCGTCATCATCATCATCCTCGTCGTCAGAGGTGTCTGTTGGAAAAGTAGGGAAGGAACGGGTCAGACATGCTGTACCTGCTAAGATGCGCTCCAGTTGCAAGCGCGCTCCTGCTCCCGCATCCACCCTTTCTCTCCTCGTTTGGCTCAGACAAATGTATTAGGTAGCGAGATATTTTCGGCATCGTGAGCACCCGATCATCCGGTAAAGGACAACCGGGGCCACATACAGCCAAATGCCTCAAGCATCATCGCCGGGAGAGAAAGGGTCTTCCACCTGCTGCATTTCCTAAACGCCGGTCATTGTTACTCACTTCCGTCTTTATTTGTCCGGTGCATACCGCTGGCCTTCATGACCATGAGCTCATTGTTCTTGGCAGTATCGGCTTGTGTACCCGCGGCAAAGTAGGCTGTGTGCGGGTACTTTTGCCGATCGGATCCCAGATGATCCTTGAGGAAGTCAAAGGAGAGGCAAGGCCATGTGACGTTGAGCCTGTGTAGCATCTCGTATGCTGATTGATCTGGTTCTAGTTGTTGCCCGGGCTCTAGTGCATCTCCGGGCAGGTACACTTGAGCTTCTGGCTCGACCTCATCGTCTTCGTCGCCTTCTGGCCGTTGGATCTCTCCATCGACCTTGACGCCTGCAGAGGTGAGGTGACAAAGTCGAAGGTCAGCGGACATTTCTTGGGAACCCGCACATTAGCGCTTGTGTTCGGAATCTACTCACCATCAATCTCCATGCCCTCGTCGTCCTCATCGCCGTTGGCGTCCACGACCTCGCCTTCATCGCTCTCGCTCTCCATTTCGTCCTCGAATTGATCTTCAAATTCTCCCATGTCATCCTCATCGTCCCCGCCCTGGGCCCTTGAGGTGGAAGCCGATGCATCAGCCGACGTCTTCGCCTTCTGTGCCGAAGGGCCCGCGGCCGACGAGGAGGACGCCTCGTCTACATCTGCAGGCCTCTTTGAAGATGGGGATGCGGCACGCTTCGACATTGCGATGTACGAAGTGGGGATGGGAGGGGGCAGTGCGAACAAGGTGGAAAGCAAAGGTCAGAGGAAAGAGAGGCGGCGTGCAACTCTCAAAAGGAAGGACTGGGCCCAAATTTTTCCAGAGGCAGGGCAGCAGCGCGCAGCCACCCTCGCCCTTTCGGAAGCACACCAGATGCTCCACCCAGCATCCACCGGTAGAACCAGACAGACCCGGCAGAAGCTGATCATCTAAAGGCTTCCGCAACAGCATTCACCGCTTCATCTACAACACAGTACCCAGATCCTGGCATATCCACACCACATCATGTCTAACGCAGGACTTTCATCAGAGGACCAGAAGGGTGAGTGTCGAGAGCGGGGATGCCTGAGCCGACAGGTCGAGTCAGGGCTGGCTGTGGTCATCTCAGGTCCTCTTGGCTGATCTCCTTCTGGCCACCTCTTCCCTACCTCCTCCCTTCCTATCAACTCACCACCAATTCTAGAGCTGCAACAGTTCCTCGACTCCGAGCAAGCCAAGGCCCGCGTCCAGTCGTCCATCTCTCACTTCACCGAGCTCTGCTGGGACAAGTGTCTAGGCACCTCCACTGGTGGAATCTCCACCAGCTTTGCAAGGGGACAGGAGGCTTGTCTGGCTAACTGTGTGGAGAGGTTTTTGGATACTAGGTGAGCTCAGAGTCCTCGTGGGAAGGAAGTGAGAGGAGAGATTGGGGTACAATCCTCTAGGCTGGGACGCTTTGCTGACTATAGCTTCATGCTCCTCTTCCTTGGCACACAACCTTGCAGCATCTTCCTCGTGAAGAAGCTGGAAGAGCAAAGGAATCATCTATAGAACCAGACGCTGCCAAGCCACTGTATTTGGATCGTAAGCCATGGATGCAGCTGTACCACCCCTTCCTCTATGACATTTGTTCTGATACATTCAAAGCCACCTCAAGGCCGAAGCAGCTACTGCGTTCGCAGTGGACAAAGGACATTGGTCAATCGTATATGGGTAATTGCTGACATAAGCAAGACACAGGAAACCATAGCCTACAGCTTCCCTCGGCTCCCGGTCTTCCTGCTAGACCTCTCACTCGTCCGTAGCGTGGTACCCTGCTCTCCTCATCTGCGCCAGCGTTCCTCGAGCCCTGTTCAATGCCGCCTCGGCCTCCAGCACCTTGACCTGTTGCTCCATCTCTCGCACCTTGAACTCGTGCTGCGCCAGCTGTCCATAGTCCGTGGTGTCTGCTCCGTCCTTTTGTCCAATGATCGTCTTGACCTGTCTCACCAGAGCCTTGCAGGCATCCGTCACCGCCTTCGCTGCCCGCTCCAGCCGCTCCTGCGTGGCAGACATGAACTCTGCCTTGACCCTAGAGGCCGCGACCAGCTGAGCAGTAGAGGCAGAGACCTCATTCGAGGCCACAATCAGCTGCTCGAGCGAATGTGTACCAGTAATGACACCATCAGCAGCCTCAATCAGCATCGTAGTCGCAAAGGCGACGGCCCTAGCGGCAGAGATGAGTCCCTCTGTCCAGCGATTGTTCTTCTTGTAGAACTGCTGATTGGTGCTGGTTCCCTTGCCCTTGGAGACAATCTCCTGCTGCGAGTCTGTAGAGGCCTTGATCAGACCTCCGATAGCTCTTGTGATAGCTAGAGCAGCCTCCAGGATGGCATCGTGCACCTGTAGGTCAACAGCAGAATACTTGCCCGTGTCTCGCGGACGGGACAGCAGGGCTTGCAATCGTTGTGTCGCCTGCTCGATGGCGCTGGCAGCATTCATCATCTCCCTCTCGACGATGTCTCCAATGTCTCCATTGGCATTCGCAAGCATCGTATTGCCCGCCTTAACCATGCCTTCGACGACGTCCGAAAGCGACTTGAAGGCTTGCCTAGCTGACATCGATTGGCGGGCGACGACCTCTCTCCGCTGGTTGGCAGCGACGGATGCCAGTCGGTAAGAGAACAGCCCAGAGAAGAAGCGGAGCAAAGCGTCTCCTGAAGTCTTGCCTGTGTTGACAATCCTCTCTACCGCGTCATCGGTCTGGGCTAGTCGGGTGATACCCTTTGTGGACAGCAACACGTCGCTGATGACCTGTGCGAACTGATTAGCCTTCTTGATGACCTCGACGTGCTCGCCGCCAGTCTCGTGACCTAGATAGAGGCTAAAAGTGGTCGCAAACTCGACTGCGTGGTTGTTGCCCTTTTCAATCATGGACAGAACATACTCCGGTGTAGCCGTGTTGTTTCCGGAGGAAGATGGTGACTCCAGCTCATAGATGGCATCATCAACCTTTTCAACACATGCCTGCAGAATCGAGTCGATGATGGCATTGAGATTCTTGGTGTTGTCCAGGATAAGCGTGTCGATCTGCGCATTGACTGCCTGGTCGTTCTCTCCCTGGTTCAACTGAAGGGCGTTCATCTGCTTGATGGTGTGGTCCATGCCCTCCTGCATGATCATGATTTCTGCATCTTTCTCCTCCCTGAGTCTGGCAATTTCATCGTCCTTGGCTTGCAGCTGACTGAGCAAGTCATCCGTGTTGCCTCTCTTGCTTCGCAATTCATCTTCCAGCTCAGCAATCTGTCGGTTGAGCGTCGACATCATGGAGGAGACCTCGGAGCTCTTTGACCTGGTAGCATCCTCGGCTCGCTCGTTGGCGAACATCAGATCCCGCTTCAGCCTCTCAAATTCTTCCTTCTGACTAGCCTTGATCCGGTCAAGGTCGAACCTTGCACGGTCTCTCTCGCGGATCATATCAGCCAGCTCCAAATTCTTGGCTTTGACATCCCTTTCCATCCTCTCCATCTTGTCGATGGCCTCTTGCGCGCTGCCGGCCTTGATCTGCATCTGCTTGTACTTGGCCAGAAGGTCAAGATGCTCGGTCCTCAGCTGCGAATACAGCTTGGCCAGAGCCTCGTACTTGTTTCTCCACAGCGTCACTTGGTCCTGGAGCTGATGGAGCATCTCGTCCTTCGAGGCCAGCTGCGCATTGACATTCTGCCCGATGCTTGACAGCTCCATCTCCAGCGCCTTCACTCGCCTGTCATATTGCTCCAGCATCAACTGATCTCTCTCGTACTGGCCTCTCATGGCCAACATCTCCCTTTCCAGCTCTGCAACCCGGCCACTGGCCATCTGGTCCATCTGAGATCGCATCAGCTGCTCTTGAGCCAGTCGTTGCTGCTCAGCCTGTAGCCTTTGCTGATCTTCAAAGTCTCTCTGTTGCTGGGCCTGCAGCTCAGCCTGACGACGCCTTTCCGCTTCTTCCTTGGCCTTCAGGGCTTTTTGCTTGTCCTCGTACTCCTTCAACATTCTGGCTTGCTCATCAATCTCTGCCTGGGATGGGCCAGAGGGAGGGGTGGGAGGCTTTGGAGTTGAGGGTGCCGGTGCCTTGCGGGCAGGAAGTGCAGGCCCATCGTCAGGTGAGTCGAAGAGATTGGGAGGATCGTGATTGAGCTTGGGAACATTGATGAGAGTTGTGAGGAACTTGAGATTGGAGCACTCGTAGTAGAAGCGTCGGAGGGCAAAGTGTTGGGTATTGTATCTTCCTCGCAAGGGCTCCAAGGCGTCCAAGGCATCAGTCCTCCGATGCATGGCTCGCAGCATTGAAGTCAAGAATTTGTAGATACCGTATGACTCCTTGACCAGAGGTACCAAGGAAGAGATTCGGCACTCATTGTTGGCAGCTCCTCTGAAGTGAGCAAAGACGAGCTTCTGTTTCTGCTCAATGCCGTCCTGCAGATTCATGAGGTCCATGATTGTCTCATAACCTTCATCAGGGTTGTCAATGTTCTTGAGCGAGATGTACTCTTCGTACTCGAACATTCCGTTGAACTCCTTGTGATGCCTGTGGAACCTGAGCTTCTGCAGGATGTATTGCACTGCTGCACGGATGAGCGGGGCGTACCCTCTCATGCTGTCTGCGCCTACTGTCCTTGCACAGGTCTCGAACCATCCCATTTGAGCTTGAGCTTCGCGAAGGACGATGGGGTGACCTTCTTGCAAGATCTTGTGCACAAGGATGAGCGCTTTGAAGGTCTGAACTTCATCATTGAGAATGGGCTGCACCCTGAGGCCAGTCCAGATGGACTGGGAAGAGTGGTAGTCCCATGTGTAGATGATACAATCTAGGCGAAAGAGGGTATCGCCGCATCAGCTTCCGCAATTCTGATCCCCATCTTCACTTTGGTTCAGCTTCACTCACTCCTGACGTGCTTCTGCTTCGGAGCAATCTCCTCTGCATTAGTGGCCTTCTTGATGTTCTCGCTGAGGGCTCTTTCGGCCTTATCGCGGTCCACTGGCCTTGTGGGCAGGTGCTCTTCGAAGCGAGGCCTGGTGAGAAGGGAGGAGATACAGTAACCAGAAGCCGTCAGCGACTGACTCTCATGAAGCGATGCGTGACAGGGCTGTCTGAGACGCTGAGTGGACCGGTGCCGCCTCCATGCATGCGTCCCCCTCTGGGTGGATACTCACATGGCTCTACCGATCCTCCTTCTGCAAGAGCGTGGGTGTGTTGACTGGCTGCTACTATGAGCTGTCTACTTGGGTGTGTGAGGATTGAAGTACGAGCCTCTTTGCGGGTGGACTCTGGCAGTGGCGAATGGTAGTGGTGGTGAGAGGCGGAGGGAAGGAAGCGGTGGGTGGGAGTGCGTAGCCGAGTGATCGGACTGAGTGAGTGAGTGACTGACTGGCTGTGCCAAAGGGGCAAGTCAAGTCCCGCCGCCGCACAGGCGCACGCCAGCCAAGGCCCTCAGCGCGGGCTGCCGTGTGGAGTTGGACGCACGGAAGGACTGCCGTGCAGCCTCACCGGACCGGAACATCGATGCTTCTAGTAGGCCACTCACTCCCTGCCCAGGATACCAGGGGCGAGCGTGAGCAGCCTGCAAGATCAGCAAAGGGGCTGTCAGAGACTACTTCGGAACGGAAGACCGTCAGGATGATACTCAACCTCCTCACGTCGCTCGTGACCGCCGTCTCGTCCTCGCCCCTGGTGCACTGGCTGGTGTGGCAAGTCCTCCTTCTGGCCTTCGTCTCTCTCATCCTCCTCGCCGCCTTTGCTGTACGACTGCTGCTCCTCCTTCCACCAGTGAGAGCAAAGCTGCACCTCAAACTTCAAACTGTACCCAAGCGAAAGGCCGAGCAGACGTGCAAGACTGCTCTCTTTCTCGGCTCAGGTAAGTACTCAGACGGATCAGACCTTGACCCATTCGCTCACCGCTTCACCATTCCTCCTCGCCAGGCGGCCATACGACCGAGCTCCTCCTCCTCGCCTCACACCTTGACCCAAACAGATACACCCCACGCATTTATATTCTCTCCCACAATGATGACTTCTCGCGGGACAAGGCTCTAGAGCTGGAGCGCTCCTGGGGCGGGAGTGACGATCAAAGAAAGGCCGACTATTCCATCGTCACTCTGCCACGAGCGCGGGACGTCCATCAGCCTTGGCTCACCACACCATTCAGCGTAGTCAAGAGTCTCAAGGCAGCCTATGAATGCACAGCCCCACGGTCGCCGTCTGGGTCCCAAGGCGGGGCGGAGGAGCCATTCGCAGATCTCCTCTTGATGAACGGACCTGGCACCTGTGTGCCCCTGCTACTGTCGATGTATCTCCATCAGCTCGCTTCCTTCAGACACTTCTTCGGAATAGCCTTGCGGCCGCAACCGAGACCTCGGTCCATCTACGTCGAGTCTTTCGCCAGGGTAAAGACGCTCAGCCTTACGGGCAAGATCATGCAGTGGGCCGTAGATCGTTTTGTACGACAGTGGGATGGTGAGCAGACAGGTCAGGCGGCGCAAGCGGGAATTGATCAGACACCTAGCAAAGGCGAGATGCTCAGCAAAAATTGGCTGGTGTGACATGCTTGTATTGCAATCAATTATTGGCATTGAGAAAGAGGGTATGAACGAATCTGTCAACCAACTCCCTGCTTTTAATCCTATGCAAGGATCCTGGACAGCTTCTGTTGCTCTTCTGGGCGAAGATGTGCTGCTAGAGACGAAGCTTGAGGCGACTGAGCCAGCTGCTGGAAGAAGCTCGTGAGGTAGGCCTGGTGTGTGCGACAAAGACGAGAGCAGGATGAATCAGTCTGGGTACTCCTCGTAAGCCTTCCTCTCATTTCACACCAGTCTCACCTTGAGGTCCATTTGCCAAACCTCGTCCGTCTCCAGGCCACCTTCTGCATCATCATCAAGGCCCAAGTCGGCATCGCCTTGTGCCGCTAGAGCATTGAGGTCGTCCATGTCTGCGTTCAGCAGACTGCTTAGAAAGCGATCCTCTGTAATGTGCTTCTTGCCCGTCTCTGGCTCATCGTCATCCCAGTCATCGTCTCCGTCTTCCTCCTCTAGATCTTCATCATCCTGAGTGAGGCCTCCTGGCAGCAGTCTGGAAGGCGGTCCGTCCCCGGCTGTATCGTACTCTGCGATGAGAATCTTCAAGATCTTGGCAGAGAGAGGAATGGAAGTGTATCGATGGGGATTCAACTTCGCTCTGGACCGCGTGCGGATTGTGTTGGACGTGTCTGGAATGAGATCGCCTTTGACTGAAATCGTAGCCAGTGACTCGTCCGAGGTCTCCAGTAGCTTCGCCAGCGCGATTGTGCTGGGGTACACGTCAGATGAAAGGTCAGCGTTCCAGTGCGGTACTTTGTGCAGACCGTGATGAGCACCCTACTCACCTAGTCTTCTGGGCCCAGTACCCCTGAAGTGTCTCCGCATTGTCCATCCACTTCTTTCCCAGTACTGCCAGACCAGTGGCTTGCCCTTGGCTGTTGCCTTCCTCGTCTTCGACTGCGACATTGATTCCCTTGAGCAGCTGGACTACGACCTGACACTGGTCCTTCATCAGAAAGGCGAATGGCACGATCAGACTCTGAGCAAAAGATGCAGTCTTGACTTTACTCAAGCGTCTGACCATGCCGTCGAGGAGGCCGGGCAGGATCGGCAACATCTCCTGCGGCACCTTGCGCAGGAGGACGACGATCAAATCTCCCACTTTGAGGCCAGCAGACTCTTCTTCGAGGAGAAGGACTCGAGAGATGATGGCTGTGAAATGATCAATGGCAGTGTTCCCGGCTGATCCATCATTTGCCCTCCACGCAACTACCTCCGCTGGGCTTTTGCGAACCAGCAGCGTCAGCGCAGAAATGCCGCTCTGCAGTACATCGCGGTCCTCTGTACCTTGAACTGCGCTGCAAAGAGGGCCAACAAAGTGGCTGACACTGCCAGTCTCCTGGAGCGTGGCTGCAGAGGCTCCCATCAACAGATGGTCAATGAGCGTCACTGCTGGCTCCAGCAGGTCAGCGTCTTCGTCGCTGACCGGCTGCATTGCCGTCTGCAGTGCTGATACCAGAAGAGGCTGTGAAGCATTGAGGACGGCAGAAGCTGCTCGAGGTGCTTTCTGTGAGGCCAAGCTTTCAAGCAGATCTGACACCACGGAGAGCAGAATGAAGTCCTTGACGTTGTTCTTCCAGATAGTCAACACAGCACTCGCGATCTGTGCATAAGTCTCGGTTGCAATGTCATGGACAGAGGCCTCGCCTCCTTCTTGTTCGCCGACTATGCATTGAATTGTCTCCAGGATTAAGATGAGAGTGTCGCCATTCGCTTGCATAAGCAGAGGTCCCAGCCTGGCAATGATGCGACCAGTGAAGGGGGACAGCAAAGCGGATGACAGCTGGCGGTAAAAGCTATTGGGGAGATCGGCAACGGTGGTAAAGGATTAGTGACGGTAAAGCCGACAAAACGCCTCCTGGGTGTACTCACTTCTTGATACACCTCACGGCGCTCAGTTTGACGATGAGTGTCTCCTCCTCGCCTCCGAGTGTCTCAGCTTCCAGAGCTTGGACGGATGCCTCCACAAATTGCTCAGCCAACTCGGCTGGCAAGGTTGCAGCGAACTGTGAAGCGAAGATGTATGCTCGGCCTGTCAGCAGCGCCGGTACCTGCCCTTGTACGGAAGGTGATACCGCTCGCTGAAAGATGTCCTGAAGGTCTAGGCCATCCGACGTTAGCCTGCTATCGCTGCGTACGAGTTCAGTGACCTCTTCTGCTACACCGCCCAGCACGGCTAGCGCTGCTTCCACGCTCTTCCATCCCTTCCCACTATTTGTCGACGATGTGACTGCCGCCCCCAGACTTCGGGAGGCCGCTTTCGGATAAGCTTCTAGGAGATCTTGACAAAGGTCGGCTGCTGCGACCCGCAGGCCATACTCAATGGCGTCCTTTTCGCTTGCAGCTACGAAGGCATTGGCATCCGAAGTCCAGTCCTCTTCCTCCTCGGATGTTATCCGAGCGTATGAGACCAGAACTGTCACAAGGGCAGACATGGCATCCGAAGGCTGATCACTCCCGGACACAAAGATTGCTCGACCTCGGTCTCCTCGCGAAGCCTCGGCGATGAAGTCTATCACGCTGCAGAGGAGGTTTGGCAAAGTCGTCTCGATGTCCGAGTCACCTTCTGCGACTGCAAACGGTGGCTCTGCATCAGTGTCTAGGTAGTATGCCGAGAAAGGATCTTCGAGCTGGCGCAAGAGGTGAATGGCCGAAGTCAAGAGCTCCGGTATCTTGGCTTTGAGCTGGGGCCGGAAGTGTGACGCAATCTTCAGCGTCTGGCAGAAAAGAAACGGGATCAATGCATCTGTCAGCCTTCTCAGCAGATGAAGTCACGATAAGTGCAGAGGTCTACTCACCCGCCAGATCTCGTTGACCAAGCACACCTCTCCATGCTTCTCTTCCGCACTCAGGTCCGCGCTGCCCAATTTTGCTGCCAACATGTCTATGCCAGACATTCCCTGCAGAGCGTGGGTCCACCGCGGCAGTACATCATTGGCAATCTGCTTCGAAGCCTCTGGATACACTTCTCGAACCATGAAGAGGGATGACAGCAGCTGACGGAAGATGAGGACGCAGCGACAGCGAAGGGACGCGGGGTAGGCCTGCATGGGGCAAGGTGATACGGATGTCCGTTCGTCAGACGATAGGCCTCTATGAGCAGCCCCATACCTGCATATCCAGAAAAGGACCCACCTGTGTATCTGCAAGGAGGGCCTCTATTGTTGGCAGCATGTCCTTGGCTCCGCCCAAGATCTGTCTTTCGTCCATCTCTGAAGACCAGAACTCGCTCAAGAAGGCAAGGGCACCGTGCACGCGATCTCTGTCTTCCGGACTGACAATATCGGTTGGCTGCAGCATTTGATGGACACTGGGAAGCAGTTCTGGGAACTCGTCGGGCCAGTCTGAAGAGCAGACCAAGGAGAGACATGCTGCTGCTGCCACTCGTAGCTTGCGCTCACCCTGTCCAGGCAGCGCGAGGATCTGGAGGAGAGCCTGCCGGACGCCTCCCTTGTTCTCGCTCTGGACGGGGTGACCCTCGGGTGGAAAGCCTATGAAGGTCTCGGCAAGCGGTGACCATCTCTCTCTGATCCATTTACGAAGCGAGACTGCCGCCGATTGACGCAATGGCAGGGGCGCCTGAGTGTTCAGAACGATGTGACATAGGGCGAGACCGCAGGAAGCGTCCGCGTGTGCCTGAAGCAGGCCAGTCTCTGCCTGAGTGCGAATAGAGGCATCAGGTGAGAGTGTGCGCTCGAGAGCTGCTACGAGGTGCTGCTCCATGGAGATGAGGGCGCGGATGGAGATGGCGAGCGCTGATCACGAAGAGTGGACTGAACCATGGCCAATACTTTTTTGCGCGCCTCGCCTCGCCTCGTCTACGCGTGAGCAGCGGAGTCCGATCTCCGCCAAGACCAACACCAGCCCTGATCCCATCGCTAGAGCAATGCACTCGAAGGCCCGGGCCGAAAGACCAAAGGCACCTGCTCGCTGGGACATTCTGCGGTGCCTGGTTCATCATCTAGAGCCGCAGCGAGAGAAACAACAAGCTCTATACTACCGCTTTGCTGTAGCGCAGCCTCTGTGATTGTCTTGTGCAGGTACGGAGTGTTTGTTGCCACGACTCTCGCACCGCCCTGCTCCGAATCAGGAACGCCCTCGCTGCTGAATCAGACAGGGGCGCACTTCCGGCAATACGATCTCGTTCGATATAAAGATGAGGGCAGGCAACGAGGGTTTGCACTCCCTGCAACTTCTACATTCTCCCCATCATGCTCGCTCTCCGCATCTTCCTCGCTGCTCTGGCCGCTGTGCCTGCTTTGTGTCTGGTCACCTCACGTGCGGAGGCCAGCAAGCCTGACAAGGTCGGCTACCTACTGACGCACTTTTACCCAGTGGAGGGAAAAGAGCAGGTCTATTTCCACCTCAGCAAAGGCAACGACGCTCTTGCGTACGAGCCCCTAAACAAGGACCAGCCCGTACTCAACAGCACCATCGGGTCGAAGAGTGTTCGAGACTCGTTCATCGCCTACAACCCCGACGCCAACAAGTACTGGCTCATTGGTAATAACCAGTCCTTGGCCGGTCTCTCTGGCCCTGGATCTTATTATCAGGGCTACGACGGCATCGTAGTCTTCGACGGACAGGATGACACGCTCACTAGCTGGTCCAAGCCCCGTCTCCTGTCTGTCGCAGGAGAAGGCTCTCTGCACGTCTTTGCTCCCGAGGCCATCTGGCTCCCTTCTCGCAAGGAGTTCATGGTGAGTTTGGAGTAGGCAGATGAGTGGAATGTGTCGGGAAGGAGTCTGAGATGTTACCATCTTTGTCGATACGCAGCTTCACTGGTCTGGCGCCTACAAGAAGGATCCCACCCAGCGTATCTACGCCTGCTACACCGCCGACTTCACTTCTTGCTCGAAGCCTTTCGCCTACTACGAGGAGGCTGACCGAGTAGGCGATATGAGCATCCGCAAGCTCACAGACTCTCCTCACGGCTTTGTGCGCTTCTGGGTGTCCAACGGAAACGACAGCAGAATCCTCGGACAGTACTCTGAGAACGGTGTCCGGGGTGACTGGAAGGACATTCTCCCTGCCGAGAAGCCAGCGATGAGTGCCAAGGGTATCGATCCCGCCTCGGGTGGGAGCGGGTGAGTGGTCAAGGATACGATGAGGCAGAATGTGCATTGCCAAGCTCACCAGTCGCCGTTTTTCGCGCTTCTCACAGACCTCTCGTCTTCCAGGACAACATCGACCCCCGAACATACTACGTCTGGATCATCGAAGGCTCCTACGAACCGTTCGAGACCAACAACATCCGTGTCCTCCCCTACTCTTACGTCGGCAACCACCCAGGCTTCCCCAAGGACGTCCAGCAGGGCAATGTCATCTCTGTCAACCAGAAGCAGTACGATGCCCTGAAGAAGAAGTGGGGCAGCGCGGAGGGCAAGTGAGAGACGTTGTCAATCGAGCCGAAGCCAACTAAAGGCGCCTACTCAGATGTTCTGTGCGCCCTTTCTCCCTCTTTTAACACACTTTGACTGATTACAATCGTTGCCTATAGTGCCTTCACTGCTGTGAACCAGCCGACTGAGATTACGAGAAACGTTTGAACGCATCTATGAGGGTATATGAGACTGCCATGATTACAGCTTTGGCTTGTCTTTGCTGTCTTCTGACCACTCTTTGACATACACGCTCCTCAGTCCGTCGCTGATGGGCTTCGGCATCGGCTTCAGGGGTCGCCGTGTGGCTCTATCCACGTAGACGTGTGTGGCTCTGGTCAGTGTTCCAGCGAGAGCATTGGGGTCCAGTCTGGGCGGAGGGTTGATAGAGGCATCGCCCTCTGCACCTTGAGCCGCTTGGAACGGGAGCGACCTGCCTTTGGAAGGGGACGGCAGCTCGAACATGCCTAGCTCAAAGAGCACGCTTGATGAGCCAATCTTGATGACCCTGAGGCCTACGCGAAGGAGGCAGGGAAAGGTGGCTGGAGCGAAGTAGATTGCTGAGGTAGAGATCATAAGGCCTAGGCAGTCTAGACTGGGGTCCGCCAGGGGCGGATCAGTGGGCTGGCGGTAGGGCTGTAGTGAGCAATGAGAGACTAGAAGGTCATTGATCGCAGCATCGGCTGCATGGTAGTACATTGCATTACTGTTGGGCAGGGAGAAAACTAGCAGTCAGCTCATATGTCAGGCCGATGGTGCCGGCGTCCATGCCAGCCACCCACTTGACGTGCCCATATTGATCATTGTCTGACCAGCGAGTCTGCACATCCAGCCAGTAGGGGAAGCCGCTCGCTTTCCGCCGTCCTTCGTCCTTGCCGGCCGGTGGAGGAGCAGGAGGCGGAGGCGACATGGACTGCGTCGGCCTGCTGGAGGTGAATGAGCGAATGGGAAGTGAAGTGGTACAGCGAAGCGGGACGACGAGACTTCGCAAAGTCAAGAGCATCACAGGAGCGCGCCGTATGGGTGCAATGGTACGGACGAAGGTTTGCCGAGCCGGCCGGCACTGCCGGTGTTGCAGTGGTGCCGGGCCTCGGAACGCGGAAAGCCATGGCCTCCACTGCAGTCAGCTTGGCCCACTTCCGTAAGTCCAGTCAGTGCGTTTCTGGTCTACATCGTAACTTCACAAGAATCTGTCTGTCAGTCTGATACTGCAGCCTTGGCTCTCTCAATGAAAAGTCAGCCGACATCGTCGGAAAGGCCGAGCTATTGGGCATCAGACATACAATACGCAGGCTGTCGAAAGCATTACGCGCCCTTTCTGCTTTTGCTATCCTTCGCCAGTGGGGCCGTCGATGTTTTCTCAATTCCTGCACTACATATCTTCGTGGCCAACAATGTGAGTCCAGGCTTGAGCTCGAAACGTCCGCCCCTGGCTCGGCTCTCATGATAGGGATTGATATGCTCGTCATTTTCACAGACTGGTAATCTAATCTTCTTGGCCCTGGCGGCTGCCCAACTTTCGGCTGTAGACCCCGGTGCGATCTATCCCATCTCTGCTATAATTGCTTTGGCTGGATCATGGCTGGGGTCTTTAGCTAGCAGCTTCGCTGGTCGAACGCTGGGCAAAAGTCAACGGCGGTATGTCTTTGCGGATCTGCTGCTGCAGTCTATCCTCATGTTCATCGTCTGCGGACTATACTGGGGCCATGTCATTGCTTTCCACGATGGCAGGACAGAGTATATCGCTGTCTCCCTTCTAGTGAGTCCGCCCTTCTGATGATGACGAGCCGGCGCAGCCAGTAGAAGGTTACTGACACACGTTGGTACGTTGCTCTTGTCTCCAGTCATTCTCGATGGGATGCCAGAATGTTCTCACCAAAGGTCTAGCCTCGCCGATGACAATACCCACCCAGGTGGCCACGGGAGCCATGTCCGACCTCTTCTCCGACCCTCGCATTCTAGCGCCTTGGTTCCAGAACTGGCCTCGGAATGAACGCGTGTTGTTCTTGCTGGTCTTCTTTCTAGGCGGTGTCACTGGTGGATTTGCTTACCGGTATTCCTCACCACAGCTCTGTCTGATCCTCGCTGCCGTTTTCAAACTGATACCGGCTATCGGCGTTCTGTTGATGTAGACTACTAGATATGCTGCTGCGAATGATGCATCGAGAGCTCAAGTTGTACACTTATCCAATACCTTTGTTCATTGATTGTGAGTGGTGTGCTTGCTCGAAGCTACTTTCTGGCCTTTGGCGTTTCCCCACGGCGCTTTCGCTCTCTATGCTGCAGAGGCCATGTGGCTTGGGCGGAGCGAGGCGCGTCTGCATTTCGTCCCGCTTCCGTTTCTCGTCGGTCTGGATTGTACGCCTGTCCTCTCCGCTCGCAGTGTGCGTCCTACCATTGATCCATCCACTAACCCCATCGGATCTCACGAGAGCGTGAAGCTCGCCTGTCGCCATGTCCTCGCGCATAGAGAAGGGGGGCCATCGCTTCCAGCCCAAGCTGGCGGCGGGGGCCAGGCGTAGACCTGGTCAGTCAAACGCCCTCCCCGCCCCGGCCAGACCACCACCTTCGCCCAGCCCCGCTGGTCCCACTCAGGATAGGCCGTCAGGTCGATCCATGGCTGCCGCTGGCAGCGGTGCGATGTCTCCTCCTCCTCCTCCTCCTCCTCGGTCCATACGTACGCCGTCTGCAAGCCCTCATCCCTCGGGCTCTGCTACCGGGGCGATCAGAAGTTATGCCTCCGCTACACCTTCCTCTTCGCGCATTCAGGCGGCCGGCCAGTCGCCCGTCAATTTCAAACCTACCATGCCGAAGGCGGCAAGCATCGTACCCGGATCCGGCCCAGGCCCCTCACGAGGGAAGCCTTCTGGTGGTGGAGTAGCACGTATCACACCTTCCATGCGGCCTTCTGCCACACCGGTCGCTGGCGATGCCGTGGCGGTCGACTCTGGGATCCAACAAGCAAGAACAGCGGCAAGCGACGAACAAAGCAAAGCATTCTCACCTCCAAAGAGACCGGTCAGGGTCGGCGCTCCGTCAGTGCAGCCGGAGTCATCGGCTTCTGGAAGCGGAGGTGCCAAAGATCCAAGCAGCAGCAGTAGTGCAAGGCAGTCCATTGGCGCAACCTCCCAGCCAATGGAAGCAGGCCCCTCAAGCCAGGGCGCTAACGTTCCAGCGGAAGGAGCAGCACGGCAGACGATTGGTCGCCCAAAGGCTTCATCGTTCATCCCCACAGGAAGCACTTATCGTCCGAGCAACATACAATTCGCAGCGCCACCTGGGCATCCATCTACACGACAAAGCGTGGACCCACCCGCTGCTGGCATTGGCAACCCAGAGTCACATCTTCGAAGTGAGACGGAAAGCTCTGACCGCCCTTCGAAACGACGACCGGCCAGCGAGAATGGGGATGTGCCGTCGTCTGCCTTTGACCTCTTTTGCCAAGATCGAGAAGCTCCGCTGCTTGAAGTGAATCCAAATATAACTTGTGCTGCGCTCACCAAGCTACTGGAAGAGGCATGGATGGGAGCGAGCAATCAAGAGAAGTCGTACTGGGAGGAAAAGCATCAGGAATTAGTGATGTCCCACCGAACCGAGCAAGATGGCATGACGACACACGGGCCAGACTGGTCTGATCAGGTGTCAACGGATGCTGGTGCTCAGAGCGACGAGGACGTTGATGCTTCGCCATCTGCTTCCACTGCCGGCAAAAGGAAGCGTGTCAGTACGAAGAGACCCAAACGCAAAAAGCAGGCTGGGGAGCCGAAGAGGCCAGCCAGTGCTTACCTTCTCTACTCGCAAGAGATTCGCAAAAATCAGAGTTCCCAAGGCCAATCTAGTGAGCGCTCGAAAGAAGGCTTTGGTGAAATGAGCAAACGCATTGGGGACCAGTGGAGAAACCTACCCCTGGAAGAAAAACAACCATACCTTCGGCAGGCGGAGGATCTCAAGAAGCAATATGACAGGGAGATGGAAGCTTGGAAAGCTGAGCACCCCGAGCTGGCCGAAGAAGAGCCCGAAGACACTGACGCCGATGAGTCTTTGCCTCGACCGCGTCGCAAAGCACGGGCGAAGGTCGTCAAACCGACTGTCAGCGACGACGAACGAGAGTATCAGGCTCTCGTTGCCGAGCACGGAAGGGACCTGGAAGATCTTCGCTTGGACCCCAAGGCCACCAGCATGGCTGATCTAGCCATTGCCGAACTCAAATCTGGACGTGCCTCGCAGAGACTCTTCGATCTGAATCGAGTCAGACTGAAACAACTCGAGGAAGCCGCTGCGCTACGCAAGGTCGAGAAGCAGAAGCTCAGGCAAAGGATGCAGCAGACGGAAGAAAATCTGAGGAAACAGAAAGCCGGTGAAAGGGTGGACTTGCCGAAGCATGATCCAAGAAGAGACGATCCGAGACGACATGGAGGCAGTCAGCTGAACGCATCGCAGCAGCATCAATCTGATTCGCATGCTAATACTAGCTCGTCAGAAACAGTGCCCGCCCCAAATGCGCGCACGGCTGAGCAAGAAGACGAAGAGGAAGTCGAAGCATTGTCCGGTATGGACGTGCCCCAGGCCCGCTACATTGTTCCAGGACTAGATGACAGTGACGACGACGAAGACAACGAGGTCTCGAGTGGTCATGCTCGAGGAGGGGCCGCTTCGAGGCACGGACGCTCCGCACACAGAGCTGGCTCTGACGATGACGATGCCGCTTCTGACAATGGCTCAGTGCGGTCAGCCACCTCTGGCGGCACCTACGCTTCACTCCGCGAGACGGCTCACGTGCCTCAGATGAGGGTTGTCGACGGTCAGATTGTTCTCGACGAGACGTCCTTGACAGTCAATCGCAACCAAGAGCAGGCATTCGAGGAGTCTGAGATGATAGACGAAGAAATCGGACACAAGTTCGTAAACTCGTCCACCGGCTCGAAGCGCGAGAAGAGTGTACGCTGGACTGCAGTTGAAACGGACAAGTTCTTCAAGGCTGTGAGCATGTGGGGCTCAGACTTCGAGATGATTTCTCGTATGTTCCCGAACCGCTCTCGCAAGCAGGTCAAGAACAAGTGGACACGCGAGGAGCGAGCGAATCCTACACGTCTGGACGTGGCTTTTGCTAGAAGGCTCCCGGTCGATCTGGATCGCTACGCCATCATGGCCAATGTGGATCTCAGTGGTCCAGCACCTCGAGTAGACGACGGCGCTATGGGCGTCGAGGAAAGCAAGCTCATCAAGAAGGGGGAGGCAAGTGACGACGAAGGAAGGGAAGAGGGTGATGAAACCGATGGAGAGGTGCGCAAGATCGACAAGGTCTCTGCTACACCTGATCCAAGTCGTGCCCGCCGCGGCTCTTCAGCCGGAGAGGCGGGAGGTGCTCGCTCGCTCCGCGCGTCCTCTGTCGCTTCAGCCCGCTCGACTGCTGGAGCTGGTGGTGATGCCTCTTCCTCTCGACAACAACAGCAAAAGACGCGCCAACAAATCGAGCGAGAGAAGAGAGAGTCGCGTGAGAAGGCTCGTCGTGCGGATAGTCTTCGTGAGGGACGCGAGAAGCGGAGTGTTTCCAGAGGCGTCTCCCGTGGTGCTCAGGACGATGCAGAGGACTACGGCGCTCCGGAGGAGGAAGAAGTTGAGGAGCTGCCTGCGGAGGGGTTCTACTGAGTCTCAACGCCCCGTCCTGTTTAGAATCGGGTTAGTGATTCACACCCTGTCGCTTCTAGTCGGTCGTCGTCCCGTATCGAGTGTTTGTAGCGAAAGGTATTGATGTTGTACAAGATAGATCCAAGCCGTCTCACATTACCTATGCACATTCCGCTGTCTCCCAATTATCTGCTCAGTCGTGCTCTTACCGCTATCGGCCGCTCGCTGGAGTTCGCACACTCCCGCTGCCGCTCATCGTCCCGCTACCGCTCCACAGCGTCTTGGCGCTTCCACTGGGTGCGCCCGTGGGCGTAGCGGTGGTCGTGCCACTCCTCTGTAGCCTGCCACTGTTACTGGTGCTCGCACCACCGCTGCTTGAGCCACTGCTTGCCTTACGAAAGCAGAGAAACTCAAGAGCGGTCATCTTCCGACTCATCACCAGTGTCTTCTTGACCTCCTCGAGCTCCCTCTGCAAAGTCCTGCTTTCTTCCGCCGCTGCTTCTCCTGTACTGTCCTTCACTCGCTCATACTTCTTTGAAATGACCTCGTAGATCTGCTTGAGTGTCGCCTCGGCCTTGGGCGACAAGAAAGCTGTCAATGTCTGATGCACAAACTCAATCTCGAGGGTAGCTTGGAGCATTCCACCCATGCCGAATTTGGGGACCCGCTGGAATGAATCCAGAATGACCTCTGTGAGGGACTCGAGGATCGCTATGGTTGTTCTGCTGACAAGGGGCTTTGTGACGCTTTGTACCTGTGCATGGACTTGCACGAGAGCAAGTAGAGCTTCATAGATGAACGGATGGACTTGGGTCGGGCTTGGCAACGAGGCCCAATCGATGCCACTGTGAAGGATGCCACTCTTGAAGACAGAAGAGACGGCGTCCGTCTTGCGCTTAGTAAAGTCGTGGAAGAGAATCTTATCCAGCTGTTGTGCCACTTCGTCGATCGTAGTCAGATCCTCGCTCATCTTGCAATGGTATACTTCTTGAAACTGCTTTGCCATAGTGGGGACAGCAATCTTGTTTAAATAAGCTAGATTTGTCACGCTCAGAAGGATCCTCGTGTCAAGTTCCTGAACATCGACTGTCAGCCTCGAGTTGCCGACCACCTTGTGCGATGTGCTGATTGTAGGATCGAGAGGATCGTACTCCGAGAAAGCCAGATGGACAATACCATCGAGGAAGGCGTAAAGCGCGTCCAGGAAAGCAGATTTGATCCGTGATGTGCACTCTGATGAAACGCCAGTATCCCTCGACCGTCCGCCTTCGAAAGGATCGAGATCGCGTCCGCTGGCAATGTGGTACGCAGCCCGAGCATTGCTCTTGTGGAACGAGGACAGATCTTTCAGAAAGAGTGTGGTGGACTGCTCGTCAGGGTTGATGGTCCAGTCCTCCAGCATGTAGAAGATCTTTGCATCGGCTTGCCAGAAGTTACACAGCACCTCTGTGAAGTTAAAACGAGCATTCGTAATGAATGACTTTAAAGCTATAGATGTGTCGGGAATGTCGAGTGATAGTAGCGCGTTGATAGCCTCTTGAAGCTCCTGCAGAGTCAAGTGCATGTAGTGTGCAGAGGTCATGCTGCAACTGCCTGTCGGCACCCAGCCAGGGACAGGGGACAGGAGCTGCCGAGCTAGTATCGTGTAGTCAGTCAGATTGAAGAAGCTGGACAAATGCTCCAGATATGACTCAATTGACTCATTTGCCCACCGCTTGGCCCTGCTCTGAAGACCGGGCGTCTTGCTCTTGGTGAATTTGCCCTCTGAGTGATGCTTGCATACTCGCCAGAACGACGGCAGCGTCTGGACCAGATTCTCAGAGACGGCTTTTGCAAGTTGTAGAATCGCTCGCCAGGTCGGGGCGCCGAAGTTTCTCTCAAAATCAGGCTCGCCACGAGCTACCTGACGGAGGCATGACTGAATATCCCTTGCGCGATCCTTCTCTGTGCGAGGGAGGAGGTCGTTCATCGTCCGACATGAATGGATCTTGGACCTTGCTGTGCTGTAGGAAGTCCTCATGAGTGTGTGGATGTGGGTATGCTGTGATTCGAGGAAGGCTGCGACAGGATCTTCTTGCGGCGAGAGCTCAAGCAGCATTCTGCAGTCGTAGCGCATTAGAGCGAGCTTGTCAGCACTGCTTGTGCTTGCAATCTTCCTCTCTTCACTTCTCTGGCACTCACTCGATGGTCTTTTCCTGATCCGCAACTGATCTTTTCGGCTCTCTCAACGCTGCAAACAGTCTCTGCTCCATATCCTTCATGGTTGCTTCCACGGCATCCCACACCTTTCTGAAGACTCTCTGCTGCTGCTGTCTCTGCTTCTCGGTGCCCTGCGCCCTCGGATCGCCCGCTTGACCAGCGGCAGTGTTGAAAGCAAGGAGCTGTCCAGGTCTATTCTCGAGGAGGTACTTGCCCTTTTCATAGTCTCGTAGCGCAACATCATACCTGCCAGCCTCGACGCTCTCTGCGAGACTTCCAGGCAGGTTGAAGAAGAACTTGGACCTTTCGAAGACACCCAGGGTGGAGCGCAACTTCATGGCCTTGAGATTGTTCTCCAACACTGGCGTAAAGACTTGATCGGCCCTCGCACTCGCTTGGGAGAGGATGTCCTTCAGCTCTTTGACGCCATAATCCGAGTCTGGTGCGAGGGGTCCGCCTTCGGTCTCCTTCATCTCCCTGTACACTCCATCTGTAGTCGCCTTGACTGCTACGAAGCGGTCGAAATTGTCTTCGACGAGAACTTTGAGGGCATGAGACCTCTGCTCGATGTTGTCTTTGAGCTGGCTGAGCCCATGACTCAGGTCAGCAAAAGTCGCCTCGGGGTGTACTGTGCTGAGGAAGGCCTTGGGATCAAAGACTTTGGAGGACACGGAGACCTGAGCACGCAATTCTTTGGGAAACTGCCGCAGAGGCACAGAAGCATGTAGGCCGAGCGGATCTGGCTCATCAGCCGCTACGATACCTGCAGAGGTGGGCAGATCATCGTGCTGGTCGAACTCGTGAAAGGATGTGGGCTCTAGCGTCTCGAGGCGGTAGGCCTTCAGCAACGTCGCCTCGTCCACCTCGAGGTCCAGCATGACTGTGGCACGCGAGGTGACGCGATGTTGTTCGCAACAGTGATGCTGCGGCTTCGAGCCCAGAGGGACGTCGAGAAGGTAAGGGGACGAGGAGACGAGGCAAAGGTAGCAACGAGGAGTGCAAAGGTGCGATGCGCTGCCAATCCTAGGAGCAACGCCCAGCCACACAGACCACAACCAACACGAGCCGGATTTCAGACTCCGACGCAGGAAGGACCACTCCCTGGCCACGGCGCACCAAGTTCCACCTGCCATCTCCACTGGCCCTACTATCAATCATTGCAACAGGACAGCGACGAACATGGCATCGACATCCGCAGCAGCATCCTCGCCAGAGGAGATGATCAAATGGCTCGCAGAGCAGCGCAGGTAGGTCAGCTCAAAGTGATCCCGTCTCGGCAGCAACGCTGACCATCCTCCTTCTCCGGCCCACCTTTTCGCAGGCATCCAGAGAGGAGATCAGCGCAGGTCGTAGAGTATGGTACCTATTTGTTGGAGAAGGGATACATCAAGCGCATGGGCGATGAGCTCTGGGCCCTCCTCGAGCAAGTCGCTGTCGCATCCCTTGATGTCGGCGACTGGGATCTGGCAGAGGTGAGTAACAGAGGCGTGCCTTCAAGAGGTACCGCGGCAAGCACTGCAGCTGTGACACCTTGGCCTCGGTACTACACGCATGCTCACTTCAACCGCCTTTGCATCCATCAGCTGTGTCTAGCTCGCTTGAATACTCGCTTCCCAAAGTCCTCGAGGGTGGGAACACTACAGGGAATGCTCTACGAGGCCAGAGGAGAGCACACGCGAGCATTCCATCTGTACGGGGAGCTCATCGAAAAGGCAGATGGAGCAGACATTGTGAGTGAAAGCGGCCATGAACCGATTTCAGGCATCGTCTCACATTCGAAGCTCCACTTCATACCACCCAGATGTTGTCAAGACGAAGAGTGGCAGTGTTGAAGTCGATGGACGGCAGCGATCAGCGAGGAGGAATCGCAAAGGCCATTGAGGCACTTGTCAAGCACCTGGAAGTCTTTTACTCTGACCCGGAAGGGTGGCAAGAGCTTGCATCACTCTATCTGGAGCACGCACAGTGAGTCATATTCTAGGCGTCCGATATTGTCTTCGGTGGAGTCATCTGATCTTCGGAGTGCCGACCCCTACTCCTGTCGCAGGTATGCCAAGGCGATCTCTGCGCTAGAGGAACTGATGCTGTTGGTGCCGCAAAATGGCTTCTTCGTGCTCCAGTACGCAGAAGCATTGTACACTACCTCGGAGTACTCGACGGCCTACAAGGCCTTCTTGCGAGTCTTGGATATGGGGGGGCTCATCGAGAAGTCAGCCAGTGGTGTCGTTGCTAAAGGACCAGAAGTGAGAGCCTTATGGGGTCTCAAAGCAGTGAGTATGCTGATCAAGTGTAGAGGCGTGGGATAACTTCTGACTACGCGCACCCCAATGCCTTCATCCTTGTCCTTTCTCAGACCATTGGCAAGCTGAGGGAAAGCCCAAAGAAAGGTACCAGTGGAGACATCAAGGTGGATCAATTAGATGCCGTCGAGCAGCTCGTGAAAGAGCTACTGAATCGTGCTTACGGCCCAAAGAGCGACCAAGCGACAGCAGCTGAGCTCAAGGCGATGAGCACAAGGGCATCTTGAGTGTTTTATCTTACTCAGATGTACATCCTTTCGCGTTGGGTATCGAGTTGTGCTTCCAGCAGCGAGGAGTGGAGGCCAGTCCAGTCACCCTTTGCCCCGCGTCGTGCCTCTTTCCGTCGTGTGGGCCAGGCACTGGATTGAATATATTAGAACATGACATTATGAGCACATCCTTCGCACCTCCTGGATCATCGACTGCCACTGCTTCTCCCAGTCGAACGTAGTCACCTCTTGTGAGGCAATGCCGCCAAAGGCCGCCAGTCAGCCCAAGCTCTCTTCCTTCTTCAAGCGTGCCCCTCCTCCCACCTCGCCTTCGTCATACGTCTCGCAGGCTGTTCCGAAGACCGCCAACTCGCCTCATCTGATTTCAGACGACGATGACGACGATAGCAATGACAGAGATAACACTCACCCGGATACACCCGCTCCAAAACGACTGAAGACTTTCAATGGCTCATCAAGCTCGAAAGATGATAGCCCTCGGAGTCGAGTACAGCACTGGCGCTTCGTACCTCCCACGGTGAGCGGTGGGGTGGACGGTTCGGAAGAAGTACCTCTACCCTCTTCGCAAAGGAGCGTAGAGGAGAACCGAAGGCACACTGCCTTCAGACATAAGCTGCTCGGCAGCAACGACCCCATCAAGAGGTGGGACGATGCCTATCGCCGGCAGGAGGAGATCGAAGCAGGAGGCATGCCGCAAGAGGTTGGAGAAGACGCCGGCAGCACGATGCCTCAGGATGAGGACGATACAGCAGGGCCAGAGGATCATGGAAATGACACATCTGGCTCGCTCGAAAGATTTGCAAGCGCTAGTACCGCACATCACAGGGGCACAACCAATGGACAGACGGCTGCCAGCGGGCGCAAGGCGTCTTCGTCTTCAGTCAAGTACACGCCTCTCGAACAGCAAGTCGTGGATCTGAAAAAGAAGCACCCAGACGTTCTCCTGTTTTTCGAGGTCGGATACAAGTTCATAGCATACGAGGAGGATGCTGTGGCAGCTTCCAAAGAGCTCAACATTGCATGCTTCCCCAAAAATCACCTTCGCCAAGCTTCAATTCCGGTCCATCGGCTCCATATCCATGCTCGACGCCTAGTCAACTCCGGCTTCAAGGTCGGCGTAGTCCGGCAGACCGAGACGCGAGCTCTGAAGGCTGCTTCAACGAATGCGTATACGCCTTTCACTCGAGAGCTGACGGAACTGTACACAGCTAGCACTTGGGTCGAGGATCTGGACGCAGAGGGCAGCAGGGGAGACAATCCCGTGGCCCAGAACAGCCTCGTGGCTCTGGTGGAGAGACTGGAGGGCGGCAATTACGGAGGAGATGAAAGGGTCTCGATTGGCCTGATTTGTGTACAAGCTGCTACCGGGGTCGTCATATTTGACCAATTTGCCGACAGCAGCATGAGGAGCGAATTGGAGACTCGCTTGGCCCACCTTCAGCCCGCAGAGCTACTCTTACCGCCCATTGGCAAGCTGAGCAAGCCTACTGAGAAGCTCTTGCGACATCTGACCGGGCATACCTCTACCTCGAGTCATGCTGGCCTGACTACTGCGAACAGGGTGCGAACGGAGCGCACCCGTGATGTGATGTCATACAACGATGCTTTCTCTCAGCTCTCGACCTTTTACGAGGAGCTAGCCACGGAGGAGGCAAAAGACGACTTTCCTCTTCTTGATGCAGAAGAGCTAGAGAGAGAGCTGAACGACTCCGCGGCGAAGACAGTCCCAGCGGTGACTCCTCGACCCAAGGATGATAGTGAAGTTGGCAGGGCTTTGGCCTTCATCATGAAGATGCCTCACCTAGCTGTCATCTCTTTGGCTACATCTTTGCACCATCTGCAGTCCTTCGGTCTCTCCTCTGTCTTCAAGGTGGCTTCGAGCTTCATATCTTTCCAAGCTCGGTCCGAGATGCTCCTTTCGACCGGCACACTGTACAATTTGGAACTCTTCTCGACGACGGAGGGGACCCACAAGGGATCACTATTTTGGCTCCTTGACAAGTGCAAGACCACTTTTGGGAAAAGACTACTCAGAAAGTGGATCAGCCGACCCCTCACTGACCTGCAACGCCTCAAGGAGAGGACCGATGCCGTCAGCGAATTTGTAGATGGCAGACAATCCGTCCTCAGGAAGGTGCCCGAGCTTCTCGTACAACAGCCTGATCTTGAGAAGGGTCTCGCTAGAATACTCTATGGACGAGCGACCCCCAACGAGCTCGCAACCGTCCTACTCGCACTCAACCGGATCTCACAGCAATTTGATGTGACTGATGCAGCGGAGGTGGGCACGAGCTCAACTCTGCTCAATGAGAGTATCGCAGCGCTGCCACGTATCAAAGATACTATCGTGAAAGCTCTTTCTGAGGTACGCCTGGTCGCGGCTCGCAAAGGTGAGAAAGAGCACATGTTCGTCGAAGATAAGTATCCACAGCTGCAAGAAGGAAAAGATAGAGTCGCTTTGGTGGACTCCGAACTCTCAGAGCACCTGCTGGAGCTGAGGAAGCTCCTCAAGCGACCGACTCTCGAGTTTGCTACCGTATCGGGAATCGAGTGCCTTGTAGAGGTACGAGTCGCCGATGCCAAGAAAGTGCCAGCAGACTGGCTCAGAATGAGCGCCACAAAGTCGATGGTTCGCTTCCATACTCCCACGATCATGCAATTGTTGAAGGCAAAGAATCGTCACAAAGAGTTGCTGGCTGCAGATGCAGCGAAAGCCTACCAGTCCTTTCTCGACGAGCTATGCGAGGAATCTACCGCCTTGCGAAACGCAATAGCTGCTCTTGGGACTCTCGATGCTCTACTATCTTTAGCTGCTGTGGCTACGTTGCCGGGGTACGTCAAGCCCACCTATGTGGAGGGAGAAGGCATGTTGAGCATCAAGGGCTTGAGACATCCCATGAGCGAGGCACTTCGAGATGATTACGTCCCAAACGACATCGATCTCGGGAGACACAGCAAAGGTGTGATCTTGACCGGCGCCAACATGGGTGGAAAGGTACGTCAGCCCTGACAGACGAAGGTATCGGCTGAACTGACGCAATTCTACCTCACTCTCATTGCTGACGCCACAGTCTAGCACTGTCAGAGCCATCGCCTTGTGCGTGGTCCTAGGACAGATTGGCTCCTACGTTCCTGCATCGTCCGCCGAGCTGACGATTCATGACGCTGTCCTCACTCGTATGGGCGCTTCCGACGAGCTAGCCAAGGGACGGAGCACTTTCATGGTTGAGGCGGAAGAGGCCGCCGAAATCATGAGGGTGTCGACCTCTCGATCTCTTGTCATTCTCGATGAGATGGGAAGGGGAACCAGTACATTCGACGGCCAAGCCATTGCCTCTAGCATCCTCACATATTTGATGACCAGAGAGGTGAATCGGAGACCCACGACGCTGTTTATCACCCATTACACGTCTCTTTGCGATTTGGCAGACAGACTGCCAGGTCTACGAAACATGCACATGGAGTTTGTAGAGGTGAATAATCAACAGGGCAAGAGGAAAGACGTCGTCTTCCTGTACAAGCTCAAAGACGGACCCGCTGGGTCCAGCTTCGGTATTCACTGTGCAGTGAGTGTGACGTTGCCGGCGAGTCGATGCTCGTGGTCGCGACTGACAGTCCTCTTTCGCCGCTCTGGCTAGTCGCTTGCGGGCCTCCCATCGGATCTTCTCGAGATAGCAACGCAGCAGGCAGAGCAGATGCAAGAACGGACAGAGTCACGTCTCCGCTACAAGCTCCTTCGGCTTGCTAGCAGTGTCCTAGTTAGTATATTCATAGACTCCGCTGGTGAGCCTGCCCTGGTGAAAGTGAAGGAGGCTGTGTCGAAGCTGGGTGTCAGCGGGGCATACAATGATGACGTGCAGGGGCCGAGCAATGGGCCGCAAGAGCCTCCTCCTCAGGCGGCGGCATCCTCTACCACGTAGTCAGTCTCGCTCGAAACAATGTAACACAAACCTGTAAATACCAGACTCAATGCCACGAGGGTGGTGCAAGGCTCCTTCTGAATCCACATAGATCCGTCATGGAGTGTCCCAGATTCGGCCCGTCTCGCGTCTTTTCCGTATGGCCGTGGGGAAGTGTTGCTCTCCACAGACGCGCGCGTCAACTCGAATGCCGCCCAGGCACAGACAATTTCCTAGGCTGCTTTCCGACGCCTTGCTGATACCGTCCCATCTGACCGGCCAACCCTACCTCTAACCAGCGACAGGCGTCACCGTCGAGGCAGCTGGTCATCCTACCCCTGTCGTGCCGAAAGACTACCGCGTGCCCCTGCAGAGACGCAGGGCTACATCCGTCCAGCCGCAACAACACGCCTACATGCGGGACTAACGGCAAGGTGCCGCACAGGGGCTCGGGAACGTCTGCAGCCTTGACCTGTGCCTCGATGCCGCCCTCCGAGGACTGCAGATCGCATTCTCCTCTGGCTTACAAGTACTCCTGCTCCGTCAATATACACTTCATCACGCTTTCTCTTCCATAGAGTCTGTTCTGACCTACGCTCTCCTCAAACAACCTCCGGCCACAACGAGCTCTCTGTGCTAGTCGTACCCGCATGTTTGTTCCCGGCAGTGGGAGCGACCCCGCAGCGGCGAGACGAAGGTATTCACAGGATGTTGGGAAAGGGACGACCAGGCCGGCAGGATCTACCAGGACCCGGGTAGTCAGCCAAGGCACCGCTGAGGCCGGTGCCACACGCAATTATGTGAGTGAAGACCTACCGTGTCCGGATGAACGTTGCTTGAGACAACATCTGAGGCGCTTCCGTTCTGTGTGCCCAGATTCTGGGAGACTGCCTCGGAAAAGGAGCGTCCGGCTCAGTCTATCGCGCTCTCAATTGGGCAACAGGCGAGACGGTAGCAATAAAGCGGATATCTTTGGCCAACATTCCTTGGTCAGATCTGAGTAGCATCATGTCCGAGATTGAGCTCTTGAAAGGCCTCAGACATCCCAACATTGTCAAGTACAAGGGTTTTGAAAAGACGCAAGACTTCCTCTTCATCGTCCTGGAGTATTGTGAGAATGGATCACTGCAAAGCATCTGCAAGCGATTTGGCAAGTTCCCGGAGGGGCTTGTGTCCGTATACATCAATCAGGTCCTCGAAGGTTTGCAATTCCTGCACACTCAAGGCGTGGTACACCGGGATATCAAGGGTGCTAACATTCTGACCAATAAGGACGGTTCTGTCAAGCTGGCTGATTTTGGCGTGGCGACAAAGAGTGGGGTCATTAGCGGGAATGTAGTCGCAGGTTCGCCTTACTGGATGGCGCCGGAAGTCATTGATCAATGCGGGGCAACGTCGGCGAGCGACATCTGGTCTGTTGGGTGCGTAGTTATCGAGCTTCTAGAAGGACGTCCCCCGTATCATCACTTGGAACCCATGCCGGCGCTGTTCCGGATTGTTCAGGACGACTGTCCTCCGTTACCAGCAGGAGCTTCGCCGATGGTACTTGATTTCCTGAAGCACTGCTTCGAGAAGGACCCTACGCTGAGAATCAGCGCCGAAACACTACTGGAGCATCCCTGGATGTGTTCAGCGAGGCGGCAATTGAAGCACATGAACTCTACGGGGAGTATCGGAAAGGACGTACACGACCAGGCGGTACGGACTGTCAGAAATCATAATAGACCTTCTGGCCGCAATGGTGAGTGAGGGGGAGAGCTCAACTTTAGTCCGTGGTCTTTCTCAACTCCTGTTTTTTCTCCTGGTCTTGTGCGCGTCTAGGGCGACCAAGACCGCCTCCGCTGCGTCTAGATCAAGCTCAACCAGCCCAAAGTGACTTGCTCAGTCCCTGTCTAAGCACTTCCCGCTCCCTACGTAGAGTAGCGGGAAGTATCTCTCCGGGTCCGTCCGCGCCATCCAGTCCATTGCGCACGTCTCCTCTGCGACTCGAGCAACGTGCGGGCAGTATGGGCCGCGATGCAGAGAGTGCAGCTCTCAAAGCCACGAGTGTTGATGTTGTCCTCGAAGAGCCAAAGAGAACTGCTAGGTCAGGGAGCTGCGCTGCTGCGCCGCTTGAAGTACAATCGAGGCGTAGATCCATGAATGTGGTCCGGAAGGTACCCCTTCGTCGTTGTACACGTCACAGCACAGACGAATCCCATGCAGCTCTCACAAAGGTTCAACCAACGGACGCACATTTCTCTCTGGAGTCGGCATCTCTGTCCGCATCTGGTGACGATGAAGGTCAAGCGAGGGAATTGTACCGGCATGGATCGCCCCCAACAGCGCCTGACACGACCATGACAGTGAGCAAAATGCGGTCACCGCCGCCCGTAGCAGATGCTGTCGGTCAACGCAGTCTGCATGGATCCCCTCAATGCTGTGACTCGCTCCCTCGTACTCAATTGACGTCTCTGGGTCACTCTCATGCTCTTGATGGCCGTCAAGAAGCAGCTGACTCGGAAATCCCAGGGTGCAGCCCCAATCCGCCGCTCGTCATCTTCCGCTCGCCATTTGCCGTCGTTGGTACGGACCTTGCCCCGCATAGCCCTATACGAGCGAGCCCCGAGTATGTGCGGTCGAAGGATTTGTCCAAAGTCCGGGAGTCTGTGAGCCTGCTGAAACAGAGGGATGCGTCAGGCAGGAAGGTTCTACGAGCCTCAGACCGAATCTACGAAGCCGATGGTAGACCGACCAAGGTTTCTGGCCGAGTGCAGCATACCGACGCTACTCAAGACAAGCGAATCATCAGACGCGCAAATTCGGCAATGCTGGCGGAGGGTGTACCGAGAAACCTTCCTGCTACCGCACGCACTCCAGTCACCATTCCCACCTTCACCGAGCCACCCCCCTCGCGGCAATCTCGCTATGTATCAGGGGTGAAGAGATCAGCGAGCATTCTCTCGCGCACTTTCAGTAGGTCCTCTTCCCCTTCACGCTCTACTCCACGGGCGGACAGTGCCACAAGACCTGGGACGGACATTGCATGTGACGAGTCCATCGCGAGCTTCGACCGAACGAGCGAAATGGGCAGCAGTGCGAGTAGAGACGTCATCATTCGAGTTCTGAAGGGATGGCGGTAGAGTTCCATGGCCAAATGACGAGGTAGGACGGCTTTCTAGCGACCGGGTCCAGTCATCGTTCTGTGCATACATTCAATCCTGTCAGTTTTCTACTTGGGTCGTACTTCATATTGATACCCCAAACACAATGCATCAATGCTTACACTCAACCTCTTGTGTATAATAAGGTGTCTTGAGTCTGAGTCCCCAAGGCCCATGATCTTTCATTGCTTGGCGATTTCAGGGACCTCTGATCGAGGACCTTCTCGGCCGTGCTCGAAAGTGAATGGCGTCCCTTACGCGGTCTCTTCTCCCCCCATTGCGCTTGCTTGTGCGTTGACAGTCGCTCTCTGACCCAAGTGCGAACGGAAAAATACCATGGAGCGCCGGAGTGTAAGCGGCAGAGCGGAGGCCGTGGAATGGTGTTCGAGGGTAGCGGTGGGCTCTTTCCGGCTCGCGCGCAGTTGGGTGAGATGTTCCTTCCAGATGTTCAGCTTTTGTCCCATGTCCCGCAACCACAACACATAATCAAAAGACGTGTCGTCTCGCACAAGTCAATGTTCATTTGAGAGGCGAGACCTGAAGAAGGCGAAGAGGTCGCCGCTTTCCACTGGACATCGCTCCTTGCTTCCCACGATGGCAGTGGACCAAAGCTCGGCCCTCCTTCACTCTGGGCCCGGCCTGAGAGCCGAGCTTACTTCCGCCAGCTGCGCCTGCGTGGGGTCGCCGACCCAGCGGTGAGATCTGTCGTAGCATTCAGCGGTACCGACGATGGAGTTCCTGGAAACCGCGGCGAAATCATAGGACACATCGAGCTAGGTCCACCAGGGGGGTTCTCGCCTTTGACGAATGTCTGTGACTGGGAGCTGTTGAGCGTGTACTCCTCTTGCAGGGGCAAGGGCATTGCAGCACAATTGATCAGGTACGCTCTTGCAGTGGCACTCGGCCCTGCGCAGGTGCAGGAAAAGCTGGGAGTACACCTCAACCGCAGCCTCGAGTCAGCTCAGCAGTCGCGTAATGGAACAACGCAGCCGGCTGGGACTACTCGATCGGATGCCAAACATGCCCTTGGTGTCATCACCATCAACGAGAACGTCGTCGGACGCAGCTTCTACACGAAGCTTGGAGGAAAGCTAACGGAGACCTATACAGTGACGGTGAGTCCCTGACGAGCGGGAATCATACACTCCCCGAGAACGCCTGCGTGCACTGCCTGACATCAACGCCTCGCCTTGCTCATGCATCAGCTCTTGGACGAGAAGATTGGCTGCGTCGCCTTTGTCTGGGACTGGGAAGGCATACATAGACTGATGTTGTGATAGGCCCGGCGTCCAAGGTGGTCTCAGGGGCGTGTAATACGCTTCTCTCCTGTCTCTGGCTTTTAGTGCGAGGGTGAGGGAGGGGGTGTCTGCTTCTCTCCTGT